CGCCTACTATCTGGCCAATAAAGACGACGGGAGATTAGTAGGAGCCATTCAGCCTGACCGCGATGAAGCGAGCGTTAAGCCTGGGGTGTGGAGATTTATCGCCTTGTCGGTTGCCCGTATGGTTGAGCACGATCTTCTCGACCTTCTGCGAGAGGATAAATGTCCAGGGTCCAGTGGTTTTGGGTGAGTCCGAAAAATACATAGCGCCGTACGTGAACAGTGCATCACTAATATGGCTGTCCTTGCAGAGACGTCACCGACGAGGAAAGGCGAAGAGCTAGAAGTACGGAAATTACAGTACTTGACTGTGAAAATCGAGCGCTTGTCCCACCACCAGTGGTCAATGTCATGATGGTAGAATGGCAGGAAGGTTTTGCACGTCGCTTAGGAATTGGGTGGGTCCTGCTCACACAGTGGGCAAAGGTCAAGTCCAATTTCCAAACCATCTTTCTGCGATAGCACAAATGTACCACCATTTGTCAAATTCGAGCATTTAAGACGCGGAAGGGAATCTATTTTGTCGGCATATCAACGCTTCGCTTCGTGGTTCACATTCTGGCTTCATCTTGGAAGCTCTCATTATAGTCCATATACGTCATATATTCTTGTTTAAGAAAAAAGAGTATATCAGCAACGATGTAGATTTACTCATACGTGGTAGTGCGTTGTGGCTTACTAAAAACATGTATACGAACTTTTGATACCATTTTCTCCCTAAACATGCGAGCACGTTCACCTTCCTCTTACCGCCATCATCGGCGACCCTCCCTTTGGCTCACAATGCCAATGTACATGAACTTCAGAATTATCACTAACTACGACGCTTGTATTGTAAGCGCGCTATTGCTGATCAATTTCTCATAACCTGCAATATATTGGACTCCCACCGCTCCACGTTAGATTATTTCCGAAATTGCAAACACCCACAACATCCTTATACATTTGATACTATCCTACAATGACACATACCTATCGCATTCAGACTGCCCCTCACTATAGCCTTATTGCGTGGTAACTCCCCTATCTGCGGATGGAAGAACATTTCAGCGCGACCAAAAGCCAGGGTGTGTCCTTCAAAGCACGAACAGCTTCATCGTATGAAAAAAAGTTGCGATCACGCTTCAGCGACTGTGGCCACTCCTCTTCCATACTTTCCACAACTGCCTCGAAGAAGTAAAAACTGTCTTCCCCTGTTTCTTGAAATCCGAGGTTACTGGTAATTTTGCAGACGATGCCAGCTTTTTCCCAGGCCATATCACGGGCTACATCCTCTGGGGAGGGGTCATTAACCTTCCAGTACCGTACCGGAAATGTCCACCAGCCATAAGTATAGGACTGAACCAGGAGAATCGAACGTTTGTCCGCAGAGAGTGGCAGTATTCCAACCGCTAGCCGCTCCCTTTTGGACCCGTACCGATAGGCTGAATGTATGATAATAAACTAATGTTAGGCGCTCCATAAGTGTAAAGAGTAGGATAGGGTAGACACTAACGATCATGTGCTCGCCGCTCCATTGGATTCTCAATAGAACCAAGGTCAAAAGCCTCCCTTGCTTCATCTAGAGACTTGGATCTCTTGACTCTCGGAAGCTTCTGTGCTTCTCGCGCAGGATTCAGCTCTTTAACAGTTTTCAGATCTTCATCTTGCGCCACATTAATAGGATGCATGCCCAGATAAGAAGAGATGTCCGCAAAAAGTGATTCTGCGGGTAGAATATGGAGATATGGGCTTCGATTATAAGCCGCGTATGTGATCCCGCATAGTTGATTGTGACGGACCACCCACGATCCAGAGATACCGGGATCTTTCCAAGGTTAGCAGTATTCAGGCGGTACAGTATTTGATTTGAGGTATCAACTTACACGGAGTGAATTCAATTTGAACCTTTCGCGTACGCATCAGCTTACCATACACAATGATGGAGCTAAGATCATCAAGCAGGTATCCCTCTTGGGGCGTTTCTTGTTGAGGTAACAGAACTGAAACCTTCCCCTTTCCTAGCTGAGCACTTGGTATGCAGTCTGTGATGGCCACTGGGCTATCTCCGTCGTGGTATGAGTTTGAAAGCTCCCCAAGAGGCTCCATGTTGACAAGGGCAAAATCAGAGCCATTGGGTGCTGTTTCAGGGAGGGAGAGGTCGCCCTCCCTCGTACCGCGGCCTTGGTACGCCAGTATCTTCGGTCCTTCCAATTCAACCCAGCTCTCAATACGCTCGTCCGCGTATTCGTAAACCGGTACATCCGCTCCTTGAGAAAGTGGGTGCCCCTCTGACGGCTGATCGCTCAACATCGATCGTAATTCTGGATCACTGAAGTCTGAATCCGCGTCACACTCTTCTTCCGAGCTCAGAGAGTCATCTGAGCTACTTTCGTCATCAGATACATCCATGGCAAGGTAATCTGCAATAGCGTGCGCTGTCGTCAAGCCAAAAACGAGGTCCCCGACCCGAATGTGCCCCCCCACGGTTGAAAGTAACTCAGCTTTGATACCAAATTGGCATGAGACTGACACTTTTGCTTTTCTGGCAGAACACTTCATCGCCAAAGGAACATGAACATCCTGGACCGAGAAACTCATCCCATCGAATTCCCCAACATCTGGGCTAGTCGGATACTCTTCAGGTTCGGGGACTAGTTCTGCTGCTGGCCATGGTGCATGTCGAGAGACACGCGGCGCATTCATTCCATGGGTGTCCAAAAAGCGATAGAGGTGTACAAGAGCATCGACCTTTGCCTCAACTTTCTCCCTAACCATTGACCTGCACCTTTTGCTTGCACAGTGGATCCAGACTGTCGGATTCAGGAAGACGATCTTGTCAGATGGCAAGGGTCGCCGAAGGATATCCATCGGATGGGTTGACTTGGATCCAGCGAAACAGAGGACTGACTCTAGTGTGCACTTCCTGTCAGGTAGACCCGAGTTACTGACGAAAGAGCATAGGTAATCGTCTAGCTGATCCTTGATCCCGTTTTCCCACTGCTCCTTGATTATAGGTGGCGGCGGCAGTTCCTTCAATAGTCCCACATACACATTCTTTTCAACATTATAGATACTGGATGAAGCTATGGTGCGAGCAATTGTGTGTGGTCCTTTGGTTGTGGCTTGTGCCCTGCTTGCCTCATTATGTGGAGGATTCGGCCCGGGGCCTGGTGAAGACCGTGTTGAGAGGCCGGATCCGCTGGCAGAAGGGTGTTGGCGTCCCTGAATTGTACTGGAAGATGGCGGTGACGATGGTGATGATTGAGATGGCAAGCTATAGGTATTTCGAGTTTCTGCAGTGGTGCTGTGGGGGTAGACGCTCCGTGTTAGCCTCTATGGAGACAACCGAACGCCCTGACATACCTCGATTGTTCCGTCATCGTTCCAGAAAGACTTATGCTTGCCATAATCTATCCGTGCATATGAGTGAGAAGGGGAGAAAGCCGGAGTGATGGGAACATTACCGCTGGATGCGGGGAGATTTCATTGTGTCGTAGCCTCGCTGGGTCTTGCGATCGGCGGATGACATACAGAGATGACATCAGCTTTCAGCTTTGTAAGTGAAAGATTAGCAGCTCCAATAAGAAAGCTTGCGCAGACTGCCATGGAAGCTGATTGGCATGGCTGAATGCTGACAGCATGGAAGGCAGGCGAGGCTGCCCCGCATTTACCAACCCATCCTCTCACCAACCCAAGAGCAATGCTCGTTCTTCATATCATTGCATCTATGATGGGACTTCCGACGGATCCATTGTTTCCTCCCCCAAACTTTGATAAGCAGAGAACATGTGAGCTCGTTAACGCCTTCTGGCCCGATTTGGGTGCACGGACACCTGAAGACCTCACTGAAGATGACTACTCGACTTTCATCAATCATATCGCCACATATCTCCATGAGCTATCTCCATACGCGTCTGATTTCGCAGCGAAAACATTCGAAAGTCTCTTCTTGATCATCTCCAAGCTAAGCGAAGATCGAGCAGTGACCCGGGATGGGCTTCAAGAACACCTAAAATCCTGTTATCTGAACACTCCTGAATCATCAATACGCCGATCAGTTGACCTCGCAATTCGACTTTGGCTTGGACTCAATGTATCATCTACTGCATCAGTCGGGCCCCGAAACGCAAGAGATTCGCGGATCATCTGGAGAAGCAATGAACAGTTTGGCCAAATGGTGGCGGCGCAATTCCCAAATAATACCGGTCGACCACCCGCTTCTACCTTCCCACTCGATGAGGCTTTCACGGCAGTAAATTTGAAGAACATATGCCGTTTGCAAATCAGGTGGACTTCCAATTTGCAAGATCATCTCAAGATCAGCGGTCCCAGAGGTCACCGTGTCCTATCTATTTATCAGCACAAGGTGTGCCTCATCAACCACTTCAAGGGCCCACAGAAGGAGATAATCGGAGAAGACGTTCTCAAGGAAACAATCCGAACTTTAGATCTTCTATTCCCACTGGCAGATGCCAACACGGAGGCATTTTTGAAAGAAGAAGGCGTTTGCATGCATTCGTTCCATGGGAACACTATTACATCTTCGACAAGCATCAATGACTTTGATGTTTGGCGACCCAAGTTGGAACAGCTCTTAGGTCTTTTCAACGGTCCTCCGGAGAGCGTGGCACAGACTCTACTTGATACGAGGAACATCAACCAGTGGATCACTCTATGGATAGCAATTTTTGGTGTCTTCCTTCTCACTACTGTCTTTGGGATCTTGGCAACAGTCTATACTATTAAACAGTATAGGTTAGCCGTGGCTTCGTACGATCTCTCAGTGGAATCCTTTCAGTTGTCACGCTTAGTAGCCTGCCAACAGAAGACGAAGCCCCTGCCTGGATTTTGCGACTAGAAGTGCATGTGTGGATCATAAAATTTCAAACACAGGCTACAGAAATGAATGCATTGAACCTTCAATAACCGATAGTCTTGTTGATAGCCTCCTTCATGATATAACAGTAACATCAGCGTAGCTCCATCTCAGATGTCTCGATTGCGGAGTCCGCCAACATCTTTTACTGCCTTTTGCAGCCATCATCGAACCCACAATCCTTCGCAGCCAACGCCTTCGCCGCAGCCACGCGATCCAACTCCGTCTTCTCCGCACCGGACCTGGGCCTACCAAGCGCCTCGCTAAACTCATGCACAGCATCGCACCTCAAGCTCTGCGCATCCGTCATCCTCTCCATGCTCGTCCCATTCGTCTGAATCAACAGCCTCTCCCTCCCCTCATCGCCGGACCACGGCTGCCACTCGACCGAGCCCCGCGCCCTATCGCTGTTCGGATCGCGGCTCTTGACAAAGCTCGTCCAGTACGCGCGGGTCCACTCAATCGCCCGCGCATTCGTCGCATTCGCACCCACATAGCTGGCCGGCGGACCGCCATCGGTGCGGTTCGGGCCCCAGACAGCGTAGTTGTTAACAACATGCCACGCGCCGTAGCCCTCAGCCTCGTCCTCCGGGTCGCGCGCAGCGTACTTGTACGTGTACGTGGTCGCGCCCTTGGCGACGAGCGCGTTCTGCAGCGTCTTGATGATGCAGTGCGTGCCGACGTCCGCGATCGCGTTGGCCGCCTGCCGGAACTTGCTGCCCTTGCCGGGGAACACGGGGGCCGGCTGGTCGATGTAGAGCGCGTCGAGGATCTGCAGCGACGTGTTGGTGAGGGTGGGGTCGTTGCCGAGGAAGTAGGCGCGGGCGTCGGCGGAGGAGTTGGTGGACTCGGGGGCGGAGTACTTTGTGCCTTCGTTGGCGCAGGCGCCCATGATGGTGGGGACGGTGGCGACGGCGCCGCGGGAGTACATTTCGAAGAGCGAGCCGGTGAAGAGGTCGTCGTCGATGTGCGGGCCGAACCAGCATTGCGAGGAGCGGATGGCGGACGCGTTGAGGGAGCGCAGGCAGGCGAGGCTGTCGGTGGTGTTGGCGCAGCCCTTTTCTTTGGCGAGGCAGTCGTATTGGTCTTGGCCTTGCTGCAGGTCGCGCATCGTCGTCCAGCCGCCCGACTCGAGGATGCCGCCTGCGAAGAGGTTGAGGTTGCCCTCGTTGGCGGCGAGGAGGAGAGCGACGACGCTGCCGCCGGCGCTGATGCCGTCGATGACGACTTGGTCCTTGTCGCCGCCGAACTGCTCGATGTTGGTCTGCACCCATTCAAGGGCCTTGATCACGTCCTTAACTCCGTTGTTGAAGCTTCCGTTGGCCTCGACCTCCTTGCTCTGAAGGAAGCCGTACATGCCGACACGGTAGTTCTAGATGTAAAGTCAGCGTGAAGCTTCTTTAAGGGGAATTCGTTCTTCATACAATCTGAACGACAATGATGCCGCCATCCTTGACCAGATCCGTTGCGTCGTAGTTGGCGTTGGAGTTGGAGGTGAATCCACCACCCTGGATCCAGAAGAGCACCGGCAACTTCGTCTCAGGCGTCGCGTCGGTAGGCGCAAAGATGGAAAGGAAGAGGCAGTCCTCATCGACGGTGAACCGGTCCGGCGCATCGGAGCTCACGGTGAAATCGGTGGGCTGCTGCGGAGGGCAGATGGGGCCGAACTACGAACGGTCAGTTGCGTTATCCAAATCCGATGTGGCTTGTGGGGGTGGCTTGCCTTATCGGCCTCGATCACCTCCGTGCTGGGCTCCGGATCCTGAGGCGCGCGGAAACGCAGATCTCCCACGGGAGCGGCGCCGTAGCGGACTCCCAGCCACTTGGTAACGCCGTCGCCTTGGTCGACACCGTTGTATTTGGCATGGCCAAGATCGACGAGAGGCTCGACTGCCTGCACCGTCGAGCCAGCGACGGCCAAGAATGCGGCCAACTTGGTCCACATGTTCGAGAAAAATAAAGAACGAATTCACAGCTGTGAAAAGGGGAAAAGAGCGACGGGATGTGCAATCCAAAACAATGCGGGCCTTGAGCAGCTATATACTGCAACCTCAGGCCATCGTTCTGTGGAAAAACAACAGCTAGTCAGTATATTGAAAACATTCTCACCATAGTCTCAGCCAAGATCTCGCTTTGTTTACCGGCGCCCTGCGGAAGCTAGCGGTAACCTTATTTTCACTGGTTGGGGAAGCGAATTGCCGCTTCGGGCTCGGAACCAGCAGAGTGCCGCTGTGAAAGTAGGGAGAAAGCTTCTAGTACCCTTCCGGTCGGAAATTTCCAGCCCCGCAGCGAAACAGGAGACAATCGTCCATTGCTATAACCAGTAGCGATCGCGCGCGGGGCCGAGCGTGGTAAAAACGAGGTAAGGTGTGCCATGTAAATTTCAGGGTGATCGTAGATCTTCAGCCTTACTCGTGGATGCGGCCGGCTGATTGGTGCGCTGGTCCGCCGGACCGTGTGGTTGGACAGCACCCCAGATGGGTACCTGTCTGAATCAGTACCGTCTTGGCGCGTCGCTTTCCATTTTTCCAACGGCCCTCTCCTTTTCTACCGGTCAAACGCAATCTATATGTGCCGTTGCTATTCTTCCAATCTCATAGCTTCGTTACAAACCTCCCTTACAGCTATATATTTTACTGCGACAATACAGGTATATCTGTCTTTCCCCGTGTTGCTTCTGGTTGTCGCTCAAGCTAGAGTTACAAGGTCGTTCAGCTTAGTGTTGCAATAAATTGGAGGCAGCGAAAGCTCTTATATCCACGCTGTGCAATGTGCAATCATGTCTAGATGAACGCTTCGCCAGCTTGTCCTACGTTGCGATGGAACCAGAACGTTGCAAGCCTAAACTTATCCCATCACATTGCAGAGTAATTCCTCGATTGCCAATTTCTCGTTGGGCCCCGAAAAGCGTTGCAGCTTCTCAGCTGTTGTTGGTGAAATTTAGTCGTGGCCGTATCACCAGTAGCGCTCCACAGGTCTGCGCTGTGCCGCACTTTCGGGCCGATAAACACTTCTGCCTGCCAGCGTTCTGTTTTGGCAAGACAAGACAAGATAAGTCACTCGCCCCCAATGTCTTTCAGGACTATCTAGAACCCTGAATTCAGCCTTGCTATAAGATTGTTGAAATTTTGTTCGCAGGGAACACCATATATTTTCCTAACCCGGCCATTTTGATGACTGTTTCCTCGCATCCTTAATCAATTTCAATGTTCCTTCCTCTTAGGTGGGGAATATACGTACATCCTGGGAAGGAACACCGATTTCGCCCCCACCGGCTCTGTGGCTTTGTCCGAGCATGATCTGCAGTACAATACATATATCACGCAACTAGTTCCTATTACGGGTTTGTTTGGCGATGCGCGAGAAATGCGGCGTAGATAGATATGAGCGTGTATGTAACATAAAAGCCGACGTCTCGCCTTGAAGCGGTGGCCCGACAGCTGCTACCCGACCACACTCGCTATCAAAGTTCGTGTTTAATTTCGCACACAACGGTTTTCCTTCCTGATCATGGAGTCATCACAACATCCGAGGAGCCGTGATCAGTACACGGTGGGCTGGATTGCGGCACTCGACTGCGAGCTCACGGCTGCCATGTCAATGCTTGACGAGAAACATGACCAGCCACACGACTTCGAACGCGGACCGAGCGACGACAATGTCTACGTCTGGGGAGAGATCAACAAACATGGCATTGTCATTGCGTGTCTCAAAGCAGGAGTCTGTGGCGCAACTTCAGCCGCCACAACGGCCATGCGTCTCTTGTCCGCGTTCCCGAACGTCAAGTTCGGCCTCATGGTTGGAACTGGTGCAGGCGTCCCTCAACCGGGAAACAAGCCAGACATACGTCTCGGCGATGTCGTCATCAGCGAGCCAGACGGATCGACTGGTGGCGTCTACCTCTACGATCTCGTGAAGGCTAAATCCGGAGGAGTCTCGGAGGCCAAGGGGTTTTTGAACGCTCCTCCCGGCATTTTGCTGAAGTCTCTGGTAAACCTTCAGGCTGAACACAAGTACCGTGGAACGGACATCCAACGGCATCTCGACAGAATTACTCCGAACATGAGAGAACCAGATGATGATTCACCTGGCTTCGTCCATCAGGGCATCGAAAACGACCGGCTTTTCAAGCCTCACTGCCCGCACGTTGAGGGCGACAGCTGCAACAACTGCGACCCCAAAGAGCTGGTAGACCGCAACAAAAACCGGACCACGAAACCGAGGTTTCACTACGGCGTCATTGGCTCAGGAAATACCCTGGTCAAAGATGCAGTGCGTAGAGACGAGCTATATCAGCAGATTCCTGGTCGTTGTCTTTGCTTAGAGATGGAAGGAGCTGGTCTAATGAACGACTTCCCTTGCCTCGTCATTCGGGGTATCTATAACTATGCGGACTCGCATAAAAACGACCAGTGGCAACCATACGCTGCTGTCACAGCTGCAGCATACGCTAGAGAATTGCTCCACTTTGTTCCGAGAGAGGACGTGGACAGGGCAACGAAAGCGACAGAAATTACGCATGGAAGTCAGTTTTTCTATTTAACTTCTGGAAAGATGAAATATTTGTTAACAGTATAAAGTTTCCAGATTTGAAAGCCAGCCACAGTCTCACGGTACATACCAACCACCGCGTGAAACAAGCCGAAATCAAGGAATGATTTGCTCCGACAGTTCCAGAAAGCAACTGGTCGACCGCGCGATCTCAATGTTGCAGGAGTACCGACCAGTGGTTCCTTGAGAGCCAAGAGTATGCCAGATGGAGAGAACAACCTGGCTCATTCCTCTGGCTACATGGCCGTACCGGATGCAGCAAAACCATACTGAGCTCTACAATCATCCACCACCTACGTCACGCTGAGCAGCCCTCGTCATCCAAGAACGCTGTTTTGTCCTATTACTTTGATTTCAAGGACAGTTCAAAGCGGTCTACGAGTAATTTCATTCGAACTCTCCTCGTGCAACTCAGTGCAGCAAGCCACAATTCCTGGAACAAACTGGATGAGCTACGTGAATTTCACAGAGGATTTTCGCAATCCTCGGATAGTGATCTGAACAAGACTTTTCAGTCAATTTCGGCGAGCTTTGATCACATCATGATAGTCCTTGATGCCCTTGATGAGGTAATAGAATCTGAGAGGGCGGATTTGATCCAAAAAGTCATCAGCATTCTCAAGACTCCGTCCGCAAACATCCACCTGATCGCCACAAGTCGCAGAGAAAACGACATCGAGCGTGCGCTTGATTCAGCGAAGCCAGTTGCAGTGGATCTTACGAGAGATGACGTGAACGAAGATATGCAAAGATACAATTCGTACAAAGATTCGAGACTCTGAGAAATATTCAAAACTACAGCAAAGATGGGTGTCCCGACTGGATATCCAGCAAGAAATTGAGGCGAGGCTCAGCAAGACAGCTGATGGAATATAACTTTAGTATGGCCATTCTACGACTGTCGATTGGGGTAATTACCAAACAGCATATGTTCGGTATCCAAGCGGACCAAACAGCATATATAGAACTAAATAGCACATCTTTAAAATTTTATAACAACGCAACACCCTTAACAAAATTAAAATATAAGTATATTTATATATATATATATATAACTATTAAGACTTAAATTTACTTATTATAATAAAAAATAATATTTTTTATAGCGAGAATACTAATTTATTTAGCTAAAATATCTTTTAAAAATTAACTATTTTAACACGTAATTAAGGCTTGAATTTAATTTATTTTTTATTTTTATTATAGTAGAGAGGCTAAAGAATATTATTTATTATAAAAATCTTTTATATCTACGTAAAAACGTTGAGGTTTTAGAAAAACATTTTTTAAGATATACTATTTAGTCCTACATATACTGTTTGGTAATTACCCCCCTTTTTTTCCTGTTTTGATAACCAGCTCGCTCATCGCTATTATGGCCTTACACCAGCCGGACTTACGCATACAAAGTGTCAGCACGTCGTGTATGTTCTAGACGTGGCATTGCAAGAATGCGACAGAAAAAAATTAGCGGTGCGGAATCCGACAGCTTGCATAAACTGCGCCTCTTATCGTAGGCTCGAGTTGCTACGTATCTAGTCTCCTGTACAGAATCCGCATTTCAACAGATGCACACACCCGGTCGGTCAAATGCCTCTAAGCATGCGTTAAGACGGAGCAGCGGCCTACCGAAAAGACGCATGCTCCGATTTCTATCATTTGATATTCGATTGCCGCGTAGTCGTTGCAATAACCCTTGTAACAGTTGGCTCAGCACTTTCGGTTTGGCCCGCGGCAAGGAGTTCTTAAGGGTGCGGGCGTGGCCAGATTCGCGTTACACTTGTTAGAGGGAAGAAAATTTCCTATGATTATGCTATAGACTAAACTACGAGCTCTCGGTCTGGGCGAGGCATCTTACAATCTCTTTTTCAACAAGATCTCTATTGTCGGATCGGGGGCATTCTGCAGCTCGAAGGAGATGTTCTTTGGTCTCTGCATTCCTTCTACAGCAAACTTGAAATCGTAGTTCGTCAACAGGTACGCCATGATCATCTTGATCTCAAAGCTCGCAAAGAACCTTCCGGAGCATGCGTGTTTGCCGTAACCCCAACTCAGGTTTGATGCGTTAGTTGTCACGAAGCTCGGCGGCACTGACGCAGTTTCGGAATCGGCAGAGGCCGGTACGAAGCGGAATCCGTCGAACTTTGCAGGGTCGGCGTAGAATTTCGGATCGTGCGTGATGGCGTGCGACGCGGTTCCAATGACGGTGCCGGCTGGAATTGTGATGCCGTCGTGAAGGGTGAGGTCAGAGTGAATCACACGCCCAAATGTCACTGCCGAAGGTTAGATATTGCGGGTGTAAGTGGGAGCGGAAAAACCTACAAAAGACGAGAGGATTGAAACGCTGGGACTCTTTCATGAAACTATCCATCTTCACCAGCCTGCTCAGTCCCTTCTTCGTGAATGCACCATTCTCCTCTCTCAGCATCACCTCTACTTCTTCTCTCAGTGGAGCAATATACTCTGGGCGAGCGCAAAGATCGTACACAAGGTGCGCCGGCACGCTGGCACTGGTGTGTACCGCAGCGAAGGATACTGCAAGAGCCGTGTAAGATAGGAACTCTGGGGTTTTATCTGGGCCTATAGCAGCATCTTCAAGCATCTGGAGCAGATCGGGCGGGTTTTCGTGACCTTTCTCGGATTGGCCATCGTGTTTTCTTTGTTCAAGCAACGGGATGATGACGTCTCGCGCGACGCGTAGGTGCTCTCGCACGGCCTTCATCTCGGGTATGAACCATTGCGCGAGTGGTCGAGACCATGCCGGATACTGCTTGAGCTGCTGCGCCGCCGCGAATGTATCTGTGGTGAAGTTGAGGGATGTCTCGATCCATCGCTCGTTCCGAGACAGTGCATGACCACCCATCATGCGGTTCGATGCCCGGGCGATGATTTGCTTGAACACACCAGCGATTTGAATAGGTGTCCAATCGTCGCACGCGGGGAGTATCGTGTTGAACCCGTGGTAAATCTCATCCTCAACAGGAGGTAGGACGGTCGCTTCCTTGTCAGCATGCGAGAAATAGCTCGACAGCGCATCGTGGGGTTCTCACCGAGCTTCGGATTCAACGACCCTTTCACGACGCGCGGGTGCAAGTCCCAACGCTTCCCGATTGTGGTGTAATCACCTTCGAACATCTTTGTCTCTCAGCCTCCGCTCGTGGTGGTAGATTCCGGGAAGGGTACCTCAATAAAGCTTCCCAAGAAGTCGACCTGTTGGTCCGATGCGTTCTTAAGTTCCTCCATATATTTTGTGGGAATGATTAGCCTCTCCCCGCCAAGACTCGGGACGTAAAAGAATCCTCCATTTGTCTGACTAAGTTCAGCGACCCGCCCTTGATGCCAGGGAGGACTGAAAGCATACTTTTTGGTATCCTTCCTGCAGCATTTCATCCGCGTTGCCAAGAAATCGAAGTTTCGCGGCTTTCATGCTGGATCGACTACCGTCGTAACCAATGATCGGAACTCCAGGCAACCTGCACACCGGCCTGTAAGTTTTCCAAGCAATGATAGCCAAGCAGACGATCAATGCGACCGCAACTGCGGCAGAAGGAGTGGATGAAACAATGTGGGTGAAAAAAGTATCGAGCAGCATATTGGATGACTTGGCGTGTCGACTACGTGCAAATTCTAAAGAATATAAGGCTACGCCGAGTATATGTCATTTCCTCAGTCTCGGCAATTTCTCAAAAGGGTGTGCCCCGGGCAGGCGTCATTCCAGCTTTGTAGGAAGGGAAATCACCTTTCCGGTTCCGCCCCTTCTCAGAAAACCCAGTAGAAGCTGATGAACTCTGTCTACAAATCGGGTCCTACATAACGCTTTGTCGAGCAGCTCCAAAGCTCATTACCGCTCATCTGGTATTCCAGCCCCTTGCAGTACATCAAAATAGCCGGCCTGCAACCGCGCAGTTTGTCAACTTCACTATTATGGCAAAGCTCCCATTCCCGGCACATGACCCACAAAATCCTCTTTGCAGCGTTAAGAGAGACATTTGCCTCAGTGGCCATGACTTGCACTGAGGAACAAAGTACTGAACCTTCCTTATCAGATCGCTGAGATTGTTTCAATTCCTTTTCCCAGCTGTAGATGTCGTTAACCACCGAGATGTGCTTCGAACAGTTGAGATCCACGGGTTTGACAAGGTCAAGCTCGTACGCCTCGAGCTCTAGCTTCATCACGAAGCGCATTAGTGCAGAAAGCAGCCTTTGCCAGTATTAGCAATGCCCATGTGTTTACCCGAGAATGTAGCTCTTACGCTTTACCAACGTCTCTCTCGCGGTATTCGAGATAGTCGCCGAGACGGGTGATGTGTTGGCGTCGCGGATCGGTTTGAGCGCGCATGAATGTGAACACGGGCTCCAGGATCTCGTCCGCCAAATGTCGGTCATGCGCTCTCATGCTCTCCCACAAATCATACGTGATCCATTCGACAGGAACATTGGGGTCAGGCTTAACGTCGCCTCGGGAGATGGGCATCAGCCTTTCGTTGTAGGCTTTGCCCTCCTCAAATGACATGTCCTCGAGGAGGTCTGCACATTGGTCAGCTAACAACTTATATTAAGAGTTACGAATAAACACACCATCTATCAGAAAAAGCAGAGTCAACAGCCTGCATGCGAAGTGGATCCTGTCGTCCAGAGCCTCGGGGTAATAGCAGCAGGTGACGCGGCTGAATCCAGCATCGCGAAACTTCTGGATGGCTTTCCCGCTTGGAAACGGCCAGTTTTTGATAAAGTACCCGTCGACCTCAGCCGTAACCTGTGGCTCGAGGCGATGGCATTTGCCGACGAAATGAGCCGGTGGTGGCCTGTCTGCTGTGGAGCCAGCTGGCTTCGTATCGGCGTGACTCTCGGCCCCCGTGAGAAGGCTCAGAGCCTTTCTCAGAAGCGGTACATGGTCCAGAAGAGGCTTGATGCGTACGAAGAGGAGATCCATGGTAGTCAATCAGGGAGGGGGAGATTGTATGCGGGTGGAAAGATTGGTACGATTGAGATTCTCCTTTGTGCTTTAGGGTCTACGAGCAGTATCTGACAAGAAGTATACTTATCGCCCCTCGAGATATGACCTTACAGTAATCCTTTTCTCTGTACTAATACGTAGGGTGCGGGGTTGTTTCGGTTTCTTTCCTGAAAAGGCAAAGACCGCTTGCAATGACTCCGAGGGGAGCAAGCCACCGGACCACTCAGGGACCGACTACAGCTCGCGGACAGACTGGCATTCTTCTCGCCAAAAGTCTCTTAGTATGGAAAATGGCCTAAGTAATAGGGGGGCTATTATCAAAAACTCATTTCATTTGAACAAAGTTTGTTGGCAGTAGTCTTTGTTTAAGAATTGTGTATAGTAGATCATAGTCTTGAGGATAGCAAAGGCTGGAATCTCTCGAGATCAAGGCACGCTACTAGTGCGATTTCCCCAGAAGCATTCACTCACTTTCGGTTCAGGGCCATGTGGCTTTTGACCAAATCGTGAGTCACCAGTGCGCTGCACAAACTCAGCTCACCTGCAAGTACTGCCGCTCCGATGATCCTTGCAAGCAGTGCTGCGTTGGTTCCGTCTCCGTCCGCATTGTCGCGTGTCCCCAGAAGGTCCAACATGGTCGATTGAGGAGTCAGTGCTGTCCCCCCTCCCACAGTTCCGACCTCGACAGATGGCATAGTTACCGAGGCCTTCAGATCTCCAGAGGGCATTCTGCTTTTAGTCAGCCGATGAATAAAACCACATTAGGTTCAGAGTGAGACACTTACTCTTCAAAGAGGGTTAGACAATTGCTGCTTGCTACAACCTGCGCAATGTCTTGGCCAGTTGCTACGAACATTGCAGCAACAATATTAGCAGCTTGCGCATTAAAGCCACCGACGTTGGAGCCGGCGGCAGCGGACCCGACCAAGTTCTTGCGGGTATTGAGCTCTTCCAGCGCGCTCACGGAGCACTTGAGGATGTCTCGGACGGTACTGGCAGGGACAATGGCTTCGGCGCAGATGCTCTTTCCGCGCCCTTCAATCCAGTTTATTGCCGCAGCCTTCTTGTCAGAACACAAGTTTCCGGAGAGGGAGATGATTTGCATCTCTTCCAGAGCGGAGCACTGTCTGTGGGCCGCGCGCAGTTGATGGAGAGCATTGGTGGCACCCTTTCCAATCATGTTCATGCCCATGGCGTCGCCGGTGCGGGCCCTGAATCTGAGGAAGATCTGGGATCCCACGAGCCGGGGCGTAGCGCCAACGAGATGTCCGAAGCGTGTTGTAGAATCGAATCCCTCGCGCAGTATCCGTTGGCCCTCTTCCGACTCGATGAACCTTTTGGCGGCAGCAGCGCTCTTCAAGGTGCCGAAGCTGAGGATTGGAGCCCGCGTCATGGCGTCGTCGAGGAGCTCCGTCGACACTCCTCCATTCGCGTTGAGCGCCTTTGCACCACGAGAGGTGCTGGCAATGAGCGCTCCCTCAGTGGTGGCCATCGGCAGCATCACCAGTCTACCATCGACAAGAAGGGGGCCTGCGATGCCGAGAGGAATGGGCACGGTTCCGATGACGTTTTCGGCGCATCTTCCAAAGACTGTGGCGTAGTCGTAATTCTTGTGGGGAAGTCCTGACAGAGAGCAAGTAGAACCTGTCTCCACAAGCATGAGAGAAAGCACTGCCCTGCGGATCCTGACAGCGCGTGCGGCATCGCCGACTGCCTTTTCGATTGCATGGAGTGGAAGAAGTCCGCTCTCTACAAGTTGCGCTACCTCTCCATTGCGGAGCTCCGCGGTGCGGCCTTCGGCGTGCAGCTTGCTGCATGTTTCGAGAGTATAGCACTCTCTATTGCCATTGTCACCGGTAGGACTGCTGAGGCCAGAGTCGTGGAAACTTGACTCTGTCCGAGCATCATCGTCTGTTCCGGATTCACGTATGCCGTCGCATTTGCATTCGCAGTCGCACGAGATCACTTTCATGCCAGCATCGGCTGGTATAGGCTTCTGATTCGTTGAAGATAACAATGTGCCTGCGTAGCCGTATCAGTGATACACAACGAGGAAAGAGAAGAAGTAATTTGAGACAGGCTAACGGTGAATGAAAATGCCCAGTAGTAGGCCTGCCCAGAAAATGAGCCAGCCGAGGATTTTCCTCGTGTTCCCTCGGAGCAAGCAATAAACAAGCGCTGGTCCGACCGTAGTTGCGAACACAGCAGCGGCTGAAAATTGGTTACTTGGCCAAATACTGATGCTAGGAGTTTCAGACTCCATGATGTGGTTCCAAGCACCTCCGAGGCTCTGCTTTCTGCGATGGATTGACATGGGTAGTGCATGGGACGAGTGTGTAGACATTTTTGAATCAACAATGACAGGTGGCTGTCAAGTCTGCTCTCTGCCGAACCTATGTACAACTGAATAGTAGCCGGAAGTAGATACCGAAATGCCTGCGCATTAGCTCACAGATAACGACCAAGCCTTATTTGGTATAATCCGAGATATTGCGGGCAAACGGCAGCGAGCAGGAGAGCCCATCGGACACGAGGTCTGAGATGACCAGAAAACAAAAGCCCGGACCGGGAAGCTACGGGACTACTGGCAGGCAATTAAGAAAGGCAATCCCGCGGCAGTTTCAAAGAAGCGATTTTCTATCTATTTTCTACACCTCATTCAAAGTGCGAAATCATTTGCAATGGTGCGAAAATGCGAAATGGTCTCATGGAGGCGTTTCTCCTGCGCTCTCAGCCACGCCAGCTTCGTCTCCCAACCCGCGCACTCGGCAAGAACTCTGAACCGGCCCATGACGGCCTGAAGCCGCTTCAGCTGGATCCCCATCAGACTGCTCACGAGCTGCTTCCACTCCTGGTGGGACTCGATCTCGTAGTCGCCAAGGAAGAGCCTAGGGCTCGATTCATCACGCTCGGTATGCAAGGGGCCGCCTGTTTCGCGGTGGCGGTAACCTTGTTGTTGATGCTGCTGCTGCTGCTGCTTCGAGGCAGATACGACGCGGTAAAAAGAATTAAGGAGCCCGTCACAGAGAAGGGCAAGTACGACCATGGACGAGGACGCAGCACTGCAACGCACACAGGCGATGAGCTGCTCGCACTGGCTCAGCGCCTTCTTGTGGCACGCCAAAATCGAGTCTGATATAGCTGCTTCGGCACGGAGTTTTTGAATCTCGACTTCCTCCAGCACGAGGAGGCTGCGTGAAACGCAGCTGCAGGTGGATTTGGGGGAGTCAGCAATGCGAGAGGTTGTGGAGGCGGTGGGCTGATTGGCGGATTGTCTGGTGGCGGGCGCGTTCAGGTTGTGTAAGTCAAAGCTTACTGGAGAGAGCAGGGATTGGCCGGTGAGGTCGAACAGGTGCATGTCTTCGTCGTCGTGCCCATCTGCGGCTATTAGCGACTACAATGAAGCAGCAACGGGCGCAGCCGTCTGACATACTGCCGTCGCCCTGGCGACCCGGGCTGGTTGTCAATTGGAGCAGATCGTCTATGGAAGGCGTGGGCATGCTTGGCGCCGCGTCGAGGTGAAGCTTCGGGTCAAACTCATGGCTGTCGAACAGCTCGTCGACGGTAGCTTCATTTCCGAACGACATGTCTGAGGCGGTGTCAAGGGCAAAAGCGTCGCCCATGGCGCTGTCTCGGCGGTCATTGGAACTTTGGGCTTGCTCCTGCTGCTGCTGCGGCTTTGAGGGCTGCGGACCGGCCGTTCCGCTCTTGGCTCCGCGGTCGGCATGCCGGGCGGGCGGGGGGCGTTTGCGGCGGTCCGAAGGCGAGGGGTAGCTGCACTGGAGCGACTTCATGGCGCAGCGATCGCAGCCGGATTCCTGTCCGCTGCAGCGAAGCTTTGCAGCCAAGCGTCAGCCGAGGGCACACTTGGGCGGGGGAAGCGCCGGACTTGCCTTTTTGGAGCGGCAGTGGTTACAGGCCAGCCGATGCAGGCCTAGCGGCTGGCCGTCTGTGGGCACGCCGCTCCGCTCGAGTATCATGCCATTGTTGTTCTGGTGGTCTGCCCGCAGTGTCGCGAACATGGTGATGGGCACGCCCAACCCCCGAGACGCCGCCTGTCTATATGTGCCTCGGGCCGGCAAGGAGCGCCAGATAGCGCAACGGCCGGTTGTTTCCCAAAGCAGGCAGCGGCAGCGGTGCAGGATTTAACAGCGGGCAGCGCCAGGTAGATGGGAACAGTGCAAGCGATCGAGCCCATGTCGCTTTCTAGGGCTGTGGTTGCGATTTCAGGTGCAGGCTCAGGCATTGGCCTGGCCACAGCCGCCTTGCTCGCCCGCCGCGGGGCGTTCCTGTCCCTGGCCGACCGCAACCGCGCCGCCATCGAATCCCACGCGATCCGCATCGAGGCTGCAGGCGGACGCTGCATCGCTGTCCCGACTGACATCCGGAGCGCCTCCTCCGTTGACGAGTGGATCCACAGCACGGTCGAGGCTTACGGGAGGCTGGATGGCGCGGTGAACTGTGCCGGGGTACGTTGGGGGTGGGGGGCCCTGCTAAGCGGCACGGCTGACGGCAAGCAGGTACTCAGGCTGCCCGACATGGGTCGCGCGCCCCTTTCGGCCCAGAGTGATCCGGCGTGGGATTTCGTGCTCGACACCAACCTCAGCGGCACCTTTCGCTGCCTGCGGGCGCAGCTCCGGGCCGTGGCTGACGGTGGCAGCATCGTCAACCTCACGTCGACGGTGGGAGTGCAGGGGCTGGCCAACGACGCGCCCTACTGTGCCAGCAAGCACGGGGTGCGTGCGCAGACGGTCACAATGCAGCAACTGTTACTGACGCACATTCGCAGATAGTGGGCTTGACGCGGTCAGCAGCGAAGGAAGTGGCGGGCCGGGGGATCCGCGTCAACTGTGTGGCGCCCGCCACTATCGACACGCCCATGCTCCAGTTGGGGGCCAGTCCTAACCGCGAGGCCATCATGGCGGAGATACGAGGCCATACACCAATGCGCCGATTCGGCAGCCCCGACGACGTGGCCCACACCGTTGCCTTCCTGCTCGGCCCAGACAGCTGCTTCACCACGGGCACCGTCATGGCCGTTGACGGCGGCATGACGGCGTAGAGTAGCATTTCGAATTTATGCCTTTTCCGTCATGCGTTCCTGCTTTGAGCCGTGACTGCTGTATTAGGAAACTTCCGCGCCAAAGCTGCTCGGCCCGGCCCGCGGGAGCGTGGCGCCGTAGAAAACGCCGCCGCCCGCCATCCGCTGCCGCCCGCATTCCATCGCGTTCTAGTGGAGAGTAGCCATGGAAGTTTTGCCTCCAAAGCTCGAAATAAACCAACGCCTTTGCCTCTTGGCAACAGCGTTAGCGGTGAGCAATCTCTATCTCTATCTCTTCTTTCTTTTTTTTTTCTTTCAGTTTCTCTTTTGGAGCGTGTCTCCTCTGTTGTGGGGCTTGTGCTCATCCTTCCGTGCAGGTGGCTGCATACGTTGCGGCCTGCGTAATTTACAACCTGTATTTTCATCCGCTTGCAGGCTACCCGGGGCCGTTGCTGGCTCGTTCGTCTCTAGTGAGTTTCTCAATCTGCATCCCCCCTCAGGATGCGAATCCTGCTGATCGCCTCGCAGCTATGGCGCCTCATCAAAACATCTGGCGGTCGGTTTCACCGCGCAATCGACGAGCAGCACAAACGTCACGGTACGCAATCTCCCCTGCTAAGCGCGCCCTCACTCAGCCCCCCTGCGCAGGCCCTGTCTTCCGCGTCTCCCCGAACGAGCTCTCCTTTGCGACCGTGCAGTCGTGGAAGGACATCTACGGCCCCGCGCCAAGCTCGGGCCGGACATGCATCAAGAGCGAGTTCTACAACATGTACGGCTCGGCCTATCGGTCAGCGTGCATTGGCAGCGAGCGCGATCCCAAGCGACATGCGGCGATGAAGAAGAACCTTTCTGCAGCCTTCTCGACGCGCGCCCTGCTCCAGCAGGAGAGCATCATCAGGAAGTGCGTTGACGGCTTCGTGCAGCGTATCGGCGAGCAGCCAGATGCTCTGAATATGACCAAGTGGTACGAGATGATTTCGTTTGACATTCTCGGCGAGATGGCATTCGGAGACTCGTTCCACGCCGTTGAGAGCGCGCGCCCGCACTTCTGGTCGGAGCTGATCGTCGAGCACCTGTATTTTGTCACCATCCTCGACAATTTGCGCCGCTACCCCCTTCTAGTTACACTGGGAAAGCTCATTTTGCCATTTGCGACTGTCAAAGTGCGAGACAAGCACTCTGGTTACACAAGAGCTCATGTCGAACGGTAAGGACTGAAATGATCACTACCGCGGCCGAGAGCTGATGTTGGGGTAGACGGCTTGAGGCCAAGTCAGCCAGAAAGGACTTCCTAACCAATATGGTCGGCAAAGTAGACAGTGGTGAAGTGGACAAGGAAGAAATGATCGCTCATTCATCGACGCTGGTGTAAGTGACTCGTAGCTTGTACAACTGCCCCTGCTTAGAAACGTTCAGTATCGCCGGAGGAGAAACGACGTCAACATTTTTGGCCGCTACAACATATTACCTTTGCAAGACCCCAGGTGCCTACCAAAAGCTTTGCAACGAAATTCGCGGCGCCTTCGCAAGTTACGATTCCATTGATGCACTGAAGGCGCAGCAATTGCCGTATTTGCAAGCCGTCATTGCCGAGGGCCTGCGCATGTATCCACCAGGGTCGCAAGGATTTCCGCGCATATCTCCCGGTGCCCCAATAGATGGGCACTGGGTTCCTAGAGGAGTGCGTCTTTTCGTACCTTTTTTTTTACGGCCGAGAGCTGACACTGCTGAAGGCGGAAATTTACACCAGTGCCTGGACCGTCACACACGACGAGAAGAACTTCCACGAGCCAATGGAATTCAAACCCGAACGTTGGATCGATCTAGAGTGTACTGATGATAAGGAAGCTAGCCAGCCGTTCTCACTGGGTCCTCGCGGGTGCCTCGGGAGGAAGTAGGTGCTATCTGACCCTTCGCCACGCTATGGTGTTCTAACAGTCTTCCCCGCATAGTTTCGCGTACGTTGAGATGAACCTGATCCTCGCAACGCTGTTTTGGAAGTACGATCTGGAGCTTTTAGACGAATCGTTAGACTGGGAAGGCCAGAGCCACATCCACATCATGTGGTGGAAGCCCGAACTTCGTATTCGTGTGCTTCCGAGGAAGGCCGAATAATGATCACTCCCGCCAATCGGCACATTGATTATTATCTCCGAGGGGTTGGTGCTTGCAACTTTGTAGGATTTCAATTTGCCGTGTGACGTTGAGAGCCAGAAGGCGTGCTTGGTACACTTCCGTTCTTTCACGGAAATAAAATTAGAAAATACAACGCAACCTCTTGCATTTTCCTAAGCGAGCAAAGGAAGGACATTACCATCGGCTTTTGCACTAGCGACCGATATCACCGGTCCCACCACAACCCCGGTCGCTCTATTACTGGCCACTGCGATAGGTCCGGACCGCGGGTTGCCTTTCGCTGATGCCTAGACCGAAATGTATATATAGCAGGGATTAAGGGGCGCCACATTCCTTCTCGCGTGCAATTCGCATACAATGTACTCCCCCCGTCGTCAGACTAACACCGACACGGCACGATGCACGCTCTATACGCCAGGCGTGGCGCTCGAGGGATGAGACAGCGTCGGCGCGCTGAAAGAGGAAACCTCCGCAGTGTGCTGCGCCCCGGCCGGGCGAGTATTTCACATGGAATGCACCTGGACGATAAGGTACCAATGCTGCAGTAGTGTTGCTTTGGTTGTCGCCATGAACATGTCTCGTCTGCTTGTTACGCTGTTCGTCACCGGGTGCATGGCGCACCAGTCCCTAATTCGCTCTGCATCCGACCCATCTGCAGCATGCCATGCGCTGAACGATGCCTACCCCGCCCAAGTGCTGTTTCCCAGCGCACCAAACTACACCGTGGAAGCCGATGGTACATCGAAGATCCTGACCAAGGGGTGAAACAGCCACTGACGTTTCGCAGCGATCTGGAACCAGGCCGGTTGGTTCGATCCGACATGCATCTTCGTCCCCGAAACGGCGGCGATCCTGGCAGATGGCGTGCGCACCCTCTCGCAATCCAAGACTCCGTTCGCGGTGCGATCTGGCGGTCACATGCCGGTCGCCGGCCACCAGTCCATCCAGCAGGGCGTCATGATTGCCATGACACACTTTATCGAGAAGACAACAGTTTCAGAACCCAACGAGTTTGGAACCAGCTACCTTCGCGCCGGAGCCGCCTTCCGCTGGATCGATATTTACGCCTTTCTTGAAGAACGTGGTCTCCTGGCTGCAGGCGGGCGAGTTTCCAGCGTCGGTAGCTCGCTCCTGCTGGGTGGCGGGCTCAGTTACTTCAGCGGGACGCGCGGCTGGGCTGCAAACCAGGTTGTAAATTTCGAAGTCGTCACGGCCGATGGGCAGATTTTGCAGGCGAATGCCAACGAGCACGCCGACCTTTTCTGGGCGCTCAAGGGCGGCTCCAACAACTTCGGCATCGTCACCCGTTACGACCTGAAGACGTTCCCCACCTCGCAGATGTACGGGGGCACAGTGACGTGGGCGTCAGAAGACACGCAGAAATACCTCGACGCCCAGACGGCCTTCATCCTGCCTGGTGGCGGCGCCGACGACCCCAATGCGGCCATCATGCCCAACTTTGGCTTCGACCCACTCACCAACTTGACCAACGCCGGCACGGTGCTCGTCTACGCGGGACCCGATCCAAATCCAAAGGCGCTCGAGAACTTCACGGCGATTCCCACGACCTTCAGCACAGTTGCAGTGCAGAACTTCACGTCGATCGTGGAATCGACCAGCGGCTACTCCCCACGGGACAGAAGGTAAGTCGCTCGCTACGCCACCGTATCTGACAGGAGAGACTAATGGTGCCGGTACTAGGTGGTCTTTCTACAATACAGCAGTTCTCGCGAGTGCCGACACCATGGACCTCTTGTACCGGCACGTCGTGAAAAACGCCCAGCAGATCCTGCCGGGTGTGAATTGCTCAGTCGGTGCCGCCGTGCAGCCAATCACGACGCTCATACAACAGGCTGCGCGCGACAACGGTGGGGATGCTTTGAACCTGGATCCAAACGGAGGCTCTTTTGTTGGTAAGAGGGTAAACATGGCCATTGTGTCCGCTGCCGAAACTGACTCTTGTGTGCACTGCAGTCGCTCTCATCTACGGCAATTGGTTTGATCCGGCTTACGACGTGAAGATCAAGGAATGGACAGACGCAACACTTTCGTCCATCGAGGCTGAGACCAAAGCAAAAGGCCTCTACCACCCATTCAAATTTCTCAATGACGCTGGCATCACGCAGAATCCTATCTCAACCTACGGGAACGGATCTTCGTTGCCCAGGATGAAGGCGGTTAGTGACAAGTATGATCCGGATGGAGTCTTCCAGACGCTGGTGCCGGGATTCAAATTGGGGCGTGAGCTTCACTTTTGGAACTGAAAAGAGGTCCGTTCACAGTCTGGTAGACCAACATATAGACGCTTCACTTGTTTTGTCAACTGAAGAAATAAACGGAAGGAATCAAACCCTCGACGCCACGTTCAAAGGCATGGCAGTCTGAATGAATCTTTTTCTTTCTGATAACAGCACTCTCATGTAAAGTTTGTTCTCCCTTCGATCCGTGTTTTGTTGTCCGTTGCAAGCAAAAGAAAGAAGACATCCAAAAACGCGTCTTCTTATATCCCAGCGTTAGACTAAGTTCATCAGATGATACCTAATGCTCTGAAGCTCCGTCCTGAAGACGGAAAACATACTTGAAGCCACTGGCCTTGCCTTCCTTCAAACCATCCAGAGCTGTCTGAATTCCCTTCAAGCCTCCCGGGCACACTTTGTAAGGGTGAGGCTGCAAACGGCCGTCGGCCAGCCAGCGAGCGAATGCCTGCATAAACACGCAGCCGAAATCCCTGGCTCCCGGCCTTTCGCCCATGGCACCGTGGATGTCCCCGACGACGGTTAGAGTTGGTGGAGGAGACAGGTCAGGGGCTTCGACCGGGAGCGTGGTAGCGATGCTGGCGCCGGGTTGGACAACGGCGGCAGTGTGCTTGATGCTGTCCCCTTCGGATATGGCATCGAAGGCGTGTCGAATGCCGCCGGCACCTGCAGCAGCAACGGCGTCACGCACGCCTTGAAGCACGACGTCTGCTCCCTGTCTGTTGTCGATTACCGCATCGCCGCGGTCTTTGTCCAGGAGCGATGCAACCCACGGCGTGCTGCGGCCGGCAACGGCGATGATTGGGTGGATGTTGGACAGACGAGCGAGCTTGATGGCGAAGGCGCCGACGGCGGAACCGCCTCCGTAGATGAGCAGCGGCAAAGGCGAGTCCGCTGGAGCCCACGGCTGGGGCATGCCGAGTCCACGATAGAGTGCAAGGGCAGAAGTCATGGCTGCCAGGGGAACGGTGGCAGCATCTGCGGGACGCACTGGTCAATAAAAGCGACATGGAGGAAAATCAATGTACGGACCTTCAAACGACACGGCTGGAGGGAGATGGGCGGTCACCATGGCACGAGCAGTCGCGTAGTCGGCGTGGGTGCCATGGGGAGCAGCGACGTCGTGGAAAGCGACGACGCGATCGCCGGGTCGGAAGCTAGTGGCTTGGGAGCCGACGGCTTGCACGAAGCCCGCCATGTCGTTGCCCTGGTTGATGGGCTGCGGCACCCACCACGTCTTCCAGTCCTTGGGATTGCTGCCCGCAACCACAACACGCACCACTACCTCGTCGACCGCCGGGATTGGGATCGGGGCTTCGACGAGCTCGGCGCGCGGCCCCTCGTGCACGATGACTTGCTGCATAATGGTTCTGCGCAGGGACGAATGTGCTGGCTTGGTTGCTGCAAACACTGTTGCATTTTATCTCCGTCGCAGAGACACAAACCCCGCCTTGGTCTTTTCGGTTCGGGGCCCGGCGTTGACCCCATTCGGGCATCGCAGCCGGAGCTCGCCTGGCTGCCCATATCAGCCCTGCCGCCCATGTTGCTCACCCCGCCGCCACAACTCGCACCATGTCTTCCGCTCCGACCTTCAACAGCGAAACCACGGCTACTCAGGTCGCCGACGCCTTCTCAGATTCTATCCGCGGGCGAAACAGTACGTTCTGCTGCTGCTGATGTTCGCGTTCTAATTGTGTGTGGCAGTCCTCATTACGGGCGTTGGCCCCAATGGTCTCGCTGAGACGCTGGTCCACACGCTGGCCGCCCACTCCCCCGCGCTGTTGATTCTAGCGGGGCGGCAGCCGGCCAAGGTCAGCGCCGTTGCCGACGCCGTCAAGGCCGCGCACCCAGGCACGCAGACGCGCACGCTGCAGCTCGATCTGGCGTCGCTGGCGTCGGTGCGCGAGGCTGCAGCACACGTCACGGAACCGCTGCACCTCATCATCAACAACGCCGGCGTCATGAACATCCCCACCCGCACGCTGACGGCCGACGGCTTCGAGATGCACTTCGCCGTCAACTATCTGGGCGCCTTCCTGTTCACCAACCTGCTGGTGCCGCGCCTGGTGCAGGGCGCCCGCGTCGTCATGGTCGTCAGCAACGGCTACGCCCTCTCCCCCGTGCGCTTCAGCGACTACAACTTCGACGGCCGCGATAGCTTGCCCGACGACGAGCTGCCCAACAAGCAGGCCTGCGAGGCGTTCGGTATCCCTTACGGCCTCGGCTACGTGCCGCCGCTCGCGTACGGCCAGTCCAAAACCGCCGGCATCCTGTACACCAAGGAGCTGGCCAAGCGCCTGAAGGCCAGTGGCGTCACCGCGACGTGCGTCAACCCTGGCCCTGTAGACACGGATCTGTGGCGCCAAATGCCCAAGGAGGCCGTCGAGCAGATGTTCGCCGTGCTGCCCATGCGCTCCAAGGAACAGGGCGTCGCCGACTTTCTCGTGGCTGCATTACACCCCAACCTTTCAGGTGAGCCCTCATCTCACAGATTCCGACCATCCGGAAACGCTAACACTGCCGTCCAGACGGTGCATATGTTGAGAATTGCCATGACACCGACGTGATGCCTTTTGCCAAGGACGAGACGCTTTCTCACAGGCTTTGGGAACTCAGCGAGCAGCTGGTCAAGGAAAAGTTCGACTTTTGATATCTTGAGGTCTTTGGCTTTGCAAATGCTTGTTTCATGCTTGCAATGAGTTGAATATAAAAAGAAAGCGAAATGAGAACTTGATTCACTTCTTGGGCAGATAAAGGCAGTGTGTTGTTTGTTTCCTAGCCATCCAACCCAGTAACTAGCTCGTAGATTGCAACATCCAGCGCCGACGGGTCCGAAAGCTGCCTGGCAACCTCATCCCTCGCCCGATAAATCAACCCAACATCCAGCTTCTCCATGTCCAGACCGTGGATCACGAGATCGCGGGCTGGCCATTGGCCGCTGATTTCATGTTTCGCTGCCATTTCCGGCCGCTGGTTGTCGCAATAGCGGTACCGGCTCATTCCACGACATCCCGGAAGCGCGGCGGGCACGCCGTAGAACTTCTCCACGCAAGCGCTGTCGGCAGTTTCGGCATTTCCTTCGGCTGACTTGAACGTGGTGAACACGATGAACTTGGTAGAGCCTGTAGACGTGTCTTGTCAGAGCACTCTTCAGCGTAGATTCGAAGCGGCGACGACGGTAATAGTGGCGCCATCTGAAGCCTTGACACCCACCTTGGCCTTCACCTCCGCCCATCACCGCCGATCCGCCTACAAGCTCATAGCCTCGTCCCTCGAAGTCGACACTCTTGAAAATGCTCCTTCCCGGCAAGTAGTCGGCCTCGGTGCTGTCCTTGGCCGAGTCAAACTCGTCGCCATGGAGCCAGCTGACGTCGTGCAGCGGGTAGAGGGTCAGGTATGGCAAGGCTGACGACTGTTTCTGCTCCTGAGGAGCATTAGGGTCGACGATGCGCACGTAGCGCATAGCTGCCCGGCATCCGCTCATGGAGGCAAGGTGGGGCATGTGTATCTCGTCGTACCAGCGTGCCCAGTCCTCGTACCTAAGATCCGGGTTCGTGAAGCGCGCCCCGACGTAGAGCAGGCCTTGCTTCGCAGAGGACGTAACGCCATTGGTCGTTGGTGCAACCGTCTCTGTGATGGTGCTCATCTTGTCTCGTTGGCAGTGTTTGCTTCCTGTAGCTGGTGTTGAGATGCAGCTCGAATTCGGAACTCACAACAAAATGAGCCCTACCACGCGAAAAACTTTTGATGGCTACCCTGCTACACTTTTTCCTTTTGGAAATAGCTGATCACTCGGCTGCTACCGACTATGACCATAGCCGCCCACACGGTGGTCACGTACGTCGGGGACTGCTGCATTTGGCAGTTGCCGAGACTCGCTAATTGCCATTTCCCGCAAGAGCCGGGGCGCGGGGGGGCTCCACAACAGCTCCCTGGTCTGTTCCAACTGGCCGAAGCCACAACATTCCAGGAACCTATTCACCATGCACACCGAAGAGCATGGAGCTGCGTTAGAGAGTGGTGATGCCCAGCGTCCCGAGCTCTACCAGCAGCATGAAGGAGAAAAACGTGATGCGGATGTTAACGAGGACGCAGGTACCAGCAGCGGAGAACGCGAAGAAGACGGTCATTTGCAGGGCGTTTCTCTCGTGCTTCTTGTTGGGAGTCTGACGCTTGCTGTGTTTGTGGTAACGTGTTGTCGTAAGGAATCTATGCTGCTTTGACCGAATTCTGACAGCAGCAGATTTCCATGGATTTCACGATACTGGGTCAGCATCACCATCTCGTTTGATCTCAATTCTGTCAGCTCTGCTAAAGCACTGACCGATCACTCAGCGACGGCGATCCCTAAGATCACGACCGAATTCCACTCTATAGAAGATGTAGGGTGGTATGGATCTGTCTATCTTCTTACTACAAACGCATTCCAGCCGACGGTAAAGCTCTCGTGTTTCAACGAGTCATGGTAACCCCGCCAACATAATGTAGTTTGGAAAACTGTATTCCATGTTCAATGTAAAAGCGGTCTATCTCATCGCGATGGCAATTTTTGAGAGTAAGTCGTTGTATTAACATAAGTTTACTACATTGCTGACGACCATAGTCGGATCAATCGTCTGTGCAACAGCCCAAAGTTCTGCTGGTCTGATCATCGGTCGAGCTGTGGCCGGCGTGGGATCATCGGCCATCTTCTCGGGCGGAGCAACCATCATTGGCTTCTCCGCTCCCCTCAGGAGCAGGGCCGTGCATATTGGCATTTTGTCAAGTATGTTCGGCATCGCATCCGTCATCGGCCCGCTACTGGGAGGCGCGTTCACTGGTGAAGCCACGTGGAGATGGTAGGTCATCCCCTTTAATGCGCTTGAACCGAGCTTTGCTGAGGATGCTCTCAGGTGCTTTTGGGTTCGTCACAATACTCGAATGGCCATGGAGCGGCTACTTACTATTGCAGATTAATCTTCCCATTGGGGGTGTCGCAATGTTGATCGTTTTTGCAGTTTTCAAACCACCGAAGAGGACAAGCTCGGACAAAACAGTCTGGCAGCGTTTGCAAGAGTTTGATCCAATTGGAACTTTTCTGATCCTCGGAACGGTTTTGTGCTTGCTCCTTCCACTGCAATGGGGCGGTATAACTGTTTCCTGGGGATCCCCCAAGGTCTATGGCTGTCTTATTGCTTTCGGGGTCCTCCTGGTATCCTTCGTGGCGTGGCAATGGCGCATGGGAGACAGAGCCACGGTACCTCTGCGAATCTTCCAAGATCGGACAGTATGTGCAGCCAGCCTCGTATCTGGTTTCCTAGTCATGTCCATGTACGCGTAAGTGAGCCATTTTCCTTTCCAAACCCAAGCGCTTCGCCAACTGATTGCAAAACAGTCACGTCTACTATCTTCCGTTCTACTTCCAAGTCATCAAGGACGCGAGCCCGCAGTCATCGGGTGTCCGATCGATCGCATACTTTAGCATCCTTGCAATTGCATCAATCGGTGGTGGGGCCGTCATCTCGCTGATCCGGTCGTACGCTGAATTCATGTGGGCTGGCTCAGCCATCCTCACGATAGGATCGGGCTTGATATATACTCTCAAGGTCAACTCTAACGCGGGGGTGTGGATTGGCTACCAGATAGTGGCCGGCTTTGGCGTCGGCCTGGCCCTGCAGACTCCGTTCATTGCTGTTCAACGCGCTGTTAGACCAGCCGACATGCCTCAAGGGAGTGAGTACCATATTTATTGATAGTATTGCAGCACATCTAACAGTATTCATAGTGGCTGTCGCCATATTCTTCAACTCGCTCGGCGGTGCACTGTCCATATCAATCGCCCAAAATCTTTTCAGCAGTGGACTGAGAATCAACATCCCAAAATACACCCACGGAATCAATGCTGAACAGATTATAGACGCTGGGGGTGTTGGTGTGCGGGAAATCGTCCCGTCAGATCAGCTCAGCAATCTTCTGCATGCCTATAACTTGTCTATTACCGACGCCTTTGCGCTCTCTATTGCCTCTGCAGGATGCGCATTTGTTGCATCACTATTTGTATGACGTCCACCCCTTTAGCGAAAGCCATCCAAAACTGACTGCTTCATTTTCAAAGATTAGGAGACTTAAGCTATAGAGAATGGGAGTGTATAGTTGGAATGGAGACTATTTACAGCATATTGACATGTAGACAAATGTATGGTCCCTACTTTGAGGTCTTGACTGCCGTTTGATGATCTTTTGCTACAGTGTACATTTGCAGAGACAACCACAGCATCTCTGAGCAGGAGTGTTCACCTGTGCCAGATATCTGCTAGTGAGGGGCCAGCAGAGATATTAGTTTACCTGCATATGTTTGACCGATATACATTCCCGGCGCGGCTGGACTTGAGATGGAATTTCTCTTTTCTAGCAAACAAACACGGCCCAAAAGCCCTCAAATGACAATCATTTCACCAGCAATGGAAAGCAACACCAACTCAAAGGCCCCCCACCACAGCCGCCTCGTACGAGCACACCTGCGACATTCCTCACCCCATGACCCTCCTCTCCAATCTGATCCTCGCCTTCACCAACGGCGCCAACGTCACCTTCCCCGCGGACGTGGCGAACAGATCCCGCTCCACCTCCTCGGCCACCTGGCCCGGCTGCAGCACGACGCGGTAGTCGCGCAGCAGCGTCGCGAAGAAGGCGACGTACTCGGCCTGGGCAAACTTGCGGCCCAGGCACGCGCGCGCCCCGTCCGAGAAGGTCAGCAGCGTGCCGCGCATGTGGCGCGTGCGGTCGGCCGCGACGACGGAGTAGTCGCGTTTCTTGTTGTTGTGCGAGGAAGCAGAAGAAGAAGAAGTCCACCGGTGCGGGTCCAGCCGGTACGGGTCCGGCCAGTAGCGCGGGTTGTAGTGCACGGCCGGGGCGGAGAGATAGACGCGCGTTTCGGCGGGCAGGAGGTGCGTCGTCCGAGGCATGCTACTACCGTTGGGCGCCGCGCTGGAGGAAATGTTGATGGGCTGTGGGTTGCCTGCCATCTTGGTGATGAGCGTGACGCCGGGGAAGAGGCGGAACGTTTCGTACTTTTTGTGCGGTAGATGATGTAATGTCAGTGGTCTTGGATTCCTGGAATGGCTAGTCCGCAGGTGTTGCTGCTTCTCTTACCATGAAACCGTATGTGTACTCGAGCGCTTCGAAGTCGTCGCTGTACGTGAGCTTGGTCCGCCCGGCCTGCTGGGCCCGGGCATACACGGCGTCGACCTCGTTGATCACCTCGGTCTGGATGTTTTGGTGCAGCGCAAGGACGATGAGACCGTACGCGATCGCATTGGCGGTCGTCTCGTAGCCTAGCTCCCGTGAGCATCGAGTCAGAGAGGATGATGGTTCAAGATATCTCACCAGCAAGCAGGTAGATGAACAAGTTTCCCATGACCTCATCATCTGTGAAGCCCTTCTTCCGTCCTTTTTCGGCGGTCGCGCCAGTGTTCTGTTTGCTGTCGGACCATGAAGCTCGGAGCACCGCAGTCAGGAGATTGCCGCGGGCCGTCGCGCTTTGGTGGTCCGCATTTTCCTCGATGCGAGCTCGTTCGTGCCGAATCATTTCCCGCAGGTACCTGTCAAGCTCTCGGTGAGCAACATGGGCCTTGCGTAGAGGTGTTAAGTTAAGCAACCAGCCAGGAAGCAACAGAATGGCGACCATGTAGTTTGTGGTGTTGTGTATGGCCCTGAAGAAGCTGATCTGGTGCCCAGGTGGAATCGTCTGGCCCTCCCCGTCCTTTGCCGTGACGTCGAGCGTCTTGCCAAATCCGGCCCGAGAGATGACGGCAAGCGTGAGGCGATTTACATCCTCGTATAGGTCCCTTTCTGCTCCCGCCTCCCACACCTCTGCCAGTTTCTGTGTTTGGTACACTGTCTCGTCCCACACCAGTTCGTTGACGCCGCTCCCGTCGCCGAATGGAGGCGCTGTGATGCGGACGTGGAAGCGGTAGTTGGCACCCTCTGCAGTTGCGACATTCGGCCCATATGGTTCTAGAATCTCTTCGCCACGTTAGCTATGGTCTGGCTAAGCGACATGGAGCACGTACTATACTTGTCTGGAGGCTTCGTGAAGTCATACCGGCGGTTCATGACATCCCATCCCATGGCCGCATCAGCAGAGTAACAGATTATTCCTTCTGGCGAGACACAGAGGAAGACATCTCCGTATTCGTCGTGGGCGCGCCTCTTGTCTTCCCAAGCCCAGTCCTTGATCATAAAACGGCACCATCGTGGCCAGCCTTGACCTTCGTGCAGGCGGCGGTTGTAAACATGTCTGAGGATTGGCGTGGCTATGAAGCCCAGGATCTCTGTTTCGAGGATCGGGGTGACCACGTACGGAATCCCAGTGAGTTTTGCGCGACGAATGTAGCGGAAGAGCCTAACAGCCTTGTACAATGAAATGGCAAGGAAGATGAGCGCGGCTGAATTCCAGCTAGACGTCATTTTCCAGACGGATGGCAAGTTGTAAACTCTGAAGGCCTGCAGGGGAATATTTCAGCCGAAGATTCTGAAAGTCATATGAGCATCGTGCGTCGCACAGGGCTGGATCAGGCTCCGCTTATGGTAATTTGCGAGCCGGAGCTGCGCCGTATCCGCAATGGTTACGCAGGGCCCCGCAGCCACCCACGCCCGTGATACATACCCCACACCCTCTTTCGCCTTCGTTCGCATGCCATCTTGCCTTCCCTTTGCTAGCGTTTACCATGGGTCCTCCACTCAAATTCGCCGCAGACTTCGTCGCTCTGGCCGATGTGCTCAGAGCTCTGGCCGTTTTCGCAAGCAGTGTAGGCCTCCCTCGGCGGCCAGAGAACAGCGTTCACGAACTGACTAAATACCTCCTCATTTCCAGATTGTTTTTCTGTGGATCGCAGTCGCAATCCAAAGGCTGTACTTCCACCCTCTTTCCAAGTTTCCTGGGCCGCGGCTGGCAGCTGTGAGCAATGTTCGTCATCCTATTACCACAGAAGCCCAAGAGACGGAGATTAATTAACAAAAGTTACAGCTCCCATATTCCCTGAGCTATCTTGGTGGGCGCCAGCCATATGATATTCTACGACTCCATGAAAAATACGGTTGGTCTTGGATCCGTGCAAAAAAGCGGCATTGGGAGCTAAGAAGCGGCGGTAGGCCCGGTTGTGCGGGTGTCACCGAGTGAGCTCTCCTTCAATACCGCCCAGTCATGGAGAGACATATACGGCCAGCGCAAGGGACATGCCACCTTCATCAAAAGCGCCTTCTATGACGGAGGCAACTTTGCGGATCAGGCCCATTCCATTGTGAGCGAACGCGATCCCACAAAGCACGCCATAATGCGGAGGTACCTCTCGAGTGCTTTCTCAGACCGGTCTCTCAGAGAGCAGGAATATTTGATTGCCAAACATGTCGACGCTTTTATTACGCGCATTGGCATGGTACCTGAGGCCATCAACCTGACCCACTGGTTCAACCTACTTACTTTCGACATCATCGGTGATCTGGCGTTTGGACAGTCCTTTGGAGGAATCGAATCGGGTTTGTTTCCCAGTGCGCTTTATTTTTGTTGATTTCTTAATCGAGGCTAATGGGTCGCTGTGTCATGCCAGGAAAGACGAACAGTTGGATCAAGCTGGTGCTTGAAAGCATGGGTCAGGCCAGCCTTTCAGACACACTTGGCCGTTTCCCGTGGATGGGGTGGCTATATATGAAGGTCTATCCGGGATGGCTTGATAAGCTCATGAGCGGGGCGATAAAGCATCAGACCAACACCATGTCGCTGCTCAGAACGTGAGTCCATTCTCCTTTCTTAAAATATCTACGGGCATATGCTGATTCCTTCCAGCCGGCTTGCACAGAAAACGCAGCGCAAGGATTTCATGGCGTATCTGCTACAGGGAAATGAACAAGAGGAAGTTTCAGAAATCCAGCTGGCCGCACATGCATCAGATTTCGTGTAAGTCAACTAATCAAGACCACCTTTTTGGACACTATTGTTGACACGGAACATTTAGAATTGCTGGAAGCGAGACAACAGCTTCGACTTTGGCGGTGGCCACATACTACCTCTGTAAAGACCCCGATCTCACGACGAAACTCCAGCAAGAAATCCGAGGGTCATTTTCCCGGTATGAAGAGATAGATTCTATTAGCACAGGAAATTTGCGTTACCTTCAAGCAGTTTGCTTGGAGGCATTGAGAATCTTCCCACCTTTGCCGCTTGGATTACCCAGAGTAGTACCGGAAGGTGGAGATACAGTTGACGGATACCCTATTCCAGAACGGGTGAGCATCATGGCATTTGCATCTACTTTCGGGAGATTTTGACTGATTCTAATCAACAGACAATCGTTTCGACAAACCCGCTTGCAGCAAGTCTTTGCAAGACCAACTTCTCTGAGCCCTGGAAATTCGATCCGGACCGATGGCTGTCATCAGACCGGGCCGATATTCTAGATGCCAGCCAGCCATTTTCATATGGCCCACGTGTGTGCCTTGGAAGAGCGTTCGTCTCAATTATCTTCAACATTGATACGTGGCACTAACAATAATGATAGGCTTGGTTGGTTAGAATTGCGCACTGTCCTCGCCAAAATGCATTTCAAGTACGATGTTGAATTGTTGGATCCCTCACTTGATTGGCACAAGAAGGTGGAGATGCATTTGCTGTGGAAGAAGCCAGCTCTGAATGTGAGGATCAAAGAAGCTTCCGGAGGAACAAAAAATAGCTCCAAGCGTTGAAACCAGGCACTTCGATACAGTATTGCGTCGGTATTATCTCTTCAGTATAGTTACAACATGCGCATGACATGGCCAACAAGTGAAAACAAGCGTCAAGAATCTTAGACAGGGCGAGTTTCAGATTACAGCAATCTGTGCAGAGCGCAGCCAGTAGTCTTGATACAGTACGTGGTACAGTACCCCGGGCGACTGCAGCTGAATTGGGTAGGTCCGACTGCATTGACTTAAACATGAAAAATATATAGCTTATCTTTTCCTCGACATTTGTCCACCTTATTGATTACAAGTACGAATTTCACAGACTTGACACGCACAAATTCTCAGTCCTTGAAGGATAATCATGACGTCGTTGACCATCCGAGAAACAGACATTCCACGTCTCGATGACAAGGTTGCCATCATTACCGGCATATTTACCCTGTGCCCCTGCACAATCAAATACCACTAACAGGGCGAACAGGCGGCAGTTCCGGCATTGGGCTGGCCACAGCACGCATTCTGAAGTCCCGAGGTGCTCACGTCCATGTCCTCGACATCGCCCCGATCGATGAATCCTTCGACTGCCACTTTACACCGTCCCCAGCCGACAGCGGCCCGACGCCCAAAGAGGGCAACGGTGTAGCACCCGACGCCGACCCCGGTCCACCTGGAACTATCCAGTTCCGGCACTGCGACGTGGCCGACTGGGGCAGCCTCCGGCAGGCCTTTGCCGACATCGGGCACGTGGACATCTGCGTCGCAAATGCCGGCGTGTCGCAGGAAGCCGACTACTTTGCCGACACGTTCAGCAGTGACGGCTTGCTGGAGGAGCCTCGCTACGGGGTGATTGACGTGAACCTGCGCGCTGTTCTCAACCTCGTCAAGCTCAGCATCAGCGCCTTCCGCGCCCAAGGCCAGCGCGGCGGCTCCATCGTGCTGACCAGCAGTGCCACCGCCTACGCCCCCGAGCAAAGCTTGCCGGTCTACAGCGCTGTCAAGCTGGCAGTACGTCTTCCCTCCCCCTTTGCTGGACGGGCTGGCTGACAAAAACAAGACAATCGGCCTCGTCCGCGCCCTCCGCCCCTCCATTTCCGCCCTCAACGACGCCACCATCAACGCCGTCGCCCCGGCCGCCACCGTCTCCAAGCTCCTCCCGCCCAACCTCGCCGCGCCCATCGTCGCGGCCGGCGCTCCCGTCAGCGACGCGCACCACGTCGGGCTCGCCGTGGCCTACTCGGCCACCGCGACCCAGCCCCGCGCAGTCGAGGCGTACGGGCGCGACAACGCGGCGGAGCTGGAGAAGCCGGGCCGCTGGAACGGGCGCGTCATTCTGACGCTCGGAGATCGGTGGACCGAGGTCGAGGAGGAGGTGGCGAGGCTGCGACCGACGTGGTTGGGGGCCTGGAACGACGAGATGACGAGGTTCCAGCAGAAGCTGACCGACATGCGGGGGGTGGTGGCGGAGTGAGTGAGCGTGGTGGTGGTCGGGAGTTGCCCGATTGGGTAATTTCCGAGAATTAGTCGATGTGGGTGGTGGGGTCAACGCTCACGAATCACAGTGTTCTCATTTTGTTGCAATGGCTGAGACGCAGTTCTTGATTGGCTGTTGGTCGATAATCCATTCTGTTCCTTCTTGCGCTCAACTCGGCCTTGTGCGTTTTCAACACCACGTTCTTTCCAAATCAGGATTCTATGCCTTTATTTCATACGTGCGGCGGAACATGTCGTCAACGTGCACCAAGTGATAGGTCCCCTTGGCTAGGAGGCTGATGTCACCAGTGGCAGTGTAGTTGTTGCGCTGGTACGCCCGCTCCCTGAGTTTGTACGCCTGGAACCATGGAGTCAGCTAGTTCTTCTATCAAATACAGGCACGCAAGGAAACTACATACCTCGTCGTATTCCTCAGGAGACTTTGCCACACGCGTCTCCAGGCGGTGTTTCAGTTCCAGCTTGGTCGCCATCTCGTTGATATCACCCTGAACGCGGAGGCTGAAGAGGGCGCTGGCAAGTCCACTGCCGTAGCTGAAAACAGCAATCCTCCTGCCTTGCAGCTGCTCACTGCCGACATTACTGACGAGACTGACAAGCGATGCATACACACTGGCTGTGTACATGTTTCCGCACTGAGTCGCCGCGAGGAGGCCGGGTTCAACTCTCTCGGCAAACCTGTTCTTGCTTAGAGAAATGAATGTTCTCTCAAGCTCTTTATCTCCCAGTGACCTTTGGTAGTCCATCTTCCGGAGATGCGCTGGCACACTTTCGAATTCGGGGTGATTTGGGTTGGCCAGGAAGTCGTTGTACAGCATACGGGCATACGATTTGGCTACCAGCTTGCAAGTTGGCGCATGGAACACGAGGTAGTCGAAACTGTCGATGAAGAGGCGGCTGTGCATCCCGTTGATTCCTCCTGCCAGCCTAGCACGTCTGGCCTGGTAGTTGTTGTAGCAGGCATCGACGGCTTCCGTGTAGCACTGGATGGAAAACTGTCCGTCAACCAGAGGATACTCCGAGGTCATCTGAGCCTTGTAGAAGTCGTATGTGTGCTTCATGAACAGGCCACGAACCCCGGGCTCAATTGCCAACGGCGCATTGGGACCAACGAGCATGGCGACACAGCCTGCGCCGCCGGTTGGGCGGGCTGCAGCGTTGCCATAGGTTGCGATGTCTCCAGCAATGACAATGGCATCGCGGCCGTCCCACGCACTTGATTCGATCCAATTAACGGCGTTGAAAAGGGCATTGGTGCCTCCGTAGCATGCGTTGTAGGTATCAACCCCGTCGATTTCAAAATTCCCATGTTTCTCAAAAAGCTGCATGAGAACCGTTTTGCAGGACTTAGACTTGTCAAGCATGGACTCGGTGCCGACCTCCAGCCGGCCAATTGACTTGGGATGGATGCTGTATTTTCGGAGCAACGATGAGACAGTTGTAAGAGCCAGGGAGTAAATGTCTGCGCCGAGGCTTAGCATAAATCGGGAATGAAGAGATCAAGACAGTTACCTTCGCGATCGTCACAAAAGCTCATGTTCGTTTGGCCGAGTCCAACGGTAAACTTCCCCGCACCAACATTCATAAACTTCTCAAGTTCTGTCTGGTTAACGAACTAAAAAAAAAATAAGTAGAGTTACGGACTGATGCCATTGGACTGCCGTAAATACCTGCGCAGGAAAGTAAATTTCCAGGGCCTTGATGCCCACATTTTGAGGACGGGAAGACATTTGGATGTTTGTGACCAGACAGAACCATTAGGGATTCTAGCTGTATTTATATTGGTCCTTAGCGTTATCTTAGGAAACTAAGCGATATCAGCTCGGGAAGTTTCCCCATCAGGCATGCATATGTGGATATCGCAAATCGCCACTGGAATCTCCGGTAAAAGGGTTGCGGATACTTCCGGCATGCGGAGGTTCTGTAGTTGGCAAGGGTTTGCCATATTTTTAGACGCTGGATTATTTCTTCGATGATTCCATTCGCCGTCATGGTCGTGATATCATGCATTCTGACGTATATCATTGCTGGATGGCTGAGCTACCTGGTGACCGAAGAGGAGAAGCCGTGCATTCCGGGTCCTCGAAGCAGCGACCAATACGTGATGGCCAACAGAGAAATAGCTTCGGCAAGCACGGCAAAATTACCACGAGGGGCACATGGGCCTGCCCGAGTCAGGAGCTTCCATCAAGCAGCATTTGGGCCAATGAATGACAAGCATTCACCGCAAGGTACCTCCCGAGCACAGCAAGATGAAGAGGGGCATGGTAGAGAGCACACTAGCAATTCCCTGAGCAAGTAATTTCTCGAATGTTGCCAGCGTGGGGGAGATACACGTGAAACAATGCCATACTAATAAAATCCTGATGCGTTCTCTCGGCCGAAGCAGCAGCCACCAAGGACAACGAATTCACGATGAAGAAATCCAAACGGTAAGCGCTGGAGGTGTGAGAGAAAATCATTTGCCATAGTAGCAGAAGAGCTGCTGCATGCGCCTTCATAGTATGGGAGAGTAGTTGTGTTGAAGCTAGAAATCGTCCAGAATGCTTTGGGCCGTAAAAGTCAGCCGGAGATGCAGAGCGCAGTTATTTCCTTTTGTTTTTCTTCCCAGTAGTAGCCTCTCCATCATGCCTTGAGTTTCCAAATTGGTGTTTCAAGCTACATTGTTATAAGAGCGTAAGGTTGCACGCAGAGTATTGCTATCTGGCGTCCCTCTGCAATGCTGCTGTCTCACAAAATCATCCATGTGACTTCTATGAAGAGTATCCTTCCCGCTACTAGCTTAAAGACACCGTCTCGATTTCTCCATATCCGTCCACGGACCCTACCTTCCAGTCAGGTATGCAGCAAGGCCCAACGAAAACAAATTTGCCGGGATGTGAATTCTCGCTACGGAGAAGGACAGGATAGTCACAATCTCCTAGCAGGTAAACAACATCTCCTGGCTGAGCGGCAGCGGGTACCATCGCGCCGTAATAGCGGCCATCAAGATTCACGAAAGCGAAACGTCTCCGGAACGACTTTTGTCGGAAGTCGTTGATGAAGAGGATCACTCCCCCGACCTGTTTGCTGATGCCGACCTTGAGCGCTTCCTCTACTGACACAGGGTCGCGAAAGTTGACCCTGGGCTGTGCGAGGATGAGATAGCTGAGGACGTGGGCTGCGCTGTGCCCCCCCAGCACAAGCACGTCCCAGAACGAAGTCCTCCTAATGCCTAAACCCAGCTTAAATTCCAATGACAGCTCCATGCATGCATGCAGACGGGCCAGTAGGCCGATATCGTCAGCCGCATGGCAGTCGTCAAATCTGCTGGTCATACCATGCTCCTCAAGCACGGTGATTCTCCGGGCTTTAATCGAGAGGACTGAGTAGTCATCGGAGAATGTCGGCTTCTCGCACGGAAACCTGGCCTGCGCCTGCAAGGGGAATGTAGGCCAAGGAGAGGTCCCATCATCCTTTGAGAAGTCGGGCAACCAGGACGGGAACTGGTCTGACTGAGCAGGCTGGCTCGCGCACAAGATATTCAGGATACCACCATGCCCCTCCGGTGACAGTCTTTTTTGGGGATTCGGAGTGACACACCACTCGAACAGCCGAGTAGACACATCACGATGTGACAGATGATAGTCAACATAGATGGCCGGTCGCTGAGAATGGTCTGTAAGAAGACTCTCCGGGTCCACAAGGCCAAGGAGGCTGAAGATTTTATCTCTTGGGTCCTTGCATTTGAAATGCCGAAGTCGAAGGAGCATCTGAAAAAGCCATAACGGCCCCCTCTCATGCTCTGGATAAAGTCGATAAGTGGATAAATGACCAAGCGTGTCCAATGTTTGCGGCCTCATGGCCACCGTTCTGTCGCTGACCACCGTAGGTCCCTCTGTTTGGTTCATCATTTCTATTCGCTTCTGGACAAATGCTGCCATGGAGGATGTGACGCTTGTCCATGAGGCCGACTTTTGGCCACAGAGTAAAGTGATTTCTTTGGCTTTGAAGATCTCCTGCACAACCCAAGCTCTACTCCAGTAATCCCGCTCCAGCAGTGCCTCCAAAGCTCGACGTAGTCTGGCATTCTTTTCTTCGAACAGCCTTTCGCCAAAATCCTCCTGGCTTTCGTGTTTTTCAAACTCTTCCATGATCTTGTCACTGCCATGCGTCCCAGGGCCGAGCCACACCAGCACACGGTCGGCGCTTCCGTAGATCACCGGCATCAACGCAACTTGCTGTCTCTTTTCCTCGACATCATTCTGGTTGATGCACAGCGCGTCGATCCACAGGGTTCGCGGCCCGTCCTCTTGTCGTAAGTGCCGTAATGCGATGCCGAGATTGCGAGTGACGCTGATATCCGCTACGTTCCCGCCCTCGGCTTTGAGCTGGATGATGATCGGGTCTGCGTCGCTGCCCCACGTGTACGAGAGGCAATTGTACTCGAGAGATTCGTCACATTGAACTCGCTTGAGCTTGCAGACGATTGGGCTGTGCAGTGGTCCGGGAAGCAACTCGACCAGACGAATTTGGGAGGCGGATTCTAATCGGAGGTCGGTGAATGCTTGGTGATACTGGGCACTTTCGGTGGAGGTCATATTTGCATGACTGAATGCCTTGCTAGCTGAGGGTGATTTTAAATGCGTCAGTTGTGCAAAGAATGGAAGTGAGATCTGATTGAAGACGATTATTATAAGCTGACGGCGGGAATGGATTAAATACTGGAGGGCAGCAGCGGTGAATGTTGGCGCTATTCTAATGAGGAAATAATTAGCGGAATGCTGTCAGCATGACTAGTGAAGCCTTTAGCGTGCTTTGTAAGCTGTCTCCCAGCATTGTCAGCGTGTTTGCCATTGAGCCCATGCCGCCGCGTATTACATGCTTTCATCACCGAATGTAAAAGTTATGTGCAAACGAATGCTATATTGCTACCAAAAATCTCGAAAAGTGGTCTGTCAATCATAGTTGAAAAAGATCAATCGAAATGAACAAAATGCGACTGCGTGGGGAAATGCGTCCTGAACCTTGACAACTTGTCCTGTATGTCGTTATCCTCACTCCGACCCTTTCTTGGGCATATCTCTCCCACCGGACTCTTGTTGGTGACCTCTAGACCTCTCACTCTCCGGAGCGTCGAATGCCTCCTCAAATGCAACCGGCGGTGCTTTCAACCGTGGGTGCGTCCTCTCACTTATGTCCAACACGCCCAGCCTTTCCGCTCTCTCCGTTACTGGTACGTCTCTGTCGCAGTTGAGCCAGGTTCCCACGCCCAGCTCTTCATGTGCTAATCGCTGTAGCTGTAATGTTTCATTTACAGTCCATTCGAGGCGCTCATAGATATCCAAGTTGCGTCGGCGTTGTATGCATGCGACGAGGGGCTCGAGGGTGTACGAGAGGATAATTATAATACCCCCAATGATAATGATAGTAGCCAGGCCAAAGACCGAGAAGTTGGTGTAAGCAGTGCTGAGGATTTTCTGCGAGGAAAGAGGACGAGGGTACACGTCAGTTCAGAATGACTGCTTCACTTGTGCATTCTCTTCTTTAGTTATTGATGGAGAATGGGCTGGCTCACCTGATTTCTGCACATCCGCTTTTGTATGTTAGATTCGGGCCTGGAAATGAAGTTGTTCATTCTTGGATCGGAGGGACCGCTAGCCAGTTCGACGCAGCTTTGTTGTATTGATGCTAGACTGATGTTAATCCATTTCTCGACGTCGACCTGCCATTGATTTCTCGCTAGCGGTCCTACAATCCCTCCCCAAAGGTGGGAAGGTGACTCCAGTACCTCAGGTCCTAAAGCTTGGACTCAAGACGCAACAGTCTGAGTCACCACCAAGTAAAAAATCCAGTAAAAATAATCGTATGTTTCGGTTCCATGCCACCATTTCCGAGCAAGACGGTATATATCATGCATTGATGACAGCTCGCTACACTGCTTCGCCGCTGGTGAATCAGATTTGCAAAACTGGTACTGTTGCACGAGTCCCATGGGAGAGGCTGGCTCAGCGCTCCAGTACACAGGCATTGACTCGTTCGGGTTGAGGAGAAAGAGTGAGATATCGGTGGCATAGTTGTTCGCAGCATACCAGAGGTCATCTGATTGTTCGGAAAATAGTAGGGTATCCAAAGATAGGAAAGCAATGGTGATATCTGCATCAGTGCGTTCGAGCTCTTTGATGGGTGTGAAAGTCGATAGCTGCAGGTTTGTAGACCCGTTTTCGTAGAACGCGATACGAGCCCTACCAGGCTACGTATAAGTATATCTTTAGAAACGCATGTACTTGTTAATTACTCACTCTAGCTCCATCCGTGGTCGCGCACTCATAGAGTCTTCCTCAATGAACCGATCCTTCTGGATATCAATGTGCTCATACGTATAGATAATTGGAACCAATGCTGGGACCAAAGTAATATCGGACGTACGGGGTGCTACTGTTGGTACCAGAACTTGCGACCTTTCTCTTGAAGCCGTTAGTCTTTAATGGTGCGGATTGTATAACCGTTCGAAACTGGAATCGCGGGCCTGATGGTGCGTTTAACCCAAGATCATAATGACTGTCTAAGAAGCCGGTGTCCAGAAGGAGATTTGCATCTTGGCTCTTACAAATATCACCTGGAAACGGGCATGTAGCGTTCCGAAAGACCTTCAAGCTGAGATTGCTCCGGATGAAGATATTGCAGCTTTGGGTATTCGGAAGGGGAGGGTAGCATTGTTGTGCGTAGTTGGCGTTCGAAGTCGCTAATCTCGAGACGTATGGCTCGTATACGGTCAAATAGTCCTTCGCCTCAGTGGTGTAGGGATCGAAGTTCGGCATGCCGCAATTGTGGCCCGAAAGGAGTACTGCGTTCCCAGCAATGGTTGATATCCGGGATGAGAACGTGCTCGCCACAGCGAAGGCTGCAAGGGTCAGGCAGCTGAAAGCCAGCAACGGGAGGATGCGACGGTAGTACTGGACACTAGGCTGGGATTGATCTCTGGACCGGGCTTTGCGCCAGGCATCAAAGACCAGGAACAAGCTGGTAATTCCAGTAGTCGTATTTGCCGCGTTACGAAGGATGGCTTGCCGTTGATGATATAATGCATCGCGTGGAGCTTCCGTAGAGTAGAAGTAGTGCAGCGCAAAACAAGAGATTCGCCATAAGCTTGTGCCAACGATAGCCACGAAAAGAGAGAGGAATGCAATCAAAAGGCCTCCATGGGTACTTGTAGTTGTAAGTGTTGCGCCGAACACTTTGCCGTGCGACCAATCAACCCAGACGCCCGTGTAAATGTTGTAACTGGATGTTTCTGGAGAGGCTGCCATGCTGGATGTTGGAGAAATCGGTATGGCGTGTAAAGGCTAGCAGCGCACAATTAAATACTATTTATGCGTTACAAAGAGTTCTTCAGCCGCTCCATAGCATTATCCATAATGATGGCTGCCTGGAATATGTGTTACGAAGAAACCATCATGATTGGACGCCTGTATTCACATCAGTGCCACCCGTTCCGAAGCTATCGAGCCAAGAGAAGGCACTGAAATGCCGCTGAGGTCACATATGAGAACTAGTCTACTGCATATCCAATTACGTGGTACTGTCATATTACACGAGGGCCTGTCAATCAACGTTATATTACAACAGCCGTGTCCTGACACCTATCAAATGCTGCTTAGCCTCCATAGGTGGCGGATCGAGGTTTCGCGGGGTACGCCACACGACGGCAGCTGAGCAGACTAGTACCACGGACGTGCGGAAACACGCGGTCTTACCCGCCGGTGCTGGTGGAGTCAAGGACAATCGTCCTCGTTACTGACTTGGTTATTGCTTTAGGCTAATGTTGATAGAGGCGCAGCTGTGGAGGAACTACATATCTAGGTCTGCACTGGATCAAATACGGCGTCTCTCATGGGTTCCGCATGCTTGGCTGTCGTACTTTGTCTCACTTTTCCACCTCGCACAATTGCCTCCCCATAGCCTCATCGCGCGCACTTTGCGAAATAGGACATGATTGTTCAAAATACACGTCCGTGTTCCGCCTCTAGCTAGTTAACATTTAGATCAAAGCAGTCAGACCAAAATAGCTGGACCAGTTGTTCTGGATCGAAGGTGTTGAATCATGTTGTTCCATGGTGGGTCCTGCACGTGACGTGGGCGCTTACACAGTAGCATTAGTGGAGCGAACGCGACCGACCCGCCCTTCCGAATATGCGCGCACCCCAGTCGGTGCCGGAGTTTCTAGCTACATGGGGTAGTTGCGGGCGGCTGTGCCGCATCGCTTGAGAGATTAAGCGCCCTTCAGCCTTGCAGTTCTGTGCTACAGAAATAAGATAGCTCGCTCTGGCCCCATCACGGTTCTTACAGCCTCTCTTTCTTCCTTTCACATCTTTTACAGTGTCGCAGCAGGCCTGCATTCCACCCAGAGCTTCCCTATCGTAACCCTAGCCGGAGGATCCGCCTTCAGCGTGCAGTCGCTTCAGTTCAGGCCTATAATTCTACTACTGTTCCCCCCACCCTTAAACTATGCCAACCGCAGCATCCAAATGCTACTACCCAGACGGCAGCGTAGCCAATGGCTTGCAACCGTGCATCAACGCCACGAACACCGACTCCGACTCGCACGCAGCCTGCTGCGACCTTTCCACCTCCGTCTGCACCACCACAGGCTACTGCTTCGCCGACACTGGTTACCTCTACCGCGGAGGCTGCACGGATAAAAGTTGGGACGACCCCTCGTGTGCGGCAAAATGCAAAAATGGTGCGTAAAAGAAGTCCTCAATTCCGAGGGAAGAGAAATAAGAGCAACAATTTTTTGGTATCGAACAACACCATGCTGACGCTTATCGAACACAATCAACAGACAACCCAAGCGGCTTCTCCAACATCTACCAGTGCGTCGCCGGCCACTGGGACCTGGACCACACGTCCTGCTGCGGCGGCAACACGCAGACGACGACCAGCTGCTGCGAGGAGGCCGACGCCAGCTTCTCCCTCCTCCCCGGCACGCCCTTCGGCGCCCTCGAGGCCTACGAAGCCATGCTGTCTTCCGCTTCTTCTTCCTCTACCTCTTCCGCGTCCGCGACGGCAACAGCCTCGACTCTCGCTTCTACGACCACCGTCACCGCCTCGGCAACAGCGTGCGCGACATCATCGATAGCAGCAGCAGCGGGTAGCAGTTTTGGCGGTGGCGCGAGCGGGGCGACGGTCGGCGCGGCGACGGGCGCATCGCTGGGCGCGCTGCTGATCGCGTCACTGGCCGCCTTGGCGCTGCGTGAGCGCCGGTGGCGGAAGCGGCTGGATAAAGAGCAGCAGCGGCAACAGCAACAGCAGCAGTATGCTGCGTTCGGGCAAGGATATCCGGGGGGCTTGCCGAAGCAGCCGTATATGACCAGCGAGGCTGACGGGCAGCAGCTGGTCGAAGCTGGGGTTTATGAGAGGGGGGTTAATGAGAGGGGGGTTAATGAGAGGGGGGTATATGAGATGGAGGGGAATGGGGGCGGGAGGGTGAGGTGGTGATTCTTGTCGCCATTGCTGGTGTTTCGGGAGAGGCGGTGCGTGTGGGCTGGGAGTAAATGTGCATATGTAGTGTATAATAAGGGGATACGGTATGGGTTTCGGGTATTGATTGGGACCGGCGACGGCTAGTTTTTTTGAGGGACGACGAAAATGTGGCATCAAGGCAACGTTGATATGCGGAAATGAAGTAGCCTCTACAGGCGTTTGGGTTACTGACTACACTTCGAACGCCTGAACGTCATCCAACAATACCATGGTTGTTGTCAACCTCGAGAATGCAGCATTAAACAATGACACTGTTACATACACTGTAAAATTCATTCTCGTGATAACATTTCAAGATTTCAATTAGGGTCCGATCAGCCTTGTGTTGGGCTCTTCACACTACGGACCGCCCTCCACACCTCGAACGGGACGCCACTGCGGCGCCACCCGTGTGCAACTTGCCAACAACGGCTACATCGCACTAGCAGATGTCAGCCGCCGAGAAGCAATATGGTACCATACCCGCTCTCTTGCAGAAGCCTCTGTGGTTGAAAACGTGGCCAAGCAAAGTGTTTCTGAGGTCAAGCTCCAGTGACCGATGCTTCATTAACAGCCAAAAGGTTGCCTGGTTACATGTTCACGCGGAACCTGTTTAATGAACCGACTTTCTGGTATTCTCGTGCAATTTAAGCAAGGCGTTCCTTCCATTCCCAGACGAAAGTGCTCTCAGACAGCCGAGGTGGACCGTCATGTAATACAATCTTCTTTCCTCACACAAGACATCTTTCCAATTGAGACGCTTGCAAGGAATTAAAAGATACCATTTCCATTCACCTCCGTCTCCGCCATTCCACCCCAGCTGTCTACTGACACTAATACTATACTGCTCAGTCTCTGTAGAAGAGGCATCAGGGAAAAGGCAGGATGTGTCACACGAATGGCAGTTGAGAAGACTGCAATGGAAGTACGGTAATACTAGGTTTCACCACTCTAAGCTGGTGCACCCAATGGAAAATATCCCTCGCCATTGAGCTAGCCGTTGCGTGGAGTTGCGAGAGCGGCGAATTTGTGATGCAACTGCATATTCGGCCACCTGAATGCGAGAAGATAGCTGGAGGTAATGCCAGTTCATTGACGAGCTTGTTAGGATGGATTGGCAAGCATCAACATTTATCTAAATCATTGGAAAGCGTGGTTGATTCGTGGTGCGTTCGTAAGGGCCGGCGATTTTGGCTCCGATGACCAGGATCATGTTTGTTATCACACCATGAATGAGGGTCCTAAAAACATATGATCAAGATGAACTCGGTTAAAAAGTATTGAGGGTCAACAACAATGGCACAGTGGCATAGGAAGTTAGCAAAGATCCTGTAGGATATTCCGCAGTATTGAATTCCCCAAAATACTGCAAGGGTTTGTTCTAGAGCAGCAGGAAATACGGACCCATCCTCGAAAACCGGCCACGGTGTGCGACACATCCGTAGCGATTGGCGGAGCGTTGATGGGGCGAGAAATCCTTCGCTGCAACCGAAGCTTGGCGCCAGGAACAGGACGAACGAGCTGGTAGTAGAAAGGGGCTTCGTTTTCCTGCGAGTGGTTGAAGATTCGAAGCCGAATGGGAATGATGCAGATAGCCGTTAAAGCATGTCGAAATAAGGTGTTGATCAGCGAGCAGCGGCCAATGAAGGCTTGCGTAATCGGCGTTGGACAAGCTTTGGTCGCGGGCGCTCGGTTGGGGCGTGCCGGGGATCTTTCGACAATCTCGTATCCAGCTGGCCAACTCAATCAGCGCGGAACTTCGGGAGTCTTTCGAGCGTCCGAAAAAGGATACGCCCCGGCCCAGACGTGTGACTGAGAATTAAGCACCAGGACATGCTTGTTTCCTGGCCATGTTTGGATATCTCATAAAGTGCCCCCAATTTCCTCTTCTTCGAGTGCAAGCCACACGGATTTGCAAGAACATTTCAAGAGCAATGGCACCGAAGATTATTCAGCTCGCCGCGTTGTCGGCCCTGGTGGGTTTCGTTGCTGGCCAGAATGCAACATGTAACTTTCGCGTTCCAACCCGCCTTCCCTGTGATCTGGCTTGGCTGACCATACATACACAGTGTGCTCCAGCGCCGCGACCAAAACCATCAGCAGCCAAGACGACGCCGACAAGCTTGGCGCAGCTTGCCCAACATTCACTGGCAACGTCCTCCTCGTCGACGGGCCGCTCTACTCACGCGTCGCGTTGAACGGCATCGAGGAGATAACAGGCAAGCTCACCGTACACGACTGGATGGAGGCGAGCAGCGACTCGCTCGTGCGCATCGGCGGCAACTTCGAGAACATCAACTCGTACACGTGGGATATCATCTTCCCGGCCCTCGAGTACGTCGGCGGCAGCATCATCTTCACCGAGGAGGACCAGTACCGATCGAGCTTGCAACGCGCCCTGTTCCCGAGCCTCAAGCAGGTCCATGGCGACCTGCTCATCACCGGCAACCACTACTTCCAGGAGCTGCAGGCGCCGAACATCGAGCACATCAATGGCCTGTTCAAGATGGTCAACCAGCAGCAGATTGCGAATGTGACGATGAACAAGCTCGTGACCGTCCAACCGGGTGGAATCCAACTCGCCGGTTCATTCGGAGAGTAAGCCAGAACTCCTGACACGAAGGACCACTTATCACGTTCTAGTACTAACAGGGACCTACCTTTTTCTCTCTAGCGGCATATACTTTGACTCTCTAAAATCTGTCTACCCCAGGTTCAGCATCGTGTCCACGGGCTCCGGAAACTGCTCCGAGTGGGACGCGTTGCGCCAACCCGGCGGCGCACTCGCCAACGTCAACTACTACCACTGCCAGGGCGGCTGTGAGCGCCTCTACGGCGAAGAGTGCTACTGCCCGGGAGCCAACTACCCATCTCAAAGGTCAGTAATGAGAGTGACAGGCTCTTTCTTCTCCGCATTCCTACCCGGCGATTACCGCAACTTCTTCTGACTGGTCCCGACAGCTGTTAATTCCTACTTATCGATCGACGATGATGACGGCATTTCTATCCCACGCAAAGCTTGGGAGAATGGAAAATTCTTTAGATTGAAGTTACTCGGAGAGCGGGTCCTGTTGACTAAAAGCCTAGTCTTGTTAGATCTGGCAGTAGTGACGTGGGTATCATGAATTCTAACGTATATCTAAGTAGACCTGGCAATTAAAATGTGTAATTCATTAGGAGAAACTCCATCTTCATCTAGCAATACACGAGGAAATAGGACATGCTGATGCACAACTCCGGGCATTCAATGCAAGGGTATGAAACAGGGAGACGAAAGAAAAAGAAACAATACGCCACTCTTCGTATCCACGTTAGTACGCCAAACCCTCGCTAAACTACCTCACAGTGCTACCATAATACCCCCGGTTGTGCGTCTCAAAATACGCACTGTCTTCACCGTACACACCGTGGTGGTTCTGTCCCCCGACATATGCGTCGTCCGCCTCACGCCTCTCCCGTCCGAAGCCATACGAATCCGGATGCGCAAGCATTTGACTGATTCCCTTCGCCACCTGCATGACGGACAGCAGCAGCAGCAGCGAGAAGAACGTCGTCAGCACCAACTCCGCAATCCTTTGCGCCATGAACGCATGGCTGAGCACCGACCGGCTGGTAACCCCAAACACATCAAAAAACGCAAAAAACGTAATCACAACCCCATACGCAAACAGCGACCCGCACAGCGTCCACCCCCACCCCTTCAACCCCCCCGGCACCGTCCGCCACCGGCTCGTCGCCGCACTCAGCGCATAGGCAATCCGACTAGCAGCAACGACAGCAACAACGAACCAGCACGTCGTAATCGCCATGTACACGTAGATGTACTGCGGGAACGCGGAAAAACTGCCGCGCGAGTAGGGCCGGTTGTAGTTGTCGATGGCGGACTGGTAGGCCCAGATGAAGAGCGCGAGGAAGACGACGGTGAACAGCGCCATGAACGCCTGCAGGCAGCCTGCAGCGTTGTACCACGTGCTCCTGCCGATGTCACCGGGGTCGCGTAGCCGGTCGAGGCCGCGCGGGATGGCGAGGAGGACGGTGGCCAGCAGGAAGTTCTTGGCGATCCAGAAGAAGACTTGCGCGACGATGCTCATGCGGTAGGCGTCTACGATGGTGAAGCTGTCGGCGCAGCCCATCATGAAGAATTCGATGAAGATGATGATGATGTAGCTGGGAGGGGGATGGTCAGCAGGGGTCGTTGGGTAGGTTTGGGGAGGAGTGGTCCGGGCTTACAGGAGCCAGAAGTGCAGCGTGATGCCAAAATTGTGCCATTTGAGGACTTCGAACTGGTTTGGGGTTCTTCCCTGTGCTCTGGCCCACATTACGAGCAGGATGATCAGAGACACGATCTCGAGGGCTTCGACCGCAACGAAGGCTCGGCTGTATTCATCGTCGAAGAGGCCATAACATGCCCAAGAAGTGCCGGAACCGTAGCGTGGCATGGTCGAGATGTTGCTCGAGGGAAAACGCAAAAGCGCGAGTCCAACACCAAGGCACGCCGCCGAGAGATATATACATGTTCCTGTGGGGGCTGAAGACCTTCAGGAAGCGACGTGACACCGCACACTTGCACGATGGCGGTGTTGCAGGACAGGCGAGTAGGCACAAGCCACACGAAGCCGGCGCCCGATTGGCTGCGCCCTGCCAATATTGCTCGATGCGGATACGAGGGATTTTTAGACCGAGCTTGGCGACAGCCACCGCAGTGCCGTTGCCGGGCGCATGATCTCCATTCGAACTGCCAACCGGCCACAAAATCCGGGCCCTCACTATATTTAGCTGCGACAGGCCCAAAATCCGCCTTGGCCAGGCAGCAGTGGTATGATGGAAGCAGCCTCACGCCGGTCAGGAAATTCGGGATTTGCCCAGGCGCTTAAGGTTGTATTTAACCGCAATTTTCGGCTACAGCCGAACCACGTGTGCCATGTGCGAATGGCCGGGAATAACTCTAACAATCTCACTGCCTTATTGCCGTTGAGCCATCGCTTTCATCCAAATTTGCTACGCCATCTCCAATTCCCTTTCTTCTGACTCACTTTTGTGTTGGCAATTTTGGTTCACGTCTCACAGTCACAGATTGATTTTGTGCAATGTTGGTTCCTGACTGTGGCAGACATGGCCATCTGTGTTTCTGCTGCGCCCGTCGCTAAGCAATACAAAATATTCCCATGTGCTCTCTCCGTTGTCCAAACCGCCGAATTAATTATGCAATGAAAGAGAATCTACCCCGCCCAACCTCTCATGCTATCACCAATTATACGAACTAAAATTGTATGGAACACAAGTACCCGAGTCATCGTATTCACCATTCGGACACCTCATAAACCTCATCCCCTGCGTAACGTTGACAACCATAGAAAACTCCATCCCTCTAACGACCTCAAAGAACCAAGGGGCGTCATCCCCTTCTGTAACGGCGTAATACACTGGTGAGTCGTATTTGGGCATAAGCGCTCCTGTCGGTCGTAGCACCCACGGCATCATACCATCCTCATAGGCCTTCGCCATCTCTTCAATGTCGGCGTAGTCAACGTCAATCATGGCCGTCAGTTGGGGCTTGTACGGATACGGAAGCAGGAAGTTGGTCAGGTTGCCCTGTCCGAGCCTGGTCTCGGTGCCATTCTCGTAAATGTCCACCTTGAGCGTCAGACCCGAGGAACTGTCGTAATAATTCCTTCCCTGCTCGACTTGGGGCGTGTTAGGACCCGCGATGAGGCCGCCTGCGGTATAGCCCTGGAAGTTGAAGAACCGGGGATACCTGGTCCCGTCTCTTTCGATCTGCTCGGGGTCGCTCAGGTTCCACATCTCCGGCCAAAATATATCGTAGCGGCTGATTCCGCCGAAACCTGCGCAAATATCAGCTCAGGGCTTCTAGGAAACGGGGAATCGGACTCACCGGGCATCATTATCTTCTTCTTGAAATGGACCCTGTACTTGGGCAGGTACGTGTCGATTTTCACTTTCGTACTTCCTTCGATCCACACAAAGAATTCCTTTTGGTTGATCATGCGTTTGAACACCTCCACTGATAATTCGTCGTCGTAAAGGAGGCCTTCAATGCTTTGAAAGACTTTGGGCTGCCAAATAAGCAACCAAACGTCATAGACCTTTGTGAACTGCTCTGTGGCACCCTCCAGTGTGAATGTCAAGCTTCTGAATTCGTCGAAATTCAGGTACTTATACTGGCTATCGTTGTTCCACAAGGCGTCACTCCAGTCGAACCGGGCGGTTACATCAAAAGTTGTGCCAGTAAAGATTGTCAGGTCCAGTGTGGTGTTGGCTCCACGCTCAAATTGCAAGGCATTGACAATCCCCTGTGCGCGGGCTTTCATGATGCCGTAGATGCTGTCAATGGTCAGCTTTGACGGTCAGTGGGGACAGAGCAGCTCACGTCGCAACTACGATGGCAGCTGCAAGGATTACTGAGGCAAGCATCAGCCACTTCCGATGATCTACCACCCATTGCTTCCACGGTGGCAGCGGCTTCGCCAGCGCAGGATCCTTGGCCGTGTACGGTGGCGGCTTCAAGACGTATGCGGGAGGCGGTTCCGACGACTCAGTGCTTCTGGGTCGATACACGCCTGCTGCTCTATCATCGTCCAGATAGTCGTATTCCTGCAAGTTTGCAGTACTGTTGCTCGGTCCGGCCTCAGCAGTAGTTGGCGACGCGACATTCGCCAGTTCAACATCCTGTGCGCCCGGTCCTGAGGTATGCGGTTGCACCGTCATTATGGGAGATGGTTCAGTCAATGCGGCCGTGAAGTGTCATCAGGGATAGTTCTGCCGATAGGGAAGCACCCGGATTGTGGGTGTCAAAACGGTGTGGAGAGAAGCCTTCGCAAGTACCTGCGGCAAAGTCCCAAGGCGAGCCTTTTATCTGGGTGGACATGCAGGCCTATCGGCAGACGCCACGAGCTAAATCTGTTTTCAGGACTATGGCGCTTGTCGCTTCCAAGCAATACGACCGTTCGGCTGATCAGAATCCTTCCCGCCAAGCTTAAGCTTATCATTCAACCAGCCTCGCCAAAAACCCACGATAAGTCGATCTGCAACTCTGCCGTGAGATTTATTCTATTTTTCATCTTCTTCTGCTTCTTTTGCAAGTTACAAAATAATTTTCCGAAAGGTAACATTCTTGTACTTGAAAGAACAATTCGATGTTCTGATTTTTTCTTGCATGCCGCGGTTCCTGCGTGAGCCTGCCTAGGCGAGAGGTCTCGTATTCATGTTCTGGCCCCGTAGGATGCATCTGCATCAGCCACAATTCGGGCACTCGGAAGCCAATTGTCTCGTGAGAACGAAAACGTGGTAATATGCACGATTGCTTGTTCTAAAATTTACCACGTACCGATCACCAATAGAAAAGCGCATGATGGTCCCGACTGCCCCACATGATTCTCCACGTTCCACCTGCATTCTGGAAATACATCTGGAAGCTTAGCTGGAAATGCCATTTAATATAGGCAGCATGCCTACGAATGGACAGAGAAACTGAAGTACTGCGTCGTCAAATGCCACGAAATTCTTCCGCGGAGAATCTACCTGGAGATAGTACCTTGTGCTCAAGGCCTATTCTATTTTTGTTTACGTGGACGGTATCTAACTATTTAACCCTCAAAATGCCCCAGACATGATTCTGAGAAGACCGTAATAACCTTAGAGAAAGCGTTTGCAAACCGCTATTGACCACGTTCATCGAGTCATGCCTACAGATATGACAAGCTGAACAACAGCGGTCGGCCCGTGCTCCTTCGGCCCTGACTTACCCAATACGGCCCCATTACCTACCGTAAACAGCAAGGCCTCGGCATCCTTCGCGGCTGCCTAGCGGCGGTACATCGAACCATTCCCGCCTCCACCAGGTCCATGCGTTTGTAACCGCACGGCAGTTTTATCGTGGGTCCACGATCTCAAGCGATCACACGTTAGTAGCATTGGAAAAAGGCCAATGCACTCAGAAGCGTTCAAAACGATGCAAAACGCTACTTTCCCGCTTTCCACTTTACCCTGCATCCTCCGGCGCAATCACCTTCCATAACATCAAACCAATCATGCGCGCAACAACGACCCTCCTCTTCGCCGCCGGTGCCGCCGCCGCCACCCAAACCACCACCGGCAACCTCACCACCACAATCTTCGCCAACTACCTCATGGGCTTCGGCGCGCCCGTCGCCTCCATCATCGCCGCCGACCCCCCCTCCGCCGGCGGCGCAGTAACCTACCTCCTCTGGTGCGGCGACGCCTACGCCGCCGAGAACGGCGGCTCGTGCGACTGGGACTCTCCGGGCATCACATTGACGGCCGGGCCGTCGACGTACGCGTGGACGCAGGCCGTCGACCCGGAATCCGTCACGATCCCCATCTCGCAGGTCGTCGTCGATTGCAAACTCGAGGGAACGACGAGGGCGGTGTGCACGCGGCCGAACGATGTCGACGTGTGGAGCGGCGGGAAGTACGTGAGCCGCACGATTACGGAGACGGCGACGGCGGACACGCTGACGGGGAGCGTGATGGACTTGATGTGGGGGCCGCTCACGGTGACGGCGGGGCTGGAGAAGTTGGCTGCTGCTGCTGCGGGGGCAGCTGCGACGACGACGGCGGTGGATACTGCGGCGGCGGCGGCGGCGACGAGTAGCACCACCAGCGGGACGGGGAGCAGCAGCAGCAGCACCACGGTGGTACAATCGACATCGACGTCGGGGGCTGCGGTGGCGAGTCGGACGACAGGTGGGTGTGCGGGAACCCTGTGGTTAAAGTATGGGGTTGGCTGATGTGTGATCGCAGATACGCGTATTTCGGAGGCTTCTAACACAGGAACTGCTTCCGCGGCAGCGGCTTCGTCGACCAACGGGGCTGTTCGGTTCGATTTGTCTTTTGCCGCTGGAGCCGCGGCGCTGTTGGTTGGAATCGTGGCCCTGTGAAGTGGAGGTCAATTGCATGAAGAAATAATCCTTCCGAAGTTTATTTAAGACACATGGTCTTGGGATCGGATGATTGGACTGACTGAAATGGCAGTGTTCCCAGGCATCCGACCCGGAGGGCTGGATAGGCCGGAGAATAAGTGGGTGTGGGGTCGCGCATTGAGTATCGATCTTCATGAACTTAACCGGGGCCAACAAAACGTGTATAATTTAGGGCTGGGCAACGGATGGCATTTTCCTGTTTAAATAGGGCTGAGTCAGAGCAGATTTCCTGATGAAGTGAATGGAAATTCCTAATAGAGTGAATGGAGGAAGAGGGCTTCCAGTATTTCAGCAGCGTGCCGTCCGCGGTTCTAGTCCAGTCATGAGAACATCCACTTCGTTCAGCAAGCGGCAGAGCAACATGAATGGAACAACGACTCCAAGAGAGACCAGAACGATCCAAGTAATCGACGCCGAAAATGACCCACCGGAGGAAATAATCCCCCTCAGCGACCTCGACAACGTCTATGTGAGGGTATACGTCCCCATCACTTCGACCTACAAGCTCGACGATGACGTTGACCGGGAGCTTGTCATCGAGAATCTATGCAAAGGACTGCAGACGACAACAAAGGAGTACCGGTTCCTCGGTGGCCACGTCTTCGAGGGCCCAGATGCAAAGTCCTTCGTCAAACGCAGCCCCGCCTGGCCCACCCTCACCCTCCACATCAACCACCTCGAAGCCACCTCCTTCCCCAGCTACGCCGACCTCGAGCGCCGCGAATTCCCCTTCTCGGACCTCAACGAGCGCCACATGGCCCCGGACTTCACCCTCCCGGCCGACCCCAAGACCGCGCCGCCGGACCAGGGCCTGCCCACCATCCTCGCTCAGCTCAACTTCATCCGCGGCGGCCTCATCCTCGGCACAGCGCTGCACCACCAGTGCGTCGATGCGAAGGGCGTCGACGTCGTGCTGGCGCGCTGGGCCGCCAACACGCGCGCGCTCTTCACCGGCGTGCCGGCGCCGCCCTTCGACCCCAGCTGCCTCGACCCAACTCCAATGAGCTCCAAGACGCCCTTAGCTCCAGAGCGGATCCCTGAGGTCGAGCGCCGCATCCGCTCGTTCAAGTACGTCCCCGTCCTGCCGCACAGCGGCGAGTACGCGGCTCCCGTGCAACTAGCCCAGTCCATCTTACACCTGCCGCGCAGCCGCCTCGCCGCGCTGAAGGCGTCGGCAGTCCCGCCGCAGCATAGAGAGGCGGCGCCGGCAGCGGCAGCGGCGGACAAGTGGGTCTCGACCAACGACTGCATCACTGCGCTACTGTGGCGCTGCATGACGCGGGCACGCCTCCCCTCCCCCTCCGCCGCCTCCGCCGCCGCCGACCCGGACAACACGTCCGTCCACATGCACATGGCCGTCGACATTCGGCCGTACACGGACCCGCCGCTGCACGGCTCCTACCCGGGCAACGCCGTCAGCGTCTCGTACGTCTCGTCACCCCTCTCGTCTCTCATCGACCCTTCCCCCTCCGCGTTCGCGGCGGCGGCGCAGGCCATCCGCGCCACCGTCGACGCGTGGCGGGCGCCGGGAATGATCAAGGACACGCAGGACTACCTGGCGTCGTTTCCGGACGACCCGGCGGGGGTAAGGCAGACGTTTACGTTTGCCCCCGGGCAGATCGCGACGATTGTGACGAGTTGGAGTGTCATGGCGGCGTATCGGGAGCATGATTTTGGGTGGGGTGGGTTGAGGGCGTTGAGGTTGGCGACGGGGGCGTTTAATAATACTTTTTTTATTTATCCGAGGAGGGTGAGGGAGGGGAGGCAGGGGGAGGATGAGGGGACGGAGGTGTTTGTGGCGATGGAGAAGGGGGATATGGAGAGGTTGAGACGGGATCCGGAGTTGTTGAGGTGGGCGGAGTTGAGGGCTTGTTGATGGCAACGCCCGAAGAGCTCCGTGTAGCGGGTGGATGGGAATTCGATACCGCTCGGGAATCGTTTGCATGAGTGTTTATCATACATACCCTGTCGCTGCTGCTGCTACTACAACAACTACTACTATTTTGAATCAAATTGATGCAAGACAGTATTTTGAAAAACGTGAATACCAGTAATGAGTTATCTTCACAAGAGTAAATACACACCATCTATAAAACTGAAATACTCAAACGAGGGAGTGTCTGATAAAGGTTGAGTGTCGCATTCTGAGATCCTCTATGGTCCTCTTGATATACTTAAATCTGTATATTGTACACAGAGTTACATCAAATAGATCGAAACCGTGCTCCATGTCCGATAGTCTCATGACACAATCATAGTGTCGATGCCATGCATCGATTCTGGGAAGCGACAACGCTTCCCCATACATTTGTCCCCAAAAGGACACTGATGTCCCAAAATGCACTGTTGACTGTCACACGCAAGTCCGCTCCTGCATGGAGTCAGCCTCGCAACATGCGCGAGAGCATTCAGCTCGTCTCCACTCAGTCTCGCCCCATGGTGGTGAGTGCAATTCTCGAAGCGGCATTCGCCAAAGAGGTGGAAGAAATTGCAAAGCTTGCGTTTCTGTAGCATCTTTGCTAAGTGTTGGGAGTACTCCAAATGACGGTCGATCCTTTGACCCTGCGCATTTCGGGCAATTGGCTGCCATATCGGAGACGGAATTTTGCTGTCTTGAATGGGGCTGGCTTGCTGCGGAACGCCTGCCGCAGCAACAGCTGCGTATCTGGGCGGGCTGCCATACGGAGGGCTTCGTGGACGGGTCGTGAGTTTGCTGGACCGGAATATTGTTGGAAAGGAGTGTGTAGGGAAAGCCTCCGTCAAATGCAGAAGCTCACTGGCGAACGGTGGTCCCTCTACAAGGGTCACGAGTTGTACCGCATCTTTGTCCGCCTTCAAAGGCGCAAGCAGCCGAGCATATCCATTGTCGGCTGAGCACGCAAGCAGGATGTGCTTGCAGTGGACGTTGGATATATTTGAGCGGAAAGTCTCTGGAGAATAGTCAGTGCGATCGTCTGTTAGCGGGTTTGGTTTATCAGCCTTACCTTTAAGTTTATCGTCAGAGCATTCTTTTCCGTCGCCGGCATCAATGAAGTCACACATCGGATGACCCATATTAAACCCACGCATGAAAGACCAAATATCTGACGGATCAAACAGAATGCCTGCGTTGTAGTATGCTTGGCCCAGGCCCTTTACGTTTGCATAGATGCGGATGTGAACAGAGATTCGGGCTGGAGCGTAGGCAACGTGTTCACTGAGAAACTCCCTGACACCATTAACAAGCATACCAGCTGATTCGGTACCACCAGTAACACCCCGTCTGATGTGCTCGTCCTTGAACTGTACACTACCGTCAGAGTAGCCGAGTAAGGTTCCGACTGTTGTTTGATGACTTACTAGGACACAGTCTCCATCAACTAAAACAGAAACATATGCGCCATCGTCCTGCATTCATATTCAGCTGCCGGCTGTATTTTTAAGTGGATGAAAAATACTCACGTGCTTTTGCTGCAATCTGTTTATCAAATCCTCACTCTTTTTGAATCTGTCAAAGTGATCTTTAGCCTCAAAGTTGGCACGCTCTGCTTCGAGCTTCAATCGGTTCACTTCGGCCAAAAGGCGGTCATTATCCTCACACAGCTCCTATACATCTGATTAGCTTGTTCTTTGGCTCGCATGAGCACTCTCACCTCTATGAATTTGTCTCTCTCGCTCTCAATTGCTTTCCATTCGTCAACCTTTCTTAACAGTTGCATCTTCGACATTGCTACGCCAAACAGAGGTGATGAACTTGATAGATACCAGGCGCAGGCGATACCATTGAGGTGGCCTGTGTTTTAAACACATATAAATACTCGAGTTTAGGGAACGGGAGCTCAAAAATGTGGCGATCCGGGGGCGCGGTACTGCTGTGCCGCACCACGCGCGCGCGTGCATGCAGTTGCATGGCGCAGCTTGCATCGCCACAAACACTGGGTCTGCATGAAACATCGGCAGCGTCCATTAACGCCGCGTGATCATACATCATACCGTGGAACCAGCTATGCGAATGGATTTTTGTTGGATGTGGGGGCAAAGAAACGCGAAGCGGCACGGTGTGTGTCGTGTGATGCTGGACTCACTAAAATAGTGAGTGACTGCGCAATCTATTTCTAAAGTAAAGATTCTGCGCCGCATGCGCCCGAAGCTCGCTTGAAGCGCTGATCCAGTGAAGCAGCGTTCTATACTTGTATGCGCAGGCTGTTTCAAGAAGCACTTTTACAATGCCAAACGGAAGTTGACTTCCGAGCGCATTAATATTTCAGCCAGTGCTGTTTCTAACCTCCTTAGAATCGGCAAGATGCAGTCTTTAATCATCCTTCCCCACTGCAGAAATCATCAGCTGTCTCCAGTAGACATGCATGTAAACACCTTCTCGATTTCCCGGTACATAACTCCTCAGCTTATCTGGATCCGACGGCCTTGAACACCAGCCATTCAAGACGAGAACTTAATAAGTGCAGATCTGGATAGAAGGTGGAGTTCGCCCAGTTTTCCAGCTGTGCTTAAGCAATCAGGGACTCAGAGGTAGGTTATTCGAAACGAATGAACAATAGGGTGCTAAAGAAAATGCAGCTTATGGCACGAAATGAAATACGCTATGTACAGCGGACTACCTCAAACGGTACGTTTTCCCTCCATGGCCTTTCTCAGCAAGCTTGCCTTGGGCAGGACTCCAGAATTCTCAAAAGCCTTGAAAGTCTCGGTCCAAACATCATACGCGAAGTCCTGGCGCTTCCATCCAAGTCGTCTCGCCTTGTTCATGCAGCCCCAGATAGGCCATTTCCTGTACATGGCCCACGACCACATGTCCCACGTGCACCAATCAAACGCGTCGGGGTTTCCGCCGTACTTTTTCACGATAGCCAGCCAGACGGGCTTTTTGTCCTTGACCCACTCCGCTGGGGTCACCGGCAGGAGCTCGTTTCCTTCCTCGGGACCCTTTTTCCCTTCGTCAGCCTGTGAAACTGAATGAAAGAGTCTGACTGCTGAGGCACTTACCTCGAGGCCAAAATAACTGGCAAGCTGTGGGAAGAAGTAGCGCCACATGATAAGGTCTCCAGTAGTGCAGTTGAAGGCCTCGTTCTTCGTGTTGTCCTGGGTCGTTGCCCAGACCGACAGGTCCGCCATGGCCGGTGGGTACGACACATCCTCCATGGTGTTGTACGTAAATTCATTTCCGGGAAACTGCACCTTCGAACCTAGCTCAACGTGCAAAATCAAGTAGATTGCCAACGAGAGGCCCATGGACATGCCGTTGGCTGGGGACTGTTAGCTGGACTCTTCCGTGGAGCTGGTCTAACGAACTCACCTTGCGGCACATATCCGATGACGGCGAAAGGCCGGATGATGCTGTACGACCACTGACCGCCGCTAGCGGCTTGGGCTGAAGCGAGGTAGTCTTCCTGTGGATAGTAGAAGTTTTCACCCTTGTCGTCGTAGCGGGGTAAGTCCTCGGTGTGGGGCACGGGCCGCCGATGCAGGTGCGTGCCATAGTACTGGCAGTAAACATTAGCTGCGGTTTTATAGTTCACATGGGATAACCGACCTTCCCGCCAGTCTGCAGGCAGACTCGCTCCAGCTTCGGGCAAGCCGCCCTCACAGTGTCGAGAAAGTTTTTGAAGAGAGGAACGTTCTTCTCGGGTAGCTTAGAGAGATCCGGGTGGTGCACGTAGGACGAGTAGTAGACGTGAGTGACATCTTTGCAAATGGACTTCAGGGCCTCGGTGGTTTTCTCAACGGGGTCAAGAAAGTCGACGGCCACAAATTCGATGCGCGCATCGTACCAGGGATAGACCATTGGTCGACGGGAAGAAACAATGATTTGGGACCTTCCTGGTTAGCAATGGCGGCAATGAGACAGCTGCATCACTTACCATTCGCTCTTCGGCTGCTGCAGGAGATGCTCGACTATGGCGAAGCCGGTGATTCCGTTTGCGCCGCTGACAAAGGCGACTTTGGCTGGCTTTGAGAGACTCATCGTGGAATTGGTTTTCGAATGATTTGGTCCAGAGAGCAACTCGTGCAGTGTCCCTTTATATACTCGATTTCTCGGACCCATCCAACATCCGGATGACCTCTTGGCGAGATTCACATCTTTCTACCATGGTCGTATTCTTCTTGGCATGTGTGGGTCTTGTATACATCGTCCTGCACGGCTCCACAGAATTAGTAGTATTCAGGAGCTCCGTGTAGAGAGAACTTGGAAGGTGGGTCGCCTAAAATGTTAGGTAGTGGTCGGCCCTTTTCGGACTAAAGGTCTTGGCTCTGCCCCGGCGTTTCCTACGAAAAGCAGACGGATTCCCACCTCCGCACTAAGCTCGCACACCGTCAACATGCTGCCCGGCAATGTACCAATACTGACCACGTGTGCCGCTTGCAGGCGGCGCAAGGTCCGCTGCGACAAAAAGGACCCTTGTTTCAACTGCACGCGCTTGCGCGTTGAGTGTGTGTACACCGAGAGACGCCGGACTCGCAGGCCACGTGCGAGGCGGTACCACGAATTGGTGGGACGGGTGAGGGATTTAGAAGAAGTCGTTCAGTCTTTGCAGACCGGTGAAACAGTACCAGAAGAGCAAGTAACCGACCAACATATTATTGAGGTAAACACGAGCTCTGAGAAGGCAGACTCAAGCTTAGACATGGCCAACAGAGTCTGGGCTATCACCGAGAGCTCTGGAACGCTGGAAGTCCACCAGGAAGGGACCAGGTATACTACGAATGGCAGTCTGGCAATCATCCATGACGAGGTAATGCCCACAATATTCCATCATCGATGCACTATGCTAAGTTTGCTGTTTGTGCCAGGTCGAGAAGCTCGAGACGGTGCGCGTCGAGAAGGAGGAGGCGCATGCCGAATTCGTGTCCCGGAAAAAAGAAATCCCCACCGTCTTCGAGTCCATCTGGAGTCAGGGTGTCCCACATGAGGGGCTGCGCTTGTACCTGCCACCAGCAACCAGAGTCCGGTTCTATTTGGACATATACACTGAACGAGTTGATCCATGCATCAAGGTTCTGCACCTGCCGACAGACTCGGTGTCTTTCCTGGCATACGAAGACGTATCTACAAGAACTTCCAAGGCTCCCTCATCTCTCATCTTTGCCGTGTGCTACAGCGTTGCTGCTAGCCTGTCCGCCGAGGAATGCGAACGTGAGCTCGGCGAAGACAAGCGCACATTGCTTCAGAGATACAAGCTTGCCAGCCAACATTCGCTCAGAAATGAGGGCTTGCTGCGGACCAGAAGCATATCTGTTCTACAGGCGTTCGTAATACTTCTATGTAGCATGCCTGGAAACGAGTCCGAGGATATGTGGCCGCTATCTGGGATGGCAGTGCGGATTGCCCAGCAAATGGGCCTGCACCGCGATGGCAGCCACTTCGCACTTTCGCCCTTTGCCATTGAGATGCGCCGTCGGTTGTGGTGGCAAATCTGCTACTTCGATCTCATTATATCCGAGCGCTGCGGTATGGAATGTACGACGCTCGACATGAAATCTGACACGAACTTCCCACTTAACGCCCGCGACAGCGATCTCAGCCCGACCATGCAGCATCCACCAGAGCCCTGTTCCGAGTACACAGAGGTTACATGTGGGCTTATATACTTTGAGTCGGTTCGCCTTCTACGACGCATGAAAGCAGGCACTGGAGGACCTGCAGAAAAGGAACGATACATCGAGGAGTTTGCTGATAATATCACCAACACCTACCTTCATCCCAGGAATAACACCCATTGTTTGTTTCCCGTGGGCACGGCCACGTTTCGCTTCATGCTCTCAAAGCTTTGGCTATTTCTCTATCGGCCGTTCCGGAGCTTCCGCCGCGGCCTTGAGCTCCCCAAAGCGACGGTAGACAGGCTTTTTGTGGGCTGCCTGGAATGCCTCGAGGCTTGGCGGACCATAACTGCTGATTCACGCATGGCTCGTCGGAGTGTGCTTTTCCGGCTGCCTCGCCTGTGGCACCAGCTGTGCTACGTGGTCCTCCAGCTTTGCGAAGGAAGAAACGACGACCTGGCGAAGCGGGCGTGGGAGACGGTTGCAGATGTATCATTGCCGCCACTGGATAGCGTCCCAGACTCGACGACGGCCCTTCTATTACGTCCGTTGCATAGGCTGATGGCTCATGCACGCGAAATTCGAACGGGCGCGGCGCGTGGCGATCAAACGGGGAAGACTCTCCGCAGCCAAGAACAGACGTCATGCCCGACTGAAAATGAAGCCACAACTGAAAGACAGAACATGGATATCACGCCCGACTTCAACTTTGGTGACATCACTACGCCGTGGCTGGAATGGCAGGCTATATGGGATGAGCTTGACCGGGAACCGATGTGGGGGGGAGGCGTGACCTTCAGCCAGTAGGGTTTTTGCCGGGTGCACTGAGACCCATTTCAGCCCCAGAGCACGATTAGACTAGCGACGTAGTAGACACAGTCATAATCGAAAGAAAAATCGATCATTTTTGAATGACTTTTGGATAAATTCGATCGTTTACTCAGACTCACGATTCACGGCGCCTATGCTACCCGAACCAAGGACCCCACCATAGACAGCACTAGGATTAGACATCCCCATGGACAGGACCCGGTCAGGGAGACGTGCATGTCATTGAAATGGTGACGTCAAGTTCACCCCGCAATCCAGGGGCTATCTCGGTGATGTAAAAATAACCGAACACCGAGCGATTCTCTGCTCGGTCGTTGTAAAACCACCGAACCGAGATATCGAACACAACATCTAATGCTCATAATCTTCTAGCTTATAAGCCAAATGCTATCCTTTACATTTTCTATTCTTCATGTACGACGAGAACACAACGAGAATGGAGCAAAGCGAGCTATTTGACCCGAATTTGTCAGTCTTGACGGCAAAAAATGTTGCCTCAGGGCTGCTGATATTGGTATTGTCTCAGCCACCAAATAAAGCAGGCGTTCGCTAACACTTCCAATTAGCTTCTAGTGCATTGGGCTGGATATCTGGTGCACAACCTTTACCTCAGCCCTATGGCCAAGTATCCCGGCCCGATCCTGAGCTCCCTCACTCAGGTCCCATATTGGTATCACTGCATTCGAGGAGATCAAATATACTGGATACACCAACTCCACCAAAAGTACGGCCCTGTGGTGCGCGTCAACCCCAACGAACTCAGCTACACGGACGGTCGAGCATGGAAAGACATCTTCGGGCACCGCGTAGGCGGCAAGCCCGGCAACGGCAAAGACACGCGATGGTACAGCCCGCCGTCAGCCACGGGCGGACCGACGCTCCAAACCGAACACGACGACGCCATGCACGGTCGCGTCCGCCGCATCTTCGCAAACGCCTTCTCGCACAAGGCGCTGGTGGAACAGGAGCCTCTGATCCGCCGGTACGCCGAGCTCCTGGTCTCCAAGACGCGCGAGATCGTGAAATCGTCGAGTTCCGCCGTCGACCTCGTGCTGCTGTACAACTGCACGACCTTCGACATCATGGGTGACCTAACCTTCGGCGAGCCGCTGCACCTGCTCGAGGACTCGCAGCTGTCTCCTTGGATCAAGGCCGTCTTCTCGAACGTCAAATCGCTCGACATGGCCCGCGTCGCGCGCGAATACACCTGGCTTGGCCCTGTCTGGAGACGCCTGATCCCCCGCTCGCTTGCCGAGTCGCAGAAGCTGCACGTCCAGAACTCCAAGGACCGCGTGACCCGCCGGCTGGCCAGAGCTCGCGACGACGATCATAAGGATATTTGGAGCTTGATCCTGCGTGATGGCGGCAAGCTCGATGAAGCTCGCATGCATTCAAACTCGACCTTCTTCATGCTGGCTGGAACCGAGACGACGGCTACATCGCTGAGCGGCCTGACGTATAATTTGCTACGCAACCCAGACAAGATGCGCAAGCTGGTCGATGAGATCCGCGGCGCGTTTTCTGATCCGAAAGACATGAATCTCGTGAACCTGCAACAGCTGCCGTACCTACATGCTTGCATAGAGGAGGGGCTCCGGATGTACCCGCCAGCTCCGATCGGCACGCCGAGAAAGGTCGCCGCAGATGGAGCCGCTATTTGTGGGAAATGGGTACCGGGTGACGTATGGGCTTTTTCCTCCTGCACGCCTGGCTTTTCGATAATACTGACGTAGTCATCAGACCAGAGTCTATGTCCATCATTACGCCGCTTACCGTTCCCCCTCTAACTTCCGTAATCCCGACGCATTCGTCCCGGAGCGTTGGATGGGTGCTCCCGAATACGAATCCGACAAGCGCGACGTTTTTGAGCCCTTCTCCTACGGGCCACGTAATTGCCTTGGTAAAAAGTAAGTTCAGAGAGGGACAGCCTTTGTCATTTTGGAATGGAGCTAACTCGCGTCTTGAAGCTTGGCGTATCATGAAATCAGGTTGATCTTGTCCATGATGCTGTGGACATACGATATGGAACTATGCGATGATTCCCTTACCTGGTCTGACCAGAAGGTGTGGACGTTGTGGGACAAGCCGCCGCTGTTTGTTCGGCTGACTGTGCGTCCCGATATGCCTCTTATACCAGGCTCTAGAGTTTCCGCATAAGTAGATGTTGCAACCTGTACGATTGCAGCTGTGTATATAAATTAGTTGTCTGCGAAGGGGGTAAAGGCACCTACCCGGAAATTCCCCTCTGACTTCATTCCACTCGCTACGGTGTCGGTGTATCCAATTCAATTCATCATCGGTTATTCTGGAGTTCGAATACAGATTCGGGATGACGTAAGGTACATGAGATGTTACGCTGTTGTAGCCGTAACTAGCGTGAGATTGGTGCTTCTGGCGCCGATGCGGGTGCAACGTTCTTGACCGTCAACTTTCCATCAGCAACGAGCAGCTACCTCACGCATCTTCTGCCCGGCGAGAACACCGTGAAACGAGAACAAGGAGGTGGCGGCAGATAACGTAATCTCGGAATAGTTGGTGTACTAGTGAAGATCGCTAACTAGGGTCTGAGGAGCCGGATAAGTAATCTTCGGCCCGACACCGGTCCACGATTCCACGGAGAAGGTTTCTCGGGAGATACGTTTCGTTGGAACAGCGCGCACCGAGGGCGCACAACTGACAGTTCCATGGACACTTTCTAAAACTTTATTTCACAGCGGGGTGCGACTGATGATATGTGTACTTTTTATGCCCAATACACTCAATAAATACGGCTGGTTGGGCTAAGCCTGATGCTCGCCACCCAGAAGAAAGATGGTGGACTTATACTGCATCAGGTACTTTCAGCACGTAGCCAAAGTGAGCCATCAGAACACGTAGATTTCATGGCTAGTTGAAAATGCGGTTACACTACGTTAGGCGAGGCGGGGTCCGTGAGGCTGAAAAAACTACCTAGCTCCTAGCATCGGGCATACCAGTCAAATTCCAACGAACCCTGGATATACTGCCCATTCCAAAGAGCCACAACTCATCCAGTTCAGGCCCGGCAAACTGAACATTGTTGACCATGAAGTCTGTCTGGATACGGACAAGAAGCTCTCCCCACTCACTGATGATGTCGACACTACAACGCTCCGCGTCAGCCTTCTACTTCAAGAAACCGAGGTGCACATGCAATCTTACCCAGTGCCTGAAGCTCCGACCAAATAGCCGTTGCCAGCGACGTGGAAGCCATCATGTCCAACCGACTCCGTGCACCACATCGGCCGCCTATGGGTGAGCCACTTGCCCGCCGGGCTGGGGTTGGTGTTGAAGGCCCACAAGCAGTGTGTGTTGGTGGAGCTGTAGACGATTCCGGAGATGGTATCGTTGACGATGTCGTTACCACCGTCGGTGACGTACAGCATGCTTCCGTCAGGCGACATGCCGATGCCGTTCGGCTGATTGATGGTGTTGTCCACCACTGACACGGCTCCGGTGGAAGGGCGAAAGCGCCAGGTCGACGGGTGCAGGGCGGGTGTGGGAGAGTATCCCATGGCCCATCCGTACCCTAAACAGGGATAAGCATATGCATTTATTAGGGGGATGGGATAGCTTACATGGGTCCGTGAAATAGATGTCACCGTCATTGTCGATGACGAGATCGTCTGGGCTGTTGAACTGAACACCGAAATAGTTGTTCACCAAGACAGAACTTTTTCTGGTGATAGGGTCCAGCTCGTAGATCCCTGGTGCCTGACCGACGGTTTTGTTGTTCGGTCCGCGGGCCTCGCCTGAACCAGCCACGGCCCAGTAAACCTTGCCATTCCGATAACGACCCCCGTTCACACCCCAAACCGGTGGATCGGCGTAGAAGGTCTCCAGTCTGGGTTTGGTCTCGTTAAGGTAGATGATCGACTGCGGGTAGACGTCGGGCGAGAAAGTCGAAAAGATGATGGCATTCAGCTCGGGAACATAAACCGGCGCCTCCTGAATCACATTCGGAGTCGTCGAGAAGATGTGCTCCAAGGACGGGGCATCACCCAGAATCTCGCGCCCACGAGGGTCAAAGACGACAAAGGATGCATTCTGAACCGCCGGAGACAAGAGATCGGTTGAGTTTGCTGCAGTAGATTCTCCCGCTGTTTCAGAAAAAGGGTACTCCATAACGGAATCGTAACGAGCCACGCAGGCTATGCTCGCATTGGTAGCCTCATTGCAAACTCTTGGGATGCTTGTACGAGTAGAGTAAGCCCCGGACAGTAACGAAAGTTGAAAAACAAGTGAGGTCCGCATCTTGATTGATCTGGAAAGACGGATGGTGGAAGGAATAAAGAACGCAGCCCTGAACCGTTATATAATATATCGTGTGGAGCATGGTGCAAGTTCCGGCTGCGGCAGCCCCGGAAACGGGCGCCTGATCCACTCCTGAGGCCAAGGCCACACGGACATCTCACAATTAAAGCGCACAAGATCCACCCCATAGCCCTAAGCTCCATTTGAGCTAGCTTTCGGACTTTTCACCGAACAGTCATTCCTTTCCATAAGGCCATCTGCATGATTCGAGCACTACTGTGGCCCTCTCTTGGTAGTATTCATGTGGCTCTCTAAATACGCTATCGAATTCGTAGAAAGACTGGGTGTACTTATTTCCCATTAGCAACAACGTCTCTCATGCGAGGAAGAATGCCAGCATTTTCCAAAGACCGGAACGTCTCGATCCACGAATCATACGTGTCATCGATGCGGTTCCAGCCGAACTTCCGTGCCTTCGCAGTAGTTCCGATGGTGAGCCAGCTCTTGCCCGTCGTCCACATGAAGAAGCCCCAGGTGCCCCACTCGATAGCTTGCGGGTTTCCGCCGTACTTCTTCACAATCCTCTCCCAGACCGGCTTCTTATCCTTGGCCCACTCATACATGTCGAGCTCGTTGTCCAGCGTGTTCGCCTTCTCCTTGGTCTTCTCGAACTTGAGCTCCGGGACCTAGGAAGCCTGTTAACGGGATTCGGGCTGTGGTTAAAGGGGTAGGGGTGCGTACGTGCAAGCCAAAGTACTTGGCGAGTTGCGGCCAGAAGTACCGCCAGACGATGACATCGCCGTTGCAGTGGTTGAAGGCTTCATCTTTGCAGTGGTCTTGCGTCACCGCCCAGATGGACATGTCGGCGATGCTGGGGGCGTATGACATGTCGTCAATGCAGTCGTAGAAGTATTTGTTGCCAGGAAACATTCCTTGTTCGCCGATCTCTCGGCAGATGAGGAAGTACAGAGCAATGGTCAAGGCTTCCGACATGCCGTTGGCTATCGCCGTATGTGTTAGCTGCCGACAATCCATATCTGACACTGGTACCGCGGTGCTTACAGTGGGGAGTGAACCCAATGATTCCGTTCGGGCGGATGATGTTGTGAGACCAGGTGCCCCGCCTCTTTTGGACCTCAAACATGTAGTCTTCTTGGGCGTAGTAAAAGTTGTAGCCTCCGTCGTCGTAACGAGGCATGTCTTCGGTAAGAGGGACCTGAACCGGACCGAGGTGGACACCGTAATGCTTTGAAGTAGAAAGGTCAGCAACAAACAACTAACAAGCTTGCGAATCAAAAATACCACATACCTTACCGCCAGTCTGAAGGCACACCCTTTCCAAGTTGGGACAGACGGCGTCGATGACATCAATGAAGTTCCTGAAGAGCGGGACATTCTTATCCCTGAGCAACTTGAAATCATCCTCATGGATGTACGAGGTGTAGAAAGCGTGGGTCACATCTCTGCAGATATTCTCGAGTTTTGCTGCAACTTGCTCCTTCGGGTCAAGGAAATCCACAGCAACAAATTCAATCCGAGGATCAATCCAGTAGTTCGGCAGGGTACGACGAGAAGAAATCACGATCTTGCGCCTGGAATGAAAGATCTGGTTAGCCACCAAGGAATTTATAGAGGTATGAGTGTTGGATTACCATTCCGTCTTGGGCTTTCGGATCAATTGCTCCACAATGGCATGGCCACTGATGCCGTTGGCGCCACTCACAAATGCCACTTTGGCAGTGCTTGGGACGTAAAGATCAGCCGCTTTAGCAGTGTTAGGGACGTAAAGATCACCCATGATGTATTTTTCTTTCTGCTTTTGAGTGAGCAATGAGAAGATGAAGTGTTTTGAATGGTAGCAAAATTGCCTCTGTGAAACACTTCTTTATATACAACATTCGTATCTCCTCCGATGGAGTATCACCTCTCACGAAAATCCATAATTCCGTCCGGCCGTTTGGTGGGCAATAGTTGTGGAGCCTCAAGTGTGGATGACCCGACCAGAAACGCCGGTGACGACCTATGTGGAGTCTCTGCTCCCGAATGGAGTTTGGGGATCTGCGTAAGTGGTCCGGTCTGTGGTTCGTAAAGGAAACAGAAACGGGCTAGCCATCCCCGTAGCCTACTTTTGCCTCCCTACAGCATTGTCCCGGAGTTAGGCCATCCACGCTATGACGGCCGTGGTGGGGGGCACGTTCGGCTATACGTGCGCGGTCGGATGTATACTCGGGCAAATGATTGGACAATTGGCCGGCAACGACTTTTATATAGCCGATGCCCAGAAGGTATACATCCGACGTGCTTCTCGAACGGGGGAGTTGATCCACATTGAGTGGCCGGAAAGCCGCATCCAAGGTCTCGTAATATCGCGCACCCCGGAGTGCGGGCACTTGGCGGAATGCCGCCAAGATACGGGCCTGCAAGTTCATCCGCATTCGGATCGAAGTGCATAACATTGAAACAACATCCCTCTTCACCTTCCGCGTTGGTATCGATCATAAATGAAGATTTAAGCAAAGTACAGGAGAGCGGTCGAGTTGTCGCATTTTGAATCTGCTCGTTACTTGATTTGCACGCCATGAGTGAGGAGAAAACACTCGGCAGACAATATGAGCCGTCTTGTGTTTCGAAGAGAAACTTCTTGGCCAATCGAGCGCCTGTCAATGCTGATGTTTTGAACTGGCAGTACGAGGGGAGCGGAACCGCAGAGGATCCTTATCTCATCCAGTGGATTAGTGCTGACCCCGGAAACCCTCTGCTTTGGAAGAGGCGGTACAAGTGGTTTATTGCACTTAGTGTAGCATCTACAACGCTTTGTGTATCTTTCTGCTCATCTGCATATTCCGGAGGTAAGTGACCCAAATACAACGATTACCCCGCTACCACCACATGCGCGTACATCCAGCCATGTCCTCTTCTCACTACCACGACACCAAGCTGGAAGCCAAGTACTAATTTCGTGTGATAGGGGTTGATGGCATCCGGAAGGATCTCGCTGCCAGTCATGAAGTGGTGACACTCGGTCTTTCCTTATTCGTCCTGGGCTTTGGCATAGGTCCGTTGATATGGGTAAGAAAGAAGACCTCTCCTACCCCTTCTGAACTCAGACGCGCGGATAGTGTGAAGCTAAAACTGGGTATCAGGCCCCATTGGGCGAGATGTACGGTCGACGAGTTGTTTTCTTCGTGACCTTTGCGGCTCTGACCGGCTTCAACGCTGGTGCAGCGGCGGCCAAAAATATCGAGACAGTTTTGGTGCTACGGCTTCTGGGAGGAACATTCGGTTCCTCGCCCTTTACCAACGCAGGGGGCGTCATTGCGGATATTTTCAATACCAGAGAAAGAGGCTTTGCGATGTGCATCTTTGCGGTTGCACCATTCATGGGTCCGGGTAAGCTTGCTCTGGAGAACTTCCAAATATTTTCTTACGGGACATGAGAGATGATTGACTGAGCCTTGCAGTTATCGGCCCACTAGTCGGCGGATTTCTGGGTGAAATCGAAGGGTGGCGCTGGATACAAGGTGTCATGACCATCTTCTCTGGCGTGGTCTGGATCTTCGTCTCGCTCGCTGTGCCCGAAACGTACGCTCCAGTTCTTCTAAAGCGCAGAGCAGCCGACCTGAGCAAGTTGAATGGAGAAGTCTACGTAAGTAAGGTGGACGCGGGAAAGAAACCAGTGAGTCTCAAGGAAGCGTTGTATACCAATCTGTCCAGACCTTGGATCCTCCTTTTCCGCGAGCCGATTGTGTTCTTGCTGAGCTTTTACATGGCTGTCATCTACGGAACGCTCTACATGCTTTTCGGTGCATATCCGATTGTGTACCAACAACATCGTGGCTGGAGTCCAGGAGTTGCCGGTCTGCCCTTCATTGGCGTCGCAATTGGGATGCTCTTGTCCGTTGTCTACAACATCTGTGTGGACAACCCACGGTACTTGCGGTTAGTCGACGCAAACAATGGCACTGCGCCTCCCGAGGCTCGGCTACCTCCCGGGCTAGTTGGTGCGGTTGCTCTACCGATTGGCTTATTTATTTTTGCCTGGACCAATGGCCCTGAGCTGCCATGGGCACCAAGCGTCATAGCAGGGGCGCCATTCGGCTTTGCCATGGTTCTTGTCTTTCTCTGTGAGTTCTATCTGGACGCACTCATTTCGTCTTACTGACTCTTGCATAGCTATTATGAACTACCTTGTCGACTCGTATACCATCTATGCTGCCTCTGTCCTGGCCGCAAACTCCGTATTTAGAGCCGTCTTCGGTGCCGTATTCCCGCTCTTTACGCGCCAGATGTACAATGGTCTCGGTGAGAAACCTCAATTGCATTCCCATGGTTTTGTCTGTTTTCTGCTGACGCCGCTGTGAATATCAGGGATACATTGGGCATCTACAATCCCGGCCTTTCTCTCGCTCCTTTGCTTGCCTTTTCCTTTTATATTCTACAAGATGGGTGAAGGTATCCGCAAGAAGTGCAAGTATTCGGCATTGGCGGCGGCATCAGCTGCTTCTTTAGAAAAAAGTTCTAGCGTCTCTTCTGGGACTGCGCAGAGTGTGTAACATTCGGTCAAAATCACGAATCATGTTTTTCATCTTGCCTCTTATTCTTGGTAGTGCCTCTTCTTTTATCTTCTCTCAACATGAAATCGTAATTGTACATGAGAAAATAAACTGCCGGAAATGTCCTCACTAAGATCACGCGACACGAGTGCGTATCCTCTGCATTTCTGAGAGACAGCTACTGAGTGTTGCTAAATCCTGGCTGAACACCCATTACCGAAACGAATTCCTCAACATCCAATAGTGAGAAATCGATACCCCAGTCCATATCAGGAAGTTCCAGATTCTCCAGAATACCGTTGTGGCCCACGTCATCGAGAACGCCCTGATTAAGATTTCCCCAAAGGCTATGTTGCGGGACTCCACCTTCCTGAGCAAGCAGATCGGGAAGCATTTCCGCTGGCGCTACTTGTGATATTGGCACCGGCAGAGCCTGCAGATCCACCATGCCTTGCTGCTGTACGTCTGGATTCGCCGAGTCCGCTGAGAGAACGGTTCTCGCACTCAGCTTCCCAAGCATGCGCTCAAGCGCTGCCACAACGCTAGGGATTGGCTCTCTCTGAACCAATATACGTAAAGATGCCAGACCGCGAGTGATGTCTTGGATGTGGCTGGCTGCCACTGAATCATTGGCGTGCACCGCGGCGAGGACGAGGACGAAGCATGCGCTTTCGAGAAAGTATCCGTGGTTGCAGAGGCCCTGGAGTAAGCTTAGTAGGTCATGGTTGGTTGGTTGATGACTGAGAAAATTACCTGTGTGCTGGGAACCGTAGTTAGGATGGACTCTGAAAGGAAAATGATAGATCGGGCTGCATCAATGCAGTATTGCTCTTGGCCATTTAATAATGCTGGCATCTGGTAACGACCGGTATTGGGCCTGCTGTGGCCGTCTATCTGTAGCTCAATGTATCTTTTCAGCTCGACCTGCAGCAGTAGCAAAGGCCTGAATGCAAGGAGCATCGTGTAAAAGTACACTGCATGGCTGTCAGTTGGTTCTTGAACGAATGAAAGGAGTGGCGTACAGTAATTTGTGACAATGTGCCATGTCAGTCTTTCTGCGTCGACTGGGCAAGTCGGGCCTCCGATCCACACGCCAATATCTTGTTTGATCAAGTTGGAGAAGCTTTCCAGTTCGTGACGGATTTCGTGTGCAGACTCAACCATATCAGCAATGGTGGATCTCTCATGATGGAAGTACATTCGATGAGTTCGACGCATGATTATGGAGAGTTGAATCATCGCCGCCATATAGGATGGCCTGTCCGGAGGTGGAATATCGATGGTTTCCCGGTGAAGCAGATGAGGCCTTCCAAACATGAGACACGATATGCTCTCATTGCAGAAGAGATTCCACATTGTCCAGTTCGCTTCGGGCCGCTCGGAGCCACGGCCTTTCTTATGGATACCTGCAGCGAAAGCTTTGGTAACCGCATTGCCGAGACTAAGGTACGCCAGATTGGGGTGACCAGTTGTAAACTCACAATGGGCCATGAGCATAGCAATTTGCACAGCTCTCACATTGACATGGTAGCGCACTGATTCTGCTTCCGTTCGCGCTTGCGCCAGAAGCCTTTCTCTCCATTCCTCTTCCCGTGTGGAAATGGCACCCATAGCCATGGCGATGATTACGGCAGCTTTTTCCAAGGGTTCAATGGGATCTTGCTTCTGTCGACTTCCGTAAAGCCTCTCAAAGGTGAAGCATAACCGGTCAGGATCAAGCAGCGGGAAGAAATGGTGCGTCGCTGAGAGAAAGTTCTGAATGAAGGATTTGGCAAGCTCGTAGCGGAGGAATACCGGCGAAGCTGCCGATCCCTTGTTCGCCACACTGCCGAAGACAATGCCTTTGTACTTGAACTTGTCGATCCCCGCGTTACCATCGTTGTCATCGCTAACTGTCTGAGATGCTCGTCGTTCCTTTAAATGTGAGTGGATGTGCTGTAGGAAAGAGAAGTTCGATGACGGTCCGTAGTAAAGTTGGAGCAGGGAAGAGGGTGACTCTGGTGCGGCATATGTGGCTCGGACACTGTTGAAAATGCATTCCCGGAGTGGTATGATCCCGTTCCCATTATCGGGGCTCTCGCTTTCTCGCTGCTCAGGAGTATTCTGGGCTTCTGTATCATCTGAACCAGATGTGGCTGCTTGTGATGACCTTTTCTGGTTACGCCTCTGTGCAAGTAAAGCTTTTGTAGCCCTGTTCCTGAGGAAGCTCCGATACCTGCAATGGCTCCCGCGTCGCGAGCATACATTGCAAGGAGTCAGGCCATCACATCTTTGCTTCCTACGGCGGCATTCTATAGTCCAGTCAGTGTTTGAAACAAACTGCTGTCGCACAAATGTGCAGATTCAAGTATACCTTCACAAGCCTTTGGTATTCTTATTTTTCCGTCCGAAGTTTCTTCTTCAAGTTGTTAGCGTATGCGACGAAACACGAAACTCCCCTGCAGCCTTGATCTCCAGCGACAGTGAGCTCAGTGTTGAAGACGCACCGGAAGCAATAAGTTGTGCGTTGTCGCCTTGTTCAGCCATGGAAAGGAGTATAGCACGCTTTAAAGATTTGTGGAAGTTAGTGCATGACTTGTCATCTACGGATCATCGGTCACTTATAGTGCAAAGCCGAGTCTCCACTTCGCGCCGCTGACTAATTAGGTGCCACCACGTCATGGTCTTGCTACTTTCACACCCTTAATGAAGTGCCTCCTATAAAATCTCCGAATTCAGGTAGCACCTCATCACATGCCCATGTCGTAGAATAGATTTCAGGCTTACACCGAAGGCGGTCACCATCCAAGAAGCGTGTTCCAACACAGCGCATGACAAAAGGTCCGAATTCGGCCTTAGCCAATCAGCACTTACGACATCCCGAGGTGACACAAGTAAACGGATTTTCGAAGCGGCCAATTAAACTTCAGGCTTTATATTTAATCCGGCTTGCTCCAATAGTCTCCAAGGCTTCTACTGAATAGGAGCCTTGGCGTAGACGTGACACAAGCTTACGGGATTCTCGAGTCGTCCAATCTCGTCTCAGGCTGTGTCTTGCGGGCGGGTTTTCCCGGTCAGCTTCCCGGAATCGCACAGCTAATTACGGACTCTCGTAGAGTACCACCATGGGAACCCAAAGTACTGAATATTTCTGAAATCTCATTCACCGATGCTGTAAAGCCTTGATTATTTCAATCACCTGGAGCTTCGTATTCCTCACTACTCCAGTCCCAAACAACTGACAGACATCGATCCAAGCATGCAAGCCGGCACAGATCGGTTTGAGGAGCATAAGAGCAAGTTACGACAATACTATCTTGTCGATGGTTTGAGTGTGAAAATGGTCAAGCAGAAAATGATTAGCAACTGGAACTTCCACGCTAAGTAAATAAACACAGCTTTGAGTCAGATGGCTACTGATACTGACGGCTATTACTCAGTGCCAATGAGTATACGAGGCATTTCAAACAATGGGGGTTTCGGAAGAATCTCTCGGCTAAGCAATGGAACGCCGTCGCACGCATAATTGATAAGAGGAAGCGAGAAGAGGGAAAGGAGAGCGAGGTGTGGGTAGATGGAGTGAGGCTCACAGAAAAGAAAGTCAGAAGAGCTGTCAGCGCGACAAGGCACGGCCATATCGCCACTTTCGACAGATTGAAAGAAGGTCATTTGCAGTGCATTTCAAAGATATATTACCAGGCTAATCATAGTTCAGCAAATGGTTCGGAAATCAATGTGCACGATGACATGTTGAGTGGCATTCTCATTTCGACACCGTAGTCGGGCGTATCGCCAGGACAGCATCAAACTCAACGTTAACGGTCTGCGAGACTTTCGTCCCTTTTGTTCTCGTCAGTCCTGTCGAGAAACTAGCTGGCTGTTAGTATAGTAAATGGATATCTATTGTGCTATTCGGAGTTACAACAGAGGCGTATGGGATGCTAGAGGAACTACGTAATCTATTGCAATCGTCAATAATTCTTTGACTGCTAGATACATTTCGGCACCTACCGACCTTTAAATCATGGTACTTCAAGCTGCAATGGCCGTGATCAACCGGCTGAATCCCTTGCAACGCTTTGTTCCCACTCAAAACTATGACTTAGCCCTTCGCAAGCTACATTGACTTCTATCTAAGCACCTTGGCTGTACTGCGGAGCCTTGACCCAGTATTCTTCGATTAGCTGCGAGTCCTTTTGTTCATACCGAACAGACACGAACGTCTCTGCGGGAAGCGTAGCGCGCATGATGTGAAGATGGCGGTTATCAAGGGAGACCAGAGTGTCTGGAGTATGGTCCGAGGTGTCACCTTTCGGGTGTCGACGAATGGACACGACAGGAAGCGGGCCAAATTCCTGGAAAATCGCATGTTTCCTGGCCTCTTCACCGTTCTCAAGCAACTTTTGGATCTGCGGGCGTGAGTCTTCGAAAGCACTTAAACCCTCGAACACCACACCGGTGCCGGTCTGAGAGAAGGTGATATCTCGAAGACGGACTTTTCGAGGCAGATTCTCAGAGTTGGTAACCTTGTAGGAGAAGTAGTCTGAGGGGCTATCAGTATGAGTTAAGGTTAAGCAGGTTCAAATGGGTGGAATCGCACCAGGGGTTCCTATGTCTTACGTTAGAATGCGGAACCCACTACGGCTCAATGTAAGTTATTGTAAACCTACCTGTCTTCTTGAACTCCCAGCAGAGGTAGAGATAGTCTCCACCTCTTGACCAGTTGATGTCAGTTGTGCGCCCGTCGCCTTCCACTGTGTCCTTTTTCCTACTAAGCCAGACTCGGGTGATCGCCTCAGGAGTGTCGCAGGCGTAGGCAGTACAGAGGTATCGAAAATATTCTTTACCATCGCCTCGAGACACGTCGGCAGCGTATAAGTCGTAATTACGTGTGACTTCTACGGCAAACTTCGATGCTGCTTCATATCGATTGGTGGTGTATTCTGGCACAATATATACGTATTCACCTGATAAAACGATGTCAGACAAGTTTCGAGGATGGAATATTGACGCCCACCTCCCATGCCCTTGTTCAAGTCCTCGTGTGGCTCCCTGCCCGGAATGTTGTCACCGTACTGGATGGAAATGCTTTTGATGTAACCACGCATGTTGTAGTAGATGGAATGTTCGAGAGTGGATGAAAGAGATTGAAGTTGGCAGACTGCAGCTCGGATAAGAGAACGCGCGAATGGCTATATTTATAGAGTAAAAAAAGGCCCGGTCTAAACATCAAGATGTGTGGGTACAGTTCCTCAGGCACATGTGACTATGAGATGACCACGGCAAACATTGCGGACTAGGAATATGTGTGATGGGTATACTCTTACTGGAAACACGTCTCTTGCGGGGAGCGTGCGGAGATTTCCACAGTATTATCGATCTCATTATAGCACATCCAATCACAAGCTTTGCAGTAGCGCCCGTTTTAGCCGTTTGCATTGACACGTGTTCGGCTACCAAAACAAGAAGACAACGTTGTGCTAGCCCTCACAAGACCCATAAATTGATTTGATCGGGAGTTTGGGTGGTCATAGAGCGTGTGGAATTCGTACGTGCAATGGAAGGCAGCATGGATCGCTCGATTGAATAGTCTATTACCAACATATCAGGCAGACGTCATTAGCACCGCGTGCGGCAGAACTATCCACACCCACTTCCACCAAAGAAAGCTTTACCCATAGAGCTCCACGTGCCTATACCCTTAGAGACACTAAGGATAAACCTCTAAGCACTTGTCGTTGAAAATAAATGACATATTGAAGTAGCTTGGGTAGAGGGATATCTATGCCATTAGCGAGCGCACTGATGAAATCTATCAAAAAGTGGAGAAACAGCACAAAACGACCGAGAAAAGGTAAAGCGGGGTAGATAAGTTATCGAACCAATGGCACCTAAGCCTAAAGGCAAAAGCGTCATCAGCTTCGCACGAAGTGGGGTTGAATATACTATGATTGGAGTGGCATCTTGTGTCCTGTGGCTCTGCTGAACAGGGTGGAAAGCTGGCCGACGAAGCCAAAGAAGCCAATAGAATATTGCAGATACCCTGGAAGCGACAGTTTTCGGTCAATGGGGGGGCACAAAAGATACCCAATCGTGTTTAATGGGTCATCGCCATGGCTGGTGCGGGGGTAGCCATCCTTGGCATTGTCGACGTTGTTATGGCGGCCGACGGCCCGGCCCTTCGACCTTTGTTCCCCCAGGATGAGGCCTCCCGCACTTCTAATGGTGGCTGGTTGGAATCTTACAACACTATTTCAGCCATTAAGGTCTCAATCACTTGCGGTCACAACCTCAACATCAAGATCGGGGTAAAACTCGAAGCCGAGACGGAGCAAATCAGCCTGAGTGACCGTCACAGCCCGGATCCGGCGGACCTGAGCTGGACTTCTTTCTTCCCGCTTCTTTAACCTAGCGACAAGAAGTACCGTATTCAGACATAAAGGACGCTGAGAATCAAGGATCAGAAGCCAGTCTGGAGTGGTCCGCTCAAGACGTTGGACGAATGCAAGATGTTTACGCAATTCGGCGAGACCATCAAGGTGTGCAGAAACACTATTCCCCGGCTAGCCAGTATGGTATTCCAAAGCGCCTCGACAGACCAAGTCTCCGCAATCACCCGGAGTGTCGACAACAAAGGCACTATAGGAGACTATCACATCACAACATTGTTGAGGAGAAACACAACGGTCCATATTAAGGGCTACCGGATGTCTTTGGGCTTCTCCGCGAATAAAAATGAGTATTTCACTATAAATTGTGAATTCTCATTTCCGTACCGTCGCCGGAAGTAACTAGAGATCAACACCAAATTCAATCTTGACGGCCTGCGATACGTTCGCCTTCTGTGGTCTCGTCAAGAAACAAGTAGTTGTTATCAAAGTGAGTAGACCTGATGGAGTTTCGGAAGCTCTAGGCAGACGCGACGAATTCCGGCAACTGTTCCGTCACTGCTGATTGGCCAAAAAGCCAACTTCTGAAGATCTTTTCCTTCTTGACACCGCCAGTTCAGGAATTGCGTGAAGAGAATGGCTATAAATCATTCACCTATAAGACGTTCGTATCATCCTCGATTGCGAAAGGTGAACACAGAGCGCTAACAAGCGGCTATCCATTTTAGCGCCTGTTCTGCCTGGGCTAGTGACCTTCTGCCTAGTTTAGCGTGGTTCAGCCCATTCCCCTGGGTCGGTATGGTTTGATATTTAACTTTTCCACCATCACCCAAAATTGAGACATCAAGCTTCACCCTGCAAAGATGGCTTCCATGTCCGAAAACGAGACTTCCTTGTTCCCTGGCCAAGACACCTTCCTGCCAGGATTTGGGTTGCCCATCGACACGTGGCCGCCATGGAGCCGGAAGAAAAACAAGGAGCGTTTCCCCCACGCCATCTCCGAATTTGGTACTGCCAAAGCCATTACGCTGCGTGAGCGACGCATGCTTGACTTCATCAACAAAATCTCAGACAAGCCGGAATGGGACCGCAAAGTCTTCGACGAGGCAATTGTATCCGAGTGGAGGGTAGAAGCAATGCGCTTTGATGACAAAATTGAAGATGTTTATCTTTCTGAACAGATGTTCGATTATGTAAGTCACTACCAGTACTGCGAGAAGATTGGACTTTACTAAATATTAAATATCTTAGTGCATACTCGAGCTCCGTGAGAAGGCGATGGTGCACCGAGAGAAAGGATTGGTCGCCGTTCTCGACACGGAGGCCACGGTGGTGAAATCTGATGTCGCGGTTCCCGAAACTCTCCGGCAAGCCCTCCTTGAACACGTCAAACCATTGGAAGACGTGCCAGAGCACCTCAAAGACTGGCACCCCGGTTCTAACGAGATGGTGCTGGACTTGGTCCACCCTTCTCTGTTCCCTATTGTGTTCGGCCGCACTCGGGCACTTCCAAGTGGGCGCGTTCCTCTGGACGACTGCGTCAAGTACACCGGAAAGGGGGAGGTGATCCCAGAGCACGACGCCGACGACTACGACATAGACGACTGGATCGAAGACTCCATAGGCCTGCCAGCATGGGGCAATTACCAATGGCTGCCAGCACAGATCGACTTCATGGCAGACGGCCAGCCCAAAATCGCGAGCTACATCAACAACCTCCACCCACGCGACCACGCCGGCCTCTACCACGTCCTCGAGCAGCTCGTCGACAAGGCCATCCCCCTCTGGAACGAATGCCTCTCCTGGTTCCACGACCGCACCCGCATCAACCCCACCACGCTCGACAACAGCAACTGGGACGCTCCCCCTTTCCCCGCCCGCGCCACCCACCCGGACAGCCAACTCGACGACAGCAACGCCCCCCGGACCCCCGAACAAGACAGAGCCTGGGCCTCGTCCCACGACCTCGCCTCCGCCTACGACGAGTGGTGGCGCGCCAACCGCACCCTCAAGCCCCTCGAGCCCCGCGCCTTCCGCCCCTCCACCACCCAGCACCGCCGCCGCAGCGGCGCCTCCCCCATCAACCTGCGCACCGACTTCGCCCGCAGCGGCCTGCAAGTCATCTTCAAGCTCGCCACCATCCACCTCACCCCCGCCAAACCCAGCTACCCCGGCGGCCAATGGCACATCGAAGGCAGCCTCGCCGAGCGCATATGCGCCACCGCGCTGTACTACCCCTCCTCCCCCAACACCACGCCCGCCACGCTCTCCTTCCGCACCACCCTCGACGTCGAGCGCGCCGTCATGACGCCCCCGCAGGGCGAGTGGGAGAGCATGGCGGCGTACTGCGGCATCGCGAATGAGACCACCGCCGCCGTGCAGCGGCTGGGCGGCGTCACGACGCCGGAGGGGCGGATGGTGGCGTTTCCGAATACGCTGCAGCATCGCGTTGGGCCGGTGCGGCTGGTGGATGGGGGGAGGGAGGGGAGCAGGATGGTGGTGGCGATGTTTTTGGTTGATCCGAGGCAGCGCGTGTTGTCGTCGGCGGAGGTGCCGCCGCAGAGGAGGGATTGGTGGGAGAGGGAGGGGGGGAGGGAGGAGGGGGGGTTGGCGGAGGAGGAGGAGGAGGCTGAGGGGACGTGGGGGTGGGATGAGGCGGTGAGGGTGAGGGAGGAGTTGATGGCGGAGAGGGGCAGGATGGGGGAGGACTTGGATGAGATTGTGCATGAGGTGAGTGAGATGCTGCTGAGTGGTGCGAAGGGTTGTTTTGCTAACGCGCGTTCGTTTGTGACAGAGGGTGTTTAGCTTCTGCGAACATTAATTTGTAGCGCAGAACGAGGCTTTGTTTGGGCTATTGTTGTCTACACGCCGAGTTGCCGGATCAGCTTCGATCGGCAACTTTCGGCGAGGCTACTTGCGGCCGTGGCGCTGATCATGTCGCGATCTCGGAAGCCGGCTTTTTTCACGATGAAGCTTCGGAGGCACGCCCGGCTAGCTGCTAAGGATTTCGACCGTTAACAACCACAAAGCTTATTTCACGTAGATCTGGAGTTCGCTTGGCGTGTTAACCGCGACCGCACCAATTCTCTTCACTCCTCATTCATGTGTTCCTGTTTTCGTGCTTGATCTGCCTCCGGGATTGCCTGAGTCGCCCGGAACTTCCGCTGCCGCCACGGAGATTGCAGGTGCCGGAGCTGCGGCAGCTTCCGCAAACATTTACGAAACGACTTTCCCTCAGGTTTTGAGAAACACGACGTCCGGTAGGAGTTGTCGTCAGAATATAGTGCTCTGACCTTCACGCTATCTCTATTCTGCGTTCCAGATGCATCGTTTTCTTTTTTTTTTTCGCTGTGATATCACGGTTTGTTGATGTGAGTACGCATACACGACCCAGGATCTGCGGCGTGGCGGCGCGCCTGTCCGCCGTACCGGTAATAAGGCGGAGAAACTACTACAGCTCTCGTGTCGGTACATTGGATCATTCAACGGTCAAAGTAGCATGCAAACACGCTACAAGAAGCCATGGCGTGGAGACGATTCAGCGCATATGTTTGTTATTGGCTGCAACATCCATCTTGCCCCTGCTGCGAATCCCCCTTCCCCGTTACAGTCCCGATCGTTTCGCCTTGTTTCATGTATACCAAACGCACCACTCTCACTCGCCTGTGGGGCAGCCAGAGCGTCGTGTTGACCTCCCCTACAGGATATATATAGACATGTCCTTTAACTCGCTGTTTGCTCTACAACATTCGTTACTTCTCTACAATTCCCGGAAAAAAATACTAAAAATGCGTTCCACTTCTTCCATTCTTCCCGTGCTGGCACTGGCGCTGGGGGCTGCCGCTGACCAGGACTGGCACTTCGGTGACACCATCTACATGGGCCCCACGAGCGGCTCGACCTACCTCAAGAAGTTGACCTACTCTCTCGTCCCGCCCGCCGTGCCTACCGATTCGAGCCAGAGCGATGCTTGGCTCAGCATCTGGGTTGGTTCGTGTTGCCAGCTTCCAAAGTCCGTCTTGTAATTTTACTAACTGAACGTAGGCATTTCGGCGTCCCAGAGTGATAACAGCATTCCGCTTATGCAGCCGCTGTTGAACTGGGCACCCGACAACGCTGCCCAGTGAGTACCCAAGATGCAGCAGTGTTCCGGATATAGTACTAATTCAATGTGCACAGGGGCTGTCCCGCAGACAACGACGCCTGGTGCGTCGCTGCCAGCACCCTCTTGCCCAGTACGCTGTCACCCTCACTTGTGGACGTTCAAGGCTAATATCTTGATAGCCGGTCAGACTGATGAGCCCTACGTCGCCGTCCCCATCGGCTCTACGCTGGACTTCGAGAGTATGATGACCTCCTAACACATTAGCTTGGTAGACTGAGACTGATTGATCGTACAGTCGAGACCACCTCATCTGGTACTGTCTCGCAGAAAGTCTCGATCAACGGCGAGGTCTCTTCAACCATCACCAACAGTAAGCCCCTAATTCCAATTGTCTTGGTCCCTCTTCGCTAACTTCCGAGCCAGGCAACATCGGCGAGAACCCCAAGTGGGTCATCGCTTCCAACGAGTGCTACTCGAACCAGTGCGGAAGCCTGGATGGCTACAGTAAGTTTGCGCAGAGTAGAAATATCGCGCCCGTACATTCGCTAACGTGTGTTATCTACAGCCTGGGCCAACATGACCATCACTCTGAGCGCCGCCGAGGAGAGCTTCGGCGACTCCTTGAGCATGACGGGTGCCACTTCCGATGGCTTCACCTCGTCTGACAACGGCCTGACGTGGACCGGCTCGATCAAGTTCAACGCCGACAAGTGGCCCTCGTCCTAAGCGCATTTTGCAATGTTTACCTTTCGCTGTATATACTGGTTTAAATGAGCACTTCCAGCGGTCTTCGTCGCTCACACTTGAAAATTACATTGCGCACTATTTCAAAGTACACCATTTCCCACATTGTGATCCTGTTGTGTTTTCAAGTAGGCTCCCATCGACATGTTCCTTATCACAACGTGACAACGATCTTCTGGGCCGACACTCCCGCCTTCTGCCTGTCCATCGCATCCTGAATACTGCCCAGCCCGGACCCGACCACCAGCGGGTCTGGCTTTGCCTTGATCAGCCCGCGCGCCAACGCCTCCGGGATGAACTTCCGCCAGAGGCCGTCCGCGATGTGCTCATACGGCGGCTTCATAATGCTAAAGGAGACGCCTTCCGAAACATTCAGCCAAACGCTCTGCAGACCCTCGTCGAAGACCACTTACAATGCGAACCCACGAAATTCCTCCCCACCCCCTCCGGAATCGGCATAAGCGCCACGACCTTAATAGGCGCTCCGACCACGTCGTTAAGAATGGTATCGATTGTGCTGAAAGTGTCGGGAGAGGACACCGCATCAAGTATCCCGACAAACCTCCCTTCCCCCGCCTCTGCAATCGCCGCAGCGACATCCCGCCCTATCCCCGCCGCCCGATAATCCAGCACCTCGTGCGCGCCGACGGATTTCACCAAATCGTGGTTCCGCGCCGACGCGACGCCGACGACGCGCAGCCCGGACAGCCGCGCTAGCTGGATCGCTGTCAGGCCGACGGAGCCGGCGGCGCCCCAGATGATGATTGTGCCCTTGTTCTCGTTGGTGCCGTTCGCGGTGCCGCTGCCGTCGGCGGTGGCGGTGGGGAGAGGCAGGTTGAAGTTCTTGTCCTCGTACAGAGCGGCGGCGGCGGTGGAGAGGGCGAGGGGCAGGACGGCGGCCTGTTCGAAGGGGAGGTGGTCCGGGATGGGGGAGACGAGGGTTTCGGGCACGACGGTGTAACGCTGGTAGGCGCCGTTGGCGGGGTTGCCGGTTGCGATGCTGGGGGAGAAGCTGGGTGGGCGGTGGGTGTGAGTGAGGGAGTGCGTGGAGGATGGGGGATGGGGGATGGGGGGGCTTACGCCATTACGCGGTCGCCCTTTTTGAGGTGGGATACGCCTTTGCCGACTTCTTCGATGACGCCGGCGAGGTCGGATCCGAGGATGTTGGGATATGGGAGTGGTAAGCCTGCGAAATCCCTTGGAAGTGCAATGTCAGTATGCCGTCACAACGACGGGTAACATCACTCCGATACGTACTGAATCTTCCAATCAACAGGATTCTAAAATGGCCGTCAATATTGATGAGTAGGAGCAGGTGAGACGAAACATACAATAGCAACTGCAGCGTTCTTGATAAGCACTTCACCAGCGCCTGCCTTCCAGTTAGAGGCTTCATCGACCTTTAGAGGTCTTGATTTCGCCTCCGTGATCCATGCGGCTTGGTTCTTAGTCATGGTTGAATGCTTGAAGAAGTCAACGGGTGGGTTGTTGGCTGAAGGAATGCTTCAGTTGCTCCATAATTCGGTTATTCACAAGGGGCTCTTTATATACCACCCCAGTGTCAGCATCCCAAGTGATTTATCATCAATCATCGACGTCAGAGTCAAGTAAGTTCAGACTAAAGCGTAGATGTTTCGGCCGAGGGCAATCTTCGGCTTGCAGCAAGTAGGAGACAACATGGTATATATTTTTCAGATGGTTGAGCTTTAACTCAATGTGTATGCCAGATGTCTTTACAAAACAAATGGTAGAGTAATTTAGAATATAATAATTGCGTTGTGATAGTGCGAAGAGCGTTTTGAACATACCGGGTGATGGCTCGGAGGTTTAGCGCAAGAAGCCGCGTCGCCCACCGTACAGCTGGTGGAGACGCTTCGTTGTATTACGAAAAGTCTTCCTGTAGTTCCTTCTTTCGACGGGGATGCTCTGGCCTGAATACCAAGTTGCCTTGACCGCGAGGGCATATTTCCTACACGGGCTTAGTTGGTGTCTGTTAGTAAGTCTGTATGCGCCAGCCTCCCGCCGCCTCAGGATTCCCGTGCGGGACCCTTGGCTGTGCGGCTCTTCTGTCCATGAGGCTACCTAGCCCCTGCGGTGCTTCAGCCTTTGGAGTCATAAGACCCTTGACCCCTGGAGTTCGTGACACCCTCCAGTGGAGCACTTTATGCTGATCTCAGTACTCTATTGGTTTCGGCCCCCACGGAGAGCACTGCCTCGGTGCCACGAGAATTACATGGTTCCCGTGGGGTCCTTTTTGCGCCGCAATGGAGTACCCCACTTGTTCCCCTATCCTACTGTTCTTGTGGAGGCTGCGCCGTAACACCATGTTGGCCGACAATTTTGTCGTAGATCCAAAAAGGTTCTTTATGCCGTCGATTGAGAATGAACATTTCGGGTCTGCATTCTGCAACGAAAGTGTAGCCAGAGCACGGAGGAGACGTGGAGTCAAAAGGCAAGGCTGAGACAATTCTCAGCTGAATCTATTTAAATACCAGTTTGGGTACAGCTTTTAGTGGGACCTCACTCGGCGTTTCATTGGCTGCATGTTAGCGCTGCATAGCATTTTGTCACACCTGAACTATTCAAAAAGTGGACAGGCAATATAGCCCCCAGGCGCAGCCTTGTGGCACTGGCTACGTGAATCGATCATTGGTCCCAAATTCGGCGCTTCTCGGTGTGCTGGTCGCTAAGTAGCAAGTTATGTATGATCGGCTTTTCCGTCTCTCTATTTCCCAGACTGTGCAAATCAACATCATCGATGTCCGACCCACGACGCTCCCGCTCGCCCACTGGGCAAATATCTGGTTTAGATGAGTCTCGAAGCAGGCACTCATCGATTTCCAGCCTAGAAAATGGCCATTATGCACCCACAATCACGAACACCAACGCGTTTGAGCCATCACCTTTGGCGAATGGATCCACATCCGAGACAAATCCCAGCAAGCCGGCGTGTAATGTTCAACAAGCCCCGTATAGACAAGAAAACCAGCTTGAACAATCTCCACCAGAATCGGAAAAGCTAATCGAAAAGAATTTTCGACATTCTCCGTGGCGTACTAAAGATCTGTGGACGTGGGAACTATTCAGCATCCTGGCAAGTCTCGCTTGTCTTTCTGCCATAGTCACGGTCCTGGCCGTCGTTGATCAGAAGCCTCTTGTGTGGTGGAAGTTTCCCATTCGCCCCAACGCCTTGATCGCAGTATTCTCCGCAGTCGCAAAAGCAACCTTCCTCCTACCAGTAGCCGAGTGCATCAGTCAGTCAAAGTGGCACCATTTCTCCAGAGGTCCACGGCCTTTGGCAGACCTACAGCGCTTCGATGACGCCAGCCGTGGTCCATGGGGTTCTTTTATGTTCTTGTTCTCGCGGAAACCCACGCACACAACGCTGTTGGCATCTTTGGGGTGCATCATCACCATCTCTGCCCTCGCAGTCGACCCATTTACACAGCAGATAATCAGCTACCCTTCCCGTTCCACCCAATTGAACGCCTTGGCCTCTACCGCTGTAGCCACAGCTTACGATGGCGGAAATTTCACCAAAAGCGGCACATTTGATCCCGGTATGTATGTCCGCCAAGCGTCTTCTGTTAAAATAACTGATTATTCTCCAGAATTCACCGATGATCAAATGCAGGCAGCTATCATCGCTGGTATCTTCAACATTGCAGATACAACTGAATCACTTTTGAACTGCTCCGCCGGAAATTGTACATGGCCTGAGTTCAGCACGCTTGGCGTGTGTGGAAGTTGCCGCAATGTGACCACACTGTCACAAAAAAGCTGCCCAGACGAACGGATCTCTTACAGTGCATCTGCCAGAACTTGCAATTATACAACGCCCGGAGGAGAAAACTTAACAGCGACCGCCGGGCCGTCTGGAAGCGCCACTTACTTTTACACCATGTTGAATTCAACAGCCTCAGAAGCCGCGGTGCGAGACAACATGCCAGAGATGTCAGAGGCGGACATCGTCAACGTTGGCATTCTTCGCGTCCAACCATCTACTGGATCTTTGGGACTTCCCGATGATGCAGAGATCCATGAGTGCGCACTCCAGTGGTGTATCCGCACGTATGGAGCCGTTACACGCACTGGCCTGGCAAAAAAATCAAGGCTGGTGCACTCAGAACCTCTTTTCTGGAACCAAATGAGACGAGTCGGTGATCCACTGTACTATGAAATTGGCTCTCGAGACGACAAGCAGCAAAAATACCTTCTCAACGTGGTCGACATGATTGGTACTGGGCGCATACTGTCAAGCCTATTTTCCACAAGTATGGCATCGCAGTTAGCACGCGTTTCTGTGGATGAGGGATTCAGCATTGCGAGAACGCTGTACAAGACTTCCAATCAATCATCAACATTCGAGACAATTGCGACGAGCATGACGAACCGCCTTCGGTCAGGACGCAATCTGACAGAAGTTTCAGGCCAGGCCTGGGGAAATGAGACCTACATCGAGGTGGATTGGCCGTGGATTGCGCTGCCTTCGGCGCTGATTCTTTTTACCGCAGTGCTGCTGGTTACCTCCGCTCTTCTGAGCCGTCGAGAGAAACTCTGGCTTTGGAAGTCTTCGCTGTTGCCATACCTCTTCTATGGTCTTGAACGGGATATCTTTGATAATGCCACCTTGAATGGGAAGGTTTCTCAGTTGGACGACGTTGCGAATAATACGAATGTAAAGTTGTCGAAGGAACGCACGCCGATGATTGGGCTTGAAGTATACGAGAAGACGGGGTAGAATAAGCAATTCAACCATGGACTACTGATAGCATGAAAATATGAGAAATGATTTATCATCAGCTATCCTATTCGGCGTTAAAGCCGGCTGCGTTCGGACATCGACGCAGATGCATCGGCCGAGGGCAATCTTCGGATCGCAGCGAGTAAGAGGCAACGTGGTATAAATAGCTTATTTTCGACTAGATATTCGGTATAAATGCATCCAAGAGATGTAGTGGAATGACGTAGAATTTGGAAGATCCGTTGTGATGGCGTGAAGGGTGTTCGGTGAATGCATCGGGGATGCCTCGGAGGTTCAGCGTAAAATGCCGCTTTGCCCACCGTAGCTTCGCCCACCGTATAGTTAGTAGCACCTTTCCCACGCTGAAACCGATCACCCGACAGAACCGTGAGTACAAGGGTCCCTTGCAGGTAGCAAAGGAAACCCAAAGCTTAACTCCGGTCTCTCGCAATCTATGTTTCTAAATATGTCGATAAGAATACGAACGTTCATGGCCAGAATAAGAAATCGGGACCTGAGGGGATCCACTTATTAATTGATCTGAGGGAGGAGGGTCGGGAAAGTGCGTGAACCTTCTACCTAAACATGAAAAAAGCAGAAATGTAACCCGACTTTGAGGGATAATGAGTTGAAGTATCGCAAAGCACACCACTTTCGCGATCGAAACCCCGCGTTTCCCCACTTTTCCTTGGTTCTCCGCTGGCACCGTTAGAAAGACCTTCCTTCATTGGTTAGTCACTTCGTATACCGTACCTCGTGTTCTTGTAACAAGACGATCTCAACCACGGATGTATGAGAGATAAATAACTTGTCGATGCAATGAACGGCATCATCGTTCGCTGTCATACCCCTTCTCTCGTTACTCGATAGGAACAAAATCACCATGGCAACGCGTGCACTCTCTACGTTCGTTTTGGCCAACTTTCTGGGCTCATGCCTCTCTTTAGCTGTGCCAGTCGTGCGCCAAAGCGGCAAAGTTGGCGTCCTTGATGTTTCCATCCCACCCAACAGGAACGATGACCAATACTACACGGTCAGTTTGTCCAAGCCATTAGGATATCCTGTCTAACGCAGCCTCAGGTTGATCTCGATTTCGATGGCCAAACTGTTCCGGTTCTTCTCGATACTGGCTCTGGAGATCTCTTCGTTGGGTCAAACCAATGCAGCACGACTGATCCAGACAGTGGATGCTACAACAGCCCATTTTACCAAATCACCGTGCGCCTGATCCTAGCCTGTCCATTGTTTCAGGAATACTAAGAGAATGCTATAGAATGAAACCGTCATCGTTGCGAACGAGACGTTCGGCACTGTTGTGGGAGTTGCCGGCGTGAATGGAAATCAGTCCATCATGCCCGTTGATTTTGGAGGCGTTACCATTCCAGATCTCGCCACTCGTATGTTCAATTCTCTCGTTCGATAACACATCCGAATTCTGACAGAAGCCTTCAGCCCTTCTTTATTATGCGGGCAAGGGCGAGTTCCAGAATGGGTCTTTCGGAGGCATTCTTGGTGTCTCTCCGCGCAACGTTTCTCGCAACTATTACTTCTTCGAGCGGCTTCCTCCAATCGATGCCATGATCACAGAAGGTCTGTTGGAGAAGCCCGTCTTCTCGCTGACCCTGCCGAGACTGGGAGATCCTGATTCCATATCCGGAAAATTAACACTTGGCGCCATCGAGGACGCTCCGATCATCGGAGACATCTCCTACAACGAAATCATCGACGCACCCAAGTAAGCTCTACCATTCAACTTTGTGTAGCCGAAAGAGATGTGCTGACTAATTTGAATCACAGCTACGGCTACGAGGATGCCCGTCTCGCCCCGATGTCCTGGACCTCCCAGCTGGAGGGCGTGCGCATGAACGGAGTTGAGATCAACATGACGCAGAGCTGTAAGAATTGCCCTTCCATCCCCCTGCCCCTCAAGGCCACACACAACAAACTAACACGCCTCCCTCCACAGCAATCGACGCGCAAGGCCGCTACCTCTCCCTCTTCGACTCGGGCGCCCAAACCATCCTCCTCCGCTACCAAGAATTCACCGCCGTCGCCGCGCTCTTCAAGGGCAAGACGATTGTGCAGGACGGCTACGCCGTCTACTTCGACTGCGCCGAGCCGCAGCTGCTCGAGCTGAACTACCACGGCCGCTGGTTCGCCGTCGACCCGCTCGACTTGATAATCCCCAGCGACCATGGTGTGGTCAACGGGACGGTGATGTGCAAGTCCGCGCTGGGCACGTGGAGCAGGACGTTTGCGGACTCGATTATCGGTGTGCCGTTTATGCGGAATACGCTGAGTGTGTTTGATTACGTGACGGAGGATTTGTACAGTGTGCAGCCGCGCGTGGGGTTGGGGAGCTTGACGGATGGCGCGGCGGCGATGGAGAGGTATGCGGGGTTGTATCAAAATAGGTTGTTGTGAAGTGGTGGCTGCCAGGAAAGATTTCGATGCAAATTATGTAGGAGAGGCTAAGAACTTGATTGAATGATGGAAAACAATTAAACAAACTTCTTAGTGCCAACCAAAACAACATCCATGCTCTTCATCCTCATCGTCCCCACAGCAACCACAGCAACCATCATCATCATCATTTTCTAAAGAGCCCCCGTAGCCAGAATCGTTGGAACGACGAACAGAACTTCTGCCACCTTGATCTTCGCTACCGTGAGAGGACAGGTGGTCAGCAGTGAATGCAGCAGTGCCTCCAAGTGCAACTCCAGCGGCAGCTGTGCTAGTCATAATCATAGGGCTTGGCCGCTCCGGCTCTCTTATTTCCTGTTGGCCCTTTCGCTCAGTTTTACCCATTTCCTGTACTTCTCGTTGATCCTCCCGCTCAATTTCGCCCTTCTCTTGCCTTTCCGCCTGGTCCTTTGGCTGAACATTGCCCTTTTGTTGTGTTCCCTGCAGATCCTTACGCTTGATCTCTATCATCTCCCTTGTCCCCTGCCCGCTCTCCTGTTGCATTCTAGGCTTCTGTGGATCACCATCATGTTTGGGAGATTGAATAGTTGCGGAGTGCGACTGAGGAGGTGGAGAAGTATCCGGGGCGTTTTGACTACTCGACGATCTTGGTGGATCTGCTTCCTGTGTCGCTGGCTCAATGTTGAAAACGGAATCTCTGGAAGGGCAGGATGGACGATCCCCATCCACAAAGTCTGCATTGTTTCCTGGTCGAGGATTGTAACCCGCACCTGCGGAGATTGGACCATGCATTATGGTATGCACCCTTCGGTGTATTTCCGAGTACTGGCCTGTGCCTGTTTTCAACGCCCGTGCCATCAAGATTGGGGTCACAAGCCCAGTGAGACTATAAATTGTTGACTCCACATCGTCCAGTGTCGCATTGACGAATTCGCCGTTTCGAGTGACCGAGCTCACTCTCTCACGTCTACTGGAGATTAGCATTCGCAAACCAAACTGTTCCATGGGTGGCGTGAATACCCAGCGGTCTCCCCATCAGAAGCCATAAATTGAGAGTCCTGGTACATCTCTCTTAAGAAAGATGCGACAGTCTTACAAGACTTGGAGATCGTTCGTACTTTCCTCCCAACAGCAGGTTCAAAATAGTCATCTTCATTCCAAGGAACCGATGTTGCCCCCGTAGTGTCTAAACCCACATCTACCATCCAGATCTCGAGTCGCAATCTCAATCCATCTAGCCTTTGGCCTATAGGTCGCATTCTCCCCGATGCAAATTGCCGGGACGCTACGTCAGCTGCGTAGAAGGCATCCGAAGCCAAGTGATCAAGCGCTTCTACGCAGGCGTGGCATATGGCTTCCGCAGGCGCGAGGGGATCATCTCGAATCTGACACGTGAATAGGGTTTTTGATCTGTCCTCAAGCTCGTTGTTTTGGTTGACGTCTGTGTGTTGCTCGTGTGCCGGCTGTTGAGCTTCCATCTTGGCAAATAGAGACGGTTGAAAGTTCAGGTTCGCGATGTTGCATCTCCTCGGCATTGAGAACAAACGTGACGTATCTGTCGTGCTTTGTCCAATAGACGCTGGTCGCGTGTCAGAAACGTGACATACCTCAGAAGCGGGGTATGCGTGTTATAAGCGCTCGGTAATGGGTGGGGGCTGCAATTGATAATCAAGTGAACTGAGGTCGATCAGGCTGAAACACTCATCACCACTTCCATCCAGCGGGTCCTCCCTTCAGGCCACATTGGTGATCATGAGCGGCTTTGAGACTGCCTCGGCAGCCCTTGCAGTTATCCAATTCACCAAGCACACTGTCACGGCGCTGGTCAAGCTTTTACGCGACTTTAACGAAGCCGGCGCTCAACTGTTCGAGATAGCTGGCGACTTCGATTGCTTTCAAGGGCGCCTCCAGGTGTGGATAGCCACATGGTGTATAACTCAAGAAGCCGACGATGAACTTGTCAGAGCTGTGTGGGGTGAAATTGGTAGCGGAAGCATCATGTACCAGCTATCCAGCATTCTTCACGACTGTAAAAGATTCGCATTACTTATGGCGAAGTTGCTGGGTCAAACGCATACAAGAGAAATCAGTATCCAGCGTCAGCTTTTCGAGACCCGAATCCTAGAGCTTCCGGAAAACAAGAAAGAGGTAAGATTACCATGATGCCTGACATCAAAGCATGGAAATGGAAAGTTGCCAAGTATACATGGGCTATATTTGTATCAGCACTAATCTTATCCAGTCATTTCACTTCTTCAAAGGTTTTATGAGGGCTCCGAGGGCCGACCTATATGGCGAGGCTCTCAAGACTGCAAAAAGCGCGACTGACACCAAGACGAGAGCCAACTTCGTTCTGTCCAAAAAAGAAACATTGAAGGTCCTTCTTCAAAGCCTCGACAATAAGTTCACAAAGATTGACGGCGACTCCTTCAAATTCTTCTTCTCTAATCATCCCGATGTTCCGCGAAGTGTATCGAACAGCGATGTTGCAAACGAAATTCGTGCAAGAGCAACACTACAGAGAGCCCTTTGCACACGCGATGCTTCAAGAGCTCTCTACGGCTGGTGTCTCAAGGGCGATACGAGCGAGGGAGGGAGTGTACCAAGGCCAGGCTCCTCGCAAGGCGACAACGGAAATAGTAACTATGACCTGAAGCTGGATATCGGACTTCTCACCAGCAGAGTGGCGGACTGGTCAGGTCTACAGTTTCATTTCTCCGTTTCGTGGCAACAAACCGGCCTGGAGCAAGAGTTACTGGTCGAAGGCCCGTTACCTGCCTCTGGGGACTCCGGGGTGCTCTCTCTCGCTAAAGCTGCACCAGGAATTGGTCAGAGCCCAACGGACTTTCAAACAGCGTGTTCTACCATTTTGGTCAGAAACAGTGAAAGGTTCATTGTAGCCCAGCCCGGAAACCTAGCAGACTCTGTCATTTGGTTCCAGAGCAAATACCCGGTGCCCAACGAAGTCTCGTTCGGCAAGTCTTCCAGAGTCAAGCTGAGTGACCTCCTCGACGGCATTCACGGAAAATCGTCGGCTGAGGCGTTTGAAGAATTTCCGAGCGTGGAGCGATTTGATCTCGCGTTCAAGGCTGTGGAATTTGGTCTCCAGCTCCTGGGAACGTCATGGCTCACCAATATCCGAAGTACACAACTTTTCCGTTTCAAAAACTACGCAAGTCAACAACATTGGTTCGTTCTGGAGATTGAGAACACTAAAACCGACCAGGGAAGACTTCTGGAGCAAATGGAACCTCATACACTTATGATTGGGATACTACTCACCGAAATTGCGATTGCAGAGCCAGTTGTTGGTGTCCACGAATATGAGTCCAAAGGCCGGAGAAAGTTTGCGTTGAAGGTTATTGGTATAGATGACCAAGGCAACAAAGAGCATCAAACCATGAAGCTAGGTGCTACAATCAGGGCCGTCAAGAACTGTATGGGCATCGCATACGGCGAAGCCGTTGAATTCTGCTTGAGACAGTCGAACATTTCTCACAATCCTGCCTGGGCTCAACTTCAAGAGAGCTCTGACTCAGGTAGACGGGAGGAAGCGTACAAGTCTCTCCTCAAAGAGTTCCATCAGGATGTCTTCCTGCGGTAAGCTTTCTTACACAGCTATGTACGTAAGAAATGCGCTGATGATGCATTCAGAATCCAAAATTTATACGAGATGAGCGGACCTATAAAACGTGTAGTTCGGAGTTGAAAGAGTATTGTTCGTTCACGTTGCCGGGGATGTCGGCTCTATAGGGGTTTCACGATATTCATCCAGGTAGCACAGCGTCGTACATGGCTTTTGTTTTCATTCGCCCTGCATATGTACTAAGAAGTGATAGTTTGATTCCATCTACCATATTATCAAAAAATAGCTATTATCCCCATGCCGTACTACCTTGCGCTACATGACGGAGTTTAGGCTATACTGTATGCTATTAACCTGCCTGATTAGCGCTGCCGGACAGAGATATGGTTTAGGCTAGCTCAGACGTACAGAAGAATTCACAGAAAATTATTTTCACCAGCTGGATCCATTGTTGACTGGCTTGTCCAGGTTACGAAATCAGATTTATGTCCGGTGATCTCTTCAGCTACTCATGATTTTCGGGAGAAAAGCCCTTTGCAGCTCCATGACCTACCTTAACTGTCACTTCGGCCGCTGATTAGAATTGCAACGGAGGTCTTAACCCTTTGAGATACGCTATGGTACCACCTGAGCGGGAAAAAAATCATCCCGGCCCAATACGATGAATATTTACCCAAAAGTGCAAGGGCGTGACTGCGGAAGCGACTCTATTGTGGCGTCGTTTGTGCAACAATGTACCATGTTCTTATCTCTAAGCGATTGTGCCGAGAAGAAATTATCGTGAGCAGCGCGTGATGTTGCTTTTTCGGCGACTCTTGGCATGAAGCTGAAATCCACCAAAGACGCTTCAGCTGAGGCTCTGTAATTGCCCCACGTTGGCTGAGACACCCCTCCCACCATCATTTTGATCCAGCCTCGCCTCTTTTTCCAGCTTAGGAAGCAACATGTGATGTTCTAATTTTTGTTTGGTGGATGGATCTCGAATTTTCCCCAATGCGGTAAGTGGTCTAAGCCTCGAATCCCTCATTGGCTGTGGGCTTACGTCACTTCAGGCGGGCTACTCAACAACCATCACACTTGGATCTGGGTACTTCGCCGACGTAGGAACCCGCGTGTGATCGTCATGTTCCTGCGTTTGGCAGACGTAATGGTAATACCTCGCGTGCATTGCTCGATGTAGCAATCCGGCAGAGCTGAGTGACAAAAAGCAACGAAGGCTTAGCTGAACTCCTGACCACCTCGCCCACCATCTTTGCCGGTATCCGATAATTCCTTTTTCCATCCTGCAGTTGCACGATGGTTGCCTGCTGAAGGCAAATAGAGGAAATATGGGTATATAAAGGGTCTGCGTAACGGGGACTATCCTGGCTGTACACACTGCAGTCTTCATTAGCTTTTGCAAACATGTTCAAAGAATTCGCTCTTGCGCTGGCAGCTGCACTGCCATTTTCCAATGCAAACCCCCTGCCTAATAACCCGTACGATGCCGTATGCCACAAATGGCCTCCCGCGGCGGACGGCCTGAAGGTCGACCTGGGTTACGGCGTCTACGAAGGCTACCACAGCTCGACTACGGACCTCAACGTCTGGCAAGGGTGGGTCACCTGCTTTCTTTCACGATTCCTTACTCATGGTCGTTCAGGATCCGGTTTGCCGCCGCGCCGCTGGGTGGGCGACGTTTCCGGGCGCCAGAGGTGCCGCCCACCAACCGGCGTCCCCAGAACGCCACGGCCGCTGCACCAATTTGCCCACAGTCTGCGCCTGCTCTTTCGTCTCCTGAGATCCAGCAATTGTTCACTTTGAACGATCCTCAGAGCGAAGACTGCCTGTTCCTTAACGTCTACGCCCCCGAGAACGCAGAAAATCTCCCCGTCTTCGTGTGGGTCCATGGCGGCGGCTACGAACTCGGCGCCATGACGCCCTACGATCCTTCGTCACTGATTAACACGAATAAACAAGACTTCGTTGCCGTCGTCATCCAGTACCGCCTCGGCGCCTTCGGCTTCTTGTCCTCCGAGGAGGTGCGACACAAGGGAGCGCTGAACGCTGGTCTGCTGGACCAGCAGATGACGCTGCAATGGGTCCAGAAGTACATCGGCCTTTTCGGAGGTGATGCGAGCCGCGTCACATTGGCGGGGGAGTCTGCGGGCGCAGGCTCGGTCATGAACCATATCATTGCTTATGGCGGAGCTCAGGGGGATCAGTTGTTCTCCAACGTGAGTTTCCAGCCGACGGAAAATTGTGGAAACGTGAGCTCACAGATGATATAGGCAATCGCGGCTAGCCCTTTCCTCCCGCAGTACTTCGAGTACGACTCGCCAGAGGTCGTCAGCACTTACCAGGAATTCGCGAAGCTGGCTGGCTGCGCTGACAACCATTCCGATGTCTTCGAGTGCCTTCAAGCAGCTTCCAGCGAAGCTTTAATGTCTGCCAATGAAGAAATTGCGACGTCCGCTCTCGTCGGCATATTCGAATTCAAGCCGGTTGTTGATGGTGCGTTGATCAAACAGCGACCAAGCCAGGCACTCAAAGGCCACATGAACGGCAAGCGTCTGTTGACTGGCGTAAGTCATACAACTCCATTGAGTCAGTCATGTCAACCAGAAGAGCTAACGGGCGCATCTACCGGCAGAACAACGCCAATGAGGGCTACCTCTTCATCCCGCAGAACATCACAACATCAGACGACGTCGTAGACTTCCTGCGCACCTACTTCCCACGCCTGACCAACGACGACATCACCAAGATCCTCGACGTCTACCCCACCCCGGACGTCCCCGACAGCCCCTCCACCCCGAAGTTCCCCACAACAGGCGACCACCCGCCCACCGCCGTCAACCAGTCCGAGCTAGCAATCGGCCACCAGCAGGTCGCAAACGCCATCTACGGCGAAATCACCTTCGTCTGCCCGGCATACTGGCTCGCGTCCGCCTTCGCCAAGCAGGGCCGCGACGCCTTCCAATACCAGGTCAGCCAGCCCCCACCCCCCGCAGCCCCCTCCCCTCCCTCCCCTGTTCTTCTGCCCTCAGCTAACACACAGCCCCCCAGTTCTCCGTCACCCCGGCCTTCCACGCGCTGGACATCCTGCACTACTTCCCCACGCCCGCCTTCCCCGTCGGCGCCAGCGTGCAGACGGCGATGCAGAATGCGTTCGGGGCGTTCGTGACGGGCGACGCGCCGCCCGCTGGGTGGCCGCGGTACGAGCTGCGCGAGCCGCGGATGCGGAATGTGAATGCGACGGGCGGCACGCCGTTCGAGGCGCTGGGGTTGACGTTTTATGTTGATCCGGGGGTGGAGTTGGATGAGAGGACGGTGAGGGCGGATGAGTGGGAGGGCGGGCGCGCGGCGAGGTGTGAGGTTTTGAGGGGGTTGGGGGAGGTGTTGGTCATCTAGGGAGGATGATTTGAGAATTTACTCGCTGATTGCAGTTTCCTGAAAAGCGGACTCCCCCGAATGTGAAGGAAAGTAAGAGTTGGGGATCTCGGATCTCTAGCTTGAATTTTTCGGTTCTAGGACATGGGCTGGAAATTTCGAATGAAAGCTAGAAATGTGGTGGTACCTTTGGATTGCAAATATAATGCACTTATACAAAAGATGTAGAGCCACCATGCCGAATATCCTCAAGCAACTTTCAAGTAAACCAACCAATGAAGTAGTCTCCTTCTTGTCCCTTCGATATTTCCGCTCGGTTACCCCGAGCCTGATCAGTAACGACTGTATATCCCTTGCCAGTTCAAAACTGATCATAAGGTCTTTATAGATATCGAAAATCACAACACCCACATACCTTGGTTGAAGGTCCATCAGCGTGACCAATCAGATCTTCCCACGTCGATGCCAAACCACCGCCTTTCGCCATCAGCCCCTCCTCGCCACCCCATGCTAAACAGAAATCCATCAAACACTCTCATTTTGCGCAGTTCCTTGTCGTTGCACCATTCAGAGCCTGGTGGAATGACTTCCTCTCTCAGCATGCTCGATCCAGCAAGCAGACTAGCCTGTGCAGCGATGGAACAGGGATTCTTCGGTAGGATTTCCTTTGTGTTCATAGCCCAGAAGGATATGCCGACGCACACTCCAATAAGTCCGAGGAGGACTTCGAGGATTCGAGTGGAAATTTCCGATTGTTGAAGGCGGTACTGGTTAGGCCGGATAATCGTGCCGTTGACCACTGAGTTTTCCCCTTGTATCCTTGTGCGACTCCTGAGATTCAGATACTGTGGGAATACCGTGCGCCAGTCGTCCTGAATAACATCTACAAGTTGTGGCAATCCTTCTTTCCCGAGAATATCATTCCAGTGGAGCGACTGCGTCTCTAATCTGCGAACAATCGCGCTAAAGAACGAGTCGAAACCATAAAAGCCTGTCGCCATCTCAAAAGTTTGTTCGCTCACATCTGCCACATGTAGCAGGTGACCTAGTGAGGCGCTTCCGTTTTCTACACGACGTGCTGTGTTCTCGTCGATCTGCGCGTCCAAGATATCGAACGACGGCAATGAAAACGTTGTGTCCACCTGTACTTCCTCAACAAAGCCGTCACACATGGCCACATGAATAGACGGTGTATCGTTGTTCCACCCATATGCCATCATCAAAGAAGGGCAGGACGGCAGCCCTGTAGCCGACCGAATATCCCGTGCTTTGCCAAGCTTCGGTTCACCATAGAAGATGGACCATGGTTGAAGGCCATAATTATAACCTTTATCGTCGACAACACATCCATCTGGATACTTTACAGTGATGTCGATATCTTGGACCGTTTCCATTTCTATTTTCATCGAATGGATTGTGATATTGAGTTCATCGTCGGCCAAAATTGAACAATTCAGAGAAGGTCGAAGCGCTGTTAGCCGGACAGTGACCGAAGACTGGTCCTCGAAGAATGTGGGAGAATCTTTGGGGTTGGAGGAATTCTCCCTCTCCAAGCTCTCAATCTTTGGAAAGACCAAACCGGGAACTGTCCAAGCCGGATAAACCATGTCCTCGTAATGCATCAGTACACTTGAGATGAAAACAGCATTGCTGGCACTGGAGACGTTTGTCTCGTAGTTTAGCCAGTATTCTCGAGTTTCCGCTGAGAGAAGGGTATCCTGGATCCGCAGGGGCACGGTCTCGGCGCTTGGGACGGTTTCGGCGGTGTACAGCCCAGCTGCGGCTATCGTGAGGAATGGGCTCAGCAGCATTGAGACAGATGTTGCAGTGATAGCCCAATGTCGGTGATTTATGGAATTGTATAGAGCGTGCACAGTGAGAAGAGAGGACTGTTTACTCAGTAGTGCTCTTTCACCATTAGAAGGCCAGAGTCGCAGCTCGTGGTACGGTAAGATGAGGTTAGACGTGGAGCTGATCATGGCGACAAGTAACTGAATGGCCATCATGACCAGAACCGGGACATAGAGCCATGCATACCGGACGATGCCTTGGTTGCTGATCTTGACTAGGCCACTATTGATCTGTGACTGATGGTGAAGAACTTCTAATGCGACAATGATGGTAGTGACTGAGAACAAGACCAAGGCTTTGTGCACAGCAGAGACAGCAAAAGGCCGCCACCACTGAATATTGTCGGAGGAACTCTTCTGGCCTTGGAGTGATTCACCCAGATTGTCTTCCCCGTAAAAGTCAATTCCAAAGTGCGGATTACCGTTAACGTGTCTGGCATGACTTTTACACCATTTCGAACTCATAGCATCTCGCATCCTAGCCAAATGTGCACATCCAGCTCCAGAAAGGTAGGTTGATAAATCGAAACTCCGAGAAAGAATAGTTGAAAAGCCACCAATAGAGTCTATGTCCCTACTGGCAATGTTGTGTGGTGCCACAATACACAATATAGCAGTGGTAATAATCAAGGCTGCTAGGAGTCCAAGAGCGCAGTAAACAGAGACATTGCGTACATGGATCCGTTGCTGTGTGGTGTGTATTGTCGCCTTGTATAGTTCTGATCCCGACGACAAAAGCCGGGCTTTTGCCAATTGAGCCGATGCGGATTGGAAAAGGTTTCTGTAAGCGTCCTCAAGTACATTTGGATCCAGCAGTGATTCGATGTGGCGTACTCTTCCAAGAATCAGGAGGGTGAAAAGTGTTGAATCGATGTCGTCTCCGGTTTTTCGATCGGAATATACATCCTCCATGCCAACTCCTCCCAACTCTAGTATAGGTCTCCAAATATCCATCGTCCCTACCGCAATATTTAGCTTGAGAAAAAAGTCGTCGTCGCCCAGGTCTGCCAGCTGTTTCCTTGAATTTGAAAGGTGTGTAGGAGACGGATTCGATAGCAGCATCTGGTCGGAATCCATCTTGACGGAAAATGGCGTTATCTTGTACTTTGGCTGGCAAACAAGAATAGTCATGATGCTTGACTCGTTTGTATCGCTATTATGACTTGGTTCGGCGGTATATGGACGAAAGTTCGATGTGTGCGGCCTCATATACCCGGAGAAGATGCCATACCTATTCTCGCCTAAATATTGCTCTTTCATTAAATGGAAGTCTGCTGAAGCGCCCATCCACTCTTCATATAAGTCAAGGAAGAGGTATTGAAAGGTAGACGATGAAGTTTCGAATTCAATGCCGAGACTTTTGTCGCGTACAGTCATTGACGTGAGTCTTGCTGTTTCGCAGCTTATATCAGTCTGGAAAGTAGGCAAACCAACTTCGATGGTATCATGATTTCCTGTGAGCAAGTCAGTATTCACAGATAGAAGAGACGAGTTTGTGGCCCTAGCTTACTCAGGTTTAGCGGCTGGAAATCTAGACTGGGTACCGCTTGCTCTTTCAACGTGCCTGCACGGTACGATATATTGTACAAACTCATTGCGATCGTGTACAAAACTGGGGTGATGTAACCATCAGTCTCCGATTCCCAGTACGTTGTATTGTACACTTCCGTAGAGAACACGGGCACATTCTCAATCGCCCGTCGGTGTTCCTCTAATACCAGAAGACTGGTCGATATGACTACCAGTAGTTTGATCAACATAGATCCCATGACCACAACTGTCACTGGGAAATGTCGAGCTTTGAATGATCTGATAAGGGCATTGATCTGGTTGATGGAAACATAATCGATGAACAGCGTCTCAGAAGCCTTGGTAGGTCCCGTACGCAGGACACCCCATGGCATGACCTGTTTCGCTCGGTATTCGACTTGTCCCCAGAATGTTGCGGCAAGGGTGAGAATCGCAGTTGGCCCGTACGTCCAAAGATAGTGTTGTGATGTCCGAGCGCTGGCTAGACCTTGTTGAGCCCTATCAATGACGAGAAGCACAACAAGGCTAGCGGCGATAAAGAGGTAGAATGCGATGAACGAAAGAAGAGTGTATCGACGGAGGAAGAATGGAGTCCATAACCGTTTATGGATATCCGGATCAAGCTGTTCTCTATCGTGTGAGATAGTGCGTTCCGTTTTCTCATGTGATGATAAATTTTGAGAAAGATTTGAGGCCATTTGGCGTAAATCGATATCTGAGTGCACAGAGTTGGAGTGGCGGAGGGTGGCGTCTTCGTCCGCCATGGTTTTTGATTGTTCAGCAGCACTGTGCTGAGTTTCAGCGATGGAGGCTATAGGGTCGGTTGAGAACAGGATTATGCTGAAGGCGGTTGGGGCAGGAATCTTAAGTAAAAGTGATGGAATTGGGCTAGGTTTAATATTAGATAGACATTGGGGCTGGTCATCTACGAGAAAGGCTGTGTCAATATGCCCCTGCATATCTAAAGGACTGCTTGCACGACACATGAGCCAGGCTTCAGGCGCTTATGATATTAGCTGCCAATAAAAAGCGACCGTTCAAAGCCTTTGGCGCCGTGGCTGTTGTGCAGCGCAAAATTTGAAAATCTTTTAATAGCAGATCAGCCACAAAAAGGGTGGTAGCCTTGTCGTCGCTTAGACGTCTCAGAGTGTTTCCTAACATGCGCCAGCCTATCGCTCCTTCGGGGAGAACCCCAAAAATCAAGGAGCAGGTTTTGGAAACCTTTGTTCAGCTTCTAAAGCCTTGTAAAATGTTGTGTATACTATGATTACAGCTCAAGCGTTGAAAGGACAAAATGAAAGAATTGGGGATCGGTGTAACACCTACATGGTTTCCGACACTATGGGGGGGAATTGCAGCCGAAGGCTAGCTTGAGGTTTTTTTCACTCTTGCCATCGGAAGTAAAAGCTACAGTGTGGACGTGAATATAACTATTAATTCTATGTTTACGCCCGGATAATAGCTTCAACTACGCATAGTCGAACAAAAAGAAAAATGGAACTGAGTGATAGTCCCACTATGTTCCAGGGCTGTACTCTTCTTTGCACTAACCATCGGCTGCAACACCCCTCTGTAGGCAGCAGCATTCCATGTTCAGGTTGCACAGAAAACAGGGGTTTGTTTACCCCGCCACGGTCTCTGGACCGTCTTCCTCCACAACGGCAGACCACACTCGATAAAGGGGCCCTCAGAGACCTCGACAGATCCGACAGTCAACGCACTCCTCAACAACAACTGCACCATGTCTCTCGAAGCGCTTCCCCCAGAGCTGAAAATGAAGATTGCATCGCACCTACAATTACGCGACCTGATCCTGCTGCGCAGCACATCAAAGCGCTGGCAAACAGTCATCAACAACAACCTCTCCTTCATCCGCCGCGCCCGCCGCGATCTCCTCCGCCTATGGGACGACACGGTCCGGTCTCCCTACTTCCTCCCGACGCGCCGCCTCGTTTCAGTGAATCAGTACGACTTCGACCGACGCCAGTACCTCGCGAAAATATCGTGCGGTCTGCCGCTGCCCGAGGAATTCGAACTGTGGGTGCTCGAATGGCCCGCCAAGGCTGTGATCGGATGGACGTGGCCGGGACTGGAGATGGAGGTCGTCACCGACGGATATGGCGGCAAGGACTTGATTCTTCCGGAGGACCAGTATTGGAAGCTGTACGGCCACAATTTACTCGCCGCACAGCCGACTCGGCCACGAATTCCGCTCTACGTTTGGGACAAGGTCACGAGAGGAGCGGATGGGAGCAGCGTCTGGAAGGGCGATCGGGACGCATGGCTTAACATGAACGGAGGCCTGGAGCGGCTGCAGCGAAAGGTGGCGGATCATGATGTCGGGGTGGCCATACCCGTGTGGTCTACGGGTCCGACTTCTGTCCGCAGAGAAGAAGGCGGGCTCGAAGAACGCAGGATCGAGTACGTCCTGGTCATGTCTGGGCTTGGAGCAGCGTACAACTGTTCGGTTCAACCGTTCCGTAAACAACCCGACCCTAATGCCTACGGGATCTATAATGTTACCCATCTTGATCGAGATGCGGTTGAGCGAGGGGTCTGGAAGGATGGGCCATGGATTGAAGGAATCATGAGCGCTGCATCTTGGATTGCATGGCTACGCCGTCAGTTGGAGGTCCTTGAGAGCGAGCACAAACGGTACGGGACCATGCCCGTTAACGTCGGGGACGTAGGTCCATTGTAAGAAAATGGATAGATAGTATGCTCAATTGCGACACGAGTCCTGAGACGAATCTCTGTCTTCTCTAGTTATGGAATCTAAGCTACCGCATATGTGTAGTTTGTGTACTTATGTCTAGGCTAGTGAGTTTCGTACTCTCTAACATCTAGCGTGTGATATTGTGTTTTCTTGGTTTTCAATGGGTGGCAGTGAGACGAAAGGAGTTAGTTTCTGACATCCATCAGGCGAGGGTGTAAAAGCTTCTCTGACTTAATTAAAGCGAGGATTTTCCCCAGCCGAATTTATTTCATTTAGAGTATACTACAGGTTCATTATGCAGATGTATTTCGGTGTCATGAATTATACGTAAGACTCTGACACTCTCCCCATGTCCTTACCTTAAGAAGATCATCACCGGCGACAAAAGAATTGGGACAGTCCACATCTTGCCATCGCCCAATGCAGGCGCCGCACCACTGGAGCTCGTACTGGAGGCTGGCGCTGAATCTCCATCCGAAGTTCCCGAAGCAGTAGAGGAACTCTCATCCGCAGCCCCTGTCGTCGTAGCTCCTGCCGTACCCGAAGATGTCGAACTCCCAAACGGCACCGTCGTCCCATCCACCACTATCCCCCCACTCGCCGCACTCACCACCACCCCATCGCTCGCCGTCGCCGCAGCACCTCCAACCGTCAAAGTCGTCCCATCCACCACCACGATACCCCCAGGCCCAGCCGACGCCGTCTCAACCTCCCCGCCCAGCGTAACCACCACCGCGCTGCCGCCACTTCCACTAGATCCAGACCCAATCGTCGAAAACGCCGCCGTCGACCCCCCATCCACCACAACACCACCACCACCACTCACAGCACTAACCACCCCCACCCCCGCCACCGTCACCGCCGCCCCACCAGCCGTAACCGTCACGCCCCCCACCACAACCACGCTCCCGCTTCCTCCTCCTCCTCCTCCAGCTCCCCCATCCGCCGTCCCCGCCACCACAGCCGTCACAACCGCGCCATCAGCCCCCGTAATAACCGCGCCCACCTCTCCCGCCCCTGTCCCACCCACGGTCCCACCCGCAGCCGTAACACCAGCACCACCAGCCGCTGCGGTAGGTACCGCAACCGTCTCCGACCCACCCACCACCACCGCGCCGCCTGTACTCGGCACAGCGACAGTGACGGCGCCGGATCCCGCGCCAGCGCCGCCAGGAAGGACGACGCCCGTGGCCCCGGGGAGGAGGGTCGTCGTTGTCGATGCGCCGGCGGCAGGGTCAGAGCCGCCTCCGGCTGGACCGGCAATGACGACGACGGCGCCCGGGTTGGCGGGGTCGTTTGCTGGGGAGGCAACGACGACAGGGTCACCTCCGGTGTTGCCACCGCTGCCGCTGTTGTCGGGGTTGGAGGGGTCTGAGGGGTCTGAGGGGTTTGAGGAGGGGTCGGGGGCGGGGATGATGGTCACGACGGGGGGTGGGGGATTGTTGTCGTTGTTGTTGTTGGAGCCGGGGTCGGCTGGGGTGCTGGGGTCGTTGTCGTTTGCTGGAGGAGCAGCGGGGTCATCGGCTGGGGGGTTGTTGGGCTGGCCAGCGGCGGCGCTGGAGGCGATTTGGGATATGATCGGACCGAGGCCTCCTCCTCCTTGTCCACCACCTCCGGTCGTCGTTGGAGGATCAGCTGGATCGGCTGGAGGGTCGGCTGGAGGATCTGAAGGCGGATCCGCAGGGTCCTCCGGGTCCGCCGTCGGCTGCGTAACCGGCACAGCCTGAGTAGTCGTCGCCGTCACAGTCGGCGGCGCAGGCTCCGGCGCCGGACTGGCCGTCTCAGATGCAGGCCCTGTAGCTTCAGGCCTCGACGTGACGGGTGGCGCCGACGACGGCTCGGGGACAAGCAATCCAGCCGTCGTCAGCGCGAGGGGCGGATCGATGACGTACTTGGAGTACTGTATGCTGGTGCAGTTCTTGAAGCGCGGATCGATATCCGTGTACACCAACGGATTCGTCGGCAGGACGAGCCACGGGTTATAGTCGTCGTAGACGGTGCTGCAGTTGTCGAAGGGGGTGCGGACCGTGTTCCAGATCTCGACGCAGGACTGCTGGCCCTTGTACGCGGCGAGGGGCACGGGCGAGTTGAGGTCGTCCCAGTTGAAGGACATGGTTTTGCTGGATTGCGCGGGCGAGACGAAGCTGATGCTGGAGAGGTCGGCGGGGTTGGTGAGCGGCACGATGATGTCTCGGAAGGACTTCCAGCAGAGCAGGGCTTCCATGTACGGGTATGAGAGGTAGACGGTGGGCGAGGTGAGCGTGTAGCTGCCGATGACGGTTGTGACTGGCGGTCCCGTGGGAGATGCAGTGATTGAGGCGGGGAGCTCGGACGTGCTGTTTGCGCAAAGCTTGCTCGGGTCCTTGGACTGCGGCCAGTAGATGAGTTTTACCTCTCCTACTTTTATCGGGCAAATTGCACCTGCGGGGTTGAAGCATTCTTCCGTGTCCCACGCGCACGCCGGATATCGAGGCGCCACCGATGCTGTCGGTCCCCGTGGTGCGTCGCGGTATTCGGATATCAGCAGCGCGCAGGCATTGTAGTCGTACGTGCACGTGGGCTCGGGAACTGGGTATTGCGGGAAGTATTCGTAAAACGTGGTCGTTGAGGTCGACGTGATTGCGGGCGGCTTTCCTCCCCGGAGGACACCATCACAGAGGGTCGAGAGCGAGGTGCTTTGATTCCCAAGCCATATCACTGAGCTGTATTCGTACGAATAGGCCGGGGATGATGACGTTGTGACTGAGGCCGTCCAGGAGTTCCGGTCCGAGTACCATGAAGTGTGGAGTGCCTGGCATGACAGGACACTACTGCGTGCCGCGCAGTCAGATGGAGAGTACGTGCATGTCTCCGTGCTGTTGTTTCCGGCGGCTGGCGTAGATGTGTTGGTGAAGCTCTGAGCTGCTGCTACTCTCGCGAGCAGCAGCCCAATTGCTGCCTGGCCAATGCCGACCATGGTGTGGGAGGTGCAGAGAAACTCATAAAATACGAGGGAATCCGGCGGCTCTAAATGCAGCGGGTGTGGCTGGGATCCTTTGACGCCATGTCAGCCGAGCAAACGGTGCTGCTTGGCGCCTTTCCCTCTCTCAGAGCCAGCAGTACTACTCCAACGAGACTAGTGTTGTTGTATTACGTCGCAGGGGTTGCACCGCCGGGTGACACGGAACTGACCGACTGGACTGCCAGCCGAACTGGAAAACAATGACGACGATCAGGGCAGGAAACGGCAGGCCTGACTTCGTAAAGTCTTGGGCCGAAATGTTGCAGCGTATCAAAAGTGTGCCCTTGACCGGGGTCCACTTCCCCGCTTGGGGGCCAAAAACAAAACCACGCACGGATGGTACCACAATATCCAAGTACCTTGTTCTGCCAAGCCGAAGGATCAATTTGCAGGCCAAATACCTGTTAGCGCTGCACTCAGACGTGTCGCCAATCACCACACAAGAAGCTACTGAATATGTTCAATACCATCTGCCTAACCCATTTTTGCTTGCGCACAGCGAGTATTGACTTAGAGGTTTGTTTCCTACCATTGGCGTCATATTGAACGATGGCTGAGGAAGAAATACATATCTTTACAGAGTACTTGAAATAACGTGAGCATGGTGGCGACAGGAATGGTGACAATATGAATGTTCTTTTATACGAAGCCGTGACCCCATAGGTATTTTGTCGAGACAAGCTCCGTGCTTTTGCTTAGTTCTGTAGTCAAAACGGACACCATTGACGTTAGTTACAATAGCCCAATAGCTTGGAAATCAGTAAGCTGGTAGGATTTACCCCGCGGACTGTCAAAGATGGTAACCACCATCCTCAGCAGGATCGTCCACCGCCTCGCCCAAAACGACAACAAGACGTCTGACAACCCACGCCTCGTCCTCGCCATCGACGACATATTCTGCATCATGGACACCGACCCTCTCCTCGGCCCGTTCAAAGACCTCGTCCCGCTCTTCCGCGGCTGCACCCCCATGGCCGCGTCCCCGCACCGCATCAAGCCGCTCATCCAGCTCCTCGAGAAGAACTCCATGCTCAACTCTCCAGGAAAGAACTGGCACCCCTACCTCGCCAAAGCCTACTTCCACATCGGCCAGCTGCGACACGCAGCGGCGCTGCTCCAAAGCCTAACCAAGATGCAGTACGGCATGACGAAAAGCGACGCGTCCATCGCGCACGCGATCCTGACCGTAGCGCACCGGCAGACGGGCCAGCTTCACAAGCCATTTGTCATCAGCAACAGGCAATCGGCATAGCGCAGGAGGTCCTTGATCCGACCGAGTCGTACATCTGGTCCAACATGGTGTTCCTTGGCTGGCTATTCGGTGAGAACGGCCAGATCGACGCCGCGTTCGACACTCTGGAGTACGCGCTGACGTACCAGGACCGCATGTACGGGATCGGTAGCGACTACAGCCTCGTGACAAGGCATTACATTTCGCTGCTGTGCCGCAAGCAGGTGCAGCTGCCGATGGCGATCGAGCTGCAGGAGAAGACTGTCTCGCTTTGGCGGCGTCGAGAGCTTGCCGACACGCATCTCCTACGTCTGAGGGCGGAGCACAGTCTTGCCACATTTTACATGCTCGATCAGGAGTGGAGGAAGGTGGAGCTGCTGCTCGTGCCAGTGGCTGATACGTGTAGGAGTGAGATGAAAGGGGACAGTGCTGTTGATGATTTCGTGCAAGTGCTGTGGAATTCGGGGGTTTGCTACAAAGAAAGGGGACGATGGAGGATAGCTCAAGACGTAATGAAGGAGGTGGTGTGCATGCTTGATGCGGGATTAGTTGATCAATACAGAGATAAAGAACTGCCCTCAGAGATTAGACGGCGGAATGGAAGGGTAGATTAATATTTTTGACATGAGCAAGCCATGTGCCACGCACATAACGTAGGTTGTTTTCAGCACGCCAAACGCCCTTTCTTAACGTCAATCTCGACTGAAATATGTGGTGCTTGTCTGTTTGGTAATTACCCCATTTTGTTTCTATGAAATGCGCCTAATAGGTTGAACTTCCCTAACCCTTTAACAATACTTATGCGTTACCAAAGACTCCGCCATGCGACTGAAAAAGAGAAATCATATGGCTCCGCCTCCGAGTTAGGAGGTATTCATTGTCTGAGACGTAATTCGACAGAGGCTACCCGGGTACCTCTCCACAGCATGGACACATAGCCCGCCAATATTCTGGTCCGCTCAGCTCTGCTTTCAGGAGTCGCATTATTGTCGAAAATGGATTCTCTCTCGCTATCGTTAGAGCAGTCTCTCCATGAAGATTGGACAAGTCCAATCTGACCCTTTGATGAGCAAGCAGTATTTCAACGATCCAAGAGCGGTCCTGGCTCACTGCTATCATCAGGACATTGAATCCACCGTCATCTTGAGTGTTGAAGTCGTAGTCAGTGTTGTGGACGATCTTTTGGATTGCCCATTCACACTTTCCAGCTGATGGTGCCCAGGCCATGGAGTGGGAGTTCCGCAGATTATGCATCAGCATTGTCTGTCCCTGGTCATCTTTCCAATCCAGTAGGTAACGCAGGACCTCTAAGTTGTTGCGTCGAATAGCCTCGTATAAGGCCGTACTGCCGTAGACATTCGTCGCAGTCACGTCGACACCTGAACTCAGCAGAGTTTGAACTCTTAGTGAATCGTTGGCAACTACAGCTTTGTGTAGCGGTAAAATTTCACCAGATGGCAAACTGGCCGAGGGATCCGGCCCATTAGAAGGCCAGAACTCATTAGTGTAGGCAACCCCACTTTGAAAGGCGTACTCCAGTGGGGTCATCCCATCGTTGTCAGCCGGACTGTCCCATTCTGCCCCGGAATCAACCAAGACCCGTATCAAAGTTTCATAGCCGTGTTGTGCGGCATATGATAGTGTACTTCGGCCGCTATCATCAACCGTGTTCAATGGTTCGCCAGTCTGGTACGCGGCTGCTTCCCGAAGCAGCAACGTTATTAGATCTGAAGCCTGAGCCCCACCCTTTCTGGTCATCAAATGGACTGCCGTCGTATCGACGAGCATGTCATCGTAGCCGTTACATAGCTCACACAGCTTCCATGGGTCTGCTCTACCTGTGATGAGAGCTTGCATTACTTGGCGGTCTGCGAGATCAGTGGCCAAATAGAATGCTGTATAGTGTTGTTCCTCTACAAGCTCGGATATATCGGAATACACGGCGTTGACGTTCGCACCTTTGCCGATAATGGCTTCAACCCAGTCCGATCGGCCTAGACCAGCTGCAAGTAATAGAGGAGACCGGTATTGATCTTCTTCCTTGTCGCTACTTGCGGGTTTCCACGATCTGATGGCAGCTTCGATGACCTTTTCATTACGCCCAATCAATGCAAGTGAGAGAACACCTTCTCGAGAAAGGATTCCAGGCTCGATATGGTCCATCCGCTCTACGACACTGCTAGTGCCCGCCAACGCAAATAGGCAAGCAGGGTAAGATAAATCTTCCGCAGTCCACGCAAGCAGGAATGCCTGATGTATCATTTTGGCATCGGACCAGAAATCATAACTTTGGCGAAAAAGCAGGGATGTTCTAGAAATGTCGAAAGCCCATTGAAACTGGTCCCCCGGGGAAATTTGCAGCCGGTTTCGCTTTGAAATGTATCCTGAGTTTGGATGGAGCTGGTTGGGGAATTGGGCTAATTGACGCCAGTTGAAAAGGTCCAAAAGATCGGCCTGGTGAATTCCATGCATTTCTGCATGCATAACGTGGACGATCCAAAAATGATAGGCATAGTCCGCAAGCGAGAAATTGGGTTCGGTATTTAGTGACTCTTCATCAAATGTGCTCCCATTTTCGCTTATCGTTTCTTCGATGTCCGTGTCGAACGCATCGGAAATCTCTTGGAGAAGAAGATATCTGATACACGAGCGGGAGAGCTGCCAGTGTCCATTCCCTGTAGGATCTCTATGCACAGACAGTGCAAGGTCATTGAGACCTCCATTCAGAAGATAATCTCTCACAGATTCATGGATGATTTCGACCCCGGTCTTCGTTGATTTACCGTCCCCTTCTTTACCAACATGTCTTTCTTTCACAGTCAGAAGACCTCTGGAGAGACTACAGATCCGTAATGGCATATCCTCCAGTTGATAATAGGATTTATTGTGCGAGAGTTCCGAGAGCGATGTGTTGGTCATTGCGGCATCGATTGCCAAAGCTATTCGAAGCTCTTCAAGTGACAACTCTCGGAATGAGAACAAGACCCATTGGAAGAGCTTCATTGTCTGCACTCGGTCTGTTTGGGAGTTCTCGTCGACAACGAGCAGAGATTTGTACAGATCCCGGAGTGAGGACGGAACTTGCTTTACTTTGGAAATGATTGTGTGAGGCGAAAGGCCCTGCCTTCGCATGGTTGAAATTTGTTTGAGTACCAAAGAGACCCATTGAAAGACTCCCTTTGCCCTCTCTTCGATCACGCTCTTGATTACATCCCTGTCGGGGAATTTGATGCTGAGTAGAGCGCTGTGCTCGTCGATCATGGATCGAATATCCGCTCCGTTCTCCTTTTCTAGGACAATGCAAAGGCGACCGGCGTCGATTTCGAGGATGGGGTAGTGGCGGCACGAAAAGCAAATCTTGAGGCGGCCAGCCGAAGCGCTCTGAAGGAGTTGCTTAAAACCGTCAATCAAAGCTACTGCATTTTCCTCTCCCATCTCGTCCAGCGCATCAACGAAGATAACTATAGATCGTTCGCGACTCGCTTCCGAGAGCGTAGATGCTAGGTGTACCCGCAGCTCCTCTTCATGCCAAGTCCATTTCTGGTCAAAGCTTCCTTGTGTGCGAATACGCTCTGCGTGTATCCGGGCTAGTTTGTCCAGATGGACAGGAAAAAATGGCAGTATGTGGTTCAAAATTGAGCGGTACAGGCCAATTGGGGATCTCTGGAGTTCCATTCCTCGGGCGTGCGCGAAGAAAGCTGCAATCACCTCGGTATTCCGTCTGTGATCTCGGTGCTGCCGCAACGCGTATTTCATCAGTGTCGACTTTCCGGCTCCGGGTAGTCCGAGAATCCAAAGGAGTCCGGAGTCTTGCGCCATCCATGTCCGGTAGCTTTCATGCTCGCGTAGCCAAGCACATGTGTTCTTATGTGCTGTGATCTGCTGATCCTGTTCACGCCAGTCTTGTTCACGAAAGGACAGCGATTGGAGACAGTCTATCAAAAGTTTCAACAGATAGCATCTACATTCAAATTCCACTACTGACCTTGCTCATCCTTTGACAGGTATCCAATTGACAAACTCGGGTTCTCATCACTTGCTCCACAATGAAGAATGTCGCGAAGACAGTCAAGAGTCCGCAGATACTCCTCATCGTTTGCCCCACTGAACTTTACAAGTTCACTGTGTGTACGGTTGACTGCGAACACCTTGTGTTCTGCTTCATTTTGGAGCCGCCCTTGTGTTGCGGATTGAGGCGTGACAAGCTGTGTAGAAGGACCGGTCATCGCCACTCTTTTGTTTCCCTGGTAGAAGTTCGGGGTTATTAATGTTATGCTTGTATCATATAGGAAAGGCAGTTCCATACCTGCCTCACCGCTGTTGGTGACTCCCGTGTCTCGTAGAAGTGAAACATAAATACGTTCCTAGTCTCCTTCATCTTGTTGTGGAACCTGACAGAGAGGTCACGAAGCGTATCCGAATTCGTCTTATCCAAATGGTATATGAGGGTACGTTCTTCGGTATGCGAGAAAATGGGTCCGAAGGATGTGATGTCCAAACCATGGCTGGGCACACCGAAGGATAGAATGGCTCTCAATGACTTGAAAGTTGCTTGATCTCTCTCGTCTGTACTCTCGGCCATTTTGACAAGACTCTGCTCCGGAGTTAGTTATTCAAAATTTCTAACAGACTACCAGGAAAGCAAGTACCGCTTGAGCAACAAGGCCGCCCAGGCTATGTGCAATGATCACAAAAGGCCTCATAGACCCCCGCTTGCCACGCAACATGCGTAGCCTGTCTCGGAACGTGCCTGCTAAGTCAGATAGGTTCTGGAATGAGACATTTCTTGGGTTGGTATCATAGCCGTATGTAAATATCCGGGCTGTTGGTACGTCGTAAGGCAGGTCGTCTCGGAGCCACATTCGAGTGCCGCCTTTCTCCTTGAAAGACCCGAAAGCGTGCCCGTTTAATCCACTTAGAGCCACAATGTCGACTGTGCATTCATCGTCTCTAGAAGAATGAAGGGGTGTGAAGCCCTCGAAGTGCGTGTCCAATACGATGCGGCCTCTTCTCTCCGAGGCAACAGGTGCAAGGTCGATGTGGTGTTGAGTTTTGCCATTAAGTAGGGCCGGGATCTCCGAAAATGCGACAGTGGCAACCGCCTCACTAGTGCGCATGGGGTTGATGGCAAGCGACTCGATATGAACCACCGAGATGTCTGCCAGAGCGAGCTTATCGCATAGGATCCGCTGAATTTCCTCTCTTGAGTACCTCCCCGGTATACCTTGCACCCTGAAGCATATGTAGCTTTCCATTATTCCTCAGAAGGCCCAAGTATGTTGATTTTGTTGCTATAGAGGCCTGTGATCAATCGTCGATGAACGGGCTCATGGGGATCGGCGCGGAGGGGCGTGCATCGGATCGCGTGGGCGGCGGCTGGACAACCCCGGGTTCTGAATTCTTGCTTCTGGGCTCTCAAGTGGAGGATCGCAGGTAAGTGAAAGAGGTTTGATAGTCTTCTGTTGAATAATTATGCCGCGAGCGATGGACGGTAGGCCTTAGGGAGGACGATAAAGGAGAGCGCGAGGCTGATGAGCTGGATCGTACAATCCTGAATCCTTGTCGCAAGTTCAGCTGCCTTCGCTGACAAATCATACAGTCTTCGTCAATTGGCCAAAACATATTGGGGGCTATGTACTACCATAATCACAGCATGTGCGCAATGATTGGCTGTGTTTCGATGAGAATCACATTTTATCGAAACTAATCTACTCTGTCTCATCTTTTATCTCCCACTCTAAACTCTAATTAAAATCATGCCACTCGGCGCATCGTCTGTGTATATACATACCTACTTTGTTGTATGTACATCCAATGCCGCAGATTGCACCATTACAGTCATAGTCGATCTCGGATGGCTCTACGACAGGGCTATGCATTCAGAAAGCTCTGGAGCGCAACCTACCCTCAGTGGGCACCGGATAATCAAATACATGAGGAGTGAGATAGTAAACCAGGTGTGATCAGTGCAAAACCACTTCCACCAGTGTTTTTGGAGAGCTCAAGCCCACATACTCCTCAAATTCCAGCTCTTCATCCATTGCCTTTCCGGGATTGAAGTTGAGAATCATTTGGCTTATTGCAACTTTCAATTCAATCAATGCCAAACTGAGCTTTGTTAGCTCTAGTGGAACCCCCCTTGTTCGATAATCACTTACTTCTGACCAATGCAGGATCTCGTGCCAAGGGAAAAGACAACGAGGTTTCGATTCATGGCAGCCGTATCCTCGACAAGCCATCTCTCGGGCTTGAACTTTTCGGGTTCGGGAAAAACGGTTGGATCGGCACAATAGAACAGCTGCGCACTGGAGACAATGGTCTTTGGTTATTGTCAGCAGATAAACATACCGATGCATAAGATGTGGGATTCATACTCCTTCAGGTATATGCACACCATTGAAGTCCCAGCCACCGGGAGGCGTGACTCGCGGGTTTCGTCCTCGAATCGGATTGCCAACGCGCAAGGCCTCCTTCACCACGGCCTCCAGGAGGGGCACCTTCTCAAGCTCCACTACGTCGGGCTGAGAGGAAGCATCACCGACCTTCTCCAACAGCTGCCTCTTCAGTTCGTACCAGAGCTGCGGTTGCTTCACAAGGTAGTAAATGGCAGTTGTGAGGCTTGCTGCCGTTGTTCCGGTTCCAGCAACCAGCATCAAACTTCCGTTGTTGACCATCCTGGTGCGGTCCAATGGTACGCCGTTCCTGGCAGCCCTCTCCATCATGCTGTCAAACATGATCATCCCGTTCGTCTCTCCTTGGCGCTTCTGCGCAACCAGCCTCTCGAAACCCTCTGAAGCGCCCTGCCAAGATATTTCATCAGCGAAGCACATAATCCTTCAACATATCTCACGTACCGCATTAACCCGCGCAATCCCCGACCCCGCCAGCCTCTGCACCCACATCGCCACCCTCCGCACAGCCGGCCAATGCTGAAACACCGTCACAATCTTCGGCAGCACATCAAAGCCCGCCAACAACTCATGCTCAAACCCCTCCGCCTCGAACGCCTCCGCGCCCGACCCATAACTAAAACACGCCGCCGTCTCCAACGTCAAACACTGCGTCGCCAACCACAACGGCACGGGCCTGCCCCTCCCCACACACTCCTCCCTCACCCTCTCCACCCACCTCTGCACATTCGGATACAACACGCTCCGCTGCAACCCCAGCACATTCTGCCGCGAGAACGCATGCGCCATCAACCGCTTCTCCGCCGCGTGCGCGTGCTTCCCCGTCTCGGAAAAGACGCTGCCGTGCGGGTTGTCGAAGGCGGCGTAGAAGTAGGGCGCTTTGGTGAACCGCGTGTTCTGGCAGTACAGCGCGCGCGTGTAGGCGTCGAGGGAGCGGATGGAGAGTTCGTTGGGTGCGATGCGGATGAGTGGGCCGCAGGCGTCGTGCCAGCGCTGGATGGTGATGTGGGCGTGGCCGCTGAGGTCGGCGCGGAAGAGCCAGAGGCGAGAGATGGCTGCGAGACGGGGGCCGGGGATGCCAGCGAGGGGGTGGATGAAGGCGTTGTAGATGGCCTTGCAGAGGGCGAGGAGGAGGAGGGTGGCGAGGGCGGCGAGGATGGTGGTGGGGGCCATGGTGTGGAGTGCGGTGGAGGTGGAACTGAAGGGGCTGTATTGATGTGGAGGAGATGTTGTTGCCAGACAATATCAAGGCCATTAGCCAGGACTGGAACCAGTGTGGGGTTGTACTGTTTCGAGTGCGGCATTTATGTAGTAAGGTTGCTGCTCGTGTTATAGGGAGTAGTGGACCATAGTGTTTTGGGTTAAGAATCGGGACGCAGCTATGCGTGCTTATCCCAGCGATTCCGGTGGTTGCCGACTCCCACCTCCGCTGTAAGCAGTAACCCACGTTGAGGTGATGTTTCGATGTGCCCCGCACGTCGGTATTTCAAGTGGCTAAGCTTGCCGGGCCCCACTAAATACAGTGATCTCCAACGGAATTGGGAGGATAGTCTTTCAGAAATCGGGATGTGGGGGTGCCGTATCACTAAACATGTCGGACGAAAGCGGCAGCTGTTGTGTATAAATCACCATGGAATGTGAAGCTCAAGCTAGAACGGACTATCGGTTCTGGGAAAATCACACCTTCGCACTTGAACAATGTCCAAACGGACTTCTCCAGAACTCCCAATCATCTGGCGTAGCAGTGCTCCGGAAGCCGAGTACGAAGCTGCGCGTTGCCGTGTCTTCAATGCAATACACCCCGACCGATATCCAGACGCAATTGTCAAACCAACAACTGTTGAACACATTCAAGAAGCCGTGAAGCTGGCAAAGAAACTGGGTCGTCGTGTAGCGATCAGATCTGGCGGGCACAGCTGGGCGTGCTGGAGCATCCGAAACGACTCGATTCTCATTGATCTTATCGACTTCAGATTCCTGGCTTATGATGAGAACACCAAAGCCGTTCAGGCATCTCCAAGCACAACGGGATGGATGCTAACAGAATTCCTGACTCCAAAGGGCCGATTCTTCCCTGGTGGACATTGTGGAGATGTGGCTTTGGGCGGATTTCTTCTCCAGGGCGGCATGGGCCTCAATTCAAGAGTAAGCAGGGCAAACGACTCCATGCACACCGTTTCCTGACGAATTAAAAACAGAGCTATGGATGGGCGTGCGAATACATCACCGCTATTGATGTTATAACTGCAGATGGGGAACTGAAGCACTGCGATAGGTTTGAGAATGCAGATCTGTACTGGGCTGCTCGCGGGGCAGGTCCAGGTAAGTTGTGTAAGCGCTAGACACCCAGCACATGATTTAACATCTTCTTCAGGCTTCCCGGCAATTGTGACAAAGTTCTACATGGAGACACGTCCGTTTCTTGGAGTGATGAAAAAAAGCACCTACACTTATCCCATGGACCAGTATGACGCGGTCATGGCGTGGCTTCTGAAGGTAGGTCGAGCTTCCCTTCCTGGAACAGTCCCCTCTGATGATGCTTTAGATTATTCCCGTACTCAGTGAGGATGTGGAGCCAATTTTGGTCTCCAGCTATCATCCTGTCCTGCAAACACCCACCTTAATGGTCCAATCAACCGTCCAAGCAACCTCGGATGCAGACGCTCTTGCCAAGTTGAAGCCTCTGATTGATAGCCGTCCACCTGCAGCTCTGAGCGCTGTTGACTGCGAGGATTCCTCTTTCGCCAAAGAGTACTCTTTGCAGGACAACTTCTTCCGCCGCGGCTGCCGAGTCCTCGCAGATGACGTGTATCTCGACCAGAATGCAGACATGATCAGTGTCTGCAGAAGAGCCTTCACGCAGCTGACAAGCAAATGGTCCAGCGCCTATTGGGAGCCCATGAATCCGGTGAGCAGACGTCCACTGCCGGATATGGCATTGAGTCTCCACACCGACCATTACATTGCTGTCTATGCCGTCTACGAGGATGCTTCCGAAGACTCGTTCCATCGCGCATGGGTGGATGATTACATTCAGGAGCTTGAGAAACACTCTGTGGGTGCATACCTTGGCGATGCTGACTTTCAAGCCCGGGAAACGAAGTTCTGGTCTGATGAGGCGGGGAAGAGGTTGATGAATATTCGGAAAAAGTGGGATCCCACCGGGAGGATCTGCGGTTATCTCACAAAGAACGACAAATCGGGCGTTGATGGGTTGCCAAATGTGCTAAACAACGGAAGTGTTACATCTGTAGGGCGGCTAAAGATTTAGAGCGTTATCTGTTGAAAAGGTGCTGCTTGTATGCAATTAGGAGTTTCACCCTTTCATGTTAAAATACAAGATAGTGTCAGTTTACGATGAAGAACATCTCTCTCTTATCCTACCTGCGAACAGCACACTTATAGTGGTGACCACACGGATAGATGCCAGAGAACGAATGGAAGGCTCGGTAGATAAGAGCTAACCGCAGTAACCACTAAGTAATGCATTGTTACACTACACTCTAATTTAGAATCGATATAGGATATAATAATACGGCGTAAAATTTTTAAAAAGAGAGATCAGGCTTCTACCTACATAGTAATCAATTACTGGGGATTTGGAATTTCTCAACCATGATCTTTCTACAAATCTCTACCCAATTCATCTTTACGCGGCTTTGAAAACCAAAATCCACCCAGGGTGAGTCCCACTGGCATAACCATGATTCCGCTTAGCTTTCTTCCAGGATCTAGCGGCGACAAGATTCTAGCGCACGGCATACAAACCAAACTCCATAGGACCCTCCGACAAACGCTTGTACTTGACCTTCAAAGACGTGATATCCTTTTCACTTTCCGCCTCGTACAGCAGCTTCTGCATTTCCAGAGCTCTGGAACCGACAACAATCTGCGGTACATCAGCCGTATGGAAAGCGGGAACATCCTCGTTGCGGTGGATCCAGACGGTGAGCCCAGCCTGGAGGAAGAAAACAACCAAGACGGGCACCGCGAGGTAAAGCAAGATGTAAGCCCCCGACGATTTGAGTCCAGACGCCTCTTGTATGCTATCGACTAACGTGTAGTTGCCTCTGCCCTTGTCGTTGATAGCGATGCTCATGGCCACCGCGCCCGATCCGACCGTGATGAAGTTCTCGATCTCGGCGAGCGTCCAGTTGTCCCCTAGATTCCCTGCGTTGTTCGGCAGCGCCAGGTTGTACGCCTTCGGCAGCTGGGGAGAAGCGTTCGCAAAGCGCTCGGGCGATTCGAACATGGGCTGCGCGCCCCGGGTGCTGACGCCGAACGACGTGACGGAGACGCCCAGCCAGGCAGCTACCTCGCCGAGAGGAGAAGCGTTGCTGTCGGTGTCGTCCGGGCCTTTTATCGTGTCGAGGCTTGAGATTGTGGCTGGCTGAGCCCCGTCGCTGTTGTTGCCGATGTGCTGGTTGTCGATGAGCGTGACGTCAACAGCACATGCAACGGCGGAGATGCTGTCGATATGCTGGTCTGCAGTCTGCATTGGCTTTGTTGTTTTTGTGTTGACACCCTTCTCGATGTTGCCGTCTAGAGCCGCGAAGACGAGAGTGGAGATGGTCCGGGTGCTGTCGATGTACTTGATGTTGTCCACCCACACCGCTGTGCGTCGTTCTGGTCGGAGCTGAACCGACCCGGAGTTCTGGTTTGTTTGAACAGAGAAAATGCGATTGTCCATGTCTGTGTCGTTCGATATCTTGACAGGGAAGCCATCGCAGGTGACATTTCGCTGGACCTTAACCGCACTAATGACGAAGTCGGTCAGGCCCAAGGCATCAAACTTTTGGCGGTCAAAGATGTAATCTCGATATTGTTCAAGGGGCTCGTCGGAGCTTCCAAAAGACCACGAGCTGTACAAACTCGCCGCCGTTGATATGCCGGGGGGAACGGCTCTGGGTGGGTTTGATTGCATGAAGCTTAAGTCCATGCCACCGCCGCCGACAGAGTGGTTGCTCTGGTAATGGGCGGGAACTTTGGTTCTGGTGTAGACTTGGCCGACGACAATGGAGTTGGCCTGGTGTGTTCCGATAATGATGGCTACGCACAGGATTGTTGACAAAGCTTCCATGCTTCGAATGGATGTAAGAGCTCGGAAAAGTGACGGTATCGACCCACGACTGGCCGATATGTGGGTGGCGACCTCATCTAATGTAAGCCACTGTCTGTGCAGGATTGGCCAAAGCGTAGTTTCCCCAAGCTGGAAGGCAGCGTAGCTCATGGTAGCAATTCCTATTCCAGAAAGTGCTGCTATGATACCTTGGACCAGGCCATAATGCTGGACTATCCACTCCACCGTGGGATCGACGCTACAGTTAACGGCCCAGCGTGGACAGTCAAGTACCTCTCGACTGAGCCAAAGAGTGAAGCTAAAGCAAGCGAAGGTGCACAGTAGGCCCCCGACCAATGCGAGAATTACAGAGGGGTTTCTGGAAAGGAATATTGAGAGTGGTGTAGCCATGTTTCGCTTGGGCGGTGGTTTCGACCGAGTATTGGAAGGATTTTGTGATAAAATTGGACTGCTCAGTTCGAATGTGTCGGGCATATTTTTGTATGATATACTGGATGACACTGTTAGGCAAATTCCTGAAACATGGAAGGGAGGACAAACAGATAATGTTACACAGCCCATAGCGGGCTGGAATATGAAGACTGGAGTGCTTGGAAAGTAGGCTTTAGCTATAAAGAAAGAACCTACAATGATCCTATAAGTTATATTAGTTGTGCCAGGTGGCGGTGTCTGGTAAGATTACGTATCACTCTGGGGTCCGTACAGAAAGTATTGGGCTGCCAGGGAAAGTCTTGCCCTATGTCGCAGAGCACAGCCATGCAGTGCTTACGTTATCTTACATTGGGGGCGACTTTAATCTCATGCTGACTGGCTTGCCATAGATAGGAATAGCGGTTAACGTGTGGCACTGGGTTATGAGACAGCTACTTGTGATTCGTGGATCTTCATCGGTAGTCAGCAGAAAGGAGCCGCTGATTGGTCTGTATCATAACCCAAGTGCGTCTCAAAACTCAGTTCTACACGTTAATCTGCAGTGCTGCTTCCAAAACCTGTATTAGCGTCTTGGCATGTAGCAGTACTTAGGATGGGAAGCAGGGATATTCCATATACAACCTTCGCCTCCACGCAGATCATAGAAGAAGGATTTGAAACCATGAAGAAATCTATTTTTGGTCGATAATGACATCTACAAGGATGTGTCTATTTCTATAAACTTGCTGTGCCGGACTTCTTCTTTGCACTCCTCAGATGTGACCACCACCGCCTCTTGGGCACAAATCTCAACATCGAAAGCTTCTCCATCCGCATTCCCTCTCTTGAAAACAGCAGGCGTGATAACGCCCTCCACTGTCCTCGAACCCTGCGGTCCTTCAGCATCCTTCGCCATCATGTACGAGCTGTCGAAAGGAAGCACATATGCCGCATCCGTCTGCGGAACGCCGGGGAACCTGACAGTCCAACATGCGCGCTGGCGCTGAAGTACGGCCGAAATGTTAACCGCGTCTTGGAAGATGGAGAGGAGTTCTTCGACGGCCATGAGCATATCTTCTGGTCTGCTCCACGGCTTGATGACTGTCAGCACCCGTGCGCAGGCCTTTTGCATCCACGTGGACTCGATGTTGCCCATGTCGTCTGATTCGGAGGTGGGGGAGAGATTGAATGTGAGTGCTCTCCAATCGTTGACCTTTGCCATTGGAATATCTGTAATTCGGAGTTAATACTTCCATTGCGTGAAGTGCAGGCGATGAGCAATACTTACCCATTGAGCGCATCATATTCTCTAGCTCAAGGATCTTCTCCTGATAGGCCTCGTTGGCTGGCATGCTGTCCTCACTCTTAGGAACCGATGGAACCCCATCACGAGATGCAGGAAAGACAGTGTTGCAAATGATGTACGCCGTCCATCCGCGCACGAACAAGCGACGGCGTTTCCCGTCACGAAGTTGCGCGTGCAGTGATTCGAGGTCGGTCGTCCCAGGAAATACGGCGCGATACTGATCCAAGTCTTCGTCTTGTATCGCGGCTTGGCTCGCAGTTTCGTGGCCCGAAAACAAGGCAGACCAATCCTTGATCCGCTTCAAGAGGAGGAATGTCTTGCCCAAAATATGTTCATCGGGTAGCTGATCGGAAAAGAAGATTGGTTGCTTGCTCATGTATGTCTGGAGGTTTTTCGCTGCGTGGTTCATCTGCTGGTTCTTGTAGGTGAGGTGGGCAATCTCTTCTTCCAAATGATCCACCTTCTCGCGGAAGATTTCCTTAAGTTCCTCAAGCTGTGCTTGCAGGATCGAATTGTCCGAGGAGGTAGCATTGAGCTTGCTGATGACGTACTCGCACTGCTCTCGGTAAAACGACTTTTTGTCTTTCTCTGAGAAGATTCTCGGAGCCGTTTGCCGAATGTACCTCGGTGTACCTTGCTGTGGTTCGACTGTAAAGTGTGGTTTTGCCGCAACATCAGGGTGGGCGTGATGGGTAACTCGTTTCATATGCTCGCGTACATGAAGGCCGGTTCTGCTGTTGCTTGCAGCTGGATGCCGATAAGGGCCAATCGTGTTGCAAGCTGGGTTGCACGGTGGATCGCTGTCCGTGCCCATGAGTGAAATCCGTCGCTCATTGCCGTTCACTAAGCATCCCTGTTAACATGATCTACATCTCAATGCGGATCCAAAGTTTCCTTACCGAGAATGATTGGCTGCTGCCATAGACCTGGAGGTGGTGCTGGTTGTCGTTCGTTTAGCATCTCTGCTGCGAGATTTCAATTCCCAGCAAAAGTGGCTGCTCGTTGAAGCTGCTTGAGCTACACAGTACAATAACGGTTGGCCCCTCATTCGCTTTATGCGATGTTAAACTCCGCAGGGTTGACCCCGCATCAGTACTAGCCTTCACATGCTTAGGGCTGCAGGACGCTACTCGTGGCCAGCCGTATCTAGGGTCCATAGTGGCAAGCCTTTCCCTGGTAATCTTTCGCGCTAGTCCGAGCCATGGTTATCAAAGGGCAAATGTGGCTATGCGTATTGGTGGCTTACAGCGGTCGCATACCTTTGCCCATTTTGGTGATCGAATGATCCCAATTGCGTGCTGCTTTAACGTCATGATTCTTATCCCTTTCTACAGTTACTTTCAACCCGGAATCGTTTCTCATGCGAATGTGTAAAATTACCCATGCAGTTTTCACAGCTCCAGCAACGGAGATTTACATCAAAATCACAATTCATACTTTGATCGGCACCCTCATAAGTAACGAAGGTAAGACATGTAGCTACTATCCCAGCGAGTGAGCCTTAAAGTATTATCCAACATACTACTAATATGCGGTTTCCATCAAACATCATCTCAAAATGCATGCCGTTCCTCAGTCCCACGATTCAGGAGCGTTCCTGAGTGAATTCCCGCCACAAATCATGCTGAAGGTCTGAACCGTTCTCACTGAGGATCTCCGCAATTGTAGGTAGTGGGATGTATGTCGATGACGCCCTCAAATCCCAGACCGATTTCCTCTTTCGCAAACGTGATGTAGGAATCTTGTTGATGATATCGGCGTTTTTGTTACGATATGTGTCTTCGAAGCTTGGTGTGTCCAGCAGTTTCACCTTGGTCTTCCCCACCTGGGTTGGTGGGGGAGTAGACGGGGGCGATGCCGGTGTGCCTGTGCGCGTGTCGGCCGTTACTTCGAGGTCGCGTGGATCACATCTGGGGAACGAAACGCACACGAGTCTGGCTGCTGCTGCACCGCCTCTTTCGCAGGCTGCTGCTCTCGTACGGCCAGCTTGTTGATGAAGTAGCTCTTTCCGGAGCCGCTCAGCCCCACGCTCATGACCATGGGCGGCCTGTGGGCATCGTTGTTTTCCGGAGTAGCCATGGTAGCCTCGGTCGGATAAATGGTTGATCCTACGGAAACAGGGAGTAGAGGTGAGAGAATATTGGAAAGGTGGAAAGAACGTCTGCAGGGTCTATCCCTCTGGTGTTGACACCAGCTGGTACTTGAACTGGACCCCGGGAAACGTGGCTATGCAACCCTCCTCGGGGCCACGACGGGAGTCCGGAGCCCCGGAGTTCGGGTGCGGCTGATGAGAGCGCTAAAAGAACTCATGTCAGCGTGGTAGTACCGGATGTTGTTGGTAGCGAGCTGAGTACCGTTTGCGGAATGTTTCGCGACCTCATCCGTTTGGCGCTATCCGCGTTATATGTCTTTGGGGCTGGACGGCTGTTATGAGCCATAGAGCAGCTGCCAGGGATCTAGTTCCCAGAAAGCTTAATCCAGAACGCTTAAAAGTCTCCGTAGCTAATAGGCCAGGTACAGAGCCAAGACACAACTTGCTGGTAATCGGCTTGCTGGCCGTCCTCAAATGCCCCGAATCTGGAAATTTGGCCCAGGAACCAGAACAGTCTAGACCATGTTCTTTGCGGGTAAAATCTACGCCGAGGTGACTTAATCTTGGCTTGGTACACCTTTAATTCGGATAAATTAATTTTCTGAGTTACATGAGCATTAGCAAATTTCGAGGCTTCAGTGGCTGTCAATACAACATTTTTCGAGTTAGTCTAAACGGCATTGAACAAAATATCGCCACATATCAGCTCGGATGGCACTTGTAACCTTCATACCTGGACACCACTCCATCTCAAATGCTAGACTGAGAGATTTAAAACATGGTTCCATTGATCCTATACAACCCAAAGGCGTCATCGATTCATATACACCGTCAGCTTGTCGTACGATTCCTCGCCATTCGCCACGCCTGGATCATCTTTTGACAATCTTCGCCTGAGATCCTCAGCTTTTTGGCGCAGCGACGAAGCTTCGTCGAGACGACCCAACTTCTCCTTCACTTGTGCAAGCTTGAAGGTCGACCGCGCCACACGATCCGTCGAGTGGACGCCTTTTTCGAATATCTTGATGGCGTCCTCAAGAAGCTGGCTGTGATACACGTCAGACACTGCCCTCGCTAACGGTGAAGGAACAGGAACTTTGGGAATCAACACTTACCAAGCCGTTTCATACTCTTGTAATCGAAAGCAACATCGTGCGAGCATGTGCTCTGATGTGGCGGTATCGTTTGCCTCTCCCAGCTTGTCGCTTCGAATAGCCAGAGCTTCGGAATGAAACTTCTTGGCTGCGTGCCAGTCATTCATGTCTCCGAGGACGCTACCCATGTTATGCAAGAAAAGCGCATAACGAGTATTGTCGCAACCGGTCTCTGCCTTTTGGATGAGCAGTGCTTCTTGCATGTGAGCCTTGCTCTCCGATAAGCGTCCCATGAACTGAAGGACGCGGGACAGGTTTGCCCGGGAGAGTGCAATGTGGAGCGGGGAGTTCTGGGATCTGCGGAGTTTCAAGGCTAGTTTGTGTGTCTCCAAAGCTTTTTCCAAATTGTTCTGGGCGCAGTATGCGTTACCAAGATTGTTGTAGGCGTTCGAGAGCATGAGGATCTCATCTGTTCCGAGTTTGTCGCCGAGAGATTCATTGTACCGCTTACGGAGGTCGACGTACATCTCATTGTAGTGGGCTGCATCGTCAATCATTGAGTCTTCCAGACAGAAGACACCAAGGCCGCATGCGATGTGTGCACGAAGTACCAGGTTGGTGCTTGTGGGCAGGTTGCATGATCGTTCGGCGAGTCGCAAAAGGTGCCAGGCGTCGGCCCAAGATCCTTGCTCCCAAAGATACTGTGATGTCACATGGAGAAGTTCGGCATAGTGCTCAAGATCACGGTCGGGGAGGGTTGGACTGTCCTTAGAAAAAGTGTTGCTTAAAGCTATTACATGAGACGTGAGAAGCTTGCAGTCATCCCAGACCTCCGACATTGGGAGGCCGATGCTTGAGTATGTGGGGTAGGAGTTTCGGAGAAGCGAAATACCACGAACATAGGCCTGAACAACATCATATCCTTGAGGGCGACATCGTGTGTTCATCTGAATAAGGCGATGTATTGAGAAGAAGTGTTCACTCTGACTTTCGTACTGTTTGATGAGGCAATGCTGCCTCAAATGGCGAATCGCGGAGTAGTACCTGCACAATAATTAATCATTATCTTGTTCAACGCAGAGATATAGGATGACAGGAGCAATGCAGTACGGACTCGAGGTTTGAGTCAAGAAACTTGAGATCGGGCATTCCGATGGAGTCCCTCAAAAGCTTTTCCGGTATGCCGTCAGGGTCCAGCAACGCAAATACATCCAACACAGCTCTGGAACTATCATCCAGTCGAGAAAAGGACATCTCCCAGACATTTTGCAGTGTCAAGTGGTAATGGAGGCGGTCGACAAGAGTTGACTGGCTCTGGATCTTCTGGTAGTTGTCGCTTGACCTGTAGAGCAGGAGGAATTCTTCGAGGGGGCACCGAGTCTGTTGTATAAAACCGGCCATTTGTGAAATAGCCAAAGGTAAGCCCGCCAGCTCCTGGCCAATCTTGGTCGCGATATCGAAGTCCGTGCCGACAGCAGGTTTGCCGAGTATGCAGAGAAGTAATTTAGCGCTCTCTTCGTCGCTAAAGGGTTCTACCTCCAGACCATTCCGGGCGATTCCGGGAACGAGGGAAGAATTTCTTGAGGTCATTAATACAGCACCACCAGAGTCTGCAGCGGGCAAGAACTCCTGAAGCAGTGCCGCATCATCCACGTTGTCAAAGACGAGAAGCCAGGAGCCTGCTAAATGACACCAGTAACGTAAGCCAATGTAACAGCAAAACATGGCATGTCTTACCGTTCTGTTTCATCCACACCAAAACCTCATCTCGTACTCTCCACTGGTCCGAGACTTGATGACTTTCAAAGCCGAGGTACTGACTAATCGTCTGGAAGTCCTGAAACAACTTTTCCTGCCTCGCTGCACTTACCCAGAAAATTGCCGGATAAGCTGATTCATGTTGATAGCAGTATTCGAGAGCAAGTTGAGTCTTACCAACTCCACCCATTCCGTAGATGACAAATGTTCTCAGATTGGGAGAGTCAGGGTACGGCTTCAAGTGCTCGTCCATGATTTGGAGTAGTTCCAGCCGGCCCTGGAAAATTGGGCTCCTCGGATACTTCAGAACTTTGCAATTGACAGTGAGCTGGAAGGGTTGTAGCAGTTGTGGACGCATCAGCGCCACAAGCTGCTGATGACGTTCATTGGCCATCGACAGTCCAACAGCCTGTGCTGCCTTATCGGCGTTGTCAACGTTCTGGTGAATGTTGTGCATCAGTGCTGCAAACCTGGCCTTTTCGCCTGACCATCCCATGCGAACAATTGATTCTGTAAAGCAGGTAAGTATCCAAAATTCCATCCAGGGTTCCTTTTGCTTACGAAAGGGCCGTCTCTTTAGAAACTTCAGCGTTTGACTGCAGAAACGTATGTATTCGACAAAGACTGCAACAATGGCGTCCTCGACCATTGGAACATCCCTAAAAACTCTAGCGTATATATCAAAGCGAAGCATGGAAGTGGTGATATCCTTCCACATGCTAAGGATGTCATCGTGGACGGACAGGAAACGGGCTGCCGACTGTTTGATAGTTATCAGTCTTGCATCGAAGGTTGATCGACGTCAGACTTACCTCGAGAATGCATGTAAAGCTCCCCCATACCAAGCCAGATATTGCATCTGAAGATGGGCAGAAGAGACTGATTACTTCATGCATAGCTTTCAGCTGCTGGATGACCGGCCTGGCAGCATCGATCCTGACCATACCATCCTTAACGCGATTCTGGTAGAAACAGACCAATTTAGTCTCATCATCCACATTGAGAAGATGCTTGTACTCTTTCTCTCCCACAATCTTTCGACACTTGTCAACAGCCATACGCCAAAGGATGGCACTAGAGTATAGGTTAGTGGAAGGCTTCAAATGGCATTTTGAACTCACCTTGCATTCTGATCCATCTTCTAATAAAGATGGAGCCATACTAGTATGAGAGAAAAGGTACCTGTCTGTATCATATCAAATTCGGGGTTGCTTCCGACATATTGCCAATTGATATTTAACTGGCAAGAGGCATTACCACACTACACCTCAACACCAAAACTTTTGTTGCTTCGCCTTGCCAGTATGAGGCGAATACTGACTGACCTATCGGTCGGCGGCAGATAGTGGCGCGTCTCTGTCTGGCTGCCCGAAAAGCCCCCCTTGAGTGAATCCGGGCACATGGCCGTCTTGCCAAGATTGGGTGGTAAAATCAGCATGTGTTGTAAAACAATCCGACGCCCGCATGGTGAGGCGGCGAGCCGCGAAAAGCCGAAGCTCAGCTTACGCCAAGGAATCGGCCAGCACAAGCAACCTACAATGTGCGAGTGATCTACATGGAAGATCTGTCAATCAGCATTGCTTTGTTAAGGGCTGTGCTGACACGAATTGGTCCCCGGGTTCCGTGTGGCATGTGCGAGGGTCGGGCAAATACAATCCCTGCGTTCGCGCAACCGAGGCGACACTGGTCCTGCGGGGTTAGTGACGCAACCTACTGCAGCCACACTCGTTTCCGGGCGGACGGACGAGTGTTAAGATTCGATATCAGCTATCACGCATTGCTGCGCCTTTGAGGCGGGGTAATGGCTATGATCTGCGTCTTGAGATAAAAGCCTGATTGACAGTGTTCCATATGTTTTAGCTGTCGTGTAACATTTAAAATGTGAGATTGGCACAACCATCTCACGATTTCTTCCTCGCTTCGAAATTCCGCTAATCACGGTCTGCATTCGGAGCGGAGATGATTCCTCCTGAGAGCGAGAACGCTGCCGAAGATGATTCGACAATCGCAACGCTTGGATACGTCGACCCAACCAAGATGCCGCCGAAAGGAGAGAAGCCGTTCATTATTGTTTTCCCAATCTCGCATATCCCAGGGGCAAAACAGCGAAACTTTGGATTCCTTCAGAAACCTGGGGTGCGCATTCGAAACTTGAGGGGACGGGAAGAGCAATTCAATCTCGATTCCACGGGATTCCAGGTTATTCGCTGGCGTTTTGATCCCTCATGGGTGATCAGCGAGGAGGCTGTGGAGCAGATCTATTGCCGTGAAGCAGAAAGCTTCCTGAAAGGTGTGCTGGATGCCAAAGACGTGGTTGTTTTCGACTGGCTCGTGAGTGCAATGTCCCCTGAGTTATGACGTTAACCGTCCTTCAGGTGAGGAAAAATACTCCACATTTTGAAGACAGACGGTTCCGAAAGCAGCTTCGGCCAGCATTGAATGTTCATATTGGTAATTCTTCAAGCAAACACTGCGCCGGTCGAGTTGACGTTCTTATTTGCAGACCAAACGCCACGATCTGCGGTGAATCGTGTTCGCTTCCACATGGGATCCAGGGCGGACGAGCTGTTGAGGAAAAGATTTCAGATAATCAAGTATGACAACCTTGGCCATCTCAGTCAGTAAAGATCTGACAATACCCAGTATTTGGCGTCCTCTATTCACGCCTTTGGAAGATTGGCCGCTTGCGGTCTGCGACTTTAGGACCACATCTCAGTCTTCCATTGTTGCTGCAGACACTGTCGGACGCGGCGAATACAAAGGGGAGAGCGCGTACCTGAAATTTGATCCTGCCCAAGAGTTCTGGTATCTGAAACATCAGACAGTAGATGAGGTCTGGCTGATGAAGCAATTCGATTCTCTTTCTGATGCGACCAACCATTCATCCGAAAGGGTTGCACAATGTATGGGCCACACCCTATTTCGGTACCTCATTACTCATGAAATCATACAGTTGCCGCACATACGGCTTTTGATGACCCAAATGCAGGCACGAACGCAAGACTCCGAGAGAGCATTGAACTTCGCATGCTGGTTTTCTATGACTGAAGAGAGAATTGATGATAAAGGAAGGTATTGTTGTCAAGTTGTGTCTTCATTTAGAGTGCTGATGTAAAGATCCTTCTGTCTTGGAATACACTTGATACCACGTACTGATATTTTCATAGAAATTGAATGGATCCATTGATGCCATCAACAGATGGAAGTCCAATCCCAAAAGCAGGCATCATTTTATTGGATCAAAGTGACATCCTCTCCGCTTTTCCACGGGAGCATTAGCCCATTGTCTGTGAAGGCGCAGCTTCGAGGAGGTAGGTCTGATCGATAAGGTGAAGATCCTCCTCGTTGATGCTGTTGTTGGCAATCATCTCTTGATCCTTCTCGAGCCACTCCTTCCAAGGCTGACTTAGATCGGCTGATGCGTCGCCCGACTCGTTGACTGGATTGTCGTTCTGTGGCGGTGATTCCATTCTGGTCTGTGTTTCTTGCAGTCAGATCCGAGACAAAGCTGTGGTGTTACGTAGTACATACGTAGGCTGCGTTTGTGAAAGCAAGGCTGTGGTGTTGATTCTGATGATGAAGAAACACGTCGCAAAAGACAGGTCGCATTTCTCTTCTTTCCCTCGGACTCTTGCTAATATAGGCATGAATGAGAATCACATGGGCCATTTCATACTCTGTTTTTACTCGCCTTCCTGTATGATGAACCAGTAGAAACCCCTGTACGGAGTTGGGCAGCCATGCAAATCACCCTGATAAGATCAACCGAGCCAATACCGAAATAGACAGCAAGGATATCCAGAAAGTTAAATAGATCATGGAAGTTACGCATGACCCCACCCGAACTTCCTCAAGCCTGTTTCTGCAGAAAGGCGGGAGGAAGATCTGCATCGAGCCACCACTTCAGACCAATGACGGCGCCCAGGAAGTCCCTCTCGAATTGCACCAACATCACACGCCAATCATCGTAATCAATCATACCCAAGCTCATATGTTCGTCATAGGACTCAGTGACGAACTGGAACGTTTCGTAGTGATAATGGCGCAGTGGCGATCTTTGGGACGTCTTCCCTCCTTGGTGGAGAATCAGCTGGCCATTTTCGAGGCTGACGCTCATGGGAATCTCTAGTTTCGGTTCACGATAGGCGCCAGCATACTCGTAAAGTGGACCATGGGATGTGCCGCTCACTTGATGCTCTTTCAAAGGATCTGCGAGAACACGTTGATGCCAATGCTTGCATCTCTCCGCGAGGCTCTCTGCCAGAGCCTCGTAATCCACAGCCGCAGTGGCGTCGGGATCGACAACCTGACTTGCCAGCACATGGGTGATCAGTTCGTTGGCATCTCCCAAGGCTGTAGTGTTTCCGAGGACCACGATGGCAGTGTCCAGCTCAGGGATGAGGACGAAGGACGACAACGCACCGGCGTTCTCTCCACAGTGGGATAGTGCCAGCGTGTGAGTATTGGGGTTGCCGATAGGTGGAATTGGAACATCGCTGGCAACGGCGTTGTTGCGGCCCCCAATGCTCAGCCTCGATGGAAGCATCAGCCTCATAAATCCCATCCCATAGGAGCGTTCCAGCTCGCCATATGAGATGTTTCGTGGCAGAATCATCTGCGGGTCAAATATACTAGGAGGACGGCACATGGTGCGATGCTTCCTTTCGTATGCGTAGGCTTCCAGCAACTGTTGACCCCACTTTAGCATGTCAGAAACGCAGCTCCGGATGCCCCCGCCAGGTGTGAAAGGAGATTCTTCCCATGGTGGCTCGGCTATCCGGATAGGCTTTGCTGTCCTCGATGCGGCATATGCCAGGCTGATGTTCGAGTCTGGTATGTCCTCTTGCTTGATACAAGTTCTGTCCAAGCCATACTCCTTGAGAATACGGTTTTTCATGAATTCAAGGTAATTGGCTTCCTTGCTCCTTCTCTGGATAACGACGCCGGCAACAGCGTACATCCAGTTGTTATAAAGCCACTCGTATCTCAAGGGTCGTACTCTTGGTAATGAGTTGACTCTCTTGATCAGTTCGTCGTGCGAAACAAGTACCTCGCTGCGTTGGCCCACCCAGCTCATATCAAGTCGTGCATAGCCAGTTTCGTGTGCCAGAAGATCGACGAGGGTTGCTCTTTCTTCTTTCAACTCCGATATGTAAGTCTGTACCGGGGCATCAAGGTCTATTAGTCCTTCGTTAGCCAGAAGAGTGCAAGCTGAAGCTGTGAAAGCTTTGGTGCATGATGCGATGTTGTAAAGCGTATTTTCGTCCGCCGGTCTCTTCTTTTCTTCATCACGATACCCGTAGCCCTTTGCAAGGACTGTTTGACCATGATGGAGAACTCCATAAGAGATTCCCACTTGGCCCATGATTTGGCATATCCGGTCGATAATGGGCTCTACACTTTCCAATAGCTGCCTCAAGGAGGGTTTCGGCACACTACTATATCAATCAGCTATATAGTTCTTGGTCGCAATCAGTTACTTACGTTATCCGAGTGTCGTGTTTGATGTCTGGATACAAGGTTGTATCTGACACTTCAGTTCCATGTGTGGCTCCCAGCGATGATGGTTTCCACGGAAGCTTTGGAGATGGCGCTTCCAAAGGAGGATTAAGCGACAGGGGTTCTAGAGAGGTCACCGACGATGAGGAGTGGAGTGATGGTACTTCCTGCCATGAAGATTCCTGTGATGGAAACCCCTGCGGCGAGGTCTCCAGTGGTGAAGCTTCCATTTTGCGGCTGATGCTGGCTGTGAATCATACTCCCGGGAACACAAAGAGGATTCGCCGGACTATATAGTCTTTCCATTGTGACACAAGAGACAGAAAACGTTAATTCAGATATGCGCTCTATCATACAAGGTGACGTTCTGCGCAAATAGTGAGCTTCGGCTAATGGCGTGCATGAACACCTGCAGGGCCATAGAACAGGCAGAGGTTCTATCCACACGGATGAAGTGGCGGGAGAATGCTGCTATTGTTTGCTATTTCGAGCAGTGGGCGCGCGGTCATATACTGAACGAGCGAATGAGCGCTAAGCGGCATTCCCGCAGCAGAACGTAGATCAATTCAAGTGGCTTTTCCCGTACGGCAGCCATACAACCCCCTCTTGCAGCCGATGGCTAGCGTGTATTTATTTTTTGCTCATGTCATGGGTAGCTGGAGCTATCGTCCGGACGAGAATGTCGAATTTTTAATTCTACATGCGCGTCCGGACGATAGCTCCAGCTACCCACATCTGTTATTTTTCTTAGGCAGAGCTGGGGAGCCCTGCTATTCTTCGCGCTAGCCATCGGCTGCGAGATGGGGCTGTACTGTGTGAGCCAAGTCGCCACCGGACAAACTAGGTAGCGAAAACGAAAAACCCCGCATTGTCCTACCTGAGACGCCTCTGAGCCCAAAGTCCATCAGACACATCGCATTTCGAGGGTGAAGTCCAATAATACTTGCACAACGAGAATGGCACAGAAAAAGCAGCAAACAACGCAATGGTGCTGGGAGCACGGACCGTTCCTTTACGGCACAGAGTTCAAGTTTTCCCCTGACGTCATCGCCACTGCTGTGCTGGCAGGATTCAAGGCCATAGACACAGCCGCTCAGCCCCGGAATTGTGATGAAGAGGCAGTTGGAGCAGGTATCGAAAAAGCAATCCTGGAGTCGAATGGCAGGATCAAACGAACCGATTTGTGGATACAGACCAAGTTCACGCCGATTGGAGCTCAGTCGTACAAAGGAGTCTTTCCGAAACCGTTGCCGTATGACGCGAAGGACCCAATCGAAGTAAAGGTGGAAAAAAGCGTTCGATCAAGCCTTCAGAAGCTGAAGACCGACTACCTGAATGCTGTGCTGCTTCACGAACCACTTGATACAATGGCGGATACACTACGGGCCTGGACCAGTCTGGAAAAATTTGTCCCGGCCACAGTGCGGCACATTGGCATCTCCAACGCAGGGTTGGATGTGTTGAGGGAATTATGCAGCCAGGTCGTGGTGCAGCCATCCATCGTGCAGTCGCGATTCCGTCTTGTGCGATCGACAACAAAGGAGTCTTACGACGTGCATCTTAGGCAATTTTGCCAACGAAACAGCATTGTATACCAACCATTCTGGGTTCTCAAAGCCAATCCCCATCTTCTCAAGGCCGATCTTGTTGTAGCTTTGGCATCGCACTTTTCGGTCTCCCAGGAACAGATGCTCTACGCATTGGTGGCATCACTCGGAGGCCAGATATGCATATTGAACGGGACAACTTCAGTAGCACACATGAAGGAAGACCTTGAGGCTTTGAATAGAATTGGAACAGTACCAGATTTGGTTGTGCGATCGTTTGAGGAAATACTTCAGAAGTTTTCAAACGAAATCCAAACACAAGACAGAAAGGAAGAAAAGCTTGATAAGTCTTAATGAATTGTTTCATTAGAACCGTGTTGAAAACGTCCCAAGTGGTCATAATGTGGTGTCAATCTTCATTAGACGAGGTCCGCAACTTTCGTCGGATGCTCGAGAAACAAATACTGCCCAGTGTAAAAATGCCGATCAGTGTGGGAATGAGTTGACCACTGTCAAGCAGTGAAACAGAGCCCATGTCCACGTTGTTGATTCGTATGGTCATTTCCACCATGAGGATGGAAATCGTACCAGTCACAAGCTGGATGAAGCTGAGGACGTATACTGCTGTGTTCCTGTGGTCGTTGTCGTCATTGAGATCTGGTGGGACAGTTCCGGCGAGGAGAATGTTGACCACTGCGGCTAACGCACCAAATCCGCAGAAACAGCCGATGACGCTGAAGACTTTTCCAAATGTCCGCCACTTCCCATACACGCTGATAGACCCAAAGAAAAATATTCGCACATCGCAACCGGCTCTGGATCCACTATCGACACCAATGAAATATAGCCAAGGCTGAGTTGCTATGATGCAAAGCCAAAGAAGTAGCATTGTCGCGAAAGATCCTGTCGATTCATGGAGGTGTGCGAGGGTAGGAGGCACATTCCCCACATTCAACACCCACGTCAGCCATATAACAATGTACCACTCCAGCGCAACAAGATTATGCTCAGATAGAGTGCGGAAAGTATTTATAAAAATACTAAGAATGAGGATGTTGCATGTCGTACGTCCAATACGCGTTTGGGATGGATTGAATATTGTCGCCACCAAAATAGCTGCCCACTGCAAATAGAGTCCAATTCGGATGCCAACTCCATAGACGTCCGGATCGCCTTCGATAGTGCATGAGGCTTCATCAGACTCAAAGTGTGTAAAAGCAGATGTTTGAGAGACAAATGACCAGAAAAGAGGTGCTCGTACCCAACGCATGGTGGATACAAGTGTGAGTGTCGCACAATAGCGGACGGGTATGATCAATCTTGCTTATCTTGAGAATCGTCCAGGATTGCTGGCATTCAGGCTAAACACGCACCAATAGCTATTGCATGCCACATGTACCCATGCTTGCAGTCTCACAGCATGCGGCAGTTGGTCGATCGTTGAACAAAAACTCTAAAATCATCAGCTGGTCCAAGGGTAGAGTCGGCTTAGCTGGGCTCTCTTGGATACCCTGGCATCCCGATCGCTCGACGCCCGAACAAAACGCCTTCTGTGCGACCTGATCCTGCCCGTTCTGTACCACCTGTTTTGTTGTTCCGCGGATTCGCACATCGCTCAATGAAGTACGCCATCCTGCTCAGTATCATATTTGTGTTCTTAATGACTTTCAGCGAGAATGCGACAGCTGCCGCTCGAATTAGGGCGATAGAAATTTCTGTCTGTCACACGTATTATCGCAATCGCCAACATGATAGGATACCTGAACATCTCTGCAAAGTTACCCCTGTCCAGGAGCGATTAGCATCCCTGCGTGCCTGGCTTGGTGTGCTTGAAGCAATTCCAAGTATGTAATCCACCTTCGTCTCTGCTCAAAAAGCCTCAGAGCTGATACATTTTACCAGCCTTGATTATTGGGCTGCCTCTCGGTCATTATGCAGACAATGTCGGCCGGCGCCCCGTCCTTCTTTTAAATGTGACAGGGCTTTGGATGAACTTATCCAGTATCGCCATATTATGTTTGTGCATTTAGTTACTTCCATAGATATCAACGGGCGCATAGGCTAACATTTCCAAGGTTACTTGAATAGCTTTTTGCTGCCTCAATATGTACTAATATCGCCTTTATTCCTTCTCCTTGGGGGCGGTAAATATGTTTACCAAGCAATAATTACAAGTGTTGTCGTTGATTGCAGCCACAAAACAAATCGGTGAGCTTCGCTAATGGTCGCAATTTTCAAATACTTACTGCCTGGGTATTCATTGTAGAACACGCAACCTGTTCTTAGTCTTCTCATTGTACATCATCACCAACCTGATTGGGCCTCCGATAGGGGCAGTTATATTATCAAGAACCCCCTTCGGCGCTTTATTTCTAGGTATCGGAATTATTTTACTCGCTTATCCTGCAGTTTTCTTCTTACCAGAAACCTGTTCCAACGGAAGGTCACGATTTCCTGATACAGAATATACCGCTCTTTTTCAAGATGATAATCAACCGAATAACGACACTGGTCCTCCAGACGCCCATCCATCACTGTTGCCTATGTCAAGCGGCCGGGTACATTATTCTTATATGCACCAGTGTTTCGGCACTGTACAGAAGCTATTCGCAGATTTTAGAGCTCTTTTATCACGCAGAAAACTTCGTCTTACGTTTCTATCCATTCTTATTAGCACAAGCGGGGCTTTCGCAGACATCCTCCTTCCATATATCTCTATCACCGCAGGGTGGTCATTGGCTAAGGTGAGCACTTTTCTACCATTTCGAATCATTGTTAACCATTTAGGCATCATTCATTATGCCGATATTGTCTGCTATCCAACTTTTCTGTTACTCATTTGCGTTACCCTCCCTCTCCAATATCCTACAAATGCGAGCTCCACGGAGTCCTGAGCAAATTGACTGGATACTGGCTCTCATGAGCGGCATTCCACTGTCTCTTGGGACGGTGGTTATCGGATTGTCTCCCGACATCAAATGCCTTCTAACAGGTATGTGACAAAGCCTGATGGCTAGTACGTCAGTGCTTATTACTCAATAGGCTTGATCATTCAGACTGCTGGTTGTGGAAGCAGGCTTTGTCTTCTTTCCTTGGTGTCTGTCATGGTTGAGACAAAAGAGCGTGCACGGCTGTTCACATCTATCAGCCTAGTGGACACAGTGGGCCAGCTCATCCGTGCTCCTCTTATGGAAGCACTTTTCGCTACGAGCATTAATTTCGAGGGTCTTGCCCGAGGTCTACCTTTCTTTATATCAGGTGTGAGTATTAGTATGCGTGTAAAACACTGATCTGTTACTGAGTCATGTCAGGCCTGCCAGCTTGCTGCTTCCATGGCTATCTGGTCACTGAATCCGAGCTCTACCGAGCCGGATGAAGACGAGAATTAGAGGGCGTATGCCGAATCACATTTTCTCCATCTAGCAGTAGAGGATAGATGTCTCTTCACACACGGTAAACTTTGGGACTACTTGTCAAAAACATTTGGACACTTAAAAGTTTATATTTTATGTTGGGAAAATAGTAACTATCATTCAGCGAGAAAAGGCTACATATATCCGGATAAAAACACGTCACACTGTCTGAGCAGTTAAAACCAGATAATTGTGGAAATACATAAAGGCAGACAGGAATTTTCGTATAAGGTAGAACGAATGAGACAGTATCATGCGAATGACAATACTCGAACTAAAGACAGTGTTTGTATCGAACTCGAGTGAATATTCAGTTGACTCACTACCACCTCTCATTGTGTATAATTGACGAGGTAGCTACAAGCGTAGACGAGTCATAACTAAGTAAATGAACTGGGAACAGAATGGTGTGTCGATGAAGAACCTATTGAGACGTGGCTGGCAATGCGTTAATGAGTTCCGGGCTCTGAGATAAGTTGGAGGCAGTCGAAGGCGACCTATCTCGACTCCAAGAAACCACAATAGAGATACCAAGGCCGTCGGGAGGAGAGCAAATTTCGGTCTTATGATTCAACATGTCTTCGTGGACCTTTTGAAGCTCGTCGCGAATAACCTTAGCTTCGGGCCGGTGGCGTGATTCCGCGGGGCTGAGGATGCTTTGGATGATATTGACGCAGTCTCCAATCCATTTCCTTGAATCAGGATTAGTGTCAGAGAATCGCTGACTCAGCTTGCCAAGCCAAGTCAAAACATGCGGTTTGACCAGTCTTGTTTCCACATCATAGAACCGTTGATTGACATGAGCTGGCTTCTCGCACTCTCTTTTCAACTCTTGCACCAGATCTGGGGCCACGGCATATGTGAGGACCTCGGACAGGATGCAGCCAAATGACCATACGTCTCCTTTTCTAGCGTCTGGTTGAGGGTGTCCGCAAGCGATCACCTCGGGAGCGGTGTATCTCCCAGGCTCCCTCTTTGCAGGTGTCCTTGATGCAGAACATTCACGGCTTTTTGGTGCGTCTAGAGCCCCCGTAGCAGTCTGGCCGCGAGTCACTCGCTCTTGACCTACTGACAAAGACTCATTCTTCTCCTTGAGCGGTGCGTGATTGTCGATGATCGCCTTTGACTGTGATGTCCGCGTCTTGCCCTGTTGGATTTTGGAGATTCCAAAGTCCGCGATCTTCCACTGGCCCACTGGGTACTGTTCCTCAGCATCTGAGGAGTCTGGAAAGAAGATCAAGATATTCTCCGGCTTCAAGTCGTTATGCGCGCAGCGCATTTTATTGCTCCCGTACAGTCCTTCATGTAGAAATTCGAGAGCATCAGCCAGAGTATAGATCTCCCGAATCAGATCTGCTGCCCAATAGCCGCTGGATCCATTTCTTCCGACCCCTGCACTTTCGAGTCGATGTCTATGATCAGAAAAATCGGCGTCCCCGCAAAATATTTTCTCCAGGTCGAAGGCGGCGAGGTCATACAAGATGTGGTGTATCTTCCCAGCAGACTCTTGTCGGATGAAAGTGGCAATATTGACCATGATGCGCGAGTGGTTGCTGAGGCATTTTCGGAGAGAGACGAGATTTTGGAACTCTATCGAATCCACATTCTTGTCGAGAACAACTTTGCAAGCAACAGCCTTGGCCTTTCCACATCGTTAGCAACCCCATATGAATGAAATTTTATCCGTATCAATACACTTACTGTTTTGTTTATAGCCTTCCTCGTAGGAGTTGGATTGTACTCCAGATAGTAAGGAGCAACCACCTCCATGTAGACTTCAGCTGATGCACCCTCACCAATCGGTTGCCGTTTCTGAATGAATGGCATGCGTCGCTCCATTTGGAGCTCAGTTTCATCGTACGGCTTCTGCCTTTCGATGATTACGAAGGGACAGAATATCCACTGCTTCTGGAAAAACTCATCACCATCTCTCGGACCAAGCCACTCAGTCGCTTGCAGCTCTTTCCGGTCGAATGGAAGGTCATTGTCGGTACGCCTCTCAGTATCGATGAACATTGTCTTGAAACTCTCCCAGTTCCGAAAGTTCAGCAGAACTAAGATGGACAAGATCTTGAGGAAGTTCTCAGACATAAATTTGCTGTTGATGTTGCCGCTGTACCATGATTTGGTCTTGTAGAAGTCGTCGTTTCCGTCTTGCGTCCATAGTTCTCTGAGGTCCTGCTCCAAAATGATCCTCGAATTCTCCAGGCCAGTGGAACTCTTCATGAGTCCAATCAAGCCCTCCTGTATCTGCCGCTCTCGCATCTCAGGTTTGATTGTCGTTGACTCATCGCAATTTGTAGAACTACACATACTGGGTGTATGCGCGCTAGCGGATACTAGCTTAGTTCTCGATGGCAGTGTGCTCCCAGAAGAGTTCAATGCTGTTGTCTCGCCCGAGTTCCTGCGTCTCAGCCGAAAGAATGCTAAGAAGGCGTTCATGATTTGGAAACAATCAAAAGACTGGAGAAACTTCATCATTAGCTGGAAGGGTTTCGAAGCTGTCGCCTTGATCTACTCACCCGTCGTTGGGTATTTGAATTCTCAGACGTTTCTCGCAACGGCCCATTTCATGCAGGATCAGCTGAACATAAGACAGTGCACTGCCGAGTTCTACGAGGCTGACTCCGCAACCTTTACAGAAATAAAGCAACAAGGCAATGGAGTTGGTGGGGGACAAGTTGTGGCAATTCGTCTAAATCACCATGGGGTCATCATGGGGCCTTAGGCTGACATAATTTGTCTCAGCCTTGTCAGGAAAGCGGGGAACTTTGTACTCTATCCAATGGAATTTCAACTAAGAGGGGGTGGTCAGATCTGTTCCGAATGTGTGGTTATACAAGCCACTCACCTTCGTTTCTTTCAGCCTTGTCCTCTCACTATACATTCTTATCTTACTGATAGGATAGGCGAATCTACATTATATACTTTGAACTGTTCAAACTCATTCATGGCAAGTTTGTACTACAAGGCACTCCCGTGATGCGGCTGAAAATTTCTAACGACGGATTTGTGATAAATGTTGCTTTGGTTGAGCTGCGAGGCTCACTTTCCCAGAGCCTGATCTCAAAAATCTGCCTTGCCGGCTTCATCCTTGTCGCTTTCATCGCACGGGCTTCATTCACTCAGTCGCCCAAAATGCCGACCTATGCATACCATAATGTGCTCAAACCAAGACTGAGCGGCTATATTAATCGGGACAAGCTCGAAAGCTTTTTGGAAAAGCGCTTTCCTCGAGATGTTCATCCAGGACCTGCAAGCGACAGGTTCAAAATCAAGGTAGGTACGACATGTCCAAAAAATAACTAATCACACACTCAATGAGACAGGAAACAAATGATCAGTGGGAGTTCTATGCTCCAGAGATTGTCCCTGAGGTTGGTATTATAATAAGTAATTCAGAAGTAGAGGAGTACTCATACTATTGTAGGAAGACTTCAAGTTCGTCGGGCGTTTCATTTTGAACTGCTGAATTTTAACATGGGGTAGACCACTACGAGAGTCGAACCAATAGCCTAACACGCTTACGCTTCCGGCAGGGTAGCCTCGAAATACATGAGGCTGTGCAAGGCAGAATGCAAGTCAGATACGCAATTGCGCATTAACTATCGAATGATCCTTCAGTCGGGTGGAAGGGCTGTCATCAGCCTTGGTGACCGAGGGATGGTTGGTTGCCTCGTTATCATGTGGATAAGCCACTTAGGAATTGTTTTACCGAGAGAGCTGTGGAAAATTGCATGTGGTTTGCCGCCTCGAAACTTGAACCTTAGCAGAGTTTAATTTCTCTTAGGCTGTACCATGTGGCCACTACGTAAAATGGCACAAGGCTGCGTGCCTTAACAGCGTCAGGGTTGTAAGTGACCGTTAAGCATAAATACAAGCTATCAGTCTCAACAGCTCTGTAGCCTCTCACTACATCAGACATTCAAACTCAAGAACAATGGAAAAGCAAAGCTCATTTGAACGCTGGGAGAATTACCCTTTAGGACTTGACGGCTATTCCCCTCTCGATGCTAGTTGGAGCTGCCAGCTTCAGCAGCTTGCGAAGCACTCAAAGGAGATTTTCTCGGATTCGAGATCGTTAGAGGTGAGGATTGTTCGCAAATTAGGTATGCTCTCAATATATCAAACGAATATCGCTAAGCGCTCAATAGCCAAGAAGGATAATCGAATGGACCCGGTGCTTGTGCTACATGATGAAGAGCAACTTGATGAATCTTTGAAGGAAACCGGGAAGGATTCTTTTCGAATAGTATCATTCTTCCAAGAATTCTCCCTCACCACACTCAAATGTTCACGTTCAGCAATGATGAACACCCTCTCCGAGTGTGAAGTGAAACCCATGTTCCTGGACGTCGTCCTCAAGTTCGGAGACCAGGAGGCGATCTTTGAAGAATCCTCGGGTTTTAGAGAGACATACCAACAGGCAAACGGATCATTTGGTGAGTAAAGCTTCATTTACTGAGTTTCGTGACTCATGACAGAGATAGATCTCTGCTACCAACTGATGTACGTGGAGCCGAGTGGAAGGCCTGTCGGAAGGGATCCATGGTCAATTCGGCAAACTGGTGTATACCACCGATGGGACGCTGGCATGGACGTCAATCTTTTTATCCTACTCCATCCGAGGCACAGCCCACCGGTTCAAGAAAAGCTGGAAGCCCTGGCTCATAAACCGGATGAAAGAGATGCATTAGTAGAACATCCCATGAACGTCCACATTGTGCTTTTAACTTCCTGTTTGAGCTTTTGGCAAGCCTACATTCAGGACTTGGCCAAAAGACTGAGTGATTATGTGAGTAATTCCTCGTGCAATAAACCAGTGTTCATTATCTACGTGCTGATGTATGCAGAGATCAAATATGCTTGTGCGCAGATCCCACTTCAAGCCGGAGGAACTACAGTCTCTTCGCAACCTTGAAGACAAAGTTGTGTTCCGTGCACTCAGCGGGCTTCGAAGCTCCATAGTCCTGGTAAATACACTGCTGGAGCTTAACCGAGGGATTCCAAGCAACAACCCGGCAGTCCTTGACAGGTCATCACACATTGAGCGGCAATTGGTGTTGATACTACACCGTCTTGAAGCCCACGTGAATGCGGCGGGCATTTTATCCCAAAAGATCCAAGCAGCACTTGGCCTGGTAAGTCATCGTCAAGAGACAAAAAAAGACCTTAAGCTGACCGTGGGTTTCCCAATCAAGCTTGCAAATCTCCTCGATATGCAGAGCAAAGAGTCGTCGGACCAGATCAACAAACACATGCTCCAATTAACCCGCGAAAGTGTCGACGATAATGCCACTGTCAAAGTCATAACTGTCTGCACGCTCATCTATCTTCCAGCATCGTTCACGGCGGTAAGATATCATCAGAGCATTTTCACGCCCTATTAAGGCTGACGCAATTCTTGCAGACACTGCTTGGAATGAACCTTTTCGAGTTCGAGTCTAATGACGGTTCGTTGAAGGTCAGCCCTTTTTTCTGGATATATTTTGCTGCTACCATTCCATTGACGCTGCTCACGGTTGGTGCATGGTATCTTTGCAAGGTACGATATGGAAAAAGACGTCAATTGGCGCGGGAAATGGAGCATTCCTGTTGAAAAATGGGTCTTCTTTTAGCGAGGATGTCGAGTCTTAACATCGGTACTTAACAGTGTTTACAATCCAGCTGCAGTAAAAGAGCTATAGCTAAACTGTAGCTCTTCTGTAGAGCGGATTCCCTCCCTCACGGCTTGATAAGCTCGCATGGTTGTGAATTGTGATTCCCGGAGCAGTTTTTTCTGGCCATGTCGCAGCCTCTTGTGTTTGTGAGGCACTGTCATTTGCTCTGTCCACCAGCTCCTGGAGACTGTCTTCATCAGAGGGGTACCAGACGTCCCTCGAGGTCGTGAACGTAAACCGACCGGGTCCTCTACCCGGCAGATCAGAGACGTATCCCCACCTCACCGGCAGGAACCCAACATCCGTATCATCTGGATGCGCGTGACAGGCAGCACCGATTGCGGCGCTACAGGTCGAAACTAGAGGCATCGGATAAGGCGGAGATGCAGACCCATCCGTTGGCCGTTTTACCGTATACGTCTTGAAAGCACCGAGGAGCACGAGCGCGAGCACCATGGTACCGCCCAACATCATGGAAAGAAGGATTCCGAGGCTAGAATAGCCGACTATGGACCCGCCAAGAGCGTCGTTTATGTGAAAGTCGGGGGAAGCGTAGCCGACTGTCTGGATGACGAAGACACTTTGGGAGATCAGCCAGTGGAGAAGCCCGGAACATATTATCAAGGGGAGGGAGAAGCTGTATGGGAGAGATAGGAAGTAGCTGCCGCGCTGCATGCCCAGCGGAGCGGAGACGCGGAGGGATTTGCGTTCAGAAATGAAGTCGTTCCATTCGGCGGCGACGAGCAGTACTGTGATCAGGTTGTTGTACAGTAGATAGAGGGCGCTGAAGACGATCTGGAACATGTTTGCGAAGAGAGTCGCGGCGAAGAAGCCGGCAGTGTCGCTGATCCCGCCCATTTTCCTCATCCAGTCGAGAGCAGCGGTAGCCCAGAGGTTCTCGCCTCCAAGGCCGTACTTCCAAAGGGATGAGATGTCGGAAGCAATTCCCCAGTTCTTTTGGCCGGTTATGGCGGTGCCGAAGAGCACGGCGACTATCACAAGCATGGCCGTGCATCTACGAAGTTAGTTTCGTTGTAGGTCGAGCGACGGAAGTGGCTTACAGAGAAACCGTAACGATCCAGCGCCTGATAGTGGCCGCATAAAACCATCTTTTTATTTCCGGTTGCTTCGGCGTATACTCCTGCGGCTCGGGCCATCGCTTTTCGAAGTCCCTTCTCGTGGCGAACTGAAGATCGGTCGTGGCTTCCTCTGGACATTGGAGAAAGCTGTCGATTGCATCTCCAATGGTAACGAGAGGAACCTTCTTTAGAGGCACCCTTCCTCTACGAAGCCCTTTCTTTGCTCTTCCTTGGCGATGGAGGTATGATGTGTAGAAAATGCATAGGCATTTGAAGAAGTTCAAGACACAAACCAGGGTGAGGATGAGGGGACTCACTCGCAGCGCGCATTTGTCATCCATAGAGTGCAGGTCCCCTGCAGGAATGCAGTAATCGATTTCCGCTGTGAAAGCTTCTGTCGAGCCATCTCCTTGCCATTTTTGCTCGAAAAATGCCCAATGATCAGCTTGTGGAAGCAAAAGATCCTTTGTGCAGAATTTTGACGGTTCGTTAGGTTGGGTCAGTGTTGTACACATCCATGCGCTGGTAAATACCCAAGCAGTGCCGCTTGGGGACGTGAGATATGTAAGTAGGGAAGAGCTGTTGTCCGGAGGAAATGAGAGGTGGTCTTGCATGGTGACATTGGAGGCCACAAGAAGGAGGTCCGTCAAGCCTGCAGTGCGATCGATATAACGATTGATACACTCGGTATTATTCAACCGTCCAAGATTGGTGGCGTCATTGCGTAGGCTTTGGAGTTGCGGAAGGGCATGGTCCCAGGGGCGTTCATCGGACAGGAAGTCTGCGGTAACGACTCCGACGGTGTACATGCTTGTTAGAATGGCAACAAATACAGCAGAATTCCATCTGTCAAGTAAGTTTTTGAATTTGGACAAGGAATTGCGACTTACATTAAGTGTAAGAGCCCAGAACTGATCATGAGGCAAAGCCATGTAGCCCGTTTGGTAGGTCGAAGCTTCCACAGGTTGCGAAAGCTTTGGATGCCAATGTCAAACCACTGCTTCTTGTTATGGGCATTATCAACTTCTTGCCTTGTGGGTGCTGCCAGGAGTTGAGCGCAGTAGTTACTCGAGCCGAGAAGCAGAGTAGAAAGCACGTTTATAGCAATATGCAACACCAAGTTGTTGTTTTTCATGCGCTTGCAGTTTCCGCTTATCATGTCGCCGCTGATTCTATGAATCCCATGCTTCTTGATGGCGGATATTGTTATTGAAAGATTGACCAGGAAGACAATGCTGGACATGGCTTGATGGACTATCAGCATGATGTCCCTATTGGAAAGCCTTCGGAGCCATCCTTGCGCTTGAAGGTTCTGGGGGTCAACAGCTGGAAACCAAGCTTTTAACAGTTCGATCGTCCCGAACCGACTACCATGTATTAGTGTATGCCGAAAGCCGAGACAAGAAGAAAACACATACGGAACGCAGTCCTTATTTGAACCATGGTATGCGATAAGTGCTGTCGTATCGGTTGGTTCAGGATTTCGCTCCATCTTGCCGACCTGTTCAAGCCTAACGTGTGAGTTAGGCTCTATTGAAAAGCTAGATTGTTGTGAGTCTCCGCTGCTCATCATTTCAGATTCTGTTTACCTGGACTTTCTGGCGTTACACACAATGTATATATGTTGATTACGTGTGGCTTATGAGGCTGAAAACGACTCATTCATGCCAGCAACGCTGATTTTAGTATCTTAGGCAAGGCTGGCGCTTATGTACAGCACATTCCTATTCTATTCAATTTGACCCTGCGTTGGATTTGCATCGCCTAAGTTGTGGCCAATGAACTGTGGGTGATCTTCACGCCAGAATCCTCCGTGAGGCTTTCACAGCCACATTCTCGCTAAACCTGGCTGTACCAACACACCAGACGATTGAGCAGAGCTTCTATTGGGTGCTTTCATTTTAATGAGAAATTCAGGAAAGCAGAAATACGACTGATAGGTTCGCCCTGAGGGCTTGCTGTCTCACAGCCTTATCCATACACAAAGGGAAGAAAGAAAAAGGTATCGCCGAGAGGGTACATATTGGGAATGGTCAGCTGGAGCCTCCGTTCTTTGCTCTTCCAGGCGACGTCTGGTGACACGCTATGCGACCAACCGGTGGCTAGGACTGGGCCATTGCCGCACCATTCTTTCGAGCCGCCCCTCTGGATTTCACGGATTTGGAGAGCTCAGAGCCTTTTCCAGGTGAGCGTTTTTCCACCCGACCCCTCAGAGGGTAGTCGGGTTAAGCTTGCATCTACTAAGAAGACTGAGAATAAGATCTAGATCTTATTCTCAGTCTTCTTAATCGTAGTTACTACTACTACATCCTCCTCATCCACAGGCATTACCACGCCATCCAGCACAGCGGTAAGCGTCGGGTCCCTCCTCACCACCCGCAGCCCCCTCCCCTTCTCATCGCCAAACAGCCCGACCAACTCCTCCAACGACTTCCCCTTGGTCTCCGGAAAGAACAACCAGATAAACGCCATCCCAGCCACCAGCATGCCGAGATAAAACACAAAATACCAATACCCAATCGCCTCCAACGCAATCGGATTGACGTAGTTATTCACCGTCAGCGCCGCCTGGCTCGCCGCAATCTGCAGTGCCAGCCCCTTCGTGCGCACGCCGTACGGCAAAATCTCCGTCACATACGCATACAGCAGCGGATTACACGCCAAATTAAACGCCGCATTATACAAAAACAAAAAAACGACAACCGCGCGCGCCGCCCCCTGCGACCCCTTAGCCGCATACCGCGCCGACGCCACCGTCAGCGGCACATTCGCCGCCATCATGCCCGCAAACGACAGCAGCCACAGCGGCCGCCGGCCCAGCCGCTCCGCCAGCACGACGGCGCCGACCGCGCTGCACACCAGGTTCCACACCTGCATGCCGCCGTTGATGCCCGTCTGCGCGGCCGTCGACGCGATGCCGATGGAGCTCAGTATCGGGCTGAAGTAGTACGATATGACGCCCTGCCCGTTCCACAGCGTGAGGACGGCGACGGCGAGGCAGAGGGCGAAGCGGGCGCGGTGCGCGCGCGAGCGGAGCGCTACGCGCCACGTCAACGTTTTACTCGCGGCGCGCTCGGCGGCCAGGGCGGCGGTGATTTGCGCGAGCTCGTGGGCGACGAGGGCGTCGGCGCGGTCGCCGTTGGCGTGGTAGGTGGCTAGGATGTGCAGGGCGTCGTGGGGGCGGTTGCGCGAGATGAGGTAGCGCGGGGATTCGGGCATGCCGGAGAAGGTGGAGAGGAGGACGAGGAGGGCGGGCACGCCTTGGACGATGGAGGGGATGCGCCAGGACCAGGTGCTGGTGAGGTGGCCGGTGCCGAAGGTGAGCCAGGCGGCGATGATGGAGCCGACGTACCAGAGGACGTTGAACTGTGGGTGGGGTGTGATGGGTTAGAGGCTGGGGAAAGAGGTGGGAGGGTTGGGTTGGAGGAGCTTGCCATGGATGCTATTTGACCTCTCATTCGGGGATGGGCGAGCTCGTTGAGGAGACTGGGGCCGGCCGAGGTGGTAAAGCTGATTCCGAAGCCGATGATGAGTCGGCCGCCGATGAACATTCCTTTTCCTTGGGCTGCGCTCTGGAGTGCTGCGCCGGCGACGCAGAGGAGAGAGCCGAGAGCGATGGCTGGCCTTCTGCCGTATCTGTCTGCCATGGGAGATGCGAAGAAAGCGCCAACGAATCCACCGACAAAGACGATGGCTGTGATGAGACCAATGTCGCTTGATGTGGGATTGCCCATGGCTGAGGACGTCAGCAAAGATTGGGGGAAATAGTTGAAGTGCCTCACCTTCCACCCATGGTTTCATTGCTTGGAAGCTTCCCGTGACACTTTCATCGTAGCCAACCGTCATCTGCGACACCAGAATGCACGTCTGCCAAAATACCAAGCGGCGCAGTCCAGCATCCTTCCACCATTTGGCATTCGTGTTGTTCGGGATCTGGGCTAATTGTCCTGGCAAAAGGCTGTCAGGAAGGACTGTCATGGTGCCCAGACCTGGAGTGTGAGCGGTGGTACGACCTCAACGTGATTGGAATCATGCAGCATATAAGTGGCAGACAGTCCCCAAATGCTTTTCCCGTTGGCTCGTTGCCGACGATAAGGTTTGTCAAGATTCAAAACTCGGCCGTGACTCGACCGAGCCGGTTTCCCCACGTTTCCCCAAATGGAAAGGTGGGGTCGGCCGCACCCCCAGCATCCATCACAATCAATGCACTTGCGGGGAGCATGTCCAATAAACCTTGACGACTCTCGCGGTTCCACCCGAGTCGGCCGGCCGCCGGCGTCGGCCGTGCCTGAATACGGATTTGCGAACTCTGCATTTAAAGCTCCCGCCGATAAGGCCTTGTGCGGAGCTTCAACAATCCCGTTACCTGCTGAATCATGCCGCACTATATTGACACCACTGCCAAGACTGGTGATTGGCGCGACGCCCTCTACGAAGATGGCTTCGTCGTTGTCAAGGGCGTCCTCTCCCAGGAGAAGGCCAGCTCGTACGTCGATAGGATGTTCCAATGGCTCGAAAGCTTCCCTTTCGGTTTCAAGAGAGACGACCCGTCCACGTGGAATGCCAACCACCTCCCCGCCCACATGAAGTAAGCGGCACTCTGGCTTTTGATCCGATGACGAAGCTCATACGATCCAGGGGCGGTATGTTCCATGGCTACGCCGTGCAGCATGAGAAAGTCATGTGGGACGCCAGATGGTGAGGTTTAGTCTCCAACCATGCTTCTGTAGGCTAACTAAAAGCAGTGAGCCCAACATCATCGAAGCCTTCTCGAAGCTATGGGGCACCGACAAGCTCCTCGTGTCGTTCGACGGCATGAATCTGACCATCCCAGCAACCGACAGGCCGGCATTGGAGCCATGGCCGCACGTCGACCAAAGCCCGCTGCGGAAGGGCATGCAGTGCGTCCAGGGAATCCTGAACTTTGCGCCAAACGGACCGAAAGACGGCGGATTGATCGTCGTCAAAGGGTCCAGCAAGCTTGAAGAGCTCTTTTTCGAAGCTCACAACGACGTCCAAGGTCGCGAGACGTGGGGTCCCGCCGATTGGTTTGGCTTTCAGCAGGACGAGGTCGACTGGTTCCTTGACCGTGGCTGCGAAGTGCTGAAGGTCTGCGCTGATCCTGGCGATCTTATTCTCTGGGACTCGAGGACGGTCCATTGGAATGTCATGCCCGAGTCGGACGTCACTCGTGCTGCTATGTGTGAGTTGACAGATACCGCGCGAGAATTCCAATGCTGACAGCATAGACATCTGCTACACGCCTGCATCCTTTGCTTCCGCTGAAGACTTGGAGCTCAAGTCAGCTCTATTCAAGCAGAGATGTGGAACGGTAACCATTCAGCCCCGATTCCCTTGAAAGTTTGGCCACTGACCGAAAGTAGACACATTGGCCGCATGCCAATATCTTTCCCAATAAAGAGAAGCAGCTCCGACTTGGCAAACCTGATACATTTTCGAGAGAGAGGCCGTACCAAGAGCCGGAGGAGAACGAGTTGACGCTGAAGTTAGCGGGAGTGCTCCAATACGAAGATTGAGGTGTCTTGTACGCAGGAGGCTTCGGCCATGATTATGTACAAATCGCTCTGCGTAGCTTTAGGTATTACTCAGTTCATCTAATATCTTTAGTGCTTGCGTTGCAACCATGTTCTGCGACTCCACGCGTCTCAAGAAATCTTTCCCGTGAGATATGTACGAGGTATAATCTGGCGAGTCATGTCCGCCTCCTTTCACTTCGAGCGCAAGCGTCACCGATGCGGAAAAAACGTGCATAGTGAGAGCCCTGTTTGATGTCAGTGATTTCATACTGGACAGTGGTCGGCCTCTTACCATGGTCTCATCCGGGAAAAGTCAGGCGGTTCAGTACCAGCCAATGCAGATCTTATGATGGCGACTGCCGATTGAAGGCAGATAGACCTCGCTCTAGAATGATTGGTCGAACCTTCAAGCCAGTGTGACTGCAGAATGCGGTTGATGGCAATGCGGTGGTACAAGAGAACCATGGTGAGGCTCCTCTTCTGCCAGGGGATCCACGGGTAGGCAGAGTCTCGCTCCAATGTTGCTGGCGTTTCAGACTCATCGTTCTGAAGGTGCTGGGGCAGTTCGCCGATGAGTGTGGCCAGCTGGTCGTCGGCAAAGAAGATGAACTGCGCAATCTCGGCAGCGCCCCATCTTCGCAGCCGCATCTTCGACTGAAGTTGGTAGAAGATGATTGCAATTTTGCTCATGGCTATGTGATACTGAATCGGACGTGGACCCTTCCTGATTGAGCGCAGACCGCCCAAGTTTGTCGCTTGTAGTTGCTCGTCGTCTATATCTGCGGGGAGCTCGCAGTCAAAATCAACGTCGCTGATGCAAGGCATCCGAGGAGGACATGGCAGCCACTCGCAGAGGACAAGCGTCCACCAGAGTCGTCTCCGAGACTCGCGCTGCACCATGGATTCGTTGCGGTTTTCTTGGTCTGAGCCGAGATTCAGCTCTTTGGCAACACGGATGGCACACGCCCATAAGTTCGAATGGCGATGCGTGTCTCCAATGTTGGTTGCAACGATGCCGAGGATGGCGATGGCCCGGGGGACAGCTATCGTTGATCTCTGCATGAAGTCTGCCTTGTCTAAGAAATATAGAGCCGAGTCGTACCAGTTTCGCAGGAGAGACTCTTGTTCGGTGCATGGAGGGCCGCTGCTGACGAACTCGGTTTCATCCATAAATAGTAGAGTGGAAGAAAGAACACTGAAGTATATTGCCAGCCAGAGAGGATCTTCAGCGCTTAAAGACGAAGAAACGGTAAAGCGTTGCCAAAACTGTGCGTGTTCGCGCTGGAATTCGGGGAAGAAGAAGGCAAAGTGGATCCAAGACGTCCATACCCTGCCATGTTGGATAAGAGTGTGACTGCATTCCATTGAAGGTATCCGGACGTGAGAGTCCAGAAAGACGCTCCTGGGCTGTCTCGACTGACCAACTGTGAGGAAAAGACGTCGTTCGTACTGTTCCGTTATATCCACAACGGCATTATGAGGCGCATTTGAGTCTGTTGATACCTCTCTACCGGCGAGCAGGGCCGAAAGCCGGGCATTTTCTTGCAGAAGAGTTTCGTAGCTAGGGTTTGAGCTTGGGGAGTTGGCAGTGCGGAGCTGACCGCGAACGCGGACCGTCTCGCGTCGGCATTCCGAGGCTGTCCCGCGGCTGATACATGCTCGACACGGTATCTGTCTACTGCATTTAACCTTTCTGGCATAACAAGCGGTGCAGGAAAGAGGCGCACGTTGGGTAGAGCGGATAGAAGAGGGCATTGGGAATGGACGGGTTAGAGGATATGTAGCAACGTGGGGTAACTTTAATACTTAGGCAGCGGGGGTTCGCCCTGGCCTATCGCATAATTAGCGACTCTAGTACCCTTACTAAAACGTATCGCGTAATACCGAAGAACACGTATATATTCTCTACTACTATAATATCTATCTAAAATAAAGTAAACTTAATTATATATCATATATAACTATCTTACGTCTTATTCAATTTAGTAATACACCGTCCACGGCCCAGGTGCTGTGGAAGACATTGCTGCCGTTGCAACGTCGAAGCCCAGTGTTTCTGTCAAACATTCTGACGAAAATTTCCATCAGATAGTAGAGATAGACTAACTTTATTTGTCGTGTATCGGAAAGTCGCGTCCAATGCCACAGAACTCTAAGATACAAAATGGAATGACGAGGCATATACTAATAATGAAAATGGTGACCTTGAAAATTCATTCGTATCCTTCAGGGAGAATGAAGGTTCCTGTAGCGTTTTTGTAGGCGGTCAACTGCCCTTGTTCTCCCATCAAATCAAACTCTGGATCAGCCACCCCTTCCAGATCACCTCCGTCATCCGATTCATACACCTCCTCGGACAGGTAAAGCGGCTGAAAGCTCGACATTTGTTCCAGACCACATGTCGTAGTCAAGACCTTGAACGCTGCATGCCATCCCATAGTTTGCACCGTATTCTCCAAAGCGGATATGGTGAAGCTAGTAAGCTCAGGCTCGATAGCCTGAAACAGCGACAAGCCATCAATGACACAGAAGAGAATGCTCTGCTCTGGAATTTTGTTCACCAGTGCCTTGAAGAGCTCACAGAGGTGATGAACATCTCCAGCTTCAAGGCGTTCTCTGAAGGCGGGTTCGTTGACCGAGTTGAAATCAAAACTTCCGAATAGGTCTGAGCGGAGAAGTTGAATAGTCAGACTTTTCATGAGTCCGATCGGCCCAAAAAATCCGTCATCGCGAGAGGTGTGGAAGCCACAGTAGAAGCTGATCACGCGCTTATCGGTAAGAGGAGCCACACACTCTGTGAGTGCCCTGGAAATGATGCTCATGGGTGTGAAAGACTCAGTGGCATAGTCTTCCCATGGGGAAACTATGGGCAAAAAGGCGGACTCGCGAGAGGACAGGAAGTCTTTGAAGCGATCAGACCGCAGAAGTGCATGGACCCTGCTGTGAAAGGGCTTCTCAAGGATCACTACCATTTTCTTGGCACTGTTATCTTCTTGCTCTGGTGGCATCAAATCAGCCCCCAAGGCTTTAAGGAGACGACCGCGGACCCAGCTCCCTGTGGTTGACGTCTTTTTTTGCGCTTGCTGGCCCTCCGAGCTCTGATCTTTGGACAAATTAGACACTTGCAACCATTTCCATTTGTCTTAGATCACTCACATATGATTACCTTAACGTGCTGTGTGATGAAGTCTTTCAGGCTGTCAAAAAGTACAACACCTCGGGCGTCAACAGCATTGATGATCTTCCCTTCAGAGTCCTGTATGCCCCTGACAACTGTCTTCAGGCTATCTTCGTTTTGGCGGAACATTCCAACAATCATTCTGCGAGTCCGTTGAAGCCCTGAGTCTACACTTCTCATTCCTTCTTTCACCCCGACTAATGTTTCCTTGTGCAGGTGTTCGGCGACATCATCGAGACATTGGATCTGACGATAGAATTCTTCTTCGTTCTCATCCAAGCCTGCGTAGGATGATGAACGTTTCCGGTGTTTGAGGAGTGAATCCTTGATTTTCTTGTCTTTAGGACGTCAGAGAGAAAGATTCATGCGGGCAAAGGTTCTCCTACTTACGAGTTGGTATATCGACTAATGTGCTGATCATTGACTGAATCATAGCGAGGAAGCTGATGTAGGTTTCGGTTGCACAAAATCTCATTTCAGGGCTTTCAGAGTACAAAGTCATATGTCGTTCGACCTTGATCTGGAACTCCTGCACGCGGTTGAATGTCTCAGCAATTCTTTCGCAAATATCAGCCCTATCACCGACCGCCTTCGTACTGTTAGCTGTATAGCGTGCGTAATCACAGGTTGCACCACTTACACCAAGAACTAGCTTAAATGCGCCGCACGCAATTGAGCCATAAGAGTCAGTTGGAAGAAGCTCTACCCAAGGCATTATTGATGATGACCAATTTCCAGTGACGCGGAATAGACGCCGAACAATGCCGGATTTTCTTTTGACGCAATTGTCATAACGCTCTTGCGCCTGCTTTGTCATTGCTATGACTTCATCCCAGCTGTGGGCATTTTCGACGTTGAAAGTGCCAGAATATTCTTTTCCCCATCTACTTCTCAGATATTCATCTCTGACGGCCAAGTAGTCTGACGTCTGGTCGCTGAGCAATGAAAAGTCAGCGTTTTTTCTCTTGTGGGGAATTACAGATGAGACCTACCTCGCCCTCTTCTTGACCGTCATGACAGCTCTTTGATCTTGATATGTTGCGCTATTGTCCAGCGCAACAAGGTTCTTCCGCACAACAGTGTCCATATACCTCTCAATGTCAAGCTCACCCTCCTCCGGTGGAATAGACTGCTTGTACATGGTGCCGCTTTGGAAAAGAGTTTCCAGATTGATAGCTGATTTGTTGTTATCAGGTGCGCGCAGGCTGGAGCGTACCACCAGACGATTGTCAAGCGAGGCTGATGCAAATGTGGAGGTTTGGGTAGGCTCCAAGCCTTTCAGATAAGTTTGTCACAAGAAGAGATGTGCGGAAGAAGGTATGTTTTTGGACGGCAATAATATCTCTGGTATTCCGTCAAGAAAAGCCCGGCTCGAAACCAGCTGCTATCAAAACTGACTGGCTTGAAATATGCAAGGCTATGTTCCAGGTATCTCAGACGTGGTGGCAAAAGCGAGATGAGTAATTCTTACTAATGGATGATAAAGAGCCCGGCATTCTGCACGTCTGTCCGAAAGCAATGGGGACGCGCAATGTTTTCAGTGTTGAGGTGGGGTATATCACTTAGCGTATCTCAGCCTTGCGCCTTTATTTTGCACGTATCATAGACGTGGCGGCGATAGCAAGATGAGTAATTATTAGCTAATGCATGATAAAGAACGCCACTCTGCACGTCTTTCCGAAAGCAATGGGATGCGCACCGCTTTCCAGTGTTATGGCGGGGTATATCACTTGGCATATTTTAGCCTTGCGCTTTAATGTAGTCATACGCACTGCCAGAATTGTGCCGAAAGCAACAGAAAATAATCAGTTTTACATGGATGGCTTAGGTAGACGATGTTTGCGAAGGGCTGCATTGCATCCTGCATACAAATGGGATACATCATGACAGACTATTGGTGGGCTCGTCTAACAGGTGGCGATTTTCTGTTCTCTCTACTCGGAGTTAAGTGGTTGCTCACATGCGTCTTAGCCAACTCCACATAGAGACGTGGGGGCGAGCCTTTCTCCTTATATATTAAACAATCAATAGAACAAAGCAGAAACCAATATCTTAATCTTCCATTCTTCATGGAAATGATTCTTGTCGACTGAATTTACGAAATGTCGACTGTTCACAGCCCTGCTGCTTTGGCAGGGAGAACCACTTCTCTCAAACATCCCGATGACATTTCAAAACCGGTTACGAACACCAACGCGGTAGATAATTACACCGTATCGAGTTTGTCTGGATCCAATCCAACAGACCATGCGCGAAACCCGTCAGACAATTCAGATTCGGTGACTGTAGCGGGAGTAGAGGGTCACGAGGACGCGCGGGAGACGCCCAATGAAGAACCACAGTCCTCAGAACACGCCGCGAAAGAGCAAGAGACCGCACCTACAGATGACAACGACGATCATGCCAGCATCATTGACCGCCCTCCAGAAAAGATATCGATGGTGCAATACAGAGGCTTCGCGAGCCGGCTAACGCGGTTCCAGAGGCAACAAGAGATCCAATTCCTCGAAAGCCAGATCGAGTCGCTCCAGCTACAGAAAGATGCACTGGGACAGCTCTCCAATGAAGATGGCTCGGATTACATGTCTGTACCAGGGGATGCCGAGCACGCTGAGCGTCCACGTGCGATCCCCAGGATCGAGCCAGTCGATTGGCACCGGTTCAAGAATAGGCTGTGGTGCGATTGTGGAATCTACAGCCAATGGGCCGCGGAGGAGAAAGTCCACAGGAGGCCGCACGCCATCGAAGTCCTCATCGGAAAAGCAAGGTACTACTGGGAGAGGGCAGGCGATGGATGGATGAGGGATCCGGTGGGAGCCGATGAGCCGAACGCCAGGGACGATCACGAACAAGAGCCAGATGTTCCGGCCGGGAAACTTCCCCAGCTGCCAGAGCGTATCAGGATCAATTCTCGACCCGTACTGGCTTTCTTGGCAGAATTGACGGACTCGGAGGATAGCATCAGTTCCAAAGTCATGCTCCGACCTTACAAGATCCTCATTCGCCACCAAAAGGCTATTCGCCAACATTATCAGGAGTTGAGACAGGAGTGGGAGCCACGCGCACAAGAAAACGAAGATCAACTCCCTGCCGGCGTTGACAACAATCCGGCGCAAGTACCAGCGGCTGGACAGCAGGAAGCTGTCTCACAAGCCAATGGGAAGGTTCCAGAGAATCAACCCACTTCAGCGTCTCCCTATGACCAGGAAGTACCCTCTCCCGACAAGGAGGATACAGCAAGTGGGGATGCATCTCCAGAGAAGGACGCGACAAGTGAGAAGTCCGCAGATGAAAATGAAGATAAACAACAAGTCCCGACCACGAACAACTTGGAAGCATACAGGGATTTCAAATGCCTTGTTACCTTCATTGATGAGTACATCCTTCCGGTTATTGATGCCTATCGCCATGAATCATCCACCACTGTTCGATTTGAAGATCTGTGGCACCTCTTCAAACCAGGAGATCATGTTATTGTCAAGGACACACAAGGGTCTGCGCATGGATACCATGGTGCAACCAAGATTTCCCGACGCGCAGAAAAGAACCGGGTCTACAGAGTGTTTCAGGTAGCAGGCGGCCGGCCATATCTCAGCGCGTCGCTGTATTATCTCGACAACGCTTTCTCATCGTCGAAAGTCTTGTCATCCTTCACGATTGGAGCCTACCGAATAGCATTCGACGGCACAACTTTCGGTCCTGTTCACAAGCAATTCCACATCTCACCTTTCAAGGGCGAGAAAGAGATCACAAGCCTTGGTGTATATCCTCTACGATTCGACCCAGGCCGCGAGAGCATCGAGTCGGAGCTATTGAGCACCGGCAAAAGATTCTTGGAGCTCACAACCCCAACCCACCTCATGTACCGAGGCATGACTGCAAATGTGAAACATGACGGCGACCTATGTCCTGAAGCAGCGAGCATCCCCGAAGAGGTCAACGGCCAAGTCGTGGTAGATTTCAAAGAGGCCCGACAAGAGGATATGGATTGGATTACTCTTCATTCATTGCCGCAACTCATTGAGGTGGATAATCGCGAACAAGTTGAGTCGTACAAGAACCATGTCTGGGAGAACGAAGACGAAAAGGAGTCAGTATGTGTGCATGACGATATATTGTTCGAGGACCACGTCATCGACAAGGCTTATTCCACCGATCACGCTTCAAAGAATATGTTTCTTTCAAGCTACCAAGAGTCACCAGATAACCCGCCAACTGATGGCAGCAGCTTTGACGATGGAGACCTGCTTTTGCTGCCTAAAACAGTCTGTGGATTCATTTTGCAGCGCCGAACCTTTGCTCTCTTACAAATCGATGCTCTGGAACCTGTTGGGGCTCAGACGCAAGGCTGGGAGGATCTGAAGCTTCCTCCGGGTCATAAGGAGATGATCCTTGCACAAGCACTATCTCATTTCAGAGATAAAGGAGAGCGGGGCCGCCGACGAAAAGAAGGATACGACCTTGTGCGTGGAAAGGGCCAGGGACTTATCATGCTCCTGCATGGTTTCCCCGGCGTTGGCAAGACTTCAACAGCGGAGTGCATTGCAGCAAAGATTCAGAGACCGCTGTATCCCATTACCTGCGGAGACCTGGGCACTGATGTAGAGACGGTCGACCGGCGCCTTGGACAGATCTTTTCCAAAGCTCAGAAATGGGATTCTGTTCTTCTCCTCGACGAAGCAGATGTGTTCTTGGGGGAAAGGACCAAGGATGACATAGCTCGTAACGCACTGGTATCAGGTGAGTCATGGCTATTACGCTTTATTTACGTTCGGCTAATGAATTTAGTCTTCCTCAGAACTCTGGAATACTACGACGGGTTGCTTTTCTTAACTACCAATCGAGTGGGTACCCTCGACGAGGCCTTCAGATCGAGAATCCACGCAACTCTCTATTATCCACCCCTGAACATCGAGCAAACATTGGCCATCTGGGACGTAAATATGAGGCGTATCAAGGAATTCAAGCAGGACGGGATTGATCTTGACCCTCAGGAAATCAAAAGTTTCGCATGGGATCTCTGGCAGTGGATCGAAGAAAACAACCGGACACAGTGGAATGGCCGCCAGATTCGAAACGCGTTCCAGACCGCTTTGGCTCTAGCAGAGCACGAACGCTCTGTTGAAACGGGAGTAGCAGAACAGCCAGGTCCGCAATCTCGGATTTTCTTGAGCAGCACTCACTTCAAGAAGGTGGCCCGCACAATTGTGTACTTCGACGAGTACCTTGGGACAGCCCACCACGGCTTGAGCCAGTCTGAAAGGGCATATGCAAAGGGCCAGCGAGCTGATCAATACGGCCGACCGCAACCTCAACCAACTTCGCAGCCTTTTATGGATGATCGGAAGTTATGGGCATCTTCCGGGCCTGGCTCGAATCGCCTCTTTGACTCAGAATACCCTTCGAACACATCAACGCCACAGAAGCCTAGGGCAGGTTTCTCGCAGTTTCCTTCTGGTGGAGCAGATCCTGGATATCCCCCAGGAAATTTTAGTAGAAATGCGCGGGACTACCGCGTCGGTGGCGCCCAGGAAGGTTACGGCGGGCAGGATCGGACAACGTCATTCCAAAGGGAGGCTGCGCCATTCGGCTTCTCCGGCACTTCTCAGGACGGCTACAATGATATGGGATCCAGGATGACTTTTGGAAGCGATGCTTCACAGATTCCCAAAAAGCCGGGCCCTCCTCCATTTTAGACACTGACAGGTTGGAAAGGGCTTTCAGATAGCGTAGTTGTTGTTTCTCTTTCTGTATTGACTTTCCTTTTCACATATTGCAGGATCTCAGTTCTCGGTGGACAAATGCCGACGCATCAAGGTGCCATGAACCATAGTGTTTCCTCTTTCATTCGATCATTCTATCGAAATTCTCGATTCACTGCCAACTATGTAGCAGAATCATCAATTAGACACTCTCCCCCCTCCGCTTCTAACAACTACTCGATGTATCCCCTTCAAGTAAACCCCCTCACTCCCGAGCCTTCGCAGTTGCCCCCGGCAAAGGCACATGCCCACCAAACCGGACCCACTCGTCATCAGCCCTGCGCGCCTGGAACCTCCCCGCCAGCACCGTGACCTGAACATCCGGCAACGCCGCCTTCGGAATCTGGGCGCCCGAATCGAGCATCGCGACCCAGCGCAGATTTTCCTGCAGGTACTCATCAACCCTCTTCGTATACGCATCCGCGTTCTCGCCGGGCGTGGGCGGAACGCGGTGCCTGACGGCGCGCAGGATGGGAACTTGTGCGCGGGAGAGAATCTTCTTGTCGGACTGCTTCTCGCATTGCGGACAGCGGGTGGAGCCGTCGGCGTCCTTGATGGGGGTGGAGAAGGTGTGGATGGCGCCCACGCAGTGGTCGCCGAGGAAGACGCGGATCGCGTAGCGGAGGCCGTTGAGGGCGTAGCTGTGGAGGGGTGTCAGTGTTGTTGAGAGAGAGTAAAATGGGTGATGTGGGGGGCGCACCGGTTGTAAACGACGTTTACAATGAAATCCACTTTTGCAGCTGCTGGATGCTCGCCGCCGCGTGGGGCAGAGACGGCAGGCAGATGAGCGCCGTACAAACCGTTGATGTGCTTAGCGAGCTGTGATTCATTCGGAAGCGCATCATGGAGCCTGTCGCTGGGAAGAGTCGCGTCTGGGGCCTGGCCGACCACATCGTCGTATGTATAGTTCAAATTCTTCAAGGAGCGGACCATGTTGGAGTTGTAGAAATCAACGGGCTGCTCTGGAGTGCGAAAAGGCTTTAAGGGCGCCATGGCGGCGTCGTCGTCGTCGTCGCTTGGTTCGTTGTTGAACCACTTGTCCTGATTTTCTGGTATGATCTGCCAAAGGTACATAATACGATCGACGTTGCAGTGATGCAGTATGAAGACAGGGTCGAAGGCAGCTACCGGTACAGAGGACATGTGGCCGCCCCCGCCAGCTTGGGTGCCATCCGAGCCACCGGTCCAGTCCTGGTCATCTATTAGCATTTGAATCGAAGGAAGAAAGGTAGTCTTACGTGGATGTTGTTGTGGATGGCCTCCAGGGACATGTATTCCTTAGGGTCGTCTGGCTTGCCTACATACTTGGTGGAGATGAACTGTTCCCAGGAGGCGTTGTAGTTGGGATTGAGCAGACGCTGAACGGCATCCTGGATTGTATCGTGCATCTGCTCTTTAGGCGTACTCGTAGACCACCAATGGTCTTTGAGGGTGGTGTTGACTTGGTCAACATTGGTCATGCCATCGATCCACGCGCTTTTCTCGGTGTACCAACTTATAGCATGTCGCGATGTGCCGATGCACAAATCAAACTATTCGTCATTTTTAGCAGTATCCGGTGAGGAAGAGCGAAAGAAGCACACACTGGAAGCCCATCGCTGGCGTCAATGCGGTAGTCACCGTACGATTTGTGGCCCATGGGCTGACCACCAGGCATCTGAAATCTGTACATGGGATTGGGGACATCTTTCTTGTCAGGAGTCCCAGTTCCGCCATTCCAGCTGGTAACAATGGAGATGTTCTCATTGCATACCAACTCGGGAAGTCGTTCGGTGGCCGCCCAGTCCCAGTACGGCAGACGCCAGCGATTAGCTGCCGCCTGCCACGCAGATCTGTCTTGGTTGTTTTCGATCTTCATGGCCTTTACTTCATCCTTCATTAGGTCGCTGATTCTCCGCTGCGTCCACTGTTAGCACTCCTTCCCATCCTACTTGCAGCTGGTGCATACCTCAAACAATATCATGTACACTCGATGCCACGTCCCGAACCTGTATTTGTTGTGCATGCAGTAGAAGCCGCCTTGGCCAGCCTTGATCTTCTCATCCATCTGCGGATCGTTTCGGGGGATTGGTGGCAAATTCATATTCCATGAGACATTCTTGGGGAGACCGTGGATTCCGGCGAGGCGGAAGTAGGAAAGCTGGTCATGAATCCCCAGCTTCTGGAGTTTCGTCATGGCTCTGATGAACAGCGAGAGCTCCAGCGCAGCAGCGCCACCGTTTTGCGCTTCCTGTAACCAACTGTCGACATTTCGGCGCGGTGGGATGCCCGGACCTTCAAGTTGAACGGGGACTACGGGTTCGTAGCCATTTGGATTGGCGTTTCCATTGCTACTGCCGTTAGCGTGGCTATTAGCAAACCCATTGCGGCCGACAGAGCTGGGTTGGGAACTCATGGTGATGGATGAGATTCTGGTGGCTCCTTTCTTGAGTAGGGACAATGGCTGTGCCTTTCTTGAGTGTAAGCAGTGAAAGTGTGATGCCTAAGAGCAGGCGATGAAGTCTTGTATTTATGTAGGTTCCCGCTACTCTACTTCATGGCAGCTTGCAGCTTGCTAACTAAAAACGTTGGAAGTTATCCCCAGCAAAATCACAAGGACCATCTCGACAGGTCATGGAAAGGCATGTCAAGGTTGCTACGAAACAAGCTCTGAAAATGTAGTTACTTCGGAAACCCACCGTGCCATTGTTGTCTGAGCGTAGCCCCGCTGCGGGGCAAGCCGGTCCGCCGCGCCCTGGCGCAGTAGGGCTATGCTGTAGCTGGCTAATACCCTCTCGCTGGATGCGTAGTGCTCGCTATGGATTTGCATGTAATCGTTTCCCTAGCGATATGTACGGTCCGGCACGTTTTTGGTTGTAGGAATGTGACCAGCCCCGTGGGAGGATGCTGGGTGGTGGCATGAGCCAAGAACACTCCAAGAATGCATGCAGGTGCCCCTCCTGAACGGCCTTGTTGCTGGATCGGATGCACGTGGCAGCTCTTCGCACGAACCCCAACCATCGCAGTGGGCAACATGTGCATATCGAGCCCAATGTCCTGTAATCCTTGCCTACAGCAAGGGCTGGCACGTAAGGTATGGCAAGGACGGTTCAACCTTCCCCATGGAGCGAATGAGCCGGGTCCATACTCTAAAAAGTGCCCCTTGGCTATGGTATTGGATCCTACGCTCTCGAGCTTTAGGTCCAAACAGCCTGCCGGTGGAAAATTGAACAGACAAAGTCCAGTTGAACCATTGCTGCGGTGCTCATGTGCAACGGTTTTCATTTTTGTCTATCCTACTTTTCTATCCTGATTTAAATTTTCATGCTCTATCCTGATACATTTTGCGGGGCACAACGCGCGGTTTCGCCGTATTTGCAGAAACCAGCATATCCCTTATCCCGTCTTCTCATCCGCTCCGCTTTCCGCATCCGCACCATCCTTCTGCTGCTGATCGCCCTTCACACTCTTCCACTCGGTCCCCAACCCACTAAGAATAGTCAGACAGGACAAGATGACACAAACCAAGAAACATTGCCTGAGCGCAATATTGTAAGCCTGCAGCACCGCCGTGGCCGCCTCTGCCCCGTACTTCTCCGTGACCAGCGCCTTCAGGCCGGACGCGCCATTGTTGACCACGACCGTAGCATCGACGCCGGGGGCCCTGCTCTTCAGCTCCTCCAATAACTTCGTCGCGAAGAGGTTCTGGCCGACGGAGAGGAATATGGCGCCGCTGAGGCTCTGCGCAAGGAGCAGGACGGATGTGCCGAGAGCTATGTCAGTGCCCTTGAGCACCGTTTGCACGGCCGTCAGAGGCATCTGCATGCCCATTCCGGAGCCGAAGCCGAACATGACGAGAGAAGCGGCCCTGGTGCGTGAAATGCTTGGATCAGTTTTTGTTTCTTTTGTGGGCGGAGGGAAACGGCAGGATGTTGGCTTACCAGTACACGGTCGATGTCCCGAGGTCGTAGGCGTACATCATGCCCACAGAAGCGGAGACAAGGGCTGTACTCAACAACATCTGCGGGACGTAGTACCCGATCTTGGTCACCTTTATATTGCGGAAAGTCAGTCACCAACCGGTGGAGATATTTCGTAGCTGAGAGAAGGTGGGACATACCAAGATGCCCGAAAGCAATGAAGCGACGGATATGGAGGCTGAGGAAGCCAGGAAATCAATTCCTGACTGCTGTGCGGATACATCTTTGACAGCCTGGAACCAGATCGAGACGTAGTAGACGACGAGAAAGATGACTCCATTCAGCCCGAGCATGAAGAAGGTCGCGCAACCGACTGATCGCTGGCGAATGAGGCGGAGCGGCAACGTGGCCGCGTCGCCACGAGAGTGTTGAACCCAGACCCACGCCAGAAACATGACGGCGAACAGGCAGAAACAAAGGATGATGCGCCAGTTGCTCCACGCGTACGTAGTCCCGCCCCACTGCAAAGCCAGTAGCAGACAGATCATGTAGGGCATCAGCAGAGCGGTTCCCAAAGGATCCATCTTCCCCAGTATCTGGACCAACTTGGTAGACTCCGCGGCTTTGGGCTTATCGGGGCTTTGGACGACGAAGAACACTACCACAGCCGTGACCGCGCCGAGCGGCAGGTTGATCCAGAAGCACCACCGCCATCCGATAGAATCTGTGAAGGCGCCGCCGAGCGCGGGCGCAATGATCTCGGCGATGCCAGCGATGCCGCCAATGATACCCGTATACACCGGGCGCTTCTGCAGCGGGAAGCTCTGCGCGATGATGATGAATGTGCCGGCGAGGACGCCTGCACAGCCGACGCCTGTGACTGCTCGGCCGATGATGAGGGCGACCGAGTTCGGGGCCGCTGCGCAGACGATCGAGCCCACTTCGAAAATGCCGAGCGCGGCGAGGTACACCCAGAGAGTCTTAAACTCAGCGAAGAGCTTGCCGAATATGAGCTGGAAGCAGCATGTTGTCAAGGCGAATGACGAGCCGTACCAGGCTACGTCTTCGAGGGAATTGAACTCGTTCGTGATCTTGGGAACGGCGGTTGCGAGGATGGTCCGATCCTGAAGGAATTGTGACATGCAATGTTAGTGGCAGATTTCAAATGGTCTTGTATGGGGTGAGGTAACGGAGAGGTACTTACGAGTCCCAGACAGAAGACGGCAAGAATTAAGCCAACAATGAGGCATACTAGTCGGAATCCCTGGACGTATTGTGTGGCATCTTCTGACTCGGTTCCGCTGTCGCTTTCCGTACTCGCTGGTTGCTGGGCCGTGTGAGCTTCTTTTTGCGTGCTGTCAGCATCATGGCCTTTTTCCGAAGCTGGTGCAGGCAATTGCTGAGTTGATGCCATATTGTGTGGATAGTCCGAGTTGGCGTCGGTAGGCTGATGTCTAAATTTGGTCGTCACTCGACAGCTGTTATAATATTAACAGTCGGAAAAGGACATCAAATTGCTGTCCGGGAAAGTGGATCTGCAACGGTGGTGCCTTTTAGGATTGGACGTCGGCGTTTTGATTGGCTGAAATTGAAACTTTGTCACTAGACCCACTTTCCCGGGAGGCTTTTTGACTCCCGCTCCGCCACCTATGCCCCTCCTGCCACCTCTCTTAGCTTTTGCCGTCACTGCACTCACCGCGCCGCCCCACTGACAGCCCCTGAAGACGCCAGGCATTGACATGCGATTCGGTTCCGGCCACTAAATAACAGTAGCTTCCGCGAGCCCAGTCAGTCCGCAATGCCGGAGCTTTCCCGCACTGAGAAGCCTAGGGCTTGCGAGCCCTGTTCTCGTGCCAAGGCAAAATGTGTTTGGCCCGACACAAACGATGGATCCGTGGCGCAGATCTGCCGGAGGTTTGTTATGTGCCGACTTTTGTGAAATGCTGCTCACGCAATTCTAGATGTTCAAACAACAACCTCACATGCACAAGGTTACAGCCCGGCCCGAAAAACAAGCGCGGAAAGGCGACGTGAGTGATACGCCACTGTTGTTTCGCAATTTGAACGAGGGCTGACAGGATTGTAGCCATGCAAAAGTCATTGAACGAAAGCTGGATGACATCATGTCTCTCTTGAGAGACCGTGAGCAGTCGGGTTCGACCAATCGAGCAGCCGAACACTATCCGTTTTCCTCGAGCAGTTTCACACCAGCAACCACAACATCACCGCATGGATTTGACCATTCGGGTCCACTAACAGCGATGACCACGCCCATAGGACAGCCGCATAATGAACTGATTACAGTTATTCCAGGCTTCGAAATTCTTCGTGACGAAGCTGACTTGGTACTTCGGAATTACACGACCAACATGCTTCCACAATTTCCATTTGTCGCTTTACCTGCTTCAAATGCATACAGCCTCTACAAAGATAAGCCACTGCTTTTGAAAACGATTCTGTGGATTTGCAGGCCGCCAGACGCCGACACAAGCGCTGCATTTGAGCGCTGGTTTCGACAGCAAATTGCGAATCGAATTGTTGTATTAGGAGAGAAGAGCTTGGAGATTTTGCAAGCGATTCTTGTCTTTTTGGCTTGGTACGAACTCTCTTACGATACTCGCTATTTTCCTTTGCTCACAGGACTTATCAATGCCCAGGAGTGACATTCATTTCTACGCCAACACCAGCGATACGAGCCTTCTTCAATTGGCAATAGGAATGGCAGGAGACTTGGGGTTGATCAGGTGTCCCGAAAGTCCGGGCCCTGCCTACAGATCTATTGTCGAGGATGCCGCCAACCTGAGGAACGATGTTCAAGCTCGTAATCGACACACAAATGCCGATCGTAGAGCCGTGCTCGGCGTATTCTACATTACATCCATGTGAGTATTCAAACGAGCACCCGCTGTTAAAATACTTATCTTTGTTACCGTAGAATCTCTACCCTACTTGCCAAACCGTGTCGACTAGAGCATACACCTTACCTTAATGTCTGCTGCAGACACTTGCTGCAGGATCAAGAAATTCCCACCGACTCGTTGCTAGTGCAGCTCATACGAATACGGCAAATCGCAATCAAGGTGCATGATGCGTTTTGGCAACGGAGCGATCTTGCCAACGACAGGCCATTTCGGGCCGTTCATTCTATGGCCATTGCTACTATTGAAAAGGAGTTGAATGCATTTATGGATAATCTACCAGAGCCTCTGAAGTCAAACCGTAAGTCAGACCCAATTCAGCCAAATCGATTAACTACTGATACTGCTAGATCTCGTTCGCAACCACTGTGCTGCTATTCGTATCCGTCTGTTCGAACCTGCGATTCATGGTAATGCGAGTGACGATCTTGGACCACCATATTTGAGATCCCGTATTCTATGGGACTGTCTAAAGAGCACCCAGACGCTCCTCGACGCCTTCGTTCTCATGCCAGTGGAGACGTATCCGTCCCTCACATTCGCTTCAATGCTTCATCTTGCTTTGGCCATCATCAAAGCTGGCAGACTACTTTGCATGGATGACCAGGACTGGGACAAGGAAACAGCAAGCAGGAGCTTCAATCTTCCGGATATGCTGCAACGGTTGAGCGAACTTTTCGACGAAGCCAGTCACCTCGGCAGTCCGAGGGGCACGATCCTTCTTGACGGCCGTCCCTTCTTTTCGGGATATGCGGAGAGATTCCGGTTGATGAAGAGCATGCATTTAGCCAAAGTACACGCTTCCGGTACAGCGGATTTGACCTCGTTAATAGATCCGGGCTTCGTTCAGGGCGGTGATCTGGATTTTGACTTTTGGCAGCAACTATCGGATCTTACCTATAGTAATGGCTAGAGCAATTCTGGAAAGAATCAACCCACTCACAGCTCAGCGAGAAAGCAAAATAACTATAGCTTTTCCCACACACATTTCCTGTAGAACTGGATAAACGAGGGACACTATCATCCATCTATACCTGCTACAATTCGAGGAAACCCTTCTGCTATGATCTTCTTGGAATATTCAGCGATACCTACTTTCAGTGTCTCGGATGTGAGGCATCCTATCTTCTCGAGGCATTATTTCTGTAAGTAGCTGTTTAGTTGCATTCAGTGTATCCTCTTGTGACGCTATTCCCCGTTGCCTTTTAAAGAGCAAGTTGATTAGCGCTCAGTCTCCAGCAACAGCGAGGCTTCTCCATATCTTGTGTTGATACATGCATGAGATGAGCTAAGCGGCCATGACATATACGGCACCTACAGCACCCCCAGCACAGGATGAGGGCCAAAGTATCAAGCCACCCAACAGGCTATCTCAAGACCGTAAGCCAACTGCCGCAGTCTTACATTTATTCCCGGTGCTGTCCGAATCCTTCACATATTGCGCAACGTTTATCTCGGAATTCGGGCTCGGAGCTGGATCCGTTGCATCGACGACCCCGCTATTTAATGCGAGCTGACGAACAAAGTTCTGTCAAATGCTACAATCGATCAGTCCATCTCAAATTCAGCTGTCATTATTCCCTGCGCCGTGTGGCGTCCTCGCTACGAACGCCTGTCCACACCGCGGTCGCGATAACAGCCTCTGTACGACACCAGACACAGCTGTCGCCAGAGCAGCCCCATACGTCATCTTACGCTCCGGTCGCAATGTCAGCCTCACAGGCATCGAACATGTCCATACAACAAGCTCTACAAAACCCTCTCACCACCTTCTCTCAACTCCTTCCTTCTCGCACACGTTATCGAAGCATGGCGACAGATAACAGAGATTCGCCTTGGTCGTTCGATGTTTCCTCCTTCATGATCCTCCTGGGCGAGGCTGAGGAAGTCAACTTTCGACACATGCGCCGCTCGATTATCGAATGCATTTGCGCCGCTCCAGTTGCGGGTCTGCAGTCGTACTTGAAATCGCCAGAGTCGATATTCGACGTCACGGGGATGACTTATTTCTCACCATATGGCTGCAAATCAGCACCGCTCAGGAATATGCAATTAAACCACTGTCTGCAGTCACAACGTCTACTTCAGGATGGCCAATACTCGGTCTACAACATACAAAGAAGCACGCCAAAATGGTATTCTCACGGGAACATCGATATACGTTCGATTTGCCTGGCAACGTGTAGCTGGATTGTCTTCGGCGCTATCATAGTCTTCCTCTGCCTCGTGGACACCGGAAGCTGGATCGGGCTCGCCAGCTGCACCTTCTTCTCTGGATATTCCATCTTCCTCAAACTGGCGGAGAAATTCTATGCTGAACCCGTCCGGATATCCCCAACAAATCCAGACGCTCACGATGCAATTTACATCCTCGGACGTAGAAATTCGGCCTTTGTCCTGAAGGGAAGCCGTGGTGACATTGCCGCGATGACCGGACAAGGCCTACAGCTCAAAAAAGGCGCCTTTCCGCAGTTTTTGGCATACTTTTCGCGCGCTGGCGCAATTGCACTCTTGGTATTTGTGTTTGCCGTTGTGCCAAATGGTACGACATGGGATCAAGTGGGATTCATAGCGTTGAACATTTTAGGGCAGGCGAACGTATTGATAGGCCAACGACTCAACGCAAAACGGTTCTTGAGGAAGTTGCAGCTTGAGCAGAAAGAAGAAGTTAAGACGCGCACCCACGTATATGGCAATCTACTGAGACGTTTTGGAAATGGCGACTGGGTGGAAAAAGCAGATTTGTTACCGCAGACGGATGTGTGGGCACAATGGAGACAGAGAGTCACTGCTGAGCGGAATGTTGATGCAAAACAGCTGTATGAGCTATGTTCGAACCCAGGACGAAAAGCTTGAAGAGGCTAAGAGAGAAGATTCACTGAAGAATGAAAGTTTCCGCTGTGCTCTCAGCGCCGGTGTACCAAAATCCTTTGCGTCGATCCGTGGCCCGCAATATTGTTCGGCCCTTATCCGACCCAGGAACCTCTACCTTCCATGAAACTGGACGGCGGAGATATTCGACCGTAGATATGTCCTCTACATCCAGGTTGGATGAAGGCGTCAGAATGTAGGACGCGTCTCCCTGAAATAGCGCCGTTGCTGATGCGCCGCCACGGGCAAGTTGGTATGGGTTTATGTGGCCTGTAGACATGAGATCGTGTACAAGCCAATAGACTCCACGTTTCGGTAGAAAGCTCTTGAATACTTTAGGCACTTTGGGGTCATCGAATATAATATCCGCCGTGTTTTGGTCAAGTACTTCAAAGAGATCAACCGATGAGTACTTTGAAGTCCTTTTGCTGAGTATGCCGGTTGAACGCCATATAAGTTCTGCGATGTTGGAACACTTGTGACGAACAAGCTTTTGGATCACCGCCCACATGATTTCTGCCTCGAGCCATTCATCCTTTGGCTCGGTAGTCCACCGTTCCAGGAACCTCTCTTGAATATCCTGCATTCCTATAGCATGGCCAGGCCGCCAAAGGTAACCCTCAATGACCAGACCATGCTCATGGAGTTTTGATGGTGATGGTCCAAAACGAAATGGGGTAATGCATTCATGGAAGTATTCCATTGAAGACAACATCAGATTTGAATTGGAAGGAGGGCCCCAAGAAAACGCTATCGTAGAGGTTTCGCCAGGCTCTCTGCTGAGAATCAAGGACATGTCCCCGTTCAAGATTGACAAGATAAAGGCACAGGTGCTGAAGTTGTACCCCCGTTCGTCCATCAGCGTAGTATCGATGCGGGAGGCATAGTTGCAAAGGTTTGAAAGGATGGCGAGTCTGTCAGGAATCCTTGAGTTGTAGCGGTTCTGCAGGTAATAAAGCGCCTCCGCTGCGTTGCAAACTTGGCGGCTCTCCGGGTCCTTATCATTGTAATAATCGGGACCGTTTAACGTAGGAGGATATATGTCATCAAGTGCCCTGATGACATCTCTGAGTTTTCGGATCAAGTCAGAGGGCTGTTCAAGTTCGTCACTGAGATGATCGAGCCCACCATCCACCCAGCCAAGGGCTGAATGCAATGTGAAGAAATCGATCATCAACTCTCCTTCAAGACCGCCGAATAGGAGTGGTTTCTGAAGATCGGGATCGTGCTGTACGAGTATCGTCATGTGCCAGCCTGCAGCAACGCATTCTTGCAGAACCCATGCACGTGTGAACCACGGGTCGTTCTTGAGAAGCTCAAGAACCTCGGTCATGTCTTCTATTTGATCAAGTGTGAAATCCTCCCCTTCCATGATAAGTTCAAGCATGTCGATGTGTGATTGTTTTCTGAAATAACAATCGATAATGCCCACTGGATAGGCTGATCGTTGATATACAAGATCCATGGACTGGATTCCTGCTTCCTTGTCTTCGCGATTGTCTTGCTCAATGCACTCCTGATCGATCCAGACGTATCTGAGCTTGTGAATGTTGGCATATCTGATGGCACGACTAAGAACACTTGGTCGAGCCTTCGAATCCCGTTCGCCTTGGGTCCTGCTGACTTTGAATGGTTGATTGTTGGCGTTTGGCAGCTCCTCACCCCTCCAACAGTATGACACAGCAACATACTGCGTACATTCAGGACATTCTCCTGGTTCTGCTAGCCTTACTTTCCGCTCATCCAGGCCCCAGATTGGCCAAGAGAGTTCAGAGCACTCGCAGGGGCTGGATGAGCCGTCGGTACAGTCGTTGTCCAAGCCATCTCCCTCCAGCTCGTCATAGGTGACAATATCCTCGCCGTTGCCCGGATTTTCGATCGGAGTTTGGAAATGAAGTTTTCCTATAGGAGTCAAGAAACGAAGCTGCGAGGACCATTTATGGTATGCACTCCTGTCCGTTACATGCTGCTGCATGTCGCAAAACTGAGCGCGAAACCGTTCGGCGTCGGTGAGCTCTCCAAATGGCTTTGTGATGCCTAATTCCATCTTGAGAACCAGTCAGCAAGCTATGAAAGCTAAGATAGGATATGTGAGCTGAGGGTTTACCTTGGACATTCTGAAGGTTCCTTTCGTTGTGGTACTTGGTAAATCCAGGGACTTCGTTATGTTGAGCAATAAAATAATGGTAGAGTTCTGCACTGATCAAAAATCTGAACCGGGCTGCTGGAAGAAAGTTGCTGTTATACTTCGTGGTTGGTACAAGGTGGCTGCTTTGCTGAAGAAGTTCACTTACAGCAAGACCCACGCCAACCGGGCTTGCTGGCATCTCATATACGTGTTTGGCTAGGCAGCCATCGGCTGGTGGCGCAGCGATGATACTTTGTGTAACCACACCTTCAGCGCCCCACCACTTGTTATCAAGTGGTTGGCACTTCGAGCACCTCGCTTGAAACCCAGTGGCGCACCGGTGAGTCTGACACGAGCCTTGACATTTTCCACAGCACAAAATATGCGATCAAAGCATTATGCAGGCCATTGCAAAAGGGGTGCTGATGGAAAGCCTCTTGAAGAAGACTATGGGTAAGAAGAAGGGTTTAAAACTTTTTTCTTTTCATTTGCCCAGGTATTTTGTACGGAAGAAAACGGAGGAGACATAGGGCTATGGACAATCTCACTCTTCTCCACCTCCGGGTTCATTGATCAAACCAAGCGACCGACAATCTCAAAGGGAAAGTTGAGTGAGAGTATCATGTGTTTGGAGAAGCACGTGCGCCAGGCTTACTGATGGTCAGCCATTCAGACGGTCGCCCTGCATAATGCATTAACGCCCCGGGCGCATATAGGGAAAGTAAGACGAGGAGACCAGACTTGCTCTTTTCATTTGGGGGTAATTCCCAAGCCCAAGCTTTCAGGATGAAACCGAACCTCCGCCAGCACATATTTTCAGAGATTCCACATTTTCGTACTAAAATTCATATTTTGTTTTTAATTAGGATAGTCATCTATAGACTTGGCTACTATTATAGCGAGAAAGAATTATTAGATTTCAGTTTTGATAAAGTTCTACTGCGCCTTGAAAATTCGATTTTGGTAAAGGGTTGGGTTTGGGCCTTTCGACTACAATTGAGGTTGGGTTTGGTGAATACCCCTTTTCATTTCCTTTGCCCAGCCGCTTGCTCTGCCGTGTCAGCCGCAGCCCATTCTGCCCTAACTGCCCCCGAAATAGCCTAAAGAATGCCTCTGCATGCTTTGTTGGTTTAAAACGGGCGCAAATCTGAACCTGTCTGCAGTCTACCACCTACTGGATTCTACTACCGACTTCCAACACCGTTCACAATCTGCCACGTCTGAGTGTTATATTTAGGCAGGAGCATAAATCTATATGCACCGCCGATTTTCGCATAATATCATATTGAGTTTGGAACAGAAGCCAATAGACTGGCCTCACGGGGTGGTGGTGGTGGTTTTGAATTTAATGCACCAACTTAGGTGGCTCTGTATAGTCCTATGGATATGCCCAGTCTTCTCGATATTGAATTCTGGCAGCAGCTGTCGGATCCAACCAATGGGGCTAATTAACGTTTGTTGTTGGAGGAATGCCGAAAGTTTGTACACCCAGATGGATGCCGAAAGTTTATGCACCTGGAAAAATGCCGGAAGTTTATGCACCCAAGGGAGTGCCGAAAGTATATGCACTAAAATAGTAAATGTACGTCTGCCCGAAAAAAAAATAGGAATGAAACATTTTCGATCAGACTGGTACGTACATGGCGATCGCCAGTGGAGAAAAGCGGCCACGATTTTCCCCACATACGCCAACGCCCGGCGGGCCGAGCGGGAGCGGGGAAAATCTTGTCGCCTTCTTTTTTCCCCCTCTCTCTCCGCAGGGCGCGTCCCCTTTCACCATCGCCAACAGCCAACGATGCGCTCCTCTCCCCCCAAAACCGCCGCCAGAAATCGCATGAGGATCACGCCTGCATGTTTCACTGTATGACATCCGTCCAAACCTTGATAAGAAACGCTGGAGTATAGCCTTCCTCGGGCTTTTTCGGCGGAGCCAGCGCCGCGAAGAGCGACGGCGCCGAGCAACTGCCACGACCGAGCTCTGTGTAACCAAGCATGGATCGGGGGGGAAGCAAAAAGAGCGACGTCGAATCGAATTGCCGACGGACCGCACAAACCCTAAAAGGCTGTCTGGATCAGAATTCAAGAGAGATCGGCATCACGGTCCAGGTGGTCTGATCGCATCGCTGGGCGCATTGGGTCCTGAGCGCTGCCCGCAATCGTCATGTAATGTACAATGCGAGAGTAGTGGTGACACCCAGGCACACCATCCGGCGTCGGACACGGGCGAAGTACCAAAGGCCTGGCCATTGGCCGCCCGTCAGAGTATTGACTCGGCTAAGGGGGGAAAGGAAAACTTGGCGATGGACACGTGAGACACGGGCAATATTACGAACAACAAAGTGCGGTGTGATGAACCCTTTTTCCTTTTGGCTTTTTTCAGGCAGGCAAGACATACGAGTAGCGGTCGGATGATGGATTAGGAGTCGAACGATGGATTGATTCGTAATGCTTTCCTCCTGTAGATGCAGCCGGCGGACCGTCGTGGGCGAGGGATTCGCTGAATCGAGTAGCCAGTATAATAGGCACCGTTGAGTCGGGACCGGTTGCGGGGGGTTGATAAATTGCCTCGTCTCTTTTGTCGGCGGGTGCGGTGAAGTGATGGTGGCCAGTCAGCGGGATCGGTGTGCGCCTCGTCGATATAGTGAAGACTAGCACGGCAATAGCACCGCCCCATTGCGTGCAGACGAAGCATAAGTCGGCACGCTCCGTCTTTTTTAGTATTTTTGGAAAGGTGTGCTCGTGATCTTCAGGGACCGGCTGCGACAGTAGTCTGCTCATAGTTCAAAGGGATACGACAGATCTGCGGTTTTCAGCGCAACCTTGAGTATAGAGGCACCGATGCTAAGCTCCCGGCGTCTGCCGCCAGGCACTCTGCATGGCCGGCTCTGGGGGACGGGCATGGCAGCTATATTTGGGTGTGGCGCCGAAATCCTGCCATCCCACCGGAAGCAAACCATAAGTGGCAAAGATTGACGCCCGCAGGCGGCACCCCTCCCTCAGGACTTGCGGCACTGGGAGGAGTTGTGGTTAGATTCTCAGGGCCCCCGGGTAAAGCCACAGATTCCGGCAGCCTTCTCGAAGCCACGCGTGGATCAGCGTTTTGAGTTTGGTGCATATCTGGGAGATGTGCCGCGCAGGAGCCGGGGGACGCTAGGGCCGCCCGGGTGCTTGGCCCTGCGGGGAAAGCAGCTCGTCGCGTGGAGCGCCTCCGGCCGGGGCTGCGACCTCTTTACAGCTACTCACTTCAGCGAGTCATCCCGCCCCTCTTATATACTTGATGGCTTCGAGAGCCGCCTCGCAGTAGTCCACACCTTGTCGCCATGGCCCAAACACCACTTTCGCAGCGCCGCTACTCGACCGAGAGCCAGCAGTCGCACATTAGCATCCCGTCGCCGTCGACGCCGGCTTCGGAGCGGCACCAATGCAGCCAGTGCCCCAGCAGCTTTTTGCGCCTCGAGCACCTCAAGCGCCACGAGCGCGATCACTGGGACAGCAAGCCCTATACATGTAGCCTTTGCGGCAAGGGCTTCACGCGAAGGTAACCCAGCCAAAAAAATGATCCCTGGCTGTCGCCGACAGATATGCTCACCGTGTGTCCTTCGGTAACCAAATTAAAGCGATACCTTGAAGCGCCACGAACACGTCCATGCCGCCGTGTCTTCGGACGGCGAGAATGGTCCGTCCTCCGTCTCCACCAGGTCTCACCGCGGACGCCACTTCCGCGCGTGCCACAACTGCGCCCAGGCCCGCGCGCGCTGCTCGGGCGAGGACGTCTGCTCGCGATGTCTATCCAAAGCGCTGATGTGCGAGTATCCCAAGAAGCGGCGGCGCAGCCTTCAGTCGTCGCCCACGCGCAATGCCTTTGCCGCCCAGGATCCGGCCTGGAGCATTGGCGAGCTCTCGCTGCACACAAACACCAACTCGCCGACGGGCTCACACGTGATGATTGACAACGACAACCTGTCGTGCTACTCGTCCAGCAGCGAGACTTTTCCGCATCACCACCACCACATGTCCGGCTACAACCTGAGCAGCCACGACCTCTCGAATCTTTCTCCTCTCGAAATCAACTACGAACAGCTCTCTCCACTCGTCGATCCGGATAGCGGCCTGATATCTCCCGACATCGACACCTTTGACCTCGGCCAGCCTTTCCCACCGCAACCCCCGCCCCCGCACCCGCACCACCATCCCGGCATGACGATGGGAATGGGCTCGGTCATGCCCCCCAACCACGGCGACGTCACGCAGTCGTCAATCAATTGGCTCCCCACAGCCTTCAGCGAGGAGATCGACTACGCGGCGCTATCCGGCGTCGGCGTCCCGCTGCGGAGCCCGAACAACGGCACAGCCAACACAGCTCCAGCCAGCTTCCAGGACCAGCTGAGCGGCATGGACTTTGCCGCAGCAGCAACAGCAGCCCAGCAGCATCAACAACAGCAACAACAACAACAGCCGCCACCACTCCAACCCCACAGCCCCCCTCCTCCCCCCAGCCGCCGCAACTCCTCGCACTCCCCCGCCCGCTCAACCGGCGGCTCCAGCAACTCGAGTGCTGAGAGTAGTAGTGGTGGTAATAATGGCCCCAGCAGCAGCGGACGATACTACACGACCTCCTTCGACGGCGCCCGCATCCCCTTCGTGCGCGGCACCAAGCGGCGACGCTCCTTCAACGTGCAATCCCCGGCCCCCGACCACCACACGCACCACCCGCACGCCCCCGCGCGCTCCTCGCTCTTCCGCGACACGTCGGGCGTGTACCAGTTCCCCGAGATCTGCGTGCCGATCGACTCGCTGCCGCCCGTGCCCGTCACCGGGCCGGCCATGGACCTGAAGGCGTACGACCGCATCGCCGACGCGTTCCGGCAGGTGTGCCACGGCTTGGGCACGACGTTCGTGCCGTTCAAGACGCTGGCGGTTCCGGGGCCGGGGCATCTGAATTACTTCTTGCAGCTGTATTACGAGCATTTTCATCCGATACTGCCGATGCTGCACCTGCCGACGCTGAGGCTGGGGGAGGACGAGTGGGTTTTGGGGTTGGCGGCGGCGGCGATAGGGTGTCGGTATGCGGATTCGGAGGAGTTGTTGGGTTTCACGAGGCCGATGACGGAGTTTTTGAGGAGGGTGGTTGTTATGTCGGTGAGTGGTTTCTTCCCCCTTTTTTTCTTTTCTTTTCTTTCCTTTTTTTGGGTGGCTGTGTTGGGGGATTTCTGCGCCTGATTCTGCGGGGTAGCGTTTTCTGGGGAGCTGTGGTGTGGAGAGAAAAAGAGAGAGACAGGGGCTGACGAATTGCAAACAGGTCGAGCACCACCCCCCGCGCCAGATGCCGCTCGGCGTCCTGCAGGCACTCCTGCTCAATTCCATCAACCTGCTGTACAGCGGCTCCAGCCGTTTTGCCGACAGCGCTTTGAACGATTTCTCCAGACTCGTCGAGGCGGTCCGCACGTGGAAGCTGCTGCCGTCGTCGGAGACGCCGCCGCAATCTTGGTCGGAATGGGTGAGGGCTGAGGCTCGGATACGGCTGGGATACTCAATTTGGGTGCGTGCTTTTTAACTTTGTGGCTGGATCGTGGCTTGCTAACGGCAATGCAACAGTTGCTTGACTGCACAATGGCATATCAGATGGACCAAAAACCGTTCTTGACGCTGGACGACCTGCACTCGGCATTGCCTTGCAACGAGCATCTCTGGGCAGCGCAGAACGAAGAGAACTGGGCACATCTGCGGCGGAACATCGAGCGTGCGTGCTCCCAATACATTTCCGGCAAACCGCAAACTGACACACACCCTCGTAGGAAACCCCCCGATATCCGAAGCGGTGCACACGCTCTTCGTCCGCAAAGAAGTCAAGCCCGACCTCGGCGAATTCAGCCGCGTCCTCCTTCTGCACGGCATCTACCACGAGATGTGGACGGTGGCGCGCTACCAACGGCGGTCGCTCGCCTCGTGGGTGCCGTGCGCCTCCTCCACTCTCGACGACGCCTCAAACCGCCACGACAGCGCCACCACGCCGCTCGAATTCTACCAAGAGCGCCCGCAAAACGTCGCCGACCGCAGCATCTACATGCCGGAAAACGGCCTCTACTCCAAATGGCGCAACGCGGCCTGCGACTCCCTCGACGTCCTCCACTGGGCCGCCAACGCCACCATCGCCCAGCACTCGGGCTCCGAACACAACACCGTCTGCCACCTGCACGCGTCGCGCGTCATCCTATTGACGCCCCTCTCCGAAATCGTCAGCCTCGCAAAATCCATCGCCGCCGCTCCCCCTTCCTCCTCCACCGTCCCCGCCCCGGCAGCCTTATCATCCGCCCACTCCCCCGGCGACCCGAACCGCCAATCCCTCCCGCAACTCACCAAGCTCGAAACCACCATCTCGCAATGGGTCAGCAAGGACGCGCACAAAGCGCGCCTAGCCATGATCCACGCGGGCGCCGTCTTCTGGCACGTGCGGCGCTTCTCCAAGGCCGCGTTTTACGAGCCGCACGCGGTTTTCCTGTCGACGCTGGCCATGTGGGCGTATGCGAGCTACACGTCGCTCACGCACGCCTTCGCGCGGACCGACAGTCGGAGCGGCAGCGATTCGCCATCCCCGGGGGGCGAGACGGTGTTTACGTGTTCGGATGATTTTGGGGCGGGGTCGTCGACGGCCGGCGGGGCGGGGGGCGCGGGCATGGGGAGGATGGGTGCGGGAGAAATGGTGGCGGAGGAGTGGGATCCCGAGGGGCATCATCCGACGTTTATTCGGCTCGATCGCCCGAATGACGATGAGATGGTGCAGTTGTTTGTAAGGAATGGCGATCCGGCGCGCATGAAGGCGCATGTGTCGGGCGTCGGCAACCTGTTGTCGCCGCAAGGCCCGGAGCGCGTCCTGCGCGAGGGGTGTAAGATTTTGTCAAGGATGACGCTGACGTGGGGCGTCGCGAGCGAGCATGTCAAGGTGTTGTCGAGTATGATTGAGGTGGCGTCGAGTGTGCGGAGTCAGGGGAGTGTGTCGAGTGTGCAGGGGCCGCCGTCGTGATTGGGGGAGGTGAGAGAGAGGTGTTGAGGGGAGGGGAGAGGGCAGAGGTAAGATGCGAGAGGGTAGAGATGAGATCCGAGATGTGAGAGGCGAGAGGCGTTGGTGCTCAGAGGGCTGTATAATGTTTTTCTTGGAATGGGACCAGAAGGAAAAGGATACGGGTTTCTGGATTAGTTAGACGATGTTGATGATGATGAACGTGATGATTTTTGCTGTCTATCGTCGCGAGAGTGACACGGAGAGCGCTGTACTGTACGGTGTTTCTGATTGGACGGAAAAGCCAGGTAACCTATCCTAGATGTAAATGTACGTTTAAACAACATATGCTGTAAAAGTTACACAACGCTCCTGCAGACGGAACCTTCCGACTACTTGCGTGATATGTAGGTGTGGTGCAAGCGATGCGAGAATGATCCGCAGTCACACTGCAGGTCGAAATGACTCGGGGACAAGTCACATTGGCGAACGACGTTGAAGAAGATCAAATGTCGATGGTATTTAAATACGTCGAAAACTGACTCGAAATCGACCCCGCAGCGGTTCGCCCATGATTCGACGACAGGCAATTTGTTTCTCCGCCTCGTCTCGCGCATATGCAGGTCTCAGCCCGGACTTTGCACGCCGCTCGCAATCTGATTTCTTCATCACATCTCGCAGAGCTAGCCCACGCGCTCGCTAGCTCGCTCGCTTCTAACCGGCTCTCGCCTCTTCTCCCTTGCATCTAGTGTGTCTGTGCCACTCGGCCGACGACGCTCCAGCCGTCGTACGATCATGCACGGTACCCACGTTTCTGGCTGACTGCAGAACGCCGCACCCCGGTTCCTGCATAGCCGCGCTTATCGTCCGGGACTACACACGGTTACCGGGGGTGTGACGGGGGAAGAAGAAGGCAGCTTGTCTGGATGGCTGGGACTAGGACTGGGGGGACCTGGGCGTAACGAACGGAAATGGCCCGCTTAGCCGCCGTACCCCCCCGCCTATTATTGTCCTACCGAGACACAAGGGCCTGAATCGATACGCGCCCACGCTGCTGCTGCTAAACCGCTGTGCTGTGCCGCAATGTGTGATGCATGTCCAAGCTGAACAACCCACCCCCGGACGCCGGCTACTGCGCCTGGCTGCCTGCAGGCTTTCTGCCTGCTTGCCTGCAGACTTCTTTCCCTCTCGCCGCTGCTGCCGCCGCCTTCTGCCCAACCACTCACTGCTGCTCGTTTGGAGCCTCTTTCTTCTCTATCGTCTCGCTCTGCTTGATACGAGCTGAAACGAGAGAATGATGTACCATCATCACTACTCCCCCTCCATCTTGTTGGGCACCACTACGACCTCGTCCGCGCCAGCACCTCCAGCAGCAGCAGCCATGGTCGCTCCCTCGCAGGCATTCGCCTCTCGTTCAGCTTCATTATCGTCTTCACCCTCCGCATCCTCGTCGTCGTCCCCGAAACATCTCCATCTTCCTCCGACGACGCCTATAACGACACGAGAGAACCCAGCACCCGCACCAGCGCCAGCAGCAGCATATCCACCTACAACGACGACGACGACGACGACGACGACTACAACGCACACGCACCCATCGCCCTCCACGAACTACCCGTCGCCCTCGTCCTCCCCAGTCCACACATCCGAACCTCCTCGCTCCATCGCGCTTGCCGCCGCCGCCGGCGGTGATGGCGACCCCGCGCAACACACCGTCATCGCCACGACCGAGGAGCTCAAGAAGAACGGCTACGTCCTGACGAACGCAGGCGTGTGGCGGAAGAACGAGCGCGCGAAGAAGGTACGCATCCATCGTCCAGTAAACGAGCAAAACGAACGAAAAAAGATCTTGGCCCCCACCCGCCGCCGAATCCCAGCACAACACACAGCACACACAGCAGCACAGCCCCTCCCCTCATCCGAGCCCTCGTACCATTCCTCATCCCTCATCCCATCCCATCCCATCCCACGAACTTGGCCCCCACCACCCTGCCTCCCTCTCCCCCCCGAGACCTCCCAAACCAGCCCCACCACGAAAACCCCGAACTAATAAAACGATCGTACTATAGGCCTTCACCCGCCGCGTCCGCACCGGCTGCCACACCTGCCGCCGCCGCAAGAAGAAGTGCGACGAGGCGCGTCCCGTCTGCGGCAACTGCGTGCGCAACCAGCTGCCCTGCGACTGGCCCGTCTCCACCGAGCACTGGCAGACGACCCGCAGCAAGAAGCGGAGGCGGGCCGAGGCGGCGGCGCTGAATGGTGTGCTGAACGATGCTGTGGAGGGGGAGGGGGGAAATGGTGTTTATGGTGGTGGTGTTGGGACGAGGGTGAGGAGGATTGCGGCGAAGACGGAGGAGGCGGCTGCTGGTGCTGCTGGTGCTGCTGGTGCTGCTGGTGCTGCTGCTGTGCCGCCGCCGCCACCGCCGCGGGGGGAATGGACGCAGGAGATGGTGGATGAGGCGTGCGTGCGGGGGTTGCTGGAGATGAGGGAGTGGAGGAAGCGGCAGGGAGAAGAGAGGAGGAGGCGGGATGAAGAGCGCGAGGTGAGGAGGCGGTGGGAGCAGTACGATTGGGACGCTGATCCGCCGAGCTGTGGCGAGCAGCCGCCGGCGGCGAAGTGCGCGAGGGTGGTGGTGGGCGGAGGGGTTCGGGCTGTCGGGGCAGCAGCACGGGAGAGGAGGACTGCTGCTGCTGCTGCTGCGACGACTACTGTGACGACCGCGACGACCACGAATGCGGCTACGGCTATGACTGTGGCTACGACTCCTGCGACTCCGAGTATAATTATTGATTACCGCTCTACTGGATGGAAGCCGCCGCTACCATCGCCGACGACTACTCCTGGGACTTCTTCTGATTACCATTCACCAATGGCAACCCGGTGGAAGCCAACGACGGCGGCAGAGGCGGCGACGAGTAAGATGGCTACGACGATGCCGACGATTATGCTGAGGACGGAGCAGGAGATTCCCAGGGCCTGCGTTGCGCTTGATGAGTACCGCTGGACGCCCCAGCCGAAGAGTAGCAGTGCTGGTAACCGGGATTGGTTAAGTATCCTGGTTCATCCGGTCAACCAGGCGTGATGGGATGTGGACCGGGCTGTGGGGTAGTGGGGACTTTAGATCTTATTGCTATAATAATAGAGGGCAGCTTGCCTTATACAGCTATTCGTAAATTTACTTCAAGATTTTTTCTGTTTGTCGTAGGGCTAAGCGAGTCTTCATCTGTGTGACGTCGGTCACGGCTATATCGATCGATCTGCATTCTCAACTGATCCTTGCGGGGTGATGCAAGACATATCACCGTTTAAGCTTAAGGGACTTACTATAACATGGATGCATAAGTGCAGCATAAACACCCCGCGTTCACCTGATGACGCAAGTTGGCTTTAAAGAGTCGATGTCATATTCAAACCCCCGCTTTCATGAGGGTCACATCACGAAGGTACTAAACTACGAAGACAATCAAACACAAGCAACGAAAAACAACCGAGATAGTATAGAATTTGAACAGGTATGCTTTCGAAAACTTTTACTTTGATATTTACATGATATTTACACGAACAGAGAAAGGATCTGTCTCAAATCAACAGAGCTTACGAGCTGCCGAAGGTGAATTCTGTAGCACAACAAGTTAGCTTAAGCTGGGATAGCGGAATGAGTGGGATTACTCGCCTGGAATTTCGATCGTTGTCACAGTCCATGTCTTGCCGCCATCCGAAGTGCTCATCTCGCCGGTGACGCCCTGGCCCTTGCCCATGGTGTTAATGTAGTTCGGGTCTGCACTATCGAGTATGATCTTGGTGTCAATCCAAGCTGTTTAAGGTATATTAGCTCACTATTGCTTTTCTTTTCATGTCTGACACTAATGGGTAAACTTACAGTGAGCGGGCATGGTACCGCAGTTCTCCTCAGCACACTCAACAGCGCTACCCCAGCCCTGGGCGTGGCCATCGCTGGTTGACAGCTCGGCGACCTGCTCGCCGTTGATGGAGACGATCTGGGTGTAGTTGCCCGAGTCGTCGTCGAACTTGTAGTGCATGGTGATCTTGTCGCTGGCGGCCGCATCATGACCCTCGGTTTGCACAGGCATCTGCGAGGAAGGTCCAGTGGAAAGAAGCGTGTAGCCATAGACGCTCCATTTTGCGGAGGCGTAATTTTCGGCAATAGACTGAATCAGATCGCCATTGGAAGTACCCATGCCCACCCAGAGCGAGGCGTCGCCCTGGTTGTTGCTAGGAACCTTGGGCAGGACGAGGGTGGAAGTGGCTTCGCGGATCCACGAGCCATCAGCAACAGGACCAGTGCTGAAGGCCGGGCCCATAGCGGCCTCAGCAACGGAGGAGAGGGCGACGGCGGCGAAGGCCGAGATGATCTGGCGGGAAGAAGGCATTTTGGTTGTTGTGAGAGTGTTTGTTTGGTTGATTTCTGCTTCTCGAAGGCGGGTATTGCTTCATTTTTGTACTCGCAGCCGGCCTGATCAACTCCTGATCTCATATGGCAACTACTCGACAACTGCCGGCAGACCCGTTGCGGGGGCCTTCGCTTAGCTGTCCCACCAGGCGTGCAACGCATCTCCAGAAACGTGTTTCGAGGAGTGGTTTCGTTTGGGCCTGATGCGGCGCAAATCGCTTCCTAACACAAGCATTGAGGCGCTCGCTTGGCGGATGCGGAGATGAATGGGGCCGAGCAGGAGAGTGACGCACGTTACAGGTTGAGGATCAGGCAGCCCCTGGATGAATTCCACCAAACGCGGTTTAAAGGCCTCCCACTAGTTGACATATGTAAACGGGCGGGATTAACCGAATGGTGGTGTGCCAAGCGCGAAACGCAACGACAAATATGGACGGAACTAATCGGACTTATTCAGGGAGGTGTAACCGCATTTAAAGTAGCAACACACCGTCTAGGCCGAAATAGGTAACTGTATAGAGAAGTTCGTGTTCTGTCACCTCCGAAGCTTCAGCACAACCTGGGCGATCGAATGCTTGTGTGCGTTTGACTCCTGTTTCCAACCGCGCAGACGTCACCATGTGGCCCGTGTTTCCGTCGGCATCAACACCAGCTTCTTTGCACCCACCCCGCGGACTAACAATAGATTTCTTCCGAGCGGAACGGGCAACATCCATCGCCGAGGAGAGAAGTCTGGAACCACCAAATCGGACGAGTAGAAGCTAACAGTCGTGCAATCCATGCATAAATCCGATGACATGTTCTCCTGGATGCTCCCCTTTGTGGCGTTTGCAATGACGGAGACACTCCACCTCTCCCGCGCCGTCATAATACGCATCACGAGCTTTCCGACCCGCTACTACCTCCTGACAACACGAGCTGAGAGTATTGGAGCAGAATCCAGACCAACGCTGCAACCCGCACGGCCCGCCGCTCCACGGCCCGGCGGTCCCCACAGCACCACTCACACACCGAGATCGAGCGGTAGAACGACATGCCCGATACGTAGTATATGCACGCAGCTCATGCGGGGTCCGCGGTTCCCATTCAGGGGCGATCTTTCTCTCTCTCTCTCTCTCTCTCTCTCTCTCTCTCTCTCTTCCTCCCTCTCCATCCACCGCCCATCTCTCCCCCACCAAAAAAAAAGAAAGTGAACAAACCTCATCCCCCCTCCTCCCCCACCGGCTTCCGCCCACAAAACACAAACAAATTCATATACGCATGCACCGCCCGATCCGCCAACGCGCGCCTTACCTCCGCCAAAAACACCTCGATCCGCTCCGTCTCCCACCCCAGCCCGCGCCCGAGCGGCCGCAGCGTGATGCCCTGCAGGCCTGCGGCGATGTTGGCCTGCCAGCACAAGCCCAGGTTGCGCAGGAACGCGTCTTTCGGCCAAGCGCCAATGGGCACCTTGATCTGGCGCACCGAGACGTCCTCGAAGCCCGCGGCGGTGAGAGCGGCGTCCAGGCTGGATGGGGACGGGGAGGAGGATGAGGACAAGGATGAGGACAAGGATGAGGACGAAGGGCGGGCGCGGCGCAGGTCGATCGACATCGTGCGGAGGCCAGCGGTTACGAGTTCGAGCATTTCGCGTAGAGCGTAGCTGGGCGGCATGCTGTCGTCGTCCGCGTACGGCATGTACTCGAACTCCTGCAGCTCCATCCAGCCGCCGGGCCGGAGGTGTCTGTCGTGCGTGCATGTTAATCAGGTGGGCTTCTGTTGCGGCGAGGGGAGACTAAGCGCTGCACTGCCGCACACTGCCCCCTCTTGGCGGGCAGCGGCTGGCTGTTTTCCGTACTGTACTTACTTGTAGGCTTGTTTCAGAACGGCGGGATAGTCTTTGAACGCCTCAACGCCGTGTCGCGCGTGCACGTAGTCGAAATGGTCCGCCGGGTGCAACCACGGCGCCTCGATGTCGTCGACGGTGAATTTTACATTTGGAGGCACCCACGTTGGCTGGATGGGGCTGAGATCGACGCCTTCGACGGCGGCGCTGGGGTAGGCTTCGCCCACTGGGGAGCAGCAGCAGCTCGTCAGTTCTCGGTGTGCGGGATATACGAAGGTTGAGGAAGGGGGATGGGGATTGGGCGGCTCACTCTCCACAGCCCACGCGCCGGTGCCCGTCCCGAGATCGAGGCAGTTCTGCGGATTGGGGCTAATGGGGGCGAAGTGCAGCTTTTCGTCCATGGCGGCGACGACGATTGCGTGTTTCATGTCTTCTCTGTTTGTGCGGCGTGGTCAGGCGTCGGGATCCAACCGAGCATCATGCAGACGAAGTAGGTAAGTACGGTACCTCTCTTGCGCCTTTTCGTCATTCGGAAAATTGTACTGCCCATCCAGGTACTTGTGGTACCGTCTACCATTCTCAAAAACGTGCGAGCGGAGGCTGGATGTCAGCGAAACAGAACCATCGAGGCTCGACGTATCGGACAGTGTGCCGCCATCGCTCTCGTCGACGTCATCTGCAACTTCGATTGGCGCTGCGAGATCGGCAATGGGCGAGACGGGAGAGCGGGGCGCGGATTTCGGAGACTGCGAGGCGCTCTTCTTCGCACCACCCCGAGGTGACCTGTTCAGCGGCGAAACCGCCTGCGGTGGCGTCGACATGTTTTCAAACCCGCGTTTCGGGCGGCGGCTGGACGATTATGAAACCCAGACTGCACGAGGAGGCGCAGCAACGTTTATTTTTGTTTTCTTTTTTGTCGTTCCACGTTTGTTTTATGGGAAACGTTGCTCTGCTGTGCCGCACGGGTAGACGACCGCTTCGAGAACTGGCCCTGCCTCATTCGGGACGTCGGGTGATGCGAGTGACCCACACGGATGCATCGGGTGAAGACACGTTTTCGGAAGTTTTCCAAAGCGAGTTACCCATGTATATAAAGAGAGGTATTGCGGACGAAGGCCAGCAAGGTTCTCGAATCTTTCCTGAGCTGCTTTTTTCTCAGAAAAAAATTACAACAACATATGGGTAGCTGAAGCTATCATCTGGATGTATATGTCAAATTTTTAATTCGACACCCTCATCCGGACGATAGCTTCATGTGCCCCCGGCATGAGCGAAAAAGAAATATGAATTCACTTTGGACTTCTGCTACGAAACCCGTCTGCATATACACACGTCATGTCTATCCCATGTCCCACTATCAATCTCATGTTCGTGCCGGCAAAGGCGGTGCCGTGGTTGTATGAGTGGTCTTGCTTGTCCCATTGGTCTTGTACAAACTGTCCGGCGCCACTTCTACCTCTCCCGTGGCGATGTCGAATCCGTACGAGGTCCGATTGAAGATCTGGAAGGCTGCGGCCGGTTGAAAGTCTGCACCAATGGTCAGCACAAGCTCCTCTCTTCCAGCAGCAACAAAGCAAACTCCAAACCCTCCACCCAGCGAACCGAAGAAAAAAAAAACAAAACTTACACGGCACCTCATGCCCCGCCTCCCACACCCTCGTAAAGCTCAACTTTCCGTACTGCCGCGTCTCCCCATACGCCTTCCCATCCACCAGCAGCTCTGTGTATCCGGCATCGCGGAAGTCCTCCGCGCCCGGCCAGTCCGCGGCTAGCGACAGCGCCTCACCGCCGAGCCAGTTGCAGATGTAATCAGCGTCTCCGTAGACCAGCGAAACCTGGACGTCCCACTCCAGCAGCTTCTCGAGGTCCGGCAGGTACGGCGCCGCGAAGTCGCCGGACAGACTGAAGGCGTTGTAGATGAGGTTGCTGGATGTGTAGTTGAGGTCGACGCCGAGCGCGTCTTGGATGGGGGCGGTGTTGAGCCAGGCCTGCGGACGTCAGTGCTGTTGGTTGGTCAATGGCGGGAAAGAAAAGACTTACGCGCCAGTAGTCCGGAGGGACGTCGTCACCGGACCGCGCGCGCTGGGGAGCTGTCAGTACAATGGCTTCACCCCGGCCAGACCAGACCCCGAATTCGAGGCGGAAAAAGAACTCACAATATCATACGTCCCCCTCCCCTCCAGCCCAAACGTATAATACAGCCCTTCAACATCCGCCTGGCAGATAAACTGCGCCGCCGAGCACGCCACCCGACGCGTCAACGACTCGCGATCCAACCACGCGCAGTAATCCAGCTTCTCCTGGCAGCCGCCGGGTCGCCGCAGCGCGAAGTCGCCGTGGTCGTAGACGGTGTCGTTGATCAGCTGCAGGCCGTACGTGTTCTCGTGCGTGAAGCGGAGGAGGTATTCCGTCTGCGTCGGCTCGTCGACGATGGCGTTGACCATGCCGAGGGACTTCATGTTGAGTTTCCGGCCGGTGGTGGTGTTTTGGTCCAGCTTCTCGTTTTGCTCGTGGAAGTGCGTGAAGAAGGCGGGGCCCCAGTGGCCGCCGAAGGATTCGGTCCTGACTTCTGTGAGGTGTTTTGCGTGTGGAAGGGGATCGGGAGGGGGAACGCACCAGAGGTGGAAATCTGTGGATTTGATGTCGGAGTTCAGTTGGGGCAGGCCGCTGTAGAAACCTTGCAGGAGCTCCCATGCTGTGACTGCGGCGAGTCGACTGTTGTCTTCTTTCGTAGGGTCGATGACGGCCCAGCGGCCTTCTTTCTCATCTGCACCGCCGGTGGAGTCCACTATCAAATAAGTCGGATCTAAGAATCCTACCTCTAAATCGCTGTACGAGAACCCTGGTCTTGTCAATGACTGGGCAGGAAGACGGAGTGCTGTCAAAACTAACCAGTGCCCACCTACGATCATTATTAGCAGCCGTCCACCATTTCCAAGAATTGTCCAACTTACAGGCTGGGACAGGAACAAAAGGTTCGTAATCTCAGACCACGAGTAATCCCTCAGCACCGTAGTCATATTCTCGACCACCTCGCACGGCCCAATCTCCTCAAACGCCCCGATCAGCGAATCCGACCCTGGCCCGCCATTCAGCCACAACGTGACCTACGCTCATTCTCAGCCACTGTCCACTGCTCTCACCCATTGATGCTTACCGGGTCATTGGCAGGATCCCTCTTCGACTCAAAGAAAAAGAAAAATACATGCACGTCCGGCGCGATGTCGATGTACCCGCTGTACGAATTGACGCCGGGCGTCGTCTCGCAGATACCATCTTTCCCAGGCTCTTTGTATCGGATCGTGACGCCGGACGGGCTCGTGATCGTCGTGACATTCTGGGCTGGGTTGGGGGCTTGTCTGCGGGGGAACGTGTGTGCAGCGGCGACGGCGGAGACGGTGCCGGCGAGGCTCAGCAACGTATGGAACAGCATCGTGGACGATGGCGTTTTTGTCGACGACTGAATTGGTAGTATGGTGCCTGTATTTTTATACCAATGAGAATGAAGTATATCCCGCAGGTAATTTCATGCATGCTGCAGGAGGGACGTCGGTTGTAGATCTCTGAGCCTTCACGGATGCGGAGAGTGGGGCAGTTTTCTCGGCTGTGAAGCGGGAAGGTGGTACTGAGAGCTTATCTGCCCTGCCGTCACATTGCCGCGGCAGGGGAACCGTGGCTGCCAAGCCCGGCAGATCAGGAAGAATAAGGTGACTTTTTGTCTCGTTGTGAGGACCAAAAGTGGTGTGACGTAGCTGTCGACCAGTAGTTTTTCCGTCTCTCTCCACACACCCGCTTAGATTGTGAAGATGATAGGACAAGTAGCAATGATGAGACAAAAGTCGTGGCCAGAGCAGATCGCTAAAACTATCATTCCTCCATGTCTCATTCAAGTCTCAATATATCCATGGCCGTCTTAGTGTGGTGGGCATCGACACTGAGAGTTAGCCGGTATTGCTGACTGGAGATGGGGTAGGCCCTACCATCTGTACCGGTTCCGGTAGATTGGCTGTTGGAAACTGCGCGATATGCAGTCTCGCAGCCCCAAACGGCTGGAGCTTGATGCGGAAAGGCTTGCTTTGCAAAGCACTCTCGCTCGTATCCACGGCACTTGGCGGGGCTGCCGTGCCGTTCCGCACCGGCCAGTCAACCCCCACCGCCGTGACCTCGATCGATACAGGCGGCGCGCCCGGCTTCCAGATGGGGTTCGGAAGCTCGTGGAAATCCTTCTTCGTGCTATCGTCCGTCCACGGCTGATTGAAGATGGCTTTGATTTCCTGGTTGGGATCGATGGCGATGCCCCAATTCCCCAACGGGAGCAGAAATTCATCGTAAGCCCGCTGGCCCCAGATCTCTCTACCTGTATCAAGCATTTCGGGGCAGGGGGAAGCTTGGTCTTTATAGTTGCGAGGCTCCATCTCCTCCTGTAGGCCCTCGATGGAAAACGCATAGAGCAGAGGGCCGTAGAAAATGCTGACAGACTTGTCTGCGTGCTGCTCAACCCGGATCTGTGCCTGAAGGGTTAAGGCAATTCTGTAATTAGGCGTGGTGGGGATTCGAATTTTGTGCAGACCTGTCGGCGTGTCGCTGTCGTTGACATTTTGCACGAACGGCTCGCGATGCCGCGAAGGCCAATCTTGAGCGTCAGCATGCTCGATGGTGGAGGTGCCCGTGGCCCAACCTGGGATTCTGATGAAAAGATCGAACGGCTTGGATGTACAGATCCAATACAAAACGGCACCTGCGAAGGGATAACTTCCCATGCAGGAAATGGTGATGCCGTCAGTTTGGAGTATGGATGGGAACAGGTGATTATGCAGGATCGCCTCAATTGTTCCCCCCTGCCGCTCGGAAGGAAATCGCAGGAACGCATTCATGAGCATCTTCGGATAGGCGGTTGGATGGTTGACAGTACAGCATGGCTTTTCGTGATAATTCCATCAGTCCCCAAGGCAGAAGTACTACGCTGGAAATACTCACAAACTCAGGCTCGAGGCCAAAGACGTTAGCGTACCGGCACACGTCGAACCAGGGCGTCTTTTCACCCTCTTTGAGCTCCAACTCTCGAGCCCAAGGCTGGTTTGTTTGCGTGATGTACTGGTGGCTCCACCAATCATACCCTATTCCAGCCCGGAAGTTGAACGCAGCCATCTCCACACGGTCCGCAAAATCATTGTCGCCGTAAAGCCGATGGAGGTAGGACAGCGAGAACATCAACTCGACAGTGCAGCAGAGCTCGGCTCCGCGCTCCGGCGACAGACCGCCAATGTATTCGTCGCTGCTGAGAGATCCTGCCGGCGTTCCGTGGAATTTGAAGACGCGCTCTACGGCTTGCTTGGAAAGATCAAGCAGCTGAGGTGAGGGGTGCATGCGGTAAAGTTGTGCGGGATATCGAAGACCTGGCAAAATTAGGAGAGCTCTTACTCCAACCATGTGTATCAAATACCTTGCGCTACGTTGACTCCGTGCTGGAAGTTTGATGACTCGTGCCGCACGGATGGTGTTTGCGGGAAGTTTGCTTCGGTGAAGAACTCAGTCCAGTCTCTTTTTGCAAGGCGAGATCCCTCCCAGAGCATTTCCATTACATGCCAGATCAAGCTCCGGTACTCTGTAGCCTCAGGCTCATCGTAAAGCCACTGAAGAGTTGTCGACAGCTCGTGTGCGCGTGCAACTCCGAACCATTGCTTGTCGAATTCGTCACCGTCCTTTGGCAGGTAGCCCTCGTAGTCTCTCTGAAGCATTTCCTCCACCAGCTTGACAAACTTGAGCATTGCATCCATGATTGTAGCCCGCTTCTCAGGATCCGCCAGAGCATGGTTCATCAGACCCTGCAGCAACAAGCAACGAGCCCAAATCCCGCGCGTCTGCCGCGTCGTCTCCGGGCCCAACCATCCATCAGAGCTTTGATGGCTGAGGGTATACTGAAGAAAGTGCTCGGCTTGATCTCGCAGCCTCTTGGCGAGACGGGCATCCGCCAGCTCGTCGAGGCTGAAGGCGAGCGGCACGATGTAGTTGTACCAGTACGGCGCCGCCTCGTTCAACGCGCTGTACTCCCACGTCCCGCCCAGCCACGTGCTGTCCTTGACGAAGCGGTAGAAGTAGAAGAGGTGGCCGCCGAGCCCTTCGCCGCATTGACGTAGGTCGTTGCGCATCCATCCCTCTGCCTTGATGGAACCGAGCGGGAACAGCTCGTATTTCATCGGCACGAGGGCTGGGGAAGACATTGTGGCCGGTGGTGATCTGGGCGATGGCTTGTTGTGTTTGGTGAAGTGGTGTTTCAAGGCACAATGAAGCTAAAAGCCAGTGGTGGCGAGGGTTGCGGGGCGTGGCTGCTCGCTTGGTATGCTTATCAGAAGATCCCGTAACATCCCGGCGTCGTACATGCCTCTTGCAGCAGGACCCCGCGCCCGGCATGGCAACTCTAGCCGACTACCACCCTGTAGCTGTTTCTGGTCAGATCTGCGGCATCGCGAGATCCGTATCGCGCCCGTGTGCATGTCAGTGGTGGATTATTGTTTGGGCTGTAATTGTCTGCATGCACCCCACTCTCGGGAATACGAGAAAGCAGCGGCAGCTATCAGAGAATGAAGCCAACTGCACGCCGCCAGCCTGAGCGCTTCTTGTCTTCTCCGACATCAGGATCCAAATCCTCTTCCATCCTTCGGCCAAGATCCAAGTCTACTTCCTGCAGATTGACGCCGAATCCCCAGTCCCTTGTGTAGACCTTCCAGAAAATGAAGAGTGAGAGGGTGATTGGAGCCGCGAGGTAGCTTTGGAAGAACGAATTCGCATTGGGTGGGGATCCAATGGGCTGCGGGCATTCAGTCAGATGGCCGCACGCAGAAACTGAGATTGGAAAAGGAGGACTTACAAACAGCGCGGAATAGAATGTTGCAGCAAGCGATAAGCACACTAAAGTAAGTCCAACGTAGCTGCCGTAAACACCAAGGGCCGATCTCCAGGGTATCTGCTCCAGATCCCGTCCCTGGAGTTTCCACGCCTTACGAAATCGGATGTGAGCGAGCATGATGCTAAGGTAGGCGAATTGGCCGCTCAGGCCTGTAACAGCAAGAAGCCAGGTGAAGACCAGACTTGAGTCTGCGGTGACGGTGATGAAAGACAGGAATCCCACCGCCACCTGCAGGGCAACGCACCAGATAGGCCTGCCTTTACTGTCTACTTTGGCGAAGAACGCAGGTGCTCGCCCGCTGGAGGCGAGTGCTTGGAGGACTCGTGTGGAGCCATAAGTGCAGCTGTTTGCAACGGACAAAACAGCCATGGTGATGACTGTGAATCTATTAGCTGCGTGGAAGCGGCGACGAAATGACTGAGGTACGAGTACTAACCAGCATTGATAACGTGTGGAAGAGCCTTTATTCCAGCGAGCTCCACGGCGAGAACGAAAGGGGAAGCCTTGGTGTTTGCGCCGCTGGCGCCCAGAAGTACGTCGCTGTCTGACGGAACAACAAGGCCCATGATGAACACATTGAGTATGTAAAAGAGGAAGATGCGCCAAAAGACCTGCCGTGTAGCTTTGGGTAACGATCTTCGGGGATTTGCTGCCTCAGCTGCTGCGAGTCCAACCATCTCCGTTCCGCCGAACGAGAATGCTGTGCGAGTGTTATTCAGTCTCCAAGGCTTCCTATTGTTTAGTTTGATACTGACCTGCAGTGACAAAAACAGAACAAAACCCTTTGAACCCGTTTCGGAAGGCCCCAGGCTCATGCCAGTACCGCGCGCCGATGTAGCCGCGGGTGTCGGTAGGAACACCACCACAGTCAATGATGATCCCCAGGATAATGAAGCCTATGCAGGCGAGTATCTTGACGATGGCAAGAATGAACTCAACTGCTGAACTATTAGCTGCAGTCACAGGACAGAACAGGGTCAGCATGCCTTCTCCGTATCCACGGACACCAAACACATTTATGATGATCAGTGCAACCAGGAAGACCGCACACCATACCCCGGGGTTGATATCCTCTCGGTCTCTCCAGAACTCGATTGTTATCCCGGCGGCTGTGATCTCGAACGGCAGCGTCACCATCCACCCGATCGAGTATTCCCACCCCATGGCAAATCCCCATGCCGGGTCGATGAAACGCACGGCATACTCGTAGAAGGCTCCGTTGACCGGGTAGATGATGGCGAGCTCTCCGAGCGCCTGGACGGTGCACATCATCATCGCACCTTCTCGTGATCAGCTATGTAGATAGATGATAACAATAAGCGTCAGTGGAGCCTACCGATCATCATGAAGGCGATGAGCTGCTGGATTGTTAACTAAAAAGCTGTCAATATGGCAGCACCGCGTACCAAAGATCCAGGACCGCCCGTGCGGAGCGCTCCTCCGGTGCCAACGAAAAGGCCGGCGCCAATGGAGCCACCTGTTGACTGAATCAGAAGTGAACCATTTCACAAAGCCTAAGTGACCATACCAATCGCTATCATCTGCATGTGTCTTCCCTGTAACGACCGAGATAGAGCCCGGACAGGGGCCGCCGTTCCCTTGTCAGAATCGATCTGGACCTCCTGCTCCCGCCCTCCCATTTCCTTTGCTTGGATCGATGGCATGGTAAGAATCGTACAAGTGAAAGGACTTGGCGTAATCGCAGTTCCGAATGGGCGCGTTCTCTGGCAGATAAGTACTCGAAGCGCTGACCGTGCAGGCCGCGGTCGCCGCAGCCACAACCCTGCGGAGAGATACACAGATAGCAAGGTCGCAGCATCGGTAAGCATCGCCCCAGCACGTCGGGTCCGACCAAGAAGAGAGACCCCCGGCGCATATGCACTCCAATTTCGGTATGTCGGTTCCCGGTTGATCTTGCCCCGCTTCGAGATGCGGGGTGCGCGTTCGGTTGCCGATTGCTGTGTTCTCTTTCAAAGGTCTACTTGTACGTCGAGCAGGATGTCCATCGAGATGGGGAAGTCGATTGAGCAATGCGTTTCATGAGGTACAAGAATTCACGACGGTGCTGTGCAGCGAAGGAAGCTGACGTAGGAAGAATATGAGCGAATAATTGAACCCCCGAAATGATGACCTACACTGTTGGTTCTAACTACATAAGCCTGAACTCCCGAATGCTTGAGCGTACTTGTCGAAGTTGTTGACGATCAACGTAGGAAACGCCGATTCTTTCAAACCCGCCGTCTTTTTCTATTACGATAAGTGTCATAGCGCAATGATACGTCTCCCCCGTCGCGAACAAGCCCAGTTTGTCATCTGCGATATCTGGATGATCTTCATCAACGATTATGCCAAAGTACCGAGATCCATTTGAAGGCACAGAAGCACGAAGCAGCCGATTATCTGAAAGATTTAGGAAAGAGACCTCTCGAAAACCGGAGTATCGTACAGCGAGCCTGTTCTTGGTGTTGTCGAAGGGATCCTCGGGATTGCGAGGAAAGAAGTTTGGTGGAGCGGAATACCGATCGTCTTGCGGTACTGTGTCCAAGGGCACGATTTGAGCCTCCAGGGATGGTGCAGTGATGCGAAGAAAGTGTGCGTGGGAAAAGTCGTGTCGGGCCTCAATAAGCCTGTGGAACTCATCCTGCTCTAAAACCTCATTGTTGGGTTCTTCGAGTCTGACGAGAAGGCTTCTAGTCTTATCACCAGATAAATACCGCAAACCAGTATTGCGGGAGAAGCCCTCGCAATACCATCCAGTCCAAGACCAGCTTGGAAAGCCCTCGTGCCGCCTCCCTGGAGTATTGCACTCCCAAACAAGAGAAACAAAGAGCACTGAAGGCCATGGTCGTCGGTCGGTCCAATATAAGATCATCGGAAGGCCCGCAACATTCCGTACCTTGTGTATAAGCTCACTGCCGTTTGGGGGGGTTGCTTCTTCGCCGTGTTTCAGAGTCCCTAGAATTCCATTGAGGATTTCTTGTTTATTCCCCAGAGTAAGTTTGACATAGTTGCTTATCCTGAGCCAAAGATCTGGGTATTCACTGTCGTGGGAGAGAAAATAAGGATAGACTGGGTTAACTTCCGGTGCATTGGATTCGATAGCATAGCTCAGCTTGCCAGACGTATCGTATGCCTCAACAGCATAGGTTATTCCGCATTTGAAAAGGACTTGCTGGTCGGTGAACACGAGGCGTCGCTTTGCTAGCAGGCCCTCCTGAAAGGTCCATCCCCTTTTAGACCATGTGGATTGATCAATTAACATCTTTGGATCACCGAGAGTGGTAGAGAGCGTGCGGGAGCCAATGCGGATTCTAGGAGGTTGGCGCTTTCTGCTCACCCCTGGCAGCCCATAGTCCGGTCCATCACCAGCAGCTGCTATGATGGCGATAGAAGCTCCCCCGTAGATGTCACCCATGCGCGTGATTTGTCTATGTTTCTCATCTTCCTCTTCTTTGTTGCGTGGGTTCTGTCGTATACAGTATCGGTCGCACCAGAGATAACGTATCTTTAATTTCAGAGCCACCAACATGGCGTCGGCGATTGTGCTTGGGAGAACCGCTGGTAACTCCTCATGGCCATTATTTAACACAGGCTCGGTTTCCGAAGTGCTCTTTGATGTGCCCCACACATAGGACAGGGCAGCGTACGTATATGCCATTTCAGAAGCAGGAACGACAGTTCGAGTTTTGCAATCGATCAATCGCATGCCTGGTACGCTTTTATCATCTCCGTGGAGCGTATTGCAATACTCTGAGTCATAGACCTGACATTCATGAAGTGTTCGTTTGAACAAGCCAATGTTAACGTAGGGCTTGACTGAAGTCGCGGGGATAGCAGCATGGTCGGAGTCGATGGTCTGCTCTTCTGCAATATAGCCCACGTAATCACAACCCTCATCTTTCCACTCGATTTGGTCTCTCGTCCACCTTTTGATTGAACCTAGACCTGGGGAAGACCTGGAGTGGTGTGCAAAGGTCAGAATAATCTTTTCTTCTGCGTCTTCTGGATCCTCGTTCTCTGGGTCCTCGTCTTTCGAGTCCTTGTCTCGCAGGCCCCCTAGATCCTGGACCGTCCCTGCAACTAGTGGGCTGCATTGTTTCCATACTGTATCTCGTTTTTCCAAGGAAGGGTAGATGAATTGCAGTGCCTGACAGAACGCGCATTCAGAGTCGCTAAGAACTCTCTGCTCGTCACTAATGGACAGGATTGGATCGCCGCCTTTCTTAGCGCCTTTTCGGGAGAAGAGTTCATCGAAGTCAATCTTGCGACACCTGCTGCAAAGGTATGATTGTTGATCTTGATCAGGAAGACTCTCTTTGTCGTCGTCTGGAGGCCAGTCCGAAACGGAGCTGTCATCATCCAGGTCTGACTGAAGTGCGTCCGAATCGTAGCCGGCATCGTCTGGGGCTGGGAGTGCCGCCTCTCCGGTCGTTTCATCTGAGGCGGCAGTAGTAGATATTGTTTCTGTGGTTGTTTTCTCTGCGGTCGCTGGCGTTGCAGTTGTTGCGGGGCCGCTCTCTTGCATCGTTCGTTGTTTCTTGTCGGAATGGGTGTCGCTTGCGGCAGCGCCATCGGTCACTGGGGGAGACGAAGTTCGCTTCATGACTGGGTGGTTGGGGAGTTCCTCACAAGGCTGGGTAGTTGGGGAGTTGTTCACAAGGTTGGCTTCCTATTGCGAGGAATAGCGGGCTTTAATTAAACCTCGATCAGCCTCACCGGTGGGCGTGACAGTGCCGACCTGTATTGTAATCCGATTGGTAGCCTCGTGTTACGAGAAATATTGATCAGGGTTCGCCTTATTAGTGTGCGTCCCGGCGTCAGCTGTGTTACCATACGCTTGCCGCCCGCTTTGCAAGCCTCACCGAGAAGCCAACGTAGTCAAGCCAAATAGGAATGGAGGACAAAACACTCATGACTAAAGTAATTTTGAATCTAGACCGAGAGGGATGCAGCGGAATAGCAGTTGGTTTTATTGATTGAAGTGGCCTCGCCGGGCAGCCTGCGCAGTTGATGTTTGGAGACAGGCAGAACTGAGATGTGCACGGAAGGCTGCATGCAGATTGAGAGGCTATGCAACTCTGCATCAAAAATTTGCAGGGGCTGACAACCAGTTAAAGGCCTTGGAGGATTCAGTGCACTGCCCTGTCCCACCCGTCTGTATCACAGTCTGCCCTGAATTCAAGTGACACCAATTTTTGTTTTTCACTGCGTGACCACGTCAGCCTCTCTTCACACTTGCCACCCACCGTGTGAAACTCATTTGCTTTTCTACTACGGGGACCATTCGCTTCATATTGCGACAGAGAGTGGGTAGCTGAAGCGTCTATCCGTACGTAAATGATTGAATTATCTGGAAGCAAAAGCGTCCGCATGAGATCTTCACGTACCCCGACTTGTCGCAATTATAAGCTGACTAACGTTGCAGCCTGCTCAAAAATGTTCTGACATTGCTTTTTCCTAGGGCTCTGCAATCACATCCGCCACGTATCAACTCGCAAACCGAATGTGCATGCATCCCGCCTGATCACCGATCAGTGTTTCCCCGTTCGCTGGCACGGCATCCGCCCAATACCTCAGCTGCCGCCACACGAAGCCACGAGGATGGAGAGCCAAATATGGGGCCGCGCGGCAGGTTACAGAGCTGCTGACAACTGAGGAATTGCGGATACTCGATGAAGCCATATCTTTTCTATTCAGTAATAAGCTGAACTTGGCGAGATGCCCACGCAAAGATTAGCGTTGCTACTTATCTCGAATGGAGAGGAGAGGATGCGGTTGAGACGCGCGATCTAAGATCTGTGCGAGGTCATTCAATTGCAACAAAGATGGGTAGTTGAAGCTATCGTCCGGACGAGAATGTCGAATTATTAATACGACACTTGCATCCGGATGATAGCTTCAACTACCCACGCAATGACCAAATACTTTATTCCAGCCTTCGGTTGTGATACCATCCTGGTAGTACTGTGCGGGGTGATTTAATTGTAACAGATAGTGGGTAATTGAAGCTATCGTCCGGATGCAAGTGTCGTATTGATAATTAGACATTCTCGTCCGGACGATAGCTTCAACGACCCTAATTTGTCGCAATTATAAGCAATCCAACCTTTCTGCCTGTTCAACAATCCTTTAGCAGTGCTTACTTATTATCCCGAATGGTGAAGAAGAGAAAAGTGTTGAGACACGCGATCCATGTGAGTGACGCGCCGCGACGCGACCCGACGCGCCTCCGTGCACGGACCTGTGGTGACGCTGATGTCGAGCGGCCTCCATGTCACCAACACCTTTCTCTGACGACAAGCACGCTTCGGAAAGCTTTTGGTGCACTTTTTTACGATCCTCACCGCAAAACCTTCCCGGAAACACCATCCCGCAACCATGCCTTACTCCAACTACAAGCGCTTCCTCGTCGCCCGCTTCCATGAAGCCCACCGTTTGCTCGGCGATCCCGACACCATCGAGGATGGCGCCGACATCCTTCGCGACCTGCTGGCAAGCCGGCCGTCGCCGGGGCCGTGGCTGTGGATGAAGTGCCACCTCGGGCTCTCGTTCTACGCCGACGACTTCTTCGACGCCGAGGTGAGACGCTCAGTGACCCAGACCTGAAGCGCCCCGCTGAATGATATGCCCCAGGCCAACTTGATCGCCGCGCAGCGCATCTACGATGATCTGCGCACGCAGCCGCCGGAGAACCGCTCTGAGGAGCGCGCTGCTCGGCTGCCTGCGGTTGGTCGGGGTCTCGAGCAGTCGCGCGCTCGCATCAATGAGTGGCGTCAGAACATCATCGACGCTGGCGCCGCTGGAGAGGCTCAGCTGCAGGACGAAACTGCCTCCCAGACAACCCAGGAAATGACTTTGACTGAGAATGCGGATGAGCTTGCTTCGGTGGAAGATGCGGAGAAGGTCGACGACGACGAGAATATCCAGCTGGCACAAGACTCCGCAACTTGACTGGTATCGTCAGCTGAACAGTCATCATTGTCCGCAGCTTCCAGCGCTCCGAGCTTCTTCGGTCAGACAATGGAACGGTATGCTGGAATCGAGCGTGGTGTGCCATTGCTGGACAACGAAGAGCATAACTCGTAGTCTGAGAGTGGGTAGTCGAGGGTGGATTCCGCCGTGGACATGAACACACCCAGGAGCATGAGGTTCTTCTCTTCGATTCCTGAAGAGGTAGTCTCTACGCCTCCGTGTGAGCTGCCGCGGAAGTCCTCACGCTTGGCAGGATCTCCACTCAAGAGGGCTCATAGCCCGGACACTCCTCCACGGGATGACGACGGCCAAGAGCCTGAGCGAAGTCCAACTCCGCGTCTTAAGAAGGCTAAGGAGAACTAAGTGGACTTTCTTGCAATGCTGCGGCTTGAAACAGACTTTAATAGTCTGCAATTCTCGGGATAATTGAGGTACCAACCCATGCCTCGGTGTTTGAAGCGCGAAGCTTCAGCATCATAAAAGCACATCTACCTGACATGTCAATGCATGGGCTGTTGGACAATCGAGGCTCTAACGCATGACTCGATGGTTGAAGTGCAAATGTCAATCTTCGACATCACAATTTCACAGCCACCTGACATTCCCAAGCATGACCCGTGAGCTATTGAGTTACAAATGCATACTTCCATACTCTTTGAATGCTTATGTGTGAGTCCAGTCTTTGTAGTGTCACTATGTTGCCTATCCCACACCCAAAAGCGCGGAATAAGTCCATACTTACCTACGACACGAACTTTTATACTCAGCCTTTCCCTCAAACTGCCTGCCAATCTACATGACTAGCGTTCAAGAGTGCACTCCGAATTGGGGTTGCGAGGGCGAGCATTCACATAGTTTCTAACTTTCGTATAGCGATCCGCAAGACCGGTCCACTCTTGTAGAAACCTTTCTACTAAGTACTTGGCGATGTTGAGAGAGTTTCAGTAGGTTGGAAGACAAGATTTCGTACGAGTATGGAATGATCTAGCAAGTTTTAGACAACAAATTTAGTCAATCCTGATAACAATCTTGCTGAAATGCTTCTGCTCAAGCATGTACTGATACGCTTCCTTGGTCTGCTCCAGTCCAAAAACCTTCTCGTCCAGAACCGGATGAATATCGCTCGCCTCAATCGCACGGTTCATCTCCTCAAACTGCAGACGCGAGCCAACGAACAGGCCACGAACGGTGCAAAGGTTAGACAACGCTTCGAGGAAAGTCGGCTGCTCGGCGCATTCACCACCAACAAAACCGATGATGCTGATCAGACCGTCGATCCGAATGGCCTTAAGGGACTGGGCCATAGTCTTCGGACCGCCAACTTCGATGACGTGGTCAACTCCGCGGCCGCCTGTGAGCTGCTTTGCGGCCTCGCCCCAGTTGGGTGTCTCCTTGTAGTTGATAACATGGTCGGCGCCGAGCTGCTTAAGCCTCCTCGCCTTTTCCGGGGACGAGGTCGTCGCGATAACATTCGCACCAGCCGCCTTGGCGAACTAGACGGAGTTTTAGCCGTTGTCCTCGAAGCGGGAGAAGGAGGGGTTCAAATACCTGCAGCGCGAAGACGGACACACCACCCGTTCCCTGCGTGACGACCCAATCACCCTGCCTCAACAGGCGTCCCTGCAGCCCATAAAACGCATTCCACGCCGTCAACCCCGCACACCCGAGCGTAGCCGCCTCCAACCAGTCCAGATTCTTCGGCACGTGGACCAGGCCTTCCTGATCGTAGGCGCCGTACTGGCGCAGCGCCCCGTCAAGGACGCCACCCACGCCGGTCGCCATGGAGTGCTGATCCAGCGATCCTGCCACGTGTGCTTGGTTGAAGAGCGTGGCGACCCTGTCGCCCAGCTTGAAGCGCGTGACGCGGGAGCCGACGGCGACCACTTCGCCGACGCCGTCGGAGGCGGGGACGATGTCGTCTTTGTACGGGAAGGGGAAGGTGCCCTTGGCGATGGCGAGGTCGCGGTAGTTGAGGGAGGCGGCGTGGACTGGTGTTTTCGTCGTTGGTACTGGCTTAAGAGGTGGGCGGAGGTGAGAGAAACTTACACCTGATGAGAACGTCGTGTTCGCTGAGATCTGGAATAGCGGCCTGAGTGTTGAATTTGAGGGTATCAAAATCCTTGGCGCCCTGCAAGACACGCCATTCCTTTTGCGTCTGAGGAATAGTCATGATTGAGCAATTGGGATGGATGCTTTTCGCGAAGGTGGGTTTGAGATGTGTAAGAAATGGGTTTTGTTTGGAGCCCGGGACCTGAGGTTTGATTGTCTTCGAGGATGGAGCAGGGCGTTTAATAGTTCCCAAGGGCAGCTTTCATGAATCATCATGAACCATACAAAGGTACACGGTGGCAAACCAGACTACATTAATAATTGCCGGATGTCCGCAGCTAGTAATTACATTTCAAATCGGGAAGCCGCTGTTCGTAGCTACGTATTCAAGCCCACTAACTTCGTATTCCCGCGGGACCTATGCAACAATATAGCTAACGACATGCAAACTTCCGTGGCACACCCGGGACAGGCTTTTAGTAGATGGGATTGCTTAAAGCTCCAGTCATTTATGTAATAGAGAGGAATTTTTAACTGGCTATCTCCTTCTCATCTATTACTGGCTACTTGTTGCATTGGACTATCGGCGGGTTTCCGACGGAGCCAAGGAAACTAGTGTGATTGGTGTGTTTCCGATGATGACGAAAGCAACTTCAGGCCCGGAGTAATTCCCGGCCCACGGCCCATGACCGAAGCACTCACTCACGGGCCACGAATTCTTCACTACGAGTCTAAAGCTATAACAGTGGGCTAAACCCCAAGGTCTTTCGGTAGATCAAGAAAATCACAAAGCTTAATTCAATGACATGACTGGCAATTGGTAATAGATTAGATAAGAGGGAATTCACGTAGGTAGGCGATGCGGGCTTCCGACTTGCTGTTCTGGCGTCTTCCGTGTTGCCTTGGTTTTCCCTGCAGGCTTCCTTTCCTTATTTACTTCGCATATGATTATAAATCCCCTGTAGCCTGTAGGCTGGCTTCGTAACAAAAATCCACCTGCTTACTTAACAGACAACCGCTGCATAGATCTGACTGGTTAGAGGAATGGACGAGGAAGAGAAAGAGGAATAGGGCCAGCGCCAGGTCACTTTCGATGGCGCCGCCGGCTATAGGCTGCGAGTAGCTATGCTTTGGGCGAGGCGGCGTACTAACCAGCCACGTTGTTGCTGTCGAGGGAGGATCGGATAACTCCCCTTCGGCATGAGCAAAATGTGACAAACGCGAATGATATCGATTGGTGAATGCGGCGAGTGGTGGTGACATACCACTGCTAAGCGAGCTAAGCAAAGCCTAATTGGGAAAGAAACAGTGCCATGGTGACAACAAAGGAAGCACACCAAGGCAAATGAACATTCCCAGACAGGCCATTGGCCTCAAAGCAAAACATTTCCAGAAGGGTACTTGTCATAATGTCTACGTGCAAGCATCTGATGCGACCCGCATGTAGTGACAGCAGAGGCTGGACTGTTGGTTACAGATGTACGCTGAAAGACCATTTCCTTTGCCATTCCTTCACCAGGGCAAGTTCTCGCCCTGGTACTTCTTTTCATGCTCCCATCCAGGAACTTTGACATTGTAAAACTTGCCGTTGTCCGCGCGAGTGACGCGGAAGACAATGTCCAACACAGCTTTGACACTTTCCTCCGGCGTCAGGTCGCCATTTCCGCCACCCATGTCGGTCTTGACGTACTGTGTGCACAGTTAGCATCTAGAACTAGAATTTAGAAGTATACTGGGAGTAATTACGCCGGGAGAGAGCGGCACGACGGTGAAGCCTTCGTCTTCCAGATCGAGCGCGTATTGGACGGTGAGCATGTTGACGGCTGCCTTCGAAATTTTGTAGGCCGGGACCTGGGCCCACTTCCATTCGGGAGCGGAGTTGATGGACCCGAGGGGTGTCGAGCTGAGAAATGTTAACTCTCATCCATAGACTTTACATGTAAGAGCGGAACCATACACGACAATGATTTTCTTCGCGTTGCCCTTTTTCAACAGGGGTAAAAAGGCGCTGGTGGTGTACTGAACGCCCAAAACATTGATTTTGAAGATGTCCTCGAGGTCCGTCCTATTGCGTGTTAATTTTATGTCTTGCCATCTAGGATTACAACTTACATGTCCTCAGTCTTGTTCCATTTGGCTCCGAGTCCAGCATTGTTGATGAGCACATCAAGGCCATTTCCACCTAGAGATTCGGCAACCTTGTTGGCCGCGCTTTTCGCGCTCTCTTGGGAAGTAACATCAAGAGCAACCCATTCGACGCGGCCTCCAGATTTGGCGATAAGCTGCTTCAAGCTGTCGGTTTCGGTACGAGCCGATGCAAATACCTTGCTGACTTCGGTGGCCGGCTTAGCCGCAAGGGCGGTGACGATAGCCAATCCGATGCCGCGCGAAGAACCGGTAACGAGGTAAGTTGAAGCCATTGTGAGTGTTGAGTGATGTTGGAGTTCTCTATGGATTTACTACTTATTATAACGATTGAAGACTCGGAACCGGAGACGTGGACATCCGGAAGATGGCTCCGCCTAATGGTCTCAGCTAACAATCTAGTACAAGAATTGCCTAACGCAGTGTCACAGAAGGCCTCCCAGAAACTTTCTCGGGGTTTAGACAGTAAGGCCGGTAGCATGAATAGAATGGAGAGTTCCGAAAATCGTCCGTGGCCAGTGCTTGACCAGTGAGATCGCTGGGAGTTTGCATCAAGACACTTACAGCGGCGGCAAGGATGGGTTCATGGACGAGTCCGACCTAACTCCGCGTATTGAGCATCGTTCTCAATAGGGGAAATTCGCGTATTCGTTTCGTGTCCGCATGCACGTGCTCGAGGAACACCAAAATCTTTAGTCCTCTTATTCAACCTATTGTCACGCAACGAAAAGAAGGTATTTCTGAATGAAGAAAAACAGATTTTTAACAAGAAAAAGGGAGATTCTGTAATATAAAAAGTTCGGTTTTAATGCCTCAAGTTAACGTAGGGTTACTTCTCAGCGGACATTTTTACACGCTAGAGTTTATCGGACTCATCCGTAAACTGATCCGTGCCGCCACTGTAAGCGCCTCCCGGAAATACTTACTCTATAGACTTCGAACGCGAGTCATTTGACCGTATCAGAAGCATGCACTTGTTAAAAGTACCATGCTTCTGATGGACCTCGGTCATACGAGCTCCCAAATAGGAACCATTCGGCGAAGCTGATGATGGATTTCAAGTTCTTCTTCACTAACGAGTAGCGTTGACTATGGATATCTACACCATAACCGAGGCAAATAGAAAGCTGAAACAGATAAAGCATGAAGATATTGATCAGCCAGTGATTTTAGTCGTATTTCATCAATGAACACAGTTGAAATCACTTTGAAGATATCTAAGATTACGACAATGGACGAATCACATGTACACTTAGGATGCGTGCACTGCCGCGGCTTTGCGTGGAGCATGTGCTGGTCCGAGCGAACGTTGGTCTCAACTAGCATCTCTATCAAGGGTAGAGGTTCGATCCCCAGCCAACTCGGGGCTCTTAGAGGTTAGCGAGGTGCGAAGCTTGTTAGTTTCCAGAGGTGGCTCGGCGAGGCTTGCCCGAAAATGCTGTCATAGTTCAATGTGACGTCATCCGTCAAAACACTGCCCTCTTTCGGAAGACTGCAAGGGCTACTATTAGTCATCATCGGGAGACCGCAGAGTGCATTAACAATCATGTTTCCGATAACATTCCACCACCTTCCCGTAGTAGAAGACTAGCAGATTTCCGCGCACCACGATTTTACATCATGATGAAATCGACTGTGCATCTTAAAGTTTTCAGAGAAAGTCTTAGCTTATTTGTATTCGTTCCCCCATATGGAAAAAAGAACGGATGGATGTGCGTAACGGCGAGATATCCTGTCACACGTCGTGGGTCTAACTTTGCTGAAAAGTCCCTAGTAGCATTCGACAGCTCAATTACCAGAATTCAGGCACAGTCACGACTCGGCGTGATCGTAATTGTAAAGTATGTAAACTCATCCGGCAAGAGCGCGGTAAAATTATCGAAGTGGCCAGGCACATGCCACAAAACATGATTTGGGAAAGCCAAGAGGCGGGGGTTTCTTAGCATTTGAGAATGACTCGATATGACCTGTCGATAAGTCATGTTTTGTACATTGGAAGTGTCCGAGATACAAATGAGAAATGTCGGGTCTGTGCTTTCTTTCTAAAATCGCTGCTGGTACTACCACTGGGATTTAGCCTCCCCGGTGGATCGCCGTGAAGTTGTGGGACGTATCAGGTATAGGCCAATCGATAAATTGCCGAAGGGCCAGAGACCCTGTCTACCCCCACTCAGCTGAGAGACTACATGTACTGCGTCAATCGCCATGGAACGGTTGCTACCGCCAGCAGGATTCCTATTTCACGGTCGTTACTACCTCCTACCGCCCTACTCGCACTAAATCCACAGCAAAAATGACCAATTACGATGTCGACGTAACGCCGTTGGATCCGAACAGCTACAATTATGACCTGGGGTCCTTCAGCCGGCCACTGAGTAGCAAGAGCAATGAAGCACGGATCTGGTTCAACCGCGGTCTGAATTGGATCTACGCTTTTAACCATGAAGAAGCCTGCATCTGTTTCGAACAGGCCATCGCCCACGACCCCACCTCTGCCATGGGTTATTGGGGGATTGCCTACGCGTCCGGTCCTAATTATAATAAAGAGTGGGGCGCGTTCGACGAGAAGGATCTGAAAGCCTCGTGGCGCAAATGCCACGCGGCGTCTCAACGTGCCAAAGAGCGTCTCTCCACCGCAAGCGCCGTCGAGAAAGCACTCGTCGATGCCATCCAGTATCGCTTTCCAGTGGGCCACGTGCCAGACGACCTTGCCGCTGCGAACGTGGCCTTCGCCGATGCAATGAAGGAGGTTCATTCACGATTCGGAGATGACCTCGACGTCGTCGCATTGTACGCCGACGCGCTGATGGCCACCGCCCCCAAGAAACTGTTCGAAGCCGCCACCGGAAAGCCCATCTTGTCGTCCCCGGTATTCGAGGTCAAAGACACGCTCGAGCGCGGCCTGCAACTGCCCGGCGGCATGGCCCACCCCGGCCTACTCCACCTGTACATCCACCTGATGGAGCGGTCCGCCACCCCCGAAGCCGCCCTCGTCGCCGCCGACGCTTTGCGCGACCTCATCCCGGACGGCGGCCATCTCCGCCACATGCCCTCGCACATCGACGTGCTGGTCGGCGACTACCGCCGCGCCATCGCCAGCAACACGGCGGCGACGGTCGCTGACGACAAGTTCCTGGCCCACCGCGGCGGACAGAACTTCTACAGCTTCTACCGCCTGCACAACTACCACTCGCTCATCTACGCCGCGATGCTGGCCGGCCAGTCGCGCGTCGCGCTGGCCGCCACGAGCCGGATGGAAGCCACCATCACCGAGGAGCTGCTGCGCATCGAGTCGCCGCCCATGGCGAACTGGATGGAGTTCTTCTGCGCGGTTCGGGTCCACGTCCTCATCCGCTTCGGCATGTGGGACGAGCTCAAGCGCCTGCCGCTGCCGCAGGACCAGGAGCTCTACTGCGTGACGACTGCCATGACGTACTACGGCAAAGCCATCGCGCACGCCGCCACCGGCGCCGTCGCCGCGGCCGACGAGCAGCGCGCGCTGTACCGCGCCGCGGCGCTGCGCGTGCCCCCCACGCGCCTCGACTTCCCGAACCGCATCGTCGACATCCTGCAGGTCGCGACGGCGATGCTGGACGGCGAAATCGCGTACCGCTGCGGCGAGTACGACGAGGCGTTCGGGCGGCTGCGCGACGCCATCGCGGCCGAGGACGCGCTGTTGTATACGGAGCCGTGGGGGTGGATGGTGCCGGCGCGGCACGCGTACGGGGCGCTGGCGCTGGAGCAGGGGCGCGTCGAGGAGGCGGCGCGGGCGTATGCGGAGGATCTTGGTGTCGATGAGGCGCTGACGCGCGCGCATCAGCATCCGAATAATGTGTGGGCGCTGCATGGGTACCATGAGTGTTTGGTGCGGATGGGCCGCAAGGCTGAGGCGAGGATGGTCGAGCAGCAGTTGAAGGTGGTGGCGGCGACGGCGGATGTGGAGGTGCGGTCGTCGTGCTTTTGTAGGGTTGGTGAGAGGGGGGTGGAGGGGTGCTGTTCCTGAAGCTCTGAGGTAGAGGAGGAATTCGAGGCTCATTGACTGCAATATAAGTTGTTAGTGAACCCATGCGCTGCAAGGCAAACCAATTTGGTGATATGTAGGCTCTGCAATCGAAAACGGGGTGGCAAATTGATGTCGCCAAGGGCTACAAATCCAAGCCGCGATAAAAGCGAGCCTAAGACCTGCCGAGCTCATCTTAGACGTGCTGGCTGCGAATGTCCATTGATCGGAAGCGGGCCGGGCAGCGCTGAGCTGGAGAATTTTGCCGAGCGGCCGACTGCATCCTCACCTCATGTCTTTCTTCCAGCAAAGCCCCGGGGACGCGCGCAATGAGAACTGCAAATTCCACGCTAGGTGTCGTATAGGGTCTCCGGTTCTTTATGGTCTGGCTGGGGGAATCCGTAAAATTCCTAGCCAACCGACGGCCGCTACGAAGTGAGGGCAACCGTGATGCTCGGCAAGTGGCATGGATGGCGCGAGCAACACGCGTAGCATTCTTTTCTGGACAACAAGAGTCGTGGGAAGGTTTTAATTCAGACATTAGAGGAGCTTCATCGTTATCAGAAGGATTCATGAAAATATTGTCTTGCGTGGGTAGCTGAAGCTAACGTCCGGACGCAAATGATGAATTTAAATTTGCGCAAACGCATCTGGACGTTAGGTCCAGATTCCACCTTTTGAGAGAATAAATATTCGATTAGGTTCGGGTTCGGAGAAGCCATGAAGCAGGTTTCGAATGGAACAAAGAGCGCTAAAGAGTGGAGTGTTCAGGACCTGAGGTGAGACGAATATCTGGAAATACAGCTGCCAGGTGAGCCAGGGGCGCAAGGTGAGGCCTTTTCCGCCGGTATTTCTGCGGCATTTCTCGAAGCACCCAGGATAGGCAACCGCGTGTCGCGTCGGCGCGGCGGGTGAGCTGTGGTGTTGTCTACGTCTCGCCGCCGCTCCACCCTCCGACCTTCTTCCCTCCACACCATCGTCCCGACAGCGACAGCGACAAACCGCACCAACAGCGACCGCCTTACTGTCAACGACGATACCCACAATCTCTGCCCGTTCCCCTCACAAAGCGAACAGGCCAAAATGTCTTACAACAAGACCCCCCGCCGCACCGGCGCGCGCGCTTCCGCCGTCCCCTTGCCGCCGCCGCCGCCGCTCACCGACCTGGCCGAATGGCCTTATCTGGAGAGCAGCGCCGCGCGCGCGCGCAACACGTCTGCCACCGCTACTAGCGGCAACAACCGCGCCCAGCAACGCCTGGGTGACATTAATGAAGGAAGCCTGTCCCGGCAGGGCGTCTCTGAAGCAGAAGCTCAGGATGAGCACTCCAGGATGACCGAACAAGGCACCACCAACCTGACCCGGCAGGCCGTCCTCGAGCCCGAATCTCAGGCCGAGACCGCTATCCCACGCGGTAACGGCATGCTCGCGCAGGAAATGCCGCCTGAGCAACAACCAAGAGAGAGCTTCCAAGAGTTCGTCGATCGGCATAGGACATTGGCGTTCTCTGTGCCTGTCACCTGGGAGGATGGAGGGTCATGGCCGCTCGCTCCGCCTAATGGCGACGAGCCACCACCAAGCATCGGGGCCGGCGCGACTCACCCAGCTCGGGATGCTGACAACGCTCCCTTCCCCGCCAAATGGTGGGCAGCCCTGCCCGAGGGACTCTTGCAAGAAAAGGCGAAGGTCGTCTGGCTGGAGAAGGGCAAGCCGAACTGCACTGCCTGCGGTCGAACTCACCCGCCGCCGCACAGCGACCTCGTCGCCCAACAGAACAAGCAGCAGCGCCGCCGTCAGCAGAAGCTCGAGCACCGCGCTAAGCAGCAAGCCGCCGCCGCCGCTACTACCGCTCCAGAGGTGAAGAAGGAGCCCGAAGAGGCCGGTCCTTTCACCACGCGGGCCCAGAACTCCGCCGCCGCTGGCAAGCGACAGAACAACCGATGCCAGCGCTGCGGCAACTTCCATTCAGGCCCGTGCAGGGCGCCCTGGTGCGATAAATGCGGCTCTGCTCACTTCAAGAAGAAGGGCGAGCCGTGCAAGAAGCGCGACAAGGAAGTCCTCGCCGGCGCCGTCAGCGCCATCCAGGATGATCCGGCTTTGGCCCGGGACCTCGTGCGGGCGGGCAGCGAGCGCCCCGGCACGAGCGAGGAGATGCGGACGCTCATGGCGGCCATCCTCGCGAGTGGTGATCCCGCCCAAGCCGCGGCCATGACGCGGGCGTACGTCGAACTCCGCGACGAGCGTGCTGCAAGCCAGCAGCAGCAGCAGCAGCAGCAGCAAGGCTGGCCTCCTCCGCGCCAGAACCAGAGAGGCCGCTCGTCCCACAGGCCGAGGGGCAGGTCAGCCTCGCCTCGTAGAGAGGACTCTGGTGGCGGCGGTAGCTACCGCGAGCGGTCGCCCAACATGCGCCGCAACAACAACGAGGGTGGCGGACGCGGCCCAAGCCGAAGGCCTCCTAAGAACGGTTAAGGCTGGCCTGTAAAGGCTCCACCCACCAGAGCGGGGAAACTAGGCAATATCCTCCGGGTGGCTCCCGTAAACAGCCACTTTGCATTGCACGATCGGGGATGATGATGGGGAAAGGAAGGCGGCGTGGGCCGGCAAGAGGGGGTACACCAGCGGATGGCTCGCACTTCTACGTAGTGCTGGTGACTAGTAGCCTGGAGCTTTGCTAAGCTATGATGGGTGAAGCTAAGACGAGCCGAGCGGGGCGCGGAATCTAATACTCACGGTAAGACTCGATACTCACGCGGGAACAATCAATAATGCCCCTTACGTCATTGCGTTTTGGGGCCAAGAAAGATGTGGTTGGCTCTCTATCGTTAGTTTCTCTTTGTGTTATTTACTCTCCAACTTAAATAGAAGTTGAACTCAAGCTAATAATCCGTTCACTCCTCTCTGATTAGAATACCACAAATCAACATTTGCTCCACATTTCCGCTTCATGACCGGCTGAACTACGCAACACCGAATGCGGAAATGAAATTCGGAGCTGATAAGGAGGCATGCGATCCTACTGGGCGTGTATTCCGAGGAGAGTAACACAAGCGACGTCATAAGGCTGAGGCTCAAGCTTTCCCACCTATCAAGCTGCAACTGTTCAACTGGAGATGACCTAAGCCACTTACGAAAGTGCAAAACGCCACAATACTCACTGTCTCTATTTAGGCTTTCCTGCCTGGCTCGTTGCAACCAGCTTGACGTTAATAGTGGCCACGTCCTCTACAATGACACAGACACTTTCTTCTATACCTCTTCAGGCAAGTGGAATCAGAAGAGCCAGAAACTATACTCCTATTTGCAGAGACACCAGCGTCCGCAAAGATTACCCGGTCGGCTGTTCAGCCTTCTTGAGCTCAATCCATGACGCGCGATACTACCAAGGTATCTTATCGAATACCCGCAACTTCTCCAGAGACACAAAATGTGAAACATTTGAGATGAAGAACGGTAAAATTCAATGGAAGCACCAGCTTGATGATGTGATGGCCTTGGAGTATCTCGAAGTAAGTACTTCTGGAAATGAGATGGCTTGTAGTCGTCCTTTGCCTAACCACCTGTCGAAGAAAGCAGCAACGGAAAAGGATCCGGCTCTCCGGGCCATGCAAGTTTGCCTCTTTGACACGGCTTAATATATCCTAACACACCATAGCTTCTGCACAATTGGAAATGCCGACGCAACCAGTTTTGGATGCCAGCTTTCACTAAGTGGAACGGTGACCCGCGCACTCCTTGACAAGTTTCAGATATCTCCGCAGTATCTCAGCTTGCTATTGGGTGAGCCAGACTATTGGGCCCCGGGTGATTTTGCCCAGCACAACAATGATGGGTCGCTTCGTCGAATTGGTAAGTATTGGAGATCACGTAGCGACTGAGAAATCGCTAAGCAACTTACGACCAGAGTTCTTCTGCCAGCAGCCTCGTTGGAACATCCACAAGAGAGATATCCCATGGAGTATTTACATGACGCACGATGTGTTTCTTCAAGCAACGACGTACCTTGTCGTTTGCAGCACCAAGCAGTCTCGCAACGGAATTGTGAAAGAACGGCTGGAGGACATGTTCACATGTGGGCAAGGCGAGTCAAGCATTCCTGGAAAATTCATTGACCCATTCATGCTGCACTTGACCATCACCCAAGAGGCATTCTTGGAGGCCAAATCTATCATCACAGACATGCGATACCGGCTATACGATCAGCTGGATCAGGTCGACCGGTACTGCATGAAACATCCAGAAGAAAGAGAGAGAGATGAACTTGAGGCACTTACCATTGGGCTTCATACGGTCTCTCAAGACACAGACTCAATGTCGGCCAGCGCAGATATGGCGAACCTGATTTTGCGGCGTATTTCGGACGCACATCGCCGCTACGCATCGTTCGAACGGGACCAGAGCAGAAAGGATGCGTTGGAGAAGACAAGAGACGCCATCAACTACCTGTCTATTTCCATCGAGTCTCAACTTCGGTGGCTGGCCAGCTACAAGTCTCGGAAAGATATCGCTATGAACCTCGTAAGTGTCAATATGAGCTGGAAGGTCACAGAACTAATAGCTCGAAGGTCTTCAACCTCGTAACGCAGCAGGATGCCACAACAAGCACTGCCATTGCTCGTGAGGCGAAAGCTGACGGAACATCCATGAAAATTATTGCTGCTTTGACTATGGTCTTCCTCCCCGGCACATTCTTGTCGTCGGTCTTCGGGATGTCATCCTTGGACAATACTAGATGGTGGTTATATGTCGCTGTCACAATTCCAATGACATTTCTTGTTATTGGCGTATGGTGGTTTTGGCTTACATGCCCTGGTCTGGTTGCGAGGTTATTTCTTCGCCGTTGATTGAGCAGACTGAATACTAAATGATATCTTCTCGGACCAGGAGTGCCTGTTATTTCCAGACAGGGTCCACCAGGAAAAGGTTGCAATAGTCTATTAATCTAGTAAATTTCATTGTCATGCGCTTTCCCTCTCCATCTATTGAAACCACGAGTGTACCTAAACACTCTCACGAGCCACCCCAAACTCTTTCAGAAGCAGCATCGGATCCTGAGCCGTCCAAAGTTTGTAATCCTCTTCGGATGTCACCCAGACCATTCCAAGCATACCAGCCGCGTTCGCCGACAGCTCTCCCACACGAGCCTTTGTTCGAGGGATAATCATCATCCATCGCCTAGTACAGACGAAATTATGAGGAGATCCCTGCTGGAGTGAAAAATACTCAAAGAGATGCTGATAAACTTTGGAGAGTGCTTCGGTGGTCACATTCTCGGGCAGCTTCTGGATTGCATGCCGGTAAGGAACTTCAAGTACTTCCGAGATTCCTGCGCTGTATTTTAGCAGGAGCATGGAATCAAGTTCATTGGGCCGTCTTTCACGAACCTTCGTTCAACAAGCTGGTTTCAGGGAAGAGCGTGTGCTCCTTCGGATCCGGGCAGGGAAGCACCTGCAAGTGCTTGTGGCCAACCGACGCGCCAGCATCCGCACCACAGTTGAAGATTATCATGTACTCACTTTCGAGACTTGACAATACTTCCCATGCGGCGCCAAGGTCAGCGGCGGTGAGAGGCTCATTTTGAGACTCGAACTGGATTGTCGGAAGCACAAACTGTGGACGAACCACAGAGAATTTGTTCAAAATAAGCCTATGGCCTGGACCAATCTGGCCTAAATTGAAATCAGGATCTTCATCGGCGAAAGCGTTGTCGACTTTTTTCTGTCGCGAAGTCCAGGGCTTCTTCTTGAGAGACTCTGTTATCCGCATTTGCAACTTTGGAACGTCATAACTTAGCGTCGGGAACAACGTGTTCAGAAATGGGCGCTTACGCTGAAGGGCTTGGCAGGAACATGTCGAGGAGGTGCCTCGGCCCACAAAAGCTCTTTCTGGTTGACAAGTCTGTCGAATTGAGCAAGTGCTCGGCTTTCAAGCGTCATGGCGATGATGTTGTGACGAGCGAGAAAGTTGGTGTGAGGGCGGACGCAACGCTGGAGCATCGGTCAAATTTAACTCCTCGCCAAACAAACGCAATCAACACGTTTCAGAAAGAGCTCAATTGCAGTTAGCGCATTTCCATTCTAATCTCATGACGCAATCATTCACACATATTAAGCGTAAAATATTACCAATACGCGAATAGGGCTTCTTGATCCATCACCAATCCGCTACCGTGTGCGTTTAATATTCTACCAGCCATTTTCCGATGAAATCAGTATTGCGGCATTGCAGAATCATTGACGAGCCAATGCAACACAGAAAGGTATGTGGCTTCTCCATTGGTATATTTTAGTCATTCCGGAGAAATAAATTCTCGTTGCTATTCAAAAAGAAAACAGTAGACGTTGTTTTGAGCGAATACTCTACACATGGACATTCAATCTAATCCACAAAAACACATATGATCGGCCGGATATTCACAGACCCAGCATCAAGCTTTCACACTTCTTGATCATGCTCTCAAGGGAGCATACAACGTCACTGTACACAGCGCTCTGAAGCTTCTCATTCGCCAGATCCTTGCCAAGAGCGAAATCGCAATCCACGCATTTGCGAACAATGTTCTGATATGCAGTGCCTAAGGCCGTCGGTCGTCCATCAAGCAGTCTGCGGGCCGTCACAACATCATGCGGTTCGCGGCTGGTGCGGAATCTTGCGATTTCCTGTTTGTATCCGATCTCAAGCAGCGCGACGCCTAAGTGCGCTAGTGTCATGTTCCCGAGTCCGTGAAGGTGAGCGATGCTTGGCTCAAGGTCGGCAGTAGGATTGACTCCTGCCGGGGGTCCTTGCTGTTCCGCGCGTGTATTTGCGTCCGGAAAACTAACGCTCAGGTGCAAAGTCTTGAACAATTGTAACAGATCCTCGTCAACAGTCGGGGCCGTTCCGGTTCCAAACACGGAGAGGTCTTTCAGATGCCAATCGGGAGCTAGCCAGGGAGTGGAGTGAAACCGAAGAACTACTGTTGCCAACAAATGGGCGAGTTGTAGTTGTTGGAGTATGGGCATTCCTTCCAGAATCTCATTCAATGGGAAAGTCTTCTCCATGGTATCCTGTCTTCCACCAGGGCCCGGTGTCCCTGTAGAGTAGAACACAAGCCGCGTATCGGCATTCAGGTAGCCGAGACATGCTTCTTTGCATGTGCTACTGAAGTGTGAGCATATGCTATCAGCGTGGCTGAGATCGAATGTAGAGTGGCACAGCTCCTGCCTGCTCTCCGATGGCGGTGGAGCTTGTTTTCTTGCAGACCGAGAAGCCTGAAAACCTTCATTATTTTGACCGGGCTCATCTTGGACCTTCCTTTTTCCTGGTTTAAATGTAGGAAGGGAGATGTCGAAGTGCACGGCACGTTTCTTCCCTTTTGGTACTTTTCCAGGCTGTTCTCCGCCATCGCCATTTCCTCCAAGGGACTTTTGTTCTTGGGAAGGTGATTTTTGTGGTGCGGTGAGGCTCCTCGGTACTTCCATTGAATTTGTTTCCACATAGAGCCAGACTGAGTGCTCCGAAGGTTCACTACCATCTATGTTAGTTCCCACGGCCAAAAGCGCAAGCAAAGTTAGATTTCACAGGCTTTGCTGGCTGATGTGCAAACATACCTTGCAGTTGGAGCCACGTTTTTCTGCCGTGCTGATAAGACCAAATCCAGACGAACACCAGGATTGCATTTCGCATTGACTGAAAGTTGTGCTTTGTGTCCGCTGTGTGACGAGTTTGAACAGGACCACACCTTTGCCAAGCAAGAGTGTAAGCTTTTAGAAGCTTTATTGATGTGTGAAAACTCCTGCGGGATCTCAGCTGTGCGGCTCAAATATGCGGTAGGTATTGCCTCTGAGGAACGTTGATTGACTATTCGGGACAGGTCGGTGATCGAGGATGCAGTATATTCAATGATCTCTTTGTATTTCTTTTCATTGAACGAGAATGAGATCTTTTCGCGGAATTGATGGAGGAGATCCATCTGTGGTGTTGTTCGTTAGATATTTGCAAACTGGAGCTAGTCTAGACAACTAACCTCGCCATCAAAAGGCAGTTTCCCAAAATATTTCGAAAGTTCCGTTTCGATCTCGCGCAACATCTCCGCAATGGCTTTCAAGTTCTCGGAGCATATTTCGTAATCTTCTCCCAAATAACGACTCCACTTATGATGGAACTCTTGGTCTTGCCACTTGCAATGGTTTGTATCCCTCAGCATGCTCAGCAGTTCTGGGCCGCTGACTAGGGGCTTAAGCAGGCGTCGGCATGTAAGGTGAAAAAGATGCTCCTGGGTTTTGATGCGCAAGTAGATTCTACGGACAGCCGAAGAGTAGGTGGAGAATGTGTGTAGCTTGTCACGTGCCGTATGGTATGCAGTTAATGCCTCAATGAGAATAGGAACAACGCCGAATGCTAAGCCGGCGATCTCGAAGCCAGACATAGTACTGGGTAGTGCAAAGACGGAGTATGCGTTGAGGCGAGATGGCAGACGGAAGTTGGTCTTTTCAGCTCCAATGAGACCATACAAGCCTAGTAATGAGGCTTAGACTCTGCAAGGCAGACGGGAAAAATACTCATGCATATGCAGCCTACGATAGCTGTAATCACGCTGAACCAATAGAACTTACCCACGTCGCCACCCTGGCAAGCGAGCCCCACACTCTGCGCAGCACAGCCTCGCCAATTTCAAATCAACCCGTTCCATATCGCAACTGAGTAGATTCATATTCATTTCGCGGTCGATATTTCTCTCGTAATTCCGTCTGCGATGCTCAATTCAGTTTTCAATCTACGAATTCTCCGTCAAGACACCAGTGATAACCGAGGACGCGCTTCGAAAAATGGCCACTAAAGAACCTGACGCTGTTTCAAGGAAGCGCATGCGTGGCGAGGCTGACATCCGTGGGCCGAGCATCCAAGCGCGACTTCGTTTGGAAAGCGAGGAGGTCGAGAAGTCTACATTAATACGTGAATGGCAAGACAAAACTGTTGAACAACCCTCTGTAGGCTCCGGCGGTGCCATCTCTCGTCTATTCAACGGCTGTGTCAGTCTGCTAAGAAGCATTATCAAATGCTCAAAAGGAAAGGAAAGATTGCATGGGGACTATACGCAGCTTCAAGAAAGCCTTATAGCTCTCATTCTTTGGAGTGAAGACCACCACTTATCGACCGGAAATCTGGACACCCAACTGCATGATTCCGAAGACCTTCGAGAGCTTATTTGCTCCCTTCTCCTCTCTCTGGCGGACTTGCTAGTCAACGGTAAGCTCATCGGTGTTAGCGATCTAGTGTTGTGCGTCTCACGTATTTCATAGGCCTTCTCCAACACATTGTTACCAGCCCTGCGGAACGTCATGCAACCCTTTTCAAGTACGACATGTTGAGCCTGATGCACGAGGCAAGAAAGGCGGTTAGCATTGTGGAAACTCCAGTCGATTACACACACGACAATGTACCAAGCATGGCTGCTACGTTAGGGACGCTGGTCGACTGTCTTATTTCTCTCAATCAAGACAACTCCAAGGACCAATTCGGGCACTTCACCGTAATTGAAGACAGACCACCCTATCTTTATCATCTGGAGCTGATAGCATCAAAATTTCCAAATGCTTCGCGGCCACTTCTGGAGCACCTTGCAAAATGCAACTGGGAGCGTTACTTGAGGTTGCAAGAGCGCAGAGAAATGATCAAAGATGGGGAGAATTTACAGGGCGAAGACACTGAATCAAAGTCAAGGTTTAATGATTCAGCATTAGGTACCTCGGTGCCAGCTCAATCTGAATCTGGTGGTAGCGTTTCAACATACGCTGAAACGGTTGTTTCCAGTCGAGCAGGATCAAGCCACCAAAAAATGCCCAAACTACCCAGACAGGGTCGAAATGGAAAGAGATTCATCTGCCAAGTCTGCAACAGAATTGTGGCAATTCGCTACACCCGGGATTGGAAGTATGTCAGCTGCCTGAATTCCAGTCTATTTTTACTCACTTCTGGTCAGGAAACACGTCTTCCAAGATTTGTTGGCATATACTTGTATCTACGAAGGCTGTTCAATCAGTCTTTGGGAGGATCGGGATGCCATGACAAACCATCTGGCTGTTGAGCATGGCCTTGACCCCGAATGGAAAAGCCACCCATGTCCTCTTTGTACCCATCATACCGGTGAAGGCAAGGATTTGATATCTTTGCACATCTCAAGACATATGGAAGAAATAGCTTTGAATGCTCTTCCAAGCGGATATGAATCAGACTCGGAAGCGGAAGCGGACTCGGCTGTCACAGCCTCACATTCAACCTCAGGCCAGAATGATGGCTCTCTTTTACGAAGTACTACAAGCTCCATAATATCAGAGAACCTTCCCCAGCCGGACGACGAGGAAGTCGAGTCCAATAATCCTGTTCCAGATGAGCCCTCTCAATATTCAATCCCCACCGCCCCGCACTCAAGCGTAGATTCTGTACCCAACGATCAACGCAATTTCAAGCTTCCAGTTCCCAGCATGGCCGATATCTCCTCGCCAAACGCCAATTCGTCCGACTGGAACTCTCCATACCACAACCAGCAAAGCGCAAATGTATCAACGAACTCTCCCTTTCCGGGCTATTCCAATAGCCCCTACCTCCCGCCCATCTCGTCGACCGTCTCTCCCGGGACGCTGCCAAGTATCGTGAAGGATAAACCGGAGTTCTACGACGAGCAAGAGATCGGCCCGTTCAGCACGAACTACAGCGACCTTACAAACACCGACATCCCCGTCATGCAGCCGTTAGGGGGCCAAATTCAAACGAGCCATTTTACTAGCATCAACGACCAGCCAAGCCTCCTGAGGCCACCGATAGCCGAAAAGGACTCCTGCTCGCCTGCAACTTTGGACCAGAGACCAGATGTATCAACAGACTCTTCTGTGCAGGGTTTGGAATCACCACGAGTGCCTTCCCGTCGGCGCATGCCGCCGTCTCCGACTGGTCCATCTCGCCGTAGCCGTCGTCTGCCGTCAAGCATGCTGGGCACGCCCTCATTCTCCAAGGCCCCGCCTTTCAGCAGCCACATCGAAGAGGCCCGCCGTTCCTTGCGGGTCGGCCGTCCTATCGCTGTCAGCACTGATTCATCGCATGTGGAGACGCACAACAACGAGGACGAGTACGTGTATGAGTATGATGACGAGGAGGATCAGGAGCAGGGTGAGAAACAGGAAGACGATAATGAGACGAAGAACCTCTGGGAAAATGAGGGTGTGGATGGCGACCTCGCTCCTCTGGCGCTGGGGGGTCCTGCAATTGGCAAGTTGCAGCAACAGCGCCGGGATCAAGCGGGCTTCGGCGACGAACAGCAACACCAAGTGGTCGATGGTGATCGCGACAGCGGCACCACCAACTTCCAAGATGACTTCGAGGCCGCAATGAAGCAGGCGCTGGAGAGAAAGGCAGAGGAATTGATGGAAGAGGCCAGACGTGAGGCATTGCTCGCCGTGCAGAGGAATCGCAACCGTTACGTCGACTCGGAGTTCGAAGATGGCAGACCGTGGAAGAAGCCGCCCACAAACCATGGCAAGAAGGCCGCCGGGCCATCCACGAGGGAGACGCCTTCACGTTCAATCCAATCTGTTGCATCTTTCGACCCAGCACATCTTCCTAGTGCTGCTTCTGTGGCACCGCGCAAGGAGCAAGACGCCCCTCCCGCCAGCTCCTCCTCCACCTTTACTCGCCGTGATGGCATCCCCAAGAAGAATGTTCGCTTCGAGATCCCGCCTGAGCATAGCCTACACAACATCGACCAGCTCATTGCTCAGTCCACCAACGCGGAAGAGATCAAGGACTTAAAGCAGCAGAAGCGTCTCCTCCGCAACAGACAGGCTGCGTACGACCCCTCCTTTCGAGTTTAACATTTCAATTCTTATAGATGCGTCTTTCATAATTTGTTGCCACTCTTCTTACTAACTTCTACTATAGCCTCGACGCGCGGAACCGGAAAGCATCACATGATTAGCTAGATTATTGGAGGCTATTTAGAACGGAGCAACCTTGAACTTTTTAGGAACAAGAATTTCCTTTAAGCATCCATTTAGAACCTGCAACCGGCATATTTTGGATCAACGTACACTTTATCTATGGAACATTACTGAATACGACAGGGAAAAATAAAATGGCCAGTGAGAATCTTGGCCTCCGGAGGCTGTTTCGGAGGTCTGTAGTCTGATAAGTAATGTTGATGTACAGGGAAGTTAACATACTCGTAGGAAAACTCAAGTGTATTGTAGCCCTTCTCTTAGGATTTGTTGAATTTTAACGCGTGACAGACTCCTACCGCCTTTGGACCAGTAGCTAAGCTCCTACGTGTTTGATGCGGTAGACTTGAGCCGCATGGGACGGAGCAAGGCAGATGTGTGCGTAACAGAGCAGAAAGATTGTCGTCAGACTTGGCGAAATAAGGGTCGGTTGGTTGCTTTTCGTGATACGAATGAGGTGATTTGGCGGGTCGTTTTGTTTAGTAGATGGTAGTAAATTGTATGTAGTCTGTTACGTATGCCGCCTTGAAACTTACACTCCAATCGTGACTCGTTTTCGCGAGGCTATACGCTTCGACTAGAAGACTATGAAACACAAAGCTTCGTCCCTAAGCGGTGTTATTAGTTAGCCTTGTGTACAACGATAAAAACATATTTTGGCCATGTCCGTAACACAATATCGCCCCACGTAACGATAAGCTATTAGCCTTTCTGAGTTATCATTCTACCGTTGAAGCATATTGATCGTCTAGATTCTGGGGTAATCAATCTCAAGCCTGAAGAATTACAACATTCTCGATGTCAGATGGAGAAAGTTAGTCAATAATAAACATAAAACATAAGCCACTGGAGAAGTGCACATGAAGGCAGCAAGCATTGATTAAATGTCGTTCAGGTCAGGGCCTCTCGAGAACTACATATCAACCGTCTCCTCATCCTCAACTCCGAACAGCAGCCGCATAGGATCCTGGTATTGAGCGAATCCAAGCCCGGGCTCCAAAACCCCGTAGCCTAACAGCCGCTGTGCCTGGGGCTTCAACTTCCTCACCCTCTCCAGCGGTATCATCAAGAACTGATTCTCAGCGGGGCGCAGCGTAGGCTTGCAGAGAAATATCCCAACAGTCTCACGATAGTCGTTCCTACAAGTATTTCGAAAATCAGCGGTTAGCTTCACCATACACGTAAACAAACAACGACGTGGTGAGCTCGTCTTACTGAGTGATGTTCGCGCCCCCGGCGTGGTAGAGATTCCCTAGAAAGATAAGAGCGTCTCCGATCTCAAGCTCGGCAGGAACAGCCTCTTCGTCCAACGGACGTCTTTCGGGGCCCCACAGGTGTGAGCCAGGAATAGCGATGGTCGCACCGTTCTCCTTTGTTGTCTTTGTCAACGCTGTCACACAGCCGATCATTACAGGCAGTTCTTTATCATGCGGGTGATAGTCACTAGTACTGAGTATGAGCAACGGGCTTAAGCATGGATGTGTGGTAGACGTACTTGTCGTCGCGGTGTAAAACCTGCTGGGTTCCTCCAGGATTGATACGGAATCCGACCGTGGACGAGATTATCGGTTTCCCGCTGACGGTGGCTTGATGGTCTCCTCTCCAGAAAGTGTGGCTCGAGGAGACCAAGATGTTGGCCACGCTTGTGTAGAGATGGTTACATGCAAGCTCGACGCAGGCGTCGGAAATTCCCAACAAGCCTGAAGCTCGCTTGGTCGTCTCTGGGAAAAGGCCGTACTTGTCGGGGATGTCGTTTTCAAAATGCGGTTTGAGATCTTGACGGATCTGCCCGGCAAGCTCTCGAGTAATGAGGTTTTCGACGATTACTCCTCCATCGCGTTTGAGGATGTCAACCAGTTTCTGTGGCGTGGTAGAGGGATCCGATGCATTGAAGCGGGCAATAGTGGGCATTTTTGTAGCAATCATGACTATGGTAGGCTTGAGTAGGTCAGGTGAATCGAAACTCAAGCTGAGGAGCGCGACGAGTATACTGTTCTTTAAAAACTTCCTTGCCGTCTGGGTATATATAGAGAGGTGTGCTGTTCGTTTCTCTTCCGAACTACCCAAACGGAAACAAGCGACTATACCTAAAATGGTAAAGAACAGGAGAAATCCAGAATGCGGATCATGACCCATCGACTGGGATGCCCGAAATACGCCATGCCTAGATAGGTAAACAAGAGAGAAATTATAGCAGGATGGGCACCGGAGCCAATTAGCTACATTGGGAGAGAACGGAGACGAGTAATTTTATAGAAACATTATCCCTGCAGATTCGGAAGAAATTTACCAGCAATCAATATGAAAAAGGTTCTTCACACATCATGCGGAGAGTTGCACCCGTAGTTTCTTCAAACAAGCTAATCAATATGCTAATAATCTTTTTCCTTGCTCTTCCCACTTTTTAGCTAGAACCTGCCAATCGGACTCGTTGCCAGACCAGAATTCATTGAGAAAGTCCAAAACCTGGTAGTATTGTTTGAGTTTAGTTGCCTCGAGAATAATGTCGTATAGAGTAGAAACGATGATCTGACTCTCTCTATCTCCATAACTTTCTACACCAGCGATGAAGATAGGCCATGGTAAATTTTGAGTCCATTGGTAAATATTCTCCAATGCCAGAAGCTGCCTCTTGAGATCTGACAATGCTATCAGGGATTCATTGCAATGGCCGTGTCCAAGACATCTCGCAACATATAGAAGAGCAGCGTTGTGATGGATATCGACAAGACGGACGAGATCGCGGCGTTGCTGAGTAGAGTTAATTGCAAGCCTTCCGGCAACCATCAGAGTTGTCCCCCTTGCCATCTCAAATTCTGCTCTCCAGTCACGGCTAGGATCTTTGGCAAAGCGTCCCTGACGTGCAAGTAGTGTTACCTCATGTAAGAGAACCAGGTAGTCTGCGAAGAGAACTGTCTCATTCATGACTGAATCATGATCGGGGTGTGGAAGGATAGCATCCACGATGCTTGGCAGATCGAAAGAAGTCGTGCTCGCAAATATATCGTATGTGGACAATTTGTTTTGCAATGATATGAAGAGTGTGCTTTTCCGGCACTCAGTCCCGGAAAGGGTGTTGACGAGGGAGCGTGCAGCTTTGCGGTGAAAGTCAGCCGCCTCGGCACCGGAATGAGCCATTTCGTAGCAGGAAAGAACGAGCATGGATGCCAGGATCCACTCAGCGGCGTTGGTATCGAGTCCCTGTCCGATGTCACATCCATTGGCGACTTGGTCTGTGACGTCGTTCACATATCTTGTGATCATCGATACTGCTTCGTTCCGGGTATCTTCGGGTACATCTGGTTCTCCACGAAACATGGCCGCATGCTGGGCAGCGACGGCAGCAACGGCAAGCCGTACTGCTGGGTTCATATGAGCCAGTGGGAGAACATGATTTCGGTAAAGATTGTCCTCGGTGTCTATCCAAACCATGATTGGAGCTACGTTTTTGTCGTAGTAATCAACCAGTTCCTGTAAAGAAGAGCCGCCAAGCGACTGGATTGGCGGTAGTTGAACACAACGCGACATGGCCGACTCTCCTGCCGACGAGTTCTCCACAATTGGGGCTTGGAATCCTCTCAACCGGCCACGGGTGGCCGCTCCGCCGACCCAACGGAGCCGAGGTCCGTATCCGGGGCAAGTAAGCCCTCTCTTTACACATTTGTTACAGCAGGGTTGGCCAGCATCGCAAGTGATTCGACGCTTTCGGCAGGTGGAACATCCTACCAATATTTCAGTGCCAACACTTCAGACTCCTGTACGATGACGACTCACCCTTCATAGCTGATGGAGCAATATATGGCTGGTCACAAATCATCGATTTCCTCCCCCACTTTTGCTCCGTTGAGGCTCTGTGCTCATGTGTTCACATAAAAAAATGGAAACGGAAGGAAGGGGAAAGGAGTGAGAACCAGCTGGTCGCTTGACGGCAAATCTGGATCAAACTGACTTACGGGAGACAGCATGAAGTCTCTGCTGCATATTGACGTAGTTCTCATTGGTGGTTGTTCCTTCATTTAACCTCGGCAATTCTTGATCAAAGCGGTGGGGCTTACCCCGTTTGGGAAATGCGCTATTTCACTTCGGGTAAAGAAAGTGAGATTTCTCCACAGCTCTCAATGTACTTCCTCATTTGTACTCGGTACTCATGCCCTGCTCTCCGATACTCCACCACTGCAGGTCAGGCCTGAGCATTCAGTAAGCAGCATTTCCAAGCTAAAATTTGCGGCGGGGAATGTCCTTTCCACCAGAAAGAATACGAGGCCTTATCATCATATTCCCGTGCTTACATCATCGTTCTTCTCTTCCTTTGCATAACAGTTCGTCTTACCAGATCAGATCTCCCTTTGTAAGGCATAAGCTTATAAAATTAAAGCTGTAGTAGAGGATGCGTTAGACGCCAAAGTTGACGTTACTGTATGTTTGAATAAACCAAGTGGCAAACACGCCGCAGTAGTTAAATGCGGGGTTAGTTGCCTTAATATTGAAACAAAGGATGAACAGTTGAATCAATCATCCGGACATGAATCCACAATATGTATGTCAACAAACGCATCGGGACAAGAGCTTCAACCACCCAACCCTGTTATAATATTGCACAGTAAGTATGTCGAACTTGTGATTGGATTCCGATCTCCTCAAAAGTTCCGTGTATAAGTGAATCCAACATCCAGGTACCTTTGCCCACAATCAAATACCACAACACGTTCAGAGATTTACTTCAACCATCAGCAAAATGAAAGTTTAACATCTTTTACGAGGTATGGAGGGTTTATATTTTCCGGAAGCTACCGTGCACACAAAGAGAGTGATCCTTGCCGATGAGTACGTACCTGGATCGTGCAGCAGCTTTCCGGGCAATCCCACGGACCGGCCCGCTAGTAATGTATGAAACAACGGCGAAGCTGGCCAATGGCCATGTGGGTAATAACGCCGCTATGCACCGCTCCGCGTGGCCCCCACATCCAACTCACAATAGACGTCGGTCGTCGGGCGGCGGGCCTGACATGAAAGTCGTGGCCGTCATGCCTCTCCCATCTCCAGCTCTTGGATGCAAGACACAGCGGTATATCAAGAGAATAACTCCCTGCGTGAGTAAACCACTCCGATTTGGACATCGAATTCTTCAATAAGTGTTCTATGATTCTGTCGAGGGCGATAGCTAGATCATGTGGTCTTTTCCATGGTCATGTACTCGTTCAAGCTTTCTCCATGGAGAAAGACGATAGGGTCGGATCACGGAAAACTTGGGTTCCGTTCGAACATTGCCCCACCGTCCAAGGATAAGTATATATACTCCTACTGCAGTTCTTGTAACCAGAAAGTCCAAAGTCCGACAGAAAGACAAGTCCAACATGTATGTCCGAGGCGACCTCGGACCCGAGCTCGGAGAAGGCGGGGATAACCACCAGGTGAAAAGACTGCACGATATCGAACCGTATTAATTACAGAACGCGTCACCGCGTCTCCGGCTGCGCCTTGTGCTCACTGAATCTTAGTCCTTACCAGGGAAAGCTTGTCAAGCTTGTATCCAACCACTCGGCCCTCGTTACGAGCTCCGGGCAGCGGTGTCGGCGAAACTTCCTACGGGAAGGCCTGCCTACAATCACGTCGAGGAGCAAATAACTCCGGAACGTAGAGCACCATCTGGCTCTGCCGCACGATGACTCGTCAGACTGAATGTTTCTCCGTGCCGGTAGCCGGACGTTTGGCGTGACGGCCCTGACTGAACGCCTCCTAAAACGGCCGCTATCGCAACTATTTGCTGTATAGCGTGGGCCTCGCGGCTCGCGGCCTGGCCCGCCACCACCATGCGTCATGCACCGCCTTAACCCAAACGCCAAGGCTGGAGAATTCCTTTAGGGCTGGCGAAGAAAGTAGGTCGACAGCAAACGCGGCCCTACTGCGCCTTGGCCGTCGTACGCGTCGTCGACAATGGCTCTCTCCTTTTTATTCTGTATATAAGGCAATCGTCATGTTTCTCCTCTATACAAATTCCAATCTCCAACCCTTCTTTCGTTTCAATTCCCCCCACCACCACTCGTTGTGAACCACCTCCCCTGAAATGCGTTCCCTCTCCACCATCCTGCTGCCATTGGCAGCCTCCGCCGTCTCGGCCCAGACCCCGGCACCCAGCAGCACCGCCAGCTCCTCTGTCATGCCGACCGTCACGCTCGACTACTCGACCGTCGCGGCGGCCGCCGGCAACGAGTCGCTCGGCTACTACAAGTACCAAAACATCCGCTTCGCCGCCGTCCCGACGGGCGACCTGCGGTGGGCGGCGCCGCAATGGCCGCCCGTCGAGACGGCCGTCAACGACGGCACGCTCGCCGACGCCGATGTCGACTGCGCGTCGGCCGAGGACTGCCTGTACCTGGACGTGTGGGCGCCCGCCGGCGCCGCGGCGGGGAAGAAGCTGCCGGTGATGGTGTGGACGTACGGCGGTGGTTTCACGGGCGGCAGCAAGTCGGAGAACACGCCGGAGGGGCTGTTTGATCTGAGCAAGGAGTTTGTGTATGTTGCGTATAATTATCGGTTGGGGATGACGGGGTTGGCGAATGGGCCGACGTTCTTGCATGAGGGGGGTGTGTCGAATACGGCGGTTTGGGATGTCGAGCATGCGTTTAAGTGGGTGAAGAAGTATATCGGCGAGTTTGGGGGCGATGCGGAGGATGTCACTGCTGTTGGCTTCTCGGCTGGTGGGTCGCAGGTCATGTTCCAAATGACCCGGTTTGCTGGCCATGCGGAGCAGTTGTTCCAGAAGGCGTATGTTATGTCCCCAGGTAAGTTACTTCTTAAACCTTATGAAATAACGCAAGGCTAACGGAAGAAATCGGCTTCGTCCCTGGTGCCGGACATAACCACGCGGAGCAGTTCTGGCAGAATGTCTCTTCCGCCGTTGGCTGTGATGGCGGCCACCTCGACTGCATGCGCAGCATCGACTTCGACACGCTGATCAGCGCCGCCGACGACATCGTCGACACGTACGACTACCAGATGCAGCCGCGCGTCGACGGCGACATCATTGCCGACACCTACGAAGCGCAGTTCTACCAGAAGCGCGTCGCCTTCAATGGCCCGGCCGTCCTCTCGCACGAGCAGCACGAGGCCAACAGCCAGTCGTACTCGGGCGTCAACACCAGCGACGACGTCGCGACGTACCTCCGCATCTTCTTCCCGGCCATCTCGGACGATGTTGTTGACGAGCTGCTCGAGCTCTACCCCGAGTCCGACTACACCGAGCCCGGCCTGCGCTTCTCGGACATGAAGCAGTCTTTCGATCTGACTTGCAAGAACCTCGCCCTCACCCAGTACCTCAAGAACAATACCTGGAACGCCATGGTCGCGCTGGACCAGGCGACGCACGGCACGGACCAGAGCTACTACTGGTACAGCACGTACTCGCTCAGCGACTCTTCCTCCTCCACCACCACGACCAGTTCCTCCAACTCGACCACCACCAGCTCCTCGAACTCGACCTCCAGCGGCGCCCCCAGCGGCGGTATGGGCAGCGGCATGGGCGGCAGCAGCTCGGTCAACGCCACCGTCGCCGTCGCCATGCAGAAGTACCTGCTGTCGTTCGTCCTGACGGGCAACCCCAACACCAAGTGGGCCGACGACAAGCTGTTCTGGCCGCAGTACGGCAACGAGACCAACTCGCTCGTCTTCAACACGACCTTTTACCTCGAGGAGGACGACCTGGCGAACGACAAGTGCCTGTACTGGAACAAGGCGCTGTGGTACTAGAGGAAGAACGCGGAAAATGTGATGACTGATGGCATGATGTTGAGGGAATGTGTATAGCCCTTTTTTATTTCGTTATGTATATATTGATGTGTAACTACATCGAATCTGTATGTACTCTTCGTGTATCTTCTTCCGTCCTGTTCTAGGGACCGTGCATACAAAACAATGCTACAGGCTTTGATGAAGCAAGTTACAAAATTTTTACAAACCGCTGTGCGCCACCAGTCTAGATGCGGCAATTCAGAAGGGTATTGCTCCACGCTGACATGAAAGAAAAAAGAAAAAGAGCGAACGCTGGGTATAGAAGGAAAGGACATGACTTCCTTTCACGTGCAACTACTTGAAGCATTCCAATGAGGGAAGACGATCAATGTCGTTTCCTGTTTGGTAAGCTTCCGGACTCTAGACCGTGACTTGCTATATACACAGCCACATCTGCTTTTCCCACTCGGACTTCCCGGCGTGGGGCTTGTTCAAGTCGCCTCGACCTCGGTTATGGTACCGAAGCATGTGACGGGCGTCGAGCTAAGGAGGACCTGGACTTCGGGAATGACGTACTAGACATCCGGAACAAACATCCGGAACAAGGGACTTTCAGAGGTACCTGTGGTACAGTCCTGCCCATGGTACAAGCGCAAAAGCTTGACAGGGGGTTTTGACCCTGGTTTCCAAGACAGTTGAGTTCCGTTTCGCCACGCGCGTTGGAGGTTGGATGGTTGTGAGGCGCAGCTCGGTCTCGAATCTTTCCGGGTCTTCGGAGTCACCACCGACATCATTGACGGTTTTGTGTGTGCCCCTGTCGGATCGTCCTTGGCCTCCACTTGCCGAGCTTTTGCTGATGACGCCATGCGGCTGAAAAAAGGCTCCTGAGACAGCTGACTGACAGAGGCCGGACTGTTCCCTCAGGAACACCGCCTCAATCCTTCGAACCGCGTCGCCGGCGCTGACATTTCTTGCTAGCGGGACGGAACAGATCCGAATGGAGGTAGTCCTCGTGGACAGCAATCTTGCTGAACCGTGTTTCCTGGGCCCCGTTCGTGGTCGGTGTTGTCGATCTCGGGGATGGCGTTTGTCCAACTCTTCCCCTTGGGGAAGCTTTGCCGTCAGGGCAATTGGAGATTCCCCCCATTCACCGGCGATGGCTGCGGCGGCGCTCGCCCCTCTCCAGATCGACGTCCTCATACTCCTCCTCCCTCTGCACCATCTGATCCGTACTCCCCTGCCTCTGCACGAACCTGCCACCGCCAACCGCGCCACCCGCATCCCTCGTCGTCGTCACCGTCGTAGTCGTCGTCTCGCTCACATACCCATCATCATTCACACTCCCCTCCCTCTGCCTCTCCCGCTCCAGCTCTTCCCTGCGCTGCTGCTCCTGCCCCAACGTCATGCTACTCGCGCTCCTATTCCCCTCCCCCTCCCCACTCACCACCATCCGCCTCTCATGCGTCACGACAATCCGATTCATCGCAATCGCGCCCATGTCCGCGCTGCTCCGCTGCACCGGCTCGCAGCTCGCCTCTATATCCGCCTTCAGCGTGTTCGGCCAGTCCTTGCCGAATCCAGCAGCAGCGGCGATGGCGGCTTCCTGGTAGTGGCGCGCCATCAGCGTCTCCGTGCCGACCATGGGGCCGGACGAGGCGATGCGCGATTTGTTGGCGGAGCCGCCGAAGATGCTGCGGGAGGTGCGGCCGCCGTTGGCGGAGGCGTTGGGGGGGAGGTTGGCGTGGTTGGCGGGGTTGTTGAGGGCGTTCGACGGGTAGGAGTGGTCGGTTGTTTGGCCGGTGCGGTCGCCGGATGTTACCCAGTGGAGGACGAGGACGGAGAAGAGGACTGTTTGAGGTTGTTAGGCTTGGGACGGGGGGACGGAGGATGAGGGGGGAATGGGTGACTTACTGTCGGCGTTGCAGCACAAGAGGCAAATCCACCCGGGCTCGCCCTTGAGCACCATCAGCACGGTCAGGTTGCCGACGCTGGACGTCAGCGTGGCGCAGCTGCCGACAAAGGTGCGGAAGGCCATGGTGTGCAGCGTGCTGTTCTGGCGGTTCTTGTACGAGTACAGCTGGCGCAGCGGCACGATGAAGAGGATCGTCATGTACACGTTGACGACGACGTCGAAGGTGATGAGCGGCATCATCGCACGCTTCTCCATGCCGATGATGCACGTGCCGGTTTTGTTGATGTAGGCGATGCGCCTGGCGGATGGGTCAGTGGCTGTGTGTGTGTGTCAGGAGTGGAAGCTCAGCATACCAGACGAAGTTGAGGATGACGACGATGGTGTAGGGGAGCATCATGAAGAAGCAGTTGAACAGGAAAAGCTTGTCCTTCATCCGAGGGTTATGCTTTCCGCGCACGATGTACTATACGAACCAAGAGTCAGTTCCCGGAAGTCAAAAAACGCACAGCTCCTCAACTTACCGCCTTCTCGACCAGGAAGAAGTAGATGAAGATCTTGGTGGACATGTAGCAGATGAGGCAGAGCAGGATGGCGCCTTCGCATATTGTTTGATTGCTGTTGAGCCCGATGTCCTTGAAGAGAGCGGTGACGAAGACGAACAGGAAGGAGTCGACGTAGATGATGATGATGAGCCAGGCGGCGAAGGGTAGGGAAAGCCAGTTGTGGATGCGTTGCACCCTGCGGACGATGCAAACGGATAGCACGCAGAGCGTTATCAATGACATGAACATCTGCCGTTTTCGTCAGTATAACCCCCAACTCGTCCGGTTCATCGACTCACTGATATCATTCTGCCCGCAAACGGAATCTGAGCAGGAGTGAAGTTGGGCGGAGCCCTGTCTGGGTCTCTCGCGACCATCTCGAGTGTGCCAACCATCTCGGACAGCGGACGAGACGGGGGAGAAAAGAACAAGAAAGAAACAAAAGTAAGGGAAAGACCCTAGCAAAGGGAGACCAAGGGGTGTCCTGGAATAGGGTACCCCGGCTATATAGCTAAAGGAGTGATGACGGGGGTGTGTGGGAGGAATGATCCCCACTTGAGGTGTTTGACAAAGAAGAGAGTGAGAGAGTTTGCAGCTAGCGGGACGGGCGTCGCGGATATCAATAATGGGCGGGCTGCGGGTCCAGGGAGGGTGCATGCTTTGCCGCGCGAGAAAAACAGCAGACTATCGTTCCCGCGCGTGGGCAGCCCTAGCTAAAGCCGGGGAGCAATAAGGTGACGGGCCAGCCAGCCTCGTGGGCGTTAGTGGCTCGCCAGGGGCCCGGTTCCCCGCAAGACGAACAAGCTGAATAGCCGAGCTGGCCGTGGAACAGGATTCGAGGCGCGGCTGATCTACAATCTAGCAGCCACCAAACCGCCGCTATTTTCCGTGTCGGCTTGTGAAAGTCGCCGCCCGGCCTCGTGGCGAAGGCGTAGGGAGGGGGGAGATAAACTCAGCCATCAACGAGAAACTTTCCTGGCGCCAGACACTGGTCGTGACCTAGCGCTCTGGCATGCTTAGGCGTGTCGCCGGAATCGTCCAAATGGTCGGCGATCTCGACCAACATCGGTAATCTGTATAGTCGAGATCTCGCACCCCAGGACCAGAGAGGAGAATTGATGAAGCAGCAGCACCCGACAACGGCCACGCATGAACGCCTGCTGCTGACAGGCGCACAGACTGCTCGCGGTGTCGTGCTCTCTGCGTTCGTGTCGCGCTTAGCGGAGCGGGACCGGGGCGCCATCGATTGCGCGAATGGCCCCGAGGACGCACCGCAAAGCTCATGGCGCTTTACCTCGAGAGCGGCACATCTGCGACTATTGACACGAACTCCACGTGGGTGAACTACTCTAGTCTGCGCCACGGGACGGGATGACATATTCTGCGCTGCGGGAGAACGACCGTAGAACCGCCGGGTCATGGCGACGCGGATGCTTGAGAGGGGGACATACTTTGCTAGCCCAGGGACCTCTGTGTCGCAGGCACAGAGATCTGCTCTCGCAATCATACATACTGGCTTCGATCTGTGGGGCACATGATACGCGCGTGCTGTATTCATGAGTGACGCCGGCTGCGTGCCGGGCGTGACCCGTGGCTGTTCGCCTCCTGCATTTCATTGGTCCCACCCGAGCCACGTCTGCGGAAGAGGTATTCCTGGCCTGAGTCTGGACCACTGCTTACCACGCGCCCAGTAGATACGAGTTGTTCAGGTGCTGGCCCTCACGGCAGATCGGCTGTGTTGCTGTGATCCACTTGCCTGGACGCCATGATTCGTGAGCCGAGAATGCATGTACCTCGATTGCTTCAACTGTGGGCATTTGGAATCCTGCGGCGACCGCCTTTTGAAACCAGGAGCCACGAGCGGGAGGGGACCTTGCATGAGCCCTCCGGACTCCGGTTGCAAGGGGCTGTGTTTGCTCAGGATCTGGTACGGGAGATTTCTGGAAGGTTGGCATGTGGATCGCCTTTCCCGAAAGCGGATTCACAAGACCCTTACCTGTCGATGGATCGCTGACATCTCACGGAACCACCGAGCTCCGCTTCTGTGCCGGCCTGGCGAATCTGCAATTTCAATCTTACAGTGTCAGCAAATCAGAGCCTACAATTTCAATGTGATAAGATAGGTACATTGAGGGGGATGCAATCACAGCAAGCGCTCTGAACTTTCAGCAGATCCCGTCACTCTGCATTATCACTGGACCAATATGTGATGGACATATAGGTATTGAAGATATAAATTGTTTTGTTGGCTGGCATTCCCGGGTAAACAAGTCCGGTGGTTGAGTGCACAGCGTTTGCCCTAGCGTTTCGACTCATAGCCAGGGTGGAGCGCTGAAGAAGCACCGCAGAAGATCTCCCCCCACCGCAGGGGGCAAGGGATGCGCCATGCAGACCGGTTTTGCGCAATGCTGACTGAAAAAGGCACGGCTCCAAGCCTTCCCAGCTACTATTTCCGCTCGCATACCACCGGACTTTCCGACGGGATTTCCTGTTTGAAGAAGCATATCTCGGTTTCCCCCTCGTACCTAGATAGGGGTCCGTGCGATTTGGCTTTCCTCGTGCCGGGGTTGCGCACGGGTGCATAGGGAGCAGCCAGCCACTCCTCCTGCGTAATCCCGTCCGAAGGAGCCATGGCGCACACACTTGCGATTGTAGGGCTGCATTGCCCGCGTCATCATCGCCGATATGCCTTCGAGAAAGAAAAAAAAGGTTCCCACTGTGATATCCTTTCAGCAATCTTGGCCGAACCCTTGCAATATCACCGAGACACGTGCCTCGCTGACGAAGCGATGCATGGAAGCTCCATCAGCAACTGCTACCCAAATGTCTCAAGAATACTATGTGTACCCTCTCTCCCCTCCTGACAATCAATGTGGTTTTTTCAAGTGCCCAGGATGCGCTGCCCACTGGTCCCTGATTTTGGTACCCAAGGATTTTGGGCAATAACCGTTCACTCTTGGCCGGTGAGTGGCTTGACGGTACGCGCGCGAGTCATATGGCAACCCGTTGGAACCATGAGTCGTGATGGCGAACCTTCCGCAGCCACCCGACGGACAGACACAGGGGCTGACTCGCGTAGAGGCGGGGCGGCAAAGCGGGCCCGAGGAGCCAGCAAGCAACAAGAGGCGCGCGGCAAAGGGACGAAGAAATGGTGGCCACACGTCCAGGGTCCAGGTGGCGACGTGTTTGAATGTATCTGAGACATGTCGGGCGAATCAGAGGGCCCTGCAGCACTATATAATCAAAAAATAGAAAAATGGCCACGGTCTGCTTGCAGGGCAGAGCATTGATTGACGGGGCTTGTTACCGTTTTCGGGGGTGGTGGCATCGGATCTTCGATTTGTGCGCTGCATGGCGGAACATCAACCGCTTCCCCTGAACTGCGTCAGTGCTATCAGTAGGCACCAGTGCATGGACAACGGGGCGTAAGCGCTAAATCCCTTGAGCACAGTGAAGGGGGAGCAGTCGGAAGCGGCGACTATCGCGGAATGTCTGATGGCCAAAGATGGACAGTCGGGGACTCCACGAGGAATGCACAGATCAAGCCAGGGAGAAAGGCTCACTGTGCGGCTTGAGGAGACGACACTGCTACCACTGAACGACACGTCCAGATCGCCATGATTGCCACGCATGTCCACCTTCTCTCCATACGCATTGCCTTTTCCAGCCTGCATCGACGACCTCCACCGTGACCATCATCATCCCCCTATCCAGCTCCAGCTCCACCCAGCCAGCCAGCAAGACCGCGCGCCCCATCACATTCCCCATACCACACACCTACCGCAGCCGCCCCATCCCCCCCGCCACACAACGCACCACCCACCCACCAACCTACCGCTGCGCCTTCCCCATCCCCCGAATCCTCGCCCCAAACACCCACAACACCGCCGGCCCCGGCACTCCCAACGCCAAAAACAACCCGGCAAGCAGCGTATTCCCCCACCCATACCCAAGCCTCTCATACATCCTCGGCGCAAAAATCGGAAACGCAAACGCAAACACGTTCCTGAGAAACTGACTGGCGGCACTCGCGCTAGCCGTGCACCCCTCAAACGCATCCATCACATACGCCTGCATCGCCTGCGTCGCCAGGATGTTCCCACATCCAAACACCGCTATCCCGACATCCACAACCGCCCAGTGCAACCCCCGCTGCGCGCCCCACCCGTACACCACGAGCCCCGCCAGCAGCAACAAAACCCCCGGCACCATCAACGGGACCCGGTACTCGGGCGCGGCCTCCCCGCCGCGCCGGGTTTTCAGGTAGGCCCAGACTCGGTCCGTGGCGGGCCCGCCCGCTTGCGCGGCGACGGTGTAGCCGAGGACGAGGGCGATGTAGTGCAGCCCCGCGGCGCGCGGGGACAGCGCGTAGCGGTCCTGCCACATGGTGGCGTAGGTGGACAGCACGATGTAGAGGATGCCGAAGTTCACGGCGAGGAGGAGGGAGAGGAGTTGGAGGATGGGTTGGGTGAGGAGCAGGCGGTAGGGGCGGGTGAGGGCGAGCTTGAGGCGCTGGGGGAGGGTTGGCCCGCCGGTGGTGGACGAGGTGCGGTAGTTCCGGCCGGTTTGCCGGCGGAGCTGCTTCGCTTTGCGGTTGAGGATGGTGGCGGCGTGGGTTTCGCGGAAGAAGAGCGTGGTGAGGAAGATGAGGAAGGTGTTGAAGATGGCGAGCACCCAGAAGAGCCAGCGCCAGCCGATGCTCTGCGTTATGACGCCGCCGACGATGGGGCCGATGGCGGGGCCCAGCAGCGGGATGAAGGTTGCCAGCGCGAAGGAGGTGCCGCGTTGGTCGGGCTTCCAGCAGTCGCTCAGGACGGGGAAGGAGATCTATCCATCTTCCGGGTTAGTATGTGTGGTGCGTTCATGTGGAATGCTCGCTGCTGCTGGCTTACCGCGAACTGCGCACTCGCGCCGATGCCTGAGAAGAACCGCGCCGCCATCATGGTGCCGCGCTTGGTCGCGAAGCCGCAGATGACGTTCCAGATGACATAGCATGTGCTGCTGACGAGCCAGACAGGCTTTCTCCCAAACACCTCGGAGCAGGGACCGAGGAAGAGCGGGCCGAATGCGAAGGCCAGGATGAAGATGGACAGGGCGATTTGCGCTTCTTCGGGGGCGATGTTGAGCTCGTGCGAGATGTCAGAGAGCGCGGGGGCCATCATGGCGCCCGACATGAGCGTGACGAGCCCGCCGAGTGAGGTGAGTAGCGTGGTTACCCATTTTCTCCAGATGGGCCAGTTCTTGGGATTCTCGGGGTCATCCGGCCCTTCCCAATCAACCTGTAGATTCTCAGTCAGAGCTCTTCATGAGTATTGCGCCGGTGTAAGATAGCTGTAGAGGGCCTGAGACAAATAAGCTTGACTAGAGACAATCGAAACACAACACAGGAACTAGGTTAAGGCTGGTATGCAGATGCTCAAGCTGGCCGGCCTGATAATACAGCAATACGAGAGAGGTAACCGCATTGGGCAAGATGATCCACGCGCGCCTTTGTCGACCTTCCATAGTGCTAAAGTATGAATACTCCCGTCGTTTCACAGTGCAATCAGTGAAGGTGATGACAGAAATAGGTGATGCCGCATGGTGTGGCCCAAAATGCGGTTTGGGGGATGATTTACTGACCATCCGATGGTTTACTTACAATTTCTGCTTCATTTCTCTCTGCAGGGCTTTTGCTGCCATTTGCATCCGCTGCGTCCTTTTCTACGTCTCTTTCCTCATGTTGCACATTGTCCTGCTCAATGTCGGCCTGTGGTGTGACGTTGGCCAATTCCCGGTCATTATCCCCGTTATTGGGTGCCGTCATTGTATCTCCGAACGCGCTCTCAACGCTGAAAACGCACAACAGCGCAAACCGACTGGCCATATTTCAACCTCACTGACTCTCGAGCTATATATCATGCCCGAGGCGCTCAGACAGTCGGCCGGTTCGCGGAAGCACGCAAAGCTCTGGTTATGTCCGGCCCGAGCCTCACCACGAGCATATCCGAGAGGACCCCCTCGGACATGCCGGGCTACACGCACCACCCATCCCCGTTCGTAGGGAACGCCGAGAAGATCTCGGACTCTTCCGATGCGGATCTACGCATGCCCATTTCCCTTGCAACCGTGAAGGCAACAGCGCCGGGGAGGGAGACGTCAGCCTGGCTCGTGATGGGAGACCTGCACCGGGGCCGCGTGGATTCGCGTCAAGCTTGACCCCGGCTTCGCATGCATCGAGGATTTCTGTTCAATGGTCGGGGAGAAGTCCAGCAGCTGTAGGTTTTGGCTCCGTAACGGTATATCTGCAGGCGCGGCTCGGGAGAGTGGGCGGCTGCGGCGCTGACGTCAGGATTATTGTTTGCTTTTTTGACGCACCCAGCTGCTTGTAGGATTTTACCGACGACGTCGATCCGATCTGCGTTTTTACTTACCCTCGTACCAAACCGAAATGCCTGGTTACAGAACATTCCATGCTCTCAGCCGCACCGTCTGACACCTAAAGACCATGGGAGCTTCCAGCCAATGATACGGCTCCGGTGATACCAGTACCTCCAACAACGAACATCCTCAATGGCGAACGATGGGGGTAGATGCGGTCCTTCCAGTCGAATGTCGATTCACGGCCGATAACCCGTTGAGTGCTGTTTCCAGATCCTGTGGCTGTTGACGACAGGCATCGCCGGGCAAGCTCGTCGTCCTGGTCTCATTTAGCGTCTCCCCAACCCCCCCTTTCGAGGTCCAAAGCTGAACCATATCCATCTCAGCCACATCTGCCTCTCTGATCCCTCCTCTCCTTTCTCCCCGACTGATCTCGCCAGCTTCGCCGCCCATCCCTTCTCTTCTTTGCCCCCACCTTTGTTATCCTTTGGCACCGTCAACGGGACGCCACTTCTTATCTCTCCGGCCATATCAGTGCTGCCGTACACAGATGCGACGCTCAGGGATTTCCCCTACCCAACGGCCGATTCCGCGTCGTTACCGGTGTCCCTGACCCTCTTTCAACCTCCACGCCGGAGCCCCCAGCGCCTCAACGAATATGACCGGCCCCAACCACCCCTTCCCAACTTTTTGTAGCCTAGGCTCCACCACCAACCCATCAAGCTTTGCAACACCAACCCCGGCAACGGATGTTTAAAATCCAGACCGGCACGACGTACGCCACAACTGGCACGTGCGTGAGGTAATCTACATTCCACCTCTTTCTCCTCGCCGCCGCCCAAGTAGGACTGCCGCCACCATCCCCGCTCCCCAGCACGCTCGTGTAAGACTCGGCCGTACTCACTACGCGCCGGTTAACGCAGGCCTCTTCGAGAGCAAAAGAGCACTGGAATGAACCGAATTGTTGAGGTTCAATGTGGCGTGGCCAATTAATATGCCGGTCGGTGACAGCCTGGCGCGTAGGTGCTTCTTTTCTCTACCGCGTGCTGCGGCAGCGTCGGGTGGTTGATCGATGGCGAATGCGGTGGCGAGGGCCGGTAGAGAGGACAGATGGAGAGGATCCCCACGTGGAGAGACCGAGACGCAGTCGTCCGATAGGGCGAGGTCGGCGAGGAAGAGTTAGCCCTTCGATGTATGAAGGCTGAGGGTGGTGTGAGGGTGAGGAGAAGCTGGACAGAGAGGAAAGTGGTAGTGGTGGGAAAAGAGGTGGGTGGGGGGAGTGGAAGACATGGGGTACGAATGTCGCAGAGATGTCCGGTTGCGCAGCGATGCCCGGTGCTTTTGACGGCAGCGAGACGCGTGGTGTTGGATCCGGTGATGGCTGCGAGACGGTTAGTCTCTGATGAGGTGGCTGACGGTGCTGCGGAGGACTTGGGCGAGCGAAATGACGGTCAGAAGCCCGCCGAGGGAGATGCAAAAGAATAGAAGGAGAGGTGGGCACCGGGTAAGGTGTTTAGAGAGACGGAAAAGCCGGGCAAAAACAGCACAGTGTCAGGACAACGAGGTCAGGCTGGAGGAAAGCGCCATGGCCGGTAAGATGGATGCTGCACTGCGGGTGATGTTTATTAGAGAGTGGTGGAGTATTGAATCCGGGAGAAGGCGAAGGATTGCCTTTCAGGAAAGCATTCCACGCAGATAGCGGAGTAGTATTTCACGTAAGCCCTTAACGCAGACCAACGGATCCGGGAAGGACCCCGAGACACACCAGGAACATCGTCGAGTGTTTCATTACTCGGCCCGTAGGTGAAACATCTGCAACTTGGTAAGGAATGCCGCAGATAGTGCCCCACCATCCACAAAAATCGGGAGGGGCGCACCTTACCCGTTTCTAGAAGCCGTCCCGCGTTCCAAGAAAACACTTAAGCTTAAAAACCCATTTAAATTCCATTCGCTTCATTATACCCTGCGAGAGGATTAGAATACGTCAGCGAAGGGAATATGGCGCTTGCCAGATCGCGATCGAGTTTGCTTTCTACACGTGCCTGCTCCTTCGCTCTACACGCGACGCGGTAGTATAGCAGACTTGAATGCTAATCATTTATAAGCTGCAGCGAGGAAAGCCTTCACGCATATGAATTAGAGCGGCATCGGTTATCGTGAACAGTGAATGAGCCTTCAAAAGACGCCGAGGCAACTGCAAGGCACTAAAACAACCCAAGTCACGTGACCTGAGTTTAACTCATATCCCTTCGACGGGCGCTGGCTATTGGCAGGGAAGGAGGAATCGAAGGATAGAATGGAAGGAAAATGAGTCAACTAGAACTCATCATACTAGACAAAGCTCTTGAACCTCGGTAATATGCTCGAAAATGCGGTCACCCCAATCGCTGCTGAAACATCCAACCCGCTCGTACGTGATTACGGGCCCTAGATAAGGAATCGGACGCAAGAAAAGTCCACGTCCAACAGAGGTGACATCGGAATATGTCGTCGTCGCCACAAGCATAGCGACCACTCTTTGGGGACTTTCAAAACCTTCCATTTCGCCACAGTCGATGAAGGTCCATGCTCTCTTTTGGGTCCCGCCAAATTCCATGACTGCATCAACCCCACCACCGAATTTACCCTCAGACTGAATTGTCACCCATGCCACTTTGGCGCGGAGCCTAAGGTAAGCCCTATCGCCATCCGCTGTAGAAAGACGCCCGTAAATCGCAGTTGGCTCCGCCAGGATCCACCGTATTTCAAGGATATCGAATGCTCTCGTGAGGTGGTCGTAGTCTTTAGCCATATAGTAGTCTATCAGGCCATCGTATGCGCACCAAGACCACGTTGGGCCCCTATAAGTCGTCTGTCGTTTAAGTGCGATACAGCCGCCGGATAAGTACCCGCCTGGTGCCCAAAGAAGTCCTATTTCGAGACTCTCCGTCCACAGTCCAGCAACGTAATCCCCATGCCCCTTTCCCACCAGGCTGGCCACTGCTGAGATTGCAGGCAGCTTATCCTCCGATATTGAAAGCTTCCTGCCACTGTAATGGCCGACCAAATTGTACCAGTCTCTCGGCCCATCAATTGAAACGTAGCGACCGAGGTCTCTTAGCGGCCGGCATATGCGTAAGATGCCTTGTAAACGAGAAGACGTTCTGCATGAGAAGTCGGTGTGGTCTGAGCAAATGAAAAGCTTCCTTGTCGATAGATAGCTCTCCTGAAACGTCCAGCCGCGGTTCATCCACTTTGATGCATGGACAGATCTCTCGTAGTCAGACTCGATTTTGAATTGAGTAATCTCAAAATCGCCTGAATCTCTAATCCGCTCGAAACCATATAATGGATGAATAAAATATGTGATTTCGGGTCCGTCATCGTCATCGAGGCGATATGAAACTCGAACATCTGAAGAATTCGTAGTGAGAACATTCGGGAGGCCTTCCAATGGAGAGCTTGTCGAAGCTAGGATGATGGTAAGGAATGCATTGGCGTAAACATCCTTCATCCGCGCTGACTCTTGGTCCCAGTCGGATTGGTCCCCTTGGATAATGCATAGGGAGTCAATCCACAGGTAGAAAATTCCGATTCCCCAACACAGCTCTATGGTATCCTGAAAGCCTGGAGGCAAATTGGAAAACGCGATGGTATCGTAATGGTCCGCGATATTTTCCGGAGTGCTCTTGATGAAGTCTTGGTCACCCCAGCAGTAACTCAAAGCCGCATATTTAGGATGAAGTTTTCCGGGCATAGGAGAAGTGCGTGGTTGCATCTGTACCAAGCGTATTCTGTATCCTGTTTGGTCCTTCTTGATCTCTAGCAGCCTAGAAGGTAAAGCCTGGTGCTTCCAATGTCCAGTTTCCCTATTCCTGGTACAGTCTATGTGCTCTGCTGAACATTTTGACAAAGAATTTTGAATAGACGTAATGTTCTCAGAACACAAGAGCGATGGATGGAATGGGGCATGCAATAGTCTGAGGTACTTCGCAGCCGGTGTGTCTAGAATCCATGGCTTAAGCTTAAAAGCCAGTGAGCCTGTAGGGTGGCTACATACCTTGATTTGCGAGGAGCCTGAAGAATGTTTCGTAGGACCAACGTTGCGAGGGTTCATCTTTAGTCTTGGAATCAATGACTACCCAGTGTACCAACACACCAGCATTGTAGTCGAGTTCGTTGAGATTTTTTCTTTTTCTGATGTAACCCTCCTTGATCATTAAGACCATATTTTTCTCAACCTTAGGCGCCTTTTTTTGGATTGAATTTAAGAGCAGATCGCAAAACCCGCATCCTCTGGAAGCCGACCGCTTTAATTCTGTCATCGCAGGATAATCATCCTCGAGCTGAAATTGTGATTTCACTTCCCGTATTTCCTTGCCATCTCTTGTGTGATCAAAATCAATGTACACGGTTCCGTCTTCATCGCTGGTCTCCGCATAGATTCCATGTTCACCTCCCTTGAAATGGAGGAAGCGGCTGCACCGATCACAGAGTCCGTCGGATTGGGATGTGGAATCACTCATATCGAATGCATGGGTGAAAGGTGCAAGAGTAAACCGAAATGGTTGCAGGTTCAAAAAAAAAACAATGAACAAATGAGGTCTTCTCGGAAAACGGATTGAGACGTTGGTATGGGGCTAAATACTCACTCACTTCACACATGGCCACGTGTGGACAAAGAAGATTTTCACCGCTGTCAACAATTCTGATTTCGTACACTGACCGAGAAACCCGAAAAAGTGCCTTGTCTAACTCAGAAGGGTTGGACTGATGATTTGTCTACTTGAAATTTTTTTGCAGAGTGGAGATGGGGCTGTGTAAGTGGTTGTGTGATAGGTGGAATGCACCGGCGTGGCCTCCGGTCAGAGTGCTGTCGGAAAGCCAGGCTGCCATTTCCCAAGAGCCTCCTCGTTAGTGTGCTCCACCAAACCCACACAAGAGCACACAGCCAGCACTTCCAGCAAAAAGAAACATATCGATTCATAACTCTTTTTGTCTCCGCTTTACAGCAAATGTATCGTAAGACCCGCCGACAGCTATCAACCCTTCACTACACTGACAGACCCTCATTTTCCCTTGTCCCAAAAAAACGCCGCTCCGAACAACAGTAGTAGCAAAGGAGAAAAGGCCATAACACGCACATCCCATCCCATACCGAAACTAACAACAGACAAACCCCACCATAGCCACACCCTTAACGAGCAGCTCTATTCCACTCACAACGTCTCGATCGCCTTCATCAAAACATCCAGCCCCCTCTGCCCCACAGCACTGCCATCTTCCACCTCCGCACCAGAAACATCCCTCAACAACCACGCAACATCGCTCTGCAAGCCCAGGGGCACATAGCACGCCTCCCTCGCCTTCTCCAAACTCTCCTTCAACCGACTCGTGTGCTCCCACTCCTTAGCCGCGACCTCAGCGCGCTCGATGACGCGCGGATTGATGCCGCACATAGCCGCGCAATGCATGCCGAAAGACCCCTCGGCAACACCATCCTCCAGACGGTAAAGGAACGTGACGCGGCGCTCCTCGTCGTCGACGTGGATGGCCATGCGCTTGGCCGCGATCTCCGGGTGGCCGGAGAACTCGGTCGCGAGCGAGTGGTAGTGCGTGGCGAAGAAGCCGAGGCAGCCGATGTGCGTGGCGACGTGGTGCAGGACGGCCTGCGCGACCGCCACGCCGTCGTAGGATGAGGTGCCGCGGCCGAGCTCGTCGAGGATGACGAGCGAGCGCGGCGTCGCCTCGGAGAGGATCTTCTTCGTCTCGGAGAGCTCGACGAAGAAGGTGGATTGCGCGGCGAAAATGTTGTCCTGGGCGCCGAGGCGAGACATGATGCGGTCGACGGGAGTGAGGGTGGCCGAAGTGCAGGGAAGGTAGACTCCGACCTGGGCGAGAATTACAGCGATACAGGTCTGCAGGTTGGTCAGCGGAGGTTATTGTTGAAGCGAGGTCAAGGGATCTTACCATGCGCAGAACGGTAGATTTACCAGCAGCGTTAGCGCCAGTCAGAAGGTCGATGTTTGCAGACTGGCCGCCAAGCTTGATATCGTTGGGGATAAAGTCCGTCACATTGGTCAGCATGCAGGGGTGACGGAGCTCCTCAAACTCAAGAATAGCCCGCTCGCTGTCAACAAACTTGGGACGACAGCTCGGCTCGCCCAGCGAAGCGGATGCTCTGGCCAAGCTGATGAGACAGTCAAGCTGAGCGATGATCTTGACAGCTGCAAGCCAGACTGAGTAGTCCTCGTCGAACCTTGTGTAGAACCTTCCGGCCACCTCCTTGACGATCTGGCTATGTGTTTCTTGAGCCTCTTGGAGTTTGCGGACCAGCTTGCGAAGCTCCGGAGAGTAGTAACGCTTAACCTTGGCAGTGGCCGACATCTGCTCCCAGCTCTTGGGAATGGACTTGATCTTGATGGGAACTTCGACCTGGTAAATCTCCTTGCCGTTGTCCCTGTAGCAGATGGCGGTGGAGCCGAGGTCCCGTCTGTACTGCTTCAAGAGCTTCTCAAGCTCATCAAGCACATCTTGCATGTCCTGTTGACTCTGATCGAAGTCTCCTTCGACGCCAGGTTCCGGGACGAGAATGCCATCTTCCTTGGCCTTCTTGCGGTCAAAAGCGTCTCTCCAGTGCTTGAGGGATGCTGCGAGATCCGGCATCTGAGAAATGAGCTGCCCAATGACGCCTTCACCCTCACCGAACTCGCTGAGGAGGCTCATGGTGTACTCGATCTGCTCAAAGCCTTCAAGCACCTTGAGAAAGTCCTGTGCCTTGATTCTTTTCGCGTGGACCCTAGACAACAGCCGCTCAAGGTCCGGAAGCTTAGCCAATGAAGCCGTGAAGCGGTCCGTGATAGTGGTGTCTGCATTGAGAGCATCAACCGCATCCAGGCGCTGGTTGATCTTGCGAGCATCAGCGAGCGGGTGGCAAACCCATTGCTTGAGCATGCGCTTGCCGAAGGGAGTAATGCAACGGTTAAGCATGGCGAAGAGGGTACCTTCAGTACCACCATCAAAGCTGTTGGCAAAGATCTCCAGGTTGATCAGACTTTGACCATCCAGCACAAGGCTGGTGGCTTTGCGGATCGGGTCGTACCAGGAGAAGTTACCCATGGTCACCAAGTCTCGCTCAATCTTGAGCATCCTCAAGTACTGGAACAGAGCGCCGAATGCAGACATTGCCAGCTCGTGGTTCTCCTTGGCATCCCGTAGAACCTGGGGCCAAGCCTCGATGTTGTCCTGATCGGGCGAGACAAAGTAGTCAGAGGCTTCCATCTCGCGAGAAGTGGTGTCGGCAGACCAGAACTCCTTGTCGGGCTTGAGGTAGTTCCAGATGGTGGTCGGGCTGGTGTTGTTCTTGAGGATGCGGAGGGCCTTTGCGGAGATGCAAGACTTCTCCAGAAGCAGCTCTCCGGGCCTGGTCTGGGCAACGAAGGTCTCGAACTTGGTCATATCGACATCATCAACGAATTCACAGAGCTGGAACTGAGCAGTGGCAGTGTCGACGAAGGCAATGCCAAAAACCGGGTGGTTGTCTCTGTCAATCTCCTTGATAGCAACGCAGAAGGTGGACATGTCGTCCTGCAGCATGGAGCCATCGACAAGGGTACCCGATGTGAGGACAGACGAAAGCTCACGGCGGATGATCTTCTCTTCTTTCTTGGCAGGACCACCACGCTCACGCATCTCCTTGCCGAGAGCGGACTCCATCTGGTCGACCTTGGCGATCTTGTAGCCCTTGGCGACGAACTGTGTAGCCCACATGTCGAGGGACGACTCGGGCACGCCAACCATGCGCATGTTGACGCGGTCGGTGAGCTTGAGATCGAACAGCTGGTGGCCGACAGTGGCATCGTTCTCGTACAGCTCGTAGAACTTGCCCTTCTTGAAGAAGACAATTGTATCCCAGAACTTGGACTTGATCTCCCAGTACTGCTTCTCAAAGGGCGAAAAGGCCTTCCACGCCATGGGTGGGATGTAGAGAGTGCGGGGATCGTAGTCTGGATGACCCGGAGGATTCCTGTCGGCATCCTGGATCTGAGCCAGCCAAGGATAGCGCTTCTCTGGCTCTGTCTTGTATGCCTTCTCCTTCTTCCCGTCCGCCTTCTTCGCAAAAGTGGGGGGTGGACGAACACCGGTAGAGTTGATGTTTTCTGGGTCGAAGCGCCATTGTTGGGCGGTAGAAGAGGAGTTGCCTTCCATAACAACATCATCATTGTCAACAGGCGGCGAAGAGGGCGGGGGAGGAGACGAGGGTTTCGAGGCTTTGCGGGAGGACGCGGTAGAAGGGCGCTTGCGCTTCTTGGAGGTGGGTTCTTCGTCGGAATCATCGGGAACCACGAAGTCATCTACGTCTGTTTATTGTCAGTTTTTAACGGCCGAGCAAAGCGGGAGAAAGCGAGGCGGACCGTCATCATCCTCATCCTCAACCACATCTGGACCATATTCATCGCCGTCCGAGTCGTCCAAGGCGGCAATCTTCCTCCGCTTCAAGGTGCGTTTATTTGTGCCATTGGCAGAGACGGGCTTAAAGACTTCGTCGTCGTCGCTATCGGCGTCAGACTCGGCGTAGTTGACCTGCTTCCTAACCTGCGTAGGGTGAGCGATTGCAATGGCAATTGGACGTGGGTCACGCACCTTGCGGGCGGGGCTGCTCGCCAGGAGGATCTCAAGGCCTTCTGGTATTGCATCAGCACCCGCATTCTTTAGAAGGAACGCGAAGACGACAGACCATTTTCCTTGTTCCTGCCATGGTCGCTGCGGACGGGGCTGGACGGCTCGACCGGGTCGCTGCTCGGGGCGGGAGTCAAAGCACTGGGCGAGGCTTTCTTGAGCTGCGGCTTGACGAAATCGGACGAGGACTTCCGAGTAGAGTCGGCGGGTAGCGGCGTAGGCGAGGACTTGGGCTCTGCGGAGGGCTTTGGCGAGGGATCGGATTTGCGCTGGAAGAATCCCAGGATGGACTTCTGGCCAGAAGGGGGCGCCTGCTTCTTGGCCTTGGCGGACGGCTTTGGGGTCGACATTGTGGGCCGTCAATTGGGTCGCGCAACGGTCGGTGGTGGTGGAGAGGCGACGCTGGCGACTGGTTATCTGAGCTGTGACGCGACCGGGGTGCGCGCAAATGCCGGGGTACGCGTCGCGTCGCGCCAGTGGCCCGAGCTTTTAATGACAGCCCCCTCTTGCCGCGGGATCCTAGCGCGGAAATCATAACAAGGGGAGGTCAAAACGGGTTATTCATGAAAAAGCGGATGCGGATCCCCTCTGTAACTACCGCCCGCATCGCCGCTCGTGTACGGGCTAGAACGACCTGCCTAGATCTCGAGTGGACCAGTGGTTGATATGAGGTAGTGAGGAACCACGAATTTGCGGCGTTGGCAGGCGCGATCGACCAGGGGTGTATTTAGTACTGCTTTCTTCCGGGTAGTTCAATACATCACCCGTTCACCTCTTCAGATTCACGGCTCATCCTGCCGCATCAGCGGGAATTACCGGATTGAGATGCATACCCGATATCATCTGAAGCATAAACATAATGTTCACTAACGTAGCCTTGAGAGTAATAAAGATTTCTGTGGACGATTGGCATCTCAGCCGCACACTAGGAACTACGCAGCAAATCATCATTCCGTTTCCGTGCATACTCAGAACAATGTTAGCAAGGAGTCCGCAGCGAAGCAAGTAGCTGTGGATTAGTGCCCAGGCGTAAGACCAGCTACTTAAAAATTCACTCAAATAGCTCTGACTGTGTGGAGATCACCTCCATCCTTGCTTCCGGACAATTTGCTTGTATACGGTTACAGTAAAAACATCCATCGGCTGGAACGAATGATTACGAATGTGATTGATCGTTCCCGGACCAAGATCCAGGGTGTGATTTCATCGCGATATCGTTTTCGGACTCTCCTTCAACCGACCGATTTCGACCAGCATCAACTGCCTCGCTAAACATGTGATGGCGTCCAGCTTAAAATAATGATGCCCGCTCACCTCAGAAAGCTGTATCCAACTCGTCACTTTCCATCGTCCATTATGAAAAGACTCATCGTTTGCTGCGATGGCACATGGTACAGTGCCGACAAGGGGCTTGATAACATCCCCTCCAATGTCGCCCAAATAAGCCGCATGATTGCCCCTTACGGCAAAGACACAGAGACAGGCAAGCGTGTCGAACAAATCGTGTACTATCAGACGGGTGTCGGATCAGGGCCAATGGGCAAGATTGACAGTGCCTGGCAAGGTAACAGCGACAAAAGTGAGAAAGTTTGGTTCAGGCGTATGCTAAGACCTTGACAGGAGCCACTGGTGCTGGCCTTGAGGAAAACGTGACAACGGCATATCATTACCTCGCAAACAACTATGAGAAGGGCGACGAGATCTTCTTGTTTGGCTTCTCACGTGGCGCCTACACCGCCAGAGCGTTGGCTGGTATGGTGACTGAGATGGGACTTCTTTGGCCCCAGAAGCTTCGCCATTTCCCAGACCTGTACAACCTCTACCGCAAGCGGAGAGTCAATGATGGTGGCAAGGACGTTCACAGTCATGTGCATCCCATGAATGATGCCAGTTGCTCCGATGCCCGAAAGGAACTTCTTACAGACAGGTACACCGGAAAGTTCTGGAGGCCGGCAGAGGAGATGCAGAGCGATTTGGACGAAAAGCTCTGGAACAAAATCAAGGAGTTCCACCCGGACAATGCCGAGAACAAGGTCAATCGTAGTGAGATTAGTCATCTGGTTAGGATCAAAGTTATCGGTGTATGGGATACAGTAAGTCGTTCCATAATACAATTCCAAAAAGAGATAACTAAAAGAGTGAAATACAGGTAGGCAGCAGGGGCCTCCCCAAGAGTCTACTGTCTTCTCTGACGGGGTACAACGAAAAATACGGATTTCATGACACTGCACTGAACAGGAGTATGTCCCAATGTCTGAGCTAAAAACGTGTCTGTATTGACGAGTTTTGACTTAGAAATCGACCACGCTTTTCATGCACTCTCACTTGATGAACATCGTGGAGCATTCGAACCAACGCTATGGTATCTCGACTACTCAAGCAAAGACTACGGTGCCGATACAGACCTCAAACAGTGCTGGTTCCCGGGATTCCATGCCGATATCGGTGGTGGAACAACGACCGGAATGGAACATACCTCGAAAATTGACCAGATCACTCTGGCCTGGATGTGTGATCTGGTTGACGGCCTTCTTGATTTCGATGAGGATGCTTGTCATGAGCTATTGCACCTCAAGAAGAGTCGAACTTCGCAGGTTCTAACAGAACGGAAAAAATGGGCTGAAGGAGACACCAATGACTCGAGTATTTTGTACAACCTACCAATTGCTGGAGGGTATGTTGCCCGCACTCCCGGGTTGTATCACAAGGTTCCCGAAAACGAAGAGTGTGCCAAAGCCACGAATGAGACGGTCCATCCTTCAGTCCACTACCGCCATGACAAAAAGGGTTACGATCCCCCGGCGCTCAAGCAGCATCCTGGTTGGTTCAACGGGAAGAATCCGGTGTGGGAATTTAGAGAGCTCAAAGACGGCAACGGTGCCCAATGGGTACGACCGGAAGTTCCGGAGAAGAAGGGTATGATCTGGGGTACTGTCAATGGTAAGAAGGAGGTGAAGCTTGACGAGTGGTGGATCCGTGAGATTCAAGAACCACATCGTCTTAACCTTGAGTGGAACCTTCTTCCTCCTGAGGTGAAGGATATGCTCAAAAGCAGGAACGAGCACAGACCATGCTCGCTCGTGTCTTCCGAAGAGCAGCCTCCAATATATTGTCGAAACGTGTATTGATAGAACATGAGCTCAGTCGTTGGCTGATCAATGGCTTGATGCCTGGGTTGGTTAAGCTTTCTGTTTGTTTCGACTATAGTGTAAATGTCTATTGCCAACGCCACTCATTAGTTAATCATCATCAGCTTCGCGGACTGGTTCCCATTTGAAAACTCGCGTGACCGAGTACCCTCGTGAATTAGGAAAACTGGGAAGGGACGGCACAAAAATGCTCCATGATATTCTGTGAGGTCCAAGGAAATGATCACATTATCACGGTCATTGGGGTTATTTGTGGCTGGATGCGGTATCTGATGAGCAACAAGAGTCAGACTCAACGCTGGTCCTGGGTACGACAATGTAGTGCCGCCCTTGAAGCTCATCAGTAGGACTAGCATAGAATTCATCTACTTTTGAGTAATGCTCGCAGCGCCGCTGAAAATAGAAGATCCAGCTGTTTTAGCCGCGCCTGCAACGTTGTAACCTAGTCCGGTAATTGCGAAAGAGATACCGAAGATTGCCATCTTGCCGTTTACGATCTCCTTTTATGCGGATACGGCATTGTCGTTGTCTTTTTTTCCGGTAGTACGTCTCGCTCTAAGGCAGTCAAGACTGTCAGTGAGAACATGTAGAGATGGCTCAGTAATTGAACTAGTGGCGTATTCAAGCGGCCCCGCTTGAGCAGGTTCAAAGCCATTAAAAACCCGGGACCAGCGTGTCATTTCGAGCCACGGAAAGGCGTTTGTCTGATTTGATGGATCGTCATACGCATCGTGTCGCGCCAGTGGCCCGAGCTTTCGATTACTGGCCGCGGCTTCTTCCCACCGCCAAAGCCCCACGGCTTCACCGTTCGTTCTCTATTGCATCAAACGCTCTTGAATTTCTTCCAACAATAGCGATTGCCAATCTACTCTCGTAAAACAAATATATTATCTCAAAATCATGAAAGCTTCAATAGTGCATCTTAAGTTACCGATCACATGAGTGCAAAGCTGGTATTTGTTCCGATCCGTGTTGCGTTTGTGTAGGAACCCGTCTCCAACGTGGACAATGTAATCAATCCTCTTTCATTCTAGCTCTCAAAAAATTACATCAACATCGCAGTAAGCTTAAAACGCGTTTAACATTCGAAGTACGGTAATTGTAGAATCTAACAACATATGCTGCGAGGCAGTGCAAAAGTGGTTACGCTCGGTTGATAACACTCATGCGCGAAAAGCTGCTCTGCACCGCCCGGAAACCGCCTTGCACTGCCCGATTGAAATGCTTAGACCGTGACACAACCCTATTGGCTATCACATAGCTGTGGGGCGCGGACAAATACGGAACCCTGGTCATGCATCTCAGCCTTGGCAAACTGGATACTTTATTTCCAGCCTCGCAGCTGCGCTGACCTGTCCTTTTCCTCTTCCCGGTACCCTTTACAACAACATGGATCCTGCGAGCATTCTCGGCGTTGTTGCAGCCACTGTTCAGTTTGTTGATTTCTCAGCCACACTCCTATCACGGAGTTTGACAGTCTACACCTCAGCGTCGGGGGAGCTTTTCGAGGAGAAACGACGTACAGCGATAGTTCAGGACCTACATTACCTTAACGAAAAGATCAAAAAGACCAGCAAAGAGGCTGTCCGAGCCACAGTCACTGATCAAAACGAATGTGACCTGCTGGAGCTTTGCGCTGGATGCGACGATGTTGATCGGGACCTCTTGGGTGCCCTGGACAAACTCAAGGTCAACAAAGCGAAAAACAAACAATGGGAAAGCTGTAGGGTCGCGTTGGAGAGCATTTGGAACGGCGATGCTGTTGACCGGCTCGAGCAGCGTTTGAGTGCCTACAGACAGCAGATATCATTGCACATTATCTGGGGAATGAGGTACGACTCCACACTGGCTGCATAACCACATGCATACTAATTCTAGTTCAGAAAACAGCTCGAAAATGGCTTGGATGATCTTGCGCAGGAGCAGAAGCTCACCAGGGATGAAATAGTGCGGCTTATCGGCGAGCGCCGTGATTGGAAAGAGGGCGTCATTGCCGCCATCGCAGCAGGTCCCTTGCCTGGAGTGAAGCCAGATGCTGATGACGAGAGCCAATGCGGCTTTGTACGGCTCCTTCTCGCACAGCACCATTTCGAGAGAATTTCATCTCGGGAAGAGAGGATACCATATGCACATCGAGCAACGTTTGAATGGGTCTTCAGGCCCCCAAGAGCAGACCAGCTACCCTGGGCCGATTTCACAAAATGGCTGGAGTGTGACTCAAGCATGTATTGGATCACCGGTAAAGCAGGAGCAGGAAAGTCAACGTTGATGAAATTTATCGCGCACGACAGAAGGACTACGCAAATCCTCACCAAGTGGGCTGAGCACCGCCGGCTCATCATTGCTCGGCACTACTTCTGGAACTCTGGGGAAGAACTACAAATGACCCAAGAAGGCCTTCTGCGGACACTCATTCACGACATATTACAACAATTCGACGAATTAGCCATCAGGGCATTTCCTCATGAATGGGAACTTTTCCGACTTTTCGGAATTTTCGACTATAAACCACCTGATTACGTTGGACTACAGCGCCGGCTTGATAAGATCATCAAGGCTGATACTTCAGCACAATTTGTCTTCTTCATTGACGGCCTTGATCAATTCACCGGAGACCATTCGAATCTGGCTACGTATATGAAGCAACTGTCGGATAGTATGAACACCAAGGTCTGCGTCTCAAGTCGTCCATGGAATGAATTTGAGGATGCATTTGCAAGTACACCAAGTCTGAGGGTCGAGGACTTGACTTATCCGGACATTATCTGCTTCATCCAATCCAGCTTCAACCAGAGCCCAGGATATTCTGAGCTCCAGATGGAGTACGAAGAAGAAGCAAAAGTCCTTTTGCACGCAATCGCCTGAAAGGCATCTGGTGTATTCCTATGGGTCAGTCTAGTGGTGAAGTTATTGCTTTCGGACTTAATGAACGGCGAAAAACTTCCAAGGCTAAAATTTCGTTTGGATTCCCTACCCCCGGACCTTGAGCAGCTGTTTCAGAAAATGCTGGACCAGATAGGAAATGAGAATCAGGAAGCCGCCTCGAGGATTTTTCAGATTGTGCGAGCGGCCATTCACCCTCCAACCGTGATGACATTGGCTTGGGCTGATGAAGATGATCCAAATCTTCCCTTCGACCGCGCTATTGAGCCACTGCCATCCACAAAAAGGGATGCCAAATCCCGACGGATGCGTCGGCGATTGAGAAGTCACTGCAGAGGGCTTTTAGAAGCGCAAAGATCCTCTTTGTCCGAAGGGACCGTTGAATTCCTTCACCGAACGGTCAGAGACTTCCTCTACCGCGATGAAGTCTGGTCGAAGTTACAAAGCTATACGTCGGCATCGTTCCATCCTGAGCAGGCATTGTGCCGGTCTTATGTCCTACAGATGAAGTGTGTCGACGGTAATCTGGGCCTGGTGCACGGTTCGATCGACTTGACTTTAAACAGAGCAAGCCAAGGAACCCATCTCGCGGACCTTCTGCCACAATTTGTGTGGTACACCCACAAACTCTACGAGAAGACAGGTGACGCCCAACTGGAGCTGTATAACGAGCCCGAAAAGATGATAAAAGTCTTTCTTAGTCGTGAGAACAATTGTCCATCAACCAACGGGTCCTGCTGGTGCGAAGGTCCGGTTGACCATGACGACGGGCCTTTTATTTACCTTGCAATCGCTCTTCATCTTATTCCTTACCTTGCTGCCCGACTAAAAAGCGTTCCGACACGAGAAAACAAGGGCCGAGGAGTGCACACGGTGCTTCAGGCAGCTATTCTTTTTGCAAATGGTGCCACATCCAAGCGCTGGGAAAGGGCACTATGCTACAGAGAAGACGACTCACAGCCTTTGAGACTACTGCTCGCGCGTGGAGCAGACCCAAATCTCTCAACCAAACATCAAAGTGCTTCTGCATGGAAGCTCCTGATCAAGCAGAAAGATGTGATCCCAGATATATTTCAGGAGTTTCTGGATCATGGGGCAGACCCAAAGGTCGATTTGAAGTTCCTTCATAATTGGGGACCGGAATGGGAGCCTGTGTTGAAATTGCAAAAAAAGAAGCAGAAAGTTCAGAAAAGAAAGTATTATACATCACGCATCCGACGGCTTACTTTTTGGAATTAGAAGGATGAAGGAAAGGTGCCGGTATTCGTGGAAGTTACAAATTTGCAGAGGGGTAGTCTCCGATCCCAGCCACGAACGCTCGCCCAGTTTGCTGTCATGCTCAGCATTTCCGACAATCGGTTAATCTCTCCGCACTGTGCTACAAGCTTCCACTTAACGGAAGATACTATCCAGCTGGGCTCATATGGTCCTGCTTCATTCACGCAGCTAAAGTGTTAGTAATTTGTTGTCTTTTGCCTGTTGTTACTGAAAAATCTCAAATTCGATTGCCGTTTCTCTTTCATGCTTCTTATCTCCTTTATATCCTTTGCAACTGAATATATTACCGCTCGATTTATCGAAATTTTAGTTTTAAACCCTCCACTTTATCTACACTAGCACTGAATGGTCGCATCAACTCTTATACTTTGCCTACAACCCCATCTCGCCCTTTAAAAAATGCCCCATGCTCCTTGGGTCACCTGACTACCTATTCCAGCAGCTGTGCTAAATATGCTTCCTATTTAGTAGGACTAGTGCTTTGGTCTAAATGGCAACATCATGCATGCCGATGTCTATATGGTCTTTCTCTCATCGATCTCTCCGGTTCCTATTCTAGGACTTGAATCTAATGTTGCCGCTAGATCGACTAAAGCTTACGATAGCTAATACGTCGTATAGTCATCATCAGGCCCTCCCAGTTTGGCCGCGTAGGCCTAGCTTCTAGAACGGTTTTGCGGCCAGCGGCGTCCACTCCAGTACTGCATCGGTGATAAGAGCCTAGCTCGTGTCAGGGTGTCATTTGTAAAATTCCGCAAGACCTAGCATATCTTTTAGTTTATGCTTATACTAATGCGCTTGCGTTCCCAGCGCAGTGTTGACTTGCCGTTGTCCACAGTGTCAATATTTCCAACGAACTCAATGGCTATCGGAAACCGACCGCCTATCCTCGTAGGACAATTAACTTCGTTCAGCTACTCACAGCTGTGATGTGACTTGGAGGTCTCAATGACATGTACGTGAAACAGGGAGCATCTCACCCAGAATGATAACTTTTTCCCAAGGCCGGTAACAGCACTCCCCAACCTGTACTGGCTCCAAGCTGGCTAATTCCCTTGCCCACAGCCTATAAGTGACTGTTCGCCACCTTGATGGGGCTCGCCCTATGGTTGTGATATGCCATTGCAGGTACAGCAGCGAGATCGTTAGGCATCTGCGACATTTAGTCATCTGATAGCTTGTGCCATCTTCACCGACTCTCTAAGGATTTTGTCATTAAGATTATTGAGGATCGCCAATCCAGTCAAGATCAGGCAAACCTTCTGGTGGAACATATGGAATATGTAACAGCAGCGGTAGGAAGGGAGACCAACAAGGTCAATGTCATGAATGTATAGTAGTAACTCGTGCTATACTGCACGAGGCTTCTCGATTTAAGGGTCTTGGAGCCGTGCAAACTTAAAACTGAAAATCTATTGGCCGACTTGTAGCCCAACACATTGAAAACTTTGCAAGGGTTGAGGCAGCCCCTTTCGCAGCCCCATCCCAACCAGACTTAAATATGCTTGCTATCTAGAAAAAGCGATAGGACCAACACTTTAAACAGTTGGGAAACGCTTATTAGAGGAATAAGATGTCGAGTAAGATACAGTATTTAAACATCTAACTCAAATAGAATAAAGAACTCGTTAATGATTTATTTACTAGCAAATAATTGTTTTCAGTAACATGTTTATTTCATCCATTGCTAAGGTCAGTTGAGACATCCCTTGCCGCATCCCTTTAGTACCTCTTGCTAAAGCTATATTAATCTCGCATAGGATTCGCCTCGAAAATTGAAGCAGGACAACAACAAGCACCTCACGTCCCACAAATCATGCCCTTCCGCAAAGCACGCCGTGTTCTACTAATTGTGCCTTTCCGTAAAGTACGGAAAGTCATACAAACCATGCGATTCCGTAAATCACGGCATAAAACCACCACCACGGAGATCCCGGTGTCGGATTCCCTTGTGGCTTCAAGCCAACAGTCTTCCTCCAGCAATTCGAGGTCCCACTTCAGCAATGTCGCAGCTGAGTTACTCGATCTTATCTCTGTGCAGATCCAAGAGACGAACAGCTTGCTCAACCTGGCTCGCACTTGTTGGCGTTTCTACCAGATTCTCGAGCCTCGATTGTATTGTTCTGTTACAATTCGCAGCAAGAATGCCCTTCGGAGCCTTCATGACTCACTCTCCAATGCACCGGCCCGAGCTGAGATGGTGCGCAGCTTCTCAGTCCATCGCCCGATGGATCACTATCGTGCCAGCCATAACGCTTCTACAACTTCCGAGCTTTCCGACTTCTGCCTGCTTTCGAGACTCACAAACCTTGAGCATCTGGAATTAAACACATACTACTTGGATCGCGACGAATTTCACAAAGTCTTCGACCCTGCGTCTCGTGGAGAGGCTTTCCGTTCCTTAAAGACCTGTAAGTTGGATGATGCAAAGTCGATTGCAATTATAAAAGAGAAACTGTTACTTATTCATCTAGGTGTTCTTTGTTTCGAATCTTTCGACGGCACAGAATTTCAGTTCTCCATTTTCAGAAGTCTTCTTTTCCATCCGACGTTGGAAGTCCTCACCATATACAGCGTCGCCGGTGGGCTGCAGCCCTTCTCCTCCGATTACAAGTCATCCACTGCACTACAAAGGCTGAACCTATTGGACTCTTTAATTTCTCCCCGCGATCTTGAAACATTCTTGTCAGTGCCACGGGCACTCAAAGAGCTCATCATCCACTCATCAGAGATGCACATTCGTCCTTCTGGGTATAGTCCCAAAAACACCGGTGTGTACGGCGAAGCATTGGAGGTTATAGGCCCAAGCCTGGAAAGGTTGGTTATAGCCCGGGATTGGGTCCTGGATTTGGTGCCCTTGCAACTCTACAGGACGGCGGCGCTTCCGTACCTAGCAGCAGATATGTGGACGTGGATGGGCTGTCCCCGAAGTGGTTCAGGGCTGACGAACGAAGAGCCGAAAGAATCGTCTCCCCCGACTTTGGAAGTCACGCAGGACGATTTGTGGGAAGATGACCAAATTATCCGGGAGCCTATAGAGGAGTTCTATCGTGATATGTTCAACATTATGTCTTTTCTGGATCCTAAGATGAAGACGATGTATTTCCACGAAAGTGGCGAAGGCGGACTTCCACCGGGCTTCTTTGAGACGGCTGCCACCGAAGCAGGCATATCATTGATACGTTCAGAGGGCGATCTCGAGGAAGGTCAAGTAGTAGACGAAGTGGTTAAATATAGGGTATTGCGCAAAGAATTTGTTTTTTCTGATGCGGATCTCTCTCTGCCATCTTCCTATGTAGAGTAACAAATTCCTGTAGTATGTAGTCGGCCTTCACACAAGTGTTTATTAAGAAACTCTGTGATACACATGGGCTTGTGATGCTCATAAACTTTGGGCTTAAGATGTAGCGGCAGTACGTACCTAGGAATGAAAAGCTCTTTTGAATCTCTATGACCACCGACATCATCATCTGGTTTGATTGGCGAAGCAACTTGTCCACCTACTCAAATGTTTGTTTTGGGAGGCGAAGGCATCGGTTCTGCGCTGTCTGAGACAAAGATCGCGTATTTCACGATACGCTCTTTGAATGGCTCCAGGCCAGTCATATCGTATTTCACTTTACGTTGATGTGGTACTAAATAGGTTCTCGCGAAAATTCTGTGGTTCTTGTCGCGAGGGATTTAGCCGAGGCCACACGACCCTGAATATCACGGCTATAAATATCTGACATCTGTGATGGGATAAGAGTAAAGAGGATGACGCGGCGGTTGGGGTCTGTGGAGATGGAGGATGAGGGGCGTTGAGAATAGACGTGCATTTTCCCCGCTAAAATCTGACCGTTCCAGCATGTCAAGCGGGCCATGCCGATCGACCTACCATGGTGTGTGTACATGCGCGAAACCCCTAATTTGCACAGCGCTCTACTATTCATACTTGTCGTCCACTATGAGAGGAGCACTGCATATGAAGCTGAATGTGTTGCGGGACGCATCGTCAAGACGAATGGATTCTATCGCCGAGATGCCTTATCGCCGAGCACGAAGGATGTGATCAAAACTTCTGCAGCCTGTTGGAATGGGTCTATGAGAAAATTGTGGCGTTTTGTGGGGTTTGTGCCACCGACATAAGTTCAAAATGCCTTTTTCCACTTCTATTTGCAGTTTTATCTCCCGAACTCGGACCAGTCGGTGCTGCCCAAGTGTCGGCCCCCACACCGCCCCCAACGGTGATCTAGATTGCGCATCGCGTGATCGCAAGCCACAAAGCTTACAGGATCCAATCGCAACGCAGTCCTGTTGCTCACTGCAGGGAAAGGAATAGCGTATGTAGTACACAGTAAGCGCGGCAACGGTACGCTTTCCACAAATAGCTGATGATGGGCCACAGACCTATCTTTGACAGGTGCCTGCTTGCGCTATCCATAATTTTTTTCTTCTCAAGAAATGACTTAAGACAACCCTTTCTCGCTGTTCTACACCACTCCTTTGGCCCTTCGATGCGATGTAGCGATGAGCAACAAGCATTCGCAATTAAATGCTGAAGCCATCGAGCTTCAACAGACGAACACAAGATCCAGATGGAGTCCGTTTGGCGGTCCGAGCTCAAGCTCCGAACGCATTCACTATGAAGCCGTGGATTCAAATGCTGCATACGACGAAATCCAGCAAACTCCCGCCGACTCAACACGAGATCAGAATTCGTACTTTGACAATAGTCAAGTACATCTTGTGAGCAGTGAAACAAGGGCCAATCCTGACATCCACTATGGCGACCCAAAGAAAGCGAATGGTCCATCTCGAATTCCACTTTTCCTTCGGTCAGGCACCATCATCGGCTTTGTCATCGTGTATATTGTTCTTTTGGCTGCGCTTGTTTTTCTGCAGGTGTTTGACAAACAGCACACTGGGCTCACCACCACGGAAACGAACAAGCAGTTCCTTTGGACATTCGGGCCTACCGCGGGTGCGTAACAGAGATCCTTTTGTCCGAGCGTCAATGCCTACCTAACAACACAAAAGTTCTCGCTGTCGTAGCAGCCTTCTGGGCACAGGTTGAATACCGCGTCAAACAGCAAGCGCCATGGGAGATCCTTCGGAAGGGCCCAACACCCGCTGCAAAAACCCTTCTCATGGACTATATCAGCCCTGCTCAACTCTACAGCCTATATCACTCAATACGACACAACCACTGGCTGGTTTTTCTCACCATACTGGCTTCTTTGCTCATCAAGCTGCTCACTATCGTCTCCACGGCCTTGTTGATGTTGCAAGATGACAGAATCACCGTGCACAATCTACCCCTCGTTGCGACAGACAAATTCGATGCCAGCGTGTTTAGCCAGGCGCAAACGGACTTTGTCCCCGTACTCTCTACAATTGCACTCGGCAATCAAAATCTGTCGTACGGCCCCGGTATCGCGGAGACGATTGCTTTTCCAAGTTTGCGCGTCAAAGACAGTCGTGCAGGTAAACTGTCGTCCCAAAAACAATAAACACCATATGATGCTAACTTGCTCAGGTGTCGAGTACAGCCAAATTCAAAGTATCGTCGACACCTTTGAGGCAGATCTTGACTGCGATGAAGGTGGAAGCCTCAAGGCAATCAACACATCCTGCACCAGTCATGGATGCGAGCAACTCGTTACCAATTTTGAGCTGCAAACCCCAACCTGCGAAAGTACCATAATTAACGAGACACAGCACTCCCCGTCTTACCCACTAGTGTTCTTTGGGATGGCGTCACCAGTTCAATGTACCAATCTTGCGGCTGATGAGGACAACCATCGTCTGATCCTCGCGGTAGGGGTCGTGTCTACAAACGCTACAACTTCCTTTTTCACGAATAGCGTGAGAGTAGTTTCGGATTCTACGACCATCCTCACATGCAAACCAAAATACACTGTACAAAAGTCAAACGTCACGGTCTCGGACACGGGAATCATCTACGATGACAAAACCAATCTCGGAAACGCGATGAATGAGACGACAATCCAGCCAGTGTCGTCTTGGGATTTCTTCGAGGCTTTCGACTCTTGCATCGAGAAATCAATCACATTCGTCAACGGCATTCTAAAACCCATACCGCCTGCGAAGAATGTTGCCAATTCAACCACATTTGACCCGTTTTTTCAACTCATTCAAGCGACTGTCGATAACCTCACCGTAACGCAGCTGCAAGACTCGACGTTTTTGCAGGACCGGTCAACAGAAATCTACAGAAAGATCTCGGCTCAAATCGCAAAGTCCTACCTCATGATACCCGCAGAGGATGAGGTAAAGGGTACTTGCGAATCAACCCAACAACGCCTGCGTGTGAGAGGATTGTCGCTCTACATGATGGAAGCCATATTATGCTTTCTCATCATACAAACTGCGGTTATGGCGTTTTTGGTCAATCGGCTCTCCAGAATTCGGGACTACGGATCCATTGCAAGACTAGCGACTGTCATGTCTCGTAGCACGCAGCTCTCGGAGACGATTTCCGGGCACGGAGCATCACGACTGCCAAACCTGCAGTCTGTTTTATCACCATATCGATGCGTCAGCCAAGAGGATCACCGCAACAATGCACCAGAGTTCAGGATCGATCTGCTCGCAGAAAAGGGAACCGTGTCGAGTGCAACGCCGCGTGACGGCCTGACGGGTGCTCCAAAGCATGCAAGGGAGTGGTGGAGGCCGTTTTCGAAATCGTGGACTTTCACCATTGTCGTCATGGTCATCACCTTGCTGGTCATTATTGGCCTCGAGGTGTCCTTCTGGAAATCTGAAAAGAGCAAAGGTCTCGCGGACGTCGATCAATCAGGTTACATCCGTTACACCTGGTCTTACGTCCCGGCTTTAGTGATGGTAAGCATCCAGCTTCTGGTTGGCACCATCGGGTTCTCCTCTCTCTCAATTCTTCCGTACTATCGGCTCCGGACTTTAGGAAACTGCGGACGTCAAGACATTCTCAAGGACCACTTATCTAGGCTCAACGCCCACAACATCGTAGAGTCCGCATTGAGACTCCAATTCCTCCCATTCGTCATCTCTCTATCCTTGTTCCTCTCGGCATTCCTAACGATCGTGGTGAGCGGCTTGTATTCCCCTCAGCAAGTTGATCTCCGCCAGACAGTTCCAATCAACATGGATGACTACAATGTCAACGCCTCGCTGATTCAAATCGCGGCCAAGGAGGCATCCCTCACCAATAAATACGAGACTTTTCCATTCCTGATGGGATTGCTCCTGCGTGAGAATTTCACTTTCCCTCAATGGACGTACGAAGGTCTCATGATCCCTCAACTCTCCCTGGCCTCCAACGATACACGGGTATCCTCCCAGGAAACCCTCGAAGTAGATCTGCCAGCACTACGAGCAGTGCTCCAATGCAACAAAGTCTCCGGGGATCCATGGAACGTTTCCGGCAGCGGCGGACCGCGATGGGAAGACTACAACCACACCGAACCCCGCTGCGGCAACGACTTCATCAGCACGCTCGGCACCCTCCAGGACGCGCCATTCGGCACCTTCACCCCCAACAAATGGGGCGTCGGCTTCCTCTGGTCCGACCGCTACGACGAGTCCGACATCCGCAACACGGGCTGCCTCACCGTCGGCGGCACCTTCGGGTCGGACCTCTCAACCTACACCAACATCATCTGCAACACCAGCCTCGAGCAAGTCACCGCACGCACGCACTTCCACCTCCCGCAGTACTCCCTCATCAACGCGACCGCCGACGAATCGACGCGCCAAACCGTCTCCAAGCCCGACCTGCGCTACTACTACGACACGGGCTTCGACGCTTTGCTGCCCGCCTACCAGCAAGCCTACACCACCGACGACCTCACATTCGACGTCTTCTTCCAGAACCTGCTCTACGGCAAGGACAACGCGACCATCGCGTCCTTCCTGCACCCGGACAACTACGACGGCGTCCTCGCCGCCATCCAATCGCAGTACCAGCTCATGATGGCGCAAGTGCTCTCCGACATCTTCCGCCCCGACCCGACGACCAACTGGACCGCGACGCCGTACCACTCGGCCGGAAACCTCACCGCGACCAAGCGGCTCCGCAGCACGACGGCGTGGCCCAACGCGACGCGCGTCAATCCGGACCGCTACCGCCTGCACCAGTCGCTGCTGTCGACGCGGATCCTGGACGCGCTGCTGGCGGTGATTTTTGTTTGCGTGGGCGCGTCGTGGTGGCTGATGCCGATGCGGAAGGGGGACGAGATTTTGCCCAAGAATCCGTGCAGTATTGCGGCGGCGGCGAGTCTGATTGCCGGGTCGAAGATGCTGGAGGAGGTGCCGCCGGGGGCGGAGTGGTGGAGTGATCGGGAGTTGGAGAAGAGGGGCGTGTGGGAGGGGAGTAGGTTTCGGATGGGGTGGTTTGAGAGGGAGGAGGAGGGCGGCGAGGTGGTGGAGAGGTTTGGGGTGGATGTTTGTGCGGAGGATCGGTTGATGGGGAGGCGGGGGAGTGGGGAACGACGGGATGGATGAAAGAGGTACTTTTTGAAGTGGTTAGAGAAGAGTAACGCGTTCAGAAAGGTAGAGCTAAAAGGTGGTTTGGACTTCGACGAAGGGAGGGGAAGGGGCTGAAGACGAAGTGTAATATAGATGGAGAATTTGTTTTCGGTCCTTCTCGGGTCGTTTTGCGCATGCTCTCTTCCAGAGTAATCCATCGATGACACGAGGTAACACTGACGTATATGTAGTACAGAGCTCAAAGCAAGGTCTTTAATCTGGACTGGAAGAATCCCATGACATTTCCAGAAGGCTAAATTATATACAGCTTTCACTTCGAAATCTTCTTTGCCATAAAGCCTTCCACCGTCTGCAAGTCCGACTTCTCGCATCCTCGAGCTACAGACGCCATACGCTTCAACAATTTCATGGATTCCTGATCCAGCGGCTTCCCGTCACAATACTCACCCTTCACATAATGACAGTAATCAAACAATCCATTAACCTCTTTCGTCTTCCCCTCCGTCCCCGCCTCCAGCGCGCCCTCCTTAACCACATACCGCGCCTCCATCGTCCCCGTCACCCTATTATACGCCTCCGTCACCTCCTCAAAGCTCCTACACTCCGACACCGCCCACACCGTCCGCCCATCCCACCTTCGCGGATCGAGCAACACGCCATGCACCGCATCCCCGTAGTCATCCTCGACCGCCGTCCACGGCACGCTGCCCTCGGGCTCATTCCCCATCGGCGGCACGTTCAGCGTGAGGAACCCCTCCGCATCCCGCACCATCGCAAACCCGCCAAACGCCTCGGCGTACGCCCGCATCCAGAAGATCTCCAGCGCCCACCCCGACGTGACCGTGACGGCAGACTCGAACCCTGCTTTCCTCGCATACGCCGCGATAGCCGCCTTCTCGTCGAACGACAGGATCGGCACGGCGCCGCCCGTCACGCGCGACGCCTCGGGCAAGCCGGCGTACACGAAGTGCTTCACGCCGGCCGCGACGGCGGCGTCGACCACGACGCGGCCCATGGCGGACTCGGGGGGCCCGCGCTGGGCCTTGAAATCGGGATCGTCCGAGTCGGTGTTGAGGAAGACGGCCCAGGTGTCGTCGCGGAAGGCGGCAGCGAGGTCGGAGGCGTTCCACGAGTCGGCGCGGACGACGGAGATGCCGAGGCGGGCGAGGCGCGTGGCTTTGGGGGTGCGAGGGTCGCGTGTTGTGGCGCGGACGTGGAAGGTTGAGGGGTTGGCGTGGAGGGAGCGCGCGACGGCGCCGCCGAATGTGCCGGTGCCGCCGATGACGACGACGGTGCGTGGGTGTGGTGGTGGTGGTGGTGGGGTGGACGACATGCTGGGGTGGGAGGGGGGGTTGGTTTGGCCTTGTTCTGTGCTGTTCGTGAACTTGATCTGTTTAAACAAAATGTATGCCCGAGGCATCTTTCAAAAGACATGGGTTTACCGCATTCTGAATTGCAACGCATGGTCGGGCATGCCGACAGGCCGAGAAGTGGAGGTATTCGGATTCCATCACAAAGAGGCAAGTGACAGGGGGCAGCACCCCCACTCAACTGCGTTGATATCGTCCCCGCTCGCAACGGAGCCGAATACGGCAATTCCAATTTGGATGGAACTGGTGGATGGCACAAATATCAGGTAGTTCTAACATCCCACATCAATAGCACGTTCAGACAGCGGCTAAACGTTGCAACAGCGAGAAAGCAAAGGAAAGCCGCAGCTCTGATACTCCTCTCCAGTGTTCTACCATGGTCAAGATCACCATCCTCGGCGCCGGGTAAGTCTCGCCAATCTTCCACAACCATACCGTACTAAGCCAACGAAAAAAACAGCATCACAGGCATGATGACCGCCCTCACCCTCCCCCACGACCACGACATCACCATCGTTGCCTCGCACCTCCCCGACGGCAGTGACGACCTCCACACCAAAGCCTGGGCCAGCCCGCACGCCGCCGCCGTGTGGGTCGGCGTGCACGCCTCTTCCCCACGCGAGCAGCGCATGCAGCTCGACGGCTTCGCCGGGCTGTGGCGGCTCGCCTGCACCCACCCCGAGTCCAGCGTGCGCCGCATGCACATGACCGAGATCATGGACCGCGGGACCGCGGACGACGTGTGGTACGCCGGCAAGCTGCCCGGCTTCCGCTTTTTGGCGGCAGACGAGCTGCCGGAAGGTGCGTTGTACGGGATGGCGTACGAGACGGTGACGCTGCTGCCGCGGGTGTTTTTGGGGTGGATGTATGAGCGGTTGAAGGGGAGGGGGGTAAGGTTCGTGAGGACGCGCGTGAGGGCGCTGGGCGAGTTGAGCGGGATGGGTCATGATGTGCTCGTCAACGCGGCGGGGCTGGGGGTGGAGCGGCTGAAGGATGTGAGGGAGATGGATTTTATACCGCAGCATTTGCAGGTTGTGATTGCGGAGGCGCCGGGGTACGATCGCTTGTTCATTCGTCGCGGGGAGAATGGGTATTATTCGACGGCGTTTGCGCGGATGGACGGCACGGCGTATGTGGGTGGGGTGCTGACCGAAGGGAGGAGGGAGTTGAAGCTGTCGGAGGAGGATCGGTCTCGGGTATGTTCGTTGTTCGCTGCGTATGTGTGTTTGCTTTTCGGACTCCGGGCTCACGATTTTGCAGATCTGTCGGCAGGCACATGAAAACCAGCCAGATGTTTTTCCCTCTCCTGACCCGAAGGACTGGCCGATTGTGACGGATCATGTTGCTGTGTACCCAACGGTCGTTACGCGCGCTGGTGTGAGGTGTGAGAAGGAGACTATCGATGGCCAGCGCGTGATACACGCCTACGGGCAACATGCTGGCGGCTATGTCTTCAGCTACGGTCTGGCTCGTGAGGTGCGCAACCTGTTGGATGAATATTTATTTGAGATTCCAGTTGAATCCAAGTTGTGATTTCTTGGGTAGCAACGTTTCAGAACGTTGAATGGGGAATAATTGAGCAGCACTTTATCTGTCGTTGAAACTGGTAGTTCCATTGCATTTCCAAAATGTCGCTAGTGAAGCAGTGAACTATGATGGGAGATGTGTGTATCTGCCAGTCAATCTCATCTATCAAGTTCAGACCAACGAGATCTTCTCTGAATCGATAAATACAGCAGCATTGGCGAAACCGTCGCTGAAGACAAAATCAACTGTCTGACCTTTGCATAGATAAATGAAATCCCCTTTCTCCAGCCGGAACGTCTCACCACCATGGATCTTCAGCTCCACCCACCCCTCAGTGACGTAGAAAAACTCATCGCACGGGTACGTTAAGGTGGCTGTTCCTGTTTCTCGAGCCGCCCCAGCCACAATTTTGCCGTCAGGGGAACGATAGATGACTGATTTGGACCCTCCGTATTCTGGAAATGGCTCCCAGGGAAAGGAAGACCAATTTCCGTATGGTACGTTCGATGCTTTGGTGGAACCCAAAGAGTTGGGAGTGGATGGGGGCATGATGCTAAGGGTAATCTAGAGATCGATTGGGGTGACCAAGAGGTCAGATAGTGTTAGCAAGACGTCTCCATGATTTCGTGTGTGCTCAAACCAACCTAGAATCTTTGGAGATAGAGATGATGCTGCATCACATCCCCAGACCTCTCTTGAAATTTATAGGCATCATGTGGAGCTCGGGAAACACATAGGGGCTTCGAAATTCACCTTCATGCTAGTCTACCCCACGCTAATTACTCATAAAGTACTCGGAAGAGGAAGTTGAGATAGGCCCTGTATGGCCTCTTAGTCTCTTTCCTTGTTGGTAGATAAAGCGAGACTAAGTGCCACGTCCGCTTGCCAAATTGAGACAAATCCCGAGCCCCCAAGAGTATTACCCGCATTTCCTAGTATGAACCATGCACAGTTCGACAAATTAACGGCAGCGTCGGTGGAAGAAAACAAAGTCATTTCGCAGAATTAAGCAGTGATTAATTGAAGAAACGTGCAGAAAACAATTCGTAAGCTCAGCACTCTCGGAGGGAGTGGAACCGGTGCAGCTCATGCAAAACTCAGGCAAACGTTTTTCTGCAACAGGAACTCGAGAAAAGACACAACTATCCCGCTATCCCTCATTTCCCATAGTTCTGTGAGCAACTCTACTGCCAACAGGTTGACGGGGCAGCGATTGGTCGAATACAGAGCCTTGAAACGGTTTCTTACTTCTTGTCGAAGTTCAGCGTGCTCATAAGGGAGCTCTGACCCCGCAGTGAAAAGAGGGATAGAGTGAAGGTTGAAGTATGACGAGCTAATTGGGGTTTGTGATAGATTATCGATGATATGTCTGGCGAGCTCCCCAATCATGCTATCGGTCTCCAAATGAAACAGAACCTCGTCCTCGAGGTCTCCATGCCCACCAAATGACCGGCTCTCCGGCCGGCCGCACACCCGATAGAGCATGATGAGACCATGGCATCTGTAAGAGTCGCTCAAAAGAGCCAAGTGCTCATCGTCCTTTGCAGGGTCCCAAGACTGCAGCTGCTCCTCAAAAGTCTGTTCAAGAATCACATCGCGCTCGCTTGTATCATGGACGCTCCGACAGTATCTCCCCAGGGAGCCTAAAAGATAGAAAAGCTCGACGGAAAAGCCAGCAATGGGATGGAAGGTGTCGCTCGTCTCTTGGATGCTGGCAAACACAGATGGAGTGTTCAGAGGCTGGACCTCGGCGCTAGAAAAGAAGTAGGAACAGGCCATGTCCCAGTACATGTAGCTCCCAATGGCGAGTCCATACAGCGGGTCCTCTTTCCGATTTTCATCGGCGATGATGAGATCAATCACCGTCCGAGCGCCGAGAAAATGCTCCTTGCCGAATTTGAAGGGGTACTCCTCAATCCAGGACGACGACAAGCCGAGCAGGAAAACCGTGAGGAACAAAACCGTCAGCGGACTGCTCTGACTCCGAATCTCGTCATGCACGAGCCCCAGAGCACGTCCCCGTTCCTCGAGGCAAGTCTGCAGACTTTCCGGGTTGTAGAACTCGTCATAGCCAGCACTGATGCTCTGCAGGGCGTGCAGCAGCGACGGCGCGCCAGCCAGATGCTGCAGGATGGGATAGGAGAACGGGTTGCGATTCGGATCGAGCACCATCATGTGGCTCGACTTCTCCAGCCAGTGCTGCAGGAGCCGCTTGTTCGCGTCCGGCGGCAGCAGCATATTTGGCGGCGCGTGCACCACCCCCCTGTTGAACACGTCCAGCCACGGCGTCTCAGTCAGCCATGTGGCCGGGCGGCAGGAAGGCAAGCAAACGGAACCGCGCCTCTCGCACCGCAGGCACACCGGGTACCGCTCGTCGCACTTGACGCGGCGCAGCTTGCATTCGCGGCAGCCGGTCCGGCTGTTCGACCGGCCGCTGCCGCGGGCCCGCGTCTGCGGGTGCGCTGGGCTGGCGGGTAGGATGTAGAGGCCGGTGGAAGGAGCGAACCGCACTCGATAAGATGCTGGCATGGTGGATGGAGTGCTTCGGGGGCGTTGCTGTTGTCTGTGATGCTCCTTGATATCAGAAGCGGGGTGGGGTAGTACTCGGATCCCTGCTTATCATCACTCGCGACTCTTATCTGTAAATGCCCCAGGAACTCCGCATACGAAATTGTGCTTAGCTGCGGAAGGAATTCGCGAATCGAGATTGCCAACGTCATGTTCTGGTGCGGGGTCCGAGGCTGCAGGTGCTTGTGCGGTTTCTTACTGCATTTGTCGAGATTGCGAGCCCCATGCGCCACCTGCAGCAATTGAGCGGCGATCCTGCGCAACCACGGCCATGCTTCCCAATAGTATCACCTCCGCTGCTTTCTGAAGCTTGACTCTTGATATGTTGATGGGTGAAGCATCAGGTCTCAAAAAATCACTACTTATGGGGGTCGGAGCTTGCGAGTGAGACGTACCTAACCATTTTTCACAGAAAGTCTATGGATGCACAAATCCTCGTTGTCCTACAACAATGGAACAAGACGGTAGCAGGGAAAAAGCTCAGCTGGCGTCGGACCCTGAAGCCACCAGTGATCTTGACAGCCTTTACGCCCTGGGCTACACTCAAGAATTGAAGCGCAACAGGTCAACACTCACGTTATTCTCACAGGCATTGATCATGAGCTGTGTAAGATGGTCTCGAAATTCTTGACGGAACTCTTCGCTGATACAGACTTTTCAGGTGCCATATGGAATAGGAGGGCCCTTGGTGACAGCCGTTTACGGCGGAGGTCAGTCTTCACGACCATGTAAGCCCGCCTGTGTCACTGAAACGATGCCGTTCTAGGGCAGCTCCCACTGTTTATTGGCTTCGTAGTTGTCACAATTCTCTCTGAATGCATCGCCATATCTCTAGCTGAGCTTGCATCCCGGTTTCCCACTTCAGCAGGACCATATTACTGGTGCTTCCAGCTCAGCAGCCCAAAGTACCGCACCTTTACCTCGTTCATCAGCGGATGGATCTGGGTGACCGGAAACTGGACACTCACTCTCTCCGGCCATTTCGGGCTCACCTCGTTTCTTTGCTCGACAATCACTCTTTACGACCCGACATTCTCCCCAACAAGCTGGCAAATCCTATTAATCCTCTGGGCAGTGTTGCTCACAACGTTCATTCTCACCACCTGCGGAAACAAGTTTTTGCCAGCTGTTGACGCGGCCTCTGCTACTCTCATTGTTGTAGTTACAATCGTCTCACTCGTGTGTCTTCTCGTGCGAGCAGGAGCTGGGCGGCATTCTCTCAGATACACGTAAGCTTTCACTAAAAAGGAAAAACACCAGTGAGGGTTGGCTAACCACGGCTCTGACAGGTTGTTCCATTACGATACGACTTTGTCCGGTTGGGGCGAGTTTTCTTTCTTCATCGGGCTGCTACCATCAGCATACAGGTATGCCACGCACGCCGCCCGAACAAACCTCGTCGTCACTAACAAAAAGCCAAACAGCTACTCAGCCATCGGAATGCTCGCATCTATGGCCGAAGAATGTTCCTCGCCAACAGTCAAGCTACCCAAAGCCCTCTCCCTTGTCGTCCCCATCGCCGGCTTCACAGGCCTCCTCTTCGTCCGTCCACCCCCCCTCCTCCCCCCCTCCCAACCTCCCCATCCCCACCAGGACCCTAATAACCCCCGCCCTCCCTCACAGATCCTCCCCCTAAGCGCCACCCTCCCCCCTCTCCCCGCCCTCGCCGCCGCACCCAACGCCCAAGCCCTCAGCTACACCTACACCCTTGTCCTCGACAGCGCAGCCGGCGGCCTCGCGCTCTCCCTCCTCATCGCGCTCCTCGTCTACCTCAGCGCCCTGTCGCTCACGACCGCCGCCTCGCGCTGCACCTGGGCCTTCGCGCGCGACGGCGCGCTGCCCTTCTCGCGCTTCTTCCAACACGTCTCGCCGCGCACGCAGACGCCCGTCCGCGCCGCGGCGCTGGCTTCGCTCGTGCAGGCGCTGCTGGGGCTCGTCAACATCGGGTCTACGTCGGCGTTTACGGCGTTCGTGTCGGTGGGCGTGATGAGCATGGCGGCGTCGTACGGGGTGCCGGTTGCGCTGTCGCTGGTGGCGGATGGGCGGGGGCGGGTGAGCGAGGCGAGGTGGAGGTGTGGGCCAGTCTGGGGACGGGTGGTGAATTGGGTGGCTGTTGTGTGGGTGGGCTGCCAGCTGGTGTTGTTTAGTATGCCGACGACGGTGCCGCCGACGCGGGGGGATATGAATTATGCGGCTGTGGTTTTTGTGGGGTTTTTGGCGCTGGGCGTGATTTATTGGCTGCTGGAAGCGCGGAGGAGTGAGTATAGTTCGGGCCGGAAATCTCATCTGGATGATGCTAACGTGGGGTTTGTGTAGGTTATAAGGGTCCACCGGAGTCGGATGGGGTTGACGCTGGCGTTGAAACTCGCTGAGGAGACTTGGAAAATGATGGGAGAAGACAGCCACGATTGAATGCTTTCAGTAAGATTGGAAGTTGGTTTGCTACACAGTCAGTATATAGTGTTTTGTTTTGACGTATCCCCTTTGGTAAGCTGTTGTCGGAAAATGCGATAGAATAGATTCCAAACTCGATGAACGCTCACAGCCTTCTATCCTGACTCCTCTACGCGCGAGAGCTTAGGCATCTGCTACGTAAAGCGTGCAAGTTCATATCTTCTTATCAGATAGTTTGAATTTCGGCGCGAAGCCTGAAACTCGTCGACGGGCAATTGCTGGCATTTTCAAGGAATGAATTTACAACCGAAATATATCTGCAAGCTACATCGGACATACTGAAAAACAGTCACGCATCTCATACTGAGCTCAGCTGCTGAGATAATGAGCTCTGTGAGAACGGGATGGCCGCCGGTTCCTTTCGACTTTCTAAAAATTCCTGAAATCCTCCCTCCATGACACGCCGACAAACCTCTCGGTATTGCTTCAGACCACCAAAGTAGAACTTGGTACGTTCCTGCCTCCCCGAAACATTGGTGCCAAAAATCCAACTCGACGTTTTCTTGAACAGACTCCCCTCGGTCAACCTGTCGCAAAGCTTGCCCCATTCACTCTCAGCATCCAAGCTCGGTTCGAGCAGCAGCACCCTTCCTCCCTGAAGTCTGTTCTGCTCTGCAAGCTGTATTGCAGCTGTTATAAAGTCAACGAAGCTCTCGATGGCGGGTGGAATGTTGCAGAACGGGCCCTGTGGCCCGCTGATCATGAAGAAATTGGGAAACCCTGCAACAGATAGACCGAGATAGCTTGTGGCGCCGCTATCCCAGTGCTCCTTGATGGTTTCCCGGAGACCCCGAATACAAATGCGAGTGTAGTTGCCATCAATGGCGTCGAAGCCCGTTGCGAAGACAATGACGTCGAGTTCATGCAGTGTCTCGCTAGTTCTGATGCCACCAGCGGTGATCTCGGCTATGGGAGTGGCTTTAAGGTCCACGAGGTCGACGTTGTCTCGATTGAAGATCTCGTAATAGCCGTTGTTGCACAGCGGCCTTTTGGCATAGTAGTCGGTCGGCTGCAGGGCCTTCGCCTTGACGGGGTCCTTGACGATCTCGGCAATCTTCTGGCGGATGAATCGGCACGCTTCTTCGTTGGCCTCCTCGCTGGTCGTGATGTCGCCAAACCCGCCAAACATGAACCGGAACCCGTTGCCCTGGTCCCACAGCTCCTGGAAGATCTTCTGCCTTTCCTCCGCCGACACCGACATGGTCGGCCTGGTTGACTCGACGACGCCGAAAGCGGTGCTGGACTCGAAGGCTTGCTTCCAGATCTCATCGTAGTGGTCGTTCACCCACTTCCGATACTCAGGACTCACCGGCTTGTTCCCGTTCGGAACCGAGTATTGCGGATGGCGCTGGAAGCTGACGAGCTGCTTGACGACGGGCGCGATGGCCGTCATGAGTTGCGTGCCGGTCGATCCGTTGCCGATGACGCCAACGCGCTTGCCGCTCAGGTCGATGGGGTTCCAGGACGCCGTGTGCATCAGCACGCCCTGGAAATCTGCGATGCCCGGGATGTCGGGGAAGTTGCGCTTGGAGAGCAGCCCGAGCGCGGTCACCAGGTAGCGAGCGATGAAGACGTCGCCTGTGGCGCACTCGACCCGCCAGTGCTGCCTCGCTTCGATCCACTCTGCTGACACCATCTCGGTGTTGAATTGGATGTGCTTTCGGAGATCGTGTTTGTCGACGACGTGGTGGATGTAGGCGAGGATTTCGGATTGCTGCAGGTAGTGGTGCGTCCATGGATACGTTTGCAGGTCTTCTGCGTCCCAGGAGAAACGGTAGAGGTAGCTTTCGGTGTCGCTCATGGCTCCGGGGTAGCGATTCCAGTACCATGTGCCCCCGACGTCCCCGGCCATGTCAATGACTTTGGGAACCAGACCCAGCTGGCGGAGACGGTAGCATTGGTAGATGCCTCCCAATCCTGCACCCACGATCAAGGCATCCACATGGATTTCGGGCATATTTCGGTACAGCGTGTCGGTGGAATTTGCAACGATGGTAATATTTGATGAGAAGAATCATGGAAAAGGAGCATATCTCAAAGGAATCTATGACCACGATGTGGTTCCCTGTTCTGGTGCAGCCTGCAGGCCACAAAACCCAGACTTTCTTAATTGGAACAAACTCCGAGGCGCGACTTTCTCCACCTCGGAGTACTGCTCTAGTGCAGCTCGACTGTTGGGGTTGCAAGGCCCCCCACTTTTCCAGGAGTTGTGGCGCTTTCCTAATTGGGCGAGATCGCGAAGCCACGGGTCGGGAATTGTGCATGTTCTGCCGACTCGCGAGATCCCCCAGACAAGTAAGACTTCTCAGATTCGTAGACTCCTGAACTGATGGATGATTTGGGCGTCATGTTCATGCTCTCCTGGCCCGACGTTACGGCTGAAACATAAATCTGATAGGCGTAGCATGCCTGTTGCACCATCTTTCCCACGCTTATCGCCATGTCTTGCGTCAATGCGCTTCCATCCAGCGCGCTCGATTATGATTTTCTCGTCGTTGGTGGCGGCACTGCCGGCTGCGTGGTTGCGAGCAGGCTCGCGGAGGCACTGCCAAACTGCAAAATCCTCATGATTGAGGGCGGCCCGAGCGATTATGGAAACGAGCTCATTCTTGACCTGAAGCGTCAGATCGACACCTGGGGAGGAGAGTACGACTATCAATACACTTCGGTGGAGCAGCCCTTTGGTATGTCTCGTCTACTTTGGATGAAGTCTACGTATTGACCCCATTTCCCTTCAGGAAATAGCAAGATTCTTCATTCGCGCGCCAGAGTACTTGGAGGATGCTCGAGCCACAACGGTGGCATTTCGTTCCGACCGCTGGAGTACGATGCACGAAAGTGGCAGGAGGCCGGCGCCCATGGCTGGACATTTGATCAGTTTGTCCGCCTCGTCAACAAGCTCCGGACCAGCATTCATCCAGTCTACCCGCAATTCCAGAATCCAGTTGATGTTGCCTTTATCGAATCGTCTGCCAAAGCTTTCAATATTCCGAAATCACAATGCTTCAACGACGACATTGTCGCTCACGGAAACGTCTCATCAACGACGGGCTTCATTTCCGCCGCCTACAATCCAGCGAATGGATTTCGAAGCAGCGCCAGCGCGGCCTATCTCCACCCCATCTTCGAAGGGAAAGAGCATCGGCCCAACCTGACCATCCTCACCAACACCCGAGTCTACCGCATCAACGTCGACAGGGATACCGTCACAGGAGTCCAGGTGATGCTCCAATCAGGCCAACGCCTAACCCTCACCGCGCGCGCAGAAACCATCCTCTGCGCCGGCGCCATCGACACCCCTCGCCTCCTCCTCCTCTCCGGCATCGGACCGCGCCAGCAGCTCTCGTCCCTCAACATCCCTCTCGTCCGCGACCTCCGCGGCGTCGGCGAGAACCTGATGGACCACCCGGAGTCGTTGATCCTGTGGGAGCTGCAAGCCCCTCTCCCTCCCCAGACAGTGACGCGCTCCGACCCCGCCACCTTCCTGCGCCGCGAGCCGCCCGGCGCCAACGGCGACGACGGCGACGTCGCGGATGTGCTGTGCCACGTCTTCGGCCTCTGCTTCGACGCCAACACGGCGCGCCTGGGCTACGACTCCCCCAAAAACGCGTACTCGTTCATGCCGAATGTCCCGCGGCCACGCTCGCGGGGCCGGCTGTACCTGGTGTCTGCCGATCCGGACGTCAGGCCGGCTATCGATCCTGCGTACTTCACAGACCCCGAGGGGTATGATCGGGAGACGATTCTTTTTGGGTTGAAGGCCGGGCGGAAGCTAGCGGAGACGGCGCCGTTGCGGGATTTGATTAAGAGGGAGGTTGCGCCTGGTCCAGAGGTTCAGACGGACGAGCAGCTTGTTGAGTATTCGCGGAAGGCTCACAATACCGTCTATCATCTGTGTGGCACGACGAAGATAGGTGATACGGAGAGGGATGAAATGGCGGTGGTGGATCCGGCGCTTAAAGTCAGGGGGCTGAGGAAACTGCGGATTGCTGATGCTGGTGTCTTTCCAGTCATCCCTTCCGTGAATCCGATGTTGACGGTGCTTTCGGTCGGTGAGCGAGCGACTGAGCTGATTGTTGAGGAATACCAATCTGCAAGGGCTTCTTTGTGAAGTATTGGTTTGGAGAAGACGCAACGAATTAGGTTTGGTAACTCTACGGAAGATCTGTATCTCATGCTCCTGTAGAGAAGTCGGGATTAATACCCTATGCATTGGTTTCAAACATGTGTCATGTTGCCATTGCTTTGTGATTATGAATGTATATGATCGCATATTATCTCATGCACGGATGGGGTATCAAGGTCCCTTCTTAGTGGCCTTTTCGAAACAATGCAAGAATGTGTGAAGAAAAGCAATTATGCGACCTTATCTTTCCTCTCTCTGACTATTTACGATATTTGATGTGCAGTCGGTTCAAACCTGCTGATAGAGTTACCGGTGTAGCTGCCATTGGATCGCTGTGGCCTCGGGTTTTGACCTGATTGGGAAAGTGGGGTAGAAAAGAACGTACTGCAAACGTTGACCTGTCAGAGAATTTCTTGGATTTCCAAATTGACGCAATTTGCGACAGTTGGTAATTGGACAAATTATGTCGTTGCTCTGAAGCCATGAAACAGCTGGAACACATCCCTAAAGAACTCAAAAGGTCTCTCGAAATTCATCTTTGAAATATTCTGCTACACCACCCACAGTCTGAAGCCTTCTTGCGTCACTCTACAATGATTCAGTTCTATTTGACAGCCTTCACTGCCATTACAGCACTTCTGCTCGTATCGGCGTATCACATTCTCATCTATCCAATCTTTCTATCACCCTTATCAAAGATTCCAGCCGTACACTTTACTTCTCACTTTTCAAGACTCTGGCTTCTGTATCTTCGATATAGTGAACAAGAGAACAGAACTGTATACGAGCTTCACAAACAGAAAGGGCCTATACTACGATTGGCTCCAAACGAGCTCAGCCTCAATTGTTTTGATGGTGGGCTGAAGCAAATCTACCTTGCCGGGTACCCTAAGTCCGAATTCTACCCTAGAGGCTTCATGAACTATGGGTAACAGTTACCCACAAATGACACGAGGCGCATTTGACTGACTGGAGAAAGTACTCGGCCCATGTTCGCCATGACGAACAATACCGAACACGGATCACGGAAGCGCCTCTTTTCTGGGCTCTACTCCAAGTCTCACATCACCACCTCTTCACTTGTGCAGGAAGTGACAAGGGTTGTACTTTTTGATCGATTACTCCCGCTATTGAAACGTCATTCGCAAGGAAAAGAAGCCCTCAACGTTACCGACTTAAACTACGCGTACTCGATGGATTCCTTCGTGAATTGGCAATTCGGCTTGCAGGCCGGATGCAATCTGATTCAGAACGAGCAAGAAAGGAATATGTACCTTGACGGATTCTTCGCACGCGAACACCATTCTTTCGCTGCCACCGAGCTTCCGGGCCTCACATCGTTCCTCGCGTGGTTCGGTATACACCTCATCCCAAAATCTGTGGACATGGGAACGCATGAAATCGAGGAGTGGAACCTTGCCATGTGTGATAAGGCAGAGAAACCTTTGAGGAATGGTAGTGCTGGCAAGTTTTCAACTAAGCCCGAAACCATTTTTGCGCAGGCGCTAAAAACGATGGGTTCGGCCGCTCAAGCATCTGGGGGTAGCAAGATTTCGGAGCCATACGCCAACAGGAACGAAATTGCATGCGAGATGTTCTCAGCTAGCTCCGCCGCACACGAGACTAGCGGTAACACCTTGACCTACGTCTACTGGGAGCTGTCCCGCCGCCCACACTTACAGGCCAAGCTCCGGCAAGAGCTGCTGGCACTCGACCCGCCTCTAGAGCTCCAGAGCAAGGATGCCGCCAACATGCCTTCAACGAAGAGCCTCCTGGCCCTCCCTCTGCTCAACGCCATCATCATGGAGACCCTCCGCCTCTATCCTGCCGTTCCTGGCCCGCAGCCCCGGGTGACGCCGCATCCCCGAAACTCGCTTAGGGGTTTTGACAACATCCCTGCTGGCGTAGTTGTGCAATGCTATGCTTATGCACTCCATCGGAACCAAGATGTCTTTCCGGAGCCCGAGATGTGGAAGCCTGAGCGATGGCTCGATACTTCGCAAGCCGAGCTGACGGCTATGCGAAGATGGTTCTGGGCGTTTGGAAGTGGGCCAAGTATGTGTATTGGTAGCAACTTTGCTCTTTACTGTGAGTCGCCACCCATATTCACCATAACCCTCTCCACCAGTGCTTGGTGACCTGCTTGCTAATCATCAATATTTTGCCCAGCAATGGCGGCCGCTCTCGCCGGAGTCTATACCAATTTCACTACCACCATTCACGAGCATGGCGATATGAGCCTGAAAGACTCATATTTGGCTGGTCCTAAAGGAGGAAGGCTGCTTGTCAAATTTCACAGGATATGATAGGCCTTGACGAAGTCAAAAAATGAAATTCAAGGAAGCGGGTATATATGGATCAGTTACTACGTTGTACGAGCCCCAGTATTAGACAATAGTAACTGTAGTCACTTTTAAGGTAGATAGCCATTCTTGCTTCCCAATCTTTCCTGATTGTCTCTCAAAGTCTTCTCCATGAAGTTGAACAACGCCAATACGAGTGTAAAGAGGGGTTTCCGATCGCCAGGTTTCCGAAGATGCCGATTCCTCGCATGGCTGGAGCAACAAACATTTGATGCCAAAGCTCATGTTGACGACAAGCATGATCGTTCCTTGTGGCATATTTTCTGCGTCAGTGTGAGGGTCATCGAAGTAGATTGTCGCCGCTCTGACCACTACACCGCTTTTTTCATAATTTATGTAGGTGTGTTTTCCCGGACGCCACATGGACGGATTTCTGAACACTGGTTCATACGAGGCGGGTCCTTGCAAGGTCAGACTACCGGCTTTGATAGGCCCTAGATGATTCGAAGGATCGACCAAGTCTATGTCGCAGTCCAAAACTGTTGCCACAGACGTAACGGTGTGAGGGCTACTGTGAAATACGATCGGTCCGTCCATGCTCGCCCAACTCCAGGAAGGTGCTCGGTATTCCCCATGTGCTCTGTTGGCCAATTGCTTCTTCCCAGATATTTGAGTCGTCCATAAAAGGGAATTTGGAAGCATTGACTTTCTGAGACCAGCCACCATAGTGTCTTCATAATGACTTTCCAGAAGCTGCAGAATCCCTGCAACAGCAACGAGTTTATCCTTTCCGGGATACGTCAAATTCATTCGTGTATAGGTGTTCATCAGGGCTTCGTAGTCATCTTGTTGCATCGCTGGGAACACCTTTGGACGCCCGAGTTTGAATGGTGCCATACGGTATATCTCTCGCCACTCATCTTCATCCCGGGGGCCTGATCCCATCTCCCAAGTGGTAGGAAGTGAACTACACTCCCAATAAATTCGAGATGATGTGAAATGAAGGACCCGAGGGGAGAGTATTCTTTCTTGTAACACCCAGGCTCTCTGAGCAACACGTTCGTATGCAGGTCTGGATGGTTCCATTCTTCCAACAAGGTAGCGCTTTTGGTTGCCACTGGTGTTCGCCAGACGAATGATCAGAGGGCGTGAGATTGGAGGTCGACGCTCAGAAAAGATACCGCACCCAGGGTCTTTTGAGCTGTCTGCAGATATGTTAAGTATACAGTTCGCGTAGATATCTCTCATCATTGTTGAATGGCCAGTCCAGTCATGTCCGTCGTCGCCTTCCTGAATGATACACAAAGTGTCGATCCATATGTACCGAATCCCCAGAGTTTTCGCAATGTAAATGGCATCCCTAAAGGTCCGTGGCATCGACGACAGAGGGATTCCTTGGTAAAACCTGGCTTCCGTTTGCTTGGTAAGGCGTAACGTGGGCACTGCCAGTCCCCAGCAATGGGAAAGTGTTGCATAAGGCCCTTCAGGTTGTTCGATTTCAGAATGGAGAAGCCGAGGGTTTTGGTTTGTGATATCCAGAAGCCGTCTTGGAAAATACTGCTGCCCATCGGTTGAGCAGAGTACATTGTCATAACGACATGTTGTTGAAAACCAATGTTTGGCCATTTGGAGAACTTTTGGGTCTCCCGTATTCTCCGGAACCTCCTCGACATCGAATCCCTCCGGCAAAGGGGACCGCAGCTCCACAAGCTCACCAAAAAAGTCTCGAACGTACATCTGAAGTTCTACCGCCTTGTCGAAATCATCATTTGTTCGCACGACTTTGAAGGTCAGACGATAAACCTTTTGCACTCTCCAAGTCCCACCATTGGACCTCCAAAGCTCGCAGTCAATGACTGCTTCCGTATGGTAGTTTTGAGGTTCGGGATTTCCAGTGTTAGAAAATACTTCAAACAGAACCGAGCAGATCAAGCATCTCTTGCCAGCAGCGCTGGCAAATGAGTTCCATGTCTCGTGATGGGCAATTCTTTTCGAATCCCTACTACTCCAAAAACCTGCAAATGAATGGAAAGTTCTTTGGCATGTTGGACAAAGATCCTTCGAGTCGTCCTCTCCGTTGGCTAAACGTCTTCTGAGTCGTTCGTATGTAGATGGGCATGATGGAATTTCTGGCTCCATGATTGCTGGAGCTGTTCGTACTCTCTGTCAGAACGTCAGGAAGATAAGATATGTGTGCTTAGAATAAGAGAGGAGGTGTAATTGATGGCTCGCGCACGAGCGAGTAGGTAAAAGAAAAGCCTATAGCAACGCGCATTCAAAAGTGCCGCAAACCCCTCCCAGTAAATCTATTTCCCGCAACATGCCACGTCACGGACGAAATCCTGCGTTGCTTTAAAATAGGTCGACTGTGGGCCTCCATCGAGCAGCATCGCTGCCTGTTGCTTGCCCGCGCGCTTGTACGAACCTTATCATTGGGGGAACAATTCGCTTAGAATGAGCATGTGAACAGTTTTTACGTCATTGGAAACGAAGTGCGACAGGGATTTGCTTATCAGCGGGGTTCCGTTAAGCTCTCACTGCACCACGACAAATGAAGCAGCTCTAACCTCCCACTTCTCAGCAACTGATGAATTTTGTCATTACACCAGTGCCACAGATTCAACTAGCATTCCATAATCCGCCCTTGCAAGGCAACTTTCTTTATACCAGCTTAAACCCACCTGGAACCCGAGTTTGGAAAACACGCTCTGGATCGTACTTGTCTGCAACGACCTGCATCTTTCGGAAGTTCTCTTCCCCATAGCTTCTCATCACACTTTGTGACTGCTCCGCATAGTTGCAGTAGCGATAGCTCAAGAAAGCGCCGATACTCTTGCTGTACTCTTCAACGGCATCTTTCCATGCATATATCTTTTGCCGACCAATTTCTTCTTGCTCAACAGTGTTTACTGCAACAGAGCCTAGCCAAATGATAGCGTTGTCCTCGATTTTGTCTATGCCTAGGATATTGCCACCGCGTTCAATAGAATGCTGGCTAACGATGGTCGGCAATGGCTGGAAGAAAGCCTGTGTCTCGAAGTCGCCATCGGGGATTACCTGCTTCATTTCCTCAACGAGAACATCGTGTAGTTCAACCACTTTCTTGAGCATCCGCGCATCGTTCTTGAAAGTGAGGGTAAGCCAGATATTCCTGCATCTGGTTAGTCAAACTCCAAGCACGAGGGCCAATCAACTCACCGATAACCATACGACACTGTATTCGGTGACAACGTCGACAAATTGGTCATGCCGACATCCGAAGAAATATTCCCCTCGATAGCCAAAAACTTGTCAAACACCGGCGGCGCCGCCCTCCCCCCAACATCAGTCAACCTGGTATTGACAACCGTCCCATTATCCGCCGGCTTATACGTCCAAAACACCAACGCCGACGCATTCCGATACCCCGCCACCCCATCCACCCACTCCACCAACGCCTCCACATGCTTATCCCCCACGCCCTCCAATCCCGCCGGAAACCTCCTCGCCGCCACCCAAATCGGCGTCCGCGGAAACACCTCCATATCCACCCTCGTCACTATCCCAAAATTCCCCGCTCCACCCCCCTTCAGCGCCCGCCACAGATCCGCGTTCGCCCCCCGCGCGTTGGCTTCGATGATAGTGCCGTTCGCCAGCACGACTTCGAACCCCCGCACGCTGTCGCAGACCAGTCCACGCGCGTACATGTAGTACGAACACCCGCCGCCCAGCACGAGCCCACCAACGCCGACGCCGCCGTTGCGCCCGCCTTGCACGCTTAGGTTGAGTGCGTCCAGGTGCTGGTAGACGTCGAGCCAGCGGGCGCCGGGGAGGAGGGAGGCGGTGGCGGTGGCGGGGTTGTGGGTGGTTGAGTTCATGCGGTCTGTGTGTGTGTGTGCGGGGTTAGCCGGGGAGGGGTGGGGCGAGGGGTTAAGGCGTACGGAGGTCGATGGTGACGCCGGCGTCAATGTTGTTGGCGCCTGCGTTGGCGGAGTGCCCGCCGCTGCGGACGGCGAAGTTGCAGGCCGTGCGGTGGACGAGCGTTGTTACGGCGCGGGAGACGTCGGGGGCGGTTTCGGGCTCGACGATGCAGTAGGGCGTGAGTTGGGCGGTGAGGGACCAGTAGGAATCTATTCGTTGGGTGTAGGCTGGGTCTTCGGGGAAGTAGACGTGTTCGAGGCCTGCGGTTTGGAGTACTTTGCACTACGGCGTGTTAGTGTCCTGGAAGGTGTCTGGTGACGTGACACATACGCATTCGGACGTTTCTCGGGGCAGCAAGCTCGCTGTTGGACCGGGGACGACTAAAGCGAGCAACAGAAGCCCCGATCTGAACATGGTGAATATACTGCCTGAGACCTTTCGATAAGCGGATAGAAATGTTGAACATGAAAGGAGGGTTAGATTGCATTCAAGCAGCGAAGAGTACGCGGAGCTCGGTTGGTAGTACAAAGTGGGGAAGACGAAAATGAAAGCTCGTATCGCAAAGCGGGGATAGAGCCATCTTATAGGATCCTGCGGGACTCCATTCAAGATTATCAACCCATGTTATACCGGGAATTGGCCGACAGTATGAGCATAAGAAAAGTCATTTGTCTGAAATATGTACATAGGATCAAAATGACAGTATATACAAGGCTTATAAAAGAAAATATGTACCAAAGACTGAAAAGACAATATGTGCAAGACAAAGTCAGACAAGTGGTGACTGGTGTAACGCATATATCTATAGGAAATAATCGCAAAGCTTTATTGGGAAACTGAGGATCGCGGAGAGTCAAAGCTTAGTTAGATTTAGCGGGGAAAAGCCCAACTTGAACATGTTGGCTGTCGGGAATTTGGCAAGTGAGGTCCTCGGGGCCAGATCCACCAGCGCGGCAGGGGGGCGTGATGAAGTTGATTGATCCGCCAATGGGGCCCCTAAAAGCAATGTTAGTATGCACGGATGGATACAGTGAGTGAAAGTTGCTCTTACTTATCATCAGTTTCCTCCCGGATGAAGAGCTCGGTGGGCTTGACCCAATCGTAGTAGTCGACATAGGTGAAGCTGAACCGTCCGTTCGAGCAAGTGTACCGTTGATTCATGACGAAGTTCTCCGAGGAGCAGTCGGCGAGGGTCTCGGCGTTGAAGGCTACGATCTTGAAGGACACGGTATTGATGTGCTGGCCATCGTACTTGCGGGTGGTAAAGTCCTGAATCTTATACGTGGCTGATGGGGTGTCTGTTTGGACCATGTCCGACGGAGTTCCCGACTTCACGGTGCCCGGGTTGCTACTGCCAATGAGAAACGGAGCGAACATGGGGAAGCCGCTTGCAAGAGCACCGAGGGAGGAGTCGCCAGACATAAGCATAAGCGGAGCAGCGAAGACGGTAGTGCCCAGAAGAGCAGCGCTGGCGGCGGTTACGAACTTCATGTCGGCGGTGATGGATTCCTGTGGTTCGGAAGTGAAGTAGTGCTGGATGATGAGGTTACTGGTGTTGGAGGCTTGGTGGGAATTGCTGTGTTGTTGATGTTTGATTTGAGCAGCATTGGGTTTGCTTTTATATATGTATGAGGTTGAAATCATTTACTTTTGCAGTTACGGTTGTTTAGGTGAACGTTACGTCTCTCTATACTCACTTGCGCCTAGCGAGACCGTCTAGTACACAATGGACGCTGCATGCTTTAGGTGATCCATGGTTGTTCCGATGGAAAATGAACTCGCTTACTATTTTCGTTGTGCATCCCCATGGGTGTGCCGTTTCTCGGCGAACATTGGCGATCTTCCCCGGAAGTTTTTAGCCAACCTACGACTGCAAACGTAATGTTTAGGTCCCGAATTCCATATCTCTGCTGATGTTACATGCCCTGTCGCTTTGATGTTTCTGCGTTTGGTTAGTAGACTAACGCAGACTAAGGGCACCCAGCAAATCAAGAGACGCCACTTGAAACGGTTGCAGGTCTAGAACATCTGAGGTATCGATAGATCTCACACTAACAGCACGTGGTTTGTCGTGCCGGAGAAATAGAGAGTTTTAGCAAGAGTTAGAACACCCCCTGTTCCAACCCCATTCCAACTTATTATTCACATGCGCTTACTGATCAGGTATAGTAGTAGGCTATGACATAACGCAGCCCCTGTCCGATCGTGCTGATAAATTTCGGGCTGTAAAGCTCTAGGGATGTCATACGGTTATTGGTATCAACAGCGTTGAGTCTCGCATGAGCCTTGCAGTAGAGCTGGGAGCAACTCACACGATAAACACATCCGAACTCAAGAGCCTGGTGTATATCGTCCAATCCGTACGAGACCTGACCAACGGTTGCGGGACATCCATTACTCTTGACAGTACAGGATTTGTTCCTCTCGTCGAACATGGCTTCACGTTTACCCGAGCATGCAGAAAGTTCATTTAATCGGGAAATGCACCTTTTGACGCTGAGATGAAGATACCAATGTTCCAAAAATGGTGGATGGCAAGAGCTACATTGGGACCTCTCAGAGTGATGCTACTCCAGAGCACATTCCAAGGTTGATTGGCTGGTACAAGGGCGGAAAATTTCCAGTTGATCGTTTGGTTGCTTTTTACAAGGCAGATGAGTGGCAGAAGGCGGTTGACGACATGCACCTCGGCAAACAGTGAAGCCAGTCCTCGTTTGGTAAAACTGCAGAAATTTGAGAGGAGCCAGACATACCATGTTCGTTGCTGCCTAATCGCAAGCTTATTTCCGAGCACGTGCTCGGTCCAAATTTGTTCCTTCCGAGAGAAAATATTTTCGCTGTGCCGAGTTTTAAAATTGATGTTTGTGGTGTGCTTGTGCTGCAAGCACCGAACAATCTCCTCATTCAGACGTCGCTCATTGAATATCACTTGTTGAATTGATTCGAATAGAGAATTCAGAGCACTTTGCGAAATGGCTGAAGGTGACACGCCGTCTGGATCCTTGCTTCAAAGAGCAGTAAGAAACTCTGTGCAAACATATGTAAATGAAATATGCTAAGAACCATTGCAAAAAGTGCGAGAATTGCCGCTTAAGGAAGGTATGACTTCATATTGCGCACGTGCTCGATATCCAAAGGGCCCAGGGTATCGTGACGTGTTCATTACAGTAATGAGCTTACGTCAAATCAGATGCGATGCGATAAGCAAGTGCCGTGTTCTAGCTGCCGGACTCTTAGTATAAGCTGTCGGGCTTCGAATGAAACTACCGACTATCGCCCTCGCGTCGTGCCAACCAATTATGTGTACGTCTCAAAGATCCGAGTGGTCAGATTGATGTTCACACAGTCTTAGTGGAAAGCAAATACAACTCATCCAGGAACGTCTCTCGACGATTGAAGGAAGCATGCAGGACCGTCTGTCGGCGATTGAACGCCACATGCAGCGTCTCTTGGACCAGCCTCATGCCTCCACGAGTTCCGATTCTTTACACGCCGTTCATGGCGATCCCGTGACACAAGCTAATTCACCAGCTACCGCAATACCCTCGGCTGAGAGAGACTCGCCATTCGCTCTACAGACTCTACAAGCAAAGGAGACAGCGAACACGACAGCTGAGATCCTGGGATACAAGTTCCGCGATGATGTTTCAGCTACCCTCACGTCTTTGAAAGATACATTGGAAACTCAATTTGAGAGCAGCGCGTCCGATCAATTCTTGTCACATCAGACTATAGTTCATCCCTCGTTGAGCGCGCAGTTACCCCCAGTCTCTTTCGTTGTCGAAATCGTGAAGAGTATCAAAGGTATGTAAATCGCTCCCCCACATATTCTGGCGTACTTAAGAATCTCTCCAGCTCGCCCTCCAACCATACTGGTCGCATTCTCCATGCATGATATGTCCTTCGTGGAAAATTTATTCCGAAAGGTCTATCTCCCGTTCGAACCAGCTACTTCTGGATCGGTCGCGCTTGCGCAAGGCTTGCTGTACTTCATTATGCGCGACATGTTGCAAAGCCGTGACCCGATCAGTGAGCGAAATGATTTTGCTGGCTTCATGAAGACTTGCGAGGAGAGCTTCTCAACCGCTCTCGCAAATTTCGAAGTTTTTGCCGTTCCGGCGCTCGAAAACGTTCAAGTACTGTTTTTCGGGGTTAGAGGAGCCTGAAGGAAACAGTAACTTCTCAACATACTGACATTCACTACAGGCGATCAAAGCTACGGATGAGGGCAAGTTAAATCTGGCCTGGACTTATCTGTCTTCGGCATCCACAATGTGCCATACGCTCGGCATTCACCGCGAATCCATTCTCAGAAAGGACCACCCCGATGTAGCCCACCAGAAACGCCTCGTGTTCTGGGTATTGCATATGATCGAGAAGAACCTGTCTCTCACCCTAGGCCGCAGCTCCAACTTCAGGGATTACGATATCGATTGCGATTATTTCTCGGTTTCCTCGGACCCTCGCCTAGCGCCTTGGGATCTTGCCAACATTGCTTGTATCAAGGTCGGTAGTGTCCAGAGCAGAATGTATGACCAGTTCTACTCCGCCACTGCCAAGCGACAAAGCCCCGATCAGAGAGCTCAGGCTGCGGAAGAGATTGTTGTTGAGGTCCACCGTTTGCGGGACGAACTCAGATCGGTATGTAGTAGGGACGCTTTGATATGGAGTGCTGCTGACCAGAGAAACAAGATCGATACCAGCGGGGCGTACCTTATAGAATGGTTACAAGTCGCAATGTCCCATGATGGATTCTTCTTCAACTCCCTTCTCACTACATGCTATCTTTGCCAGACGAGTACTTCCGAATATGCCGAGATTAGCACCAGATGCCATAGCGCTGCAAAACTTAGTCTTTCTGAGTTCAGCGGTACGTCAGACAGGGTTCATCATTATGACTTTTATAAAAGCTGCGACTTCCTCAATTGGTATGTATCTTCAATCATGTCCTGCATACACGCATGTGCCTGACTTTGACAAGGGTTCTACTGTTCACATCCTTTACACCGTTTGTCGTTGTCTTCGCACATGCAGTTGCGACGAACGATCAAGAAGATCTGGACCTGCTTCAGAACACAGTGAATGCGCTGGATAGGGTCAAAGACATCAACAGGTGGTCGCATCGGCTTTACAGTGTCTGTAAAGCGTTCCTTGATGTTTCGGTCTCTCTGAGTAATGCCCACCAAGTGAGCCTTGGTCTTACTCAGCAAGAAGATGGCTCTTTGCTTTTCCCTTCACCGAATATGGCTGCAGAGTTCACTCGGCCCAATGCTATCTCAAACGATAATATGACCGATGATGATCTGTCGGAGTTCATTGAAAGTTTGGTAGGGACGGGCATGACTTTTGCAGACATGACATAGGTGAAGACAAATTGGATGGGATGCGGGGAATCTGATTTAATCATTACTGTATGAATTCTGAAATGCGGAAACACCGTATACTTTCTTTACGATCGAAGCCTCCGAATCAAACTCATGCTCTCCCTCACCCACATGCAGCCGAAACCTCAGCTCCGGATCGCACTCCCTAACCATCTCTTCTAACTTCCTGCTCCCCTCCATCGGCACTACCGAATCCCCCCTCCCATGCCAAACAAATACGCCCCTCCGCGGAAACCTCACCTCATCTTCCAAGCTCTCTAGCACAGCCCACTCCCTTCTCTCCGCAGAAAAGCCTCGTCGTAGCACCTACGCTGCAAAAACGCAAACATCAACAACACCGGCTCGCCCTTCGCACCCGCGCGACACACCCCTCTACAACGCTTGCCGGCTGCTGCGCCAACCCAAAAACACGCTTCTCATAGGCCTGTACAAAATGTCATGTAGCATGGTAGGAGGCCTTGGACGATGACAAGCTATGTCTGGCACGGGAATCCTGTGTTTCACAATTGCCGCATGTACAACTATGAGCACGTCGAAGTCTTCGATGCTGTGCGTTGGGAGAAACCTGTTGCAATTAGACAAGGACGGACGAGTACGAAATGGTTCCTAGATTTGATGGGAGCTCTGACCCAAGGCTGAGAAATATTGAAAACGTTATACTGCTCGGGTAAACTATTTGCCTATTAACTGGGTGAAACATGGCTCCAGGCAGCAGCTTTTGACACACTCAAGATTTACCCCTGGGACCGTCGATCCCCGCACGCTCTCAGACCGGAGCAGCAAAACCTTATCTGACTCCAAGAATCAATGTCTCAGTCCTTCATGACTGAAACCCCTCGTTCGTTTGTTGTCCTTCCAGTTGTGGCTTAGTAGAGTTGCTGAATGTTGTTCTAAATTTACGCATCGAACTCCGAACGCCGAACGCCGTCATTGTGTAAGCATTCCAAGCAGCAGAAACACTCGTATTTTATAGCTTCCACTGTCCGTGCATATGACGCGTACGGCAGGGTGTTCATGTTTCCAGCGCAGATCCCCGCAAAGCTATCTGTTCCTTTGACCGCCAACCTTTTCCACCACATCCCTCCTCCCTTTAGGGTCCCAAAATCCAGCAAAAACCGCTCAGCACTATGGCTATGACCTCTACCAACACTAGCCTTGATGGCTTCCACTCCGGAATTGCCATTGAGCTTCCACAAGTAAACAGAACCTCCTCAACACAGGACCACTCGACACCGACCCGGAGCGCCGGCACAGCGTCAGGTCCAAGCCTCCAAGTCGACTCCTCATCCAACACCGCCCACGACACCAGCACCGCGCCCACCCCAAGCCTGCTCGAACCCTCGCGCACCAACGATGCCACCAGCGAAACGGGCATCGCCCAACCCTACCCCGACGTCGGCACCATCAAGTCCCTCCGCGGCGCCCTCATCCTCGCCATCACCTGCGGCTCGCAACTAATGGACGACATGTTCATCACGTCCGGCAACATGGCGCTGCCCTCCGTGCAAACCGCCTTCACCGTGCCGACGGCCAGCCTGCAATGGCTCGTCTCCGCCTACGTCCTGACCTTCGGCGGCTTCTTACTACTCAGCGGCGTCCTCGCGGACCGGCACGGGCGCAAGCGCGTCTTCTGCGCCGGCATGGCGAACCTGACCGTGTGGACGCTGGCGAACGGCTTCGCGGGGTCGTTCGTGCAGCTGGCCGTGTTTCGCGCGCTGCAGGGGATTGGAGCCGCGATGACGATTCCGAGCGCGATCGGGATTATTAGTAATTATTTTGTTGCGCAGGAGAGGTTGTTGGCGCTGACGGTGTTCTCGGCGATGGGGTCGCTGGGGTTTTGTTTGGGGTTGGTGTTGGGGGGCGTGCTGACGTCGTCGCTTGGGTGGCGGTATGTGTTTTACCTGCCGGCGTCGATTACGGGCACGCTGTGCGTGTTGGGCGTGATGGTGCTGCCGGCGGATAAGAATGAGGAGGGCGGCTCGACGCGGCCGAAGTTGGATTTCGTGGGCGCGGTACTGTCGACGGCGGCGCTGATCTTGCTGAGCTTTGTGCTGTCGAGTGCGGGGTTGCTCGGGTGGGGCAAGGCGTTTATGATCGTGCTGCTCATTTTGAGCGTTGCCATGATCTGCGGCTTCACGTGGCTGGAGAGTAAGGTGGAGAATCCCATCATGCCGCTGTCGTTGTGGAAGCTGCGAAATTTCGCGCCTACCTGGATCAGTGCATTTTGTAAGAGTTTCTGACCGCGAGAATTTCGTGACAAAGGCTAACTGTACCGCAGTGATGTTTGGCGGCTACCAATCAACTCTCTATTATATGACCCTTCTAGCTCAGGATGTCAACCACCTAAGTGCGGGCGAGACGTCTGTGCGCTTGCTTCCGATGGGGGTGATATCCTTCCTCGTGTGCTTACTAATGTGGTGGATGCTCGAGGTTTACGACTCCAAGTATTTGCTTCTCGGTGGCATGGTAATCTGCACCATCGCCCCCATTCCCTCCGCAATCATGCAGACTGGCCATACAAACTTTTGGGAACACGTCTTTTCGTCGGCTGTTATGACAAGTGTGGGGTTCACGATTCTCTTTTGCACCATCACGGTTGCACTGCTCGCTTCGGTCCCAGCAAACATCAAGAGCTTGTGTGGAGGAATGATCCAGAGCGCGTTCCAGATCGGCGGTGGGGTAGGGCTGGCCATTACCAGTGCGATTGTGCAGTCGACCGAGACGAAAAAGGGTCATGGCTTGTTGGAACAATACCGCACCGGTATGTGGTGTTGCGTTGCTCTTTCGGGTGTTGGCCTGGTTGTGACGCTTTTTGGAGTTCGGACCGCTCAGCCGAGCGGACTCCACATTGCCCAGACTCATTAAATGCGCCGCAGCTTTTGTCTAGTACTCAACACACTAAAAGCGGAGAAGAGAAGTATTCTAAACGAGTTATGGTGGGTTTCCGGGGTTATAGGTAGAATAGTTGATCAATAATTGATCATACTACGACTTCTGTAAAAGCTACGAGCCTTTCTTCATATCACATGTTCTGATTGGTGCTTGAAACGCGCCAATGATAGCCAAGACAATCCATGTTCGGACTGCATTGAAATCCTCGCTTCCTTCGACTGTCTGCCACGTCAGCCTTGAGCGATCTCATCCTGTGAGACAACGTACTACCTTCAGCCTGACACAGGGACCTTCACGTAGCAGACAGCACGTAGGAGAAAGGGAACAATGTTCGTTCCAGTTCAGCAGCTCGCCATAGCCATTTCAACCACCAGTAAGTCATACCGTTCATCGTGAGGGGATACAGCGGGCTGATTACCCACCGAAGGCTCAGCCAGATGACAGACGCACGCCCTTCCGCGCAAGCTATTTTTGAGCCAGACAGGCTCCAGCTAGATGAACGAGGAAGTGAAAACCCTGCCGAGCCAATGCATACAGAGCTTTGCGTACACTGCCAAGCTCTTGTGTTCAACGAACGAGACCATTCTGATACGTTGGAAGATCACGGATATCGTCTCGTGTGGGATGAGGACGGGCAGCTCCAACTTGAGACCGACAATCGGCCCCTCGCGCCGGCTCCTTCACTCAGGTTCAGGTCTGCTGGCACAGATATTCGTCTTCGTACTCAACTTATCAGGAAGGACATCATACCAAGCTTCCCATCTATCACAGCAACAGCGGAAGCAGGCTGCCACTTCTGCAGATGCTTATTATCAAGTACGCTGAGAGACAGATGTACACAAGGAGCCACGAGGCTTCGCGATACGAATTCTACAGAAAGACCCCTCGCGATAGAATTCTTCTACACGTGGAATCGTTCCTCATTCGGGGTTCGATGGTTGGTTGCATCCGCTACGATCGACAATTTGCCCAGCGCCTCCGTTCTAGAATGTTTCCTAGTAGAAGCCGATCTCGATAAGCCGTGTGCCAAGGTGCTGGGTATTCCAACCAAGACCTTTCTCCCTAATTGGAGCTTTGATGAAAAGTTGGCGGTCATGCGAGGCTGGATAGACAGTTGCGAAAATTCATGTCATCTTGAAACGCTTGGTAGGACACTACCAACTCGACTACTCGATCTAGGCTCCTCGCAAGGCTCAGATCAGGGCGTCCGACTGATTTACTCCAAGGATATTCCGCGATGCATTGAACGCAAGTATTCCGCCTTGAGCCACTGTTGGGGGCCTCCAGATCTTCCACCTCTGAAGACTAAGATGGACTGCCTTAACAAGATGCTTCGCAACATACCTTTTGAGTCGCTACCGGCAAATTACCGAGACGCAGTACGAGTCTCCAGAGGACTTGGAATAGATTACCTTTGGATCGATTCACTCTGCATCGTGCAGGACAGTGCAGAAGACTGGGAGGCAGAATCATTGCGAATGGTCGATGTATACCAGAATGCACATGTCACCCTTATTGTAGCGACTGGAAATTGTTCCCACGATGGATTTCTCCATCCCAAGGCCAACGACATAGTTCGGATACCTTATGTGTCATCACTGCCATGCTCTCCCACCAAAGACACGTATTACCTTCGGCAGGACTATGACACGAGTCACGACATTCAGAATTCTCCGTGGAATTCACGGGGTTGGACATTTCAAGAAGGTGCCTTTTCAACTAGGCGATTGTATTTTACGCAGAATACAATATCCTTCTCATGCGACCGACATCTGCGTCTGCTGGATGGGACAAGGGTTCCAGCGCACGGAATTCTAACCGCTGACTTGTCGCCAAAAAGACCTGAGAGCTGGTACGACTATTATCGATGGTCAACCCTGACAGAACTGTATAGTCAACGCCAGTTGACTTGCCAGCAGGACCAGCTCCCGGCTATATCGGCATGGGCCCAATTCATGAGCCAGAAAATAAATGACAGGTATCTTGCTGGCCTCTGGGAAGGCGACCTTTTACATGGCCTTCTATGGAGCTGCGAAGTAATCCCCTCCACACAGACCTTAGCGGAGCGAATAAAGTCTACCATGAAGGAGAATTTTGTTGCTCCTTCTTGGAGCTGGGCATCACAGACACGGGGCGTAAACTATGAATTAAGGGGGACAGCTGAAACAAGGCTTTGCGAGATTTTCAACGTTGAGGTATGGCCACTCGGCTCGAATCTATTCGGAAGATTAAAGAGTGGTCATATGGTAATTGCTGGGGCTCTACGGCCTCTACCAGTCACCCCTATTCACAAGGCCAAGAACCTTTTTCAGTCCACCTTGGACGATAGCTATCGGGTAGAGTATTTTATGGACTGGTGGGAGAAGAGGATGGATGTCACACCTGGACAGGAGATCGAACGTGGAATAGTTCACGATGTGAAAATGCTTCTTCTTACCCACTGTAGACCTATAAACCATACTTTCACGCCTTACGCTTGTGGGCTACTTGTACTACCCACAGGTACCGATGAAGAGTACTGGCGAGTTGGAATGTTCCGTATCCAACTTGAATGGGAGGATGAAGAGCTTGCCATACCTGGCTTCGATTGTCTGTGGAGCACTATAAAGATTGTTTAGGTGGACTGACGGATGGCAGACGCCCAGATCTGGGAGAACGATAAATACTACATGTATTCTATGCTGAAGTACCGAAGACATACTGAGATGCCCGCGTAACCAAGCTCCAAGGCCACCATGACGACTGGCCCTGCTGATCCTGGAAGGCGGGATCATAATCATACGCCATGAAGCCCGTCCCATCACAACACCCCACATACTCAGCCTCGACATCCCTCGCCTTAACCACACTCAGCTCCACCCAAAGCAACAAATCATGCACCTGCATCGCCCCACCAGGCCCGTACGACTTCATAAAGTTCTTCCGCAAGTCGACATGCGTCTTCACCGACTTCCCAATCCTCTCCATGTACGACAGATCCGCAAAGTACAAAATCTGCACCTTCCGATTGAACCCAAATGCCGGCGACCACTCGCTCCCCGCCTCCTCATCCACCCCCTCCCCATCCACCACCCCGCTCTCCGGCGCATGGCACAGCCTCGCCGACACCATCCCCGCCTCCGGCCCGGAGTTGACGACGTGTGACACCCACTTCCTTGTCAACCCATCAAAGTTCTCACGCCAATGCTCGCGCTCCGCCGGCCCCATAGCGCTGTAGTCCTGGCCCTCGACGACGAGGCACATATTGTCAGGAAAGTCCTTCATCAAGACCCGTCCCCTCCTAACCGCGCCGCCAGCCGGCTTGGGCGGTGGGACGCCGCTCTTCATCGTCGAGGCCAGGCGCTCCTGCGGGGTCGCGTCAGCCAGACGATCGCGGTACGCGCCCCAGTAGCCCGTCTTCTCGGTGAGGGGCGCCAGCTGGCCGACGTGGGCCAGGCCGTTGGCGACGGGCTTGTTGGTTTCGAACATCGACCTTCGGTGGGACAGCTGCAGCGTCTCCCGCCAGAAGCCGGCGGAGTCGTCGGGCAGGGCTGCCCAGAAGCTGGAGACGGGGCCGCTGCTCCACCACTGCTGGAAGTCGGCTGGGGTGCGCCAGTAGGTCATCCAGACGCGTGAGGTGCCGGGGGATGAAAGGGCCCCATGCTGTTCAAGAGACTCGATGTGGGCGACCGAGGAAGAGGCTTTGAGGAGGTTGGTGAAGGTGGTGATTAATTCCGCCTTGGTGGGGCTGGGGGATTCCGCGTGGTACTGGCAGCCGAAGAGCGATAGGACGAACGGATGGGCTTCTGGGATCTGGGCGCGGAGCATGGTGCAATATGGTCTGATTTCTGAGAAGTTTTTGGTGCGGTGAAAGATAACGATGGAAGTTGTGATGGGATGGGCGTCGATGATCTTACATATAAGCACGAGGTCAGAAAAACCGGACAAGGTTCCGGTGTCTCCCCCTTGCGATATGCATGCGGACTTTCTCCGCGGTGTTGTCTTCGTGATAGGAAAACAACGGGTCGTTGTGGATTGGAGCGGAGCATTTCCTTGCTGTACGGGGCTTGGCACCGCTCGTGACTCGCTCTCCGCATCTCACTTCCCCTCATTATCCACAACACCGGGTCGAAAAGACGTAAGAGGTCATGCACGACCCTGGCATTGACGTCTCCAAGCAATCGGAGATGCCGGATCGAGTGCGGGACCGATACGCGCAGATACAGATACGAAGGAGCAGAGCCCTATAAAGGCTGCATTGAGACACTGCTTCATCAGTCCCCACAAATCATGTCTACCAGTGATTCTACACCCAGCATCATTTCTCTCCCCGACTCCTCTTCCACCACCACTGCCCCCAAGATGACCAGCAAGACCGTCAAAGTCGCCGCCGTCCAGGCCGAACCCGCGTGGAACGACCTGGAGGGCGGAGTCCAGAAGACCATCGCCTACATCCAGCAGGCCGCCGCCAACGGCGCCAACGTCTTGGGCTTTCCTGAGGTCTTCATCCCAGGATACCCATGGTGAGTAGTACTGCCACCCGTCCATTGAAGAACCGATCTCTAAGTATACATCTCAGGAGCATCTGGGCCAACTCGGTCGTCGACAACGTGCAGTTCATGGACGAGTACTTCCAGAACTCGCTGGCCCGCGAGTCCGAGGAGATGGACCGCATCCGCGCCGCCGTGCGCGAGGCCGGCATCTTCGTTGTTCTCGGCTACAGCGAGCGCCACAGGGGTAGCCTGTACATCTCGCAGGTAAGGCGTTCTTCCATCCCCCCGGCCACCCACCCACGTGCACATTTCGGCTCCACCTCCCCAATCCAGCATAATCGCTAACGCACCCCCCAGTCCTTCATCGACCCCACCGGCACAATCATCCACCACCGCCGCAAAATCAAGCCCACGCACGTCGAGCGCGCCTACTACGGCGACGGCCAAGCCGAGTCGCTCACCTCCGTCGTCGCCTCGCCGTTCGGCCGCGTCGGCGGGCTGAACTGCTGGGAGCACTCGCAGCCGTTGCTGCGGTACTACGAGTATGCGCAGGACGTCGACATCCACGTCGCGTCGTGGCCGCTCATCTGGGGCATCCCTCCCACTCAAAACGCATCCGCGCCGACCAAGGAGAAGTGGCCGTGGCACATCACGCCCGAGGCGTCGCAGCGGCTGTCGCAGGTCATGGCCATCGAGGGCGCGTGCTTCGTGCTCATCGCGTCGCAGATACTGACCGAGCCCAACCGCGAGAGGACGAAGTTGAAGGAGTTTGCGTACGCGCAGACGCCTGGTGGCGGGTTTAGTATGATTTACGGGCCCGATGGGTCGGAGTTGGTGAAGCCGTTGGGGGCGGGGGAGGAGGGCATTCTGTATGCGGATGTCGATTTGAAGGATAAGGACCTCGCCAAGCACAATCTTGACGTCGTGGGCCACTATTCGCGCCCGGACTTGCTGAGTTTGAGGGTGACGACGGAGGCTGGGACGCAGGTGCACTTCCGGGAGAAGCCGGCGCAGGCGTAAGATAGGTGCGGAACTTTGGGGGGAGGAGGGACGGATATCGGCGGTGGTGATAAGTGCGATGTTTTGGTGATAAAGTGCGGTTCCGCGTAGATCGACGAAATTTAAGTGTTTAGGTTGACGGAATCTTTCCGTGAGGGAAGCCTGACCCGCGCGCGGCTCTTTCCCGCCGTGTACTCTTGCCGTTTTGAGCCGTTGTGATTAGGTTTGCCCCGTCGATCGCGGATTGTGGGGATAACGGCGAGCGGAACCGTTATCTGTGGGGTCGCTCGTGGGTGCAGGGTACCTGACTTGTGTCCCATCGAGATCGTGTCAGAAAATTCTGATGGAATCAGATGGTAGAGATAGGCTAACTTTATTGATCGTGTATGGGAAAAGTGTACAGGATGCCACAACTTGACTTTCTGTATGCTGAGATAGAACCATTATTTTTAGATTGACCATAGGAAACGAGTACAGCTCCGCTGCTCATTTGCGATTCGTCTATCGAGACTAATTTTTTATGATGCCGCTCGAGACCCCGGGGAAGATGAAGTTGAAAAACACAAAGCTGGCGAAGAAGAAGAAGAAGAAGAAGAAGTAGCAAAAGCGGAACTCAAGTCATAAAGTCTCGGAAGCACGCGTCCGCTTTGAGTATTACCTGGGCCAAAGAGGGTACTGTTCAGAGGCGAGGATGAGGAGACGGTTAGTATGTAGTTCCAATTTGACGACCTTAGCCGAACAACATTGGATCTATGATTTTTGCCTTTATGCCTTTATGCATTCTTGTCCAGCAGTTTACATCTTCACAACCCATTTATGAATGATCAGCGGGTTGTTTCATTGTTTCGTTGCTTTTCTCCGCAGAAGTTTCAATTAAACGCGAGGCTGAGAGGCTTCGGGGCGCACTGGCCACGCGACTTTCAGCTGATACAGCCCCCTCTCGCAGCCGATGGCTAGCGTGGATTTGTTTTTCGCTCATGTCATGGGTAGTTGAAGCTATCTTCCAGATGTGTATGTAGAATTCTAATTCTATATAAGAGTAAAAAGGGTGTTAAAAAAAATCATAGATGTGTTGATGCTCTTACTCACGAATTATACTACATTTGAAGCCTTCTATGCTGCGCACAAATGTGGATCGCGGTATTTTGGTGAGCTGAGAGTGGTGGCGCCAGCCTTGGCGCATGTGGCTGCCTCCATACGACTGATCAAAAGCCGAACACACTAAAGTCATCTGAGATATCTAGAAGAGGAAGTTCTAGGGCTCATGAGACTTTCAGCTGTAAGCTTTCCAAGAGCCATCTTTCCTTTGTTTTCTATCCAAGGCTACATTGTCTAAAAAATTGTGTGAATACGTGCTATTTCAAATCAGTTTGTTTTTTGATCATATTTCTCTAGATCTTGACAGCTGTCGCAACCGTGATTTATTGGCATTCCTTCATCTTGCTTTTGCTTTTCCCCCCAGCGACCAACTGCTGCCGAATTGTCGTAACGAGGCAATCCACAACACGAAATTTGCATTGCATGGGCTTAGCGCGTCAAGCCTGTATTGAGTGCACTTTCCACAATGGATCGTGATCCATCTCGACCTCAAGTTACGGTAAGGTATGAAATATGTATAGGCTTTAGTGTTGTCTGCTGAAACTTCGGTTTTAGATATTTTACAAATAAAGCGGAACACTTGAATGGCTGTCTAACACTTTGAGTGCCTCTGTGCTCGTTCAGCTAATGGTCGCGAAAAAGCTTTGGCGTTCTCGGCACGGGAACTGATCGCGCACCTGCCTAACCAAGTAAGTTACATGCGGGTGGGATCTGCGGCTGATGAACCGAATCTTCAGCTTGTGTGAAAACATTCCCGGAAAGTGAAAAGGAGGCGCGTATTACACTATTGAAAATTGTGGAGCCGCGTGGAAATCGCACGCTGTTTTGTTATTCGGCTCGTCCCACGAGATTGTGGTTTTAGATCTTTTTTCGTGTGGAGCGCCCGCTGCGTGTGCCCCTGGCAGCCACTGGCTGTGCCGAGGGTTTTCGTAGGCTTGCAGCTGAAGTGCTCACAGATCCGGAATCGTCGATTTACATGCCCGTTTTTGGATGCTTTAATATTATCTCCCGACACGCGAAGGACCAGAGATATATACGCATAAATACCCGGTCGGGTGGAAGTGTAAATCACCCATTCTGAACCTTCACCAAACATCAATCTGTGCATTTCCACAAATCACTCAATCAAAGTAAACCTTACTATCCCTCGACCTGCATCAACAATGCGGGATCCCGATAGCGTCGGTCTGTGGACACAGGCGCTCCAACTTCTCGAGGAGAATCTCGGCGATGATGCGACAAAACCATCCTGGAAACAATTCAAGGAGTCCAGCCATTCCATTGGACTCAAAACCATTGAGTCAAGCCTCAAGAGTGCTGAGGTTTCAATTCAGAAGGATCACCCGGAGCACTCAATCAGCAAGCTCAGGTGGAACACCGGGAGCATCTTGAGACATCTAAGAGTTGTCTTTCAAGTCGGAGACGAAGCAATGAAATACGCACCTGAGACAGCATGCATCGTTTGGAGTACTTTCAGTATGGTGTTCAAGTGCATTTCAGCCGAAGTTGACCTCTGCGACACCATCATGTCCACGTCAGAGCGCGTCACGCATTGGATCTTTGTCGGTGAGCTCTACGCGAAACACTATCAACCAAATTCTACGGGCAACGATGAAAGGGCCTACGCTGGATGCGCTCCCGAATCCCAGGAGCGCATATTAAAGAATATCGTGCAAATATTTTCTGTGGTCCTTCGATTCTGTTATGAACTCAAACAACTCGATCTCTCCGACGACACGCCTGAAGTTCTTGAGCCGGAAGCCAAACCCAGCAGGTGGTCGGGTAAGAGGCTGATAGATCGTGGCGAGCGCATGGTAAAGAAGATGGGGAGGGGCCTCAAAGCATTCTTTGGCAAGACCGAAGATGTCCGAGGATTTCTCAAAGATGGAGATGATGCATTAAGGGCCCTGGAGACGACATCGGGAATTGATTGGAAAACCATGGCCACCGAGGTGCTCAACAAAATCAGCGACAACATAACGGACATCAAGATGGACACACAAGGTCTCCGGAAAGACCTCGAAACAGTTATGACCAATATCAAGGAGCTACGAGAGCAAAACAGCGCTCAGATCATGGATGTGCGTGCTGACGTCACATCAATCAAAGAGAGGGTCGAAAATTCATCTCAGTACGTGGAAATGAGGAAGTGGCTGCAAGAAACAACTGGGTTGGAACGGGAACAGCCCATTCAGCAATACGAGGAGATTCAAGAAACGATGCGTGAACAACATTGCGTCTGGATCCACGATGACCCAAGCTATTGCCAGTGGATTAAGGGAAATGACGGTGTCTGTTGGCTGTCTGGGAAAGCAGAAACCGGGAAATCCTCTATGACCGCGTATGTCATCGGACAGCTCCTCGCCAAGCCTAAAGATGAGCTTCAATTCACGGTATACTTCTTTTGTCAACCGGGAAGCGAGTCTACACACGACTATAAAAAGGTCATGGCTCACTTACTGATGCAGTTGGTTGATATGTGCGATCCCCATGGTTCTACAGTATCCCCACTGCAGGATGATCCCGGTCTGAATGCCCTCAAGCATGACTGTGCTGGGATCCTCAAAGCCATGAAGGATGACTTGAGGGCACAAGGCCCGGACAAAGCCAATCTGAAATCCCGAGGCCGTCACAGCGTAGATCCCAGAGGACAGGGCTCCACAACTTCCTTGGATGTAACTTGGCAGTATGCTCTCAAGGCTGCCTTTGTCAAGATTCTCTCGGTTTTCCACAGAGCCTTTCCCAGAAGGAAAGTATTCATGCTTTTGGATGCTTTGGACACTTGCAAACAAGGAGGAATGGAGAGTCTCTGTGACATCTTGAACAGCATTGCCATGGATGGGGAAGCTAGTGGAGATATCAAAGTCTGGATCACGAGCAGGAGTCCACCTCTAGGCAAGTTCCGAGAAGCGCTGAAGATTGACCTCAGTAAAAGGTCCTCGGAACATATCAGCGACTACATCGTGACCGAACTCCGTGGTATGTATGGCTACAATAAGTTTGAACTTTTCATGTATGCCGTTTTCCAGCTCAAGAAGCATGCGAGCTCTTCATTCTTTCGTAAGTCCCTTTATATCAAGTGACATAGATGATGTTTACGCTAACAGAAATAGGAGCATCAAAAGCGATCCAATATCTCCAAAGCGCGGAGGCCAAGAATGACCCCCACAAGGCACTGGAAAATCTTGCATTTATACTGGACAGGCAATATGCGCAACAAATGAGGGAGCTGGCTGGCGACAAGAATAGGTGCCTCATCGCTTGTCTCCGTTGGTTAGTCTGTGGCTGCGGCGACGGTGGAATACCAGCACAAGTAGTTGCAGATGAGATTTCCCACACGTACGTTTCTACATATGCCACAGATCATCGTAACGATCGCCGTATAGATCAAATTGGCTTTGAGGACTACTCGCTTAAAGCCTTCCTTGAGGACTCCAGGGATTTCGTTCAACTCAATAAGGAAAAGGAAAAGATCGAGCTCGTTCACGAAAACATCAAAGACTGGGTGAAGCAAGAGTCTGATACATGGCAAAAAGACGCAAGCGAGAAGTCCTCCTGCCTGCACTGCTGGCAACGCACCTGTCAAGAGACACCTTTCGAAGCGGGACCAAAGCATGGTCATCTTCTGTTAGCATGCCACATCATGCAAACTCTCAACAACGAGCAATTCCAAAGGCAACACATTTGTCAAGGACCAAGATATCAAATGGAGTTGGAGTTACAAAAGGTTTTGATCCTAGAGGATGGCCGCGGTTTCGAAGACATTCCACTGCGGTATGAGCTTGCTCATTGGCATTGCCATATCAGAAGGGCAGAGAGGATGTGGCGTGACAAAGACGAACGGAAAGAGGCACCATACAGCGCGCTTTGGAGTTGTCTCCATAAGGAAACGATGAAGTTTATCGACAATGATTCCATTGCTTTCAGAGTTTGGCAAAGGCGGGCATTTCCAGAACAACCATTCAAGTCCTACGATAGCAGGCTTCATTACGCGGCATATTATGGCCTTGAAGAAGCTCTGGATGAGTTCATCGCGAAAGGCGATGATCCACTGGACCGCAATGAATACGGACTTACTCCCCTTCATCTAGCTTGTCTTGGTGTTGGGGAGTATATTGGGATTGCCAGCCTTCTGAATGCAATGGAAGACAAGAACAGAGCGAAGGACAAGAACTCAGAAGTCTTGCAAGAACCCACAACTCGTTCAATCGATTACCGAGGCAACGATGGTACGACTGCTATCATGGCGTTGATCAGTGAGCACACACGGATGGACATTTTCAAAATTCTTGTCAAGTACGGAGCCAGGCTGGATATTCGAGACAGCAACGGCTACTCTTGCCTCCACTACGCAACCAAGAGCCAAGACCTCCAACTTTGCCGGTATCTTCTGGCCAAAAAAAATGGTCGATCCAAATGTCAAGGACAATGAAGGCGAGACACCGCTACATTGGCTGCTCAGATTACCGAACGCATCTATGGAGGTTGCAGAACTGCTCCTTGAAAATGGCGCAAGAGTGGATGTGTTCGACAACGACTATCAGCAGCCGCTTTGGGAGGCTGCCTGCACAGGAAATAACGATTGCGCTGCGCTAATCCTTCAACGAGGAGCTGACGTAAACAACCAAGAACGCATCTCAAAAAGAACGGCCCTGCATGCGGCCGTATCCGAAGGGAATTTGGAGCTCGTCGAGCTTCTTCTCGGTCCCAAGACCAATATTTCCATCCAGAATGAGTACGGCAGTACGGCTGTTTTCCTGGCAGTTGAGAGTGGGCAGTATAGGATACTGCGAACGCTCCTGGAATTCAACCATCGGCGAAGAGACTTGAACAAATCTTTTGGGAATTCTGATGAGAAAAACCATGAAGAGTCACAAGACCCACACTCGCAAGAAGACCAAGAAGCTCATATCTTGACAATTTGTTCCTCAGGCGACAACTCTCCGCTCCACAAAGCTGCTGAAAATGGACATACAGAGTGCTTGGAGACCATCCTGGAGTTTGGAGAAGGACTTAGTCTTTGCTCTGCAAGAAATGACTTTCGCGAAACACCTCTACATCTTGCAGTAGATCATGGGAGACCAGAATGCGTCAAAACACTTTTGGAGCACCAAGCGAACCCATCAGCTGAAGACTTTTCTGGGCATACACCATTACATATCGCCATTCGCCGTGATGACAGCGAATGTGTGTCACATCTACTCAAAGCCGGTGCCGATATTGATGCAAAGACAATGTACGGAGAGTCCCCGATGATGATGGCTATCTCACAGTGTAGACACGAGAGCATCAAGCTTTTGTTGAAGCACACCACAAAGGATTCTCGAAATGGTTCTCCTGATCTAGACCCATGGGTGCGTGTGCTAGACGAATGGAGAAACAGCCCTCCCAAGGAAACGAGGTTCGATGGACTGGTCAAAGAGCTCATCGACCATTACGGCCAAGCAGTACGAGAATACTATTTTCAGGTCCTGAATATCGCTCTCGAAAGGCGATCGAAGACGGTTCTCGTCTGCTGTTCAAATCGCTTGAGCGGTGAAGACCAACACGGGTGGTCTTTGCTCTCTTTGGTGATACAATATGGGGAGTTCGGCCTCCTCAGATACGTCTCATTGCCGCAACCACAGGTTTTCGCGCCTTCTTGGACACAAGATGACTGCCTTTTCAACATATCTGATGATGGCACAGAGATAGAAGGCATTCGAGAAGGTGATTCATGCAAATTGGTTTGGTCTTCGTGGGTACGTAGTTGCTTACCAAGCTATAGATCGCTGGCAGGAGATCTCTGCTACACGAACCAATATTCCCATACCAGCTGGAATGAGGTCGTACTACTACGAAGTAGAGGTTTTGGAGTGTGGTGAAGTAGATACTCTAGAGAGGTACGTTATCATTGACTCCCCCGCTTATGGTTCACTCTTCGCACTGCTAAAAATCAATGAAAGCATCGTTGGTGTCGGGTTCTGCTCGCAGTTCTTTGCTCTTGACAAGATGCCTGGCTGGCCTGAGTCGTATCCTTCATGGGGCTATCATGGAGATGATGGTCAGAAGTTCAAGCGGGAGTACGAAGGACAGGGTCATCACTACTCCGAAAGCTATGGGAAAGGCGATATCATCGGCGCAGGTGTGGATTTCGACAAGCAGGAGCTGTTTTTCACGAAGAACGGAGAGCACTTGGGTACGTATTATCCTTACACAAAGAAAGCTCACTTCAGCACTAATGAGATTAACTTGCAAGGAGTCGCATTCTGCAAGGACAATGGTGATAAGGACATTAGAGGCAAGTTGTTTCCAATTGTGGGCATGTGTCCAAAGGGGGTCAAGGTCAAAGCGAATTTTGGCACAAATCTAGAAGAATTCCCCTTCAAATATGGGATGGTGGCAGAAAGAAAAGATGAAGAACACCAATAGGGGAACTCATGGTAGGTGTGTATTGTCAACTGTTGAATGAGAAGCCATCTGTACTGGACGCCGATTTGCGGGGTTGAAATTTCGGCGAGCTAGGTCTTGTAGTTCAGTCTCTCTTTTACGAATTGCTGGAAGCTAAACGTTATATTTTTACTTTTCACGACAAGTTTGAATATGTTTCGAATAATTTATCTTTCATCTGACCCATGAAATTTATTGTAATCCCTCCCATCCAAAAGGAGGACATTCCTGTCTCTTACTAAATACTTCGCATGGGGTCACCACAGGCCAAGGACATTGACAGTCCTACAACCAGAATTTTTTGCCTACTATTTTTCAATCTGGTTCACTCTTTCTCTGGTAAATTGGAAACATTCGGGGAGGCCAGTGGCTTCCCAAGCCATGCCGGAAATAAGTTTAACCAGACCAGGAGCACAAGTGAACATTCTTGCCATTCCTTTGAGCACGCACCCAATCAGCAAAGTTATTTTCAATGGGGCAACACAGTAAATTAATACTCACCATGACCGTTAAACCCAGCACAGATCCACTGACCCTCACATCCTTCAACAGGACCGACCAATGGCACAGAATCAGGAGTCATCGCAATGATTCCAGTCCAAGAATGATCAAAGCCTTCTCCATGTCGAAGCGTGGGTGACCGCGCCATGTCGGAGAACTCTTTCGCGCTGTTCCTGAAAATCTCATCGCTGAACCTGGAGTCATCGAACGTGATTTGGTCGAACGGCGTTTTAGGATCCCTGCTCCCCGTTCCTCCAAAAATGATCATACCGTCGGTCTGCCGCTGGTGGAACGAGAAGAAACAGTGGAGACCGTATCTCAAAGACATTGTGTGATTGAAAATAGATCCGCCAGAGATGGAAGGAGTCGGGACGAAGGACTGAGCTTGCGCCTGACGCGGCGTCACGAAGTCGGCCAATTCCGGGAGCAGTGCTGCCGCGTAGGCGTTGGTGCAGTGGATGACCGTCTTGGCGGAGATGATACCACGAGGTGTGTGAACGTCCCATCGCAAGCCGGTCTCAGCTGGGCCTTGGTGCTTGACAACCTTCGTTGCCGGGCAATGCGTCCAGAGCCTGCATCCTTTGCTGATGGCATCGTTCAGAATCCACTGGCACAACTTGGCAGGGTGGTTCGATGCGGCAGGCCATTCGTATGCGGAAAGGGCGGTGGGGATCCTCGTCTTGGCTTTCGCTTCGTCGCCCTCGTAGTATTTGACGTGGGAGACATCTCCGCCAGCAGCCTTGTATTGCGCGATACCTTTAGCCTGGTGGTCTGCGAATTCTTGCGAAAGGCAAACGTCATATGTACTCGTGTAGTTGAAGTCGCAAGCGATATTGTTTGCTTCCACAAACTTTTTCACTTCCTCAAGGACGACTATCTCGTTTTCGAGAATCTTTCTGGCTTGTTCCGGTCCGTGGATTGCGGAGAAAACAGGAAAGCCACGAAAAGCGTCTGCAGCTAATGTCAGAAAGATGGACAAACAATAATTAAGCTTTACAGGCATACCGGGCCGAATGTGTCCCGCATTTCTACCCGTAGCACCAGAGACAGCCTCCCTAGCTTCGAGGATCACAATGTCTTCTCCCTTGACACCACTTTCAATCAACTTCCAGGCGGTCAGCGATCCTGCAATGCCAGAGCCAATTATCAGGAACTTGACGGAAGCAGGAACGTTGGCTTGGCAGTTTGCATTTAAGTGGGGAAATGCACGTGTTGTGCGGTGCCAGAATGACAGGCTCGGGGACGGGATTGGCAGTGACGGCTTCATTGCGTTGCGCTAAGCAAGTTTGCGGCTTATCGTAAGTCTTGGGCAGAATGCTTGGTTTTATGTCTTGAATGCCGACACCTCCGATGTCTTCTCCGAGATCGACTCATGTACGGCATCTCGCGACCGGCCCGAAACCTCTGCTAATACGGTGTTCTTCCCGATCGCTTTATCTGTTCGTTCTAAGGTGGGGGTCTCCTCGTTCATTACTCGGCTATTGTTCTCTTGTGGTACGTATCCCCGCGTTGAGTTATCGTTACCCCGCTTTCGAATAATGGACACGGTTTATCATCGAACGAAGGACACGATAATAATCATTTCGCGAAGCTTTCAATCTTTCCCTATCGCTGTCGATCGCGGAGTTAGATCTGGCCGAGATTGGCATGCCAAGACAAGACTCGGCTTAGATATATATTACCCGAAGCCGTATCATTTGTTCACGAACAAACATCAAAGGTCCTCGCAAATGTGTTGAAGTTGTTTCTCTCTTCTCTGTTCCCTTCTACCTCGACACACGACGATGAGGTTCTTTTCGAGGCCTGCGGTGCTCGCCGCCAAGGAGCCAAGGTCTCCAGCTGAGAGGGACCTTGTGCGGAGACTGGACATCTTCCTGATGACCTTTGGCTGCATCAGTCAGATCATCAAGTACTTGGATCAAATGAACATCAACAATGCCTACGTCTCCGGCATGAAGGAAGATCTCGAGCTCTATGGAAACGAGCTCAACTATTTTCAGACGTACTTCAACGTGGCCTACTGCATCATGCTGATCCCAAGCCAAGTCATCATGACTTACGTCCGGCCAAGTCTATGGCTAAGTAGCTTGGAAATTGCTTGGGGAGTCATGACTGGCTTGATGGCGATGGTCACCAAGACATATCAAGTCTATATCATCAGGTAGGTACGCCCTGGAGAAACTATGAACAGGTCGGCTTACAAAGGCAAACAGGGTGTTCCTTGGATTGTTCGAATCCAGCGCCTGGCCAGGAATGATGACCCTTTTGATGCATTGGTAAGGCTGCAGGAGGAGAGACCGGATCTTTAAGCTAAAGTGTTTCCAGGTATACGCCTATGGAACTCGCAAAGAGAATGGGCTTCTACCACTCCTGCCAAGCGGTGGGGAGCATGATGTCCGGAGCCCTCCAGGCCGCCATAATGGACACACTGCATGGCCATCACGGGCTTACCGGTTGGCGCTGGCTCTTCGTGATCAATGCTGTCATCACCGGAGTCTGGGGTTTCCTGGGCTTCTTCCTGCTGCCCGACTACCCGAACAACCCAAACCCGAGGGCCTTTTGGTTCCGCAAGACCCATGGTGAGATGGCCATGACGAGACTCACCCGACACAAGCGAGCGGAGCCGGAGAAGCTTTCCTGGGCCGGTGCGAAGCGCACATTCAACTCCTGGATCGTCTACTTCATCGCTACTCTTTACGTGGCCACCGTGCTTACCACCAACGGCAACTCATTCTTCTCTCTGTTCCTCAAGGCAATGAAGAACCCGGATGGGTCCGCAAGATGGACGACGGTCCAGGTCAATGCGATCCCAATCGGTGGCTCCGCAATCAATGTCGTTTTTGGTCAGTAAAAGTGTCGAGTCATGAAGTCGGCACCGCGAATGACTGACATCAATGCAGTGTGGATCTGGGCCATTTTGTCCGATGTTTTCCAGACTCGATGGATTTTGATAATTGCTCAAGGTATGAGACAGACCTACTGATTTGTATGCTGTGGCTAATCTTCTGATAGCTGTGCTCGGAATGATTCCCGCTGTGATGCTAACAATTTGGACGTCGCATCCCGATTCTGCTCCCCTTACAAGCGCGTATACAGGCTATTTCATCTCATATATGTCTATGGGCACAGCACCCCTGATATTTTCATGGCTGTCTGATTTGTGAGTTCCACCAAGCTGTGGTTCATGGCACGCCGTACTGAACAAAGTAGATTGCCACGAGACCCAAGCGGACGTGCCCTTATTGTTGGTGTATCTGTGGCATCCTATTACGCCATCTCAGCGTGGAGCCAAGTACTCGTCTGGCCGGCCTCAGAGGCTCCTTATTGTGAGTTACAAGATATCGAGTATCGAAATTCGCAGAACGTGGCTGACTCGTACAACAGACAAGAAGGGATGGCAGTTATCGATTGGGCTTTGGATACTTGTCATAGCGATGACATCTACGCTTCGCTTCATCGACATACGGTATTTGAAGTAAGTCTCGAGCTGACCGAAACCATTAATCGTGTCTGTCACTAATGTGTTCATCAAAAGGCCAAAGCGCGAGGCGCATGCTGAAACCATTGAGGGTCAGGCTGTAGAAGAAGAGGTAAACGTAGAGAGACAGAGCATCAAGACGAAGGGAGTTGATGTTGGAGTTTAGCTGTTTGACGATGAACGGTTGTTACGAGCCTCAGAGAAGAAAGCTAGGCGCTTCTTTCCTTCTCCTTTGATCTTACAGATATATTGAACAGCGTAAATCAATGGCATTGAATACTGCTGCTCCTTTTGAATGAGAAGCTAACTACTTGGATACATACATTGGCTACTAGAAATATGGCATGATAAGAAATGGGGAGATTGCGTAGTTGTTCTTTGGTGTATACAGGGGGATATTGCAGTCGACGGCTAGCGTGAATTTATTTTTCCCGTGCCATCAGTAGTTGAAGCTATCGTCCGGACGTGAATGTATAATTATTAATTCCACATTTACATCCGGATGATAACTTCAACTACCTACACATGTTCTTTTTCGTTAGAAAAAAAAAGGAACCGAGGCATACTTACGCCATGTTCTAGGACCCTGCTATTTTTCGCGCTTGCCATTGGCTGCAGCACGCCTCTGTAGCAGTGAACTGGAGATGTTCCTTGGTGTTGAGAAAAAGCAACGATAACCGGCAATTGAACACGGCAGTGAAGACAAGTATAAGGTTTGACAAAAATTCGTCAAGAGGATACTTTTTCCACTTGATCGTAGTAGAACTTACTTAAACTGAGCCAAGCAGAAATTCAAGGCATATAAATTGCACACACTTCTCGGGTTCTCGCAATACAGTATTAACTAGTCATGTGACAAAGCAGGCATGTCCCCCATTCCGGGTCGAAGACATCACTAACATAGCTGGACATGTTAGTGGGCCAAGTAGAGGAAAGGCGGCATAAGTAATACGATAGACTGTGTTGACTGAAACCTCATCGAGGATAGCAAAGCTCGCGCGCGCTATCAAGATGCTACCGTCTCACAGTGCGGGGTTATCGCCGATAGCGGTGGGGCACAGCACCTAGGCAACACTTAAATTCTTGTCGCACGCTGTCAACATACCCAAAACAAACTCAATGCTTTGTGTTCTTCTACTAGTACTGCACTGCTCTGTCTGTCATTTTGATTCTCGACGTGGACGTGCAGACCTCCAACCGTTCACATCACCTCAACAGTTGCCGTGAGAGCCTCGTATCCGTGTTCACCGAAAACCGCTTCCGAGAAGCCACTGTGTCGCCAAGTCCATAACACAGAGCCCAGTTTATTCAAGACTTGGATTAAATCTTGGATTAAGGAGCATCGCCAATCTGTGTACACAAGGTGACACCGAACCTGTGATGCCGAAAACAAAGCGCAGGACTAAAACGACTCGCTGCAGCTTATTCCGTCAAACGCAATGGATATTTTTGTGCGCGGAGTTCCTGTCCAGACGACCGAGTATGCTCTACGGGATTTCTTCAAGCCAATCATGGAGCAGTTCTCTATCCTCAGGTTCAACTGCACAAAGTTCAGGAACAAGCCTTTCGCGATTCTCACCGTCACAGACGTTGCGAAAGCCAAACGCTTCCTGAAGAGATTCACCCAGACCACGATGGGTGGCATGGGCGAACTACTCTTTTACTTCAATACCCGTTTGATGGTTAGCGAGAGTAGAAACAAGCCGAACGAGCTCGCTTTGAGAGCGCTTCGCCATGAAGAGGAAAATCTGCTGCGAAGGGCTAGTCGCAGCACGAGATCCGATCCAGAAAACGAGGCCGCATCGCACAAACCGAACCGAGGTCAGGATCAGAGAAAGTTTGACTTTTCAGGCTTGCAATGTGGCATATGGGACTTTGACGGGTCGGACATAGTATTCGAGTCCCAGTTCCAAGACAGCAGGAAGGGAAGCATTGTGTTCGGCAAAAAGGCTCTGGCGATAATTCTACGCGCAGGACAGCAGATTGATTTCAAGTCTCGACTGGACATCCCCTATTCGAGTATCGACTCTATTTTGACGTGTCCACAAACGAACAAAGTCACCTTCACCCTCACGATCGCCCCACGGATTTACAAAATGGAAGACAATTCGATGGAGGAAATGTTTAGTGGCCTTAGTCTGCTTCCCCCCTCACACAGACGGGTAAACGACCGTGTGCGGGTATGTGCAATCGACGAGTCACACCAGTCCGTCGTTGGAATCTCCTTTGTCTACCGGATCACGCTTGTGAATCGGAAAGACACCTCGAAGGTTGATCACCTTGTTCAAACCAACCGTGGAATGCCATCAGTTCTTAGTCTTTCTACCTCGGAAACATTCATGAGCGGCACTATCCAAAAGGATTTCCAGGGTGTGATGGGTTTACTTTGCCCAGGCTGCCAATTTGGCGATTTTCCTTTCTCTACCAAGTTTCAGATTGAGCGATTGGCAAGAAACGGTTACCTATCGCCGATCCACATTATCTTCCTCCTCCCAACCATCCAGCACCTTTCTGATCAGGAAGGCCACATTCCGACAACTATGGCAATCCGAACGCTGACCAGGAACATGGAGATTCCAGGGCCCCATCTTGATTCAAAAAGCCTGAATGGCATAGTCTTAGCCAAGATGCTTGCTCAGTATGCTCAAGAGTTCGAGCTCGAGGGCTCCATGTACGACTCGAACTCGTGGAACAACAATCAGTGTGCCCTTGTACACAAGGTCACTGTCACTCCTGCCGGGACTTACCTCGAGGGCCCCGATCCAGAAGCGGGTAATCGTGTTCTTCGCCAATACCGGGATCACGCAGATCATTTCCTTCGGGTAGAATTTACGGACGAGGATGGCGATTATGTCCGGTTCGAACCAAGAACTGATATGTCGGCGATATTCGGCAAGCGCTTCAAAGATGTGCTCGATAGCACCATCGACATTGGTGGGCGTTCCTTCGAGTTCTTGGGGTTCTCTCATTCTTCACTTCGCCAAAGGACGTGTTGGTTCATGGCTCCTATCACACTACATAAAGGCCTGGTTGTCACAGCACAAGATGTCATCAAGGGTCTGGGCGATTTCTCCGAGATTCGATGCCCAGCAAAATGCGCGGCGCGTATCGGACAGGCCTTCTCCGAGACTACAGCTACGGTGACTATATCACGCGAGATGCTTCAGCCTATGCACGACGTGGTTAGAAACGGCCGCACGTTTAGCGACGGTGTTGGCACGATCTCATCTGAGTTGCTCCGTCGTGTGTGCAAGCATTACGGGCAAAATCGTAGTCAAAAACTAACATGCCTGCAAATTCGGTTCGGTGGTGAGAGATTACACCAATTACACAAGATAAACATTATGCTAAAAAGAGAACAGGTGCCAAGGGTATGGTCTCACTAGACAATCGCCTTCAGGGAGAGCTGTTAGTCCTTCGCCCTTCAATGCAAAAATTCCACGGCTCAAGAACGTGGGATATCGAAGTCTGCGGTGCCAATTTCAAACCACTGCCAATGTACCTCAACCGGCAATTGGTCAAGATTCTCGAGGACCTCGGCGTACCTGCAGAAAGCTTCCTCGCGCTTGAGGATCAGATGGTCGAACAGATTCGTCGCATTACCGAGTCGCCTCTCAATGCTGCCATCTTTTTAGAGACAAACCGCGTCGGCATTTCTACAAAGATGCCATTTATTTTCCGATTTCTGGACGAATTAGGCCTCACCTTCGGTGGAGACAGCTTTTTGTCCCATGTCGTGGAAATTTCAGTCCTCTCTCAACTTCGCGATGTGAAGTACCGTTCTCGCATCTCAGTGGAGCAAGGAGTAACACTATACGGTATCATGGATGAGACCGGTTTCCTGGAGGAAGGTGAGATCTACTGCACTTTCGAACGGCCGGGAGAGAAAGGCAGGCTCAAGAAATGTGTCCTTACCGGCAAGAACGTGGTTGTTACCAGATCCCCAGCTCTGCACCCAGGTGACGTCCAAAAGGCCCGAGCTGTCAAGGTACTGCCTTCCGGTTCTCCATTGAGAGCGCTCTCCAACGTGGTAGTTTTCAGCCAGAAAGGCCAGCGTGATCTGCCTTCTCAGCTCAGCGGTGGAGATCTCGACGGTGACCTATACAACATCATTTTCGATGAGCGCCTCATCCCACCGAACATTCATCCACCTGCCGAGTATAATACCGTCCCTCCTATGGACATTGGCCGACCGGTTTCCCAGAGAGACATCACGGAGTTCTTCGTTAAGTTCATGGAAACAGACCAACTCGGCCGCATCTCCACAATACACATGCAATTGGCAGACAGAGCTCCCACGGGGACACTTGATCCCAACTGCAAGAAGCTAGCGGAAATGGCATCTACAGCCGTAGATTTCTCGAAGACAGGGATTCCTGTGGACATGAGCCAATGTCCTCGACACGACATGATCCGTCCAGACTTCATGGCTACCAGCCCCCACGTAACCGTCCAGAGGGGTGGAGTCGCCTTTGATGAACACGATGACGATGATGACAACGACGCCGTGGAAGCCCTGGATCCTGATCTCAGATCATTCAGGTACTATGAAAGCGAGCACGTGCTTGGCCGCTTGTACCGGGCAATCGATGAGAAGAAAATCTTCGAGGACATGCATCGACATATTCAAAGCGACCATCGTGTTTCAGCAGGTGTGGACGTGATGACGCAGGTCTGGATGCATGTCACTCGCGAGACCGCCCTGATTCAGTGGGAAGCATACAAGCCTTTGGCAAGGGAAATACGAGAAATGTGAGTCCACCTTCCATGGTGATATCTGTTCCAGCTGGTCATCAAACCCATTTTAACGCATGCTCTGTAGGTATGAGTCAAATCTTCTCGATGTGATGTACGATTTCTCAATGCACTCGCGGTATCCCCTCACGGAAATCGAAGTCTTCGGTGGCAACATCGTTGGCAGGAACAGTGGCAGTACGAATCGCCGCATCCGCGAGCGTACGATCGAAATGAGTAAGCGATTTGAGAGTGACACCGCTTTCATTGTCCAGCGTATTGTACAGGGGGATGACGGCGATCATGATGAAGCACTTGCGCGATCGGTTGCATGCATGGCTATTGGGATGACGGAGCAGTCCAGGGTCGGAAACATGTTTGGTGAACTAAAGAGTTGGAAATACTTCGCTGCAGCAGTATGCTTACAGCAGGTCGAGGTGTTCAAAGACAAATATGATCCCTTCTGGTAGGATCATGTCGACTATTGACGAGTATCGTTGCTCACTATTCGTTTCTTTACTTCTTTCACGTCGTTACTTGGGATATTAGTTTGGTAGAGTTTACTGATCCGTTATAGAAAAAAACTATCCTATCAATATATAGTTGCAGAAGGCCGTCTATATAGTATACGATAGGTGTATCCGCATCGCCACCTTAATACCTTACGGGTAATATACTGATTCGTTTCTTCTCTCGTAAACTAAGGCAGCTCCGAAAATTTCATTCTTCCTCATTGTTTTGAGGGGAGTGAGAAGATCTTGCGGTTGTGCGGACACCTTCAGCCCGTGCCGCGGCATAGCGCAATGTGATCGAAGGCGACTGTACAGTCCCCTCATGCAGCCGATGGCTAGCGTGGATTTTTGCTCATGTCGTGGGTAGTTGAAGCTATGGTCCGGACGTGTATGTAGAATTTTAAATTCGACATTCTCATCCGGACGATAGCTTCAACTACCCACATATGTCATTTTTCTAAGAAAAGAGCCGGGGCATAGTTGTGCCTGGGGCTTTACTATTCTTCACGCTAGCCTTCGGCTGCAAGACCCCCCTGTATAATTGGAAGCGTAAACGAAAGGCTAGTCTGGAAAAGGCTGACGTCCGGGACATGTGGGTCGAGCGAACACGCGACGTTCCCGCCAACATCGTGTGTCTTGTGTCTATACACGACACTCCGCGTCTCCCTTCCCACCATCACCGCCTAGTGTTGATCTTCCCTCATCTGTTCTGGTTGCGCTGTTTCGTTTTTCACGAACATCAAGACTCCTTCGTTGACGGAGCTGTATCCGGTCTGTCGTTACCGCTTGTCCGAGCTGCACAACTCTCCTACCGGTCAGCTTGCCCACCTCGGTCCAATCTCAAATGTCTTCTAACGAACCGATCTCGGAGTCCTCCGATTGGAGCCAAGGAGTCTGCGAGTCCTGTCGAATGTTCTTTAGCGACGGACCAGATTGCAGATACTACAAAATGCCGCGGCCACCGGCGTGCCCAGGCTTCATAGACGATTGTAGCATGTGCATTGTGGTAGCCTCTATCCTCATGACCAAGCCTAGCGTCAAGCGCACAATGCGCACCTACCCTGTGTTCGGACTCGAGAAAAGCTCCATTCTCCGCCATCCGATGTATCTGTCCCTTCCAGCGGCGCCAAGGGTTCCCGATACTGAGGAGGAGTTAAGCGATAGCATTCGCTCAAACTGGGACAACCATGTACCGGAGAAATTCTGGAGCTACCGAGGCGTGGCCGGTGCTGACGACTCATACGGTTTCATTGTTGAACTGGATCCAAATGGATCGTGGCGAGCCGCAGGACAACATGTTGACTTTGGACGTCTCAAACAGTTGATCGGGGACCCTGCTGAAGAGAAAACCCCTACAACAGCCCGTCAGCTGCCTACAGGTATGAGACTGATAAATGTCCACACCCGCCAAATCATCTCCGCATCTCCGCACCACGAGTACGTCGCACTGTCTTATGTGTGGGGCTCGGGATCCGGCCCGGACCAGCCGCAAGAACGACTGCCAGACCAGGTCCCAAGGACGATTGAGGACAGCCTGCGTGCGGTAGCGAGCCTAGGACTCGAGTACATCTGGATCGATCGGTACTGCATACATCAAGGCGATTCCAAAGAGAAAGCCGCACAGATCCACATGATGCACCAAATCTACCAGAATGCCTACGTCACCATTATCGCAGCTGCAGGATCCGGCCCCGATCACGGCCTGCCCGGTGTGAGCTGCCTAAGGTCATGGCCCCTTCGCGCTGTCATTGATGGTCGTGTCTTTCTCGCTGTTCGTAATCCCGAATATACGATTACTCAGACGGTATGGGCAACGAGGGCTTGGACATTCCAGGAGGATAAGCTCTCGAATAAGAAGCTTTTCTTTCTTGACGATGAAGTCTTCTTCCAGTGTTCTCGATCGAAGAGAAGTGCTTTGGAAGGGCACGTTCGAAACACTCAGCCACTTCAGGTCTTTGAACCAGATGGCGGCAACTCAAGCGAAGACCGTAGGGCTACGATTCTGTCTGACCTTTGGGGGAGCATCACGACTCTGAACAACCGGAACATCTCGTTCGAGAGCGACAGGGTAAACACAACCCTCGGCATCTTCGGCTACCTAACCGACCACGGGCTCATCGCCGGCCACGTTTGCGGAATCCCAATCCTTTCCACATTGGGAAGCATCGGGGATCGGAAGAGCGTAAGAAGCTGGACTGAGGGTTTCATGACCAGCCTGCTCTGGGGCACAGGGCAACGATCTGCCCGCCGCGGGCGACGCGCCGAGTTTCCGAGCTGGACCTGGGCCGGATGGTTCGACGAAATAGATGCACCGAACCAACGCTGTCTACACGACAACGTCACGGTCTCTCTGGAGATAAATGAGCGGCTGCTGTCCGCCCAGGAGGCCCAGCAAGCCCTGAACGCAAAGCCCTCACTCGGCCTGGCTATCCGGCACATCCATATCGAGGCTCCGGTCGCGCAGTTCAAACTCGGCAGCTCGTTTATGAAATCTCTGTGGTACCTTGACAATGAAGGGCGTGCTCGGAGAACAGGCGCAGGCAGGACGAGCTTTCAGATGGATCCGGACCGATTGCAATACGGCGTCCCGAGCGGCAATGCTGGCGAGACTCTGACGCCATACGCGTGGCTTGGTTTGTTGTTCACCGGCTGTAAGGACGCTGGCAGATCTGCATTCGTGCTTCTCGTTCAGGATCATGGAGATTATTTCCAGCGTGTAGCATTGTGCGAAATTCGCTTCGCAGACCTACTGTTCGACCCAATCCTCGAGGACCACGATGGGATCTCAGTCTTTTCCGATGACGGAGAGAGCGAGCTTGGAAGAAAGCAGGTTGGAATACCTAAATTACTCGTGCAGATGCGATCCGTGAGACTCGGATGATCAACATATACTGTGAAGTAGATGGGCTGCTTATAGAGTAGTAGTCGTATTTGTCCTAAACAATGAGAAAATAATTATCACCCGACCCACCACCCAAACCAAATTAATTTTGAGATATTCGAAAAGAAATTATAGAGACAGGAAGGCTCTATATACGGTGCTAGATAAGTAATATCTCTCTCTTTTCTGAGCCTTTGAACCAGCGTTTGTGTGGTTTAGCGTTCTCATAGCAGTGCCACTTAATGATCCCGATCCTTTCATAAGCTCCGTCCCTGCTTTTTGAAGGCGTCACATACAACGCGAACAGAGACCAACGTCCGCCTTCGAGGTGTTTAGTGAGTCTGATAGCGAGATTGCCGTCCAAGGCTACTTTGTCAACGTCATCATCGGTATCTATCTCCAGGACAATAGTCTCAGAATGTTTGTTTCCCAATGCCGTCGATTGCCACACAGAGAATTCGCGCCCGTCTCTCCGAACTTCGCGGCTTTCTCTCCGAACTCGAAAAGGGCAGACACGCGTATACAATGTCACTGCACCGCTCGTGACTTGGCCGTATGGATCTGTGCCATGAAGCGAACAGTTCACTTCGACCACTGACGCGCATGCCTTCCAGGGTTCACTTCCAATGTAAACAGGTCCCGCCGCCGAAGCCCATGAGAAAGTCGGAGCAACGTAAGTTGGATGCCGACGCCGTGGGCTCTTTGTGTATTTTGCGAACCATGCCATGTCGGACACAAGCTGATTCTTCCACAAGCCGGCAATGTACGTTCCAAACATGTCGCGAGGCATCAGATTCGCGGTACTCGACAGAGCCGGGAGAGTGTCAGTGCAGTAGGAAAGATTCTTGCTGGAATACTCGTTCACGATGAATGACCACAGGCGCCGCAGGAGGTCTTTTCTGTGATCTTGGGATTGATTCTCAGCACCACCACTTCTTCGTATGAGATCCGCTAATCTGGGCCCAGCCGCGCCGTCGACAGGGCTGTTCTTGATTGAGAATCTTTTCGTTGAATCTTCCCAGCCTTCAAAATGGTTGAATACGTCATCGCACTCGCATCGCGTTCCTTCGAAACACTCGAAAACGATTTCCTCATTGGGAAAGAAGTTGATGACACGGGAGGAGAGCAGCCGCTCCTGGAAGCACCAGCCCCTGCCCCATAAACCCTCCTGTAGTAGAGGAACTATCGCAGACTGGTTCAATCGGTCCTTAGTGTAGTAATTGTGATAGGAAGCACTAAGGGTATGTTGGAGGCTGTTCCTCATGAAAACGTCTCGATTCATGGCGCCGGAATGATTGAATTTGAAGACGCCGTTGTGCCCAAGGAAGCCGTTGTCGGAGGAGCTTGTTTTGTCCACATGGGCTGCTATTGTGACACAAGCGTTTTGAAAGATGGCTCCCATCTTGGCGGCCTGGTTCTCCCAGTCTTTGTCGTCGTCTTGAATGATACATAAAGAGTCGATCCATATGTACCGCACCCGGAGCCAGCGAGTCACTATCACTGCGTCTCGTAAGGTAGGCGACATGTTGGAGAGGGGTATTGATCTGAGGTTTTCCCCTATGTTGGATCTGGTTGTTTTTTGCGGCCTTGATGACTTCCAGCAGTGGCTCAGTGCAACATACGACTCGGACGTTGGTATTCCTTCCACTAGACGAACGGAATAGCCACTACGTCCGATTCGTAGGAGCCTTTTGGGCATTTCCGACGGAATGATGGGGGCGCATTGAGTATGATCGTTCTTGCAAGTTTGGATCCAAGATTTAATGAGTCGTCGGTACCCCTGGCCCAATCGATACGTGGGATCAAATGGGACAGCAGGAAGAGCATTCCACGGATGGCACTCTGATATAGAAGTAATGCGTTAGTGCCAGGAGTTATGAGCCTTCTCAGGTCACTTACCAGGTGTAGTAAACATGGAAAATCGACATACGACTTCGTTGAGGTAATTGAAAACTCTGACGAGAAGGCTGGCCTCAGGCTTTAATGTAACTTCAAATCGAACTTGGAAAAGCTTGTTTGGGTAGATATCCCGTATTTTGACGTCTGAGTAACGGAGATATCCTTCGCACAGACTCGAACAAGCTTGACAGCCTTTTGACGCCTGTGATCTGATGTCTTCGAGATCTGCCATAAGACGATATTCGAGAGGCCCGTCCTTGATTCGGCAAAGCCCAATGGGCTTGGGCGCACGCCAGAAGTCACCATACGGTAATGTTAGCCATGCTGCAAGAGGCTGGAAGTCATGACATATTGGGCAAGACGTGGGACTGGAACGCAGGTCCGGGTCATAGTCGTCGATCTGCAGTTTTGATGAAATGGCTGCCTTAGATATATTTAGCTCAGTAGTGATTGTATCTATGGTAAGAAAGCCCACTGGTGTGTTCATCTCACCGAAGGACTTGTGCTTCCCTCCCTTCAATTTATCGAGGCCTAAACCGAGCGGCATGGCGTGTCGTGGCGAGAGGGGAGAAAATGCACAGGACGATTAGGTTATGTACTTCGGTGTCTGAAGTTTCGAGTTCAGGGAGAGCAGTAAAGAAGCTGGTGGTCTGTCAGGGGCTGAATACCCCGCAGCTGAAGATCAGGCAGCAAGGATGCAGGGCAATGTTGACTGATTGGCTGGAATCCACCCAATGGAAGCTTCGAATTGTTGCCCTTGGCACCAATGCAGGGCCGGTCCACAGCTCCTTGGAAAATCTGCACAATCAGCCCACTTATTGATAAGGCCCTTTTTAACTGTTTTTTTGGTCAGTAATTGGCCCCGTCGATTGGCCACAGCCTCACGTCTTCTGAGTAGGCATTCCGCACTTTATCCGATGGATTGATATTTGGCGATAATTATTGTCACCAGAGCACAAACCAAAGCCAGTCGAACTATGTGAATACTGCACCTAATTCGCCTACGAAATTGGTCAACATAGTAATGGTTTAGCAAGCCTATAAGTTGAACGCCTATCCGGATGCGACTGCACGACATTACTACAAACAATGGTATGTGGATAAGAGCTTTGGCTACCGCGATCGTGTTGTAGTGCAAAACCATCCGACCTCTTACGAGCCGATCCAGAGCATCACGACTACTAAAATGTCAGGCAACACGCGAAGGCTCGTCTCGTGCATCTCAGACTATGTTTGAAAGGATCGTGTCAAGCGACTTATCCTATCGATAGTCAGTTGCGAACCAGCGTAGAACAAGAGTCTTGAATGCAGTGTTTAAGAGAATGCGTCTCCTGGACAAGATAATTTGCATATGTAATCTTCTGCTCAGCAGGAGAAGCCTGCGTTAAATGCGTAGACTTAATAACTTCCTCTTTCGAACGACGGAACACCGGATCGCGTGCGTGCCGAGTCAGTTAGTTAATAAGCAGGATCTGCGGTTCGATTTCTAAGCACGCTACTTCGGCCTCGCGATTGCATTCCATTCGCGAAAATGGTAGCGGAACAGGGATCTGTATAGGGTCAAAGCGCGCGTCTTGATTAGGTAGCCTACGGAGGTGCAGCAGCGTAAACGCTGTATAAATCACCCGTTCAAAGTGGGGACCGGAAGAAATCTCTCTTTGCACATGCTGATAGTATGTAAGTGTCCGACTTGTTATATCTGGACCGTGCATCTGACTGCTGGTACTACTTGACCGGCTTGCATTACACGCCTACGAAGGGTATGGATGAGTAAAGTCCAGCATCCCAGGCTCGGAATTGGAATTTGACTTTGAATGGACAGATGGAGGTCCGCATTTGGCATTGAGTAAAAAGCCTATTTCTACCTTATTGTAAGCAGAGTTTGCGAAATTACGTCATGACATAAAGCTCCCCCGTTGTAATGCACTTTAAATAAGCCAAAATGTAGTTCGAACACAAATGAATACCCATTGTCGCCGCTATCGAAGTTTGCGTTCTGGAAATATAATCGTTGTATTCTAGAATATGTCTGCGTAAATCTGCGGGTGCTCTGGGTCTTGGGTATGCATGCTTGCATAAGGATTATTCATCCTTGATGTGCATTATCCGCCCCTGTTTGCACCACCTGTGTGACAATTTCTCCCTATGTGTTGATAAGCGGCCAACCTTCGCGACTTAATAAACATCTGAATACGCTAGCTTCGCCGGATGGCACATGATGATAGCTTCCGTGGGCCAAATGTTTCTTACTGCGGGCACAGAGTAACCTCAACCGGCCGAATGATCAAAACTCCGAGACGATCTCCCTGAAAAAGTCACTCTTCAGCCCAGGAGAAAGCTGCTTCGTAATTTTTACAAATCCGCTTAGAGAAAGCAAAGGCAGAGCAGCTAGTTTAGAACACCGAGTGAATGCGCCTCTGCAGCTGCACCTTAAAAGTGGCGATTCCAGTGGCCGGCAGAGTCAAAACACAACGAGAACCCATCAGAAACTACTCATTCCAGTCTTATCCACCTCGAGCAGCAGCCGAAATGCACGACGTTCCTTCAAGTGACGGTAATGGCGTGGCGCCAGCCGTTATCGAAATGGATACTCTCATCGTTGGAGCTGGCCCTGCAGGCGGTGCGCTTGCTAGCTTCCTCGCATTTCACGGTGAGCCGAGGATATCCTTCTCCAACCCGGTCAGCCTGCTAATGCTTTTGTAGGAATCAAAGGTCTCATGATTACCAATACTAGCTCAACCGCGGACACGCCCCGAGCGCATATCACGAATGCCGCTGCTATTGGTAAGTTGCCAGCGAGAGTGTTTGGCCCGCATATCAGTAACGTCGACAGAATGCCTTCGTGACATCGGGCTTGAGGATCAAGTGACCCGACTATCCAACGGAGGAGAAATTATCGAACACATGCGGTGGAGCAACGCCATGAACGGGCGTGAGTATGGCCGTATCTTTGCCTGGGGCAAAGGCGAAATGCAGGTACGGAGCCTCTTTCGCTCTTCTCGCCACCGTACAACCGAACTGAAACCATCTCCCAGAGCAAATACGACAAAGCCAGCCCATGCCGCCACTTCGACCTGCCCCAAACCCTCCTCGAGCCGGTCCTGGTGCAGTACGCCACGCAACACGGCTTCCACTTCCGCTTCGACACCGAGTTCCTTTCCTTCGCCGACCGCGGCGACCACGTCCTCAGCACGCTGCGCGACACGCTCACCAACGTGACCTACCAGGTCCGCTCGCGCCTCCTCTTCGGCGCCGACGGCGGACGCTCGCGCATCGTCCAGCAGCTCGACCTCCCCATGTACAAGCAACCCAGCCACGGCACGGCCATCAACGTCCTCGCCGACGTCGACCTGTCCCACCTCATGACCCGCCCCGGCCGCACGGGGCACATGAACGCCGTCTTCCAGCCTGAACTCGACGCCCCACCGTTCGCCCGCCACGTCTACGCGCGCATGATCCAGCCGTGGAAGGAGTGGCTCTTCGGCATAATCCCCGACCCGGGCTACGCCGGGCCCTTGGGCACGAAAGAGCAGTTCGCGGCGCGCATCAAGCAGGCCATCGGCGAGGACGTACCCGTGCACATCAAGAGCATCTCGAAATGGCACATCAACGAAGTCTGCGCCGAGACGTTTTCCCGCGGCAACGTCTTCGCCCTCGGCGACGCCGTGCACCGGCACCCGCCCGTCAACGGCCTCGGCTCCAACACCTGCATCCAGGACGCGTACAACCTCGCCTGGAAGGCCGCGTACGTCCTGCAGGGCAAAGCCGGCGCCGCGCTGCTCGATTCGTACTCGACCGAGCGCGTCCCCGTTGGCATGGGCGTCGTGCGCCGCGCCAACGACGGGTACCGCGTGCTAGGCGACATCGTCGCCGCGCTGGGCTTCGAGGGAACGACGGTGGAGGAGCGGCGGGCCGCGGCGGGAGAGCTCGAGGCGGCGACGGCCGAGGGGCGTGCGAGGCGGCAGAGGCTGCAGAGGGCGTTTGAGCATACGAAGCATGAGTATCAGGGGTTGGGGATTGAGATGAATCAGGTGTACAGATCTGAGGCTGTTGTTGTGGAGGGTGTCGCGGGCGACGACGGGTTGGCCAACGTCGCGGACCCGCTGTTCGATTACGTGCCTAGCACGTATCCGGGGCGGCGGCTGCCGCACGTGTGGCTGAGCAAGCCGGTCCCGGATAAGTTGATCTCGACGCACGATGTGGCGGGGAAGGGGCGCTTTACGCTGTTTACTGGGATTGGGGGTGGTGTGTGGGGGAAGGCGGCGGCGACACTGGCGGCGGAGTTGGGCGTGGGGATAAGGACGGTGACGGTGGGGTATGGGCTGGAGTTCCATGATCCGTATTTCGAGTGGGCGCGTATCCGGGGGGTGGAGGAGGATGGCTGTGTGCTGGTGCGGCCGGATAGGTTTGTGGCGTGGAGGGCTGAGCGGATTGTGGAGGAGCAGGGGGAAGATTGGGCGGAGTGCACGTTGCGGAAGGTCTTGAGGTCGATTCTGGCGAGGTAGGTGCTGATCAGGTAGCTTTGAAGCTCTTGGTTTCTTTGGATAGAACATGGTGCTTTTCAACGTAGCCTGGAACTGAACTGAGAGTTGGGCCGGTAATCACAAAGGTAGTCGACTCTTCAAGCTTACTTCACTTCCTATTTCTGAATGAATTATCCTTCGACGCTAAGTTGCCGATATGTGTAAATAAGCAAGTGTTCTTGCGGGTAGCAGTCTTAAGAGCTCCTGAATACAATAATTAGCCTCCAGCAGCTGTAGATGAAGCATTAATCAAACAGGTGGCCTCACTAAACTTGATGACGGATCCGTCAATCCTTTTTCTTCCTCTGTTAGTGTTTTGCTACTTTAGAATGCGAGCTGTCTTGGTTCACGAGAGAAGGGACGAATCAGTATATTACCCGTAAAGTATTGAGCTGACAATGCGGATCTTGCCTTCTCGCTCTGGAAGTGCCACAGTGACAACCGGATAGAATGATTTTATTGGTGGCCTCTAGCCTCGAGGCTTAAGAATACTGATTGGTGGCCTCCTGCCTTCTTTCTAAGAAGAGCTGATTGGCGGCCTCTATCCTTAAGACTAAATACGGCTGATTGGTGGCCTCAGCTATGGTCATGTGAGTACGGCGTGTTGGCTTACATTTTGTGCAACCCGAGCACGCCGGAGAGATCACCCCGCGTGAAAGCGAGGACCCCGCAATCGTGTTCTTGAGGCCTTATCGCTGAACCAACCATTACTTGATCTATCCCACTATTTTAGATACGTGGCTATTGTGCTACACTTGCATGCCCGGAATAAGTCCAGGGATGGTAGGCGCCGTTTCGAGATGCGCCCTATTGAATGCGGAAGTGAAAGTGGCTTGTTGGAACACACGTATGCCCCATAAATTTGGCAGCCTTTGAGGCCTGTCTTCTATACCAATGGCTTTGCCGACTTCGCAGAGCCCGCAGATATCATGGCGATGTTGAATGGTGGCGACGGAGCTACTTAATGGGAGCCATCTCACGCCGGGGAAGGAGTCAACACCAAAAAGATATTTTCTTCCATAGCACACGCGGGGAAAGCCAATACCCTCTTACCTATCATTCCAGGATGAATAATTCACCCTCTCAAAATCGACAGAGCCAGCCTCTTTCGAATGGCGCCAATGGCCGTACCACCTCCACCACACAAGAGACCAATGCTACTCGCAACAATTTGGAGATACCAGCACAAGATCCACGCCCGCGCCTTACGCAGTACTGGCTTGATATCAATCATCGGTACCATGTGGTTGCTGGGCAGCTCACACCAATGGAACGTTGGATCCGAGAGTGAGCATTGCGGATCTATCGTTCAAAGGAGATCCCATTTGCAGCATTTCAGCCTCTGTAAGCTGAATCTTTGGACTACAAGGATGTATCGCTGATCAAGACAGGAAGTTCAGGTCTTACTGCGGCCGGTGAAACTTTCCTTCGGGGTAGTTGAAGCGGGTATCCGGGTATAGGCGTACAGTTCTAAAACTTGCCCGTGTCCGGATGTCCGCTTCAACCGCTTACTTAGGAGTAATGCAGTGTACCGTTCTTTGTTTGGAAAATCAAGGGCGGAGGCTGGAGGATTGGCAAGCTGTTGTTGGGATACAGTTCAGTTAACCTCATAGAAATTCATTTTCGTAGCCTTTTCTATATAGCGCATGAAATTGGTTATACATCCTGAGCACGAGAGATTGACCATCTCGAGCGGCTTGTGAGTTTCGCCACGCATACCAATGAGAAGATTTTCTATCCTGTCGGTGACGCCCAGGTGGAACGTCAGATATACAACCGAGTCTCCACCAATGGCCGTGCCGCTCGCCTCTGGGGCCTTCAATTACAAGATCCTTCACAACTCGAGCCTGCTATAGATACCATCTTGCTGCTGCTGCGTGCAGATGGCGGCGGTGAAAACGTCGCCCGAGAACCGCTGCGAGCGCGTGCAGCAGCCTGTGGTGCGCCCATGAGAGTGAGATTCAGATGCTTTATCTGCAGATGTTGTGTGTTTCTGGGCTCTCATGTAGCTTTGACGGTCCGTCGCTGCTGTTTTTCTTGTTGCTTTGGCTTATGTGTTCATGTCATTTCTTTTTGGGCAAGGGTACGGAAATTCATCGCTGGAGCCTCAAAGTCTATGCTCAGTCCCTCCTCCAGGCTATATATTCCATTGTCTTGTGTAGTAGAATTGACTTTTCAGGTATTTGTGTGCAAATAATACTCCGACAAGACTATCCGGACGATCTCTTAAAGTGCCTATGTACACATCTCATGGTGTTGCATGTTTCAAGGCACGAATCGTTTCACAAATGCAACCACAAGATTTAAGTCTGAGTTCCCAAGATGGAAAGCCCTTTATCATTCAACACCCATGACGAATAGCTAAAGTTTAAGAAGTACATGCAAAACCGTCGAATTCCCAAAGGTCAGCTCACGGTAACAACCCTGCTCGGCTCCTGCAATTTCGAACATGCCTACGAAGATTGTCTTTCCGGTTGGATTTGTAATCGCAGTAGCGACAGCAGAACCGGGCAAGTCCGTGTATTGAATCAATGTGGCGACGTAAACTTCTCTCATCTTTGAGGAATGCCTCACACCCCTCGAATTGACATTGATGATACGTGTGAACTTCATGTCCGTGAGTTCTAAATAATCATAAGATCAGTATTTGAATGGTTGAAAAGATGTAGTGGCTTACTCCAAGAGCTGCTCGGACTGAAAGGGCTTTTGGCAGATCTCGCAGCGAAAGCTCAGTACACGAGGGATCTGAACAGAATTTCCCTGGCGGCATAACAAAACATGTACCGTTTCTTGGATGGGATTAGGAGAAGAAGCAAAATTGCCGATAGAAGTTGCAGGTGTGTTTGAAGAGACAGTAGAATCAGTTGCGACCGAAGCGCTCGAAGGAGACTGTGAGACCGTAATGGATGAGCCAACGCTGTAGTCGCTGACCGATGGAGTAAGGCTGTCCGGAGCTATTTCGGGTGCTGGTGACCTGCGGTAAATCCGGACAGAAACGTCTGTATCATCGAAAACGCTGCTTTCCTTTTCGCTCGACGTGGTGGGTAAAAGTTCAAACAGATTCGACTGGAAAGAAAGTGAAGATTCTTGAAGATCAGGCGAGAGCCAAAAAAGATATGACCATCCATTGTCAAATTGTAACTCATCGCAGGATGGAACATAGTTTAATCCGTCCTGTTGTTCAGTCACGGAGGCTCTGGGTGGTGACGACGACGATGATGCATGCTGGGATGCTGGGTACTCTCAAAACTGATAGTATGAAGCACGAGGAACTGATGTTGAGGCGGCAGGGCTAGGCTGTTATACAAATCATATTATCGTTTGGATCTTCGATAGGGGGGACCCTATTGGTGACCTCAAGCTTATCAAGACAAGTATACTGATTGGTGGCCTCAAAACATGGTCACGTGAGTGAAGTACACCCGATTTGGATTTGGTGTAACAAGTCAGCAACATAATACAATGCGGCTAATGAGCTTGAAGTAACTGCACAGCCGAGGCCACATCATTTAGCCAGTCGTTCATAGGCCACGTATGTGCCGAAATCCGTTGTCCTGCACTTGCATGCGCATAACGCCTCTGAAGAATCCATCGACATACGCCCTGTGTGACTGCATGCAGACCACCTTTTTCGACATGCGCATATCCCAAATACTGTATTTGAGGCCCCTGTTCTGCTTCAATCATCCGCAACCGAACCCCAACAGTCGATGGTGTTTACCGCGACTGATATTGACAGCAATGGATATGATTAACGCAAGCTACCTCTCGATTTAGCAGACGCTATCACGTCAAAAGAAATACCCGTTTTCATAGTTTTTTTTAAAGAAGCAATATGATATCGTCCCTACATCTTCGAGCAATGACCCCTCGTGACTCCCGAAGCGGGCAGGATCAGCATCCCACGATGAATGCCAATGGCCATGCCGCCTCCACCGCACGACAACCTGACTGTTACCAAAACAATTCGGAGGAAGCATCCCAGGCTTCCCACCCAAGGCTCACGCCATATTGGCTCGACGTCAATCATTGTCATGACTTGGCCATGAGCCAGCTCACCCTAATGGAACGTTGGGCCCGAGAGTAAGCATCGCGACCTCTCCATCGTTGGAAATTCTGCCAGCTATTGTTTCCATCATTGTTAGTCAGCTTCATGGCCGTGGAGATATCTTGCTGATTAAGGCAGGAACCCCTATTCTTTACTACGAGGTTGCATTCTTTTTCTCAGGGTAATTGGAGCGGCTATTTGCATGTGGTCGTACAATTCTTGAATCTACACATACGTCCAGATGTTCGCCGCAACTGTCCACTCAGGAAGAGCGCGATGTACCATCCATACATTGTGTGGTAAAAGGGCGATGAAAACTCGAGACTTGGCAAGCTTGCTTTGGTAGTTTAATTGACCTTACTATCGTTATTTTGACACTGGAAGTGATCTTCTTCTAAGATGAATGTGTGATTTTGGTAGCCTGTTTACGGCGCGAGAGCCTGAAAGCTCTGTCGACGCGGAACACACTGAATGAATGTGGCCGACCGGGGACTTTGGTGTAGCAACACTACAGACAGCCTCCAGGTTGCCAATCACCACTGACCCCCAGTGATCCATGTGCCCATCTCTCCCGTCGATCTCCCCATCTTCCCAGTAGTAGAAAGCGGGGAAGGTGGAAGCAGCGCAAATAAAGAGAAAGAGAGAACCACCCATCCCATAGCCATCCAACTCTCATGACCCCTTAGACTAGCCCACTGAAAAGCACTTTTTTACCCAATTCCCCCACCAGAAAAGCATCCCCACGAGCCACCCACGCACCCGAAAAGCCCCCCTCCATCCCATCCCAACCAACCAACCAACCAACCACGCACGCACCCCTCAAACCTCCTCGCTCCCCGCAAAGTACGCCAGCTCCGCCATAGCCGCCGCATCGCCCTCATCATCCGCCTCGGCACCCGTGTCGTCCGCCTTCTCCGCCTTGATCACAGTCGTCTCCTCGTCCTCATCATCAGTTTCCGCATCCTCATTCTTGACGCGGGCACCACCGCCACGGCCACCGCGAGGAGTAGCAGACGACGACGAGACGGCCTTCTTGGCCTTCTTGTTGGATTTGGCCTTGCGCGACGGAGACTCCTCGTCATCGTCGACGTCGTCGTTGTTCGTGGAGCGGACGCGCTTGTTGGTGTTGTTGTTGCTGCCCTTGCGGCCAGACGCGGGAGTGGACGGGGCCGAATCACCGCCCTGCGCCATGAGCTTCTTCTTGATGGGGTTCCAGCAGGCGGAGGCCGAGGCGGGGTTCTTGAAGCCGGCGACTTCGGCGAGCTTGGCGAAGTCGACCTGTGATGGTAAGTTTCAGTGGTTAGTCGGCGCGTTCTGTGTAGACTGAAAAAGGTGCGTGAGGTGGTGTTGCGTGCTATTAATGTCGAGCTATGCCCGACGTCCGGGACGGGGCGCGCGTATGGCTCGTTGCGCGGACTTGCGGCGCTGGGTGGGTGGGTGAGGTGACGGGAGGAGCGAGGACGGCTCACCTGAGGCTCGGTCTTGAAGCATTGCCAGACTTTGCCGGCAATCTCCAGGTCGCGCGCGCTGAGCGTGTTGCTTTTCGGAGCACCCATAGTGGATGGTCTGTAGTTGCGAGTGCTTGCGATGAATGCGCTGGTTATTGGGAAGTAGGAGAGCTATTGCTGCTTGAAGAAGCTGTCAGACACAGACTCAAAAAAGTTTCGTTTTGGAGTCAGGCGTTGAGCTGAAGTGAGGTAGGGTGGAGTGCTTGATGTCGGGTTCAGCAGGCTAGGATATGGAAGAAGGAGAGGGGAAGGTCAGCTGGAGGAAGACTGACTTACTCGGACGCGCGTCCCAGTTTCAATGTGTTCGAGGCACAAGAAAGGTGTTGAAGAGTGATGGTGTTGAGGTCAAGGTCGAAGATGAAAACAAGTAGTTTAAGCAGAGACTGTAAGTGATTGGACCCTGACAAATGCCCGAATTGGCTTAGTTACTGCTAGCGTACTATCTCTCTACCATCACGGTACAATTCCAGGCTAAAGAAACAGTCTGAATTTTAGAGGTGCCATCTGCGCTACTCTATTCATGAAGTCTAAATTTGTCGAACTTCCTTACCCTTCATCTCAGGGCGCTCTGCCTCCCACTCGTCCCGAAGCACTGCAAATATGACGTCTGCGACAATCAGGGTCAAGCCCAAGCTCCAGACGAGCGTGATGGCGTAGAAAAAGTTGGCGTTGCCCGAGCCAGCGTAGATCCAGAGGTAGTAGAATGCTGGTCCCAGGAAACTGGCGTACAGCAATGTTGCGCATGCAAGGAAAACATAGCGTGTAACTGGTTTGCTTGTCAATATTATGGTTCATGCAGAGGATCAGGACTACTCACGCGGAAAGACATGGATGTAGAGAGGGAGCAGACTCAGGAACAGTCCGGTCTCCGCAATGCTGGGGTAGGGCATGAAGACGGCAAAGATACCGAGCAACGCAACCACGACAAACAGCGGCTGGCTGCGGATGCGGAAACTCAGCCCACCAACGTAGGCGGACATGTGGAGCCAGAAGACGCCCAAGAAGAACTCTCTGAACGAGTCGAACATTTCAATGAAAAAGTACCACCACAGCCCCACGTTTGGCGTCAGGTCAGGCAGCAAAAGGTGCGTGCCGTAGGTCGACGGGATGAATTCCCAGCTGCCCATGAGCAGACGAGACAAGACCAGCAACGCCCCGATTGTAAATGCCAAGTCCGTGGTGTGGAAAAGCGTAAAGACCAGCGGATTGGGCGCGTCGTTCGGCTTCGCGCGGCGGCTTTCGGCGTCATAGCACAAGAGGAGCAGCGGCGGGAACAGCAGCAGCGGATATAGAGACAGGTACGACGCAAGCGATATGGCGAGGACGAAGGTGAAGGGTCGGCCGCGGGCGGCGCTCGCTATCGAGGTCAAGAGGAGCAGCGACGTGATGGCGGAGGTCGGGCGGCCAAGCATGGTCGCGATAATGAAGGGATTGAAGAGGTAGCTATCCAAGCTGTCAGCATTGGCTTCCGCCAAAAACACAGGTCTGCACATACCCAGCAGCAACTGCCAAGCTACCCCAGCGGAGGTCTTTCCGCGGCGAGGTAAAGAGACGCGACGACACATTCTCGCCCGTTTCGGCGATGCGCATCAGGGCATTGGCGCTGAGCAAGTCCACAGCAATGTATATCAGGTTCGTGGCCAGCGGGAAGGCGTAGATGTCAGGTAGTAGGGAGAACAGCGGGAGCAGCAACGGGGCCTGCATATGTCAGCGGAAAGGCGGATAGTGGGTAGGCTAAGCGCAAGCGGACCTGATGGAAGACACCACCATCGTAGGGGGACACATTGTGCTTGTAGAGGAATAGACCCTCCTGTACTGCGCAAAGTTAGCACAATGCTCGAGGGCGAGCAGCGGGACCTTCGGCGGGACATACGGCGCTTGAAGCTGGTGACGGGAGTGGAGATCTCGACGCGATCGGTAAGCAGGTCGGGAAGCGAGGGAAAGGCGACGAAGAGGAACAGGCGCAGGGCTGCGGCGATGCCGAACAGCAGGGCCTTTTGCTTGTCGAGAGGCATTGGGGGCCTGGGCGGAGGTGCGGGCGTCATATCATGGCGGTTGACAGTGACGATGACGAGAGCTCCCCGTGGTGTTTTCGGCGCCGACGCGCGAGCTGCAGGGAAGGTGCAGGGGTGCAAAGGCGGTGGCAGAAAAAGTTGCGGAGCCGAAGCCTCGTCGCGCGCATCCAGAAACACCGCCGGCCACTTTCTCTCTCTCGCGCCTTCCGCTCAAGTCTCCCCCCAGCTGCCCGATCTTGTAAGTCTCGCCCTCCTATCTGTCGCCATGCCATCCCAATCACCGCCCGCGTATTCTTTCTCCGGTATCTCAACATGGCCGATGTGCGTTTGCAATGGGCGGCGCTCACGATCGGTCTCTTCGAGTACACCGTCTACCAGCTTCGCCTCGTTTTCCATGAGCTGAAAATCGCTTTCTTGTGCTGCATTTTCTTTCTCGTTGAATCATCTCTTCGCCTGGGTCTCCTCCTTCTCATTATTGCTTCCGCCTGCTCAATAGTCTCCTCAGTACTGATCCGCCGCAACGTAGAAAGAATCCTATAAAGGCAGAGCGCAGCCATGGCAGGAAGCAAGGAAAAGAAGGGCAAATCCGGCGCGGCCAAGAACTACATCACGCGCACCCAGGCCGTCCGCAAGCTGCAGATCTCGCTGCCCGACTTCCGCCGCCTATGCATCTTCAAGGGCATCTACCCTCGCGAGCCGCGCAACAAGAAGAAGGCGAACAAGAGCGCCACCCACTCCACCACATTCTACTACACCAGAGATATTCAATACCTTCTCCATGAGCCACTGCTCAACAAGTTCCGCGATCACAAGGCCTTGGCCAAGAAGATCAGCCGCGCTCTCGGCCGTGGCGAGGTGGGCGATGCCTCTCGTTTGGAGAAGAACCTGACACCGCGCATGACCCTGGACCATATCATCAAGGAGCGCTACCCCACCTTCGTTGATGCTCTGCGCGACCTGGACGACTGCCTGTCCATGCTGTTTCTCTTCGCCAACCTGCCGTCCACCGCCGCTGTTCCCGCCAAGACCATCGCTCTCTGCAAGCGCCTGACGCTCGAGTTCGAGCACTACCTCATCGTCTCGCATTCGCTCCGCAAGTCTTTCCTTTCCATCAAGGGCATCTACTACCAAGCCACCATCCAGGGCCAGGACATCCTGTGGCTTGTCCCCTACAAATTCGTCCAGCGCGTCACCAACGACGTTGATTTCCGCATCATGGGCACCTTCGTCGAGTTCTATACCACGCTTCTTGGCTTCGTCAACTTCCGCCTGTACAACTCCGTCGGCCTCATCTACCCGCCCAAGTTCAGCAAGGAGAGTGATGACCAAGGTGGAGAGCTGGGAGCCTTCACCCTTCAGGGTAAGGGCATTGGAGAGCAGCCCGCCATTGAGGCTGCGCCCGCTGCCAATGGCGACGCGAAGGTGTCCGAGGCTGCTCAGGCGGCTGCTGACAAGGTCGCGAAGCTTGCCGAGCCCGACGCGGAGATGCAGGATGCCGACGAGGCCGCTGAGGCGGACAAGCCCAATGACGCCATCGACAAGTTCGAAGCCACCGGCGAGGACGCTGACGAGCTCCCCCAGCCTCAGGCCAGCAGCAGCGAGGCTGCGGCACTGTTCGAGAAGTTCACCTTCTACCTTTCCCGTGAGACCCCGCGGGAACCTCTGGAGTTCATCCTGAAGGCCTTCGGCTGCAAGCGCGTCGGCTGGGACGCCGTTCTCGGTGACGGCGCCTTCACCACCAACGAGTCCGATCCCGCCATTACCCACCAGATCGTCGACCGCCCGAACATCCCCGTTCCCACCCTTCCCGAGTCCGAACAGAACGGCGAGGCGAACGGCGCACAAAGGCTGAAGCCCGGCACTCGCGTCCCCGGTCGCACCTACGTCCAGCCGCAGTGGGTTTGGGACTGCGCTAACCAGGGCAAGCTCCTGAGGCCCGACCTCTACGCTCCCGGCGCAACGCTCCCGCCCCACCTGAGCCCGTGGGTCAAGCCCAAGAAGGGCGAGTACGATCCCACAAAGTCCCTGGAGGAGCAGGAACGCGAGGGCGAGGCCGAAGAGGCCGAGGAGGAGGACGAGTCCGAAGCCGAGGCGGCAGCACCCAAGAAGAAGAGCGTCAAGGAGAGCAAGCTCCTCGACCTGCCCGACGAGGTCGAGGCTGGCGAGGGCATGGACGTCGCCGGCTCCGAGGACGAGTCCGACGAGGAAGAAGACGAAGAGGAGGAGGAGGATGACGAGGCTGCGGAAGAACTCGACTCCGACGTCGATGAGGAACAAGCCGCCCGCATCCAGCACCAGCGCGAACTCGAAGCCGAGGCCAAGGGCAAGCCGTACGCCGCCGACGCAGACAAGAAGAAGAAGGGCGATGCGAGGAAACGCAAGGCGAAGAAGGACAAGGCTGAGGAAGAAGAGCTGGACCGCCAGAAGATGATGATGTCGCGGAGCAAGAGGAAGCTGCTCGAGAAGATGACGTACAGCAACAAGAAGAAGGACGAGCAGGCTGAGAAGCTGCGGTCGAAGAGGAGGAGGATTGAGAAGGGTAAGGCGTAGGTGTGCCTGTATATAGATGGGGGGTTGCGGGGGAAAATACGAAAAAGCGAAAAAGTGCTTGGTCGCTTGGTGCGACCGTTAGTGGTTTCGTAACGCATTGATTGGGAATGGAGTTTAGGAGATAATTACGGTGGGTAGAAAAAGACTTTTTCTGTTTTTGAAAGGAGATCGTGCAGTGCTTGCGTTGTATGATTGAGCGTGATCTTTGGCTGTTAAGAAGATTGTCACGATTAAGCCTGAGGATGAAATGCATTCGTGTACCCGTTATTATCGAATTCATGTTGCAGCTACTCAAAGGGCATTCTTGTTCTGGTTGCTGATCCTCAATGCTGCTGCCAGAGTTTTCTGACGCAGTCTGCGCTGGGGAGCCCTCTGTCGAAACCTCCGACTCATCCCTCTCGCGCTTTGACACTTCCTTTAGCAGCTCTGCTAACCCTGCACATATCGCCAAGTCCTATCGGATAGATGGAGCATGAACCGTAAGCCCCCATCGGTGTATCTCGTTCAACCAGTTCGCGTACCGTACAACATTGTCCGCGTCAGCGAGGATTCCATTATACAGCAGTGTCATAGTGCAGCCGTTCCCCACGTGATGTACGCCCTCAGCTCCTTATCTCGTGGACGGACGAATGTCCACTCCGGTCGAAAGTCGGGATTATGAGCATTTCCGCCGCCGTCGTGGTCGGTCGCATATCCACGGAACACATCCAGACAGAAGATGCGCCGGCAATCGTATCCGTACGGTCCGATGCCGTAGAGGTGTGCAATTTCGAGCTCGTCTCTGTCTGGATAATTCCTCGTCGGATGGTATATGTGTTTTCTAGGCGGATCCGCCATAAAGCTGGTGGCGAGCCGAATCAACGTCTCCGTACGTCTCGTTCCAAATCCCAAGCTCATCTCTTGACCTGTGTCCGTCCAGCTTGTATTAAATCCTCCGGCTTGGGAAAGCGTCGAATGAGCTCGTCGATGACAGGTATGGCTCGCCGGCCATCCGTCTGGTTGAGTAGGATGACGGCGAGTAGTAGTATTGGTAAGTTGAGTATTAATGGCCCAATAGCCATATTCATAGCCAACCATGTGTAAACCATACACTTTTAGCAGCCTCTTGTCCCGCGGAGTCATTGGAGCCTTGGTGTGCTCCGTGCGCTTTTTCATAAGCGTGAAGCGGTTGTACACCGCCATAGCAGCGGCAGCTGCGATCTGATGGTGAGCCTTGCGATACTCTATCCAATTCTGCGTGTGCTCGATGAATAGGTATTGTGTACGTATTTCGTTGTCTCGAAACGCTGGGGAGTGAGTATGCTGGGCTCGAAATGATGCGTCTCTGTAGCGTTGGAAGCTCTCGAGGTGGGCTGCTTTGACTCGGTCATGGTGCTGGAATTTGGCAGATATTTTTCGTCGCGGCAATGGAATGTTCTTAAAATGTGATTGTTCTCGTGGTAGGAACGCTCGATGGTGTTGTTGGAAGGTGCAACGCTAGATGAGGAAAGCGGCGCATCCCAGTCACGGCACCTTCCCGCTCGAAATGATATCTTTCATCCAAGCTTTGGCCACGCTGCCACGAACACGACTGTGCCGACATGGATTACTTCTAAGTAATATTTAGTAGCTATATGAGTTAGAAAAAGGATTATCTTTCCTGCAAGACATTTCTGGATTCCTTGCATATTCGCACATTGCCATCGTCATTGCTCCCATCAGATCGATCACGCCAGCAACATATGAGAGGTCGCGGTGATGAGGTTCCTTCGCAGTCTATTGTGTTACGAGATTGCGGCCTCCGAAAATTCTTCTCGCCTTGTCACAGAATGGCTTCACAAGTAGTGTTGCACAATACATCATATGTTACGTGCCAAGGATGGAGATGGCTAAAATAATGATTGGGGGCCATCGATCTCTTTAGCAGATATGTTCAGGGTTGGGAAAGACACGCATGTATGTACCACTCGAAATGTCTCACCTTCCGCCGGCCTGTGTATCCTGCACCAATCAGGAACGAATTCAACATTGCGTTGAGCAGTCTGCAGAACTACCAGTTTAGATCGAAAGGCGTGCTCTCATACTGATCCTTGCTATACCCAAATTGCAATGCTAATATAAGAAAAAGAGAAGCGAGAAGACTACCGCATGATATATATCAAGCTCAGCTCATCGCAGCCTTGAACTTGCTGCGCAACGTTCGAATGCATGTGCTACTGAAGCCAGGCATCAAATGTTTCTCAATATATCGCAAGGGAGCATATATTTGTGTCATATCTCCTTCAACCATATATTACGAGCCATCCTTTCTCTCACTGTTCACTGCCACCGACATCTTGCCTCTCGAGATTTACCAGATGGAATCTCAGTCGGAGTTGGTGCATGGGGCGCCAGAGGATCTTGCTTTTTCTTCACAACTTTCCCTAAACGATGCTACCGGACATGCTCAAGACTCAGTTTCCGCGGTCAATGATATCCCGCCAAGAGCTACCGATATTTTAAACACACAAGAGCCCGAATCCACCTCCAACAATCTAATAATAAGCCCAGCGAAAACCAAAGGACAAGTCTTTCAAGGGTGGAACCCACTTGTGTTGCGAGACTGGGCTTTTGCCAGCGTTGCGCTTTGCTTCATATTCTTCTTTATGGCACTTGTCGCGCTTCAAGTTGTTGATTCGAAGCACAACGGACTGTTTGCCATCGAGAATAATAACCTGCATTACCTGTGGACCTACGGTCCCACTGCCAGTAAGATCTGCATTCTTTCGCATGGCTTTACTACTTACATGGCTATAGTACTAGCTGTAGTAATGGCGTTTTGGGGCCAAATCGAACATCGAACAAAGCAGTTGCTGCCATGGTCGATTCTTCGCACCAGACCAACGGCAGCGTCCTCCACCCTCCTTCTGGAGTTCGTGACTCTATCTCAGCCAGAAGCCTTGTTCAAATCTTTGAAAGAAGGCCGATGGGCAGTTTCACTTGCTACAATGGGGTCTGTATTGTTGAAACTGCTCACAGTAGCTTCGACGGGCCTTTTGACACTTCAGTCTGAAAGGATTACCATCGAAAACTGCAACTTGATTGCAAAAGACAGATTTGTGTCAAACCCTGATGCTGCTACTATCGCAGAATCCGAGGCTGGTCTTACAATCGCAGCCCTATCGAATGGAACTCTCTCAATTTATCCCGTTGGTACATCGGAAACCGCTGCCTTCTCTACTATAAGTTTGCCGGATTCTTTCCAAGGTAAGATATACCACGTACTCTTCTAACCTCAGCTTATCTTATAGCAGGGGCGAATATCTCTACTATAGAGATCTCTCTCGACGTATTCCACCCGGACCTTGAATGTGAGACCGGACATCTCGAACCCAAGGTCATCCAGCTCGATTACAGGTCTCATGATGATCATCAAATTAATACTACCACATTATGCAACTCGACTCTAACCGATCTCCGCTCTCTCCAAGAAATATACGGATCTTTTCCTGACAGAACGGCAAGCTTCGATATCTGTTCAGACACATGCAGGACATATTCTGGGGACATATCACAGACGCAACGCATGGTCGACGGCATCTGGGGTTTTGGAAGGGTTGACTCTCTTGATTGTGTCACAACCTCAACAGGGAGTAATTCAAGCCGAATAATCTTTACTGTTACGAAACTCCAGCAGCCACACGCGGAAGGGATCGGACCATGTCGTGGTGAACACGGTGACACTTTCTACAAAGCAAACATCACCAACCATATCCTGAACCAGACAATACTATCCTGCATACCAACCTATACGATCAAACCCATGCTCCTGGAAATCGATGCCGCAGGAAATCTACTTCAGATGAAGAGTGCGCTGGACGGAAGTAGTACTGAAAATGTTCAGTTATTTGACGAATCAGCTCTCGTAGAGATGTACATTGATTCTGTTGGCATCATCACAACGGATAATCTGACGGTCACATACGACGCATCATACCCGTTTCTACAAGATCCAACTTTTCAACTATTTCAGTCTCAGCATAATCCAAGAAGAGTCGAAGACTGCTTCAATCGAACAGTATTCTATAATTCTGCGAGAACTCAATTTTCGGCAATATCTGCCCAGTGGGTGAAGCAGAGCTTCGGGAAGGCTCAAAACACTCAAGTTAGAGGCAAATGTTACGGAACTCAACGGAGGCTGAAAGTCAATAATTCGTCTCTTCACATTATGCAGGCTGCTCTGGCAATCCTCACCGCCCTCACCCTTGGTCTGTGGTATTCAAGGCCTAGAAATGCCATCAGTAGAGACCCAGGATCTATCGGTGGATTGGCGACGATTTTTGCTCACAGCCATGACCTGCAGAAACATCTCTCGGACCAAGGCACCTCAGAATTGGCAGAGATTTATTCCAGGCTATGCGGCTTTGAATGCGACAACAAAACCGGGAAAGCAGTTGAGTTATCTCTCACAAGGAGGTCCCAACAGGAAGGAGCAGGTTCGTCAAATTCCAGCTCACAATGGCGACCATTTTCCGTCTTGACGCAGTTCATCTGGATTGTCATTGGGCTCCTTGTTGCACTCCTTGCGGGTCTTGAAGTTAGCTTCTGCATGGCTCAGGCCCATCAAGGTCTTGCTACGGTCGAATGGCACAGCTATGCTTACTACGCCTGGACTTATGTCCCCGCACTGATCATGCTTTGCATGCAGCTCTGTGTCGGCGCCATAGCTTCATATCGTCTTTTGTTGGCCCCCTACGCATGCTTGAAAAGCGTTTTGGGAGGTACGCGGGACGCTTTGCTGAGAGACTACTTGTCTCAGACAGCAATCCAAATAGTTTTGAAATCCGCATCGAGCCGGGACTGGGCCATCCTGCCAATTGCATTGTCGCTTCTTTTAACGCCAGTGCTGACAATTGCCGTAAGCGGATTGTTCACAATCCAGATGACGGGAAATTCACATCTAATAAACGTGACAATTACCAACACCTTCGACTCCAGCAAGTACTCCAATGGTGGTGCCTATTCCTGGACAAAAGCAACTTCTTCCAATCTGGCACTTTACTTTACTTCAAATTATTCACTTCCCGCATGGACATTTGATGGGTTTGCCTTTCCCGAAATACGACTCGAGAATGAAACACGCTTCAATGTCAACGACAGCACTCACAACGCCGGACCACTATGGAATGGTTCAACTTTATCTATTCCACTGCTAGCAGTGAGGCCAAATCTGGTTTGTTCACTCTTAGATTGCCAACCTACAGGGTCTGAGATCACGGAATGGAGCTGTCCGTCTCTTCCTGGTTGTCCGCCACTCTTGCTCTCAGATTACCTCGTATCGGTCAACATAAACAACCCTAAACCCTTCGCTGTCATTGAGCATATCACTTCAGGTGGCAACTTGTGGAAGTGTTCGAGCATTGCTGGTAAAATCGGTGTAAATAGCACGAGTTTCGCTACGTTCATCTGCAAATCCTCTGTATCAGAGATGACCGTCATGACCGAGCTGGACCTTCCATCATACTCTATCAGGAGTATACAGCCGGATGAATCCCGACAGGCCTTATACAGTGCGCTGACTTACATTTCTGTGAACGATCTTGTTCCACCACTCTTCGCGTGGCCATCCCAGGATAATTCCACTTGGGACTTTAGTACCTTCTTCCAAGCAATCATGGCCGAATCAGGATACAACCCCAGCAACTGGCCTATAGAAGATTTCATGGGCGAAGAAAATTTCCCGCGCTTGGCCAAAGCTATGGAACATACATTCCGCATCATTATATCGCAAGTCATCAACTTTGAATTTCGTATATCAGCTGCCAACAACACTCCACCCATCACTGGTACAGTTACCAATCCGAACGTGTGGCGACTTTTCCAAAACAAGATATCTACACTGATCCTCCAAGGCCTCCTCGCAGCCATCGCAATCTGCCTAGCAACCTCTTTTGCCCTCATGAATGTCCAAAATATATTACCTAAGAACCCCTGCAGTATCGCAGCAGCAGCAAGCCTGTTGGCAGGGTCGAATATGCTCAAACCGGAGATCACACCCGAAGACGCGGTATGGAGGAGCGACGCTGAGTTGAAGAAGGTGGGTGTGTGGAGCGGCCACGTTTTCAGCCTAGGGTGGTGGAGCAGGGACGGCGAGGACATGAGATTTGGTATCGACGCCGGGTGGGCGGAAGAACGCGAGGTTTGACATTGTGGCGTAGGACTGAGTTTGGACAAACAATTAAAGGGAATGAGGAAAGTATGGTTGGCAAATAATGCCAATAGGCCAAATCGTTTATCTGGTTCTTCGATTGTACTGCTTGTGAAAATGCTCGTCCCCATTTCTATAGTAGAAACGTTGAAGTGTGCTTTTCATAGCTTGAGCTTTTAGCTTTCAATGACTGAAAAATGTTGCGAGATACCATGTCCTTTGAATGAAGGATATTGTACCCATTAGACTATTTGGTAAGCGCAGCAATTTACTTTCTGCTTTAGTTAGCAAGAAACGGCCTTGTATACGTGGAAGAAAAGAGTGATTTAAGTGGCTAGCTGCACAAACCCCCTGCACTGCATGAGTTCAGCTGGCTTACGTGCATTTTGTGAATCATTACCTCTTTTGTTTGGCGATGCCTCGTACCCTACACCTCACATGGGAAAGATAATAATTCAATAAAGACGTGGACATGCGGGATTGCAACGGGCATGAAAATAACAAATGGGATCCGGGTGAATTTGATGGTCCTAATTGTAGTGACATTTGCAGGCATGGAATTAACTGAGCCAAGTTGATTCAGTTAAGCTACGGTATTCACTGCGGAGATGCAGCAGGTCTCACTCTACCCCGCAATGTTTTTAATTCCATGGCTTGACACCACTGGGTGATTGGGCTGTTGCTCCTGCATCCCCGCAGTGGTTGTATCACAGTCAGATATTTCTGCCAGTCCGATCGGGTACATACAGTTGATGCGAAATTAGATTGAGGGGATAAGATGGGCACCAGCTAAGCTTTGCAGAAGCACAATCTTCTCTTTCTATCCTTTCTCAATTCTACAACAGCCATGGACGGAGATAGCCCCTTATCAATCACAGCGAATATCGTCGGGCTTCTTACATTTCTTGTTGCTGTTGTCGCGGGCTTCTACGCGCGAGCATCGACATTTCAAGCCAGACTCCGTTTTCGAGACGAAATCCTCACGGCTATTCTTGACTCCATGGAAGCCTTCTCAGAGACATGCACGCTGGCAACCGATTACAGCAAACTTAAAGAAGAGTCATACGTACCGCACGAACAGTTCAACGGAATGCTCCACTTCCTATACATTAGGATTTTCGAGTTGATGGGCCTGATTTTGGACCTGGGATGTACCCACTCTGTTTCAGCAGCTAGAGCTCTTTCGAAAAAGCGCGGCAGATTGAGAAGTCTAATTGGTGAAATTGAAGCGCAACGTTCAAAAGTCCGCGAGGCTTATTTGTTTGCACGCTTGCAAGATAACATACTGAGGTGTCTGGGATCCAACCTATCAGTATCTCAAGATTTGAAAGCAAAGCCGGGCGCGGAAGGGGGTCAACTTCGCGAACACATCGAAGTGGCGGCAATGTAAGGACTCCGTTAATGGAATTAAGTTTCGAATGACCGACTTGTCTATCAAACAGGAACTCAATCAACGTCCGGGATACTCTGCCGCACGATGTCAGCAATGCCAACAAAGGTCTTCCACTGAAGCCCTCCGATCTGATGAGGAATGCTTGGAAAATATTAAGCGATGACAGGCGTCAAAATTCGAATCAGTGGAAACGTAGAGAAGAGTTGTTGGGAGATTTCTGGAGCAGTCTCGAGGGAGAAACTGGACTCCACGAGGAATTCCCCACCCCGATACTACTATGTATGGCTGTTATCTTATCCATCACCTCATCCGGGCGCCAGAGGCTGCGGATATCCTCAGAAAAGATACCACCGACTCTACCGACTCCATCGACTCCATCGACAGACGATACTGAAGCCCAGGCGAACAAGATGGCTAGACGTGAATATCTCTCTCGCATCAAAGGAAGCAAACTGGCAGCTGTCATTTCCACCAGAACCCGTGATTTCAAGTATATTTTTTATACAGTCTATACACGTATAGCCCGTTATCGCCCACTTATGATCGGGGAGTATGAAACCAATAGGAAAAGGAACGCTGAAATCTTCCGTCAGACCTCTCGGCGACTATTAGATGCTATCAGAGGGAATGCAGATGTGGATACCTACTGGGCCTTCTTAAAAGATATGCTCGAAGAAGACTAGGATAAGTTTGGGAGGAAGACGAGTGTCTATGATATGATCAAAACGTTTTTCATGTCCAATAAGCAGCCTCATAACCAAGTTGAGTGCTTGAGCTCTTGATGAAATATATGATACAGCGTATCAATCACAGTGAAAACAAGGTGTGAGGCAACCAAATTTTGTAACCACTATTTCATAACAACTCAGATGATAACGCAGCTTAGTGAAAACTTGTCGAAGGTCTCACCATGAACATCCCTCTCCACTCAACGCACAAACACCTCAACAGCAACCTCATTACTCCACCCCGCCTTCTGCCCGCCCTCCTCCCACGCCCTCGCCACATCAATCTCCAACACATCCCCTTTAACCTGCACACAATGCCGCGCCACCGGCTCCCCAAACACCAGCGCCATAAAGTCCTGATCGACATCATACTTGGCCAAATCCCGCACCCACAGCCCAAACGTGCCGAGCGCCTTCAAGCTCGTCCACACGCGCAGCCTGTGCGCGCCCTCGCGCTCGACGTAAGCGTCGTAATTGACGATCGCCGCCGCGGCCGTCATTTTTCCGACGAGGCCGAGCACGCTGACCTGGACGTCTTCGTGGTGCTTCGTCGACAGCGTGTGCACGGGGGTAGCCGACAAGATCTCCCAAGCCTGGACGGGGAGGTCGAGGTGCACGGTGTTCCCATCACCGCGGCTGACCGGCACCTTTGACGTCTGGCCGGTTGTGTGCGCGCGGACGACGTACTCGCCCTGCTCCGTGCCAGGGAAGTGCCTGTCGAGACAGAGCAGCTCGGCGAGGCGGCGCTGGGTGGTGTTGAAGACGCCGACGATAGCGGCGCCCGTCTGCGCGCGGCCGACGTACGTGGCGACTTTCAGCAGGGCCGGGTCGTCGTAGGCGGTGTAGGCGTCGATGGTCTTGCCGAGGTTATGGGGGCGGAGGATGACGGTCGAGCCGCGCGGGGTTTTGGCCGTCATTTGGTTGATCAGTGAGATGTCGTGCTGGCCCGGCACGTCGGTGATGTAGATGGGCCCGCCGGAGACGCAGCGCGCGGCGGCGTGGAAGGAGGCCCATGGGTGCGAGGTCTGGAACATGTCCCAGTCCGGGAGGACGTTGAGGTGCTGGGTTAGGAGGGAGTTGTGGGCGTTGCAGAAGATGTGCCAGGGGTGCGAGGCTGGCACTTCTGGGAAGAAGTCGTCCGAGTTGCGCACCATCAGGCGCGGTTTGTTGGACGGGAGCTGCGAATGGAAGAGGATTTGGGGGGTTTGAGACATGCAAGAGATGGCCTTTGAGGAGAAGTATCGGAGGATACTGATGCTCCAGGCATCTTGGTAGGTTTTGATGAGGCGCTTCCTGACATCGGCCTCGTCAAGTTCATCAAGGAAGAATTGAGCATCCGTCTTGACCGAGTCGATGCCGGAGGAGGACAGGAATGAGTAGAAGTCCTGATATAGCCTAGATACGTCTTCCTCATCAACGACTAAGAACTTGCCCCCCGAGACGCCATCTTGTTTGAGAACTTCAGCAGTCTTGTATTCTTGAGCGATCTTCCCGTCGGGCGAAATTCCTCCCCAGTAACCGAGGATTGCATGCCAAACGGCGATGTGCGACACGTTCTTGAAACGTTGGCGGATCTCAGCAGTGGTGTGGGCGAGACCATTTGGAAAGCCTTCTTTGTTCGCTTCAAATTCCAACCAACCACGCTTGAACTGATCTTGGCCTTCGTGATCCAGCGACTGCCAATTGTCGTCAATGATGAGGGTGGTGATGTTGATGTCGTTCTTCTGGAGAGATTCCAGCGCGTCAAATATTGCCTGCTCTGTGAGATGCTGTCCCAGACCGTTCCACGTGCAATACGTTAGACCATCGTACCACTCCTCCAACCACTGAGCGTGCATTTCATTCTTTTCCATAGCTTTGATCTCGGCCTCGATCTCGTCGGCGGCAGCGTCCCATTTCATGACAAGTCTTCGAGCGTGGTACATGGCGGCAGCATTGGCAAGCTCGAATGACTTCCCGACTGCAATGATGACGGTGGATTCTTGCTCGTCAGTTCCATCATTGCGGGCATGGATCACAATATTGCCGTTGCCGTCATGGATGAGCTCAGTCAAGACATCATTTATCCCGCTTACCGCAAGGACGACTAGGTGGGATCCATCCTTCCTGAGAAAAGACGCTAGAACGGCTTCCTTGTCTGGATTGAAGACTTCGCGGCCCTGGCGGGGGGCCAGCCAGGGGCTCCAGAGGCGGACAAGAGCGAACCATTTGCTTTGGTGTGTAGGTAGACCAAGGGTGAAATTGGACCTTCCAGACTCGCTTCCAAAGGCAGAGTTGACCTTTCCAGTCGCGGTCCACAAAAGCGTGTCAGAAGTCTGACTCGCTTCGTGGTCGATGCGGAGGTCCGGGCTGATGTTGCTGAGGTAGTCGGAGAGGGGCGCTTTGCTCAATTCGGCTGGTTGGTAGTGAAGGTGGCCATCAGAATAGGAGAACTGCTCATTGGCCCATTTCCAAGGCTCATCTTGGCCGGCGCGGAAGGTGATGGTGAAGGAGACGGGGCGATTCGGCCTTCCGGGTAGCTCTCCCGTGAACCATCTCCGGCGACAAGGCGTCGAGTCATCACGGTTGACAACTAGCTGAGGTGGGTTTAGCTAAGCTCGAACAGATAAGTAGCGCAAGCATACCAAAGACGGGGCAGGGTCTTCTTCAGTTAGGATCAGCTTCTCCCATTCGTCGTGACCGGCATGGTTGTGCCACAAGGCGACTTCCCAGGTCTTTTGCGAGGAAGGGTCTGTTTCGATAAGGGCATTGAAGCAAACCTGAGGAGGTGTGAGCGGTGAAGCATGGGCAACAACTGCGGCAGGGAGCTTACGGAGGTCTGGTCGGCGGGAACGACGGTGGTCTGACCCAGAGGCGGCGAACAGACAAGATTGGCGTACATTTTGCGATGAAACAGCAAGCACAGTGAACAGGTGCAAGAAGAGGTATCAGTCAACGGGATTGAATTAGGCTCAATGGAATGATGAAGCTACAAGGCGGAGGTTGCGGAATAGACAATGCGGGGAAGAGCGGAGCACAAGGGCAAATGTGAGACGTAGAGATGAAGAGACGCAGAAGAATGCAGAGGCTGCGTGGGGGGGAGGTGGAAGTGACTTTTGGGGGAAATTGATGAGATGGGACGAGTGGTTGAAGGGAGCTGGCAGGGAGCTATGAGCTGTCGGCCAGGGCTTGGCGGTGACATCGATTGCGGAGAAGGCGCAGGGGCCAACACCGGGGTTGTTCTGCCGCCCAACACCGCCTTTGCCGTGCGGCGATCTCCATCGCCGCCGCGTCCAAAAGTTTCTCCAGCGCGTCAATGGCATCCTCCGCCCTCATCCACCACGCTGCCCGCCCGCGGGCGTGGGTGTGTCGCCAGTGCCTGCTTCGGCAGGCTGGCCCGCGCGTGCCTGTGCGCCCCATCAGCCAGGGTCACATCCGGAAGACCGTCGAGGCCGAATGGCAATGGAAGGAACAGGCCAAAGAGATCCAAGCCGGGCGCAAGCAGAGTTTCCTGAGCATGCTTGAGGAGCGCGGCTTCGTCCAGCAAATTGCTGGGTATGCTAATCCTCCCTCAATCCTCCTCTGCCTGTGCGCTCACCTTCCCTAGCACCCGCAATGTCCTCGACGCAGTTATGACCAATAAGCGCATCGGCGCCTACTGCGGTGTTGACCCAACTGCTGCCTCGTTACACGTCGGCCATATGCTCCCCTTCATGGTTATCTTCTGGATGTACTTGCACGGCTTCCCCGCCTACACCGTCCTTGGTGGTGGCACCTCAAAGATTGGGGACCCAACTGGCCGCACAACCGCCCGTGAGAATCAACACTCGTCCATTCGCAAGGCCAACATGGGCAAGATGCATATTCAACTCAAGAAGCTGTGGGTCGGTGTCGAGCGCATGGGCCGTAAGCATGGCTACGTGCGCGAATGGGCATGGAGAAGGGCGTTGGTGAACAACTCCGAATGGTTGCAGAAGATCGATATTGTCGAGTTTCTGAGAGTCATCGGCACTGGTTTCAGACTGGGTCCCATGTTGTCCCGCGATACTGTCAAGTTACGTCAGAAAAGTGGCGATGGCATGTCCTTTGCCGAGTTCTCCTATCCCGTCATCCAAGCCTGGGACTTCTGGCACCTGTTCCACCGCAACGGCGTTCAGCTGCAGGTCGGCGGCCAAGATCAGTTCGGCAACATTGTTGCCGGCATTGACGCCGTAAATCATATCAGATCCACCATTGCCGATCCTGCCGTCGTGGACAAAGTTATCGAGCGGAAGAAACCATCCCAGGACTACCTGAAAGCTCCTTACGGCCTCACAGTCCCACTTCTCACATCCTCATCTGGTGCAAAGTTTGGAAAAAGCGCCGGAAACGCCATCTGGCTCGACCCGGAAATGACTTCCAGCTTTGACTTGTATGCCGTAAGTGCTTTCTGTTCTGACCCCACCATTACCCTGCCGGCTGACGAGCCATATCTAGTTCTGGATCAGAACTTCCGACGCCGACGTTGAGCGCTATCTAAAATTCTTCACCTTTTTGCCTCTTTCTACGATCACCAAAGTCGTCGAAGAACACAAGCTTGATCCAGGAAAGCGCGTTGCCCAACACCTCCTTGCCCGCGAGTTCGTCGAGCTAGTCCACGGTCCCCATGCCGCCGAAGCGACAGCCCAGCAACACCAGAGTCTTTTCGGCAAACCGCCCCAGCCCACAGAAGTGCCACAAGAGACCTCCGCTGCTCCCGATGCGGATGCTCCTGAGGGCAAGGAGCTTCGAGCAACCGACAAGAGGACCTTTATCAACCCAGGCAGCGGCAATCCAATGGCCCCTCAAGCGAACGCGTTCAACTCCCCGGATATCAGGACTTACCTGCCCAAGTCGGCAGTCTACAACACCGACTTTTCCAAGGTTCTTTACGCTACTGGTATGTGCGCGTCCAGGTCCGAAGCCATGCGCCTCGTCAGCAATCAGGGTGCTTATGTTGCCGGCAAGCCCGGCCAGATCGGACAGCTGGGTGACTCGCTAAAGTGGACCCCCATCAAGCACTCTCAGATGGGCGTTCCTGAGAGATTCATCTTTGACGAAAATCAGATGATGATCCGGATTGGCAAATGGAAGATCAAGGCCATCACTGTTATTCCGGATGAGGAGTTCATTGCGAAGGGCCTTACTTGTCCGGGATGGGATCCTGAGAAGGCAAAGGAATTGGAAAAGAACAACGAAAAGAAGTCTGAGGAGGAGCAAAATGAGGAGTCTGGAAAGGCGTGAGTTGTGTATCAAGGTACGGAAGAGGATAAGGCTTGTTGTGAGTATACCATGAAATCTCGACTCGCCGTTGTATTATAGAAGTACGGAAAAACCGCATAGATTCGGATTGTACGATTGATTCTTGAATTGGACTCGATTTGGTATCTCTGAACAGTTTCGAAAACATGATGATCCCTACCTGGCTGATTCTGCCAATATAGACCACACGCCCTCCTCACACCCGCTCCTTCCGCTCCTCACCACCTAAACTACGACTCCTCTTCCCCTCGCTTGAGTTTCCCTTCTCCCTCGTCACTACCACATCCAGCTCCCCACCCTTCCTGACCCTCTTCTCCGTCCACACGGGATTCTCGCCCTTCTCATGCGCCTCGGCGAAGATGCCGTCCATCGTCTCGAGCTTGTACCCGTTCGTCTCGACAAACGTGAAGTACACGACCGGCACGAAGGCCAGGTTGAAACACATGAAGACGAAGTACGTCTGCCAGCTGATGCGGTTGATCATGATGGGGCTGAGCTGCACGACGGCGTAGTTGAAGATCCAGTTGGCGCTGGTCGACAGCCCGTTGGCCTCGGCGCGGATGCGGATCGGCGTCACTTCTGCTGGGTAGCTGCGTTGCTGTCAGTATCAATGGAGCGATGATGGGAGGGTGAAAAAAGGACGCTTACAGCCACGTCACGCCCAGCCACCCCACGGCGAAACACGTGTTGTAGACGAAGATGAAGACGGTCGCGGCGTAGGCCGGCGCGCGATAGGACGGCGTCGTTTGCGAGAGGCAGATGCCGATGATCAGCAGGCAGAGCGCCATGCCTAGAGCGCCCCACATCATGAGACGACGGCGGCCGAGCCGGTCGACGATGAAGAGGGCCAGGACGGCGGCGAGGAAGTACTCGGTGCCGAGGAAGCCGGACATCAGGCGCGAGAGCTCGGGGGAGAAGGAGAGCGAGGTTTCGAAGACGGTGGTGGCGTAGTAGCTGGGATGAGGGTCAGCATTCTGTGCGCTGGGGTGCGTGTTGCCCCCTTCGAGGAGTGAGGGGGAAGGGTAGGACGGGATGGTGGGTAGGGAGCATCCTTACGTGACGAGGTTAATCCCGCCAATCTGCTGGAAGGCCTGCGACGCGAACGCGACGCCCGCCCGCCACCCGTTCTTCTCGGGCCCGTTCGAGAAGAACTCTTTCACCGTCAGCCTCCTGCCCGTCGTGATGGCGTTGACCTTCTTGATCTCGTCGACGTCGCGCAGCAGCTCCGCGTCGTCGACGGTCGTGCTGTGCAGGTTGGCCAGGATCTGCAAGGCATCCTCGTCGCGGCCGTGCTTGAGCAGCCACCGCGGCGACTCCGGGAACAGCAGGATGCCGCCGATCAGGATGAGGCCGAAGACGGCTTGGAAGGCGAGCGGGAAGCGCCATTGGAATGAGTTTTGGTTGACGAACCAGAAGCCGTAGTTGAGCCTGGTGGTGGGGGAGTCAGTGGGTGGTGTGGTGGGGGAGGAGGGAGGGGAAGGTGGAGGGACGGCGTACCAGTAGCTGACCATGATGCCGCCGGTGATCAGGGCGCCTTCGAAGAGCACGAGGAAGCCTCTGGTCTTGGGTGGTGCCATTTCGGATTGCCAGACCGGGATTGAGGAGGTGTTCATGCCGTTTCCGATGCCCGTCACGATTCTGGAGTTTCGTCAGTTTTGCGCCCTTGGAGAGGTGGTTCGTCGACTTGCCTTCCGACAATCAGCTCAGGAAGACCGAAGGACGCGGCTTGGATGGCGGTTCCGGCGAGCATGATCAGCGTCCCAATCAACACTGCTCGTCGTCTTCCGAGCTTGTCACCATAACAGATGATCAGGATAGATCCAATGAGACAGCCGATCTCATAGATGGCGACAACGAGTGCTTGAATAGCGCCTGACTTGTTCTTAGGCTCCATTTGTGGGAACTGCTGGAGGAAAAGAGGTTCCGTGATAATGCCGGACATGACACCTCTGGACTTTTGTCAGGGAACTACACCCAAAGATTTCAGGTAGTATGTGGAACGGCGTACTGGTCGTAGCCAAAGAGCAGGAACCCGGAGGCTGCGGTTGCGCAGACGCCTACCTCAAGGTTCCTTCCCTTTATTCTCTCACCTAGCCAACCTTTGTGCGATAGGGCCATGGCTATTTAAACGGGTTATAGGGCTCAGTATGGAGTGAATTTTGAGAAGTCTCTAAAGTATCAGTACGATGAAGTCATTGATTGGCCCGGATCTTGGGTTCTTCAAAGCGGGTGATAATGTTGTCTGCCAGAAACTGAACATCCGCGCACCATACGCGGGATTTATATATATTTCATCTAGTTCTACATGCAACGGCATAAGGCAGTGGCCATGACATCATGATCTGGGGGGGACGATAGCACTTGAACGGGAGGGGTGGCAATGCCGGAGGAGCTCACGCGAGACACAAAACCCCAGGGCACAGATGAGCGGGGAATACTGGAGGGCGGCACAGTGATTCTAAAGTCCTATTCGATCCCCATCGATGTGAGAGTGAGAAGTTGTTCGAAAAATCGGGCCAGCAACGTCATGCTGGGTGAGCCGGAACTGCCTGAAAGGGTAACACCGATGATCGCCCCCTCGACGCCGCCTCTTGTCTGATGAACACCATGCCGGTGCTGCTGCCGTGTAGGATGGTGGCAATTTTCTAGAGTAAACCCAGAATGGCTTTCCGGAGGTGAGAGTGCGTATTGTGTTCGCTGTCTCCCGTTGGTTCGTCGATTCCGTCTGAGTTGTGGCGGCGAGCGGTGCAGAAAAACGACGTGTTGGTTCAGATGGAGCAAGCCGGCGCCTCTGCATGTCTAATATTACGGGTGATATGGAAGATCGGAGTAGGTCTTGGTGTGCCAAGTCTGATAACTCGTTAAGTGGAGATACTTGCACGGAGAGGGAATGCACCTGCAGTGATCAGATCAAAGTGGAATGCGGCTGGTTGGAGAAGTTAACTTAAGCAGGAGCCCCGGTTGCATGCCTCACCGATCATTGTCATTTCCCGTAATTTTTCCGCTCACCTGCCACATGTGTCGTAATAGTTCGGATGATGATAACGAAAGAGCAGGATGTGAAGTTGTCTTTTTTCCTCACTCATTCATCTAAATTATGGAAAGTTGCTTACGGCCACATCAGCCTTTAAATCACCCAGTTACAGGTCGTTCATTGTTACACCAGGACCAGACGTAATTTCTGGAGCAAGCCTGGTGTAACAACGAACCAGCATTTTCGCACGTGGTATAAATTAAACTACTCTTCCCTTCAAGCATTCCCAGAGACCTACCACCATATTTTACTACCTTTGTGCCTAACACGGAAGAAGTGTTCGCAGAAAAGGAACTTTGCGCACATCGGCACAGAAGAAGCGGCCTGTAGGCGCCTGTGGCCAGATGACGGCGACGGAGGCGCTTGGCCAGCGGGAAACAGCGGCTGACGGTAGCGTCAGTAGCCACTCAGGAAGAGTTCGGTCCGTGTGAGGTTTCAGACGCGCCGACAATGAGACGCCGTATCGCACGAGCATCGACAGTCACAGCAGGTGTGGTAAAGTGAATGGTAACGAAGCGATGGTGAGACTGGTGTTCGGTCGCAGAAAGACAAGTGAGGCGCGTCGCGCTTCTGTGGCGTGAAAGAGGTGGCCGCTTCTTCGCATTTTTACCACCACCCTCACTCTGCATCGTCACTTTCTTCCTTCCTCAACACAGCCAGCTTGAGCGCGCATTCATTTTTGCTCGCGGTCTGGCACCGCCAGCATTTATGTCGCCTTCTCTTCACTGTTAATACTCACACAATCGTCACTCCGCTTCACCTCCCCGTATCTCCTCTCTTCGTTTGTGCTTCACTTGACGCCCACCGTCACTATGCAGTCTTCTTTATTCAAGTCGCTCATTATCTGCCTCGCCATATCCCTGCAGGTTCAAGCGACCTTTGTGGTGCGTTGTGGCAGCCGCCTCTACGACCAGCGCTCCGACCCAATCGTCCAGCCGGGCCAAGTCTCTCAGCATGTCCACGTACTGTGCGGTGGAAATGGCTTCAACTTCACCATGGATTTCCAAGACGCGCGCAACTCGGTTTGCAGCACCTGCAACATCAAGCAAGACATGTCCGCCTACTGGACCCCCAAGATGTATTTCCGCACTGAGGACGGAAACTTTCGACATGTTCCGATCATCGGGGACGACGGCAAGGGAAATACAGGAGGAATGGCCATCTACTACCTGTGCGCACCGCATTCGATACTGTCAGTTGACTTGCTGATTTCCTGCATTCAGCCACCGTCCGGGCCCCGACAATGATCCAATCCATCCATTTCCTCAGGGATTCAGGATGGTTGCCGGCGACATGTACAGGCGCACACCGGGAACAAACTTCAGCAGCCAGGCAATAAGCTCTCTCTGCCTCGGCGGAGGTCCCAGCGGTGCAGATGTCGAATTCCCGGGATTTCCAAATATAACGTGCCCGTATGGAGTGCGCATGCAGGTCACCTTCCCCGGTTGCTGGAACGGCGTAGACGTTGATGCCCCGGACCACATCTCGCACATCGCATATCCGATTGATGGAGCCTTTGATGGCGGAAGGTGCCCAAGCACCCATCCCAAGCATATCATGACGCTCTTCTTCGAGGTCACTTACAATACCCAAGCTTTCACCTGGTGGGACAACAGCACTCAGCCTTTCGTTCTCTCAACCGGCGATCCAACGGGCTACGGCATGCACGGAGACTTCCTCAACGGATGGGATGGCGACACACTGCAGAAAGCCATCAGCGACTGCACCGACGACAGGCCCGACTGCCCCGACAAGACCTTCACCTACTGGACGCCGGCCGAGCAACAACGCTGCAAGCTACCCCTCTCGGTCAACGAGGCGGTCCAAGGCATGCTGCCGTCCCTCCCCGGCTGCAACCCTGTGACCTACGACACGCCAGTAGCGGCAATCAAGCGCAAGCGCAACTGCGCAAACACCGCAGCCGCCGCTATGAACCCAAGCAAAGAACGCCCACTGCCGCCGATCAACGGGTGGGATTACCTAGGCTGCGGCAACGACCAGCCGGAGCAGGGCCGCACGTTCCCCGACGAATGGTGGGTGGACGACAGCGGGATGACGCATGGCAGATGCGTCGACCACTGCGATAGCCTGGGTTACACGTATGCGGGGATAGAGTACGCGAACGAGTGAGTAGTGTGACTCGCACGAGGCTGGCCACGGCAGCAGGCGGGCAGGATTTGGAAATCTAGAGTGCAAAGTGCTGACGAGAAAACAAACAAAACTGTAGGTGCTACTGCGGGGGTAGCCTCGCCTCTGACCGCATGCCGTGGGAGGGCGTCTGGGGAAACTGCATCCTGCCTTGTCCTGGAGACGAAACGATGGAGTGCGGTGGATACAACGCGATCACCATCTACAAGAAGGCTGCTGCGGTAAAAACGTCCCCAACGAGGCCAAGCGCGCGTCGGTTCGCCGAGCGGTTTTCGGAGCATCTAGGCGTGGGCTTGGAGTGATCCTGCGTGCCTTGGGCATGCAGGTGCGGTGGAATGGGCCGGCCAGCCAGCCACTGCCGCTGTTTATTATTGGCTGCCAAGGAAAGAGGCTCAGCCGGTTCCTATTTTAGCGCTTGCCTGTTTCTGGGCGAGATGAATGGCGCTTTGAGTGGAAAGTAGGATGGCGGTGAATTAGCCGGATGAATAATCAGAGCGCATATCAAAAGGTTAAGATTCGTCACAGTGCTGGCTACACTGCATGAGGTTTAAAATGGGTTGCGGACGGTTGCGTCAGCCTTTCCATCGGCGCATCTTGACGGCAGACCCTATGGGCGGACCATGTTGGATCTTATAAGAAAATCTCGCACGTGCGGCATGCCATTCTAAGCTTCCACGTAACCTTCTTATATCAGTCGCAGGGTTGCGGCTACTCTTGGCGAGGGCCTAAAAATAGTCGATAAGCTGACCAAACGGGAAGCGGGGTGGGCCTAGACTGCCCGACCAACCACTGAGTTGGCACCAACATCGACCCGTTCACCACCAAATCTCGTCCCGCGCCTTGTCTCGGTCCGGTATCGACTCGGCCGCCTGTGGACGCCTTTGACGCGCCGACAAACTGTCAACCCTCTTCACGCAGGCCAGGGCACCCTCGCAGCACCACTGCAGCGACCCCGCACCCAGCCTTGCGGCTGCCCAAGGCTCCCAGGCAGCCCGTCCAATCCTCCACGAATCACAGGGCCACCGCATCCACCACCATGCGCTCGTACCTTCTGCGCCTTGAGGGATCCAGGCGTTGTATTCCAGCGTGGTAGTCGGCCCCCACGATCCGACCCACAGCTGGGCGGTCGTGGCTGGCCGCGAAGGATGGAAAGTTCCCACATCCCTGCGCAGCCTCAGCACTTGCATTCGCTGGCGGTCAAGCCTGAGCATGGTGTGCCGTCTGACATGCATAGGCTAAGCGCAAACAGACCACGCCACCACCCTCGAACCCGTGAGCATTACGAGTGGAATTTCCAACAGCCAAGCCGTGCTCGGTACGCGGTTGCGCCTGTGTTCGATGGAAGTGGATGGGGGACCCGGCAGCCCCGGCGCGGCACTGCAGGCGGGCTGAGCCGCCGCGTGGTGCTGCGAGTGTGTGTTAAAGAAAAACCGATATCCCAACTACCGGGTTGTTTCTGCACCCACCCTGCTCTCCCCCCGCTTTCGCACCTTTTCGATCGGCCGCGCGAGGCTCATGTAGCCGTCTGTTGCCCACTCTGCTCTCCCGTCGCGCGTCTTCCCTCCGGTTCGCGCCCATCTCGACATCTACCTTCTCCCTTCAGCCATGAGAGCATTCCTTGCGGCCATCGCCGCGCTGCGGCTAGCGACTGGTGTCTTCGGCCAAACAACAACAGCCTCGAGCTCGAGGACCATCCACACCGTTGCCGTCGGCGCCAATGGCCACAACTTTACTCCAAACACCACCTACGCCGATCCCGGTGACATCGTCGTCTTCGACTTCTACCCTACTAACCACTCCGTCATCCGCGGCGAGTATGCCAACAACACTTCAATATGCGGCGTCGCCGGCTGCAACCCGTGTGTGCCCTGGGAGCTCTACCACGCCAACGAGGACTACCAAGGCTTCTTCTCCGAAAATAGGATAATCGATACTTTCACAGATGTAAGCACCAACTTTCCAGTAGTCACCAGCGCCGGGGAAGCAACGTAAGGCGTTGTCGATAGGGGAAGACATTGCAAAAGTCAAAGCCATTGTCTGGGGCGTCGCGAGTATAATAGGCCGTGACAACTGTCTCAGATGATCAGCATCGCACGTTCGCACGGACCCTGACTCTGTTGAAACATCATCGCTACACCCCATCACGTCACGACTTTACAACAAGAAAAGCATATGAACGAATCGCTGACTTGTTGGCAGAGGCAAACATGGAATCTCACCATCAACAACACAGAACCGATCTGGTTCTACTGTGATGCGATAGAGTCGTGTTCGCCAAACGGCATGGTTGGGGTAATAAATCCGGTCAGTGTTCTACAAGCAGCCTCCCCCGTGCCACCCACTGACATCATCCCCAGCAAAATGGCTCGTCCTTCAACTACCAGCACACCGAAGCCATGGACTCCGTGTACCAGCTGGCGCCGGGCCAAACCTGGCCCGCCGAGGGCTCGTCATCCACGTCATCATCCAGCTCGGGCGGCCACCACAGCAGCAGCCTCTCGGGCGGCGCCATCGCCGGAATCGTCGTGGGGTCCGTCGCCTTCGTCGCCATGGCGGCGGCGCTGATGTTCTTCGTCGGCCGCAGCCGCGCGTACGGCAAGTTCTTCAAGCACACGCAGTCGCAGCCCCCGCTGTCGGAAATCGGCGACCACTCCAGCCAGCCCGGCGGCATGGGCGGCGGATCCCTGCCGCCGTGGTCGGACGGTACCCCCTCGCGCCTCGGCAGCCCCCCGCCGACGATGCCTGGAAGCCCGCCGATTGGTGTTGGGCAGAATGAGAAGCCGGTGAATCAGGCGCGCTGGAGCGATAGCACGGCGTTCACGCACAATAATGTGAATACCCAGCCCCGCTACAGCTCCCCGCCCCCGCAGGAGCACATGATGTTCGTGGGGTACAATAGGCAGACGGGCGCACCGGAATTCGCACCCGAACTTCCTGGAGATCACGAGATTCACCAGGTGGGAGGACCGGATGCGACAATAAGGGAAGAGGCGCGCGTAATTGGAGGAAGCCCGGTGGAGATGGATGCGAACGAGGCAAGAAGATTAAAAGGAGGACATTGAGTATGAGAGGGATGGGAAAGACGAGTTCCAAGCGTTACGTTTTTGCACTGCAAGGGAAAATACGGCACCGGCGACAGTCGCTAATGCCCCATGGACGCGTCTGCTGGAAAACGGGCAGACTGCGAGTTATTTTTTAATCTGCTTTTCAATATACCCTTCGTTATGCGAAGTTTTCCGACACGATGAGCAATCCGCCGCGCCTGGGCCGTTGAGTTGTCTGCTGTTCAACCGGGGTGCTGGAGAGGGGGAGGCTTTTAAGCATTGAAGTATGCCAATACTCCGGAAGCGATAGCCGAAGGTGCTTACTTATCTCGCAGGCCTGTCGGAACTATTGAGACAGGGCACCTTTTGCAGGATGCGATTAGGCGACCTTATCATCCCAAAACGGCAGGTCTGCCATACACAAGCGTCGCGTGACGAACCCACGCCACAACTACATGGTACGCCCAACTTCCTTTCTTCATCCTCCGAAGAACGCCTTCAATGCTGTTTTCTCCGGACTTTCAGCCAAGGCCTTCCGCTTGAAGGGTGTAACCATCGCCGCTCAATAAGCGCTGCACAAGACATTCATCTGCAATGCTTGGCTTCTGTTAACGCCAAGTATGACGCCTTTGAAGCCCTGGCATCACTCGGGCCTGTCCACCTGCCCGATCAGCATCCCGGCCCGAGACTTGTTGACAAAGCAAAACAATATACCTATCGCCTGCTGTTCTTGGATTACCGCCGATAGGCCTTGCAGTATCTCTACATTGCGGCTCTCATCGACAAGTGACATGTCTTGTCCCACCACGGAGCCCGCATAATCTACCTCCGTCCGCCTCTGTAGCACCGAATCCGCCCTTGAAGCAATCCTGACGGAAGGACGCGTCAGCGGGACAGATCTTCGATTTACACAGCAAGCTGAGATATAAATCTATGCCTCCTCAGATTGCTGTCTCGCGCGTGAGCAAGGTCCTGACGTCTATGACTGACTCCACGCGGTGGACACCTGCAACCACTTAGGTCACAACAGCCCTTGTCACCATGCGGCATGCCTCAAAATTGCTCTTTCGTCTTCTGCCGCCTTCCTCTTTCAGCTAACACTATACTGCAGTTCCAAGGCCACATCTACCCGGCGCGATGCGGTTTTCCAGAAAAAGCCCGCCGTCTTCCCACTGTGGCGCAACGCCTCAGGCGTGGCCGGTATAGTCTGCCCCTGTGCACACAAGGCTTGGTCCGACCGGAACAGGCAACTACTCAGGGCATTGTCAGGCCTGGTACCTGGCGAAGCCTGCTTGGCGGCTCTTGACTGACCGCATCAGTTGATCCGTCGCGGCCTTGGCTGGGTTTCTTCAACGCCTGACTTCCTGAACTTCATGTCTCTCGCAACACAATGGTACATGGACCCGCCGGGCCAAGCCAATACTGTCATGCAGTCTACCCTTTGTCTCTTTCCTAGAACAACGATCGCGCGCCAAGTGTAGTACTGGGACGACACCAAGGTACATCCAGGCTACGCGAGATGGAAATGCATCGAACGGGAGGAGAAGGCCTTGTAGTGAGGGTATAAAGACTGCGAGGGAGGACCGCATTCGAAGTACCAGCAGCAGCAGCAGTTCAGCGCTCAGGATCTCCTCAAGTCAACGGAACCAGCCTTCAAAGCCTCTTCCTCAACTTTCTTACCATCACCATGAAGACCACCCTCCTCATCGCCCTCCAGGCCGCCTTCGCCGCGGTCCTGGCCGCGCCCGCCGCCAACCGCCAGCGCCGCGACACCAAGGAGTTCGACATCGTCACCACTCCGGAAGTCGACGTCGCAGCGCTCCTCGCCGAGATCGAGCTCAACGCCGACATGGACGACGTCTTCGCGACGTTCAACAACACGCAGTTCAAGGGCTTCTCGGGCGCGCTGACGCAGCAGGAGGCCGACTTCCTCAACGCCAAGGACGAGGTGCTCACCGTCGAGCCCGTCGTGCCCATCCACGCCCTCGCCACCCGCGGCAGCGCTCCCTGGGGCCTGCAGCGTGTCTCGCAGAGCAGCCGCGTGTCGGGCAGTGCCAGCTCCAGGAGCTTCACGTACACGTACGACGACACGGCGCTCGGCAGGGGCGTCGATGTGTACGTCGTTGATACGGGCATTTACACGGCGCATTCGGAGTTTGGCGGCAGGGCGAGGACTGGGTGGAGCTACTACTCGTCGACGTCGGATGGGAATGGGCACGGTACGTTGATCCGGCAAATCGACTGCTTGTTTTGGAATGAGGGGGCGGGACGGTGCTAACTGCTTTAAGGAACTCACTGCGCCGGAACTATCGCCGGATCGACCGTCGGCGTTGCCTCGAACGCCAACCTGATCGCCGTCAAGGTGCTCGACAGCAGTGGACAGGGTACTTCGACTGGTGTAAGTATTCCCCCAATCACTTGGTTCTTCTGGTTTCTCTGCACGCGATCGTGGAGATGGACCAATCAGGATGCTAAAATGACTGTTTTTCACAGCTCCTCGCCGGTCTCGACTATGTCGCCTCCACCCACAACACCCGCAAGAGCCAGAGTGGCTTCATCGCTTCCGTCGCCTCCATGTCTCTCGGCTTTGAGGGCCGCGCCACCGCTGTTGAGACGGCCGTCCGCAACCTCGCTGCTGCTGGTGTCCACACTGTCGTACGTAATCCGTCGATTACTTTCACCACCACCATTTGGAACTTCACCTTTCACTTTCATCACCAGCTTCACAATCTTCACCACTTTCACCATTACTACTTTCTCTCTTATCATCACCACCACTTCACCTTCATCTCCAATACAACGACCACCGCCACTTCAACTTCTTTCACTTTCTACACCCCACCTTCCACCCATCTCCCTTCTTACCACTAACGCCCACCCGCCCTTAGGTCGCCGCCGGCAACTCCAACACCAACGCCTGCACGCAATCCCCCTCGGCCGTCGGCGGCACCGGCTCCTCGACCGTCCTCAGCATCGGCGCGTCCACCATCGGCGACGCCGTCGCCTCCTTCTCCAACACCGGCCCCTGCGTCGACGTCTTCGCCCCCGGCCAGGACGTCATCTCTGCCTCCAACTCCGGCGCCAGCACCTACCGCAGCCTCAGCGGCACCTCGATGGCCACGCCGCACGTCGCCGGCCTCGTCGCGTACTTTGCCGTCGGCAACGCGAACCTCCGCCAGAGCCCCGCGGCGATGAAGAGCTTTGTGAAGAGTGGCGCGATTAGCGGTGTGCTCACGAGGAACTCGGGTTATGTTTCGGGTGGCGATTTGGTGCTTGTTAACAACGGCGCGTAAGCTGTTCGTCCAAGAGGAGGAGCGCGATGGCGATGGGGCTGGTGGTACTGGGAAAGAGGAGGATGATGGTGGTGCGCGGCTTGGCTGTGATGGGGGGTTTCGATTCTTGGTTTCAATTCTTTCGTCTTACCGTTTTTTCCCTTTTTGTCTTGCCTCGGAGTGGTGAGCTGAAGTGGTGCGATGAAGCTGGCTTTCCTTATATATTATCCAGAAAAGACGTAGAGTAGAGTGAGTGTCAATGCGAAGTTGCTCGGAAAGAATTCTTTCTGGGTTGGAAAATACAGAGCTGCTTAGGGCTATCGTGAAAGTGATGACGTTCTAACAACTACAGGAAACACATTTGACAACTTTCACCAAATAAAGCTTAGTCTGAAACACTTGTTCAACCATCCATGCTTCTTCTGCGGGACCCCAGGGTTCACGTATTGGCAATTTTACTGAGCTCTCATCTCCCCCACCCCCCGTAGTGGCTGTCCCACAACTTGACTAGCACGAGGCGGTACTCCATCGAGACTCCAGTTCAAGTTCAAGAATATCCTTGCTAGTCCTATCTTTCATCTCGGGTGCCTTGCTGATGAGATGAATGGGGATGGCACCGCAGTTATTCTTGACATTAGAAAGTGTAGACAAGATATGGAGCCTTTTAACTGGTGGCACGACGTCGTAAGCCAACAGATTCACTTTCCGTGTTTGACTCAGCATCTGCTAAGTCTTGTTGACAAAGTTGTTCTGAGTCTTGTGCGGTGCTTGTGACAATGCCTTGCTCAACATCGTCCAACTCTTGTAGAAAGAGGAGGTGTATTTTAGATTCCTTCCCGTCCGTCATTTCTGTAGGGGCATGTTAGCCTTCAAGGTATACAGAGAGAACGGATCAGATGTTTCTGCTCTTACCCACGTATACCTGCCATACTGAGAAAAGAAGTTGCCCGAGGACAAATATGGCTAGCGTCTGCCCATACCCCCATTCCGAATTTGCACTCAGGTCACAGTGATGACCGGTTGGATCTTTTCTTAACTTTTGTGCCATGACAAATACCGCGGAGACAACGAAATAGCATATCTGTAAGCCAAATGCTAAGGTGCTATTGCATGCGAAGTCTAAGAACCGGGCATCGACATCGATACACAATATCTGGATTAATAGATTCCCGATTTTGATTTCCACCTTCGTAAATGGAAAAAGGCAGTGGAGGTAGATCCAAAATGAGTAAATCTCGAAGAGGTATACAAAGAAGAACAAAGCCATTGATCGCCCAGTAATGGAAACGGATGAACTATCCCCAAAAAGTGCTATTGTCTCTTCAACAGTATTCTCTGTTGTATTACCATTAACATGATGGGTGGGAAAAAAACCAGTGATAGCGATGAAAGGGGGGAAAGATGCTGAAATGGAAACTGCAAAAACCAACATGAAAGAGAATGCAACTAACAAGAGCATGCGAATCACATACGCCTTTCGATTCCTCATGAATGAATCTTGAGCAGTAATTATAGCTCCGACAGCAGCACTGCGAGAGAGATAGCTGAGATAGACAATCAGATGGAAATGCGCCTCCTGTGCCCGAATGTCGTACGGAAGGCGCAGAAAATGCTCGCTCCATTCTGTTCCGCGGCTGATTTCAATGTAACCGCTGACAATCAACGCGATACCAGTGAAGATCTGTTGGTCTGCAAATTGTAGGAGAAGACGGTCAAGCAGCTTTCGATGGGAATTGTACTCTTCCTTTGGTAACTGAGTAGGTCGAATTGTCCGGCAGATATAGTTGCGTACGCACTTCGGAAGTAGTGCGTTCGGACTGTCATTCTTGATGTCCATGGAAATAGCGTAAAGTGACAAAATCATTGTCAAGAGGGCAGTAACCCCGTAAGAGACCATTACCTTTAATCGAAAAGTTGTTAGTTACTCTCATGCGGCAAGCTGATCGAAAGTCTAAAACTTACCCCGACGCCAGCTATGTCCATGTTTGTATCGCAATTTTGGTCTGCGTAGAACCATTTTTCATCAAAGATGACAAATCCGTCTGTAGCTGCAGCCATAGTTGAAGTTTGAAGCCGAACTGTAGGAATGATGGGTGTTACGAAGAAATGATTTTTGGTGTGAGAGCACTGGGGACGTTCCAGCGTGTTATATACCCTCACCTCACTCGCCTACAGCGCGGCGGTAAGTCTAGAACGTACTTCGTGTATAATCCTTGCTAGAGATCCTAATCGTGCTATGAATGTGCGAAACAATGATCTGGACTCTAACTGGGTAATAGGAAATTGCTAGTAGTATAACCTTGGTCCCTATATGTTCGCCCGCAGAAGATGGAGTATGCCAAGGAATGTGACTTGACACGAAATCCAATCGTTATAATTTAGCCTTGCCCGTTTGCATCAAGGAGACCTTTCAGGTCCCATACTACTGCATAGGCGGATAACTGCTGTGTAACTCAAGGTAGATTGCTTGCCCCTCCCCTTCCACCCCCTAAATAGTTTTATCATAGCATCGCTCCCCGTCCTTTCAATAGAACTAAAGGTACAGGGTGATGTTTGCCGTTGCATCACAGATGTCTTATCAAATAAATCGATGCTACTTTATTCTTTTTGCCCACCAGAGGTAACGATTTAACGGATGGCCCTATCTAGCTACAGAACAATGAGGCGTAAGCAGGCAAACTTTGGCGCGCACTAGCGTCTCAATATGCTGCAAGCAGGGATGCTCATCGTTGCAGTATTCAGCTCAGTGGCGCTCCGTAGTGGGCGCGGAGGCTTGTATCACAAGGCTATCCATAGCTTTTATTCGTCGCGTTTCGTTAACCAATATAACTGGAAGGTGGGCAGGACGCCTGGCGCGCGCTTAGTTAGGCTTGATTTCAGCCTTGCGGGATATGTGTAAATCCTACATGAGAGCTTTTCTTTTTGAGTTGATGAGTAGTTTCACAAATTCAGCTCCCAGATCAAATGGGAAGCACCTTTGAGACGTTCCACCCGATTCTGCCGAGACATTTTCGCCATATACCTCGCAATTTCAACCGTTCATTCGATCTGCCTACAGAGATCGACATGCCGAAAGGAATGAATAAGCTGTTATTTCACTGGCTAAGAAGCATCTTGTGGGGGATATCGTGCTTTGACAAGCGTAAAAAGTGTTCATTCGACTACTACATAGAATTTTCGGTGTAAAGAATCAATGCACAAATCTCAACTGCATGCGCTCGAATTTCCCAACCATCAACTGATTTTCTGCAACCGCTTCTACCGAAGCCACAAACGCACCAATCCCTTTCTCCCACCCCATCGGCCATTCAAGTCGCAACACAGTAAGTACTGCTGTTAAGATATCCTCTTTCCATTCTCAAATGTTTTTTGTAACCCATCGGGTGTACCAACCTAATTCTGCATGAAGCTAACTAATGAACCGCTGATCTAAAAACACCGGCTGGCCGAGAAGCTCGGTCTTAGCAATGCAATGGAGCCGCCCATAAGCCAAAGAGAAAAAGAAAAACCCTTGTACCCATCACCGCACCCTCCTCCGTTATTTCAAAGTATGTACTGTGTAAGTCGAGACCTGGATCACGCGGGAAGAGATGGTAGACTTCGTGTTGTAGGCGGCAAGCTTGGAGGTGGTGGACTTCTTGTTGTAGGTAGCAAGTTTGGAGGTCGTGGACTTCTTGTTGTAGGCAGTAAGCTCGGAGGGCGCCGTGGCAGCGCGCTCGAAAATGCCCTCAGTAGGAAAGCGCTCGAAGGCCTCAGTGGCAACGCGCTCAAATGTCTGCATGCGCGTTAGCGTTGGATCCCTCACATGCAGATGCGACAGAAACCTACCGTTAACGCAGGAGTTCAGCACCTGCCTTTGGACCGGAAGCGCCAACACCTCAACCAAAGATCAACCTCCGGATATTGTCGTCCTGCGTCATCTCCTCTCCATCCGCCACCTCATCATTCCCCTCCCTCCACCTCCACCTCTTCCCCATCACCTCCTTGAACCACTCCACATCCACCTCTCCGCCCATCACCTCCTTCGAAAACGCCGTCGCCGGCACAACCCCCTCGACCGGCTTCAACACGACATCCAAATCCGGCGCCACGAACAGCACCGCGCTCAGCCTGCGCACGCCGGGCACGCGCCTGACGCGGTGCCTCAGCGCCCGGACCTTGCCTCCGCTCAGCACCAGCGCGCACCATCCCGCCAACACGACCGTCGCGTCCCCTGGCACGAGAGTCCACTCGCCCGGCTTCTCCAAATCCTCGATCTCCAATCCGCTGACTCCGTCTTGGAAGATGATGCTGAAAGTGCCGTAGTCGGTGTGCGCGCCGCAGCCGTTCGGGTCGAGCGGTGCCGCCGTGTCGGGGCTGTAGTCGCAGAGGCGCCAGTTGAGATTGCCACCGCGGTGGTAAGGCGCCAGGTCCGCTCCGGCGGCGGCGGAGAGGGTCGCGAGGATGGGGCCGATGTAGGCGGTGCTGGCGGCGGAGAAGAATGTGAGGATGGAGTCGAGGCCGTGAGGAGACAGGGACGCGCGGACGTCATTGGGGATGAGGGAGGTGCGGTGGGGCGAGAGGTCGATGGTGAACTTCTGGTCCGAGGTGGGGTTGTCGGTTGCGGCCGTTTTGAGGATACCGCGCTTGGGGTAGGTGGCGTTGAGGGCGGCGGCAGCATCAGGGCTGGCGCGGAGGTGGTCGAAAAGCTGGCGGATGGCGTTGAAGGGCGCCTGGATGGATGGCGAGGTGAGGAGCGGGGTGTCCGACGAGAGTCCGATGAATGGGGCAGGTGAGGGAGGAGAGTCTTGTTCAGTTGCAAGAGCAGGTTCAGCCAGAATGCTCGTGGGGTTGTTGGTAGCAACTGCGGCAGCCATGTTGTCGGTCTTTGCTCGGAAAAGCTGGGTGTATGATGGACCGCAAGGAACGCGAAGTGGAGTTGATGGTGGAAGAAGCTCATGAGGCGCAGGAGTGCCTTAAGTAGCCACCAAACTACGCTAACCAGACTGGGCGTGACAAGCAAGGAAGTGGCCACCAGGCTTTGAATCAGCTCACCTGACAGAATACAATGATAGCCCTTTGCTCACAGTATTGCTTGCGCGACAAACCCTCACGCGCGTGATTTGTTTGTGCGTGCCTAAAATGGATGAATTATTGACAAAAGACCCCACCGTCTACCACGTCGACTCAAATCTTTCTACCACCAGCCCACCCCCCTCCGTTCAATCACGCCCCAGTCAACCTTCTTTCCATTCGACTACGGATCCAACCAGTGTGCTGCCGCCTGCAATCTCGTACGATCGTCTACGTGTCAAGGTAAATCATGGGCCGGTGCTCGCACAATTACATATGTGACAAACTTTTGCGTGCTTGATTGATTTTTGCGTGCTGAAAACGGATGCATGCATGATTGAATATCCTTCAGGCACAGAAGAACCAATCATCTACCACATCGGATCAAATATTTTATCCTCACGAGCTACAATTGATCACCTTTCAATTGCTTCTATGAAAACCATCCACTCCTTCCAAAGACACAACTCTTTCTACCATGCGCACTCCTCACATTCAATCACGCCCCCAACTGCTTGTCTGCAAATAGAAGGACGACTTTGTTGAGCAGTCCGCGTTGGAACTTGTATTTGCTCTCACCCAGTTCTTCGCAACATCAAGGAAGTATACCGCCGAGTGCTGAGCGAACGTATTTGCGTGCGCCTTCTCAAAGTAGTGCGTCTGGGCTATCCTTGACGATGCCGAGGACAGCAATGTAGAACGAGAAAACCGACGTTAAGAAAGCGGTAAACAGCTATTGTTCTTCTGAAGCGTCTTCTCTCGTATGGAGCTGTTGAGTGTTGTCGTTCAAGGGTTTTCTGGATATCTAAGAGAAAAGTCATGCTCTATACACCTTTTTCAAATCTGAAAGTCATGTTTGATGTAAAATTACCGAACATACGTAATGCTCAAATTGAATCATGATCTCGTAGTCTTATCAGATACTTGCTTCAAAAATTCCCATCGATCCCTTCCAAACCCCTCCCAGACTCCGATAACGCCTCGTGCCGAGTTAAGCATCATTTCTGCTCGTAACACTGGGCCTCACCCCGATCGAATCGATCGTTCCAGTGCGCTCAGGATGATGAGCCGGCACTCACTAGTGACTCGCTCCCATGCACTACCCTCTGTATTCTGACATGGAGTTGCAAACAAATTCACTGTTCTGGGCTGCAACAAATCAGCCGTGTTGTGACATTCTGGTTCTGCTAAACTGTACTGAGACGATTTTGCTGAAATCTTTAAACCATTGGACGGCTACTGACAAGCTCTAGCTGAATGTAGTGGCCTGAGGAACCTTCCCCGTGGCGCTTGGATACCATTTCCGGTGGGCCAGAGTGAGGACCCTGTACAGGAGCTTCGACACCGCCACCTGTATGCCCCGTCAAGTTCGGGAGATCTCCTTGTTCAACGTCCGGTTCCTCTGTTGAGCTGGTCGGATCTGGGGTCGTGCTTGCGCTGGGCCTTCTTTTGTCCTTGTTGCCTGGCACATGGTGTTAACTGTGAAGGAAGAGGAAAGCAAGATCAAAGGTTCAGTCCTTACCAACATATACGTTGAACGCCGAATATAGAAGATGGAAAAAGGCACAGATGGCTAGTGTCTGTCCCAGACCCCAGATCGACCCGACCTTCAGGGTGCAGTGCTTGCCGGTCGGATCCTTGCTCAGCTTCTGTCCCAGCACATGTGCCGCAGACACAGAAGAGAAGATTAGTTGAAGGCAAAACGCCGTCGTCCTGTTCCCCTTCGTGAACCCAACCACGATTCGCAAGATCCAGCATTCCTGCCGCCTTGGCTTTCTGGGTCCAAGGCAGCCCCTGAAGAACTTCCACGTAACCTCCATGTCTCTCATAGATTGAATAATGGAAATGATGAAAGGATATTCCAGGCAAAAGCCAAAAATAAGTGTCCCGAACGCCGTGCCTGGAGAGAGGTCGCCTCTTTTCCTTGCTCTGAGGTCCGCTATTACTTCATCAGCGGATTTCTCTTGGCTTATTCCGTTGACATCATGGAAGTTCTGAGGGGCAAGCCATTTAGAGACAGCAGGAAAAGGGTGCGCGATGATGATTGTAATACACAAAAACACGGAGAACAAAATGCACAGGATGAGGCGGATGTTATGAGTGATCTGACGATCTTTGAGGTAACCTCCAGTCGAAATCAAACAGGCGAGTATTGCGCAGCTAGAAAGATAGCTTAGGTAAATGATCAGATGGAAATGCGCCTCCTGAAGTCGGTAGAGAGACGGCAGTTGCTTGTATTTGTCACTCCATGAAGATCCGTTGAAAACTTCAATGTAGCCACTGACAAGTAACGCGAAGCCAGTGAAGAGTTGTTGATCCCCAAATAGGAGGATGAGGCTGTCAAGTAAGTTTCGATGCTCGTCATACTCTCGTTGGTCCTTCTCGGAGAAGAGATAAGTCATGCGCTGGAGTGCCCGGCTAAGGGGTCTGCGACAGCATTTTGGGAATAGCGCGTTCGGTTTCCCGTGTCTGATTTCTAGAGCGGCGGCATATACGGAAAGAAGTGTTGCCAAGAGGGCAGCAAGTCCGTAAGAGGCAATGACCTGTTATTGCAGAGTTGTTAGAAGGCGCCATTGTTCCCAAGGTCAATTGCTTTTATCTACTACTGACCCCAATTCCAACAACGTCGAGATTCGTTTGACATTCCTCCTTATAGAACCATTTTTCGTCGAATATGACGAATCCGTTCGTAGCGGCAGCCATATTTTTCTGACGGTAGATGGTTGGAATTCTGGAAAGCAAAATGTGATTGCAGATCGACCTTTGGAACAAGACTATCGTGAGATATCGGACATGTCATCTGTTTAAATTCCGCACCTCGCTCATCTGGAAAGCATGTACGGAACGCTGTCACTCCTAAACCATACTTTGAGTGCAAAGTCCGCTTCAAGGGGTGATCCTCATCAAATACATGAATCACTCGCGTATTCTCTAATTGGGTGAAAGAGTCTTGCCACCGATATAATCTTGATTTTTGGTGTAACAGCGCACATGAAAATTGAACATGCCAAAGAATGTGATCTGACACATCATCAACTGTTCTCATTTACCCTTGCGATTCAGGCTCGTGCAAATGGCTGCATGCACTAGTCCATGGCCTTGCGCTACCATCCAGGTCCCGTCCCGCTGCCGAGACGGATAGGTACTGTGTAACTAGAGACAGGGTGGTTGTCCCTCTTCCTACGTAGCGGCGAGAGGAATCGTAATATCGTACGTTCTTTCAGTGGAAATAAAAGTACTAAGTGACGTTTTTCTTACAACACCGACGTGGTATTGAAATTATTGAGTTGGCTTCGACCTTTTGCCAACCTGAGGCAACAACCTTACGGTTCGCTCCCCTTGGCTACAGAAGAATGAGGCGCAAGGAGGCAAATGCTGAAGTGCATTAGTGCTGTAATGACACGGTGTTTCAAGACGCAGCAAAAAGGGTTGCTTATCGCTGCAGAGCTCAGCTGGGTGAGGCAGCGTTACGTGGAGGACGTAGGGGGCGTCCTTAGCGGTATCACAAGGCACTTTAAAACATTTTGTGTCTGTATTCACCAATAAGACTGGAGGATAGAGATGGTGGTGTGAACGAGGCGCCAGGCATGCTATGTAGGGGTTAGTATTGCCAGTTGTATGTACCGAAGACGATGCATAGTCTTGCTACGTTAGCATGTAGTCTTTACGGGGTCGCACTTTTTGACGTCGCGGATACGTTGCTGGATGAGAGTATTTCTGCTGTTCAGCTTGTTAATTAATGTGGCGATTGTGACCTGGTGGCTGAAACTTGGATAGGTGTCGGAGACACTGGGAATGACATACGTAGCGGCGCAGATACAACAATAATCCCCACCACTATCCACAATCGCACCATCACTACCCTAAACAACCGAGTTTACAGAATCACGCCCCCAACCACCCCAAAAGCGCCTCATGATACGCCTCCGGATCCTGCACCTGCGGACTATGCCCAAGCCCCTCAAACTCGACCAACGTCGCATCCGGAATCTTCTCTGCCGTCTCCTTGCCCAGCACATCATAATGCCCCAGCTTCTCCTGCACCTCAGGCGGACTCCACTGCTTGCCGATGGCCGTATTATCCCTCTGCCCAATCAACAACAGCGTCGGCATGCGCAACAAGCCGAACTCGTGCGCGATGGGGTGCGTCAGCACCATATCCGTCGTCAGCGCCATGTCCCACGCATACGTCCTGCCTTCCTCCGGCACCGCGTACAGCGACACCAGCATCCGCACCCACTGGTCGTACGCCTCCGTCCACGGCGCGTCCGGGTAGTACGTCGCCTGCTGGTACGCGCGGATGGAGCTGTAGTTCGTCGCCAGCTCCACGTCGAACAGCAGGTCGATGCTGCGCCACGGCACGCCGAGCGCCTGCCAGTCCTCCAGCCCGAGCGGGTTGGTGAGGATGAGGGAGCGCGTGGCGGTGGGGAACATGAGGGCGTAGCGCGTGGCGAGCATGCCGCCCATGGAGTGGCCGAGGATGGTGGCGGAGGGGAGGCCGAGGGCGGAGAGGAGGGAGTGCGTGTTGCTGGCGAGTTGCTGCAGGGAGTACTGGTAGGACGGCGGCTTGGAGGATTTGCAGAAGCCGATTTGGTCGGGGATGATAACGCGCCAGCCGGCGGAAGAGAGGACGCGCGCGGTTTGGGCCCAGGTGGCGCCGCAGAAGTTTTTGCCGTGGAGGAGGACGATGGTTTGGTTGGTGGTGGGGGTGGTGGTGTTGGTGGGCGCGACGTCCATGTAGGCCATGGAGAGGTACTGTTGTTGGGTGGTGACGTTGTGGTAGTGGATGGGCCATGGGTAGGGATAGTCCCATTTGCTGGGTGGGACTACGGTGGTGCTGAGCGCGGCATTGGCGAGGGCCAGGAGGGCCGCAATGGTCGCGTGGAACCGCATCTTGGGAGGTCCGAGCAGGAAGAAGGGTGGAAAGAAGAAATCTTGTAGATTGCGCAGATGTGGGGTTTTATTTTCCTCGTTACACGGATCCTTGACGTGTTCCTGGCATTTGCCAGCCGAGCTTACGCTTGGCACCTTCCTGATCTTTCTCGATTGATATTTACATCGCATCCTTCGAACTCACGAACACACCGGACTGGCCGTGGGCTTCGAAATGGCGCTTGATGGGTTTGTTTGTCCGCATCCTGAAGTCACACCGAAAAGAGTGTCATCCACTGCCGCATCGTATGCGTCTCCGCAGTTGGGGTCGCTGTATGGCTGTCAGCACTGATGTTTTTCCTCGCTTGTTCGGCAATCTCACCTCGCTCCACCGCTGGCATTCTCGAAATACGAACAGATGTCGTGAGAGAAACAATCCTGCGTGTACGCATTACCAACAGCAGTGCCGGTGCAGCCGGCGCCGCATCGGCCATTGCAGCTATAACTACAGCGAGAAGTAATCGTTAGCTCGTCCTCCGGGTGGCGCTCTCGCGGTGCAGCCGTGCACTCACTCCCCCGAACCGGCGGAATTGCTGCCGTAATTACTTCCAACGACGCCCGTGAACGTGCATGTCTTGCCCGCGCTGTTGGTCCACGTCGCAGTTGCAGTTGCGCCAACCTTGAGACAGGTGATGGACGCTTCCACGCAGGCAAGGATGCTCAACAGAGCCGGAAAAATTACCGCCTTCATGGTGAAGGATGATCTCGGGCGATGACGTTGGATTAAAGTTCTGTTGGATTCGGTAGTGGTTGACACAATGTTTTCTTTTCGATCTCCCACCCGGCTTGGTTCTCTGAAGGATCAACTCCTTATAAAGGCAGATCCAATCAAACCGGCGGAGTTAAGGGGGCACCTGCTGCTCCAGTGCACGGTCGCTAGATCTCCGGAGCACGTCATATTCGGAGCTGATTTGCGCAACACCAGTTCGAGTAAGGTAGCGATGCGCGAAGCTAAAGTTGGACCGATGTCCGCATGGGCTTCATAACGCCCAGCGGAGTTAAGATGTATTGGGAATACACCGATCGGCCAGGCGTAGATAAGGAAATCAATTGCAAAATCCTAACAAAGACAGGTACAAGATACGGTAAACAGAGTTCCGCAATCACTACCACAAGCAAATTGGTTGGTTTTATGCCTCTGATTGTAAAAGACTCAAGGAACCTGCTTCATGTTAGGCTCGGCGGTAAATGGTGATGATGCTAGAACTTACTACGTACACAATTTCTCAATGAGAGCAACATGTCCATCTGTAGAAATTTGTCTGAATGCTTCCGCGCACAGGCAACTTCTTCATGCGCCATTCGCACGTAGTAAATCAACCATTTCACTGCACGATGACCGCAATGCAATATCTAGCAGAGAGACATCATTTGCAGTTTCGACACGCACGTCGGCGCCCCTTTCAATTAGATATTTGGCGGCAACGAGGTTCTTCGCTTTGATGGCCACTTCAAGCGCACAGCTGTAACGCTTACCCCGTAGGTTGACATCGACTCCGTTGTCCAACAGCACTCTTATACGCTGAACATCTGCCCTGCCATAATCGTTCCCCCTGCAAGCTACGAACAAGGCATGTTCATATCTGCCCGCGAGCTGTGTCAACGAAATACCGCGCTTGATCAACATCATCATCACGGATTTAAAGGAGCGCCCGCATGCCGCGCTCAGTGCATTGCCGTACCGTTTGGAGTAGCAGTTGATATCCGCACCGCCATCGAGAAGGATGTGAACAGCCTGAATGTCCGGTTTGTCAAACGCATACTTCTCTTGCAAGATTGCGCATATAAGGGCATAGCCGTATTTCCCACCACGTACGTTACAATCTGCACCCCTACTAAGCAGTAATCTTATGGCAGCAGGCTTTGAGGGGCTGCAATTTGCGCATGCAGCTTGTAGTGCCGTGCCGTATCTGCCTCCACACGCGTTGATGTCGGCTCCACATGAGAGCAGAAGCTTCATTGTTGGTCCTGGGTGAAAGGAAAATGCAGCGGCTTGGAGAGCGTGGCCATATTTTCCGTCGTTGGCGTTCACATCTGCACCGTTCGCAAGTAGGATTTCCAGCGGACGAGGGAATCCCGCCTGGCTTGCAGCTTGCAGGGCATTGCCAAATCTCCCACCTTTGGCATTCACCTCTGCACCTTTAGCGATCAAGAGTTCCACGATTGTCGATGGGCAGCCAGTAGCACAAGCAGCCTGAAGTGCATTGCCATATTCGCCACCCCTGGCGTTGATATCTGCCCCGTGTTCCAGTAGGTACTGTGCTCTTAGTTCATCGCAAGCACCGGATGCGCATGCGACATAGAGTGCCTGAGTTCCATCACGTCCTGTTGCCAACAAATCGACGTTGTGGGCGAGAAAAAGCTGAAATATTTGCTGACCGAGACGCGCATCCTTCGACAGAGCAGCTCGAAAAGCGGTCTCATATTCTCCCGCATATTCGGCATTTACGTCGGCTCCATTCTTGAGAAGTAGTTCAATCAGCTTCGTCCCTGTCTTGTACTCATCTGCAGCGAGCACAGCAGCTATCAGTGGACTGCCAGAGGTACCCCCACCCTTGTTAGCATCTGCTCCGTAGGCAAGAAGCAGCTCAGTGGCACCTATGTGTCCTTGTGAAATAGCGAGTTGCAAAATACTGCCTTCTTGCTCGTCCGCTGCATTGGCATCGGCGCCATGCTCCAGTAGGGCTTCAATTACCGCGGAAGAGGTTTCCGGGGCCTCATTTACCCTACGCAGAGCGATCGCCAGTGCTGCACCATACTGCCGCTTACAATTCTCTTCATCCATGACTCCGAAGGCCATTCGCGCATTGATGTCCGCTCCGCTCTTGAGGAGAAGCTTAATAATTCGAGGATGACTTCTTTTAAGCAGAGCAGTACACAATGCGTTTTGATCGCCACAATCCGGGACGGTTTCGTTCGCATCAGCGCCGAGCCGCCCCAACAGTTCAACCATATCTGCCTGGCCAGCACTTACTGCCGCATGTAAATACCACGCCCCATGGTTCCGAATCGTGTTACTGGTGGCTGAAGGAATCGTACATTCTGGAAATGCGTCTTTATCTCTTTCTCGGCCAGTCGTTGGCATGCCTTCCTCGGCCAATATGAATTGAAAAATTTCCGTGGAGCCGCCCATGGCTGCGACATAGAGCAAAGATGTAAAGCGCGTCTGAGATCTATATTTAGGGGAACCTTGTTGTAAGGCGTGAGCAGAGGTTGAGTCATCTCCGATCTTCGACATTGACCTTTCCCCCAAGGGAGATGTCCATAGTGTCTTGAACATCTCTACCTGTCGTCGTCTGATCGTTCCGTCCAATACTTGAGAGTAATGACTATCGGGTAGTGAGCAGTCGGAGGCATGATTCACGAGCTGCTTGAAGACTTTCAGAAGACCTCTTTCGGCAGCAAGTTCCATCGCTTTGGACAATTCCTTTGCATCAGACCTTCCGATGTTGAGGGTTTCTAGACTCGTGATGACCTTTTTCTCACCAAGAAGTCGCGAAGCCTCGATAATTGTCGTCATACGGAGATCTTGGTTTTGGGCAGAAAGAAACGATTTGGCCAATTCTGCATCCCCACTAAACAAAAGCCTTTCAAGGATGACATGCTCTGTGTTATTTCGTGGTACTGGATCAGCTCCGTGAAAGAGAAGCTTCCGGGCTGTGTGTTTTTCGCCAGAATCAATAGCTGTGAACAGCGCTGATACGCTATCAAAGAGACTTAGCGATCTGCATTGTACTTATTAGAGATTTAATACATACCACTTTTTTTTAACTCGCCTCTGTGCATCTAGAGCGTTAACATCGGCACCAACGCTTAGCAATTTCGTCACAAGGTCCTCACGTCCAGATTGCGCGGCGGCCCGAAGAGGGTCGTTGTCAACATCATCCACATCGTTGACGCGAGCACCTGCTTCCAATAGCTTCTCGACAATCTCATAAGGGCAGTCTTTTTCTACGCAAGCTGCGTACAAGGGGGTCATGTTATCGTAGCCACTGACGATATTTGGATCGGCTCCATATCTGAGTAGCAGCTCGACGATCTCGGTGGAGTGTATCTCAAGAGCAAGACGAAGCGCGCTGGTTTTGCCCCTCCCATGGTTACAGCAGTCAGCGTATGCGCCACTTTCTAACAACTCCCTAATGACTGAAACCGACGGGTCCGGAACGGACAGGGCAGCTTCAAGAGCGGTGAAATATTGAGTCACTCCAACTAGCTCGTTGATAGCTGCGCCCTTCCGCAATAACAGTGATACGATGTTCGTGTTGCGGGCCCACATGCAAGCAACAACGAGCGTTGACTCTCCTTCCAGATTTTTTGCATGGATACAGCTAGGCGTCGCGTCTATCAGACGAGAGAGGATGTCTTCAAAGCCCAAAACACAAGCTATAAAGACAGTTTTTGCATCGTTAGAGATTATTGTACGGATACAATTCATCCCGTCAGGTAGGTAGATGAATCTACCCTCTTCCTGGACCTCTTCCAGCCAGCTCTCAAATGTACGAACATCACGTACCAAGAACTCAACTAGATGGTTGGTAGACTGCGCGGAGATTTCCTTGATAGGCAGCTCCATCACGTTGCTGAACCACCATTGCGAAGGATATAATAGAGGCCGATACCCGAATTCACGTGTCTTTTCCAGGTAATCAAAACATGCGGCGACGTTGGCTTCCATGTTTCTCAATGGGGCGAACTCGGAAAGGTTGGTCTCGAAGAACTCTCGTACAGACAAGTGCGCAAAACGAAGGATATTCAACTCCTTATCGTGTGTTATGAGGTGGAATGTCAGTCCGAAGACTTTCTCGGGTTTCCGAAGTGCTGCATTTGGCGCAGGTTCCAGCATGTTGGCCATGTCGACGGGACCCCAGGGCTGATAACTGCTCAGCATCAGGTGAAAGATTTTTTTGGCATCGGTTTCGTACTGCGGATCAGTGTCTCTAAGCTCCGACATATTCCGCTGATAGATGTCGTGGTAGATCCCCGTCAAGTCTTTTGGGAGAGCTCCAAGTCGCTGGCGGATATCCTCTTCGGTGAGAAGCTTGCATAAGTATTGAAGTTGCAATTCTGCCCAGCGGAACCTGCCGTGGAATCAGACTATGATCGAATGGAGAAGACTGAAGATGAACCTACATTCCTTGGGCCTGCGCCTTCAATGTCTTTTTAATGTCGTCTCGCAAAGCATCTGAGATTTTTCTCGCCCTCAACAACCTCCTTGGCCTACCATCGACACGCCTGTTAACTTCATCATCCACAAAGGCCGCAAGGTCGACTTGGTTGTCGGAAGACAGTATCTCTTTATTGGGATAGTCCCTGAGCCAACACACAAGATCCAAGTCGTTGCGACTGGAAACAAAAATCTTGACAAGGCTCTGGCTCTCTCGTAAGATGGTCTCGAGTGCATCTGTGAGTTCAAATCGTAGGTTTGCATCACACTCATCCAGGGCATCCAGAACGATAAAGGTGATGGTTCGAGATTTTATGATGTCGATTATGAGATCCAGGGTGTCGCCAAGGTCAAAGAAGGAACCCCGCTCCTTGTCGAATTTGTCCATGACAGATCTGGGTAGAGTCTTTGTGGACCATGGCATGGAAAGCTGCCTCAAGATGCTGCGCAAGATTTGAGTCGGATCGGCTCGTTCCCTCTCAGCCGGATTCCTGTTGCAGTAGAAATAGACTGGGCGAGATGACGGACAGTGTGCGGATTCCTCAATGAGCTTCTCCAGTATGACGGACACCAGACAGCTTTTGCCAGATCCAGGGATACCATGAAGCCACAGAATCTCCGATGCGCTTGATAAGAACCAATTCCTCACCACCTGATGATCCAGAAGCCACTTTCCGGTGCCTGAAAGAACGTTTCTGCTGACTTTGGCGTGATGCTGAGGGTATGGTATAGTTGAGATGGAATCCAGAATACGGTCCCGCTTCATCTCGTCCAAAGTATCCTGGGTTTCCTCCACGTACGCCTCGATTCTCGAGACAGGCATCTTGATGTCATCCATCATCCGAAGGAGCTTCTCATTTCGATTTTGCGATTTGGAAATGTGCGAGATGAGTCCTTCGGATCGTAAAAGTGTCGCGCTGCGTTCTACCAAGGTCCACTGATTCGCTATGCGTTCAGATAAAGCGTTCAAATCAGAATCAGAGTCCAGAACACTTTTTAGTACACGCTCTTCATGAAGGTATTAGTAATAAGCACCTTGACATGGATTCTGGGCGACCTACTCATCTTGCTCTGGTCGTGGTGATGCAAGGCCTTCGCCAATGAGGACCAGCAGAGGGTGTACAGCTTTGTCAAACTGGCCTTAAGGGATTCGGCTGCTGCAGAAGGTCCGGTGAGATAAAGACATTCGTGAACCGCGCCTAACGGTATTGTGCGGGCAACGTCTTCTACAATCTCCAGTACAGCAGCTTGTCGCTGGATGTCGTTGATTGAAGCTTGAAGAATGAAACGCACCGCGGCCCAGGGTAGTGCCGCATGGGCAGGATCGTACTGGACAGCGACATCCCCGACCTCAACAAACTTCTTCACCCATCGCGCAACCTTTGCGAAGATGTCGTGTAGAAAGACAACCTCTCCACTCTTCCCCTTGAAGGAGATTCGATTCTTCCAAGCCTCTTGTCCCCTTTTCTCGACGATTTGGAGCACGTCCGTTGGCTTTGTGTCCTGGGTATGCTTGCTGATAGTGGCTCTCTCTTCTGGCTCGAGGTCTTGGAGGGCAGCTTCCCATAGGTTCCTTCCAAGTTTAGTAAGCGTACTGGTAGGTATAACCTTACTTACAAGGCTGGAATAGCAGCCTGGCCCGTTGGATGCGCAGACATCGTTCCCACCAGTTTCTAGTCTGCTTCTCTCAACAAATTGCTGGCAAGACCGGATGAGAGCTCGCCACGTAATGTTGAGTGGCACGAAAGATTGCTATAGGGCAACTCGTAGGCTTCGGAGAGGGGTAGAAGGGGAGAAAAGCGTCGTTGAAGCTGGGCTGTAGACAAAACATGGACAGGTAGGCAGCAGTCCTACCCCTCCTCACATAGCGGCCCGCATGGCTTCGCGTCCAGTCTTGCGCATAGCCCCGCACTCAGCCTTCCGCATAGCCCCCGTAAGCAGCCTCGAGGGAAGGCTGAACATTGATTAGACGGCGCAAATGATAGATCGGAGCTTTCGGCCAATAAGGCCGTTCCACACCCGCTTACAATGCTTGCATACAGCGCATATCATGCTGTGCAACTGCGAAACTTCTGATATCGTGACAAGGCTATCGATCATGGCCATAGCCTGTTATTGGAAGGCTGGCTAGGACGATTGGATAATGCTCACAAGCCTGCTTTCTCAATTATTTAGACGAGCCAATAACTCCATTATCATTCAATTTACTAAATTACCTGGCTCCAGAGACCCAATGATTCCTCTCCAAAAAACCCTCATCTCCACCTATCCCCCACCTCCGGTGAGGTCCGCAGCGCAACGAGCTTCGCATTCTCAGCTCACCCCGGCATCCCCACCCTCTCCGAATTCTTGCCACCCTCCACAAACATGCCACAGTTTGCCGCACTCTTCGCCGACGCGTCACTCTCGCCCCACTGCGGCCTCAACTTCCTGTCCCCACCACCCACCTACCCCAGCGCAACATCCGACAGTGGCCGCGTCATGACATATCGATTATGTGTAGATAAGGAAACAAATTGCAGTTTTTTAATAAAGAAACAAATAAATATGAGATATCGCACAACAGAAGCAAGCAATTGCTACCTCCTGGAAAACGTTTTTTGTCTGCCACGGAATTGGTGGCATCCATCGGATTGGAATTGCTCAATGGACTTGCTTCACGTTAGGTTTTGTCGCTAATATGTAGTCCTGGACGCTCGGTATTGACATTGCCTCCGTTCTTGAGAAGTAACCCAATGATACGTGTCCCTGTGGTACACTCACTTGCATATTCCACAGCAGCTATCAGTGGAATACTTGGCCACATTGTCACGCTCCCCATCCTACCCCCTCGCCTCCCTCAGCCTCACCTTCACGCCCACACTCGGCGCACACGTCAGCGTCATGCGGTACCCCGGCGCCTCCCCCACATCCTCCGCCTCCAGCGCATCGAACCTCTGCAGCAAGCGCACGACAACGTAGCCCGCCTCAGTCAGCGCAAACTGCTGCCCGATACAAATGCGCGGCCCGCCATTAAACGGCAGGTACTCCCACCCGGACTTCCTTCCCTCCCACCGCTCGGGCCGAAACGCCTCCGCATCATCGCCCCAGAGGTCCTTCCGCTTGTGCATGACGTGCGTGCTGTACACGACCTCGGTGCCCTGCGGCACGAAGACGGGGGCGCGGCCGTCCGGCCCGCCGCCCGTCGGCAGGCTGGTGTCGACGGCGGCGCGGCGCTGGTTGATCGGCACGACCGTGTATAGCCTGAGCGCTTCCTTTAGCGTGTTTTGGAGGTAGGACGAGCTCTTCAGGCGTTCGAAGGTGATGTCAGGCTGGTCGTCGACGTAGGGGCCGAAGTCGTCGAGGACGGCGCGGCGGAGCTTCGCGAAGACGTGCGGGTGGCGGGCGAGCGTGAAGAAGAGCCACGACAGCAGCGAGGCCGTCGTGTCGCGGCCCGCGAGTAGGATGTTGAGGAGCTGGTCGCGCAGCTCTTTCCTGTCCTGTGTCTCCGCCGCGATGGCTTCGAGGAACACGTACGGCTGTTTGTTCTGCTGCTCCGGCTTGCGGAAACCCTGTTGCTGCTGCAGCGCCAGATCCACGTAGCGATCGACGAACTCGTGCACCACCTTGACTTGCTTGCGGAAGTCCGCGTTGTGCGCCAGCCAGTAGTTGTCGCCGTATCTGCCGGCCCGGAAAAGTAGATACTGTGCCCGGTCGAAGGCGTAGGTGAATTTCTTTTCGCTGCCCGTTGCTCCGTTATGCTCAGCCATTTGACTGCCGACAGTCTCGCCGAAGAGGAACTCGGTCGCAGCGTCGATCGTCAAGCGGAAGAAGAGCACTTGCAAGTCGACAACGTCGGTCCAGCCGTCCGGCTTCACGGGTAGTACGTTGAACATGTTTTGAACATGCTTCTCCTCGAGATCAAGGTCGTTGATCTGTTGGCGTGAGAATTGGGGACGGAGCATGGCGCGAGAATGCTCCCACGACTTTCCATCGGATGCGAACTGTGGGGGATTAGCTTGGTGACTCGAAAGTGGCACGCTCAATACACTTACAATACCGTGCCCTAGCATTGGCTCAAAGTTTCCGTTTCTACCCTTTCCTAGCTCGAAATCCCGGAAGCTTGTTGCGAGCAGGGCCTGGATGTTTTTCGGCTCGCAAGTAAAGATGTTTTTCTGGCCAAGGACACGCTCTTGGAATGTTGTGACGAGGCGACCCTCTCGTTCGCTGACAGCGTGAACGCGCTGAATCATGTACTCCGGCAGGTAATGTTTAGCGCCTGCGCTCAACATCAATTGCAGATTGTAGATACCGAAAGGGTCGCCAGGCGTGTGCGTGGGCGCTGGTTTGCAGCCGAGCTCCTGGCTTTTGAGCGAACGGCGACGCTTTACAAGCATGTAGTTGACTGCTTTGAAAAGAATGAGGGCGGCAGCAGCCCAAATGCCAATAAAATGTGAAAGCTTCATGGTCGTGATAAGATTGTTCGATACGTTTTGTCTGTAGACTGCCTACTTTAGGGACGACGTTTAAGGGCGTTTAAATAACGTAGCCCTCCACGCTCCTATTTCTCCTGCCTTGTCTCCTTCCGCAACTCCATCCAGGCGATGAATCAGAATAGCATGCACGAATGTATCAATGTGGGGCAGTCGAGTTGGCATACGATTTTGTCTCGGAAGACAGCTTTCCGCAACACCCGGGGCGATCTTATGCTCTTTAACGGATGCTCACCGTAAACGACTGCATCTGCAGTAACACCGCGGAAGAGGCTTCCCGGACCCTAGGTATGCACTTGGACTCACAGCGGATTCGCGGAACGACCAGACACCGCGCGCCGAGGTATGATTACAATAAAAACGCGACCCCTCGTGGCCAGTCATGCTAGTGGCTCTAGTTTCACCTTGGAAGCAATGTTAGGCTTGGCCAAGACATGACGCCAACTTTTTATTCGGAGTTGCACTAGGTGATAAGGGTTATCTAGCTTAATAATCACACCATAGACTTAGTGATTAGTTTCCTTCGGCCTCGAGTGACTTCGGCCTCAAGTGAGACCGACGGCAATTTGGATTACGCCGGATCGCGTTTTAAAAATGGTTGGGCGAATGTGGAGAGTCTGAGCAATCCCTCACACCACTCACACCATCTCCTGTCGACACCATGAAGGCCATCGTTGCAGATCGCGGCATCATCAACAGGTTTGCGAATTTGGCGTCGGGCAAATCCATCGGACGGGGCACCAAGATAAAAGAAGTTCCAAAGCCGACCATTTCAAGCCGGGAAGTTCTGATCAAGGTTCGGGCCACCGCGATAAACCCAATCGACTACAAGTTCATCGATTTCATCGCTCCAGCAGGAAGCCTCACCGGCTGCGACTTTGCCGGTGAGGTAGTCGAGGTCGGAGCGGATGCACCAGGAGACTGGCGAGTGGGCGATCGTGCAGCTGGATTCGTGCAGGGCGGAGTCAGCAGCGACTATGGTGCATTCGCCGAGTACGTCAAAGCTGAAGCAGACCTGGTGTGGAAGGTCCCGGCGGGACTGAGCGACCAGGAAGCGGCAACTTACGGTGTGTCAGCCGTGACGGCCATGCAGGCCCTTAACCTTCATCTGGGCGTTCCTTGGGTGGACGAAATCACGGATACGAATACGGCGGAAAGGAAAGGCGCCCCAATCTTCATTTACGCCGGGTCCAGCACCGTGGGCCTGTTCGCCATCCAGATCGCAAAGAAAGCCGGCTACACAGTTGTCACCACTGCGTCGCCCCACTCCTTCGACCTGGTCAAGCGCTATGGTGCAGACGATGTTTTTAACTACCGATCGGATACGGCTATCCGCGACATCACAAAAGCCTTCCCTGACATCACGGCTGCTTTGGACTGTTTTTCTGAAGGCAGCTCGACCGATTTCTGCGCCAACGTTATCAAAAAGAGGGGCGGAAAAGTCATTACGCTCCTCGACAGTGGCAAGACGAAAGTGCCTGGTGTCGAAGTTCAGATGATAATGTCCTTCCAACTGTTGGGCCGATCTTTTGCCTGGCTCCCACCAATTGGTCCGAAATACCCGGCTTCGGAAAAAGATCGCCAGGCCCTCGCTCGTTTCTACGCTAGTCTGCCGAACCACGTCGGTGATATCAAGCCTCCGCCACTGAAGGTGCTAGACGGCAATTTTGACAGGATTACGGAAGCATTGGACCAGCTCCGAGCGGGAAAGGTGTCAGGCTCTAAGCTTGTTGTAAAATATTCTAACTGATTTTATTCTCGTTCGCCACGCTATCGCAGCTCTAGTTAGTAGATAATTCTGTTCTGCACTCAAATACCTACCTAATGACATGTCCATTGCGTATATTCTCCAGCCGTGCAGCGTACGGAAGGGTCTCTTTCGCCTATATTGCCTGCTTTGCTCTGATGGATCATGTAACACGTCAGTCTTTATTGGTACCGTGTCCCACCCAGTTTTGCATGCGACCCAAATATGCAAGTATACGTCTTGTCAGCCGTACTGAACTACTCTTATTTGCTCGTCAAATTTTTGCTCAAATTGGGGAAAATCAGCAGTGATATGATTGGAACTTGCACATCTGGGTCGCATGCAAAACTGGGTGGGATACGTTATTAAGGAATTACTACTTGACTCTCTGATTGATTATACTAAAGATCAATGAAAAGATTATATACATTAAAAATCAGGTGCGTTTCGATCACACGTGCTCTAGTAGCCGTGCTTCTTAAACTCATCTTCTGTCCAATTCCACAATTCTTCAGCCTGGCGGCGATCTCGCATCATCGAGTTTCCCTCATGCTCTTTGCCTACAGGAAAGTACATCGCACCGCTTTTGACATCGCCGCGTGGCGCAGTACTAGCCCACAGCTGGTTCAACGCCCCCGTAGCAACGTCCACAAACGCAACCTTCCCGATCAACCGGAACAGCCACGTAAACAGCGGCTGGTCGCTCGGTCCGTCCGCGATGCCCGTCTTGACGACGCCTGGGTGCAGGGCAACGGACAGAATGCTCGGATAACGCTCGGCCAGCATCTGGGTGAAGTAGATGTTGGCGAGCTTGGACTGGCCGTAGCGCCCGACGATGCCCAGGTCCGGGAGCGTAGTTTTGTTCTGGGAGAGCAGCAGCCCGGGCTTCGGGGCGGATGTGTACACGGTCGAGCTGATGTTGACGATGCGGACGTCGCTGCCAGGCTGGGCGGCCGTCTCCAGCAGGACCGGCATGAGCAGCTTGGTCAGCAGGGCCGGGCCCATGTGGTTGGTGCCGAATTGGATCTCGTAGCCGTCCTCGGTTAGCCCGGGCGGCGCGGCGAAGATGCCGGCGTTGTTCAACAGCAGATCTAGGCGCTTGTTCTCCGCGAGGAAGGCGGCGGCGGCGTGTTTGACCGACGCAAAGGATGAGAGGTCGACAGGCAGGAAGTGGACGTTGGCGTTGGGAATCTCGCGTTTGATGTCGGCGATGGCTGCCTTGGCTTTGCTCTCGCTGCGCGCGCCCATGTAGATCTTGTCGAGATTGTGTTTTGCCAGCTGCCGTATCGACTCTTTTCCCAAACCGTTGTTGCCGCCTGTCACAATGGCGACTTTTCCCGACAAATCGGGAATGTTTTTGTTGGGGTCAAAGACGACGGATCTGCGAAACAGAGGCATATTTCCGTTCTCAAGAGATTCGATTTGAGGAAGAGGTTTGTAATAAATGTAAGATGCAGGAGGACCGAGGGATACAAAGATTTCTATGCCGTGGGGATTGAAATTTATGAGAAAAATCCCCAAAGAACGCCCACAATGCTAATATATTGCGGCAGTCAAACTACTAAGTTACAGCTAACGGTTTGGAAAGAAACTGGAAGAAGGGCACAACCATGACAAAGCGAACACATACCGTTATCTCTCGGCGTGTTTATCGTGCCGCATCCGCGGGCTCGAGGTATGATTGAAGCCACTGAAAATCACGTCTTATGAAAGTCAGGGATAAACAGTCTTCCTTACGCTACTTTAGTGCGTAATATGAGCTGTTAGGTAGAGGGTAATAAAGTAAATTTGACTGGATAGTCCTGACGACTGCGGAGTATACCTTGTGCACAATAAGCTCACTAGCATACTCGGTAACGAACAACGGCAGGCATTCTAAAATAATTCCAAGTGTCCCGTTCGCGCATTTTTGACATGTGTGTGGCGGATTAGGGGTTGACGCGCTGCATCTCCTGTGCCGGTTTCCAAGGCTGCACCGCTTGCTCTTGCGCCGAAGCTTCTAGCATACGCTCGGGGCATGAACGTAGATCTGTCGGAGAGATTGTTGCTCCGCGCTCGGGAGTCGTGAGAGAAATTTGTCCCGTGTACTCACGGCCGACTTTTGGTTGGTTCACCGATTAGTGAGCACGATCCCTTTCCTCGGCCCACGTCGAACCACGCTTCGGGTTGTACCCGAACGCGAAAACCCGAGTGATTTGTAACGATTCGATCGTTCACTTCTATGCGCTTCTTGAAGCGAGCTGGTGATAGCTGTAGCGTTACTTGCTTTGTTCCCGAAATATCATAAAAGGTGCTGGCAGACACCATGTGTTGTGTTAAGATCCAACAGTTTCGTTCGTACAAGTCACACAATCACACACAATCTCATTCTCTCCGAAAATGACGTCCACTCCCCAATCGACCCTGGCCGGTAAGGTCGCAATTGTGACAGGAGGATCGCGAGGCATTGGTGCTGCGACTGCAGTTGAGCTCGCAAAGCGTGGTGCGAAGGTGAGAGCAGCCATATACGAACGAGAAAAGATGAACGTTCTGACAAATAATCCAGGTGGCTATTACCTTTGTGTCTCCCAGCAGCGAGAAGCTGGCAGATGAAGTGATCGAGAAGATCGCAAGCCTCAATAATGGATCTTCAGCCATCAAGATCCAAGCCGATGTACGCGATCTCAATTCTCCGGCCAAGGTCGTGGCCGAAACCACTGCAGCATTTGGAGACTCTATCGACATTCTTGTCAACAACGCCGGTGTGGAGTTTTCCAAGCCGCTTGGAGAGATTACTGTCGAGGGCTACACGGATGTCTTCGATGTCAACGTTCGCAGTGTTATCTTCATGACGCAGGCGGTGCTTCCACACCTCCGAGGCCCAGGCCGTATCATCAACATTGGTTCAATTCTGGGGAGGATCGGCCATCCGGGTTCAAGCGTCTATTCCGCCACTAAAGTTGCGCTCGAAGGTCTGACCAGAGGCTGGGCTTCAGAGCTTGGTGCGGCTGGACACACGGTCAATGTCGTCGCCCCTGCTCTTACGGAGACGGATATGATGGCTCGTGCAACCAAGGGAGCCGGCTCTGATCAGGCCATCCAGATGCAGCGTATGATGACTCCTCTGGAACACAGACTGGGCAAGGCGGAGGACATTGCACTTTCTGTGGCAGTGCTGGCGGAGCCGTCAAGCAGGTGGATCACTGGGCAGACTATTCAAGCTGGCGGAGGCATTTACATGGCATAAATCATTGTAGCCTTGGTTGTTGAATCTACGTCATAGGGGTGGGTACGTCTTTCAATAGTAGCCAATATATCTAGCACATACCGTTGGGATAGCCTCTAAACCTCAGACCACATGACCTTCTTGCACTTCAGAACCTAGTCTAATATTCGTGGTTTTGCGATTGAATGCAACACTTCAGTCAGCTGAAGATCCGCTCTAGATGCAGATGTGGATTTAGCAAAATGGTTAGGCGTTTCCAGACCCCAGCATCAAACCCCCGCCTGCGAACCCACAAGCGAAGACGTGGGCATAATTCGATACTAACTACACCGTAGCAAACGCGAGGAATATGGACGTAGCCCGTATGAGAACAGCCAGGTCTGAGCTTTAAAGTGTCTTTGGAATCCATGGTGAGCCCATTTCTTCAGCCAGAGGAAGAGGTCATTTCAACGGCATGCTATGGAGCCCCCCGTCCAGTGACCATCTACACATAGCTCCAAAGCATCACTAATCAGTATTTCGGATCCGGCACTCGCGTTCCTCCGCGAAGCTGACCAATTTGCGGACGGAATCCGGGGACAAGTCTGCAAGATAGGTAGACTCACCGCTACTCTCCTGCCTGTTTATCGTCCCTTTCCTTCCGTAGCCCCTCCGCTACTAGGGTCTTTCGCAGGAGCTTAGCCATTACTATAGTTGTAAGAAAGTACTTAAAGTTTAATTTCGTTGAAGTTCTGCTGCGGTTGAAAAATGGTAGATTTTAGTGAAGAAGTTGGGTTTGGCCGACGATTGTTGGGTTTGGCCGGTGATAGTTTGGTTTGGGATTTTTTACGAAAAAAGAGTTGGGTTTGGTAATTGCCCCAAGCAAATACGGCATGGACTGGAAGCTTCGACTGGTATGCAACTCTTCTCGTCCTCGCGCTACGTTCACAGTTCAGTATTGTCTAACTGGGAGAAAAGGCGCAAGCATGAGAAGTTCATCAACAGCTTTTCACACTATAAGCTCGACATGACCGATGGTGATAACAAAGTGTATTCCATCCATTTCGTGACCATCTTCTAAACCAACCCGTTAGCCGTGCCTATTGCATTCTTCCATGACTGGCTGGGCGGCTTTCTAGAATTTCTGCGCATACTGTCTCGTTTCAAGGAGCGATGCCCTACTGCGGACGAGCTTCCATACCACGTTATCATACCCTCCCTCCCGGGTTACGCATTCTCCGCCGGCCCGCCGGAGGACAAGGGCTGGGCGTACAGGGATAGCACCTGTGTCATGAACAAGCTCCTCTGCGATCTGGGGTTCGACAAGAGCGGATACATGGTCCGAGGCGGTGACATGTCACATCGGCAGCGTGATCAGCCGCACGCTGGTTACCACGTATCTGGAGTGCAACGCTATTCATATCAACTTCAACCCAATGCTGAAGCCTGACGGGGTTGTTGGCTCCGCTGTTAACGGTGCCGAGCTCAGGCGGCTTGAACGCTTGAACGCTTGAACGCGGCGATCGCTTCTTTGCGACCGGCTACGCGTACGCTCTCGAGCACGCCATCCGCCCCGCCACCATTGGGCTCGCGTGGATCGCCGAGATGTTCTTGGAGTAGACGGACAACGAAATTGCCGCTAGACACGATCCTTTCGTGCGTGTCTCTGTACTGGTTGACTGACACATTCCCCACCAGCGTCTATCCGTATCGAGAGCTCTTCGCCCCGGAGGCAGAGCTCCGTTGCCAATTTTGCGAGAAGCCCGCGGGATATTGCTAGTTCCAGATGGATCTGGCGCCAATACCCAAGGCATGGGTTGAGACAACAGCGAATGCGGTTTGGTATAGGCAGCATGATGATGGTCGGCATTTTGCGGCTTCTCCAAAGCCGCAAGATCTGCTGGCTGATGTTGAGGAATTTGTCAAGTTGGCCTTGATAGTGTAAGAGATTTTTAAAAGATTGGGGGACTGGTTGAGAGTGCTCAAGCTGGGATAGATATCCGGTCTCTTTAAGATACAATCGAATTGAATCGAATTTACAATCATAAACTCCTTTGTCACATCGATCCATTTGCTTTCCATTTCTCAGGATTTTTCAATGCACCCATAGCATTTAGACAAGCGGTTAGCTAAGCTGGCGTAATGCTAGGTTCTTTGTAAGATCTTCTCATCTAATAGCGTTTTGTGTTTTTCTACATAAAATCTCAAGTAGCTAGGCATAACTGAAACTGAGGCACCACTACAACCGTATCGGCTGCAAAAATTGGGTGCGGAGCAATTCGCATCTCTAGCGGGTCCTTTATAGCCTTGGCGTCCGAGACGGGTGAACATTGCCCCGTCCAGGAGAGGTGACAGGCGAGGAGCCCGTTGGGATCCTTTCGGCAAGCTAATAACCGCACATGCTGGGGTGCGGATAACTGTTGGGGATTACAAATCTAATGGAAATTGTGATTTCACAAATGCATTGACGAGTCTCGGCTCAAGCGGGCCACAGTGCAGTCCACACTAAATCGACTCGCCTTAGTAGCGATACCCTTGACATTAAGAATTTGTAAGACGTCCTATCTTCTTCACAGTCTAAGAGAGAAGAGAAAAGAAACGCCGTTTGAGCATAATCTTAACGTCTATCTACCCTTCCACGCTGATTCAAGAAGCTCCCTTACCGTGTAAGCCTTAATGTGAGGGAAGACATCGTTGAGTCTTTTCTTAGGCTGCAGATTAAAGAGCCCCTCGTGGAACCATATCCCAAACACAGAAAAGATAGACTGGATCTCTTCCTTGGGCATGTGTTCGTACAGCGACAGATGAGAGGGAAGCTCAGTCACCTTTCCAGACCGAAGAAGGTCGAGAGAGTCGTAAGTGACCTTGAACTTCGTGCCTATAGCCGACAATATTAGCTGAGCCAGTTAGTAGGCAGTGTAGTACATACCCTTCACGTCTTCTGCGATCCGCACAAATTCGTTCCAGGTAACAGTCTCGCCAATGACGTAACTCTCCCGATCCCATTTAGGAAGTTCAAGACTGGCCGCGACAAATTCTGCGACGTCGAACGTGTGCGTGAACGTCACTGGCGTGTCTCCTGTGCCCGGGATTGCGGCTACGTTATGCTCAATGTCGACGGCGATGATGTTCGGAAGCTGATATGTCTTCACATGCGGGTGGCCCCAGAAGTCCAGAAAGTAACCCACGTAGAAGAGGGTGTACTCCAGCGAGCTCTTCTCGAGCGCCTCCAGCGCTTCTAGCTTGGCTAATCCGATGGGGAAATTCTTCAGCTGGCTAGAGCGCAACGTCGTCAATTGACCATCAAAGTCTGAGAACATAGGCCCGATATGGTGGTGTGGACTCACTCTTTCGTGTAGGGGATACCCCAGATACTGGGAATAAACCTTCTGGTGTACTGAGATGCTTCGGAGGCATGGATGAGATTTGTTTGAGGCGCGCCGGTGGTTGTCAGGAAGAGCGTCGAAATCACTGTGTCGATCTTGTTTTCAATGAGGACCTTGGTTAAGTTCTCAACATTGTCGTAATCGACCGGGATGACTTCGCAGCCAGATTCAGACTCGACTTTGAGATTTTCCTACTAAAATCAGAAGGCTGTTTAGGAACCGATGCAGGGGAATACTACCGTTCTGCTCAGGATCTTCACATCATGCTTGCCCTGACGCTGGATTGTCTCGGCTATGGCGCGGCCAATGCCTCGGGTGCCCCCTGCAACTGCGATGGCAACCATGGTTGCGAGTGTGCGTTATGTCGGGAAGTTATCTTGAGTTCACTCTCTTACTGAGGAATTCACCGTTCATAAACTAATAAGACAGGACAAGCGGTTCAAAGTCGTGAGTAGATAACGCGGACTGATCAGTATTCATGGGATATCAAATTCCGAATACGATGCTGCGCTAACCAGCCGTCCTCTCGCCACATTTCGTGAGTTGGGCAATAGGTTTAGTCCGACAGGTGCCCCTCGTTTAGTTTGTGTATCTACTCAGGCAATAGTGGGCTTAATCAGCAGCGGACGATTGACGGACGAGTATTCGCGATGGCGGCCGTGTGTAGTACGCACATATAGATTCCTTGGCGCCCGTTCTTGCTTCTCCTGGTCTTTAAATTTGTCATCAGTCGATGAATAGGAGATGACCTGACCACTTTTCACGGACCTACTGTTCCTCCGACCCCGTCTTGACACGGGATGATCTCTCCGTTGTTGTTCAACCACCGTCACCGGATAGATTGACTGAAGATTCCCCGTTCTTTATCCCACTTATTTATCTTTCAAATTCAATTGTCCTTGAAGCAAGGAATGTAAAGCATCAACCTATCACCTTTCCACTCTACACAATGGTCAACGTCGCAATTGCTGGAGGCACTGGTGGTGTCGGACGTGCCATCGTCGAAGCGATCAAGGATGACCCGAGGCATGCAGCCGTTATACTGTCTCGAAAGGTAAGCAATCGCCCGGTGTCTGCAGGGTTTCGACTGGGCTGATAAAGAGCGCAAAAAGATCCCGGCTGGGAATGATCTGGGCCTGCCGATTATCGAGGTGAACTACGAGAGTGTAGATGACCTGGCCGAGGTCCTGGAGAGTCACCAAATCCACACCGTCATCTCGGCGCTCGCCCTCCATATCCATGGCGTCGGGACAGCCCAGAGGAACCTCATCAAGGCAGCCGACAAGTCCTTGGCGACGAAGCGATTCGTCGTCAGCGCGTGGGCCGTGCGTCCTTCTGAAGAGTGAGTGGTGTTAGATCCCCAGCGGCGTGATGTGGGCTGACAAGCCTAGATTCTTGAACATGCTCCCTCACGGTTATCAGCATGTGGCTTCCTACGCAGAGCTGGAGAAGACTAGCCTCGAGTGGACGGCCTTCAACAATGGATGGTTCTTGGAGTACTTCGGTATGCCCCACGTAAAGACGTACATACCGCAAACAACATTCGTGGTCGACATGGCCAACAAGAGGGCTGCGATTCCCGGGACCGGCAAGGAGTTGATGACCTTCACGTACTCGCTCGATGTCGCAAAGTTCGTGGTTGCCGCGCTCGACCTTGAAAAATGGGACCGGGATACTATCGTCATCGGCGACAAAATGACATGGGAGCAGTTCGTGCAACTGGCAGAGGAGGCCCGAGGTACGCTTTCAGAGGTTATTGACTGTCGCCCAGCAACTACTAACAGCGATACGCAGGTGAGAAATTCACTGTCACTTATGACAGCGTGAACAAGCTTGAGAAGGGTGAAATTACCGAATTGCCGGGCCAAGTTGCTGCCTACTCGTATTTCCCGAAGGAGTGGGTCCAGAAGTTGTTCTCGGTGTTTGGCTTGTGGGTAACGAGGGGTGTTTTTGACCTTCCCACGGAAAACGCTTTGAATAAGAGGTTCCCCGGCATCAAAGTCACGACCGTTAAGGAGATGCTAGACCAGGCGTGGAAAGGAAAATAGATAGGTCTGACAACAGTAGGATCGTATCCAGACAGTTTCGTTGATATGTAGGAAGATGAACTTGTTGGCATTGGCCAACACTTGACAACGCTCTGTTCCCGCCGCTATGTGCATAGGTCAACCCCTGCAACCTTGCACAATCGCCAGTCCTTCTTCGTGGCCGTCTCGAATTCGTCCACGTTGAGCACATCAACACCTACTTCTAGCATCTGCTCCCACACCCTATTTCTCGTCCCTATCGGCCATGACGGCGTGCCCCAGATCCTTGAAACCAAGCCCTTCTCCTTCGCGAGACCCGTCGCATGTTCCAATTTATTCATCTGGGCACCGTTCAGGCTACGTCCCAGCCCAACCTTCCCTACCAGCGCTCCTAGTGAAGCGCTTGTATAATACGAGTTTGACGCGTTATAGCGGCTGTCGGTGGCGAGCTTTTCCAAGGGCGCATCATAGAACACATCTCTGTAGGGCGATGCGATAACATCCTCGAATCGCGCATCGCCCGTCACAACGATCGTCAGAGGTCTGGTGATCCGTCTATTCTGCTCACGGTCCCAGTGAGTCAGCCAGCCGAACTCTCGGAAGGTGACCAGGTGGATTTGTAGCGCCCGCCAGACTGCGGACGGGTCCGTGGAGGACTTGAAGTCGAGAAGGAGGACGAGAGTCGTGGATGGGGAAGACTCGAAGATGCCGCTGGTGGACCCGTCGTCGGGCGAGGTCCGCTCGTAGAACATGCGAAAGAGCGGGGCTAGATAAAGACTGTCCAGCGTGCGGTCGACCGTCAGCTCGTCTCGGACATGGCCAACCTGTAGTTCTATGTTCACGATCTTCTCCCCAAACTCCACGCGGTCCTCGGCCGGCGGCAGTGGGAGCCAAATGTCGGCTTCGACGCTGGCACAGCCGTACGCGAGAGCGTCGAAGAGCGGAACCTTGCGCCAGTAATCATTGTGCGAGTGGCAAGGGAGAGGCTTGACCTCGGAGTTGCGGTTGCGATCGGAGAAAAATTCGATAAGAGGCACCGCGTCGGATGGTTGTTGCCAAAGGGAGGAGATTGAGGAATAATCACTCGGTTGGGGGGATATCCTCAAAAGGCTCTTGATCTTGACATATGCGATCAACAGCCACAGCCTAGAGCTTATCAGCACGAAGAATTCTCCGCCTTTATCTGAGCTGGGGAAACTTACAGAACACTAACTACGGAGGCAGCGAGAATGAAAAGCACTGGTCTGGCTAGCCAACATCGCTTCCTTGGTTTTGAGTCCGTCAGCCAGGCTAGTCCGCTTTCTGATGAAGACTGTTCGGAGTTTCCGAGTTCTCTGGTACTAAGATGCCTCATATAGATGTTTGTCGAAGGTAGAATGCTCATTGTGAATGACTCTAGAGAATAATGCGCTATCGAGAAGAATGGGGGTAATCGAATTTCAGGCACCTTTATGGGAATGTGGAGCTTCGAGCATGCACAGACTGAGCACGTATTATTTTGGTGAGGCCCATGCGTGCCCACTGGGCTAGGCGCCCAGTAGCCTAGCTATTCAAGGATGGACTCGTGCGTGATCACTAATCGAGACTGATTGAACCAAGCTATCTTAAGTACGACTCATGAAACATTGTTCACTAGCCGTTCCTAGCAGCTCGAATTATTCCTATTCGTCCCTGTTAGTTTTCCTTTTGCTTCCGTGCAGAAGATTTCTCGGGCTATTTAGCATTTCACTTCTCAAAGTCCAGGCAAAAGAATACAGCTGCAAAGAGGCCTTAAGTACCAGTAATGATACTAGTCCATGATACCAAGCTTATTGTATAACTGGGTCGACAATACATAGCAGGAAGCCATTCGAATTTTAAGTCTATCAAGTCTCGTAACAACTGCGTTCTATATCTACTGCGTAGCTATTGGAAGAGCAAATCACTCGATTAGTATTAAATCTACATATAGTACATCTGGCTAGCCAACTCCTTTGCGCCGTTTCAAAAAAGAAAATGCTCATCTCCGTCCCTCCCAAACCTCCAGCGACGTCCGCAGCGGCGCCGCGGGCCTCGCATCTCCTCCACCCCACCCCGGCGCCCCCCACCCTCTCTGCCCTCTCTCTCTCTCTCTCTCTCTCTCTCTCTCTCTCTCCCCTCAGTCAACACGCCACTACAGCTCGCCGCGCTCTTTCACACCGACGCGCCATCCCCGCCCCCTTGCTGCCCCAACTTCCCGTTACCCCCATCCACATCCTCCAGCGCAACTTCCTCCAACTGCGCCGGCAGCGGCGGCGGCGCCTTCAGCCTCGGATGCGCCAGATCCTCCATATCTATCACGCCGAGCTGATCGCCGCGCTTGGTGACGGGGACGCCCTCGTCGCAGTGGCGCCACGAGCCGAAGCCGGCTTCCTCGTGCGCGAGCCGCTGCAGTTGGAGGGTGTCGTTGACGTTCCACTCGATGCGGGAGTAGGTGTGTTTCTGCTGGTTGTGGTGGCGGCGGCGGCGGCGGCGGCGGCGGCGCTGCTGGACGCAAGCGGTGAGAGGCTCGAGGAGCCAGGAGAGGAGGATGATGAGGCCGCCCACGGCGAAGATGATGGTCAGGCCGAGGATGGAGAAGTTGGTGTAGGCGGTGCTGCGGACGAGCTGGGGTGCTGTAAGTGTTTGTCTTTTTCTGGGGGAAGGTGAAGGGGAGGAGGTTGTTGTGAAATATTCGTACCTGGCTGTGACATGACTGTGCGCGATAATCTTCGTCGGGCGGCGGGTACAGCATCTCACGCAGGGTAGGATCCGACGAGCCCGTCGTCGTATCGACGAACCGCTGTTGAATTCTGGCCAACGATATGTTGTGCCACTTCTGAACGTCCAACTGCCACTGGTCGTCCGCGATCTTGCCTTGCAAGCCCCATCCGTTTCCCGAGTGCGAATCCAACGACCCCGCCTTCACCATCGAAGTGATCATCATAGTGCGAGTATCCAAGCTGATCGGGATATTCGCGAACCATCCTGCTATGTGGAACTCGGAATAGTCTGGCCAGAGCATCGAAAAGTTGACGTTGTCCACGGACCCGAAGAGCGGCGTGCAGTTCTCCCCGTCGGGCAGGGATGGGTTGCAGTATTGATGCTGCTCTGCACAGCCCAAAGGAGATGCGGCTTCGTCGCTTTGATAAAGCGGGACGGTGGTCCATTTGGAATCTTCGTCGGGAACGGGGGTGTTGGCCGAGTACCATATGTCGCTCGAGTTGCCAACGAATGGATAACGGTTGGTGGACAGGAAAACGATGAAAACTTCGGAATCCGGTCGGCGCAGTTCTTCGATCGGCTCCCATCCCCACAGACTGCCCTTAATCCAGCTCCCATTGAGAGTCGTGGCACCTATCGTTCTGTATGTAAACGCTGTTAGCGATAGTTCTTGGAGGGATGGGGGGGTTCTCGACTGACGTAACAGTAAAACCCGGCTCTTCTTGCAAAAAGTTCTTCCACCATTTTCCGATTGGGTGTCTATGCGTATAGTTGTGTAACACGGTGTTCCCGTAGAAATAAAACATTTCATCGTCTTGCCGTACAGCGCTGGCGTTGATGTCGCTCAATTTAGCTTGGTATCCCTCCGTGACTAATGGAGCACAATGCAGCACACGCCGGTACGAAAACCGCCCGGTTTTCTTCAGATTTATGCCAAAATCGTCTCGGGTATCGAGATATCCGGTATCGAGCAGAATGTTGGAGTCCTGGGTCTTGCAGATCTTGGGGTCGAACGGGCAAGCTGCGGTCTGATTGACCTTCGTGGGGATGCTGCTTCTCACGAAGTTTCCACACGCACCGCTGCTGTTGCCGGAGTAGCACTGCTGCACATACTCGGTGCTCGCGGACAGGGCGCTCGATATAGGCGGGAGGTAGAAGACGAGTTCAGCAGCCCCGCTCCCCGCCGTGAACTCAAGCATGCTGCAGCCACCTCTGCCCGCGAGAAGCACCTCGTTGCCGGTGATACTCGAGATCCGAGACGAGTATGTACTGGCGACAGCGAAGACTGCTAGCGTGACCCATGCGAATGTGAATGGTGGGAGCATTTGACGGTAGGGGCTTTCTGCGGTCTTGCGCCATGCGAGAAGAATCCAGAGAAAGGACCAAAGGCCGGTCGCTCCATTTGCTGCATTACGCAACACCGCTTGCCGCTGATGGTATAGCCCATCGCAAGATCTGTCGGTTGAGTAGAGACGGTGGATGATGAAGCAGCCGATTCTCCAAAAGCTGGTACCAACGACTGTTACAAAGAGAGATACAAATGCGATGAGTAAGCTCCCGTCACGATGTGTTGTGGTTAACGTCAGGCCAAGAACACTCCCATGGGCCCAATTTGTCCAGGTCCCCGTGTAGATGCTGGCGTCATATGGACCCAGTGAGGCCATGACGTATTCAATGCGAATATGGTCAAGATCGAAGTACCCTTATTCAAGGTGCAGGAGAAGTATGTAGTAGTCAAGTTGTGAGGGTCGAGGCCGAGACCATGAGGCTTGAGTGGGGGATCATCCGAGCGCCACAAAAAATTGAAGAAATTACGAATCTACGGTCTATATAAGTTGTTCGGAATTCTACCCCAGATTCAGCAGCACTGTAGCCCCCACACGGCCTCATTGCCTACTTTGTATTCTTGTTAGCCTTATCAATCTTGTATAAAGACGCAGCAGCAGTCGAAATTGTTGCAACGACGATGAGCCGTCACGATCCGCAGCGTTTCTTGATCGGCCCGAGATAATTTGCTCGGCAAGACGGAAACAATATGAATTCTGTCTATGTTGGGCATCAAAGCTGGTTCGCATAGAATCCAGTGGATGGAACTCCCTCGTTATGATGCTCAAACGTAGAACATCATTCGACACAAGCAGGTTGGTCTTGACAATAGGCATCAGGATGATCTTTTTCTATTACGAAAATCACGTGTATCGGTAGAAGTAATGATATTCACAGGAATGCTATATTAGGACATTGTGTCTCCACTAAAGTGCGGCACTTCTTGCATGTGGGGGCCAAAATATCGCCTGATATCATGGCTTCAACTTTTCGTTTACAGGACGCATGTTGGTATAGAGTGCTTGATCGTCAGTAAACCGCTTAGGTAAAAATAGAATTTAATTCAGGAAGTGACCTTTGTGACAAATTGGCAAGCAGGTCGGCCGAAAAAATAGCATGAATCGCTGGATACCCAATCAGCTCTTACCCACACAGCATAAGCCTACACCACACCCCAATAAGTGAGAAAGAAACGAGACTGGGGTAGTAAGACAGCCGCTGTACACAGATCGACAATGAAGAGCAACAGTTACAACCTCTCAGATCAGTTGCAACACATCAACGGCTCACAAACATTCCCACACGCCAACCGACACCCCGCCAACCCCGCTCCCTGCGTCGCCATAGTCCGCTGCCTCAGCCCTGCCGTCCTCGCCGCCGTCGAACTTCCCCCCACCACCACCTCTCCCTCCTCCGCTCCCACCTCAACAACCTGCTGTTCTCCTTGTCCCCCCTCCCCGCCCTTTCCAACCCCCTGCTCTCCCCCTCCGCTCACCACCATCTGCGACTGCGGCGGCACGACCAACTCCGGCTGCAGCGTCGCCGAGTGTATACCGTACGCATGCAGGCACTCGGCGACCGTCTGCGCCTTCTGCATGAAGGCGGCGAGGGACGTGTCTTCGCTGACGACGACGTGGGCGGAGGCGATGGCCTTTTTCTGGTCGAGGCGCCAGATGTGGAGTTCGTGGATGGAGTGGATGTTTGGGATCTATTTTGAAATCAGCTCTGCGTCCGGCGGGGGAAAGGGGGCAGGGGCTGGTAGGAGGGGTGGTTCAACGTACGGATTCGAGGTCGTGCTTGACGTCGTCGATGCGGACGCCCGGGGGCGCGCTTTGGAGGAGGATGGTGCCGCTGCGTTTTGCTGTAGAAGTGCGCGTTAGGTAGTGCCGTTTGAGCAGGTGGAGGAATTGGGGGGGGATAGGGAACAGGGACGGACTGAGCGGTATGGCAGAGGCGAGGATCATGATGGCGATGAGGGTGCTGAGCGCCGGGTCGGCGTAGAAGCGCATGTCGGACTTGACGAGCCAGATGATCAGCGCGGCGACGATGACGGCGATGTTGTTGAAGGCGTCGCCCAGGACGTGGATGACGACGCCCATGATTCCGAGGTCGTAGCCCGGTGGCTTCAGCTCTGCTGTGAGGTGGAGGTGCTCGGCGTGGTCGTGGCCCTCCTGAGATATGGGAGCGGAATAGTTAGCGAGAGGCGAAGTGGAGTGCTTTGGTGCTGAACTTACCGGTAGTTCCATAGCGTCGGCCTGCTCACCGGAGACGTCGTGGCTGTGAGCATGTCCGCCGTGACCGTGGTCATGGTCGTGTTCTTGATGTTGGCATTTGTCAGTGCTGCACGAACGATATTGTGTTGGAGTAAGCATACCGTGAAGGAAAGCGGCAGTGATGATATTCAAAGTTAAGCCAACACAGCCGATTATCAAGACAATCATGGGGTTGTTGATGTCTGGAAAAGATTAGTTCATGTGACAACATGGCGTAGATACAGGGATCGCCTACGTTCAAGTGATATGAACCGCTCGATAGACTGCAGGAATATGCTCACGCCGAGCGCGAGCAGGAACACGCCGTTGAAGAAGGCACCCAGTAACTGAGCTCGCGCCCAGCCGAAGGAGAAGCCTTGCGGGGATTGCCCGCGCTCGGTAGCCTGCCGGAAACGGTTAGTTTAGTGTGTGGTAAGCAAAAGCGGCAGAGGGCTTGGCTGTGTAGCTTACTTGGACGGCAACGAGCGCTACGATGAACCCAATGAGATCGTTCATCTGATTTCCTACGTCAATACTTACTACCCAGAGAGTTTTATTCCGCGAAAGATACTAACATAATGGAAGGCATCGGCTACGAGTGCTAATGATCTGGTGTAAAAGCCGGCTATGGGAGAAGATCGTCAGCGCTACGAAACGATAGGACGCAAGTGAAACAGACCAGAGATCTCAGCAACGAAAAAGGTGAACGAGATGGCTATCGTCAGCGACAGCCGCTGCTTGCGGGTCAGAGATTTGAACATTGCGAAGACCGTACACGTTCGAGAAGAAGCAGCTGCAGTACGCCAAGGAGGACGAGCAAGGAGGACGGGTGGCTGCAGTGAAGTCTCCGATGCTTGTATTTGTATTTGCGCCAACACCTGCCACTTCACTCTAAATACCCGACGCGCTAGATATGCACAAGTAGGGGCTTAATAGCCGTTATTGGGTGCTGTCATGGGTGCAGCTCCGCGTCATTCGAAACATGTCATGTTGCATGTATCCCGAACTCCGGGCTCCGAACGCCGACGTCAAATGCATTCTGCATCTACTCGCTCCGGAAGGTTCTCCGAATAATGCGGTGTGATTGCGGTGAGCAACAAATCAGCAGATCGGACGAGATGATTGAGGTGGACATGATACGCGCAGGGGGGCATTATTTCCCCCAGTGCTCTGAAGCTTTGTTGGATTTGTATTTACCCCGGATGTGAAACCATCTTCAAGAATGCCGAGTAATGACAACGATGTAGGAGTCCCTCAAACCAGGTTATTTAAGATTTCTGTTGTGTTCCCATATTGATTGGTTAAGCTAGATCCATAGCGCAACCAGTGCAACCACACTCTGCACCCATTCACATGATCCCTACGTCATTTGTCGTGCGGTAAATTTAAGCTAGGGAGAAAGCACTTTATCTTTCACATGTGCCATGTAGATACAATTATCAAAATCACTTTACACATCACCATTCAAGCGCCTCAGCTAATCCCGGCCTTGCCCGCTCACCACCCCTTCCACGGCACCCACACATCCCTAACCACATCCTCCCCATCCACAACAAAATAATACGGATACGCCGCCGCCGTAATACACGCATGCTGAATCCATAACCACACCTTCTCCCCGACCTCAAACACCTCCTCGACCTCCTTCCCTTCGCCCTTCCCCTTCTCCCTCACCAAAATCCCATGCTCCTGACTCAACCTCCCCACATTCCACTCCTTCCGCCCGACCACCCTCCCAAACCCAGGCAACGGGCCCGGCTCCCTCGCCAACGCGATGACGCCCGCATTCACCAGCGCCTCGTCGCGCTCGGGATACACCGAACACACCTCCGCCAGCACGCGCACCGCCTGATCCCCTTCCTCCACGCACCCCGTGCCGAGCTGCTGCAGGTCGTTCGCCGGGAAGTTCCCGGCATGCAACTCCAACGCCAAATTCTGCTGCTCGAGCTCCGCCTTCAGCGACGCGACGACGTGCGCGGTGGGCGTCGAGCCGAAACTCACGACGGCTTTGTCGTCCGCCGGGCGCGACGCGGGAGAGAGGAGTTTGGCCGCCTCGACCGCGGCGCCGACCTCATCCCGCAGCACGGCGGCCGCGGCGTCCGCCGTGCGCGACGCGTACGCGTGGCCGGCGTGGCAGTAGAAGCCGTGGATGCGGACGGCCGGCGATGCTTCGGCGGCGGCAACGAGGGTGCGGAGGGTGGGCGAGGCGAGGGGGATGCCGGCGCGGTGGGTGCCCATGTCGATTTTGATGAAGCAGGACCAGACGGGTGCGGGGGTCCCGGCTGTGGCCTGGGCGGCGGCGAAGGCTTCCAGGTGGGTGATTTGCGAGGGGTGGTCGAGCATCAACAGGATTTTGAGGGAGGTGGAGAGGGTGGTGAGTTCCGGGAGGGCGGCGGGGCGGATGGGGAGGCCGTAGAGGACCTGCGGGTTTACGTGTTAGTGCGTGGGGGGCTTGGTGGGGGAGGAGAGGGGAGGAAGAAGGACGTACGTCGTCTAGGAGGCCTTCTTTTGCTAGAGGGAGGAGGCCGCGGATTTCTCTGAGGGTGGAGGCGACGGCGCCGCGAGACACGTCGCCGAGCATTAGTCTCGTGACTTCTTCGGACTGCGTGGTGTTTTTTCTCGTCAGCGGCGTCGACTCTTCAAGACTACCAGGGTCCTGCGGTAGCTGGTGACCGACGCACCTTCAGCGTCTTGACATGAGGCCTGAAGCCGATACCCAAGCTCTTGACATCATCGTGCAGTCTCTTGCAGTTCTTCTCGATGACGGGCTTGCTGAGGACGAGAGACGGGGTGGGCAGCTCAAGGGCCGGGCGGCCGATGAAGCTCTTGAGGTAGTCTTGGGAGACGTCGACCATGGCTGTAGACTTGTGTAGTTGTCTTCCTTTGTCCGGGGTGCTTGGCCGTATTTAACAGGTGGGGTCGGGAAGCGATGCCGCAAGTGCGGGACACGTTCGGGATCGCAGGGTACCCGAACTGTGATGATAGTCGTGGCCGCGTGGGGTGCCATTTCGCGCCGGCGGCATTGGCCATCTTCGGCCCGGCAGAGCGTCTCTGTAAACCTGCGCCCATCATCTTTGGGCAAATTTGCTCGAGTTTCGTAGCATTCGAGCTGTGTAATGAGCACTACAGTCTCCTGGTGTCTAAAAACGTCGCATGTGTCCTTTTCCGGATGATCTTGAGCTTCGCGATGGGTTCTGTTGGTGTTTTCCCTTGAATCGGCATCTACACTTGCAGCCGATCGCCGTCGCCGCCGAATGCGGGCCGGTGACTAATTCTGCTGTCCGCACATACGAGGCCAGTTTACTTCGTATTGCAACAAAACCAGAGGACAGAATCTCTGTCCTGGCACATTTACATCCATATGGATGCCTCGACTATTACTCTATCTAATTCCAATAGAGCCGGCCTCGTCTTTGAACTTCTAATGCGCCTTGACTTTCGTTTCGAGAAAAAAAAAAGCTTAGATGAATTTATTATTTTCTAGACAGCCTACTTATGCAAGATCGATCCCTATTGTCTCTAGTTGAAGAGGCTGCTACAGAGGGTTTATGCTTCAGAGCAGTCTCACGGCTATCGTTTTTGTAAGTACCTAGATGTCATTCCTTACTTCTTCAGAGTATTTTCTTAGACTTCAGTGATAAATCTTATTCACTTGGTCAATAAAACCGCGGACGTGGTCCGCTGCCTTAAGCTCACCGTAGCTTAGCCAGCGGACTCTGCTGCCCAGCTACTGCCTAGACTTATCGACCTTAGCTACTGCAATCCAGATCCCGAATCCAACACCGGCAAGAGTTATTCCATGGTGGCGTACTGACTTGTCATCTTCTTTAGCCCAAGGTCTTATTCGCTCGTACAGCGTCTAGTCGGAGTCTCCATCGGTTGTAGAGTCCAAGAACCGCTGAGCATGTCATCTGGTTGAGTCCCTTCCGTATCGCACTAGTGTCGCGTGGATCTTTCTTGAATTCAACCGAGAGATACGGACACATAGCCCGTTTTTGGTGGATGTGTGTGGAGTTCCATACTGCTTCATGATCTGTTGTAGTCCAAGACGTATCTTCACGTACTTGTACGGCATCGTGTCGGAGTTCCCATCGGTTGTAAAGCACACGAAAAGCCGCGCACGCGTCATCTGGTTGATACCTTTTGTGGTAAGCAGTAGATCACATTGTTCCAGATACGAGAGCATACCCAAAGCGATGACATTCGTCCCATCCGGTTAAGCCATATAACCAATTCCCCATCTTCCAGCCCTCACGCAAAGATCGACTTCGGCCGCTCCAGCCTCTCCCCATCCAACTCAATATCCACCTTCTCATTATAAAAGCACAACGCCCCCACAATCAACGCGCTCTCCTGCGTCGGATTCCTGTAGTACCACACCACATCCTTCGCCACCTCTCCATCGACCACGACATCATAATACTCCGCCTCGCCCTTATACGGACACTTCGTCTTCGTCTGGCTCGGCCTCAGCACGGCCGGATCGACGCTGGTCGGCGGGATGTAGTATCTCGGCGGCAGTCCCGTCTCGAACAGGTGGTACGCGGACTGCGCGTGCGCGACCTGCTTGCCGTTGACGAAGACCTTGAGGGGCCGCTGCGAGTGCACGATGTCGATGCGCTTGAAGGGATCCTTGGGGTGCACGTCGATGCGCGTGTCCTCCTCGAACCAGGCGTCGGCGGCGCCGAACTCGATGCGCACCATGCCGCGCAGCGCTTCTATTGCGCTCTTGCCCTTCCTCTCCCCTGCCACAACCCCACCGCTCCCGCCATCGACCTCCCCAGCGTCCTTCCCACCAACGTCCTCCCCGAACGCCAGCACCCTCTCCGTACTGGCGGCGCCGCCGGATAGCCGCAGCACGTTCGCGGCACCCCCCTCGACCTTCTTGACGACGGACCAGGTGTCGGCGCCGAGAGAGGAGAGGGGCAGGTAGTAGTACGGGTAGTACGGGTGCTCCCAGACGTAGAGGCCACGCGTCGTGTCGGCGACGAAGCGGCCGCCCAGCTGCACGCGCAGCCGCTTGGTGGTCGGGAGCGTGCGGACGGGGCCGTCGGTCAGCAGCTGGCGGGCGAGGGTGGCGAGGTCGGTGGGGGATTTGGGGGGCATTGTTTGTTGGTGGTTTGTTGCGTGGTGGTTTTGTTTGTTGGTTGGTGGTTTTGTTGCGAGGTGCGAGGTGCGGGGTTATCGTAGGATTGGATTGGCGTGATTGTAGGGCGGCGGTGCCGTGGGGAGGGTGAGGGAGGAGGGAGGCATGGTGGTTGTTGGTGGTGTTTTATGGTCAAGGGGGGCTCGGAGTAAGCGGATGCGATGCGCGTCGTTTGCGGGTGGGGTTGGATTTTGGTGGAATGGTTGACGGGAGGAAGGTGCGGAAAGGCAGGGATGGCGTCACTGATTGATGACGAAACGCGGGGCAGCGCGGGGTCGTCGGACTTTATTCAACACCACCACCGCTACTCTCTATGCCTGACCGTCGCCCCAATTCCACACTACGAAATCATTTTCGCTCCTGGAATTATTCGCAAATAAAGCCATTGCAGCTCCAATTAGCAACTTCTCCATCGCCGCGAAGTTCTTCGGCTCGTAGCGCCCCCGCTCGAACAATGGACGCAGGCAAGGTGATTTCTAAGCTTGACTGGGGCTCACCTCCCTTGCACAACTAACTTTATATTTCTAATCAAAGTGTAGTCATCAGCCATTCCACTTCGTCCTTCTTCAGCTCTTCCGGGGCTACCGCATCGAGCTCAGCATGAATGGCTTTCTTCTCCCTTGCCGGAATGCTGGAGTTACGCCACAACGATACATAATCCTCGTACCTCACGCGCACGCCAGACGTGAGTAACATCTGCACCATGATGAGTGCCGAGCTCGATCGAGAACATGCTGTAGACAGCGGCGTCTGGCCTGCCTGATTCGCTGCGTCCACTCGAGCCTCGTAGCGGAGCAGGAGATCGACCACGTCCGCATGCCCACTGCCGACCGCTGATATCAGAGGCGTATTTCCCACATCATCAGCAAGCTCGATTCCAGCTCCAGCCTTCAGCAAAAGCTCCACGACACCCTTCCGGCCACTCTTCGCCGCAACGTGAAGCGGCGTGCGCCGCCCCTCCTCGGTGGCCGGAACGTCGAAGTCGACAGGCACAGCAAGCAAAGCCTGAACAGTTCGAACATTCGTCCCGGCCGCAGCATAGTGTACGGGCCGCCACCCGCGCCGTGAGATGGCCTCGGGGTCTGCTCCTGCGCGCAGCAGGCCACGCACGATACCGTCGTGCCCGTGCTGCGCCGCCAGATGCAGCGGCCTCAATCCGTCCGCGTCCGACGCATCCACAAAGGCGCCCGCTTCGGCAAGGATCGCGGCCGTCTTGCGCGCGCCGCATGCGCACGCCAGGTGCAGCGGCGTCTGCTGCGCCCTGTCGAACGCATTGACGTTCGTGCCACTTTTCAGGAGCGCGGCGACGGCGTTCGAGTGTCCCCCGCGCGCGGCCATGCTGTGGAGCGGCGTCGATGCTTTGCGGTCCTGTGCGGAGGCGGAGGCGCCGAGGGATAGGAGCAGTTCCGCAGCGCTGTCGGTGGCGAGGTGGAGGGGGGTGTGAGCGTCTCTGTCGCGGGCGTCGAGGAGGGCGCCGTGGGAGACGAGGGTGCGGATTACCTCCAGATTCCCCTTCTCCGCTGCGTGGTGGAGGAGCGTGGGCTCGCCGTGGCCGTAGGGACGGTGGACGGCCCGGCGGAGGGCTGACTTGACGCCCGTCTTTGCTCCTCCGGCGTCGGACTTGTGGTGGAGGCGGTAGTTCGCGTCAGCGCCGTCGGAGCATAGCTGGTCTACGGCTGAGGACTGGCCCTTGATGACGGCGTCCCGGAGCTGCTCGCTCAGTGTCGTGTGATTGTCGTTCCGCCATCGAAGCCGTCGGCTTGATGCTTTCCTTTCGCTAATCACTCCGATGGTTGAAGAACTTGAGGAGCCTCCGAAGATTGCGTTCATCGAGGGAGCCACGGTGCCTGCTCCACCCCCAGTCCGCAAGTCACTCCTTCCATCAAAAGCCCTCTGTTCAGAGTCTACATTCCGATTTCTCACAGCTGCTTTGTATACTCGTGACTGGAAAAGCTCCGTGCGGAAGTTCGTAGGAGGTGAGGTGGGATCTCGTTGTGCCGATTCGTCGTGTGACGTTAATCTCCGACTACTCGGAGCTTGTAGGAGCTCTCGCTGCTGGCAGTGGGACTTCCTGGGACAAGTTGTCAGATTGAATGCATCAAGGCCCCGTTACACGAATTCGACACCTTACAGAACGGCGACGTTCAAAAGCACCCCCAACGCAGATATCTGGTTGTCAAGATTGCGCTGATACTGTAGCTGCTGTGCTTCGTTCCAGATGTGTCGGATCCTGCCGCCGAACCAGCCATCTTGCACACGCTCAACATGACTGTAGATCTCTCCCACCACAAAGTCGCATGCAGACACTGCCATCTGAATGTCTGCTGCCATCTGTTGCTGTATCGTCTCCCCCCAGCGGAGCCATGATCCGATTTGCGAGACGATAGCCTCGATTGTATTCAGCCTGACGATAATAAAACTTATTTCCTGGTCGGCGCTGCGATATTTCTGAGACAGCTCTTTCAGGGACAACGATGTCTTCACAACGACGGAAAGACTTGTGAAGACGAGGGTAAGGATTGATGACGGTTCCATATTATCAAGAGTCCACTTTGCAGGCAAAGGTTCAAGGCGTGAGTCCAAGGCTTGAGCTGAACTACCTACTCAAAAAGTCGGCCACACAGATTATGCAGTTTCTGCCTCTGTACTACATGGCCGACGCCACCCCCACCATCCATCGCAGCCTTCCAAGTAAAAACGATAATTTCTTCCGCCGCGTTTTACTGTCTGGCTTCAACAGGAGCTAACTCCAAATCGCCCGCATTGTTCTGAGTCCTATTCTGAGTTCCGTACAGGTCGATTATCCCGTCCAAAGTATCGTTCCCAGTCCTGGTCCGGGCCGAATCTGGAGTCGTGGTGAACATATTGGCTATGTTCCGCATCAACGGGCGGCGGCGCCTCACAGCCCTCGGCCCCGCTGTTCCGGGCTGTGGAGGCGCGCTCGTTGCGGCATCCTGTTTTAGGAAAAGGCCGCGGAAAGATGCCAGAGATGCGACAATGAGATCTATGAATAGGATGCGTCAGCTACCTCGCAGGTGTGAGAGAAAAGGGACCCGAGGTGTCTCAACTTCCTGGGCATGACATACCAGCGCATATTTCAATAACACTCCACAGGTAACACCAGGTCAAGTCTGCCTGGAATATCCACGGAGACACCACACCAATACGTACGATGGCAATGACCATGGTAATGACCGTGCAGCAGAAAACGGCCGCCAGGCCTGCTTTACGCTTGCCGCTGGTGCGGAGCTTCCGAAGCATGCTGATCGGAATGCAAATGACTACGTGCAGGAGTCAGCGCACCTCCGTCTCAATATCTAACTCTCCTCTTCTTACTCATCATGTCCGTCGCAATGTCCAGGACACAGCTGGATATCATGTTGCCAAATTTGAGGTTGTAAGACTTGATGGAGTGACAGTATTCCAGCTGATGATGCCACGGGCCATTCCTGAGGCAGCGGTAATCAATCGTTCCCACACAAGCCACCCAAGCCATCACCGTGAATATGAAAATCGCCCACCAGAGCCGCAACAGCTCGCCGAGGTTGAGGTAGACGCGTCGGAAAAAGAAGAGGAAAGAGAACTTGATGCACCACAGAGTTGAGTAGAATAGAAACAGGATAGCAGCGTGCACTCTGTAGAGGCGATCGGTTCGAGCGATGGAGTGTGCATCTTGTGGGGTAGGCTCGTCGTTCATTATAACACGGCCTAGGAAATACAAGTCCGCGGCGATGACTTGCCAAAGAACTGCCATTACGAGAGACATAATCCAGGCGATGAAAGCGAACCAATCGTCCAGGTAGAATCTTTTGAAGATTCGGAGTCTTACTGCAAGCCTCAGACCAGTGAATATAGTAGCCGCTACGAAGCAACCCCAGATGGCTCCCTCAGAGATGTTATTTAGTGCATAAAGCGGATAAGGTAGAAATTATACTCACTATAAAGGCTTTTTCACTGATTCTCTCCGCCCAGGTCTTCCATAGTTCAATTATTTGCTTAGGCACCATCTTGTAGGCTGGGTAGCGCAATAGCAGCGGGGCGTAGTGGAAAATTAATCGAGCTTGGCTGAGATTTATCCCTTTACACAAGCCACCCATTTTAATGTGACAGTTCACCTAGATTCTCATGACGTAGCTGCTATTGTATGCATTCAATTGGTGGATCGTTAATTTCCAGCCTTTCTTGATCATCACATGATTTTAGCGCGGGTGTGTGGAACCAAAATCTCCTCGCTATTCGCCACGACTCACAGTGAATGGTGCCTCCACCGGTCAATCCATTGTAAATTTCAGCCTCCCCGTTCGCTACCGCACAGTCCATACATAGTTTCATAGGAAGAAAGGTCGTAGCTGAATCTATGATACTATTTGCGTATTTGCTGCTCCGGGATTCACAAGTACTCGCTTTTAGGATCTCTTGAATCGTCTACCGTTCGAATTTAGGCCCAAGCCATCCCCTTCTATAGCTGTAGCCTTGTTTGTTCCTGTGTATCTTTCCAAGCCTTCTGTGGGAACTCACAGCACATACTGAAAGCACAGTCCCGGAATTGACTTATTTTGGAAAATTGCGAGCCGCCCCCTGTAGTCGTTCCTTCGTGGATCAGACCCCTGCATAGCTGAGAAAAAGGAAAGTCACAACAAATTAATGCATCAGATCGTTACACAAAAATACTTACCTTCTTATAGGCTGAACGCTAACCCCACTCTTGCCGGTTACACATCGTTTCTGCCTGATCGTGAGCTCCTTCAGCCATTTCATGCGCGGTGCGAGAACAATGGCTAGTGTTACTATACTAATGCAATACCCTGCTAGGTCAATGAATCCTTTCGATGTCCGGATTCAGGAAGCCGACGGAAAGGACGTGCCGACGTATGCCATGCAATAATGCCCAAGGAGCCGAGATGTAAGACAGTTGAACGTAATAAGAAAAGAATCCAGCTTGTGCAGTCTATGTCATTCTAAAGAAGAAGTAGATATCGTACAGATCTAATATTGAAAGGGTAATAAAAGCGGTCATTATACGCGGTTGTAGTAATACAGTCTAAAATCTATCCAAATACATCAATGAACTTTTCCTCTACCCATAAGCCCAAATTACAATAGCCGTCAAAGAAACACTAAACGTCAGACTTCGACGCCGGTACTTTATCCAACACAAACCCCTGATCCGTCTCCAACTCACGATCGAGCGAGTACTTCTTCGTAAACGCGACACTGCACACCAACGCCACGCCAGCCAGCGCGCACATGACAATCCACAACGTACGCAGCGAGCCACAATACGCCGTCACCAGCTCATCCACCATCGCCAACTCCGCGGCATCGCTACTCTTCCGCATCACCTTGATCGTCTCCACGAGCGAACTCACATCCTTACTGATCGACCCCGCATGCGCAACGAGGTACGCATTCCCCGAGTCCTCCAACTTCCCCTTCATCGCATTCTGCACGACCGTCCCGCCCACCGCCACGCCCAGCATCTGCCCATAGTTCCTAAAAAACGCGCTGAGCGCCGACGCGATGCCCACATCCTCCGGCGGGGCCGCCGCCTGGTTGCACAGCGACTGCGCCGGATACAGCACGCCGAGCCCCAACCCCGACACCAGCGCCAGCGGCACCCACATCTTCGTCGGCGTGTCCTCTTCAAACAAGATCAACAACCCCATACCGCAGCACACCAGCGTCCACCCGGACCACAGCGCCCAGCGGTACCGACCGAGCCGCGCGATGAGGAAGCCGACGACGACGGCGGCGGGGGCGACGGTGAAGGTCCAGGGAAAAAGCGCGACGCCGGCGCCGATGGCGGAGAGGCGCTTGGCGGATTCGAAGTAGAGCGGCATGTAGAAGAGGATGCCCCACTGGACCATGCCGTGGATGACGAAGGAGAGGTACGTCGTCAGGCAGGTGCGCGTGCGGAAGAGGCTGCCGGGGAGGATGGGTTGGGTGGGGGTGAGGAAGGCGGACCAGGCGAGGAAGAGGCCCAGGCCGAGGAGGCCGACAAGGAGGGGCGTGAGGGTGCGCCAGTGCGTCCACGGGTACGTGGTGCCGCCCCAGGTGATGGGGATGAGGATGGAGGTCGTGGAGGCGACGAAGAGGAAGGAGCCGATCCAGTCGATTTTGCGGAGTTTGGAGAGGAGGTTGCCGCGTGTGTGTTGGAGGTTGAGGAAGAGGGGGATCATGATGAAGGCGACGGCGCAGAAGGGGATGTTGAGCCAGAAGATCCAGCGCTGTGGGAGGGAGTGTGTTAGTATATACGAGCAGTTGAACAGGATGCGAGTTCTGGCTTACCCAGGAAGACTTCTCCACGAGTACACCGCCGATGACGGGACCGGCCACGCTGCCGACAGCCCAGGTCATGGCAATGATGCCGACATACTTTCCACGCTCCTTGAGTGGCGCAAGGTCGGTGATGATGACGTTGGATAGTGCTTGAATGCCACCGCCACCAATTCCCTGGATGGTGCGTCCGACAAGAAGGACTGCAAAGTTGTGGGAGACGGCTGCTATGATGGCGCCAGCAGTGAAAAGGGTAAGGGCGATGAGAAGGATTGGTTTACGCCCGAACACCTCCGAAAAGGAGGCAAAGCTGGGCTGGAAGACGGTCGATGCGAGAAGGAAAGAAGTGCCGCTCCAGAAGGCCTCAACACCAGAGCCATGGAGCTCTTCTGCGATTGTCTGTAGGAACACTCAGTTAGAAAAGTATGATAATTAGTGGCCCAATAATGCTTACTGGTAGGGCAACAGAGAGAGAAGAGGCATCCAATGCAGAAACGAGGTTGACGACACAGAGGCAGCTGAAGGCTGCGTAGAATCGTAAACCAGACGCCGATGCAGTGGCAGGTTTCTCTTCTTTCTCGATTATTGTGTCGATGGACCTCGCTGAACTCCGAAACGACCGGAATTCGGGAGGGTATCCAAGATCTGTGGTGATAGTCATCATAACCGAGCGCGAGTGTGATCTTGCGGAAGTCCACGATCAACGAAGCAGCACCTGGAGAGCGTGAGAATACCGGCCATCCTGAGAGAAAAGCAGTTCATATTTAAAAACTGAACAACCTGATGATGTTCAAAGAGATAGGAGTATCTTGTTCACGCATTCTTCCGAATCTGGGTCTGAGCGTGTAGCAAGCCACATGGCTTGGTGTCAACTACGGAACAGTAGAAAAATGGCTGGCTGATCAAGTACCGAGATGAGGCACAGCCATTGTGGCTGGAATAGGTGGTGACTATCTACTAAATAGATGTTAAGCTGTCAGCCCTGTGGGGCGAGCATGCGTGTCCCTCGTGCGATTTTAGCGTCCCGCTAACGAAAAAGTACCGGCGATGCCGATAACGCCGTTTTTGAGGCTGAGGCTGTTGACATGTCAGCCGCGCTTTAGTCTGAGATGTGGCTTGAGTTTCCTCGATTTTTTGTATGCGCTCCAAAGCGACTTCTGCTTCAAGTATCCTTTCGTCCCTTCGAGTGATCATGTTTGCAGATGCTTGCCATCATTTTGAGGATTAAAATCATGCAGATATAGAAGAAATCCTATCAATTGGGATTTTTTTTTCCATCTGGGCTAGCCAGCCACAAGCCATGTGGCTGACGTCTGACGTACTTCCTCACGAAGGGGTAGGGACCACAGTATTTTGCAGCCAAAAGCACCACTTCGCTGTTGACTCGGATGAAATTTTTGCCACACTGTCAGTACATCAGCTGCACTTTCAGCTCTCTTATCGCCCTGTCTGAAAATCGTAGGACACGGACTCCAGTCGTCCGTCTTTAGCAATGTACCCTGGCTCTCGGTTATCTCACTAGCCGGATCTATCCGTCCAGGAACGCCCTATCTTCGGAAACACCGACCTTTATTTCCACATTTGTTTCCTTTCTTGACTCCTGAAGTCCTGTTCTGGGGTCGACAAATCACAATTGCCATGTGTCGTAAGCATTTTCCCGAAACCACAAGCTTTCTGTTAGCTCCTACGCCCCGCGGAGATCTCCGCGGGGCTGAAGGAGGAATGGAAGCCTCCGCCATTCGGACCGTTACAAGCTAAGTACCGCATTCTCGAACCTTTTCGCCGCTCCCAAGCACAATTGCTTGGTAGGAGTAAATAAAAGGTCCGGTAGGCTACCACAGCGCTAGTTGCATCACTTCACGCACATCACTCTTTGAATGGATGTCTCACTGTCTTTACTGGTTTTCTACTAAATTCACTCTTTTATTTCCCCAACTTTGATACCCCACACCGTCGAACCAGACAAAAGCAATGTCCTGCTCCTTTTTTCTTGAAACCGTGGGTTTCATGGCCTACTACATCCTCAAACCGCTTCTTATTTTGCGCGCCATTCTCTCGACATCCTGGAAAGTCATCTGCATGGTCCAGGGCCTGGCCGCAGTAAACGCTCAATACACTGCTGAACAAGCCGCCTTGATTCTGCCCATCAGCCACAAACCCGAGCGCCCCTCCTCGGTCATAAGCCAGACCTCCGAGCGTCCCCTCTCGACCATAAGTCAGCACACCCTACGTCCGCTCTCGGGCATAAGTCAGAACAACCTACGTCCCCTCTCGAGCATAAGTCAGTCCTCCCTACGACCTCTCTCGGCACGCTATCCGTCCGGCCACTCGATAGACCTCATGCTCCAACAACAACTGGCCGAGCTCGAAACCGAAAAGGCTCAGCAGCGCTGGAGCCGCCTGCCGTCTTACAGCCTTCACGACGTATACGCCGGGATGCCGCCGACGCCGCCGCTGTCGCCGGGCGACTTCAACTTTTCCAGGAAGCCGTTGTACGGCGAGGCACAACCCGAAGGCGAGATTAGGATTATGGTGTACCCGGTGGAGAAGCAGGGTGCGCATGAGAATGTCTCTCGATTGAGCACGGTAGAAACAATGAGATATCTTCCGGTCGCAGCGTCTTAATGTTCGAAGCGAGCTTTACGTTATCATTAATGAAAGATTTTTATGGGTTGAAGCACTATGGTAGTAAGCGCCACGCCTGACAACCTGATGACGGGCCCGACGGAACGTGAGCCTATTGCAGTTTTGTGTATGAGATGCCGTATTACGTGGCACTAATCGGCCAACAAGGCCAAATACGGGTCAGGCTTACTGGGGCGGCCTCCCATCTTCCGCGAGGCATCCCCGCAGATCCTTTACAAATTAGACGGCCTGTCATCCAATCGTCGAAAATATGTATGGTTCCTTTCGGTCTTGCTTGAATTGTCCAATCCTTCTCTATGTACCTCGCATTGGCATGATTACACGATAACGCTTCCGGCAAGGATTTTGTTAAGATTCGATAAGTTTCAGAGATAGCAGATAAGGCGCGCTTTGAAATGGGGCTCCGCGGTCTTTTGGGGTCAGCCTCGCGTCTCCCAGCTGAGATTGAGGCGGCAAATCACGTTGTTCCACGTTCAATCCACCTCATTAATCCATAACAAAGGACGTGAATAGATAGGCACTCCCTTACACCAGCTAGCATTACTCCGCCTCTGAAGCTCAACCCCGTCAGAACAGCGTGGAAGCCCTGCAACAAACGCTGGAGTCGCCAACTACATCAGGGAATATTAAACAACAATGGATTACGGTGCTCAAAGAGACAGTTATGAGGTACTGGCACTACAAGACTATTTCCCTGGCGAATGGCGACGGAAATCAGACTCAGATATCGAAAACATTGCCAGGATCCTACATCTGAGTGACTATGAAGAATGGGGAAGGTCACCAAGACTGTACAGCATCCTCCGGATGTTGCTTCGCCTGGATGCCATGAACAAACTTCTTGCAAACGGCCTGTGCGATGCCGCATTACCAGTCAACCCTCCTGCAGGGGATTCATTCCAAGCCTTGGGCTCTGATACACCGCGGTTTTTTCGGGCGCAGGAACTTGTCATTCCGCCCATCCCATCCAGGAACGAGAATCAAGCTTTCCCTAGCGAGCATCTCTTTGCGATGTCGGAAGCTGGCCTCGGGCTGGTCAGCAGGGAGAAGGTGGCATCTGATGCGTCTGGATCCGTCGACATCGTATTCGACTCCATCGGCAACAGGAAGTTCACGCGAAAGCGCTTCATACGGAGAGCATACAAAGATGAACCGGTGCATTTTTCAAGGAATACACATGTCGAATTGAGCCGTATGAGGAGTCTACGCCACCCCCACTGTTTGCAGCTTGTGGGGAGTTACACAACCCTCCATCACCTCTCGTTTCTGTTTTTCCCGCCGGCAACCGTCACCCTGTGGGAGTTCTTGGAGTCCCTATGGATCCGTTGGTATTGTGTCGACGGGAAACGATCCGACGTAACGCAGCCTTGGCTTGGATGTTTGGCCTCAGCGCTGGTCTATTTGGAATCAAACGGATTTGCTATACAGTACGTCGACCTTCTGCGAAAACGCCAAAGGTATAAATAAACTGACAGTAATACATAGTAATCACGCAATCAGGGCAGAAAACATCCTTGTCCATGGATCCGACGTATTCCTGTCAGCAATCACGCTTAAAAGCTCTCATGACATCAGCACCTCACAAAAGGCAGATGATCTGAAACTAGAGCTCGCAAGGAGAACAAATAATTCAGTGTTGCCGACGACTGTTTTCCATCTTGGAATTGTCTATCTGCAGCTCGTAGACAATCTCGCTGGACATTCTCCGAAGCGTCTTGAAAGCCACATGAGAGAGATGCTTCGATTGGGGCTAACAAGGTTTTCCGAGAAACGGAAAAATGACACAACATACTACAAAGCATTACGGCCAGGTGTATTGGACCTTATTCACGACATGCTGATCTGCGGCGAAGAGAATGCGCCTACGCTCAAGGAAGTAGTATCGAAAGTCACCAGATGTGAATCCTGCACCGATCAGTTGTCGCTCGACTCAGACCTCGAGAGTCTGCATCCGCTTGTGCTCAAAGAAGGCTACTTTAGCGAAGTTGACGTCAAGACAATCAGTAGGAAGTTGGAAAACAGTCGCAGGCCGGAGTGGGCACTCCTTCCAAGAATCTACATCATTCTTTGTCGGATAGGACGGCTTGATCTCATGCCAACATTCCTCAAAGAGGACCTTACGGATATCCTGATCCCCTTTGATGTACCACTTCTCCGACAACTAGTCAAAGGCCGTGAGGAAATCTTGGAGTTCTTGAAAGCACAGGAAATGGTTCTGAGCCGACACTTTCTACCCGAGGAGCATCAGTATTTCATTGACGGGAACGACCATTTCCAGGAGGTCAGAAAGCTTGGCTCTGGAGGATTTGGTTCAGTGTCGCATTGTATTGACCCTGTCAGTAAGATGGCTGTTGCAAAGAAAATCATTCGACGTGGCCAGGTGATCCTACGCAACCGCTCAAAGGATTACACCAATCTCTACCAAAGAGAGCTCGCAGTGCTGCGTCGAATATCCAAAAAACGGAACCGTCACCTTGTTAGCTTAATCGGCAGCTATACAGACGCGACACACTTCGCGATCTTGTCATTACCGGTGGCGGACATGAACCTGGCAACGTATCTAGATACTATGCCTGATCTCGGCAACATCGCTCATTGGTTTGGTTGTCTTGCTACGACACTGCAGTTCCTTCACAACGCCAAGATTCGGTATGTATACCAAAGGCAATACACAAGCGCCGTCCGTACCTAACTGTTCTAGACACAAAGACGTCAAACCCCAGAATTGCCTCGTACATGGCGATAATATCATTCTCACAGACTTTGGTCTAAGGTATGCCAGGAAGCCCCTTTCCCTTTTCCTTCATTTTTGTTCGAAGAAGAAAAAAGACATGCTCCAATGCTGATCAACGCATCCAGCCTTGACTGGAGCGAGAAAAGTCGCCCCACGACATCAGGTCGGGTTGAGGCTCAGGACCGACAATACTGCGCACCAGAAGTTGCCGAATGGGAACAAAGAAACGAATCTTCAGACATATGGGGCCTAGGATGCGTATATCTGGAGATGTACTCGGTACTCCACGGCTATTCGCGAAAATCCATCAAAGAGTATTTCATCAACCACGGCAGCCAGTCATCTTGGTATCAGAGAAATAAGGAAGCTTTGAAGTCGTGGCTCTATTGTCTAAGCGAAAAGGCTTCAAAGGAAAATGGACAAAGGCAGAGAACTTTGAGTGCCTCGTGGCTCCGCTATCGTGTGGCCGAGACATATCCGCTCAACTTGATCCAACGGATGGTGTCGTTTCACAAGTACAAGCGACCTACCTCCGAGGAGCTTGTGAAAGAGATGTTCTCTTTAAGTGGTGTGAGCAGGAAGGTCAGGAGGACATTCTGTGGCCGGTGTTGCATCAACGAGTACAACAAGTGCACAGAATCACCGGAGGAGGAGTCGGACGAGTCGGACGAGGAGGATTGGACTCTCATCACAGAAACTGATTTCGACTTCTAGATTGCGTGTGGGCAGGTAACGAGTATCGTCGAAGAAGACGATCTCGAGACGGGACTACTATAGACGGTGCGGCATTTTAACGTACATACGAGTACGTTCATTACAGATCAATAATAAAGGAAGTCAAGAAATGAAAGTCTGTAGCTTATTCCTATTGCATCTCGCTCCTTCCACAGTAACGGCATTGTCACTGGCCTGGAAATCTGAAATAGAAGCCCCATATCGCAATCCGCGACACAATAAAGCGTCTCCTCGCTCACCTGTTCTTTCTCCTCCTCTTCTACCCCCATCTCCTCCGTCTGTACCCGGTAGCGCCGAAAGAGTGCAGCCATCACGACAACAGACTACAAATTGCTGCTTTCAGCTCCCCATCACCCCTGTGTCAATTATCTCTCGTCTCACCCTCATCCTCCGCCACCTCAATCCCCCATCTCATCGACCCATCCCGATCCTCAAACCAGCCCAACCTCGTCATGACCCCTTGTTTCGCTGCCGCTCTCTCGCCCCCCTCATTCACCAACCGCAGCAGCCGATCGCTCCCAGTAACCATCAGCAGCACATCCACCACGCGCTCCACATCGCCCTTCAAGCCGCGCAAATGCCACCGCAACGCCGCGGCCACAACCACCACCGTCGCGAGCAGCCACGCCAGAATGCCCACGCTGAGCCACACCGCGACGGCGTTCATCCGCAACACGCTGACACGCCTCCACGTCTGCGCGTCGGCAGTGCGGTCGGTGTGGCCCGTCTCCCACACCGACGGCTTCGAGCACACCGGGCCGGTGTCGTCCCAAATCAGGCATGACGGCAGCGTGGCGTTGATGGGCTGGTAAGCCCAGTTGCGGCCCGTGCTGAGCGAGAGGTTGCTGGAGATGCCGCTGCTGACGAAGTGCTGGAAGAAGGTCGCGGAGGCCTTCTGGGCCGTGGCTTCCAGGGTGCCGGCGTCGAGGAGTGGGTCGAAGATCAAGGATTTTCTCCCGAAAGTCGGGACTCTGAGCTTGATCGAGCAACCTTGCGGGCCCTGCTTCATAAGGTGTAAGATGGAGGCACCAAAGACCTCTGCAATTGGCAGATTTCTGATTCGGGTCAGTCGCAGTTTCTTTAGAGGGTTAACAGAGTCATGCATCCAGAAACACCACCTCCAGGTGACGTGATCGGTAAAGAGACTGCCCAGGATCGGAATCATGTACGCACTAATGCCAAAAAAGGCTCCGATAATGCCGAAGTAAAGAGGTACGTGGGTTAGGTCTGCGAGTTGACCAATGATGGCCAGCGCTCCTTGCAAAATTCCGGCCGCCCCTATGCCGGCGATGGCCCTCCCGGCAACCAAGGCAGACGAGTTAGCAGAAGCTGCGCAGAGAATGGAACCGGCTGTTATATGTAAGCATATATCGCGAGTCAGTTCCAGGAGAGGATATACTTTCGAAAAGAGAAATCGACGCTATGTATGCGGTCTTGATATTGAAGAGCTTGTAAATGGTTGCCAAAGGAATTTGCAGGGCTGAAAGTGTGAGCAGATACGTTGTCTTATACCATCCGATGTCCTCAAGGGAGTCGAATTTTGAGATGATTATCGGAACTGCGGTTCCGATAATGTTGACATCGAGGGCAACAAGAAATACGACAAATGACAACGATGTGATAACAATTCGAAGCTTCCACGAACTCAAATATTGCTTTTTCGTGACAACATCTTGTGGCACGTCCTTGGAGTAAACGGTGCCGAACGACGAAGCGGAGGTACGTGACATAGCTGTGTGAAGTAGAGGCAAGGACCATATGGCTGAGTTTGATAAAGCAACGGGGCTATTTTGGCTACGGAAGACAGAAACAGAGACAGGGACTACCAATCTTGATCTTTATTTACTTGATCCGCTCTGTCAGGAAGCAGTATCCGGCTAGAATGCAGCGGCAGATAACATTGTGTCACCACGAACCTTCGCTTTTCTTTGTTATGATAGCATCAGACAGTGCCTTTCTTACAATGCGACCACATACTTCCGTTTCTTTCATAAGGCTGTTGTTGCGCTCTCTCCCTGTGTTAAATTTTTCAGTGTTTCGGCTGTATCAAGCGTTCTGACATTATCGTCGCACAATTGATGCTGAGCTTCCAACAGTTGCTCATCATCCACGTCTACAATGAACCAATGAACAGAAGCACTCGGTCACAATATTAAGCGTCGGCCCCACGATTTGTATGTGTACACATACGGGGTCGAGCCCTCACGCATTATATACGCATGCAGATATTCAAGACGAGCTAAGCTTGGGTCAATTGGTTCTTATTCTGCCATGAAGGTTTGCATGAACATGTGCTGCCTCTGTGAGTCTCCCCGCACCTGCGTGATGATGCAACAGTTACCCATTCAATAAAACTCTCATTTGAGATTATTTGTTACTCTTAAAGTTAGCCTCGAGTAGAAATGTACCGAATATTTGTTATTCTGCACAATCGCGTTGCAGCGATGACGACGTTCCCCATCGGAAACTTATCCGCCGCGGGGTGAGCTTCCCCGAGAGTGGAGTGCGGGGAGAGTGGGTCTCTCACCTCTCCACGCAAGAAAATACCCCGCTGAACAAACAAACCGCTGCTGCCACATTCAATGCGGACGAGCTGCCTCCATTCTTCGTGAACCTCTTGGAACAACCAATCACCACCACCACGACCATGCCCTTCACCGACGCAACCCTCCCCAAGATCCCCGAATTCGACGCGCTGACGCTGGACCCCAAGGGCCCGCCGGGCAACGCGTGGGGGCTCTTCGGCGAAAACGACGAGCTGGGCATGCTCAACCTGCTCACGCCCGAAACGGTCGCGGCCGCAGCGAAAGAAATCAAGACGGGGGTGCGCTTCTCGCTCGACCTGCCGCTGAACCAGCCCGAGTTCCCCAGCTTCGACCGGCAGCCGTTCAAGCACGAAATCAACCAACGAGGCGCGGGGCGGAGCGTCAACGATGATGTGCTGCATTTCAACACGCAGTCGAGCTCGCAGTGGGATGGCTTCCGGCACTACGGTTTGTTTTAGCAACCATTCTTTTTTTTCCCACCTGTTCCCAAGGCTCCCCGGCTTATGTATCCCCCAACCAGGCAACCAAAAACACAAATGCTACTACATGGGCCACACGCAAGAAGACATCCTAAAATCCGACGTCATCGGCACCAACGGTACGCCCGCCCGCCTCCCTCCTCCCTCCTCCCTCCTCCCTCCTCCCTCCTCCCCATCTTCCCCACTCCCTCCGCACACCCCCAACTAACCCTCCTCCCCCCACCAGCCTGGCTCCGCACCGGCGGCATCCAAGGCCGCGCCATCCTCCTCGACTACGCCAGCTGGGCCACCGCGCACTCCATCCCGCTCTCGCCCTTCACATCGCAGCCCATCCCGCTCGCCCACATCCACCAACTCATCGCCGAGCGCTCCATCACCATCAACCGCGGCGACATCCTCCTCCTCCGCACGGGCCTCGACGCCGCTCTCAAGCGCCTCACCCCCAGCGAGCAGCGCGCGATATCCACCCGCAGCTCCCCCGACTTCATCGGGCTAGAGGCCGGGCGGGCGACGCTGCGGTGGATGTGGGAGCAAGGCTTCAGCGCTGTGGCGAGCGACGCGCCGAGTTTTGAGCGGGGGCCGGTGTTGGGTGCCCACGCGGATGCGGAGCATACGTTGCATCAGTGGTTGCTTGCGGGTTGGGGCATGCCGATTGGGGAGTTGTTTGATTTGGAGGGGTTGGCGGAGTACTGTGAGAGGGAGGGGAGGTGGAGTTGTTTTTTTAGTAGTGTGCCGTTGAAGGTGAGTGTTGAATGCTTTTTTTTTTTTTGTTTGGTGGGGGGGAGGGAGGCGGTGGCTTTGGGGGCGTTGAGGAGGGAGAAGATGGGGGGTTTGTTGCGCGGATGCTAACGCCTGGGGTTGTTTTTTTAGGTTCCTGGCGGTGTTGCGAGCCCGCCCAATGCGGTTGCTATTTTGTAGTACGGATGCATGGCGCTGGGTGATGTGTTTTTTTTGGGGGGGTTGGAGAGGGACACGGGTCTGCTTCTCCGAACTTTTGCCAGGTAACTCAATTTGAACCTGAAAATATTCAACTTCAATTGACGAGGCTTTGCGTACGAGGGCTCATATGTAAGAGTGATTGGATCAAGGAACAACAATGAGCACAATAGATATTCAGAACGCATCGCTGGCGGATTGATCCGCCTGGATTAATGAATTGTTTGTATACATCTACTTGAGCTATGTAACGTGGCCCGTTTCCATGACTGGGCACTCAACAAAGTTCGTGGGGGGAAGAGGGTCCTCACTGAGGTTCATTAGACGCTAGTGAGTGGATATGAGGTGAACCGTGATATCATGGCCGACTCGCAACCGCGGAACTCAAAGCAGTGTGGATGCGCTGAGATGGAAAAGGAATAGAGCCAATCTTTTCAACAAACTTCTTATGTACATGACTTTTCAGCTATTTACAGCAAGGAAATGACAGTAAGGAAACTACAACGAAATACTGAGGTGCCATGCAGCAAGGAAAACAAACCAGCAAAGTATCGAAAAGTGAAGGGTCGCAACACCCTCTCCCAAACCCAGCCGTAGTCGTGACAACAACAAACAGTACCTATCCCAGGCCGCACATCGAATAGACGATCTGGTCCGTCTCCTCATCAGCGCAGACACTTCCAACAACCCCAACCCACCCGCGCCCAACCGGCGCCATCGCAGCGGGCACCGGCAACGAAACCGTCGCATCCTGCGCGGGTCCGACATCCACACCACAACCGACCCACTCCCCTCCATTCAGCGTTTCCGACAGACGCACGTGCGTGCTGGGCAGGAAGAGCGCGCTGCGGCGCAACACGCCCTCGAAGAGCCCGCCCGTGGTGGGCTGGTACATGTGGGGCAGACAACCTGCCGTGATCGGTGCGATGGCCGCAGCAGGGTTGTAGCTGAACGCCAGGTGACGGCGGTACGGGAGCAGGCGCCAGCGCAGGCCGAAGAGGGAGGAAAAGGACTGTTGGAAGGCGTATCCGGTAGGGGTGATGACGTCGTCGCCGAGGAAGTAGCTGAAGACGACGGTGGCGCCGCCGTCTTCGGCGCATCTCGCGAGCAGCTTGAGGAGTGCTCGGGCGCCGGGTTCCCATATGCCGACGCCGGTGACCAGGATGGTCGTAGGGCGGTGGAGCTCCAGGGCGTGCAAGGCGGCCGAGCTGTTGTTGGCCACGTGGTAGCGGCGCGATGCGCGGAAGAGCCTGCGCACGGTTATGTACTCGCAGTCGGGGAGGGTGCGGAGCGATATGACGAGGACGTCGAGCTCGGTGGTGCCGCTTCTTTCGCCATGTTGCCACCGTGCTGTAGAGGGTTGAGGCATATTCGTGATGGACGACGACGACGACGCTACGTGCATGGCCGATGATGGCTCCGGCTCCGCCACCACCACCGCGTCCGCGTCCCAAGGCTTCGAAAGGAGCACGTGTCCGGCTACGGCGTAGGCTTGTTGGTTCCGCGATTGGAGCGCCGGGAAGAACTGGACCAGGATTCCCATGTTTTCGAGCCCGCGGATGTGACGCGAGAGGTCCAGCAAGGCGTCCCCATTCATTATCCGGCCCACATTGGCCTCCAATAAGCCATCGGGTTCTTCCCACATGGGTAACTGAGAGGTCGCGGTGCGTACGAGGGATGGAGAAGTCTTGATGACGACCTGTTTGATGCTTGGATTGACCTTGAGGATCATGTGCTGGACCATCTTCAGCGCGCGAACGGCTGTTTCTAGCTCTAGACGATGTCTGAGCAACATTTCAGTCGCATCGTGGATACACACGAGCGTCTGGTTGGAAGGGGACATGGGAGCGAAGAAGATAACGCAAGCGACATATTGGGTAGGCCGACCGTCGAAAGAACACAGCTGGTCAACTCCAACGGCTACCATGATTGAATCTGAATGGGATGGGCGGTCGTCGCCATCGGCCCACCGAGGGGCTGCACATGGCGCGGGGGTAGTGGTAGGGTCACGGTTCCACTGGACAGCTTCGAACGCTTCGAGCGATTCCGGAGTGTCGAACACTTCACCGTTGAAGACGCGATCGGGGTTGACACGTGCGCAGTGCCGTCCGAATAGCGAATGTACACGCCGCAGCATGGCTCAGACAGAGGGGTGGTTGTTGACGATGGGAAAGTTGCTTTTGCGTGTGTTGTTTGCTTCGAGTGTATCTGAATTATCACAGTATGGAATATATCCAGCCAACGCAGCGTCTTTATAGCTCTTACTGTCGTTTTCTCGGCACATTCTAGAGGTCCGCACATGTATCTTCACCAGTCTCAGCTATTTTAACCACAATGGCGTCTTGCTTCCTACATATCGTGTTTTTCTTTGTGCTTGTTTCAGTGCTGGTGTCTCATTTCGTTCTCTTGTTTCATGCAAGTAGCCATGCGCCTCGCCGAGCCAAACGCCGCTTTCTCCGAACAACCCATGAGTGCTTAACACCCCTACACTGGCGGCCGGCACTACTCAGCTCAACTCTGGAAGCAGTTTGATATAAAATCCACGCCCTTAATCGTACCCGGGGAGAAAGTGGTACAGTGATGGTGTTCGAGATTGAACCATGTAGTAGCCGTTCAGCGTTGTCGAACAATTCGTTCTATTTAGCCATGCCCTATAGCCTCCGGTAGGTATGAGGGTACCCAGTATACAGGATTCGTTTCAATGTTCTGCGATGGCTGCAGTGGCAAAATTTCAGTTTACTGGGGCTCCATGCTCCATACCCAAAATTTAGTGTCCTGGCGATACAAAGGAAATTTTTGTGCCATGTAAAAAAGGACAAGCGTCCGCCCCCAGAGTCCGTAGTGGCTGAAGTAAAAGGTGGGAGAATACTCCACCCTGGGCATTCGACTGGTAGTCGCCTGATAGTGGAATAGTTACCCCAACCACAATAATTCCGAGACAACGATAAATAAGCGCATTTTTTTAAAAAGAAAGTTTTGCTGCTGCTCGCTTTTCTTTGCTACTAATACCCGCCTGTAGATTCACTACTTGTAGCTCTAGTGTTCTTTCCCTGCCGCTACTCAAGGCTTCGCTACTTAAGGTTTTACTACTTGTGGTTACGCTACTCGCAGTACCGCTACTCATTGTGCTGCTAGCGCTAATCCAGCAGGGTGTTACTCAGGGCACATCTCAATACATTTTAGTATTAACCAGTGAAACGTAATTCCTAATAAAAAGTTTTTATAAATACGCCACTTGTGCAGTTCGAATTTCGATTCCTCAGATACTTCTCGTTACCTCTAACTCTACGATCAGATTTAGCCATATTATGCGTCTCACCATAGTCTCCGTCGTCCTTCTTTTCAACGCCATTATTGGTGTTGAAGCTCAGATTTTTAGTTCTCAGTGTAACGCAGGTCATCTGTCTTGCGGTGTAAGCTACTGTCTCTCACTATGTGTACCCTACGAGACTAAAATTTCAATCGTCTAGAAATGCAACGGTTCTTCTTGCAAGGTCCTCTTCACTAACAAGCCTTGTTGTGAAGGCACAAAGGCAAGTGTCCATAATGTATCTTCCAGTTGAATAAGGTAAACTGAATATTCTATGTAGTGTACAAGAGCCTCAGGCGGTGGAGACGGCGCCTACTGTTGGTCTGGCAAAACACGCGGAGACACTGACTGTTGGATGTGCCCTGGCAGATAAGCGTACATGGGGTAGGGGATATGTGCATGGACCAGAAGGTGTAGGCACAGGCCGGAAGATGTAGATACTCTATCTATTATGAAGATTCTGGCCTTGAATCAGCCTACAGCACACGTTACAGATTCCTTTCAAGCGTAACCAGGGATAGACGTATGTATAAGTGTTGGAGAATCCACAGGGATGGCTACCACCCAACACAACATACTTGACCAGAAGCTCGAGATCAGCAAGCGATATCTTCCACCTTGTATATAACCTCCGCATCCACGTACCTTCCCCGTCAATCATTCTCCCCGTATATGGGGCCCTCGCCGCCACACCACTCCCAAGAAGCCCACCTCATTCCGTCGACGACATACCATCCTCACAACTTCCCAACCCAACCCCTAACCTCCGCCCTCAGCCTCGCCATCGCGCCCCTCTCCTGCCAAAAATGCGACGCCCCCTCCACCACGACGCCCTCGAACCCCGGGCTCCGCGCCCTCGACGCATCTCTCATCCCCTCCGCCCACCGCCCCAACCGCTTAGCGCTCGTGAACGCGTCATCCGTGCCGAAAATAGCCAAAGTCGGGTACCTCAGAAGCGGATCGGGACTATCACTACTACTACTACCCTCACCGCCACCGTCGACATCACCACCACCACCACCAGAAGAGAACCCGAGCCTCCGCCCCGCCGCCGCGAAGTACGAAGACGCCGATGACAACACCGGCACGGCAGGTAACCCCGGCAACGACGTCGCCAGCCCCGGCGCGATGGCCAGGGACGTGGGCGGCAGCAGCGGCGAGATGAGCAGGTATGCCGGCTCGCAAAGCGGCAGCGACGGGCCCCTTTCCGTCCTTCCCTGTTGTTCGTGTCTGCCTTCATTGGGTTCTTCTTCCCCTTCTTTTGCTCCCGGAGGCGAAGGCGTGTTGTGTGAATGACTACTGTGCTGATGGTGATGATGATGATGATGCCTCTCCCACGCCCTTTTCAACTTCTCCGCTCCCCTCCCCACGTCCAGACTCCGTCTCGTCTGATGATCTTTACTCTTCCGCCCCTGCGCTCCGCCGTCGCTGCTACTTCTACTGCTTTCCTCGCCGCCGATGGTTACGGGGCTGCTGCGGTGCTTCGTGCTTGACTGTTCCCGTCCGCGCTGTCGTTGTGCTTCTGCGAGCGTTTCTGACGCCAGACGGCGCGCTCGGAGCAATATCTCTGATGAAACAGAACCCGCAGCCGGTGCAGAAGAAGGATTGGGATAGAACGGGGCCAGAAGGGTGGCTAAGGGTGGCAAGCGGGATGCTACGAGGGAGCCATAAGAGTAGCCGGCGAGAATGAGATGGATGGGGTCTTCTTCTTGGTCGATGTGATCGGTATCATCCCGAATTTTGCGTTCATCGTCTGCTTTTGTGCCGCTTGATGATGCGTCGTGACCTTGGTCATGATGCCGTTGCTGCTGGTGTAGCCCCTCGTGCAGAGAGCGCATGTATTCCACCATCAGCCCGACGAACGAGCTGTAATCCTGCAACTCGGGTTTCCCCGTCCAGCTGGTCTTCCCATTCGCGTGATGATGGTGATGTTGATCGGCACCGTGACGGCCAGCGTGTGAGCCGCTGTTGCTCAGATCAAAGCGCTCCTTTCGTCAGCAGCATGTCTCATAAAGTCCAATCGCAAAATCCCCACATAAAAAAAACAACAACAAACAAGACGAAACCACAGCTCTGAAATAGAAGGGGAGCAAGGAACAAGAAAAAGAAAGGGAAAAAAAGTCAACACCACCACAACCACACTCACCGAAAACAAAACGTCCCAACCACCCACCCCAGCGCCAGCATCTCGGCGCCCGCATTCCCTACCACCGGATCATCGTAGCTCCCGCCCAGCGGCGCGTACGGATGCGCTATTATCGCCGCCTTCTTCTTCTTCTCCATCGACTTCCTCACGCTCCCCCTCCTTCCGCTCATCACCATCCGATCATCGTCCCCGTCGTCGTCCTCCTCCTCACGCTCCCCTTCCGCCTTCGCATCCGACCTCATTGCCATCAACCCCGCCACGTACCCCGGCGGATGGTACACCCGACACTCCAGCTGCACGCCTTCGCCGGCGGCATTGCTGTCGTTGTGCAGGCTCGGGATGGTGAAGCTGTACGCCGGCCGCTGTGCGTAGAGTGGCGGTAGCGATTGAAGTTGTGGCTGCAGTGGCTGTAGTGGCGCAGCCGCAGGTCCACTCCCGCTTGCCATCTGTGGCGTGTCGTCGTCGTTGAAGTATTGAAGGGAAAATTAAGGGTGAGATGAGAGACGCCTCTTGCTAGATGAAGGTTGGGGCTGGCGAAAGGGCTGGTAAGGGGGTGTGGAGATACGAATACGCGGGAGTTGGAATACGGGATGGTGATGTTGATGATGATGATGATGATGGTGGTGATGGAAGACTGGGTTGCAGAAATGGCAAGTTGGTCGTAGGTCCGGCTAAAACGGAACCGACTGACTTGGCAAGGAGGCTTCACCTCGAAAGCGTGACGAGGGAGGAAAAAAAGAAAGAAACAGAGAGCAAGCGGCGGAGTTGCGAAGGCAGCAGATATCAATCGCTGCGGTGTGTCGTCGTCGTTGCTCGGCGTTTCTCCGGTGTTTGCCGCCAGCAGTTGCACTTGTCAGAGTGAGGCAGGGAATGGAAGGCGTCTTTGATTTAGTCGTGAACTTGTTTCTCACCTCTTTCACTTTCACTCAAACCAAATCCGTTAAGCTCTCAAACCCGTAAGCCTGGCGATGCGTAAAGAAATAGATAAGATTTAGAAAAAAAAAAAAGGTTGTCGTCTCACGAACGGACAAGCCAGCCTTAGCTTGCTGCCTACACCCAAAGAAGCAAGAGAAGATAAGACGCGAAGCGCACGCGCGCGCGTGACGGAGCCCGGCCAGGATGGATTGCACAGATGACGTGGGCGCGGGTGATCCGCGCCACGCGCACGCGCGCCGGACGCGTGCTACTACCTTACCTCCTCCCGTCTCCTCTCCCCTCCCGTCCCGCGTCCCGTTTCCCCGCTCGTGAAAAAAAGAGAGTACATAGTGACTTGGTGGTACTACTTAGAAGCCAATCACTAGTAACTAACCATCTCTAGCGTTCTCCTCTTAGAATGAGAAAGGAAGATGCCGAACTCCCAAGGAGGAGGCAAATCTCAAGATATCCAATCACATTATTTCTATTTCTCAACAACGCGTCTCGACTGCATTCGTTTTCCAAAAAAGAACAGCAAAATCCAAAAGAAAGAAGCCCCACTCTATCTAACACACGCATCCCTTCATACCTCTCTAACCACCCTCACATACATAAACACGCATTTTTATCCCTCCTTGCTCTATATTCCCCTCCGAAAAAAAAAAATCTAAACACAACGAAATACCTCACGGCAATGAGTTTACTAAGGCTTTACTACTATCACTACTACTACTTACTACTACTACAAATGGGGGGTAATCGTACCAGACCAGACTGCAACACACACAGACAACACACTCATATATATCTCGATTTCCATTTCCATTTCTCATCATTTCCAGTTTTTCCCCTTCTTCATTCCTCCACCCAACCCCCAACTGCGAGACTGCACGATCCACGATCCCATCTTTATCTTCCCCACTCCCTCCTTCCTCTCCCTCATTTCCACACGCATACGTCCTCTCTTCATCAAGATTTCATATCATCCCCCGTTTCTTGCTTGCTTGCATACGCATAAAAGCGTTAGTGCCCGAGTAAGAGAAGAGAAAAGAAAATGAAACAGGGAAAAGAAAAACGAGAAACTTTCCCAGGATCCAGCCCTTTTCAAAACCCTTCCCGCCTGCCCAGCAGCCCGAAAAGAAGAGAGAAAGAGAGAGAGATAGAGAGAGCGAGGAAAACTGTTATAGGAAGGGGGAAAAAGAGAAAATGCACACATAAAAAAAAAGGAAAAGGGGGCTTTCATCCATCATGAATCCCATGCCCATATATAATGAAAAACTCCCGTGACACCATCATTTCCCGCGTGTTCCCCATCTCGAAAATGCTGCAAAGAAGAGAAATCGAAAGCAATCACAAAAGAAAAGTCGATCATCCATCATCCATCATCCACTCATCACTCAGCAGCAGGCGGTTCTCCCTGTCCCTGATCCTGCTCCTGTCCCTCCTGCGGTACCGCACCACCTTCCGTCGTACTAACCAACGTCGGCGCAATCCTCCTCTTCTTCGAGGCCGGGCCTTTCTCATCCTTGTCGCCTTCCCTCTTCTTCTTCGATGACGTCTCCTTAGCTGCTGCCGCCGGCGCTGCAGGCTCACCTTCCTTCTCCGATTCGCTCTCGCGGCGTCCACTACCGGGCGGAGGGTTAATACCACTAACAGAACTAGCCGCGCTGTGAGTTCCACCCTGCGTGCCGCCACCAGGCATGGGCGTGTGCGGCGGCGTCCACATTGGCATCTGTCCGACGGGACCCGAGTTGGCCGCGGCGACGCCGGGAACCGCGCTGATCGACGGCGTCTGCTGATTAAGGGCGACGTTCGGGTCGGGGCCGGGGGCGAACGACGACTGCGTCGCAACGGACGAAGCGGACATGGAGCGGGCAGGGCTGGCCGGTCGGGCGGGAGCGAACGAAGATGGCGAAGCCGGGAAGGCGGAGCCGGAGCCGGAACTTGAGGGTTTCGGGACGGGTGGGGCAGAAGCCTGGGTCGGCGTGGGGGTCGGCGTAGATTGGTTCGACGTCGTGGTTGTGGTGTTGATTGACGCGGGGTGGTGCTTCGCCGGGCCGGGATGCACCTGTCCCAATTCACCTGGCGCAAACGTGAGGCAGGAGCAGAAGCCGTCAGAAGATGTCATCAGGAGCGTGCTACCGTCCGTAGACCTGTTCAAACATTAGTTAAAATTTCTTGGAATGTTTTAAAGAGAAATTACCAGGCAAGATCAGTAAAAGTCGCAAAATGAAGGTTGCTGACAATGCACAACGGCTTCTGTTGTTGCGTGTCATAGATGTGCACAGCATCCTGCGTAGCCACTGCATAAACCATGCGATACGGAAGGCTGAATGCCATTGGAGGCCCTGAAGGTAGAGGAGAAGCGGCTGCACCGTTCTCAGAATCAGGTCTTGGCGATGCTGCCGCCGCACTGGGGGACGGCGAGGGCGCGCTGGTAATGGGCGGAGGGTCCATTGAAGAAGACGATCGCGGGGGCTTCGAGGGCAGCGCTGGCTCAGGCAAAGCGAGAATCTCCTCATCAGCGGAAGACGTGTCAATGGTGATTTGCCTCGTGGGAGGGGGGCTATCTCGTAGCTGGTAGTAGACCGGCGAGCATCGTACGGCAATCGAAGGCTTCTTGTGGCCTGGTAGATAGGCAATTGGAGGCTTGTTGAGACCGGCTCGTGTGTAGATGTAGACTGTGTTTATGATGTCGTCCGAGGTCTTGGCCGCGTCGGAATTACCGGGATTCAGCGTCTTGTACTGACCAGCCGGAGTGAAAAGAAGACTTCCGTCCGGAGCGAAAGTGAGGCGCCTGAAAAACGAGGTGAGAGTCTCATTGGCGTATATACTTGCGTTGCGAACAGCCAATCCCGCATGAATGTTGGGCGACGTCGACGGCATAACCGCGGGAAGCGGCATCGAGGACGGAGCCGGAGAGACGGAGCGGCGGGACTGCGAGCCAAAGGAAGAGCGGCGGCTGTGCGATGTGGGCGGATTCATGGGCAGAGCTAACGACGCAGGTGTACCCGGCGCAGAGGGGGTGGGGGACCCAATGGCTGGAGCGGAGCCTTCTCCGACGAATGAAGCTCGACTGCTTTGCGATGTAAGGTCTGGAGGGGCAGGGCTGCTATTCGACACGCGACGCGCGGGAAGGTCCATTTTGGTGACCTTGCTGTGCTGCGCAAGGGAAAACTGGCCATCCTTGGTCTTCAGGGTGTAGATGTGCACCGAGCGGTCCGAGGATTGCGTCGCGACGAATTCATTCAGCGGATCCCAGGCAACGCCCTGGACGTAGTGACTGTGCTCGGCGATCTGGCGCACAATTTGGCCTAGTCGGGGTCAGCAAGCTTCCCGGAGCTGCAGACGGAGGGTGCCTACCATTCTGGGTGTTGTAAATGCGCGCGATGTTGTCCATGCTGCCGGTTATGAAAAATGCGCCGTCTGGCGACCAGGCCATGTCGTAAATCTCGGAGCCCAATGACCGGCACATGTGCTTCACCCGCCATGTTTCCTTGTCGTCCAGGCCGTCTTCGCCAAAGGGGCGATGGGTCTGGGTCTCGGACGGAACCCACAGCAGGACGTTGCCGTCGTCACCGGCGCTGCCGAGGAGCTCGCCTGCGGGAAGGCTGTTATCAGAGGATGACGGGAGCAGCGAAGGGAGGAGGGTTGGGCGTACCTCGGGGGCACCATCGGACGACATTGACGGCTTGAGTGTGCTTGACGAGGGTGGATAGGTAGGTGACCTTGCGGTCCTCGCCGGAGCCTTCGATCTTCCAGAGCTACTTTGGGTGTCAGCAAGCTGGGGTAAACACGGCGAGCTGAGGTTGAGGGAAGCTTACCCGGACGTTGTTATCGCCACCCGCTGTGGCCAGACGGCCCTTTCCGTGGGGCTCGAAGTGGGCGGAGTAGATGGCGGCGTTGTCGTCGTGCCAGGCGACGAGCAATGGAGCAGCCTTCATGGTGGCTGAGGGGGCAGCCGGCGCCGCGGCGTGGTGGGATCACGGTGGTGAGGAACAGTGGTTGGCTTCGTGGTCAATGTGGAGGTGGGCTGGGGCGGCTTTGTCGGGCGTGGGAAGCAAGGAGGCGGGCCGGGATGGGCGGAGGTGGGCGCGCGGATGTTGTAGTGTGGTCTGCAACGGGCTCAGGTGTTTGGAAGAGCAGCAGCTAAGGACCGGGGCCTGCGCCTTTCTGGGCGACCGGGCAGCCTGCACACGCCGGGCCAAGCGCGCATCTGGCACAGGGTGAGCGTGACACAACCAGCTCCGTCCGTCTCGCATGCTTGCGGGCCGCTTCAAAGGGACGCGCAGCGCTTGGCCTAACGCCCGCCTTCCGCCTTCCGCGATCGTGATCCTGGAGCCTCCCGCGCCAAAGACGCGCCGACGCGCCATCCCAAACGGGCAGCACAATGAGCCACAAGTCGAGCCAACCCGCAACCATGTCGTTCGCAACTTCGCCATTGGCCGGAACAATCTCCCCGCAAGTCACGCGTATCGACCGCTCAGCCGACTCCATACATTTCCTGTTTTCTACAAAGCTACCTGCGCCGCCGCATCCAGCCCGATAGCGACCTCTCTCTGTGCCGCCTTCACCGCATGCTCCGTGCCATTGCTACCAGAAGACGAAGAACCCCCCAGCACGCGCACCCCGCTAATCACCACCCCCGAATCGTAACCAAACGTGCCGCTCAGCCCCAGCGTGCGCCCGTCGTACGTGAATTCGATTTCCGACGTCGCCGGCTGCTCGACAGCATCACCCTCATCCAGATACAGCCTCCCGCTCGCCGTGCCATCCAGCCCCGGCGCGATCAGCAGCGTGAAGTTCTGCTTGCGCAGCTCCGTCGTCGTGTTTGCGGACGCGGCGCGCAGGGGGACGATGGTTCCGCCGCGCACGTGCAGCGGGATGGACGTGTAGGGCACATCGTCGAGCGTGACGACCGAACCGTTACCGCGCACCGTATCGCCCGTCCAGAAGTCGTAGAAGACATCGTCGGGCAGGTAGATGTCGACGCTCGTGACGTTCTCCTCGGTCACGGGGCTGACGAGCAGCGCGTCGCCGTAAAAGTACTGCAGGTCGATGTCGAACGTTTTGGCGTCTTCTGGGTACAGGTAGAACAGCGGGTTGATGGCTGGCTCGCCCGTCTGCGTCTGCCGATGGAAGGCCGTGTAGAAGTAGTCAAGCAGCTGGTAGCGCGTGTTGATGGCCGTCTTTGCTGCGTCCGTCACGAGCGGCCAGCGGTAGAACTCCTGCGAGATTGCACCCTGCTCGTTGTGGTTTCTGTAAAACGGCGAAAACGCTCCGAGCAAGGCCCAGCGCGCACACAGAGATTCTGTCGTGTTGGAGCCGAAGCCGCACACATCTGAGCCTACCATTGGGACCTGGTAAAGGGTCGCAAACTGGAGTAGCTGTGAGATGGAGAACCTATGCAGAGTTAGCGCGAGCTTCTTCCTTTCACTGTGGGGAAACCTGACCTGTATTGCTCCCATTGGGACAGATTGTCGCCCAGCCAGTGCCCGACATGCCTACCAGCGCCAGCGAAAGTGCTTCGCGTGATGATCAGCGGCCGTCGGCCAGGCCTACGGTTCTCCATGGCGATCCTGCTGGCAGTCGACATCATGGTGCCGTACAGATTGTGCGTGTCATACTCGGCCAGGCCATTGTAGTGAATCACATCCGTGTCGACTGTCTTGTTCGAGAGCGAGCCAGCGAGGTTCTGAATCTTGTACGGTGGATCCACAAGATCCCGGCCTGGAAGACCGGACTTTGTCGCAGCGGACTGGCGCCTGAACAGCATCCTAGCAGCAGACGTGACTCCGGCCGGTTGGAAGTCGGCGGGGAAGCCTGGGATAGGTCTACCACTGTTGTTCCGAACTGGCGGTGGGTCGGGCGGCTGATTGTTCGCCTCCGCGTACGCACTGGGGTCCGAGCAGGGCCAGTTGCAGAAGTTGGCCGGTTCGTTCATGTCGATCCAGAGAGCATCGATATCCACACCTGTCTCAGCGTTGAAGAAGCTCGCAAACTGATCAGTCCAGTACGGCTGAGTGTTGGGGTGGAACCAGTCTGGGAACACCGTTGGACCAGGCCAGACGACACCAAGGAAGTAAGAGCCGTTGGAGGTCTTGAGGAATACGTCTTCTGCCGCCCCGGCATCGTATGCTGGGTTATCAAGATGCTTGACGGCCGGATCAACCATGACAATGTAGTGTTGCTGATGTGCGTGAAGGTAATCAACCACCTGGCGCACCTTTTCCAGTGGAAAGCGCTCTGGATCAAGCGTGAAGACTTTGCGGAGCTCCATGTAGTCGATGTCAGTCCACATGGTCTCCAACGGAATTTCTGCCAGCGAGTAGTTGGCGATGACTTCGGCAACATCGTACACATCTTGGTATCCATATCTGCACTGGTGAAAGCCAAAGGCCCAGTATGCCTGCATTGCAGGCAGCCCTACAACCTCGGCATACTGCTTGCTGACATCCTTTGGAGTAGGTCCCGCAAGGAAATAGAAGTCGAAGATTCCACCCAGAGTGTTGATCTCCAGATATTGGCCATCTTCTGCCGTGTTGTTGATCTTGACTTCAATTCCATTGGAGTTGAGCAAGAAGACACCATGAGTACCGGCAGCTCCCCTGTGGTCGTAGTAGACGGGATGCGCGCCGTACAGGTTACTTCCTGGTGGCACGCCGTACGAGTCGCGATTCCAAATGGTGCGGGTGTAATTCGTAGTATTCAAGCGGAACGAGTCACTATGCTCACCCCAACCGTAGATATTGGGGTTACTGGGCAATTTGGTACGCAGCCTCAGATACTGAGATTCGAAGATCAGAGGTGAATCCGCAGTATCGAAGAGCGTCTCGTTAGTCGCCGAGCGGACGACTGAGAACGAAAACGGCTCCTCCACCCACTTGAAGCGGATAGCGGCGCTCGAAGCTAGGACAGAGCCATTGCTAGCAGTAGGACGCGGGAGGACTGATTCTGGGACCTGGTACACGCTCTCTGCCGCATCGTAGATTTGCACATGGATGCGATTGGCTGCGGTGGATTTTTCGCGCGTCAGCGGATGTTTCGGATAAAATCTTGAGTTTATGCTGGATGATGCCGAAGTGGGGAAGCGCGACGGAAAAGAGAGAAGCGCTTTTCTTGAAATCCGGTGAAGTGGCATATGACAGGCGAGCAGCGTAGGTTTTGAAACACGACTGCTGCATAAGCAAGCTTCCCATCACGCGTCTGTGCGACTCGTAGGCGTACATGGCCTCTCCAACCAATCAAAATGGTGGAACCGCTCGATGCCCAATGCCTTGCTCGCAGCCCACTTTTGCCATGTAAGAAGGGTAAAGTCATCACTTACCGGTCTGGTATTCCACACTAAGCTTGAGATCGGTGAGGTCATCACCGTAAGCATTGCATGGCGCGCCGGCCAGGCTCAAATCAGCCGTAAGGGTGGTGCCCGAGTCGACGACATTCGAGGCCGCGTACCCCGGGCAGGCCGAGCTCTGACGGACGGAGACGGTGCCTGCGGCGCAGGGGGTGCTCAAAGCAGCAATCGGCCACAGCCGGTCGAGCAACATGGCTGCCAGGCTATTGCAAACAAAATGCCAGGGGTGGCGGTAGCCAGAAGAGGACTAAGAATGGCGAGGGAAACGAAACGGGCCCTCTGTCCATTGACTTATATACGGCTGTAAAGTCTGGGCATGTCTTGCATACCTTGCCAGGCTGGGGAGGGCCCGGGTGACTTTGGTAGGATTGACTGGGGTTGCCAGGCGCGCGCTGTTTTTCCCCGCACCATCCTCGTCATCCCACGGCGAGGCACGACGCGCCGCTTGGCCCTCCACTCGCGCAAGCCGGTTTGCTGAGCTGTCGCAGGGCCAATTGGGCAGGTCGCGGGCCGACATGAGACGGCTCGCACGATCGTCTCCACTGCTGCCCTTTTCCGCAAGCCGTGATCTGGTGAGGCTCAGAGAGGCGACTTCTGGCTGCATCAATACGCCCTCGTCCCGGCTTGGGGCTCTGTGGGGTTACATCCTGCATGTCTCTCTCACCGTGACCCGTCCGTTTCGGCTTCGCTCCGAGGCCTGTTCAATCCTCCGCCCAGGCCGATCCCGGCGAGGACGGCGGCGAGGGAGGTGCCCTTGAAGATGGTTTCGTATTGCTCTGACTTCAAGCGCGAGTGGTAGGGCTGCCGGGAGACGCGCAAGAAGGCGGCGCTCGTAACCAATATCCATGCACCGAAAATAAACTGGTACCGGTATCTTGTTAGAGTTGTCTCAGGCTCCTTGTCGGACATTTCGCAGGTGAAGTTTGGCTAGAATAAGGTTGTGACGGAGATGAGGGACAGGCACCCCCGGCCACAGAGATCGATGACGCTACCTCGGGAAAACTGCTCCCCGCTCCTCCACTTCAACCCCAACATCCCTCTCTACACATTCGAGTTCTTTGTGCCTTGATTGAAGGCGCTTTACGTGGCTCGAGCTAATATCAACAATCTCGCGTAAAGGCGGCGTGTTTGACTCACCTACGGAATTCGAATCACCAGCCTGATTGGGACCTCCGTCGACTCCAAGGACAGGTAACCGACCTCTCCCGCCGCATTCGCCGCACTATATCGTGTAATTCTTCATGCTTCAGACCGTCGTCGCGTGCTCTCACATTGATGAGCTGCCGAGCGGGTCCTAAAGCTGATTGGCTGAATGTCGGAGCCACGGCTACTAGACTACCGACCTCACCGCACCGTCCTTTCTTATGTACAGCCATGGCGCGCTCTACTTCCGCTTCGGGTCTACTTCACGCGAGCTCACACAATAATTCCGCAATTCCATTGCATTGATCCGCTAGTCTCGACTACCGAGGATCACATCAGATACCAAGCCAGTCCTCTTGTACTATCCATGAATCCCACTATCGCGGCCACGTCATGCCATCCGTACATGATCCCGCGCCATATCTCCATCGACAGCTATGAGCAGCTTAGGCAGGAGCCTCACTCACCATCTCAACGCTGACCTCGGAGGGACCTCCCTTACCCATACCAGTCGGACGGGTGAAGATGTTTACCTTTCCATTGAGCTTCTCCGGAAGGACGAAGCCAGCATCGGCGCACTTCGGGGTGAAGACAATCTTGCGCAGGCCATCGAAGTACTTCGCGAAGGACGTGTCGTCGACAACAAAGTTGCCGAGGCGCAGGGTAGTCAAGGGCAGCGTGTTGAGTTCGCCCATGGTGCGCATTGCGGCGTTGCGGCCCTTGCTGATCGCAACACAGTCCAGATACTCTCCATAGCCGTACGCGTGGTGAAGGAAGCCGAAGCCATCACGGCCACTGCGCGTCATCAGTTACAGACCGGAGCCAAAGAGATGCAAACACTTACCGATACTTGTCAGCTGCAACACGCTTGGTGTTGTACTTCCAGTTGTCGTCAATGACAGGGAAACGCTTTCCGCCGTTGTCACCATCACGGGTGATGGGATCGTCGCGCATCTCGAGCTCCAGGGTGGTGAGGTCAGTGTTCTTCCAGACAGTCTCCCAGATGATGGACTGGAAAGACTCGACCATGTTGTACAAGCGGAGGGACCTCAGGTTCTTGAAATTGACCAAATACATAAGGTCATCGTGGGTGAAGTAGTCCGGGTGGGGGTCATGTTCACCGAGCTCCTCGACATCAGGGACGAACAAGTTCAGGCTAAGCTTCTGGATGTTTTCCGGGATGACCGCCCAGATCTCCTTGGAGAAGGGAAGATCCGTCTCCCATCTAATATAGTCAACTAGCTCGAGAATGTCAGCGGGGGTCAACTTACTCAAGGGACTTCAGACCATCAATCTTCTCAAGGACCGACTTGATCAAGTTGACGGCGAGCGCCCACTCAAGCTCATGCTTGCGAGGCGTGTCGCTCTGGGCAGCGCTGCTCTGCGAACGAGCACGGGTCAGGTCGCCAGTACGCATCGGTTCGTCCGCGTCCGTGTCGACAGCGTTCTCCAGGTCCAACTTGTTGTACTTCGCCTGCAGGACTTCCATGGTATCCAGGGAGAAGGTCCAGCCTCCAACGATGACAATCTCCGTCTTGTGGACGATAAGCTCAGGCGTGTCATGAAGTTCGTTGACGCGGTCGACAAGACGAGCGAGTGAGCTGGACGTGTCAGCTGCAGTAGTGCCCCGAGGGCCAGTGTTCAGGACCAAGCGGCCGTCGATGACCCCCATGTTCACGATGGCACTCGATGCGGGGCGTTCGAAGGTTGTTTAGGATCTCAGAGGGTTTCGATTATCGCAATGAAACGAAGGGTGTGCGATGTAGAGGAAGTGGCCGAAGGTCTGAACTGCAGATGCTTTTATGTCTTTGGGTGGCATGTGCGTTCGTGCCTTCCTCGTGCAGAAGGAAGCAACGGCGTCTCCTAACACACCAAGCAAACCTGTGACGTCACTTCACGAAACTCTCACTTGCATTCACAGTTTTTTGCCCTGTAACACGGAGCAATTTGCTCAACCAGTGTAATGATCATGCTGCTCTTGTGTTTTCCACCTTCCGCCATAATGCATGACTTGAACTAAAGAGCAACTAATAGAACCTATAATACTTTGCGGAGATCATTATTATCTCTTAGAATACTTTTACAATTGCCTAAAATATCATCAGGTTAGCTTTAAGTGTTTTAACGCGCTCGCGTTACGTGCTATTGTATACTCTTCAGTGCCATCGCTTTGCGATAGCATGAGGTAAATGACATTGAATCGCATAATCATATACTTACAGCGCGCTTTGCAGGCAAATGGCTTTAGTTTTGTTGCAAGCAAAAAAAATAATAAATAAACGACGAGTATTATCTAAACATTCTCAAATTACTCTCGGCATCCGCAAGAAAAAAAAAAAAAAAAGAAGACCCCATTCAACACCTGATGATATGCTTATAGAAATCATCGATTTTTTTTATGAAGTTGAATATTAGACACCGAACAGTGTATTCAATAGAATATCTTTATTCATACGCTGTTGTAGAGCTGGCCTCGTTAATTGACAAGTTCAAGCCCAGGAATTACTATTATGAGCACAATTTCGGCAGTGCTGGTGGCACGTACAGCATGAGCCGAGCATTATTTTCCAAGCAAATAGAGCCGCCTTAGGTGCTATTGTAGTCTAAAGTAAAAATAAAAACGAAGTCATGATTGCAGTGACGTTGGAGCGAGCGGTGCACAGGCATGTCTGGGCAACGCGAAAAATCGTTGCCGCTACGCCGCACTTCCCCGCCAAACGTCCAAGCTTTCGACAGCTTCACGCCGTGACCGCACCGCAGAATAACACCAGGACCTACCTCTCACAGCGACCCTCCCCGGACGCAACGAACGCAGTCATGGAAACAATCCCCGAAGGCCGCTCCCCAGCAGCCGCCGAGCCCACGCCCGCTTCCGCAACAGCATCCACCACCGTCTCGCCCACGCAAGCAATCACCTACCTGACCCAATTCATCGGCCGCAACCTCCGCGTGCACGTCACCGACAAGCGCATGTTCATCGGGCAGATGAAATGCACCGACAAAGTAAGCCCTCGTGTCCCCACCACCACCACCACCACCAACAACAACAAAAAACCCTAACCTCTCAAAAAACAGGACCGCAACATCATCCTCGCCCTGACCCACGAATACCGACCGCCCAGCGAAGCCGCCATCCGCGCCGCCATCGCCTCGTCCGGCGACCCGTCGGTGCAGCTGCCGCTGTCGAGCCGCTACGTCGGCTTGGTCGTCGTGCCGGGCCGCTACGTGACGCGGATCGAGTGCGAGGAGAATCCGTGGGCGCCGGCGCCCGTGGTGCCGTTGACGGTGTGTGCGAGTGGCTGAAGTGAGAATCTGAGGAAGGTGACCGGGTGATGTTATTGAAATACCCGGAACTGAGTTTGTGGCTAAAGGGAAAAAAGGGCAAACGAGGAGCAGGAGCATGAGGTGATGGAAATGAATGCGTGCGCGAAATGCAAACGCGGTTGGTTATATGGATTGGGGGCTGTTTTCCACGTATTGGCCGCGTTCTGGGAGAAACAGCGATACCAAACGGAGGATATTGAGAGGCGAGCAATCGACCTGGACGACGAACGACTCCTCCCTTGGTAATACTTGGCTACCGATGCCACGGGCTTGGGGTGAATGAGGAACTACCCACGTCACAGAAGATTGGGTAGGTTACCGCAGGTGGATGAGATCCTGGCGTGGTTGCAGCAACAAGAAACACCGTATCAGGACCCTACATGTATTCAGTCATTGTTTGGGAACAAGTCCACCACACCAAGCTTGAGCCACTTGGAACTCAAAGATTGGATCAACGCCGATGATGAGGCACGCCTACAACAGCGACGGCACAACCAATCTTCCAATGAGTCCATAGGATTGGGTTCTCTGCGCGGCAGCCCGGACATCCACCCACTGCAGGGAAACTCGAAGACTAGCCAACACAGCAACCAGAAGTGTACCTGGACAAACCTTTCTCGACCGCTACACTCAATCATGGATGGCAGAGGCCATTTAGGGAACCACGTTGATATTTCTTTCTAAGACAGTACCTACCGAGACGGAAACACGTGGCGCTCTGGAGGGATACCTCGGCCTCAGGCATGAATGCGCTGGTTTCTGAACAGTGAATCTGGAGGACAGAATCCGATCCTTTGACTTACCAGCATCCCGAGTCATCCTGGCGGGTACCATTAGCATAGCATTAGCATAGCGACAGCCAAGCGAGCCCAACCATACCCTAAAGGAGCTCAACCATGGGCGTTGGCCTCAGCAAGGTAGACGATATCACCCAGCAAGCACACGTCAAAAATCATCGCTTTCAATTCATGCATAATATACACCATGCCTCCGGAAAAGATGAGCCCGAAGCCTTCTGACCACTCGCGTGAAAGAGCAAGAAAAGCAATGAACATAAAAAGCGCCCTTGTCTATCACAAAGCTGTAATTTCTCTTCGAATTCCCAGGTTTGGTTTGCGCCAGAGTATCCGCCGGGCCTGGCTACCCTCCTCATCTTTCATGAGACCAACCACCTTCATCGCATCATCCATCGTGTTTCCGCATTTTCCTCCACCCTGACTTCACCTTTCACTACCAATCACCCGCCACACACCCCTAAATTACGCTCTGCCCATCTGTCAGGAGGAATCTGAGCCTCTCCCCCATCCCCAATGGAAACGAGCTCGTTGAAAACTAGTAATCCACTTGATGCGAATAAAGAAGATAACCGCTCCCTAACAGCACCCAATCATGTGATGATGTACAAGGAGAAGGGATCGAGTTCAAACTCTACTCTTCGCCACCGTCAGAGTAGTACTCGAAGTCGCGAGGTGCCGATGCCTCCTCGTCGTCGTCATCTTCATCGACGGCGGTGAGAACACCCGCTGCCTCGGCAGCGCCGGTCACACCGGCGCCGGTGTCGCGCGAGCTGTAGGCGTCCTCCACGCGGTCCTGAAGAGAGTGGCCGGGGGCACCAGGAGCAGGAGCGGCCGAAGCCTTCTTGACCTTCAGCTCGAGAAGTTCCTTTGCCTCCGAGGGCTTCGTGTCTGTCACGAGGATAACACCTCCGGTAGCCTGTAGCTGGTTAGCATAGCCGAAATGAAAAAATGGAGTTGGAGTACAACCCACCTTCTTGACAGGCACGTAGCGGTCGCCGGGGAAGCTGATGTACTTCAGCTGCGCCGGCAGAACCCTCGACATGTTCTCGAGCTCGTAGCCAACCTTCTCCTTCTCAACCTTCTTCTTCGAGCCCTCTGCAGACGGAGTGGCCTCCTTCTCGCCCTCCTTCTTCTCGTCCTTCTTTCCATCCTCATCCGTGTCCATCTTGTCCTCCTCGTTCGAAGCCTTAGGTGTGGCAGGGGTAGGGTCCACATCCATGCTCTCGCGGCGCTGCTGCCTCTCCTTGACCATCTTGCGACGCTTGGCCTGAGCAGTAGTAGACAGGACTGCAGTCTTGATCTTCTCCGGAGCTTCCTCAGTCTTGACTTCCACCTCCGGCGGGTAATCAAACATGCTTGGCCTGGTTGCGCTGTAGAACTTGAAGCTTGGGATTTCAAGGTCCTGGTCGACGCCAATGATGGCGGTGGGGGTGAAGCTGAGGGAGAGGAAGTGGGTCAGAGGGAACCAGTACCAGTACTGGGTGAAGACAGCCATGCCGACGATAGCAGTCATGTTCAGGTTGCCGGTCTGGGTCTGCAGACCGATAGTGCAGTTGCGACCACCGGCATCGATGATACCAAGAGCGAGAGCAGCACCGAACTTGGCCATAGCGTCCTCGTGGCGATCACCCACAACCTTCTGGAGCGTCTTGCGGATCGTTCCAACCTTGGGGTTCATCGACTCGTTCTGCTGGACCATGATCATGGCGAGGGAGATGAGAGCACCCTGGCGGACGAAGTCGGTGGAATCCTTCATCATAGGCTCGAGGAGGTCAATGGCCTCGTGCAGGCCAGTACCAGCGCAGGCAATACCAAGGGCCATGGTTGCGCCGTACCGCACGTGAGGGTTGTAGGACTCAGCAAGGAGCTCGACCATGCGAGGAACAGCACCCGGCTTCCTGAAAAGGACGAATCCAAGACTCATGACGGCGACCCTGCGAACATCATCGCTAACGTCGCTGACAGCAACGTGGAGCAATTTGCGGACAGCCTTGTTGCTGCTGGTACCGCAGTAGGCGAGGGCAATGGTCATGATACCACCGTACCTGAGGGTCGGGTCGGGATCCTCGAGGAGACCGTTGATGAGCTCATCGGCAGCTTCCTGGCGGCCGTACATGATAAGAGCCATACCCATGGCCAGACCGCGCACGATCTTCTCGTGCTGCGTGTCATGGGCGTATTGGATCATGTCCTCCAGAGCCTTGATGTTACCGGTGCCGAGCATGACAAGACCCATGGCAAGACCGACGGCCTCACCGTTGATGGCAGAGTCGGTGTACAGTACGGTCTTGAGGGACTCGTAGATGTCGTCGTTACCGGTAGCCATGCCCGCAACTCCCAGACCGAGAGCACCACCGTGCTGCACGACTTCCTCCGAGGCCTTCCTGAACTGGGTCGAGAGGTACTCGAGCACATCAGTGCCGTGGTTGCTGTAGATCAGACCAAGGGCGAACAGGGAACCACCCTGGCTGTACGACGAGCCCGAGACGTTGTTGTCCTTGGGAAGGTAGGGGTCCAGCAGCCTCTGGCCTTGAGTGATGTTTCCACGGTGGATGACACCCAGCGCCGCAGTGGCTGTGAACTTGGACCAGTTGACGGCCTTCTGGAGCCAGTCAAGGTTGTCGCGGAAGAAGCCATCGTTGGTAGTGCCCGAGTTCATGAAGGCGTTGGCGAAAGTGACGGCGGTGTGGAAGATGGAATTGCGAGCCTCCAGGCTGTCACGAATCTTGTTCAAGACGTTGCGATCGGCATGGTTGTTCCTGTAGAGGAACTCGAGGTTGAGGTCGATTGTCTTGGTGCCCTTCAGAATGTGTCGGATGGACGAGAAAGCCTTCTTCTGCTCCTCGGTGGCAGGGTTCGACTTTGTCCTTGAGGGAATGGTTGCGGTGTGAGTGCTCTCCGCGTTTGCCAGCAGTCCGTCCGTTTCCCTAGTTCCCTCGCCAGACTCGGTCTGCATAGCATCCCCGTTGGCCGACGATTGTCCACCAGCCTCATCCTTCTTCTCCTCCGTCTCGGGAAGCTCCTCGATCACCTTAGAGAGGAACTCTTGTGTGCTGTTGTCGTAGAGGTCGAAAGAGATTTGGTACGCGACAGCCAAGGAGTGAGCATCTCCACGCTCGACGAGATGGCGGAGCATGTTGGAGGCCATCGAGTGCTGGTTGAGGTACACCACGCACTTTGCGATAGAGAAGTAGTCAGGGTTCGGGAGCTCGTTGAGGAGGTCGAGGATCAATCTCAGGATCTGACAGCAATTAGTATACTTCCAAAAACATATCTCGAAATTCACATACCTCGTTCCTAAGACCGCGCTCCTGGACAACGTTCATGCAGATGTCCAGAATGTACTCCATGAGCTCCTCGCTCTTGCCTGCGGCGCCACTGGCAGCCTTCTTGCCCTGCTTCTTCTCGTCCTGGCTCGCCCTCAGGATGGTCTCGCGCAGAACATCGAGGTTCCGGGCCTCCACGGCGATACCGACGACCTGCTGGTATGCGCCAGCCTGGTAGCAGCTCTCGAACAACCTCCGGATCACCGTCTGCAGGTTCTTCTGCACCGGCCTCGGCAGAGCCAAGGGAGACGGGTGTGAGCCAGGAGTGCCGGCATTGCCACCGCCGGGGACCGACGGATCGAAGCTCGTGGAATCGTCGCGGGAGAGCAGAGACTTCGAGGGAAGCGTGGTTTGTGAGAAAGGCGTCGTCGGAGAGGTCAGGCTTGCGGCGGTGTTTGCGCTGCCGTTTGCGTTCGCGGGGAAGGCAGTCGTAAGCTGGGGCGGAGGCTGGTTTGCGGTGCTTGCGGGCGCCGGAGGGTTGTGCAGGGCGGACAGAGCAATGTAGGTGTCGATACACTTGGCTAAACGCATTGGCCGGTCAGCATAGCTCGCGACATGCGGATGGTGTAGGCCGAGACTCACTAACTATCGTGTCCTCAAACTCCCCGGGGTGATCTATGCTGAACAGCTTTCCTGCCCCCAGCGCGAACACCATGCTCTCGTTGTACTCTTGTAGCTGGTAGTAGACCTTGGCCGCCACCAGAGCAGCGAGTTCTCTCTCCGGGAACGACTCATCTTCGTACAGAGCTTCTCTGTGCAGACGGGTGTGTTAGCATGATGATGCAGCGTTTCCCGGCGCGCTAGGCTAGGCCGGCATGGTGGCGGCTGGCAGAGCTCGCAGCTGCCGCACAGCTGAGCTCCATCGCCCAGAGCTGTTGCCAACGGGTGCAGCAGGAGCACGGAGGGGAACTCACATCTGACCGACGGAACCTGCAACCTCGGGCCACAGCAGATCGATCTCGTCGTTTAACCGGTGGAGGGCGAACGACCTGAGGTCGTTGTCTGGCTCAGACAAGAAGCCGACGAGGCCGGCAGCGGAGGTCAAGCCTCCCATGATGGACTGGTCAGAGGGTCTTGTCGGAGTCGGCTTGTTAGGATGGGAGGCGGCGGTCATGGTGGTATGGATGGGGGATGGGAGGTGGTGAGGCCGGGTTGACGTTGTTGATGATGATGATGGGGAGCTTCAGCGACGGTGCAGCTCACAAGCCCCAAAGCCAAGACTCGGTCGTCCGCCGGCCATACAGGTTGCCGCTTACGCGCAGCGTCAGGAACCACTCTCCGGCCGCCGCATCGCCAGTCGCACTCGCGCTCGCTGGCATTGCGCGCGTACTCGCCCACTGAGCATCTTGGCCTTTTTGCGCATCTCCTCGCCTGCTCCGCATCGTGCGCGGCCGACGCCAAGGAGCGCTCACCAGCCTCACCCGGCAGCGACTTGGCGGCGACGCGCGCCAGGCCATGTGAGCCGCCTGCATTCGCAACCACCATTGTGCAAGCCCTCCGACACGAGTCTTTGGCATCTGCGCTCGCGCCGCGGCAGAGCAGCTGCGTGTTGCGCCCCCGAACCCGCAACCTTCGCCACGCTTTGTCTGCTGGTGAGCGCGCTGGTCCCGCGTTCAGAGTCGGACCAGCACCACCTCCCGCGCGCCCATCGCCGCATCTCCACCGACTCAGCCGCATATCCCACCGCCGACACGAGCGCCGACGCGCATCCAGCCATCCACCACCATGGACCTCCGCGGCATGCTCAACGACGATGGAAACCTTCCACCCGCGACCCCAAAGACGGGCCGACAAGCTTCGGTCGCATCCATTATCTCGCCTACACCACCATCCACTGCTGCCTCACACACGTCCAAGCCATCACCCGCACCTCAGACGTCACCCCCACCACGTCCCAGGACCATGTCTGTCGTTTCCTCTCACCAACCGCGCGAGATACCGCCTTGGGCTCGCCGTTTCGATTGGAACGCGCTACAGCGTGGAGAGATCAGGCAGGCGCACATACCCGAGCGCCCGCCTCCCCCGCCACAACAACAGCAACAGCAGCACCAGCCGCCCCAGCATCAGGCACCGCCTGCACAAGCTGCGCCCCGACAGCCGCCCGCGCCTCCTCCCACAGAGGGCTCTAGCAGCGGTCTAGAACCGAGTCTCACCAATGTTCAACCCTACGACGAGGTCGTGCGCCGGGTCTGCGACTTCTTATGGCAATACGTGGTCGACCGGGAGGATCTGCATGGAGGTGTGCCTGAGGGTGCCCACCCTGGCATTAAGCTCGAGATCGAAGGAAAATTAGGCACGCTGCTGGACAAGAATACCAGCGATCGAGTTACGCTACCAATCCTTACCCAAGCCGTCTCTGCCTATCCATCCAGCAAGCTCCAGTTTGAGAGCCGCATGAACGAGGTATGTTCACCGTGGACCTCTGAATATGCACGGCTAACGTTCTACAGCAACAACACAAGGCATTGAACGAATTCCTCAACAAGACCGTCGGCGAGAGCCTCAGGAGCGATCGTCCGAAGATCCATTACAAGCATCTGCGCGAGACGGACTCGTTCTACACTGCCGACGAAAACGTTCTGCAGTCTCTACCGCCAGCCGTGCGTCCATACCTCTTTGGCCAAGCCCGCATGCGCAAACCCCGCGTGCGAGTTACGAGAGATACGAATACGAAGGAAATCAAGGCGCAGATCGTGAAGGTACGCGTCGCCGATCTCGACATCATCTCACCCAGCGAGGCCTTCGACTGCCGCATCAGCGTGAACATTGAAATCCAGCTGGATGAGGACATTTCGGTGTTCGAGCCGTCGGATGAACCTGGCCGCATGAAGGATCGTGTGAGCTATCAGCATCTACACACGCAGGTCGACTTGACCCAAGTCAGAAAGGCCAATGACCCTCACCAGAAAGTTCATGAATTGGAGGTCGAATTGATGGCCGAAAAGCTCATCGAACAGGGTTTATGGACCAAGCAAGGACGCCCGGATGCGTGCTACGAAGAGATGGTCAAAACGTTCGTCAACAACATCAGGATACTTTCTAGGGAAGCCACTATTATGTAAGACGACTAAAATACGCATGTGATTTTAATCGAAGCAGTCTACACTGATTGGACTCAGAGAAACACCCGAAGGACCATCGCGGCCCTACGCTTGGGTTTGGGGTTGAGCCTTCGCGGCCGATGTCGTCTGATGAGTGTAGTTCATCATGGAAGGGCAGAAAGGAACAGAGAGAGCATAAAGGAGTCAACAGGCGTTCTGGGATTACTAAAAATCATATCAAGATACCCCCGCGGCTGCATTCAGGGAATTTCCCTAAGCTCATTAGGGAGCTACAATGTATAATAGACACGTAGCAGCAGAGCCGTTGCGCAAGTATAGGGCAAGCAATGTTGTGATCTATAATCGGGTATCATCATACTTTGTAGGTCGTGTCATCGTACAGCACTTCCATCCGCAACTCCCCCGTCGAACAATTACCTCGTCGGACAATCCCTTCGTCAAGCAACCCTCTCGTCGAGCGATCCTTTATTTGAGCAATTCCTTCCTCGAGAAACTCATTCGTCGAGTAGTTTCTTCATCGAGCGTACGCATTCCATTAGGCCTTCTTGCCTCTGCGTGCTCTAGTGCTCCTCGTCGGTTTCCTCGCAGTCTTGCTCACCCTCGGCGTCTTCGCCAAAGTTCTCTTTTGCTTCATTCTTGGTCTCTTCTTGATGCCCCCACCGGTCTTCTTTGTCGTCGCCCTACTGCTCGTGCCCTTTGTTCTACCCCTCTTCGGCGAGCCACTTGCACTACCACCGCCACTACCAGCGTTGTTTACACCAACACCAGCGTTTCTAAGTGACAACCTCCTCCGGCCCCAGATCGGCCCCTGCTCTCCTCCTTGCCATTTCCTAACCACCTCATCCACCTCATGCGCAATCCTCCTGCGCGCCTCGTCCTTGTCTAGCCCCTCGTGCCGCATCAACCGATCGTAGTCGGTGTACTTGTGCCTCACGTGCGCACGCAATCCCAGCGTCACCTTCTCGTCGAGCTCCATGTCGCCGGCACGGCCGACGCGTCCGCTGTGCTTACGGAACGTGTGGGCGACGATGTCATCGACGGCGTCAGCGGGCGTTGCTGGGTAGAGACGGAGCAGCGTGCTGCGCGCGTTTGCCAGCAGTCGCGAGTCTCGTGCTGCAGTCGCGGCGAGGCGGTCGGCTTTCGTTGCGGCGTCTGCGGCGAGGACGGTGCTGTGGATGTGCTTGGGGACGCGGAGGCCGAGGGAGCGCCTTTTATCGTCCTGGGGTTGGACAGGTGTTAGGGAAGGTGGATTATGGGAGGGTGGGTCTTGTTGGGCGAGCATTGGAACCGAGGAGAGAAATATAAAGAAAGTGGGTGATAGGGTGGGTAGGAGGGAGGGTGAGTGAGCAGGCAGCCTTACCACAACGACGAACAAGTCCTTTCCCATCTCTTTAGTGAGTTGACGGCAGTGCCGCGTGATGTACTGGTCGCCCTTTTTCACGAAGACATAGTCTGGGCGGACAGGGACGCGCTGGTTGACTTCGCGCTCTTGACCTGGTCGAGGCGCCATGAGGAAAAAGAAGGGTGCCCTGTAGTGAAAGACGAATGGTGGACGAGCGTTATGCTTAAAAGGGTTTCCCGGAAGAATTCTGAGAGCCATGGTAAGAATGTGTAGATCGCTAAAGGGTGAGAGGTAGTCATAGAAGATGGGTTTCACTTACATTCACTGGTTTGGGGGAAAATTCTGGTGTTAGGCGGTGCTGCGTCGTCTTTGTAGGTGAGGAAAGCGCTGTTCGCGGTGGTAGTTCAGTCGCCTTTGTTAACGGTGACAAAGCTCGCTAGTACAACGTTGCCCAGACTTCGTTTGCGTGATGTGTCGTGAAGAAATCTTTCCGTTCACTCTATGGACTAAACGGCGAATGGCGACATGCCTGGTGAGGACCTTCAACACATGTCGTTGCAACCGGTGGTTGTGGTTGCGGTCATCCGCTTCTTTTTTCGTCACACCAAGCTCTTTCTAGGGTTCGCAGAGCCGGTCAGGTTGACAGATGCGCGGTTGAACTCTTGCTGTGGTAATGTCGTTCAGACAGGATGACTGGTTTGCGACACGTGTGTGTTGTTTGGCCAGTGAAATTAGAAGGCGCGTTGGAAGAGCAACTGCATGCCTCATGTATTGTGTAAAGTGGTAGCCGCAGACTCACACTGAGTTTGCGGCAAGACCGGCCATGACAAGTTCAAACACCAAACTGCCGCCGAAGTTTTCCCACCCCAACTCTGAGCGCTCTTGCCTCATGTTTCAACACCATAACATCATCGCAAAAATATTGAATTCACTGCTTTCGAACTCCACTCGCCCGATGGGATGCGACGCGCGGCGCGTGATAGTGTCGCTTGGAGACTTATATACAATTCAATAGTGCCGGGAAAGGGAGCCGACAAGCCGCGACGGCACGACGGCACTGATGTCAGAGATCCCGGGCATTGAAACGGCTCATCTATTTCCATCCACAACTTGCCCCATGCCCCCTAAATGAAAGCTTCGCCTAGTTGACGCTCCAATAGTGTACCTCTATGCCTCTTCCCGAACTCTTCTGTTGATACAGCATTGAAACGGCAGCCCCACATTTCGCAGCGAAGTTTCATTTCCATCCAGAGATCTTCGTTCCAAAACTTATGCGTACCAACAGCTCCTGTTTCATAGGTTCGGCAAGCCCAGTACTGGTCACCCATGGGCGTGTTCTCGACCACCAAGAAATGCCATGAAAGCTTAGCCCCAGGTATAGCGACAAGGGGTGTCGCCTACTGTTTCCCCCTTGGCCTTCGGCGCTCGGAGATCCAGCAATGAAGGGCCACTTTTAGCCGCCGGAACGTCTGACCGTGAAGCAGAAACGTCCAAAGAGGGAAATGACAGCGGGGAAAGGATACACCTCGATAATGCCGAATATATCGCGTTTCGGGAACCGTTCGACTTTAAAAGCAGCCCTCGTCCGCACCCTTCCTGGCTCTTCAGTGCTGGACACAAGCTCAGATTCGATCATTACCATTTGCAAGCCATCTTCCATTCGTTCCTTCAACCCTCCAAAGTCAACATGAAGTTCTCTACCACCCTCGCTACCCTCGCTGCCGCGAGCCTGAGCAGTGCTCACTACACCTTCCCTGCCCTTGTTAACGAGGGCGAGGTCACCGAGGACTGGAAGTACGTCCGCATGACTTCCAACCACTACTCGCACGGCCCCGTCACGGATGTTACCTCCGAGGACATCCGCTGCTACGAGGACTCCTCCAACCCCACGACCGAGACTCTGTCCGTCAAGGCCGGCAACAACCTCGGTTTCACCGTCGACCCCGACGTCTCCCACCCGGGTACCCTCCAGTTCTACATGGCCAAGGCTCCCGACGGAACCACTGCCGCCGACTTCAAGGGCGAGGGTGACGTCTGGTTCAAGATTTACGGCCAGGGCCCCACGTTCAACAACGGCGAGCTCGGCTGGCCTTCGCAGGGCCTGACCCAGGTCAACGTCACCATCCCTGAGTCCCTCCCCTCCGGCGACTACCTCTTCCGTGTCGAGCACATCGCTCTGCACAGCGCCGGCTCCGAGAATGGTGCTCAGTTCTACATCTCCTGCGGTCAGATCTCCGTCACCGACGGTGGCAACGGCAGCCCCAGCCCGAAGGTCTCCCTGCCCGGTGCTTACACGGCCACTGACCCCGGTCTCCTCATCAACATCTACTACCCTGTTCCCACCAACTACACTCTTCCCGGCCCTGCTGTCTGGTCTGGTTAAGAGGTTAGCACGACTTGATGCTTCTGGAAAAAGAAAAGAATAGGGATGTTCGGAAGGGGAAGGTGCTCGACGGCTTTTATTCTGAGTAAATACTTCACATTTTGCTGTAAATGAATGATCATTCTGATGCATTGACCAAATTTACCACTTGATCTTCATACTTGTGTGACATATGATGGAATGGGGCTGACAGAGTCTATAACGAAAAGTCTAAACTCAAGATCGGAAAGTGTGAGGGCTACCACCGGCAACCATTTTGAGACTCAACCCTTGCATTCAACGTTTTACGATATTTGGATGCCCCCAAACCAATTACAAGATTTTAGGTAACATTTTTCTTCTACAAATGCCAACAATTCCCGATGCAATTTCCTTTCGAGTAAGCCGGTGCCGATTACTGATGTACGTGATCATCTCCGGCAAGCCGGCATTAAGTGAGGCACAGCAATCAGCCTCGAATCGGAAGGATCTTCATCGGCGTTCATGCATCGCATGCAGATTCGCGAGTGACCAATCAACCGGTGCTGAGCCGCAATCTATATCGCCACGTCCACCCATTGACCTCAGCGTTGATCTGCATGCCCCGCAGTCGGCCAGCCCTATGTAACCAAATACCCGAACCCCTCACTACAGATACTCTTGCTCCAGTGTTGCGGAGACGAATTCTCACTGGGAGCATTCGGTTCTCTACGGAACATACTCAGGAACCAGCTTCTCTTTCTCTTCATCTCCTCACAAGCTGTCTGTATAGCATCGCAAATCTTAATGTGGGTCTGTGCCGACCGCACGATAGGGCCCATTGTTCACATACAAGCACAGCCATTAGGAGCTTGACACATATTTCTGAAGAGGGCAATCCGATGTGGTGGCTGGCCTTGGGCTTTGGAAACGGCTCCGCACCATCCGTCGGGGGACACAACATGCCCCCCTCCGGGCAACATTAACAGGCAGCAGCAGGCGGAATTCCAGATACGACATTCCCGGGAGTTGATCGCTGATTTTACCTTATGATCACTAAGCATAAAACTTTTGCATGAAGATGTGAAGCCATCAGGTTCCACCTTCGGGTCTTTTACCCAACGACAACACATATCGACGTCGGGACCAGTTGCGCCACATCCATCTGGATTGTCCCAACTTGGACGACCCGCTTTCTCTCCAGCAACTTCATTTGGAGAGACAGCCCTAACAAGTCATGGAGCTGGTTATAAAGGCATCACGTTTGAGAGCGGGGGTTGCTGCTTCATCTCGCGCATGTGTCTGTCCCAACTTATCATCGAAAACTTCACCGCTGTTCCGCAATGGTATACCGACACAACGGACGATTTTGGGTCTGTTGTCGTTGCGAGTTCTACCCACATGACTGGAACATCCACCGCGCCTGCATCCAGTGCGGGCACCACGCATGTTCAAATTGCCCGTCCAACAACGGGCCACCGCCGCTATCAAAACGTGGATACAACCGGAATCCAATCCTTGAGACCAATAATTAATGCCGGGGATACCTTTTCTACTATTTTTGTTGAACTTATTAGGAAATATCAGTGAGTCCCCAGCATTAAAAATTTTCCCAGGCTAACGAAATGAGAAGAAAACTGACCGATTCCGGGATACTTATGGGTTGAAAAGCCAAATACTATTCCCGTGTCTGGCACCCTCCACCTCTCAATCGTATAAGGCACCACACAAGAACCGATCTGCACGCATTGGCCGAAATATCAACATTTCTTGATCTATCATCAAAACCCCTACCATATGGAAAAAGAGGATGTCTCCCTTCCCTCCGGTGATCTCCGCCTTCGCGCTCCATGAACGAAATAGAACCTACATTTGACGACTTACCGGTCGTCATCTCCCACATTCGGGCCGCCGATTCGGCATCGTCGGCAAGTTTTCGAAATAACACTCCGGCACTATAAAACGGTAAGTACTTCGCCTTGAGATAGGCGTCAATTGACAAATACTAACGTGATTATGAAGATACGCTGACTAGTAGCTATACTTATCGCGGTAAATCTCCATAATTCATCTACACCGGTGATGGACGTACTACCGTAACCGGCAGCGCGCACCAGTATGGCGTGCCACGCCATCGCGCCGCCTCTGCTCGTTATAAAGACGAAGAAGTACACCACCGTTCACATACCAAGACCAGGTCGTTAGTCCTACCACCAAAAGAATGAAGCTCCTCCCCTTCCTCCTCGCCGCGGGCATATCCGCCCTCTCCTCCGCACCCACCACCAACACAACCACCCCATCCACCAACCTCACCGTCGCCCTCGTCCGCACACCCCCCGCCAACTGGCTCACTCCCTTCTGGAACAAAAACTGGACATCCCCAACCACCACGCCCTCCCTCAACGCCACCATCGCCAAAGCCCTCACCCTCATCGCGACCGCCTCCTCCCACGGCGCCTCCCTCGTCGTCTTCCCCGAACTCTGGTTCCCCGGCTACCCCAAGGGCATGGACGCCGCGTGGCTGGCTAGCCATCACGCAGCCGACTACGTCGCGCAGTCGCTCGCCGTCAACAGCACGCAGTGGCACACGCTGCTGGGCGCCGCGCGGCGCCATGGCGTCTACCTCGCACTGGCATACTCCGAGCGTGCCGGTGATGCGATTTACATGGGCCAAGCGCTGATATCGCCGTCCGGCGCGCCGCTGATCGTGCGGCGCAAGCTGCGGCCGTCGGGCATTGAGCGGTCGTTCTGGAGCGACGGCGACGCCGCCGACGGTTTCCGCGTCGTCGACACGGCGACTACTTCCCAACAACAAGACTTCGGCCGCTGGGGCCTCCTCGAGTGCTGGGAGCACTTCCACCCGAGCATGACGTTCCCGCAGCAAGCGCAGCTAGAAGACGTGCACGTGGCCGCGTTTCCGTACATGCCATCCGCCAACGACCCGCGCGCGCTGTCGTGGGAGTCGCTCGAGGTGAATTCCGCGGCGGCGCGGCTGTACGCCGTCAATTCGGGCGCCGTGACGCTGTTCGCGGCCGTGGGCTACAGCGCCGTGTACGCGGCCGACGGGACCGAGGTGGCGAGCGTCGAGGCCGATGTGGATTGGGATGAGCAGCCGTTGCTGTTCGCGTCGGTGAATGCGAGTGCGTTTAGGAGGGAGGCGTATGATGTTGATGGGGAGCAGAGCTGGGGCGTGTTGAAGCAGATTGAGGGCGCGTGGCCTGCGGGCGTGCCGAAGGTGAACGGGACGTTTGTGGAGAAGAAGACGGTGTCGATTGGGGAGTTGTTGGCGAATATACAGGAGTAGAATGCGGTTCTATATGCTCTGTTGATGATTCTTGTGGATGGAGTCAACCGTCAGGTACAAATGAAAAGCCTTTTGATTTTATAATCATCCTTGTACGTTGCTGAAAATTCTTTTAGGACTTCAAAACTCAACGTTCCCCATTTATGCCTTTCCTTTCAGTTGGCCAGCCTTACGCCTGCGAACCTTGTCTAGCCTCAACCGGGTTGCCCACTTCCTCCTCCACTTCACATGTGCTCTCTTTATTCTACTCCTTGGGTAATTAATCGGACTCTCGCCGCCAACAAAGATGGCAATGTCGTACAGCGCACCACCTACAATGGCACCGGAAATCGCGGCAGCCCAGGGACCGTAGGCCCAGTATCCGCTAGTGAACCCTGCATTTCCATAGCCCAGGGCGAGAAGCGCAAGCCGGGGACCGAAGTCGCGAGATGGATTCATCGCACAGCCAGTGTTGTTACTGAAGGCATTGCTTTCAACGGTAATGACCAGACCCATAATGAACGCGCTCATACCCGCGCCAGGAGGGGCATTAGTGTCGTCACCAAGAGCAAGGACTGCGATGGCCAGGATGACTGTGGCGACAAACTCGGTGAAGAAAGCGGTTCCAACACCAACATCGCTGTTTCGAGGACCTGTCAGGAAGGCATTGGCTGTTCCACCGACGGCCAGGTCACTCCCGCCGTACTTGAGGATCTGGGTTTTGTAGACGCCAAATGCGATCAATGCGGCTATGAAGGCGCCGAGAATCTGAACGAAAGCGTAGGGCGGGACCTTTCGGAGAGGGAAACCACGGTAGATCCAGAGCATTATGGAGATTGCTGGGTTGAGATGAGCACCGGAAATACCACCGGCTATGTAAATCCCGATCATGGTTGCAAGACCCCAGGACAGATTAGCAGCGAGAGCATCTCCGCTGGCACCACCGGATGTTGTTGAAGCAAGATCTGCGCAAAAGCCAAGGGTGAGCTGTACGATTACCTGGGGACAAGTCAGCAAACTGTGGTTCAATATTCGCCATGTTTGGGGAAGTCATACTGCCAAAAGTTCAGCCAATTCCTCCCGATATCTGGTCCTGACGACGCTCCAGTGAGTGTGATGATTATGAATTTCTTCTGTAGTACGGATGGGCATCAAAGCCAAGCCCTCGTCCACCCAGTCTCCACCGTCATCAATCTCGGTAGCTGCACTCGAGGCGTCATCGGGAAATCTGCTGTCATGTGGTACAAAGCCGTCCTCTTCCTTTGAGACCCGGCCTGGTCGATCCGCCGAGGGAACCTGTAAGAACGGTGGCTCCTCGGATCGCGGTGAGGTGGGATCTTCAGGTAGAGGTGTCAGCGGGAGTTGTGGTGGCTCGACTTCTGAGCCTTCCCTCCTGCGTGAGCTGGTTCGGGACTCGGTCCTCGTAACAGGAAGCGCCGCACCCGACGTTGACAACCTCGACCCCATTCTCTCCAGGAAATTGTTTTCTCTTTGCTCACGTGCATCTCTGAGATGGGATGAGATCCTGCCCAGGTTCAGGGTCTGATCCACTCTACCTTTTTCTATATCCGGATCAATTGGTGGTTTCTCCGTCTCAGTGGGGGTTGTAGTTCCAGGAGTAGGCACCATGCCGGGACGCACGACACGAGGCAGGGGTTTTGCCAAACCCCAGACCGGACGAGCATTTGTCGGCTGCTCGTATGCTGGGTTAAGCTCAGCATAGCCTGGGTCAACGTATGGCTGGTGAGTTTGGGGTGCTGGCTCCGCAGGCCCGGCCAGCGTGAAGCCGGATGGCGGCACATTTCCAAGCAGCGTTGGTCTCCTTGCCATAGTAGATGCCCGAGGTCGACTGGTGCTCTCATTCTTTCTCCTTCTTTGAGAGCTGCGAGAAGACGCGTCGTCCCTCTGTCTCACCGAAGCCCGTCTCCCCTCCTCTGGAATATCCGGAATCTTTTCGTCTTTTGACATGGAAGTGCGAATCCCGTATGGTGACTTGTCAACGTCGCGATAAGATACGGAATGGCCTCTCCGGCGGGAAGGGCTACTGGGACCGGCATCGCCGTCGAATCTGTGGTGCTGAGAAGGCAGGGTCGAGCTTCTACGGATCGGCCTTGGTCGTGATCTTTCGGAGGCGGTCGTGGGGGCAGTAGCTACGCTCTCATCATGGCTTGCGTTGTCGTCTGCCGCTGGCGAGGCTGCATCCGGCTGGTGGGGCTCGCTTTCCTCAGCCCTCAAGCTGGTGTTTTGGTCTGACTCCATCTCTTTTCGAACTCTGAAACGTGTTCGTTGGGATTGATGGTGAACAATGGCAAAAATCAAGGGACACGGTGGATTGGCAAAGCCATGATATTGAGGTATGATACAGAACTACGGAGCGAAAGGAAGGCGAGCGAGGAAAAGATATTGGGGGCCGAAGATCGGGAGAGGACGTGGAAAACATGAAGAGCGAGCGAAAGGGTGACAATGACGTTCAAAGGCTCACCGCTCGGGCTGGTATGACGCGGCGGAATAATCGGAAGAGCTGGATGGCCGTTTTTCTGTGGGCCTTCGCGAATGATTGAGGTTATCTGCAATGCTGATCCATGCTCACGGCCCACCCGCCGGATACGAGTCGAATCGACGACAAGGCAACATGGCCGTTGACACGGCCGCACGGAAAAGGGTCAGGCTTGATCGGCGCGGATAGAAAAAAGCTTGGCAGAAAGTCTAATCGGCTGCCGCAAAACGAGCGTCAGTTCTTGAAGTCGATAATTCGCATTCTGCCTGGGCAGGATTCATCACATGCTGACGCGCGGTTGGTGGGCCGCTCTCGGAGGGCTGTGCGACGCCAGGCGCAACGAGGTGGCACGAGCGAAACTGATAGAAGTCAATGAGTTTCGCGGCGTACAGGGCGACTGCGACGGCAGAGAAGCGGAGAAGAGGCGCTGAGGATTTGTGGTGTTGGAGGATGCGGCAGAAGAGCTGAGCAGAGGGAAGGAACGAAGGGCGGATGCCAACGCGCCGCTTGTCACCGGCCCGGTGAATTCCCGACGTAGAAGGTAGGAGTGACTGCCTCTTCCGCACCCTGCATTGCGCCGTGAGAAAACAGATTGTCTTCCTTTCTCTCTCTCCACGAGGCCGTGTCGAGGCGTCTATCCCGCGCTCAAGCCGTGACTTGGGTGCCAGCCGTGCCAGAGCCTTGTTCCTCGTGGGCAGCGCCATCCGCCAGCAAAAGTCCGCAGGACCCCGTCACGAGGTCGGCATTTCACCCGCTCACAGCCCTTGAAAAACCAGACATCTAGTAGCGCTCATTGCGGTCGCTCCAGCCTCCAGCCCATCGTCTGCGTAGGAACGCATTCGGATGAGCTACGCTGCGAGGGGCGATCGGTCCCGTCTCCGGGCGCAACTATGCGCTCTTATCAGCGTCATCGCCCTCCTCCGTCGGGCTAGCAGGTTTTGCGCAGCGACACCCTCTATTTCTAAGCAGTCATCTGTTACCCTGCCAGTGAGAGACATTTGCTTACCGGGCAAAGGAGGAATGACGCTGAAGACACCTGGCTCACGCTGGGCATGACGCTGAGCACCTGCGCGCCTGGTGCTCGGGCGACATATAAACCGAATGGGCAGAGTTTGAACTGCAGTTGTTAGCCTGACGCCCCGAAAAATGGAAGAGCAAAGTTACCCACCTTGGACTGAGCGCATCGCCCCCATCGGCGGTACCGGCGTGCGAATCCACTACCTCGACTGCTCCCCTCCACCCTCTGAATTACCGGAAAGGGGCGTCATCCTCTTGATCCACGGCTTTCCCCAAACTTGCTACCAGTTTCGCCATGTCTTGGTTCCGCTGGCGCGCGCCGGCTATCGCGTGATCGCCCCGGACTATCGGGGTGCTGGAAAGTCTTCTCGCCCGGATGGCGCCTTCACCAAGTCGGTCATGGCTGCAGACCTGTCCTACCTCATCCACACTCATCTCGGAATCCGCCAAAGTATCCATGTTGTCGGGCACGACATTGGCGGCATGGTTGCACACGCCTATGCGTCCCGCTACCCCGACTACGTTGCGTCAGTCATCTGGGGAGAGTGTCCCTTGCCGGGCACCAAGGCCTATGAGAGGCACAAGACCATGATGCCCCAACAATTCCACTTCGTTTTCCACCGTGTAGCCGACCTGCCCGAGGCGTTGGTGGCCGGCCGCGAGCACATCTACCTCCGTCACTTCTTCGACAAGATCTCGTTCAACGCCCAAGCCATCTCCCAAGATGACCTCGAGCGCTACGTCGGCGACTATTCGCAGCCCGGCGCAATGAGGTGTGCGTTCGGAGTGTACAGGGCCTTCGAGACGGATGCGTTGGAGAACCGCGAGTGGCTGATGGCGAACGGCAAGTGTCGAGTTCCGGCGCTGGGTCTGAGTGGCGAGCTCAGTTTGCATGCGAAGGAGGCGGCGTGGATGCTGGACGAGATGTACGAGAATGTTGAGACGGCGCTCGTCTGCGACTCGGCGCATTACATCGCCGAGGAGAATCCGGAGGACTTCATCCGTCAGGTCCTGGCATTCGTCGAGCGGCACTCGTGAGTCCGTCAGCGTGGTCGAGTCGACGACTGGCTTCTGCCTTGGTCGGGCACTCCGCCACCGTCGGGTGCCTACAGTCGTGTGATAGTCATCCCCTTCAGCAAAGTCATGGTTTTTCTCACTGCCTGGCGGGTGCGGCCCATTGTGACACAATCCTCCGTGAGACGTGGTTTCACAGGCTCTGGCGGATGCTTGACGAGTGGGCTGGGGCCACGCAGCAGCAAGAGCCAAAGACAGTCACGGCGGGTCGACCCAGAACGGCCATCCGCCCCCCCGGCAATCGGAGTGGACAGGCGGCAGGCCGGCAACAGGCTCGAACGCCACGGGCCGCTCACTCTTTAGACCGAAACCCTGTCGCCTTCGCTAGCCGCAGATACGAGCATACTGCTAGCTGGGCAAATGATGGCGGCGTAACCTGAACGGGGCTTCCTCCGGGCCCGGTCCAACCGCGCTAATTGGCCGCACTCTTCGAGAACATCATCGCCCAGACGGTGGTCGAGCGCGTCAAAGCGGCAGCCCTACATATGATACAGATGCGGGCGCCTTGAATGGAGACCCTCTGGTGCCCTGCTCATTGGCCGCTTCGTGGCCTCTTAGTGCTGTTGGTCCGCTTATGCAGAGGCCCGTCTATCTTTTTCTCTGCTTCAAGTTCCCCGCGTCCCTTGTCTGCCACTTAGCCCTGCTTTTGCTTTCTGCACTGCTTGCTGCGCCGTCCGCAATTTTGTTCCTCCACCCCTCCGTTTGTTTGCCTGCTTTTGCCTGCGTTTGCCTGCTACCAACACCCTCGCCTTCCAGGAACCCAAGCATACGTTCCAACCTGCATTTCTCTTGACGGCCACTACCCTACGACCAGCTCTTGCATGAGAACTACCATAATGCCGCAAAGCCCTCGACCGATCCTCCCCGCCGCTGCCACGTCCGCCAGTCCCAGCAGTTCCACAAACGCCGCGCCGGCGACGTCGACGAGTACAAAACACGATACGAATCTACTTGACCCTGCGTCTGCTGCCGTTGCTCCCGACTTGTCGCCCGGTACTGCTGCTGCACAGCAAGCACGAGCACGTGGCAGAAGAACCGTCACCCTGGTAGCTTGCTTTGAGTGCCAGAAAAAGAAAACCAAGGTCCATATACACTGATAATAAGTGCACATGTTTATTTTCCTCTCCTACCACATTTTATCTCCACTTGCTTTCTACGGCTTCAATTGCCCCTTGTCAGCCTTCGCTGCCAGCTCCGAGATGTTGCCACTCCAATTGATCCTCCAATCATCGTCTGAAGCCCCTCATTTGTGTTACCATCGGCGAGCAAGCACACACCACACCCAAACCCTTCCTGATTGGTCAGCACCTCACCCGAACCATCCGGGCTCCGCAGTTCAAGATTTCAGATCAGAGTTTCCAATTCCATGTATAATACGGCTATATCTTAAGTTCTTTCAATTATTCCCTTGATCGTTTCAAGCGAACTGTCCTTTTTCTCTCTCTCCCTCCTTCCTACCACCAGCAAGAACAACATGAAGATCAAAGAACCTCCCCTCCTCCCTCCACCCCCCTCGTCCCCACAACCACAGAGAGGAAAATAATACGAAAGGTTTAACCTCACCATCCGCTGACTCGTCCTCCACCTCTTTGTGGAGAAGGGGCGGTAACAGTGCGACGGAGCGCGCCCGAGCTGCTCGCGATGCCGGGCCAAGGGCTGCAAGTGCATGTGGGAGACGGACTCGCGCGAACAGACGCGGCAGCAGGCGACGTACAACAAGCTGGAGGAGGCGGTGCTGAAGCTGGAGGAGACGAACGCGCGCATCGCGGGCTACGAGCGGCTGCTGCACGAGCTGCGCACGCTGCCCGAGGACGAGGCGGTGCGGCTGTTCTGGCGCATCCGCAGCACCGCTCCTGGTGGTGGGACTGGCAGCAGCAGCACAGACCCCGCCGATAGCGAGAGCTTCGACTGGTTGGTCGGCGGTGCCGGTGGGATGTCCATCGACGAGGACGAGTACGGCGGGCCTGGCGGTGGCATGACGCACCAGCAGCAGTTGGCGGGCGAGCTGCCGCCGCCGCCGCCGTTCGGCTCGGCAATGGATATGGACGTTGGGATGGGCGAGCAAGGGCAGCAGCAGCATCATCACCACCATCAACATCAACAATACGGGGAAGGCGCATACGAAGAGGGGCAAATGTACGGAGAGCGGCACAGGCACCACTAAAATCTCGCCAAACACATCCGGAAGGAATGGGGCGCAGGGTGGAAAAGAGGCTAAGCTACGTTGATATGCGATGGGCGAGCTGCATACTGGCTTGGGTGTGGGGACCGCGTGCATCTGAGATCGCATGATGGAGAGAGAGAGAGAAGGGACGGAGTTGGGCGCCACATTGGAATGCAGAGGGGGAAGGGGACGGTAACGAAATGCGGCTGTTGGATTGGATCAGTGTGTTTTGTGTGCGATGACGCTCTTTTTTCTCGGGTTGCCTCGGGTCATCTTTTCGCTATTGAAAGCTTCACGATCCTTGGCGACGCGCGCTCGGGAGGTGGAGAGAGAGAAGTTCTTGGAAGTGGAGTCCTTTTCCCCCGAGCGAAGACCCCTCTAATCCCCCCGTCTTGCGCAATCCTGTTGCAAAAGAGCGGCGCCTCCCGAACTTGACATCATCTTGAGGCTTTTGGGCGGAACCTGCATCCGATACGTTATGCGCCGAAGTTATCTTCCGGCTTTCATCTACGGGACTTTTCTTTTTCCCTTGAGGCCTTTTCTTACCTAGCATCATCCCTTTCCTTTGCATGAATATGCGGTCTTCGTATCTAGGGAGCATGGTCGCACGGCGCTGTCCTACGAATTTTTTTCATTGTCTTTTCGAGGCGTTCCTCGGTTGGGAGTGGGCAAAAACCAGGTTTTCATTTACCACATTGACGGGTTTCCTTTTCTATCGACACGGTTGTTTACTCGAAGCGGTCAAAGGCTCCGGCCTCGGCTAATGAGGGCTGGCTAGTTGGGGTTTGCAGATGGATTGCGAATAACGAGGGCTTCGTCTATTGAGCTTGCGTGATTGGACCACGCAAGTGGCATTCCCGAAGCCACCAACACGTGGGAGAAGGAGGGACAGTGATCAAGCGGTCTACGCGTTGGGGTGTGAGGGGAAAGTGGGAGTTGGGGAAGGTGGGAGTTTCTGCCTGGGAGAGTGACCACGAAAGGGAGTGGGATCTGTGTTGGCTGACGTCACCTTCGGGTATGAGGACGGCGTGGCCTGGGGCTGCCCGCCCACCCTGTTTGTGAGGTGGTGATCAGCAGTTGCCGGTGAGGCCAAGAACGAGTGTGGGAAAAGCAGCAGCGTTTTTCACACGTTCTCTCGGATTCGGATGTTCGGGTAAGCGGGTATCGAAACAAAGCTTCTTCAACAAAAAAAAATCAAAATCGACCAGCGAGAGATTAAGGACAACGTTGGGTTGTCGCTTCCTTCTGCTACTGGTAGCCCGTGCAGAGTGGGCGGCAACACTCACTCGGCCCGTGGAGACTGGCCCCTCACCGTTTTACACGCTTCTAGGGCCAATCCTAGGAGGCTTAGAACATGCTGGTCGAGGTGCAAAACGTGATGGTACCGTATTGAGAGCGAAAGGGGGTCAGATACAGGGTCGATATGTGCTTACGGGCCGAGATCCGGTACCGCTAAGTCGATCAAAAGGGACGAAATTTTCGGGAGCAGCCGGCTGGCCGTTAAGAAGCGTGATATCCACATGGGGTGAGAGTCGCCCTTGTGTGATGCCGTGTCCTCATCGTCCGCGGCACGGGAGCGACTCCCATTGGACACTGAGCAATTGGATCGGGGTTTGCTTCCCCAGATGCAAGGACAGTAGCCGATCCTTGGTCAAAACACCCGGTGAGGTCTGCCACGGCGTTACAGTTACGGCAGGTTTCTCCCCCCCATCTTACGCAGAGCCGCACAAGTGGCGCTAGCCGACTCGCTTCTGGAGGATCGAATTTAACGAGTCAACGACGGCGCGTAAGCTGGAGTGTTTAACTGCAGCAGGGGATCCTTGGCCGTGGTGGGAGCATGACCCGGTGGGCATCGGTTCTGCGTGTTGGTCATCCGATGATACTAGTCAAGATTTTTGATTACTCACGCAAGACTGGGCCCATGGACATGAAGCATGTAAAACAGGTGGAGCTTTTTCCAGGGCTCGACTCGCATCCGGACCAAGGACCGGCATCGCTCTGACCAGCAGATACTAAGCAGCAAGGCCGTGACCTAGGAGGCTTGGCGCTAATGTTTTATTGCCATTAGTTGAGTTTAGGCGCGTGGAAGAACTTCTGTTAAACTCGTCGACGTCCACTAGAATAGACAAGTCGTGGGCCTATTGGGCGGCCCAGGGTGGCATGGATGTCTTTGCTGCAGGGCAATAAATGCAGGGGGTCGTTCGTACCCAGCGTTGCGGAGCAGCTAGTGGAATGTACACGTACCCTAGCTCGGGCACAAAGGTGGTGAAGATGGGCATTCTTTCAACAAATGCGCGTCCCCAGAGTGTAATGATGAGAGCAGAAGACGAGCGGGTGCGACGCTAGGGGCGTGCTGATGTTCCGGCGGGTGTAATTGGGCCTCGTCGAGGCCAGTTCAAGGGTCCAGAGAAAGATCGTGATCTAGACCCTAGATCGGCCATTATCGCGATCACAAACGCACCACAACCCGATGACTCGCATGCTCGAGGCGCTGACTCTCATGTGCGGCATTCAGTAAGGTGTCTGCAGGCTCAGGGCGTGCGTGGGCCTTGGCTAGGGTTGCAGCGACGACTCGACGTAAATATGACCCACGATGGATCAACATGCACCGTTGGAACCGGCCAACGCGCAGGCGCAGGCGCAGAGCACGAGGGGATGACGGCGAGGCAACGTAAATGGCAAAAAGCGGATGGAACGACGAGGGTGGCGAGGCGAAGGCAAACCTCGCCCGCACCAGACGGCTGTTTAAGGTTGGGCGATCTATGGCGCACGTGGGATTAACGGGATGCAGGAAGCAGCAGCAGATCTCCCGATAGGATCACCGCAAGGAAACCTCAGAAGCACGCGGGACGGGATGCAATTGCAGTCGCTGGCCGCGGCTAGGTGACAGGGCGAGGACGCATGCAGACCAACGCACACCGAGGGATACAGCAGCCCTCCGCTCCTGCCCTTCCAGCTGCGCAAGGAGGGCAACCAGCAATTTAGAGTTTGCTATCGGAAGGACCATGTTGTGTCACCAGGGCGTCCTCAGCGGCCGATGAGGTCCATGTGATACATCGCTCGTCCGGCCGGCGTTCTCAGCCGGGAAATCCATCATCCCTACCGCGACGAACGCCATGTTAGGCGGCCATGGCATTTGCGAAAAGTCGTAGCCGGGCGGCCGGCCTTGGTGCCCGCCTCCGCGGCAAATGCCGACCGCCGCAGCTGTCCCGTCTTGGCGCCGCCTCAGCCGGAGCCGTCGCCGAGCCCTAGTCCAGCTCCAGCTCCAGCTCTCCAGACGCGTGTCCGCATCACCACGCGACGCGACATGGCCGACCCAGCCCCCAGTCCTGAGAAGGACGCTCCGCCGCCTGTCGACGCCGTCCCCATCATTACCCCACCGCCGCCCGAGTCCCCGCAGAGCATCACTACCCGCCGCCTGGTCATCCTGTCCTTCTGGGCTGTCGCTGTCCTGCTCGGCCTGCCGCTATGGTTCAAGACAACTACCATCTACCGCGCCCACCTGCCTCTGCAGCAGATGCTCGACTGGGCTGACGGAAAGGTGCGCTTCCTCTCTCCCTCACAGTGCCTGTGTTTGCTGACGCTCTCCGAGACCTGTCGCCCCGTCTTCCCGCTGCGCATTGCCATTGACGCCCCCATCCTGCCCGAGCAAGACGCCCACCACCTTCTGCGAACTACCCAGCATGCCCTCGATGACCTCAATGACTTCTCCGCCCATCATCTTCGGCTCGTTCTCGCCGAACCTCAGCAGGAACAGTCGCAGCCATCTAATACCGACATTGCATTGACCTTGAACCTGATCCCCTCCCCCAATGGGCCCACCCCGAGAGCCGAGCTGCGATCCTACGAGCCTATTCTAGACGTCTATTATACCCAGAACCAGATCCCCTCGCCTTCCTCGACCTCGTCTCCCCTGGCCACGTTTCTTGCCAATGAGCTACAATCCATATTTTCTGAAGAGCAGGCTGCTCTGGCCTACCTGCTCTCCGGCACCGGCATGGGAAACATGGCCAGGATGAAGACGCTGAGCCCTGAGACGACCGCTGCCCTGGAGAGACAGAAAACGCGTTCCTTCAAGTACGCCCCGACCTACCACCTGACCTTCTCGCTCTTCACCCCGGGCTCTGCTCCTTCGGATTGGGAGATTGAGGCTGCGCTGGACGAGTACATTGCTCCATTGCTACACTCGCTGTCGTCCATCAGCAACTTCACTATTGATACCCAGGTCCAGCTCTATGCAAAATTTGCTCCCTCGATTCGTGAGCCTGAATTCGACAGCGAGAAAAATGCGTGGACGCTGCACAAGGAAGATCTCACTGGCTTCATCAACGCCGCCGAATGGCCCCTCAGCCCGTCGATAGGTACCGGCCCCACGGTCAACTTTGTTCTCTACGTTCCCGCCGAGAACCAGAGCCCGATGGTGGTCAAGGAGAATGGCGGAAACAGCTGGTTGGTGCCGCAATGGGGTGGTGTGCTTATTCTGAATCCTTCCAACCCCCCGGCGAAGACAGCATCCAATCCGGCGGCTTTGAACAAGGAAGCTCTCCGCCCCGCCATGCTCACCTTCTCCAACCAGCTCCTCTCTCTGCTCGGCGTGCCCCAAACGCCCGACTCGTTGCCCTTGCGCATTACCACTCTCACTCGGATTCGTGCGGCCTCGCTCCTCTTTTCCGCTTCGTCCACGCTAGGGTCGTTGGCGCGACTGAGCTTGGCCTTGCCATCCATTGCCATACCTGACAACGTGGCCATCTCCGTTGAACAAACTATCGCTCACCTCCACGCTGCATGCGATGATCTCCGCGAGGGCAAATTCCGCAGCGCGTTGGAACATGCCCGCGTGGCAGAGGCTGGGGCTGAAAAAGCATTCTTCGAGAGATCCATGGTCGGCCAAGTCTATTTCCCCGACGAACACAAGGTCGCAGTCTACCTTCCTCTGTTGGGCCCAGTTGCTGTCCCGTTGATCATGGCCGCTTTGAAGGAGCTGAAGAAGCTGTCGGCCAGGCGGAAGAACGGAAGTTCATGAATAATGGTCAATCGCAGATTCCTTGGAATTGAATGCTCCGAGGCCTAGCAGGAAAGCTTAAACCGAGGATATATGACATCCCGGCTTATCGCACCCCGCATGTAGACGATTCATGCAATGAGAAGGCGCGGAATGTGACGATGTGAAACGAGCGGATCCGCTTCAGCCTCCACGTCGACTGACGATTCATTCTGCGAAACCGATTCCGGTACGCCGAGCATGGATCAGCCTGGTCCGGCAAGGGGGGAGGCTGGTTGACAGGGAATCGGTCTCAGGCCCAGCCCTAGTGCTGGGACCCTCCAGACCCCGCGTGCTGAATTGCGGGGTGCACGAGGCGGGGTAAACAACAAGCTCAGCTCTGTTCAACCTGCCACCAATGTACATAAAACTCAGTCTTTCAAGTTCATGAGATACCCAATCCACCGGTAACCTCGTTCTACCATTCCAATTTCAGCGATTCTCGTGCTCTGCAGCAAACATGTCCGTCACCGCCGAGGCGCAAGCCACCATTAAATCCACCATCGATGCCGTAACGTCCAAGAGCTCTATCCCGGGCATAGTCTTCGTCGCCGTCGACAAGAATGGCGACGTCGTCGCTTCGCATTGCTCTGGGAAGACGGGCGCAACAACCTCCTCTACGCCCATGTCGCTGGACACGGTCTTCTGGATCGCTAGCTGTACAAAGATCATCACAGGCATCGCATGCATGCAATTGGTGGAACAGGGCAAGCTCAACCTCGAGGACTCGGCCGCTCTGTATAAGATCCTCCCGGAGCTGAAAGACAAGCAAGTCCTCCAAGACGACGGCGTCACCCTCGTGCCCAAGAAGAAGGAAATCACCTTGCGCATGCTGCTCGACCACACGGCCGGCTTCGGTTACACGTTCTTCAACCCTAAGCTCAGGGACTGGGGCCGGCCGTTGGGTTTCGACGAGTTCTCGGGCGATGCGAGAGACGTCTTAGATGCGCCGCTGGTCAACCAGCCCGGCGAGAAGTTCGAATACGGCGTAAGGACCCGGCGATACACACATACCTGCGCATCAAATGCTAACTTCGTGTGCTTTCAGACAAACATCGACTGGGCGGGTCTCGCGGTCGAGCGCGTCTCCGGCCTCGGCCTGAACGACTACTTCCACAAGCACATCTTCGAGCCGCTCGGCATCAAGAACGTCAGCATGTTCCCGACCGCCGAGATGCTGAAGAACCTCGCGTACTTCCACTTCAAGCACCACGATAGCTCCGTCACCGAGCAGGACCACGTGCTGCGCCGCAGCCTGATGGCCAGGACGCCTGAGGAGCAGGCGCGCATCTTCAATTCCGGCGGCGCTGGCATCTTCGCTAGGCCGGTTGAGTACTGCCGTACGTATATGTCCTTTTCCTCGCAGGGCCGCCATCTTCTCTGTAGTCAAATAACTGACAGGTTTGTTCAAATGCGCAGAGATCCTCGCCACCCTCCTCAACAACGGCACCTCGCCCAAAACCGGCGCCACCATCCTCTCCCCGCGCACTGTCGACGCCATGTTCACCAACAGCCTCCCCGATTCCTGGCCCGACTTCGCCCGCGCCGGCATCCCCGACGCCAAGCCACACCAGACAAACCCCATCCCCGAGCTGTACCAGCAGCCGGGCAACCCGCCGCAAGGCTGGGGACTGACGTTCCTGCTGACGAACCTGGACGGCAAGGGCGCCGAGTCAGGCATGTGGAGGGGCAGGAATACCGGGCATTGGGCTGGCATTGCGAATCTGTTTTACTGGGTTGATAGGGAGAAGGGGCTCGCCGGCATGATTGCGAGTCAGATCATGCCGTTTTGTGATTTGGATGTTATTATGCCGTGGGTGTTGTGTGAGAAGGCGGTGTATGAGGGGCTGGGGAAGGCGTAGGAGGAGGGTGCGTTTGGTTGGGACGGATGTCGTTATACCTCTAAGAGATCTCTGGCTATAGCTGTTTTTGCTACGGACGTATTCAATGAATCTTACTACCCCTATGGCTTTCTTTTCTTTCTTTACACCCACTCTCTTTTTCCCCCGCCGCTCTCGTTCCTCAACCGACATCCCTTCCAAACGTATGGCTGAATCTACAGTCCGATGCCCACTATAACTTGCACCGCCCATATTGTCCTGCATATGTGTCTCCTGACATTGCGCACACAACTTCCAAATTCCGCCAAAAACTCCCTGCTTCTCCGCGCGCGCGCGTTTTATCTGCACTTCCTCTCATCCCTCCCTCCCCCACTCCTTCACGTTACACAACCGACAAGGCTGCGGAGATTGCTCCGCTAACTGGGTACCAAAGGGCGTCAGACATAAATCAAACAGAAAAAAAAAGTTAATTGCACGCCAGCTGCGCCTCCCGTGCGTCCGCACCGGTGCGCGTGTTCGTTTCACAACCAAGCAAGACAGACGCTTGCATTTCATGTATGTACGTAGTAGGTATGCTGGCGTTTTCGGATGACACCGGCTGCGCATGCAAAAAGCATGCACGCACTTAGCCACCACACACCCAGACTTTTCACACCCCCCATCCATTCGCTAGCTGGCGGGTGGGACGATCGACGGCGATCTATTAGCATCTGTCATTCGATCGTGTTTAATGTGGCGTGGTTCATTCGTCGCCCTGCTTCAACTACCTCACGGCAATGTTATTATTTTCTCCCGGAAAAATCATGAAAGGACCGCTTCAATGGAGAACGCCTTCACGAACGGAGAAAAGTTTCCGGTCGCGGTCGCTACGGTGGCAAATGTTGTCGTTGGTTGAGGCATTTTGGTTTTTGGGTAGTGGTAGTCGGGTTAGGTAGGTGAGACGTTCCCCCATCTTTGGTTTCGCCTTGGCTCTTTTGGGGATTCCCGGTTCTTTCTCCTGCTTGATGTTTCAATAGTGGTGGTGCAGAGAAAGAGAAGTTACCTCAGTCTAACTTAATGAAGGAAGCCGTTCAGGCACCTTTTTTCTTTCAGCGTTTCACTCACACAGGCTGAATCATGCAGGAAACTGTGCTGCTTTGGGTTGACCGGAAAAAAAAATGGCAAGCTACTGCCATGAGCTGTCGCTGATGCTTCTCTTGTGCTCTAACTAGCACGTCGATGTAGGGTGTGAATGTGTTTTAAATTTCTGGTTTTTGTGGACATTGTCGAAAGGTGGGTGTGAGTCGTTTCTCAGATACGCGATTGCCGCTTTTGCTGGTTGGATGGTGATGGTGGTGGTTTCTTGGTTGTGACCCACTCTTTATACTAGGTAACCCTCGTCAACCGTCGTTATCCGTGCGGCGCCTAGAGGTTAGAGTTCAAATCGCAGCGAACCTTACCCGTGATTCATGAAGAGGCAAGATTGGGGGCATCGGAAGAGGGAGGACGTATCTTTTTCTTGAATGGTGGGGGTTTGACTGTATGATTGATGGGGAAGTGCCAATGTTGCGGGATGGTACGTATGGGCAGGTGCGCAACGTGCGCGTCTTTGCGCGGCGTTTATGGTGGAGATGCCATGCCCGTGCGGAAGTGCTCCAAGCCTTCGAGGGGTTCTTCGGACCGCGCCGGATGTGGAAGTTTGAGGCTATTTGACAGCTACTCGTTGATTTATGCAGATTTAGGGATCTTTGAGAACATCGTCTTGCCATATTAGTTAAGATAGTCATGAACGTGGGGGCAATCCACGGCATGTATCTCTATCCTAGGTTAGCGTCGACCGTGGTATCGTATGATTGTTCTACACTTGCCCGTGCTTCTCCCATCTGTCTATCCGAAACCATCTCCGATAGATGGAGTGTACTCTTTCTACTGCTACTAAGGAGACTGAGAGCTCCATTAGGTCTCGAGCTGCGCTGCTACACCGCCGGATGATCACCCCCTTTTCGCTGTTGTACGTCTTGAAACTCGTTCGCTGGTCATGCCTTGGGCATACGTTTATGAAGAGATCGTTTCTTCACATCCGGACCTCTCCTACTGGTCTCTTAGTCTTCACTTGTGTTGACCATATGGGAGGAGTACGAAAGAAAGGATACTCTTGGTGTTATAGACTGGAGGGTCTGGTGGAGATTTGTTGCAGGAGCTTGTAGGATTTTCCCGAAGCGTTTCTTGTGGAGCTCTGTCATTATTAAATCATGACCCAATGAGTCGAGAGATGTTTCTGTGGAGTTCGAAAGCTGTAGTAGATATCCTCAGTTCGAAAAGAAGTCACCAGCGTAGCTCTTTTTCTCCGGGTAATCTCATCGCGCTTTTCTGCCTGCAATGAAAGAAGGACATTAGCATAGGACTCGACACCAAGGGCAATGGAAGAATTGGCAGTACCCAAAGCTCTCATCTTTCGCCGAGATTCGGTCTTGGATGCCTGGTAAGGAGGTATGGCCGGCACGGCGTGCTCGGAGATGGAGCGGAGAAGGCTTGGACAATGTTATACGTCATCTTAGCCGAAGCTGCGGGGGATGCCTCATCGGGGGCAGATGTAGACGCCGAAAGTGCGTCATCTGCTCGCGCCAGGGACCACAACAACCTCGTTAATTATTACGACGGGACACACAGAAAACACCGAGGCTCCTTCAGCTGGCTCCGGGAAAGGGCGAAAAGGAAGAGGACACTGCGGAGCTAGAATTGGATCCCAAAGCCTCTACGGATCTCTCCATCGGCCATTTTTATTTCTTCTCCCATCGCGCCATAAAGTATCCTGAAGAGCCGCATTATACCTGCATAGACCTACAGCAGGGCTGGAGACAACCTCTTTTTTCAGATTCCTTCTTTTCTTGTCTCTCCTCATCTTCGTTTTCTTAACCGTCCAGGCGCATCCCCCACCATGGCGCTCCCACAGCGCGCCCTCAGAATAGCCCGCAGCGGCCTCCCAGCGCTCCAATGCGCCGCCTCGCGCACCGCACTATGCGCATCACGACCACTCGCAGCACCTCTCCCAGTTACCATCCGCTACGTCCGCAGCGAGCGCCGCGGTTTCAAGAAAGATGCCAGCCCCTCAGCAGCCGCCAAAGCGCCGCCCAAGAACCGAGGCGCATCGAAGCTGTACGCCAGCGCCGACGACGCCATCGCCGACCTGAAAAGCGGCTCGACCGTCCTCAGCGCCGGCTTTGGCGTGTGCGGCATCGCACGTTAGTGGCACCTTTTCTTCCTCTCCCCTCTCGCGCACCCTTTCCCCCCCAAACCACATCCAAACCCCCCAGACTAACCCCCCGGGGCCCTCCACAGAAACCCTCATCGAAGCCATCGCCCGCCGCGGCGCCTCCTCCCTCCACTCCCTCACCGCCGTCTCCAACAACGCCGGCGCCGGGCAATACGGCCTCGCCCTGCTCGCCCAATCCGGCCAGGTCACGCGGCTGATCCTCTCCTACCTCGGCGCAAACAAGCACCTCGAGAAAGAATACCTGGCGGGCCGCATCGCCGTCGAGCTGACGCCGCAGGGCACGATCGCGGAGCGGCTGCGCGCGGCCGGCGCCGGCATCCCGGCCTTCTACACGGCGACGGGCGTCAACACGCTCGTGCAGACGGGCGGGATACCGGTCAGGTTAGGAGGCGAGGGCGGCAAGGAGGTGCTGGAGCACGGGAGGAAGAAGGAGACGAGGACGTTTGGCGGGAGGGAGTACGTGATGGAGGAGGCGCTGAGGGGGGATGTCGCGATCCTGCGCGCGTGGCGTGTGGATGAGGCGGGGAACTGCCAGTTCAGGTACACGACGAAGACGTTTGCGCCGCTGATGGCGAAGGCGGCGGATGTGGCGATCGTTGAGGCGGAGGAGATTGTGCCGGTTGGCGCGATCGAGCCGGATAATGTGCATTTGCCGGGTATCTTTGTTGATCGGATTGTGCCGGCGACGGCGGAGAAGAGTGTTGAGGTGCGGAAGGTGAGGGAGGTGGGGAAGGAGCAGAAGCTCGATCCAAAGAGGGAGCGCATCGCGCGCAGGACGGCGAAGGAGCTGAAGGAGGGGTACTATGTCAATCTCGGCGTGGGCATTCCGACGCTTGCGCCGAGCTTTTTGGATCCCGAGGTCAAGGTGTGGATCCAGAGCGAGAACGGGCTGCTGGGAATGGTATGGACGACTTCTCCCCTCTCCTCCTGAGATTCTTATTCACGAGCTGGATGCTGATTCGAACAAGGGACCGTATCCGACGGAGGATGAAGTCGACCCCGACCTCATCAATGCCGGAAAGGAGACCGTCACGCTCGTGCCCGGTGCTTCGACGTTTGACAGCGCTGAATCTTTCGGCATGATCCGCGGTGGCCATGTTGATGTTTCCGTCCTCGGTGTAAGTTTTCATATCAGTCCTGTTCAAGTTTGATTGTCAAGCTAACGCACGTTGATATAGGCTCTCCAAGTCAGCGCGTCTGGAGACCTCGCCAACTACATGATTCCTGGCAAGACGTTCAAGGGCATGGGAGGCGCTATCGACCTCGTGTCGAATCCCGACATCACCAAGATCATCGTCGCAACAGAGCATGTTGCCAAGGACGGGTCTTCGAAGATCGTGCAGGAGTGCAAGCTCCCGTTAACTGGTGCGAAGGTGGTCAGCACGATCATAACGGACATGGTGAGCCTCCTTAACAAGCTTGGTTTACTGAGGCTTTTGAGTACTGACATTGATTAGTGCGTGTTCCAAGTCGATAGAGCGAATGGTGGGTTGACACTCACCGAAGTTGCTCCCGGTGTTTCTGTCGAAGAGGTCCAGAGCAAGACGGATGCGAAGTTTAAGGTGGCAGAGGATCTGAAGACCATGGAGTAAATAGAGGTGTTAATACTTTCTGTGCATAAGCCAGCGTTTTCTTTTCTGAATATATCCAATTTTTTATTTTTTACATTATGAAAAGTCTTCTCTCTCCAATCTCCACCACGTATTTACAACTTCGCACGCAGACCCGGCGCGTACGTCGTCCCCTCACCAGCCCCAATCTCCCTCACGATCTCATCCACCGTCTGCAGTATCCAAAAGTTGCCTTCCTCGCTGGCCAGCCAGCGCGCGCCGGGGATGTCGGCCTCGACATTCGTCTTGATTCCTTCCTCGTCAAAGGCCTTGCGCAGGCCGAAAACGTGCGACAGTACCTGCGGACCGACGCCGGTCTGGGCGCGCAGGCACGAGATGCCGACCAGCGACGTCAAGGTGCGGCCGACGCGCGGCGTGGCCTTCTCGGGCGGGTCGGTGAAGAGGGCCGAGTAGTGGCTGTTGATGATGTGCACGGGCAGGTCCGGGTGCGAGTCGGCCAGCTTGGCCAGCAGCTTCTCGTCGAACGGCCGGTAGATGTCGGACCACAGGCCAAAGCCGCGCGTGCGCATGGATTCGAGGTTCTGGGTGGTGGGTGTTCTGCAACGCCGGCCGGCTGTTAGTTCCGAGTTGTCTCGTGTTTGTGTTGCGCGGAGTAGTAGGCGCGGGATGGAGTGCTAACTGACCTGGTGGGTGTTGTTGACAGGCTGCGGACGACGTTCTCGGGTAGGCTGCCCCGGAAGGCGCCCAGGCAGTTGATTGTGCGCGGGATGCCGTTGAAGCCGATGCACTTGAGGCCGACTTCGCGCATCAGCTCGGCCGTGTCGACGGCGGCCTTCTGGTCTTTGGAGGCGGTGGCGATGTCGAAGAGCTCCTTCATCGAGGCGGGCGAGTTCATGGTCATCGAAGTGGCCGTGGCGATGGTGAGCCAGCACGGTGTCGCGACATTCTTCGCGGCCGAGTCTTTCGCGATGCGTTCGAACAGCGAGCGGATGCCCTTCGGGGCGGGCGCAGGGCCTGGGCGGGCGAAGCCGGCGTTGATGAGGGCCTTCAGCGGCTCGGACAGCTTCGACATGGCGCCAATGGGTGGAGTTGAGGTGTGAGAGACGGATGCTGCTCGGCGGCGGCGGCTAAGTGTTGATGCAGCTCACATGCAGGTTGGAGCTCTGGCGACTCGGGTTTAAAAGTAGCTCCGGTGGGACGAGCGGCGTCGCGGGGGCCGCACGACCGAGGAAAACAGCTCATAAACCGAGCATGCCGAGCGCGTGCTGACTAGAGGGGACGGCGATGGATTCCGCTCGCAGCGGAGAGGGTCTTGGTGGTGGTGATGGAAATGCGGGGAGGATTGGGCGCGAGTAAGCGGCGGAGACACAGAGGAAGCTTGGGTGCTTGGCCACAGCCGGCCCAGCCCGCGCCGAACCCGTCCACTTCTCCGCCGCGCAATCATCATCACAGCATGCGCGCCTAAAGCATTCCGTCGCCGAGACGAGACGGCTGTCGCTCCCGGACGCCCTGCGCCTGCGCTCCTGCCCGCCATGGACGATCCAACGCGCGAGAGCAGCGCAAAGAGCAACAAGCAGGCCGCCTGCATCGCCTGCCGCCGCACCAAGACGAAATGCCTCCGAGATCCCGGCGCCACTGTATGCAAAAAGTGCCGTCAAAAGGGTTCCGATTGCGTCATTCCCTCACACCATGTCGGTCGTCAGAAGGGCACCAAGAAGTATGTCTCCACTTTGCCCCAGGCTGGCCTCCCCTCTGACCCTAGACAGCAAACGCACAGGCTTGGCGAAAGCCATATACCAGGTCGAGCAGGCAGTCCAGCAGCTGCAGTCTGGACGCACCGACCCCAAGACCAACGACGCAGCTCTACACCTCGAGCACCTGCTGAACGCTGTTCGCCACCTGCCGCAAGGAGACCGCGCCTCCAAAGATGGGGGGGACGCAAGCCTTGACGACTATGCTCAATCCGCTGGCCTCCACAACGACGACTACTCCCCTTCGAATCCTTCTAGCCCTGACTCTTCGACCCCAGTCACTGCTGTTGCCGACTATCCCTTGAATGATGCTGAGAATCCACTCCAGCTTTTGGCTCACGCTTCAGACCTCTCCAGGCTGCGGCTCAATTCCGGCCCTTATCAAGATGTTGATCAAAGCAGCGAGTCTGTCCTGGCTTTCTTTAGTCCTCTACGCCCCAAGCTAGATGTTAGCCCTGATATGGACCCCATTGAACTCGGGCTCGTCACCCAAGCTGAAGCTGATGAATTGTTTCAGTAGTATGCATCCCTTTCCATGCGGTATGCCGATTGTATACTGACCTCAAGCAAAGCTTCTTCGAGCACCTGACGCACACGAGATGGGGCATGGATAGATTCGTGCACTCTCTGTCCTTTGTCCGCGGGCGCTCATCCTTTCTGCTAACCTCAATCCTGGCCGCTTCTGCTCTGTTCATCCCTACTGCTGAAGCTCTCTCAAAAAGGCTTTCTGCTCACAGCAGGAAACTTGCCCACACCGCCATGATAGAGCGCTACAGATCCGTCGAGGTCGTACTGGCTTTTATGGTCAATGTCCCCTGGCTGTCGTTTGGAGATCATTGGGCAGACGACGAAACTTGCTCTTATCTTTCCGCCGCCCTAACCGTCGCCATGGACCTTGCGTTGCACAAAATCATCACCCCTTCCCCTAATAACGTACCCGATGCTAGCATGCAGGGCTACACTGGATCTGACACTATCGACGCCAAAAAGGCCCTTTACTTGGATGGCTTTGAGAATGTCGATCCGTCCTCCATGTTGGGAAGACGCTTGCTCAGAAGGAGGGAAAGGACTTGGCTCTCGCTCTTCGTGCTTGATCGAGGGTAATTACATCTTGCCGGTTTGGTCGATTTAGTGCTGACAGTCTTCGCACAGCGTCTGTCTTGCCAGGGGACGTGTGCCGGTGGTGCCGAAAACATCGCTGGTTGACAGATGCGATGCATGGCACATCTCGGACATTGCCGACATTTGGGACAGCTCCATCGTCTCTGTTGCCGTAATGCGAAGAGACCTGGATGTTCTGATCAAAAACATTCGGGATTGCTGCGATCTCTTTGTGCCAGACGTTGCATCGCCTTCCGATTCTGTTCAGCGGTAAGTTCCGCCGTGGGTCCTACGCGAGAGCACTGCTTACAGTGCCACAGCATCAAGACGATGATTGATAGCTTCTTCGAGCAATGGCATCGGATCTGGGCCTACGCTCAGCAACGTACGTCTCCAGCAATCCCGGCCAAATTTAATGAGCTGACGATGTTAGCGGGATATCGCCTCCCACCATACGTTCAGATTCTCGTCAGCCACACGAGGCTGTCACTCTACAGTAGCGTTGTCAACCACCCCACTGCTCCAGCTGAAGTCAGGAGGTTCTTCCGAGCAGCCGGTCTGTCCTCCGCGCTACATGTCATGCGTGCTGCCTTGCACGGCGAGAAGGAGTTAGCGTCGATGCCGAACAATACAGCTATCATGGTTGCCTTTGCCGCCTGTTTCACCCTACGCCTCCACAGCCTCGGAGCAGGCTTCAGCGCAAGTCTAGCTCCCAGCGTTCGCCACCTCATCGAAGAGACTGCTGGCGCACTGGAGCGTATTGGGACCACACCGCGTCACAGAGAGGGTGTCTCTGCAATACTCGGGAGATACCTGAGGGCCATGCTTGGGCGCAGCATTTCTGCAATGCCCGCACAAAAACACAACCACCGCCAGTCTATCCCTGAGGCTGTACCCCCAGTCTCAACCGATGCTATTCCTGGGGCACAGTTCCCTGCGGTTACGTCTTGGGCGGGGGAGACTACAGTCACGCCGCAACCGCTCCTTTTCTCGACGATGTCTGACATTGAGATCGACCAGGCTATCCAGAACGACCAGAACGCGTTGCAACCCTTTGATCTCAACCTCCCTATGGCTTATGCCAACAACCTGGACTGGATGGACTGGTTAGACTGGGCCGGGTGATGTTATTCGGAGGGGCCTTGGGATCGAGCAGAAATTGCGCAACAATGCACACACGCCGTCTCAATAGTTGCAGCGATCCGTCTCGGCCCCGCAGTGACACGTACCGGGCCTTCTCGTCATAGTGTCATGGTAGAGGGCTTACGTCAGTAGCCGAAGTGGCTATCTGGCATGCTAATGGTTGCGCAAACACGGCCTCCACTGCGCGCCTTGAACTTCGAGATGATTCTGCGCACAAGACTGGTCATACGCTCCGTTCCCGTTCCGGAACCCGCCTTCGCTACCCAAACACAATCAACCAAAACAACGAGAAGGCGGGATGGTACTCACGGATCCGGTAGCGGCTGGAGTTCTGGAATTTCCGTGGCGGCGACTACGGCGATTCGGTCGGCGGGTGCACGGTTACCGACGGGCCTTCCGCAACACAGCACAGGGGGATTCCGGAGCCGGGTGCTATGGCAAAGTTGCTTTTTCACGGAAATACGCAATTCTGACCTATCATGTCCCCGAGTATTCTCAAACCCCCTGCAATCAGGGTCCACAGTTTTTTACGCTAGCTTCCCGCTGCGAGGGGTGACACCACATCCTACCAGCCTCTGGCATGATTGTCGTACTTAGTCACCTTCACAGAAAAACTAGGATCGCCGTGGCGCCGAGGGAATGGCAGCTGCGACACAGAACCAATGGAAGACATTCCTTCAAGCTGATGGCAGTCCATTTTTGAGTAGGATTACGCCGGGGTGTGAATTTCTAGATGCAGATCAACGAGATCAGGGGCGATGACGGGTCCAACGTTCCTTTACCGGGGAATTTATCCGTTTAGGAGCGGGGCTTACGCTTGTACCCCCACCTGAGGCTGTAAGGTTTGTTTCCAGACGGCGGTGGAGTTGGTTCTGCGTGTTCTAACCTCAGGCGTAACCCCCGGCGCGTGAAGTTGCCCGTGGCTTCTCGTATTTACGAGTAGTTCCAACCTTGAGACGAATACCATCTCTACTTGGCATGTGAGGCTCCTCGGAGTCCGGTAATAACGAACGGTGTGTAGTTACCGCTACGGGAAGCCAGGATCCGGTCAAACGCTCTAAGTGTCCCAACGCGTCAGCCTGGGCGCCATTCACCTGACGGACATTTTAGATTTCGAGTCCAAATTGATCGGTCTCTAACAAACTTTCCGCATCCTGCGGAGTCACAAGGTCCTCATTGCATGAACAGGGAAACCCCCAAATCTACGTAGCCGCGATCCGGGTATCGTGCGCTTTTCTTGGTGATCGTCGGGAGGAGCCGAGCTTGTCTACTGGTGGGCTGGACCGGAATGGCCGCGCCGCCGTCAATCAGGATTTTCGGTCCCTCGACACTAGCCAAACTATCCGGCGCTGTACCAAAAAACTTACGCGGACACAATTACTCTTTACGTACCATCTACACGTGAACGGTCTCGCTACCAGCCATTTATGTGAGACAACGACTGTTACCTTGGCCCAAACGTCAAAGTTTATCAAAACAATAATAGGGAGTGCGAGCATCAAAGGTCAACGCCAAACCTTTCCATTCACTTCTGGCGACGGGAACAGTGCGGGATGATATCCGTCAGGATAAACCCGACCAATGGATAGGCTTAGCGCATATTTCAAATGCCTGCCGCGAACCATTGATCGGCCGGCTGCTGCGGCCAACCTTCCATGGCCGCTATTCTAACGCCTTCGCGCCTCTTCCCCGCTGCTGCCCCCCGACGGCATCTCCACACTGACCGGAGAAGGGCCTACTTTCCCCTCGCCACACCGCCACCATGCGCCCCACCTGCCCTCAGATTAGGAGAGGCTAAGGTCGGAACAGACGAGCCGCTTTCCTCATCGTCCCTGGCGCCCGCTACCATCTCACACCAAGTCCAGGCACTTGGACGCCTATGAGGTCCGCAAGGAACGCCGACTGTGGCTCTGCGCAATGTTCCGGGCGCACAGAACGCTGCCAGCTCCGTCGATGCTCTGGATCTACGCAGGGCTGGCGGCTCGCGTCGCCGATGTGCTCGATGGTGGAGAGCGGCTCATGTTCAGGGCGGGCTGGTACCTCTCATTATCACGATGGGATATATGGCCCCCGGTTTTGTCTGCAATTTTCGTTTCTTGGAAGCATCGTGCCCGTCTTCTTTCTTCTGAGGTTCTGGCTTTCAGCCCTGCAAACAGGGTGCCTGGCCTTTATCTCGCTGTGTTTTCCCCGGTCCTTGTCTATCTTTTGGATCCCTGCTCAGTGTATTGCTAGACGTACCTGCGTCTTCGCTTTACTACTGCCAGCTTTCCAATCATTTCTGTGAATCTTTCTTCACTTCCGTTGTAGCCGAGCATCATCATGACAGAAGGCTATACGATTCATCTGGAAAAGGATGCCAGCTTCCTGAGAGAGATTTGGGTATGTCACGACCAAAGTACCTTTTCGAGTCAATGACTCACGCCCTTTGCTCAGGCATGGTTCGTCATCGGCCTCATAACCATTACGCTACGTTATGTTGTTCGCATCAGGACCGTGGGCTTGCGCGGCCTCGTTGGAGATGATTACATCACGATTCTTGTAAGTTGACGCCGGTCACGTCTTGGTTATATGCGGCTAATGCTCCGTTAGACATTGGGTTTCTACACAATGGGTGAGTTTCTCGAGACAACTGTGGGATAAGCCTTCGTCGGGGATCCACGTTGCTAATAACTGGACAGACGCTGTACTCGTCGATATAGTCTGTAAGTGACGCATTTCAAGGAACCCAGTTCTTGAAGGCATATCTGACCAAGTACTACAGACCACACGGGCGCAAACGCGGGTCTCACTCAAGCCATCGTGGACGAGCTTACGGAAGCACAAATCAAACAACTCGAATACGGCTCAGCATGCCAAACGGCTGCTTGGTATAGCTACACTGGTAAGCGGTTCTTCGCCCTCGCAAGGAACAGCGCTGACGCATCGCCACAGCTCTTATCTGGGCTATGAAGTTCACCATGCTCTTCTTCTAGTAAGTGGCCCCGTCGCTGCTGGCTGTCTTCGTGACAAATACTCACAGTAGTTGCAGCAAGCGCCTGACATTCGGCACTATGCAAAACCGCATGATCAAGTACCTCTTCTGGCTCTGCGGCGCCTCCTACTTGGCCGTCTTGTCGACCATCACCTTTGGCTGCTTCCCGTAAGTCCCATCCTCCCCCCACCCCCCTTATTCCCCGCCCACCACTTTAGCACAAAAAAAAAAAGGGCCCACCACAACTAACCCGCCCCTCCCACAGCTTCCAAGACAACTACCGCATCTCGCCCGTCCTGCCCCCGGCCAAATGCACCTTCAAAACCCAAAACCTCCTCGTCACCGTCACGCTCAACGTCATCACCGACGCCGCCATCCTGATCATCCCCATCCCCATGCTGTGGCGTCTGAAAGTCGCCACGGCCCGCAAGCTCGCCATCGCGGCGCTGCTGTCGTCGGGCATCTTCGTCATCGGCGCCGCCATCACGCGCGCCGCCCTCACCCTCGGCGAGGCCCCCTCGGCCCTCAACATCAACCGCTGGGGCGTCCGCGAGACCATCGTCGGCATCGTCACCGTCCAGCTGCCCGTGCTGCGCCCGCTGTTCGGCCGCGCCTTTTGGCGGCCCGGCTCGTACATGGGGAGTGCGGGCGGCGCGACGGGTGGGGAGAATACGACTGATGCAAGGACGGGGCATGGCGGGAGTAAGATGCATCATTCGAGGATTGGTGGTGGTGCCGGCGGTGGCGTGAAGAAGGGGTACGGTAACGGTGGCGGCGATGATGGTGCGATTGAGTTGCACAGCAATGCGAGCGATGTCGATGTCGAGCGCGCGAGCACGTGCAGCAAGGATCCGGCGTCGAGTATTACGATGGTCGAGTTGCTGGAGAGCGATCGGTATAAGCGTGAAGGCGGCGGTAAGCGTGGCAGCGGCGGCCAGCCGCAGGTTGGTTTGCAGCTGCAGCAGAGCCAGCAACAGCGTGAGTACAGGGTCAGTCGTGGTGCGAGCGTGTCGAGCGCGGATGGCAGCGAGGAGGGCTTCGCGAACCGCGGGCACGGGAGGCAAACGAGCCTAAGCCAGAATCGCGTGTTCGTCGAGACGACGTATGAGATTAGGACGGAGGAGAGGAGGGCCGGGCACGTTAGTCCTGGTGGCGATGGCGCGGCGGCGGGGGATTCAGGGTTCGATACGACGGTTACGGCGTTGAGGGGGTGGAGGAGGTGAGGGGTGGTTGGTGAGTGTGTGTGTGTGTGAAAAAAATATGGTTGGTTGGTTGGCTGTGAGTCTCGTTTTGATACGATGACTCCGTTTCCCCTTTGTGGTGATACCCTCTTACTTTTTTCTTCTCTTCTTTTTCTTTGTCTCTTGTCTTTCTTTTCACTTACTTTTCTCTTTTTGATGTATAATTAATGAGATAATTGTATTAATCTTAACGTATCTTTAACGTATAAAACTTCTTCCAACGTTGCATTGGGTGCGAGTGGCAGATGTGATAATTTTGACCTCTTCGCTGTCAAATTCTCTGAGATTTCTGGTAGGTCTGCTGGGGATTAGTCTACAGACCCCTCTCGCAGCCGATGGCTAGCGCGAAGAATAGTAGGGCTCTAGAATATAACGTAACTATACCCTAGCTCTACCTTAGAGAAATAACATATGTGGGTAGCTAAAGCTATCGTCCGGACGTGTATGTAGAGTTTTTAATTTGACATTCTCGTCCGGACGATAGCTTTAACATGAGCAAAAAAATAAATCCACGCTAGCCATCGACTGCGAGAGGGGGCCGTACTTTTTTGTGGGGAGCTTTCCTGATGGCAAAGATCTGCGGCTCTTGCTTACACATGCATATGTTCGACGTGTCACCAGCCTGCTTTATAATCCTAGCAATAGCATTGACATATGATTCGACGAAACCCAAGGCTGCCATGCAGTAATTGGGGGCTGTGCATGTTCCCGTCGTTTCTCAGCCCCGCCCTCGCGCCCATTTCAAAAACTTCCCATTCAGACTTGCAGAGCCTCGACGCACTACAACATGTCTTTTGGCTTCGGAGTTGGCGACTTCCTCGCCGCCGGTGAACGCTGTTTGAAACTACACCATGCTGTGTGCGAGGTGTCTCAAGATGCACCCGTGGAGTTACGCGGAATCCGAGACGAGCTGAGAGCCTTGTTGAATACCATATGGCTCCTCAACAACGACATCCAAGATTATGGTCCAGATCAGGAGAGAAATCTTAATGTTGTAGTTGATATCATGAGAAAAGTCAATGACACCCTCCTTGAGGTCCAAAGTCTCGCAGAAAAACATGGGTTACTACATGTTCCAGAAAAGGGAGGTGCCAGCAGACAGAGCCTCAAGGTCCAGTGGGGCAGTTTTATGCTTTCGAAGGAGTGGAGTACTGTTAATGAGCTGAGAGCAAAGGTATGAGTCGTATTCTGTGCTCAAATATCATACCTACTCACAAGATATCCACTGCGCCCAGCTGTTGAGCTGCAACAGATCTCTCAGCTCGCTGTTGCAGGTTCTGAGCAGATATTCCTGGTGGAAAATTGAGGCTCCAAAGCCAAAAGACGAAAGTACATCCCCAGAAAGGCTTCACCAGGAATCACAAAGGACTCAAACGGAGAGCAAAAATGCCATGGCACCTGGCTTCAGCACGAAGTCCGTTGAAGCATTGACCAAAGCCTTTATTGAAAATGCTCAATCTGGAGGACTGCCCTGGGATTCTATTGAAGTGGAGGACTGGCTTAAAGCTGCGAGGTGGTGGTTGCTCAAGGCAAGCAGCGAAAACATCCTTCTATTCTCACGCAGCAGCTAACTCGTTTAGCTTAGGCACAATCACAGCTATACCATGCCGAGCACCTTGAAACCACTCAATACAATCAGAGTCTTGTTGACCTTTTGAAATCCTCATGGATACTCACAGACGTCATCCCAACACCGCCGGGTTTCACGTCGGATCCTCAATATCAGATCTTCAAACGGCTGATGCAGGTAATATACCATTTTCACTTGTATTGTGCACTGTAGCTGACTCTTATCAGGCACTAGGGGCGGAGCACGACAAGCTTGCAGACATAGCCTTATCTGAGCCTAGTTTGGAGCAATTGTTGGCAACTGATTTGAGCATCTGGTGCTCTCCAACAGCTGTCGAGGAGCACATGCAAAGGCTTCAGAGATGGCTCTCCGCGCCAGATCCCTCCACGAATTACAGACGAGCTCTACAGCAACGACAAGATGGTACGGCTCTTTGGTTCTTCGAAAGCGACGAGTTCTCTCAATGGACATCCACCACGGACTCCAGACTCTGGCTCAGTGGTATTCCTGGCTGTGGCAAGACTGTTCTCAGCTCAGCCATCATCGAGAAATTGGAAATGGACTCCTCCCACACCGTCCTCTATTTCTTTTTCGATTTTTCCGATGCGGAGAAACGATCCTTGGAGGGTATGCTACGCTCTCTGATCAATCAATTGTATAAGATCCGCGAGAGCACTCGGGTCCACTTGGACTTGTTGTTCTCAATGTGTCAAGAAGACCCCAGAGAACAGCCCAGCATTGAAGCTCTGTGTGATACCCTCACACATATGATTCGGCACACGGACGAGGTTTACATCATTATTGATGCTCTTGACGAATGCGAAACCGAAACAAATGCCGGGCACAGGGACATACTTTCCTGGGTAAAGGGGTTGAATTTGGCTCTGGAAAGTAGTCGCATTCTTGTCACAAGCCGCAACCAGGAGAGTCCAGGAGCAGCTTTGGAGGGTTGGATACATGCGGAGCACAGTCTTCACAAAACGCATGAATTCGTAGCAGCCGACATACGGAAATATATTCATGCGAGACTAAGAGATGACAACAGTTTTGTCCAGTGGCGATTCATGCCAGATATCCGGGAGCATATTGAGACAGTCTTGACAAGAAAGGCTGATGGACTGTGAGTAAATCCCAGTTTCTCGATTGGATGAGATAGGTGCTGATTAGCTCTAGATTTCGCTGGGCAAGTCTACAGCTGGATGCTCTGGGCAAGATCAATGAGTATGGCGCTCTACAGGAAGCACTGGAATCCCTGCCGCCAACATTGGACGAGACATACCAACGAATTCTTGAGGAAATCCAACCTAATTATAGGCGTCGCACCCTCACACTATTACAATGGCTGGTATTCTCGGCGCGTCCCCTGACAGTTCCAGAGCTTGCCGAGGCCTTAGCCTTGGAAACTGAAGATGAACCAAGACGATATCCATCAGATCAGACATTATCTCTGAGCCAGATCCAAAAATACTGCTCCCCCCTCATCGAGATTGGCCCATCTGACACAATCCGGCTTGCACATTTTACCGTCAAAGAGTATCTGACCTCAGACCGGCTTGACAACGAAATCCAGCCACACTTTACGGAACGGGTTGCTAGGGCACAGATTGCAAAATCTTGCTTGGGATACTTGATCCAACTGGATAAAGATGATATTCCACAGAGCCTCCGTGAGAACTTTCCTCTGGCGAGCTATGCGTCAAGATACTGGATGAGCCATGCTTCTGCCGCCGAGGAGTGGGACGTTGAAGTGAGCGGATTTTGCGGGGAACTCCTACTCAAGCCCAAGGCGTTCAAGAATGCCTACCGGCTCTACAGCCTGGATCGGCCTTGGAGGAATACACATACGACACCGATACTCGAAGAGGACACACCGACGCCGCTGTATTATGCCTCGTTGATAGGCCTATCACGGACGACAAGTCTTCTCTTGAAAGCTGGAGAAGATGTTAATCTTCTCGGTGGAGTGTACGGTACTCCCTTGCATGCCGCCTCCCGAAATGGACATGCCGGCGTCGCTGAGGCGCTTATTGCAGCTGGTGCAGACGTGAACGCCACAAACACGACCAATTTTACCCCTCTGCAGTATGCTATAATGAGACAACGTATGGATACTGTCAAGCTGCTTATTCGGTCTGGTGCAAATACCAACAGACTTGCAAATGAGCTGTCTACGAAGTCCTCGAAGACAGTCGCGAGGAAAAAAGAGGACTTACGCAACGAAACAGAATCTCATTTTACTTTCACCGACGCGAGCACATTTCCAGAATCCGAAATTGAATCAATGAGATCAGGCCAGGCGGAAGATGCTCAAGAATTCCACTTACGAGCTACTGCATCAGCTGTACGTCGTGTTCAGACACTAAGGCACGGACTCGGGACTCTCAGCGAAACAAATATCACTAGCGAACGTACAGATTACGGAACAGAGCTAGGTCCAGGAGAATCCTCGACAGATGCAACAAGCTTGTATACTTCAGCAGGAAATGGTCTCGCGGTACTTGGTTCTGACGAGGACGACAAGACGTACTACTCAGGAGGCTCCGGTGTCTCGAATTCCAAAATCAATGAGTTCATCGTTGAATTTGCCGACGAATTGTTGGACAAAGTGCGACCTGAAAACCCGGACCAGCGCTCCAGGGACAGAGTTAAAAAGGTACTTCCTGATCTTTTGAAGGCCTTTGCGCTCAAACTGGGTCAAAATTCCGAGGAGAAGATGCATCGTGATATCATTCTGTTCACACACAAGTACAGAGGGTAAGAGTGTCCATTTTTCATAGGTTTGGCTTATTTTTATCTGAACGTGGAGCTAAAATATTCAAATCTCAAGGAAAATCGCTGCTCATTTTGAGGAATCTTTCGGCGCTCAAGAAGATCAAGTTCAAGACGGTCAAAAACGAGCTTCGGAAGCTATACCAACACAGCTACGAGAAGAGAGAACCAGTAATTGGCTTGAGACCCTGGCTGATACCGATCAATACGATCCTCTGATCCCTTCGGGTATCGAAGACGGTGAGGGTCACGGTCTCAAAACGGACATCTATAACGAGACTTTCCTGAATGAACACAGCGATAGCGATAACGACGAGGACACGGTTCCAAACCATAACGTTTACCGCGACTTCGTTATCAGCACGGCAGCATATCAATGGCTTCTTGCGGAATTGAACAAAGAGATCCTATTGGAATCAGAGGGATGTGGGACAATGGAGTCTATCAGACACACGATCATTTCCTCTCTACGTCTTTCACGGATAATCAGCGCAAACAGACCTGTTGAAACCCGCCAGCTGACATTCGAAATCGCATGGGACCTGAGCACTTATCTAGAGGAGCAGCGGTTTCTTGAACCCCCCAAGAGGGCGACCACAGTCAATAAGCTTATGGATCCCTCGAGGGCGATCGAGAAAGCCATTACCGTTACAGGCTCAGCAAAAGATGCCCAAGTTTTGACAACCGAGCAATATTTGAAACAAACTTGGCCCACCACTGGAGAATGGATCTTGAAGGTTGTCATGGATGCTGTGGCCTTGGGGCATGGCCAAAGAGTTTCATGTAAGTCTTGTTTTGCTTATTGTTTCGTGTACTGATCTGCTTCAATAGACACAACGCCCGATAACACAAGACTTACTGCGTGGATGGACGCCAGAAAGTTCTTTGTGCAAACCTGCGGCACTGGACCGTCTCTGGCTGAGGTTGGACAACAAATTGCTTGGCTCAGCACTGCTCTTCGCCCTTCACCCTACCGCTATGGCATCGCATCATGTACACCATTTGTCCAAAATTTCCATCTCGACCCTATTCAAGCGAATAATGTCCTCAGCTTTTGCTGCAGTATTGACTTCAGCACCTCAAATCTACTCCAAGCGCCTATGCCCGCGAAAGGACAATGCTGGCACAATCTGTTCCGCAATCCAGTGCTGGTAGAAGGGTTTCCTATTCCCCGAAGGTCGTCCTCCGACACCGGACTCGAGATACCCTTGAATGTCATGGCGGCGCTGGCCGACACGGATTACGTTACGGAATTCAACGGAAAACCTTTCATCAAGGGATTCTCAACCATGTTGGTGCCAACCATGATGGCAAGTGATATCTTGGTCTGGCATCTGCTCTACGCAAAGGATCGAGAGCGAATCTCTTATTGGGATGTGACGGTACCCCACCTGGCTGTTGGAAAGGCTGCATTGGAATCGAAAAGACATGTTGTCGGATGGTGCTCTGAAGCAAAGCTGTTGGCTGGTAAGCCTTATTGCATGTTCTTTGCGTGGATAAATACTAAGAGAGATATTTACAGGAACAAGACATGCGAATTATTCTCTGAAGGCAGCCGACCTTCCAAGACCCAGTCGAGACTGCTTACTAGACAGAGCCACCATATCTGGTGGATATAAAGTAACCGCAGCATTCAGCTTTGCACTTGGTCAAGCTCACAAACCTGTTCGAGTAGAGCTTTCTGGTTACTTGGACCAACTCGCTTGGGCTCATGAGACTTTTGTAGTCTTCTGGGACGAGAACGAAAAAAGAGGTTGGTTTGTTAATGGAACAACTGCGCTTTTGCACATCGTACGAACGCTTCTACAACACAAATGCTCCGGGCCGTTCAAATCCACCATTTTGCTGGAGCCAAATCAGATTCCCGAAGCTTCAGATGAGAACAAGTTCGGCACAGATGCGGCTCTGGAAGTCTTATGCGATGTGTCTAATCGAATTCGACCAGTTCAGCTCGATGACATCAAAATCGAGAAGAAGACTGTCCAGGAGGCGGGCGGTATACCAAAGGAAACGACTGAAAAAAAGGAGATCCATACAACCTTTCAAGACGTTGTGCAGAGAACCTGCAAAGTGTTGGAGCAGATGGTGGACCAACAAAACCCAGCAGATCGGAACGGTTTCAGCATGAAATGCAGAGCGCGGAAGCATATTGATGGGTGGGATTTCGAAAGTTTCCTGGACAGAAGAACGTCATACCCCAGTGTCGCTACGTTTGAGGCAATGGGGCACGGATGGGTTGACTTCATCGGTGGACTCGGAGCAGTTACTCTGTTCGCAAAAGGCTTCGGTGAGATAATCGAACCAGCCCACGCAGAAAGATTCTGCTCTCGCTGGACAAAATTGCCAAAAGAACGGTACTATCTCGCGGCTTGTTGTTCTGACCTCATCAAAGCCACGAAATCGGCAGATGCAGCGAAGCTTTGCAAGAGCGTCAACTTCTCCGAGCTCTGTTCCTGTACGGACAAAGGCCACGTGGAACAGCTCGCCTTACCTGCGCAGTCCCTTAAAGTGCCCAAAGGATGCACTCTATTACCCCACGGAAGCACTGTATCTCTACATTCTCATGGCGCGATGATATTTGCCCACAACATCGCCTTGAAATGGAGATGGAAAAGCCCTGCAAGAGGTATTTTGGAGGATCCAGGACCATCCGATGTCTCCGAACCTCTCTTCGATGATAGCGCTCTTGGCTCTAGCCAGGTTCGTTCATCACACATCGAAACCGCCAGCGAATCGAGCCAGGAACATGAGCAGCCTCCAGACGAAAGATCGACCACTGATCATTCACCAATTCCGGATCCAGCGCTCGGGAAGAGTATAGAACCAGAGCAATTTCAGAGCGAAGAACCACAGACAGTCGTCACTCAGGACGTTCCCTCGGGAATAGGCGAACAAGGCCCACAAGATGAACAAAATGTGTCCACCGAACCTCTTCAACCTCTTCAACGGACTTCAAGAGATCAATCGTCTCCTAGAGAGACATCTACAGAAGTGAGGACCGAGACTCGAGCATCAAGTAATCACTCGAAGAAAAGAGGAAAACATCGGGTGAGGAAGCGATTTCAGAAGGTTTTCAAGAAGGAATATTGGGACCGCTTTCTGCATCGAAAGTCTGGGTGACGCATTCTCTGTCGAATGCAAGAGAATCGAGATGCATCGAGGAATGCAATTCCTCGATTTTGAGGAAAGACCCGGGAAAGTCACGAAGCGAATAAGGGCAAAGTAAAGAGATGTAATAGAAGCAGTGTCTCAAACCTTGTTGCAATTTTTTCCGAACATCATGAACTGAGTTTTTGGTTTAGACTCGCTGATAAAATATACTCTTCCCATACTTCCGGCGGTACCAAATGGGCTAAATTCATAAAACAGTAACCCTGCTCCATGTCACCATTTCAGTCATCAATGACCCACTTTTTCTTTTGTGAAAAGTAGGCTGCAACAAGCTGATCCGATTCAGGATTCAGTCCGAGCTACCAAAGAGCTTCAAGCTAGCGAGCGTTTCTTGATGAAAAGCCCTGCAGCAGTGCTCACAATAGAGCAGACCAGCGAAATGGCTTTTTACAGTCCTTAGCTTAAAAGCTAAAACACAAGATGGAAGGCAAAATGCATAACTTACTATAATTCCTTTGAATCCTTTCACGTACAGGGCAACCACAACACCCTTCAGTCTGACATCGAGCTTCTGAACAAATTCAATGGTCTCGAGGCATCTGCGGATGAACTTGTCCCGGTTCCCGACGTCAATCTCCGTTGTCGTCCGCAAGCCGTACCGCAGTGTAGCCTGGAGCATCGCAGGGCTTAGCGAAATGCCGATGACTGAGCCGATAGAGGACGAAAGGATAATACTAGAGCTGCCAATCGCTCTGAGCGGTTGCAGCAAGGAAGCGCTAAGAGCGATGAACAGCGCGGAACTGGCAGCACCGGTCCCGAATTCACTAAATTATCTCAAAATCAGTGATCGCTTTGCAGCGTCGATATGAGAATTGATTCATTAACTTACCCAGGCACGATATATAGGCTTTCCCAAAACCCCGTTGACCCGTTCCAGCGCATCAGCATCAAGAGATATCCGACAGACGTGCACGTGGTGCCGAGGGTAATAATAGCCTTATAATTGCCGTGCCGCTTAATCAAGGCACCACTCAATAGCTGACTGACAGTATTCCCCAGCACAGCAGGAACCAGATGCGCGCCAGCCTCAGTCGCCGTGGCTGTGGCAGCGCCGCCACTGCCAGTGATCTGGAAGTACAGCGGCACCGTGACCATCATGCTGGACTGGGCGGCCATCTGCACGACCGTGACGACGGAGCTGAGGACGAAGTCGGGCTTGTGGAAGAGGGGGAGCGGGAGGACCGGCTCCTTCGCGCGGGCCTCGGCTTTGGCGAAGAGGAAGCCGCTGATGACGTCGGCGGTGAGGAGGAGGTAGATGAGCGGGTGGGACCAGGGCACTTGTTTGCCGCCGAGCTCGAGGGGCAGGAGCAGGAGGAGGGTGGTGGAGATGAGGGCGGCTGAGCCGGCGACGTCGATGCGGGAGAGTTTGTCTTTCGTGGGTTGGTCGGAGTTTGTGGAGGATTCAGGGATGTTTGCGAGTATGATGAACCAGGCAAGAGCCGAGGCGATGGCCATCATGGGGACTTGGATCAGGAATGACCTGAGGCGGCTTTAGTCAAGGAGGACTGGATAGGCATGAGTCGATTCTACTGAACCCTCTCGCAGCCCATGACTATCGCGAAGAATAACAGGGCTCCCTAGCTCTACCCTAGAAAAATAACATATATGGGGAGCTGATTGCGCTTATACAGATGATGTGATAGGCTGGGTTCACTGGCACCTGCTGTTTTAGCAATCAACAGGACACGGAAAAATATATTCACGCTGGTGGGCGGCTGCGACGCCTGTCCATAGAAGGTTAGATGATAATGAAACTTACTGAGTCATTACCCAAGCCATCGTGGCTGTGACAGTTCTCTACCTTGGCAATCCAGGACATACGCTTCTTAATGATACTTTGGTCCGTGCATGAGCTTGTTAAGACTACAGCTTATAGATTCAACTCAAGGCAAGACCATGGTATTCTTCATCCAAATGAATGGTATGTACCATCTATGAACGCCGCCTACTAAAAATAATACCTATCAAACGTCGACCAAAAAGACCACTATATACCCGCCGCGCCAACCGGCAGTCCATTACCAAATTCTCCCCACCCCTTGCCCAAAGTTTTTTTTATCGACGTCCACCAGGCTCCATACCCCCATCCATGCATCCAGATGAACAACAAACTTTACTACTACTTGACTACGATTGAGTGGCTATAAGGTATAGTGAAAGAGAAAAAAAAAAGAGAAATGAAAGCGCACATCCAAAACGCCGCGCTTCGAAACCAGCTGAGAGAACAAAAAGAAGAGGGAGGAGAGAATGAGAAGTAAAGACAAAAAAAAAAAGGAAAATGCAAATGAAAGACAAAAACCACTGTGTCTACCACACAGCCGGGGTATCAGATCTACACACCACACCCACTCCGATACGTCACTTTCTTCTCCAACCAACCACCAACCTGCAACCTCCAACCCAACGCAAACAAGGAATAATTCTTTTTCACCACCACCATCTCCTCTTCCTCACTCACACCTCCACTAATCAATCACTCCAACCACAAAAACCACCTCACCCCCCTCCCAACCCCCCTCACAGCCGCCAACCCGGTCCTAACCACAACAACCACCAACCAAACCCACCACATAACGCCCAAAACACACCACTCCAACAACATCCACCCAAACCTCCTCACCCACCTCATCCTCCTCCTCCGCGCCCTCATCATCGCATCGACGCGATCCGCCACCGCTTTCACCGCCAACGTCGCGCCGCTCGTGACCTCGCGCGTAAACGCGTCCGCATCGTCCGCGCACGCGTGGCAGCGCGGCGTGAGGCGGTCGCCGAGCTCGATGCGCAGGCGCTCGCAGCGCAGGTGCAGCTCGCGGACCTGTTCCGCGCGGAAGCGGTCCATGGCGCGGGCCAGCGCGGCCGCGCCGGCCTCGAGGTCGGAAGCGAGGATGCGCGCGGCGAGGACGTGCTGTTCTTTCCGGGCGACGGTGGGGATGAGGGCCGTGTGTTTGCGGATTTCTTCGATGTTGGAGGGATCTGCGTCGGCGTCGTCGTCGGTTTCTGCTGCGATTTCGGCGACGCGGAGGAGGAAAGGAGGGGGTGTGTCCGGGACGGTGTGGGCGCGGCGGGCGAGCTCGGCGGCTTTGATGCCCGAGCAGAGGAGGAGGGCTTGGATGCGGGCGATGTCGGTGCGCTTGTTGGCCATGATGGAGGCGGCGCAGGGATGGTGGGTTGCCGACGCGCGGCGTTGGGTGTCCTCGTCGGTGATGCTCCAGTGGCGCTGTGGTGAGGGACGGGCGGGTGATCGGTCGCTGTACTTGCGCTCAACGGGCAGGCGAGAGAGTTCGGATGGGGGAAACCCGGCGCGTCCGGCTCCGCCTGGCAGTTCCAAGAGTTTGGTCATGCGGCGACGGACGGCGGATGGGGAGCGCGAATGGGAATGAGAGACAGGACCTTCGGAACGAGCTCGAACACCATTGCTCACGTGCTGGACTTGGAGGGCGCCGGGAGATGATGACCGGCTAACATTGGTGTCGAGACGTGGCGGGGCCAGACGATCAAAGCGCGACGGTCGAGTACGTCCACGTCGAGTTTCTGATGGGGCAGTGGATGGATCACGCTTCTGATCCTGTGAGGCCGCAGACTTGAAGGTTGGTAGCGCATAGCCTTGTCGCCGGTCCGACACATCAGACGCATCCGAGAGCCCTGTATCTGTCCCGGTCCGTGAGATAGGTTTAGGCCGACGCTTCACGACGCTCTTGGACATATCGTCGTCCGTGTCTGACGTAGATGACATCTCGCCATCAGAGGACGAGTCCTCATCTGCCTCTTCCGGTGGCTTGTCCTTCTTGAAGATAAACTTCCTCGCTTTTGATCCTTCTCGTCCCACATCCTTGAAGAACCTGCTAACGGCCGAACTTGGCTCCTTCCCTTCTTTGCGACCTCTGCTTACCTTGCCCTCTTGGATGGACGCGAGGCTACTCAAGCTATCAGTCGTCTTGTGCCTTTTCAGCAAAGCAGGCCTGGACAACGAGTTTGAACGACGAGGCAGATCGATGCTCAGGCGACTGGGATCAATAGATTCTCCACTGGGCTGCTTGTTGCTGAGTGGGTCAGGGGCAAAGTCCAGAGCCTCCACCTTGTGAGCCTTTGCACTCCCTTCGGAACGGAAGAATGGCAATTTCGATCTCTTCGACTTGGTACGATCCGGAGAGGCTACGCGACTTCCTGGCGAGGATGCACCGAAGCTGAAGGTCTTCGAGAGGGGGGTATTGGGGACTGAAGAATCCAGGCCGTCCATAGAAGGACGCGATTCGGTAGGATTGCTCGACATCAGGGTCAGGCGCTTAGTCGCTCTCTTTGCTCCGGCCCTGGGGTCAACATCACTCTCAGTCTCGCTCATCACCCGGTGCGGTGCTGGTCTGCCTTGGTTAGCACCCCAATGCTTCTCCGGAGAGCTCATGATCGGGGACAGTCCATTCTCTGCTCGAGCATCATCTTCCAGCAATGTCTTCATGTGACGTTCCAGAGGACCTATATTCTCATCCTGAGTGCTCAGTCTGCGATCGTGCTTCTTCCGCCGTTCGCTCATATCATCGTCGCTCGACGAGAGGCCGGAAGAACTGCTTGAGCGGTTTCGAGATATCCAGCCAAGTCGCTTTCCACGTTCGGGGCTATCTTCTCGGTGAGTGTGAAGGAAGTGACGCTTCTTACGACCTCTGTGGCTCTCGGCTTCGCTGGAGTAGTTGGATCGAGGTTCCGAGAGCGGACCGCCGCCAGCCATCGAGCCTGCAGTGCTCACACGTCGTCTGTCCATGCTAGGTCTGCCCTGATCTTTGCTCAGACGAGGATTGAATAGACTTGTTGAACGTGGCGAAGGGAAAATCCTGTTGCCATTTCTGTCTTCAATCAGACTTTTGTGATTGTCTTGCTCGAGCCACGCTGCATCGGCCAAAAATTCGGTTGGTAAGGTGAACCAATCCATACGGGGGCGTTTTTGCTTTCCCAACAGGATGCTAGGCTTCTTGCCATCTTGAGGCTGTTCGTGGCTGCCCTGGAACATGGGGTCTGGTATGAACGGAGGCAGAAGAACTTTGTCCTCTTGTCGATAGTTTTGTTGGAATCTTGCTTTTTCCACATTGTCAAGCCACACCTTCACTCTATCCACGTCTTCAAAATCGACAACATCGGGCTGAAGCTGCCTTCGTTCGCGGGCTCGAAGTTTCCTGTTGCGGATGAACTGCAGAGGATTGTATCGTCGACCAAGGGGATCCGGACCTGTGCGTGAAAGGGTTTTTCTTAACTCTACGTTCGGGCTGCCGGGGGAACTGAACGCACTGTAAGTGTAGCTGGCTTCACTGTCTGGTTTGAGCGGCGGAAGATGTTGCAGTAATCGACGGTACTCTGCTCCCAGTTCCACATAAGTTTTTGCTTTTTCTGCCCGGGCCAGAGTTGCTGCTGTGAAGGTATAGTTATGTTGTGGTCCGAGATTGTTGTCCAAGACTGCATTGGGGCTTGATATGGAGACATGTCGGGAAGCAGATGTGCTCAACCGACCGCCGCCTGGGGATATGTTGCGCGATACGCGGCGCTGTTGTTGCAGATGCTGCTTGAGGCTCCCTCCAATCCCATAGTCATAGAAGCTTCCTTGCATGGGCGTGTTTGGAATGCCCATGCCCGAAGATGTTGCTCTTCTACTACGAGGTATGGAGGGCGCAATGAGCTGGCCATGTCCCAAATTCCGCCTTCTACTTTCACTCAGATTCAAAGCCATGTGGATAATTTGTGCCGGGTCGATACCAGCATTTGCTGGCGACAACTCGTTTTCCCCATATTCGTGCGCGCCATCCACATCGATGCCCAGCCCAGGCCTAGCTTGCGCCTTATGATTCTCTGGAGTCCGCGCCCCGAATTCCTCGGGCGCATGGCCGTTACCGGACGGCAGCGCAAGATCCGTATCGCCGCTGAGCGGGCGACTCCGGGCGGACGACCCCCTGCTAAATGCCCTGTGGGACCCGTCGTGAGACGAGGGGCTCTTGCTCTTGTGCCGACTTCCCGAGCGCGCCGCCTCTTCTATCTCCTCGGCGTGGGTTTCCCGAGAGCGACGGCGCGCGCTGCTGGAGCCAGGCAGGGCGGCGTCCAGGAGGAAGCCTCCAGCTCGCCTAGGCAGGCGGCGGCGACTCCTGTCGCGCTCTGCTAATTCGGCGCCCAGCAGCCCGTGCGCCCTTGTATTGTCGGTCTCGGCGCCGCCGTGTTGCGCAGCAGAGGCGGAGGCGTCGACACCGCCGCGCTGCAGCAGCTTCCGCCTCTTGCTCGTTGTGGTGCTCGTGTCGGCATGGTCGTTGCGGTGGTGGGGGTCGTGGGCGGAGTGCAGGGTGGCGGAGGAGGACTGTGAGGGCTGCGATGAGGTCGAGTGTCGAGGATCACTCGGGGGCGTGGAGACGGCCGAGGCCATGTCGTCGGGGGAGTGGTGCTACCGCTGGTTCGCGGCAGGAGGGCGGACGCGCCAGGCGCACATATCTCGTGGTTGCAGGCTGCTATTTTTTTTATTACTCGGCGGGGGATTCCGGTGCGGCGGGGGAGGAGCGGGAGGAGGAGAAGGAGGGCGGGAGCGTCCCAAGGATGCGACAGTAGCAGCAGCAGTGATATTGCGCAGAGGCCAGAGCCTTGAGCACCACGTAGCTGGGGCACGAGAGCGGGAGATGACGACGCTGCGCACCCACCCGGCAAATCAACAGCCCCATGTGATGCGATCGTCGTTGCCCTATGACCCCCAGTTTCCCCATCACGGAGCGCGGAAAAAAAATTCATGTAATCCCTGCACAGCTGAGTTTCGAAACTTACCCGCAGCTCAGGGACCTGCGACAGGCGCCACGCTCCACCCTGCCGTGCAACCCCACTGTTGATCCCTTCGCCGCCGCCGGCCAAAATGTGCCCGAGCACCACCTAACATGTCTTTGTTCGGCGGACCGCTGCCCGCCAATGCCCGCGAGTCGTCGCCCTACTACCGCTCCTCGAGCCTGCCTCTGCCCTCCAGCCCACCGCCAGTCCCGCACACCGACGATGACGCGCCTGTCTCGTCCATCGAGCGCGACCCCGACCAGGACGATGAGGCAGTGAATGCCGCCAACGACGACGAGTCGTCCGGGAGCGAGTACACCACCTCGGACAGCGAAGACAACCGCCCCCGGTTCCAAGGCAAATGGCAGACCTACCGCCGGCACATCCAGGAGGAGCGCGACCTCACCGAGTCGCTCGCGAAGCTACGCGCCGAGGACCTGGCCCTGCACCTCTACGACGCCCACGCCTTGAAGCGCCGCCTCCTCGCTGAAAAAGCTGCCAGGAGGGCCGCGGGCGAGGAGGCCGGGGACGCCGACGATGAAAGTGACGAAGATGACGGCCAATGGAAGCCTCCGAGAGCGTGGACTGCGTGGCCGCTGGAGCCGGAACACGTTCCCAGGCCTTACGAGCGCTTCACCATACTGCCGACGATCGATCCGGACGAGGAATTCACTTTTCGCCGGCCTGGACACGATCGGCAGAGGCCAATTCGGGACATCAAGGAGATTCTGGTGGGGTTGGTGCAGAAAAATGCGAAGGAGAGGTGGGACAAGAAAGAATGGGCGGATGAGACGGACCCGGAGGCTGGCGAGGAACGTTTGACTTCGCGCAGGAGCCCACACGAAGCAAATGGCGGCGCGACGGCAGATCGGATGGATATTGATGGACATGGGCCCAACCGCGGAGCTAGTGCACGTCGCGCAGCCACACCCACTGGTTCCCGACGGGAGTTCATCCTAGACGACGACAAGGCGTATGAAGCTCTCGGGCCGACCACTCGCTCCATCGTGAGCAAACTGAACGATGTACTCATGGCCGTCCACCAACGCGAATCTCGCGGCCGAGGTAGAAAATCTCAGAGAGAGACTGCAACCGCAACCGACACCGAAGCGTCCCGCTCTCGCAGCACGAAACGTCGAAAGAAGATGCAAAACGCCAGTGAAGGAGAAACCAAGGTCAAACGCCGTCGAGGCAGACCACCTAAGTCCGCTAGCCAAACCCCAGGGCCCGACTCGACGCCCTACGTCACCGAAGGCGAGGAGACGTCAGCTTCGGCGAAGAAGCGGGGACGAGGCCGCCCGAAAAAGTACGACAGGCTGCCCGGCGAGTCGTATTACATGGCCAGGAAGCGTCTCGCGGCAGCAGCCGGTCAGCTTCCAGGCAGCAATCCTTCAAGCCGAGCGCAAACCACCGAGCCCGAGCCCGATCGTGCCTCCTCCAGACCACCGACTCCGAACAATCCGTCCGCTGCTACCGCGGCGCTGCTCGCGCGGCCGCGCTCGAACAGCACGTCGTCGGAAGATGACAGCGACGGCCCGGAGACGGGGGGAAAGCAGCCGCTGCGTCGTGGTGGGAAGGCCCCGCCGCTGAAGAATTGGCGCGATGTCCTCGGCAAGGCATCGTCGCTCGGTGGCTTCAGCGAGGCTGCCATTGCTCGCGCGACGCGGCGCTGTGCGGAGCTGTTTGGCGAGGACAGGACGGTTCGGACGGCTGAGAGTCAAGTTACTGTAGAAGCGCCTGCAGAGGAAGTTCAACAGGATCAAGGTGTTGCAGAGGAAGAACCTACCGCGGAAGAAGACGCCGGGGAAGGACCTTCTGCCCCGAGGCCGCCTCGAGTTGAAGCTCCACAAGCTGAGGAGGAGCCTTCAGAGGAAGAGGCTGGTCAGCCGGGTGACACCGACTGGGCGGACGACGAAGAGGATGGAGACGGAAACAAGCGCCCGGCTTGGGATGGGTCTAGTTTGGCATGTCCTCATTCCGATTGTGAGAGATACACCGAACCATATGCAAAACTTTGGCGGTTGCGTGAGCATGTCAAGAAGAAGCACAAGTACACCCTTGATGCTCCCCGCATCAATTCGAAGAAGTGGAAGAAGTGGATCATGGAGAAAGAAAAGAGCAAGTCCGCGAAACCTAAGCGTAAAGGAAAGGAAAAGGCAAAGTAAGTCGTGTTAAGAATAGCATTTAGCATTGTAATGCACCATTTCGAATCCATGGCTGCTGAGCGCTCTAGTATTTTCACGAATCTCTGTCTACTCTTTCTCCGTTGCTATCTAATCCGACAGTATGACGGCCTCGGCTCCATCGCTCGAGCTGAACGTGAAGCACTCGAGTTTCCTCCACTTGTAGAATTACCCGGTACCTGCCATAGCCACGGCCTCGCCATTAGCGAAACACGCCTTGTATTATTCCAGTGCTGGCTCTCCCAATCCCTACGCACAGCATTACCAAAAACAAACAGATAAACGACTGCCGCGACTAGGAGGAGTTTGAGTACCGCGTAGACAGCACCGCGACCTCTACCAACCACTCGCGCAGAAACCGCTCGAGAACTCAAAGCGCCAACGACCTTCCGATACACTGTCAAGACAGTCAGCAACGACGCCGGACGCACCCCTTTAGAGAAAACTTACCCTTCAAAAGCAACCTCCGCACCCAACGCGGAACCGACGGACATCCACCACCACTCGCCCTCCACCACCACAACACCGCCACCGCCTCGACCACCACCAGCGCCACCGCGTACGCATTCGCCAACGCGCGCCAGACCATCTCCGCCGCCCCCGGCGGACACGCCTGCCACCTCTGCCGCGCAACACTCTCCAACACCATCCCGGCGATCACGCATCCGTACACCACCGCCAGCGACGGGCCCGCCTTCTGCCATCCCCGCACGAGCAGCAGCAATGCGTCCTGCCCTAGCAACGCCACCACGACGGCGCGGTCCCATGATTCAACTAGTATGTCGGCGGTGCGACTGGACAGGAAGGTGGTGACGGGGGTGAGGTAGACGGTGCGGTAGGCGGTGAACACGAGATTAAAGACGGCGAAGGGCAGGGTGGTGAAGACGGCGTACCACGGGCGGACGAAGAGGGCGAGGCTGGCGAATGCGGCGGTGGGCGGAGCGAGCGTGACGAGGAGGTGGATGGCGGGGGGCGAGGGAGCGTCGTGGAAGGAGGCGTGGAGGACGAGGGCGGGGCCGAGGAAGAGAGTGGAGAGGAGGAGGGTGAGTGGGAGGGGGAGGGGGGGCGTGTGGTTAGTGCTGGGGACGGTGAGGAGGAGGGTGAGGGTGGTGGGGTTGGGGGCGCGGAGGAAGAGGTAGAGCGGGCGGAGGAGGGGGAGGGAAGGGTTTTGGATGTAGGGGGAGAGGTGGGTGGTTGTTAGGCGGCGAAGGTGGTCGAGGAAGGTGGTTGTGAGGGGCGTCGCCATGGTCGTGATGCTTGATGGGGACGATGGGACGGTTTGTGGAGGCGCGTGGCTTGTGTCCTGCGTAGACTTTGGAGTAGGCGTCTGTCTTTGTTCTTGGAGCTTGGCTTTTCATTGTCGGTTATTGTTCTCTTCCGCATTGGGAAGGCAATTCCACGGTGGATAACAAAAGGAACTCGGTTTCTCAACATTTTCACAAGAAAGGTGGTTTTGCTCGCGCGGATGGTCAAATCCATTGGCTGCACATATTTATGCAGGTTTGCAAATTACGTCTTCGTCTGGACGTTGGTTTAACTTGCTCATATATTATAAGGCCGTTCGTGTGGCACAGAGGGCGAGCTCAGATTTCTGCTGCTCACCGTAATGTGATGTCAAACGCTGCTACGGCACATTAGCCAGTCAGACGAGATCCCCACATGGGCTGATCAGTGGAGTTTTCACGATCGAAGTCGCAGATGAACGGGTGGGGAACAGTGCACATCGATGCAAGACTGACGCGCGTCGCCATTGACAACGCAGTAATCACTTCAGCCTTCCGCGAAAGCGATTCTGCGACTTTGTACATGTGGTGGTGTTATTTCCGTCCGGTTTTTCTGGGGTTCGGTGCGGTGCTAGAGGATCGGCCGAGTAATGGACCGCAGACGTGGCTGGTGCAAGAGGCGCAGAGCGGAACAGCGACAATTAAAACGGACGTAGACGAGGCCGAAGCAGAGCATCCTAAGCTTCTTGCGAGAGACCGAGGCCGAGACTGGCAATGTCCGATGCAGCCGCGACCCCGTCTCACCACCGGGGCCTGAGATCGCTTGGTGTGTAATAAACGAAAGCTCATTGGCTGGGGCCATCGGGGTAGGCGCATTCACTTCTGGAACTTGGAGGTAGTTGCGCGACCGAGCGTAGTACGGCCATTTTTTCTCTTTTATTATAAAGCTGCTCTCAGCCTTACATCGCCATCCTTCCTTCAGCTTCGCGCTTCTAATATCCTTTGTTCGTTTGCGTTGTGCTCTTACCCTCCTCCAACGGAACCACCACCGAGGCAGCCGGTACCTCGTCAACCAAGACCCCCAACTCCGCCACACTTCGAACTTGAAGCTCTCCTCCAGACCTTCTCCTTACTCCCACCTCGAGCCTCCCCGGTAATTCCGCCAAACGATCCCGTCAATCGCTCGTCGCCACCATGTCTCGTGAGGCACTCCTCCCCAAGCCGGGCGCCTATCTCACCTTCCCCGCCTCTGAGTCGCAACGCCACCCGGAAAAGCACTCTGACAACAACGCCGTGATACGCGACACCATCATCGGTTTCGCCGATGGGTTGACCGTCCCCTTCGCTCTGACTGCTGGCTTGTCCTCGTAAGTGCTGCTCTTCTTTTTCCCCCCTGTCGTATGCCCTCACGTTACGCCAAGCTCGGATTGCCCGTGACGGCCAAGGCTCTTTCTTACATCATGGATTTCCACGGCATGGCAGTCGGAAATATTGGAGGAGCATCCAAAGTGCTGTTTGCGTATGAATATCCGAGCAACCCGGCCAGGAGCTTCAATTTTCTTTATGATATTGCAATCTTCGAATTCCCGACTTTCAAGATGCGTGCGCTCCTCTTTGCCATGTGTCTTCCTCCTTCTTTTTTCTTCCTTTTTTCTTGAATTTAATTGAAAGCTAACTTTTCAAAGCATTGGTTCCACTCGGCTGGTGATCTTGGGCGGTCTTGCCGAGCTCTTCAGCGGTGCCATCAGCATGGGCCTGGGCGCGTATTTGGCCGCAGTGACGGAGAGCAAGACGTACCAAGTCGAAGAGGCACGGGAGAGACGCGAGGTAGAGCAGATGCCGGAGGCTGAAGAGGAGGAGATTTACGAGATCTTCGACGAGTATAACATTTCAAGGGAGACAGTTCGTCCGGTAGTCGAGGCCCTGAGGCAGGACAAGGAGATGTGGGTCAAGGTAAGCTCTTCTCTTCTCTGAATTTTGTGGATACGCTCTGACTCGATATTAGTTCATGATGGACTTTGAACTCAAGCTTGAGAAGCCGGCACTGAACCGGGCGTGGATTTCAGCACTGGTAATGGGTCTGTCCTACTTCCTTGGTAAGTCTGGCTGCCCGGGATTATTTTTTTTAAGTTGTATGCTAACCGTGCTTAGGTGGACTGGTGCCGATGCTTCCGTACTTCTTCCTCAACAACATCCACCATGCGCTGTTTACCTCGATCGCCATCACTGTCGTTGTTCTGCTTATCTTCGGTTACGTCAAGGCAAGCGCGACTAGCTGCCCAAGGAAGACGTGTTGGTACAGCGCGTTCCAGACGCTGCTTGTTGGGGCACTAGCGGCGGCAACCAGTTACGCCATCGTACGCGGGGTGGACTCGATGAAAGCCGGTGAAGACTAGATCCCGGCATGATGCACGGTGCGAAGTCTGCCCTCATGAAATACACAGGCAGCTACGAAAAGCTCATGTTTCCACTCAAAATGGCGTTATGGTAGAAGTAATACGGAGAGCTAAAGGGAAAAAAAAAAATACTACATAGGCGATATCGGCGAGCGCGCCTCAAAAAGACCGAGGAATTGCACATGCTTCTCGGCCGACTAAACACTTCTTCTCGACTCAAATGCATACCCCACCATCCCCGTATATATTGCCGTGACCAGTAATCGTTGCGACATGGATGCAGCTTGAAAGTTGGCCCCTGCGTCGTCTCATCATTCCGCCGTCTTCCCACCTCACCTCTCTCCGCGTTCCAGCCAGGCTCCGGATCCCGCGTCACTCTGCTTCCGTCGGACCTCTCGGATATTTCCATCCGCGCTCCCGGCGGCAGCCAACGGCGGCAAGAGAACACCGAGTAGTGCGTGGCAGCCACGTGTTGGGCCGATCGGTGTTGAACGTTGCGACCGCGGTTTGGCGTGGCGTTTCGACGCGTCTGCCTGGGCGACTCTATCAAGCAATGCACGCACCGTATCCGCGTGCCCTGCTGCCAGATCCGGGCATCAATATCTGCGGCACAAGCAAGCAAGCTTACATCGGCGGCGAGGCTTAGCGGGTGGGCTAACCAGTTAAGCACCACGCAGCCCTACGGGTTTGCCGACCTTCCGACGCTTGAGACTGCGGACTGCGGCAGTGCCTGCTGACGGGTTGGTGTCACCATGATGATTGGACTGTTTGCCGGGTTCTGCCTCTCCCATTAGGTGTCATGCTTGCCAGGTTTGCCAGGCGGTCTGCTGATGCACTTACTCGTCCGCCTCGTGCCATCTGTTCACTGTGCTCCTGAACCACTTTCTCCTTCCCCTGATGCATCTTTCCTCTCCATCAACGCTATCTCTATTTCCTTCTAGTCACTCATTCCTGTCTAAAACATCTGAGTGAGACAATCAGCATGAGTGCGCTCAAGAACGTGGTCGAGCCCGCTTGTACGTCACACCCGGCACTGAGTTACCGTAGCACCGGCTCTGGCCAGGTGACCAGACACAAAACTTCGAGATTCTGATTGGAAACAGCCGTAGTACTTGCCTTCACCGCCGGTTCTCTGATTAACAGACGCCGCTCTATCCGTGCCGGCGACAGCGAGCTCCACGCACCATTACTCCCGCGCCGTGCCGCCTCTCCGGACAGCAATGCGCGCTTCCGCAACAACATAACCTCACGTTTTCTAGCCAAATTCCCCTTCTTAATAGAAATCTGGTACTGGAATCTTACCTACTGGTACGTAAGTCTTCTACGCAGATAGACTTTTATCTAATAGAAATAATAGGGTGTACCAACTCGCTCGCGCCCTAACGGCAACTATTATCCGCAACAATGAAGCCGTCTTCGCTCGCGCCGAAGCCCACGCTCTCGCCATTCTCTCCTTCGAGAAGCGCCTCCACTTCGCCATCGAGCTTCCCATTCAGAAATACATCCTGAACCACATGCCATGGCTCATGCCCATTCTTGCCAAAATCTACTATTCCCACATCACCGTGGGCGTCATCTTCCTCGTCTACATGTACGTCACCGCCATCCCGCATCCGACCCACAAATCCCCAATCTACCTCTACCCCACCACCATCCCGCTAACACCAAGCCAACAGCTACACCTACCTCCCACCCCCCCTCTTCCGCACCATCCGCCGCACCATCGCCGCCAACAACGCCATCGCCTTCCTCATCCTCACCCTCTACCGCTGCTCGCCGCCCCGCCTCCTCCCACCCTCCTACGGCTTCACCGACATCCTGCATCCCCCCACCGGCGACAGCGGGTCGGCGTGGACGCACAACCGCTTCCAGCTCACCATCGCGGCGATGCCGTCGCTGCACTTTGGCACCGCGCTGTTTTTAGCCGTCTGCACGACGCGCTTCGCGCCGCACCGCGTCCTCCGCGTGCTCGCGCCGCTGTGGCCGGCGGCGATGCTGCTGACGGTGCTGGCGACGGCGAATCATTTTGTTTGCGATGCGCTGGTCGGCGCGCTCATCCCGGCGGTGGGGTGGAGGGTGAATCGGTGGGTGTGTGCGATCGGCGCGCCGGTCGAGGAGGTTGGGTTGTGGGCGTGTAGGACGGAGAAGCCGGCGCCGGCGCCGTGGGGGTGGGAGAGGAGGAGGGTGAGGGAGGTGGAAGAGGGGGAGGACGAGGAGGAGGCGTGGAAGGATGGGGAGGGGGAGGCTTAGAGCGTGGTGGTTTGCGGTGAGGGAGAGGTGAGGGCTTTGGTAGTTTGTGCTGCGGTGCAGTGTGTGGATTGGTGCCGATGTTGGTGTCAGTGGAGAGACGTGTGGATGTTTGAAATTATGGGTATAGAGGGTATGTACAATTTAGATTTTCACGTAGACATTTACGAATAAGCTTGTTCTAGAACCCTGCGAAATAACCTGCAAAGTGCTTGCTAAGGTTTCAACAGAAGGAATAACGTCACGCGGTCTACTTGTGTAGTTACGCGCGAGCGTAGGCAATCTGCCCGTGCTTAAGGCTTCGTGCTTCTCCGGGTGCACCTTCCTAAAACCTCTCAGCTGCACTTTAACCTTCACGTGAAATTTAGAATCCGCTTCGATAGAGCACGCGCGTCAGCACTTTCCATACACAGCAGGCACTTTCCGCTCACAATGGCGCTGCACTTTTGCCTCAGCCTCCCGCCAACTCTACACCGCAACTCGACATCCTCGTCGCAAACCGCCCGCTCGCCATTCTTACCACGTCCACTCATTGATCGGGCTCTTTGGTTATCACTGGTACTTTGGTACGTCAGCTTCCCGATCACGCATGCCACGGAATCCAACAAGATCTAATTTACTGCCACACAAACATGCCCCGCTACTCTACTTCTCACTTCAACGCTGCCAGATGCCGTAGCTAACGCACATTCTATGACACGTTAGGATTGTCGCTTGTATTCTCAAGCTTGTCTACCGCGATTCACGTATCAACCGCTCTCTGTCCTTAACTCGTCTCCTTCATTTCTAAGACATCCGGCCATTCTTTAATTTCTGGACTCTGGAAGGTCTATCCTCGACAGCCTTACCGAGTGTCCACCAGCCACCTTACGAACTCCCGGTTACTCTCTTTTCCACTTCAGCCCGCCTCCACGATTATACCTCTTCGCCTACTCAAGCCCAAGGCCGCCTGACCCTGATCCTGACCTGTTCCTGACAACTCAAGATGTTCAAAAGAATGCGCACAAATGATGGGTCCGCCCGGTGGGTGGACAGGTCTGTGACCGTTAATTCCACGGATTGTACCATTTCGTTCTTTGAGCCCCCGGTCCGCGAAGCTTCGACAACGCTGGTGCCACAAACCCCCGACCGTGTTCTTTCATCTATCGAGCATGATATCAAGTACGAGTCTCCAGGCCTGCGAAATCGTAACTCCCCAATGGATGACGATGAAGTCGACCTGATACCTTGCTCTTTTCCTGAGCCGGTCATTAAGGAGGAGCTTAAGGAAGAACCGGATGAGAATAGGATCCGGTTAGATCAAGTGCCGATTCCAAGTGTTTCCAATAACGCACTTGCTCAATCCACCGGAGTTAGCGGTATTGAACAACTGCAGCAGTTTGCAGCATTGCCAGAACAGTCTACTGATTACCAGCGCACCGTGACGCTCGAAGAAGAAATATTACCAGATGACGAGGAAGATTTATCGTCCTTGCTGGAAAAATTCAACGTCAAGCGAGATTCTCCGGGAAGTAGCAGCATTTACGTAACTCCTCCGAGCCGCAAACGCAAGCGTGCTCACAGTCTCTCGATCTCTGGTGAACCTAGCCTCTCAAGTCCTATCTCAAGTCCTACGGATTCACCGGAAAGCTCACCAAGCGCATCCATGGAGGACTTCTACCGCGAACAGTCCAACCAACTCCCCCGAAAGCAATATTATGGGAAGATTCACGGATGGACATTTGAGCAGAGAGAAGCTCTTTGTTTGCTCTTCATCTTCTACGAGGTCGATGCAGCATTCAAAGATGTTGCAAAAATACTAAATCAGTATTTCCAAGTCCCACCCTCAGAGTCTTTCCGGCCTCGGCAATTGCGAGCTCAGTGGGGAGTTTGGAGATACATTTTCCGGAAAAGACCCGTATATGATCCCAAGGTTGCATGGATGGACAAGCGCGCAGGGTATGAGGCTGCTGCTACGAGTGTAGGTGTTCAGCTGAAGCTGCGCGCTTCTCCGTTAAAGGAGAAAAGGCTGAGTTCCAGATACACGAAAACAACGGAAATGGTTGCTGCTAAAGATGCGTGGTTCTTGGGAAAGCTACTCGACTTACACGATGCTCTTTCCCATGCTCCAGTTGCATCGCCATACGTTTCCCCCTTGGATCGTCGATCTTCGAGCCCAGACGACACTATTGTTGTGCAACTTTCCCAAGCAGCTAAGTCTAAAGCAACACCGCCTGCTCAAACAGAATCTTCACCAGCCCAAGGCTCTTCAAGTCAGGAAGAATCTTCCAATACAGCAGTTAAGGAGGAAGGCGATACAAGCGACCCGCCGACACCGTACCGCCCAGCGCAGGCTTCGATCGCTTATGCGGCCGCGGCGTCGCAAGATGAAAAAGATACCCGTAAGCCATCTCTACTCTACAGAGTGTACCATGATGAAAGTGGCGGCCTCAATACTCCGACGCACTTTCGGGCTGGGCTGTTCAATATTCCCGGCCAGAGTCTAGAGCCCCCTCCAGCAGACTCCGGAATCTTGCCCGTCTTTGTTTCTTGGCACTTATGGCACCATTCGGTGTCATCGCCGTTCATATCTTGCACAGACTCATTGATTATGGCCATTCACAAGGCGCGGCAGGCGGAACAAGACGGCCTTAACCCGCACCTGTCGATTATCAAGGCGGACACCGCTATAGCCGAAGGACGAGGCTTCCCGGCGTATCCTCTCGTCGTCGACGCCCGCAAAAGAGGCCTTGTTCCCGGTATGCGTTACCGAGGACTCCGGGAGTATCTAATTTGGGGAGAGATCTCGCAAGAGTCGATTATCTATGATCTCCCCTTCCAGGTTCTACGCACGCTTACGTCAAGCGACCTCGGCGTCGCCGACCTACTCGCCTTAGACGACATCGATCCGGCGCCTCGCATGAGTCTGGGGCGTATACGCCGGTCACTTCTGGGTCAAGAAGTTCTTCTGGACGAATCGGCCGGCCACGTCATCGGGAGATTGGTGGCTCTTTTTGGGCTTGGAACACTGTCGCCGCCGGAGGCAATCAGACAGTTTGTTTACGACCTTTTTCAAGGCTGGGTTCTTGGCGCTTTTAACGTCTGGGATATGGCAGACGAATTTGTCGTTGGCTTACAGGATGGCGAGGCACGGTCTGGCGGCGCTGTTATTGTTTTAGACGATCCCGAGGAGGCGGACCTGAAAGCGGGCTTCATTTGCGGAGTCGTCGGGGCCCAGAAGGCCTTGAAAAAGGAGCGCCGTTTGGTGCGCAAGTAGATAGCTAGCTGTTGGGCTTTCATTGCTTCACGCGCCAATACTACGAACTTAAGGTGTTGAAAATGAGTTGTGACTGGCTTCAGCAAATCTTTTGATATCCGCCGTGACATTGAAGCTCTACTAGAGAATGCGAGACCAAGCCGATTTCGCTTTTTAGAGCTCATTATCCCCTCCTACAAGTTCGGAAAGGTCTCTCCATCTGCCTCACGAAAGCGGAACAGCAAAGCAATCAACCCCCCGTTTACAGCAAAACAAGATAAAGTATCATCTCAGAGCCAAAAATACCATTTTCTGCATATTCCCCGGCCGGAATACCCTTTTTCTCTCGTCGTCCGTCTTGTCGATACCTCTCTCCCCATCCACTTCAAGGCAAGTCCGTCCACCATCACTGCCCGATTCGATAAATATCATACACACGCATGCCCACAGTAATTCGAGTGGGACGAGGGATAAAAAAAGAAAATTGAAGAATAACGCCCTTTTCATATAAAATGCCCCAATGCAATCCGCGATCCACCAGTTTCAGACCCAACCCGACCCAACAACCGCACCTCCTCCCTTCCCTCTAATCTCTCCACCTCAATCATACCCCGCATCATCCGCCGCCGCCGGCGTCTCAGGCGGCCCGTATCCACCGGGCGTCTCCGGATACTGCGCAGGCGTCGGCGCAGCGGCCGGCGTGGCGCCGAAACCGCCGTAGCCACCACCGCCACCGCCACCAAAGCGCGGCGTAGGCTGATCGGTCGCGGCCGCGGGCGTGGGGGCACTGAAACCGCCGGGCGTGGGCGCGTCGAAAGCGCCGGGCGTAGGCTGCGCCCACGATGAGCCGGGAGTGGGTTGCGAGTCTTTGTTGGCTTGGTAGGCTGGGGTGCGGCCACCGGCGGCGCCCCATGCAGGGGTTCTGCCGCCGTCGTTGGCGCCGCCGCCCCAGGAAGAAGAGGAGCCGGCGCCGTAGGGGGTGCGCGAGGATGCGGACCAGGTGGAGTTGCGGGACTGTGGAGGGACGAAGAGGGGCTGTGTTAGAAGATCATTGTTGTTCTCTTATGGATGATGGGGGGGCGTGAGGGGGAGAAAAACTTACAGAGTCGCCGCCACCGTAGGCTGTGCTTCCGCCGTACGCCGTGCTGCCGCCGTAAGCGGTGCTACCACCGTAAGCAGTGCGGCCACCGTCGCCACCGTAGCTCGTCCTGCTGCCGTCGTTGCCGCCTGCCCAAGCGGGGGTGCGGCTTGAGCCAGAGTTCCAAGCGGGAGTGCGGCCGCCAGCTCCACCATATGATGTGGAAGAGCCATTTGCCGCCCACGCCGGCGTTCGAGCGGCAGCACCGCCCCAAGCAGGAGTTCGACCACCGGACTGTGCTCCCATGGGAGTTCTGCCACCAGACTGGCCCCAACCTCCGGGAACGCGAGAGCCTGGGGTTGAGCCACCGTAACCGCCTTGGCCTGGCATGCCACGGCCACGACCACCGCCGCCACCGCCAATGGTTGCTCCAGTGATGGGATCCTTGATGCTCAGGGTATCCTTCGGAACGGTGATGGTTTTGTTCTTGGTATGCAGCTCGACACGAGCCTCAAGGTCTGTAGTATCCTTTACGATACCGAGTAAACCCTTGTAAGCGCCCTTGCGGACGATGACGGTCTTGCCGAGCATCCTGTCACGACCCATGGTCTTGGGTGGAGCCATAGAGCCGGGGCCGTTGGGTCCGTTCCGCAGGTCTTGCCGTTGCAGGAGAGGATTCATCTTTGACAAATCGGGACCAGCGCTGCTGACCTTACCGCTCTTGGCAGCAACAGTGGTCACATTGCCAGAGCGGACGACGAAGACACCAGCATTCTCCGCCCGATTCTTGTTCTGCACGAAAAGGTAGCTGCGGTGAATGTGAAGGACACGGCCTTGACGCTGTTCACCACCGGCTTCCTTCACAGTATCTTCGGTGCGAATCTCAGAGCCATCCCGGTCAGTAGCAACAGCGTTCTTGCGCCTGTCAACCCTATTCGAGATGTTCGATGGCAGGAGAGTGCGAACAGAGCCATTTTGATCCAGAACACGGAGGGACTCGCGATCCACCTTGATGATACAAGCAACCGTAGAGGCATCGAGCTGGACGAGGTCAAACAGATCGTACTTGGACGCGCTCTGCATACCACCACTATCAGACGCAACACGCAGATCACGGCTGAAGACAGTGATTTCCTGGTTGGTGGAGTCCGTGAGGAGAGTGACTCGGTCATCCCTGACCTTGATGACCATACCAACTTCGTCGTGGTACTTGCTACCACCGACGACCTTGACGTGGTCTCCTTCCTTGAACAGTTTCCTCAGCGACTTGACGGGTGCCTCGACCGTCTGACCCTTCAATTCGCCTTCTTGGACCCTAAGCGTCACAATGTCGTTGTGCACGGCGATTGCTTTGCCGGACACGCCCTTCTGTTCGCCATGGTAGATCTCAACCATGTCGCCAGGCATGTAGTCGGCACCAGTCGACGCTTGCTTGAGGGTGGCGGCAAGAGCCGCAAGATCCAGGTTCTCGGTGCCATCCTCTCCACCAGCCGCGAACCTTGTGACTTCCTCCAGGCGTGGGTTGACATTTTCAGTCTGAAGTTGGTTCAGCTTGACGACCTTCTCGAGGAATCCATCAATGTAACGGTCCTTCTTGTAGATCCAGATCCTGTGGCCGGACAAGGAGTTCTCCTGGGACAGAAACTTGAGGTGCTTCTTCTTTGCTTCAGTCTCGCTGAACAACCTTGGAGGAGGACGGGTGGTGAGAGTACCGGGCCGCTTCCGCTTGGCGTCAGGAAGGGCGTTAGGGTCGTCGTGGAGTCCATAGTCCAAACGGGGGATCAGGCGAATTTGCACCTCGTTTCCGTTTGCTTCGACCTCGGAAACCTGAGCCAAATCGCCTGCATAGAGTCCACCGCCCTTGATACGAACGTACATGCCCTCAACAAGCTCCTTCGACTTCTTGACTCGGAGAAGATCAGGCATCTCCTTCAGAGGGACCAGCACCATCTTGCCGCGGACGTAACAGAATGAGATGTTCTCACAGGCAGCCATGACAGCAGCCTGCTTACGGGCCTCGACATAGATGTAACCAGAGGCAACATTGCCGCGCTCGAAGACGGAGCAAATCTCCAGAGGCTCGCGGGTGCCCATTCGGTCCTCGACCCTCTTCATGATGTCGAAGACAACTTCTCTTTCCTTTCCAGGCTTGCAGCCTACACCCCAAATGGTCGGGTCGTCGACGCTCGGAAGGAGTAATCTCTGCGGAAGGACTTCCGAGTTCACGGCAGATGCGCGGTTGCGTCCGTAGCGCTCCTTCAGCGCAGCAGCCTGTTTCTCGGCGTCCATGCTAGCCTCGAGCTCACGTTGTCTGTCGAGTTCCCTGTGGCGGCGGTCATCGTTCTCGGCGCCGGCAGGCATGTCAAGAAGGTCATCGGGGTGGGTCTCCTCCGGGAGTTCGTCATCCTCGTCGAGCTCTTCTTCGTCTTCCTCGTCGACTTCGGCTTCCACATCGATGAACTGCAGGCGAGCATCACGCTTGCGGCGTTTGCGCTGGTGGCCCTGTAATTGTGTTAGCAAGACCAATCATGCCATCTCTGGCGCGCGGGGTGGCGCGCGGGATGGGAACTGACGACTACTTCTTCCTCGTCCTCGTCTTCCTCCTCCTCGTCGTCCTCTTCCTCGTCATCGTCGCCCCCTTCTTCGTCTTCACCGCCTTCCTCATCGTCCTCGGCTGCGCCGCCCTCGTCTTCGTCGGGGCTCTGGTGCCTGCTGGGCTTCTTGCCGCCCGTTCTGCCCGGCCTCACTTCATCTTCGTCATCGCGATCGGAGTCCCTGTGGCCTTCATCCTCGTTGTCGGAGGCAACAGCAGGCTCGAAGTTGAAAGGCTCGTCGTCGGACTCTGAGCCGGCAAGGTCGTCGCGGTTTGAAGCCATGGTTCAATTGCGCGGTGGCGCAAACAGGAGGTTTATGGCGCGACACAGGCCGGGGCGAGCAAGGGTCAGTAGGCGTCGGCCGGAGGTTGATGTTGGGTCGAGGGAGCGACGAGGATTGAAGATGTTTCTTTGTGGTGACGATGCGAGGCCAAGGTTGCGGCAGCTGCGCGAGCTGACAATCCGGACGGGGGCGCCGCGCCCCGGCAACTCCCGCCGCCGGTCGCCGACAAATCACATGATGCGCGGCTAAACCCCGGCGGATCCCAAGCGCACGCTCTTTCTCGCGCTCAACACCATGCTGCTCTCTTAAAATTGTCCAGATGTCCGCCCCACTGCATGTGAGCCTCCCTTCTCTCACTCATCTGCTCGGTGGTGCTCATACTGCCACAGCATGCATGCACTCGCACTCCGGTGACGGCGCTTGCCTTTGCAGGCCCATACATCCTCACAGCAGAAGGTCCATTTCTGCGCGTCTTCCTCAAAAATGGCTCCGACTGCCTCTACTCGGAGAAAATCTTTAAAAACCAGACAATCCATGGTCTTGTAGTCATCGATGCTTCTCGCTCAGATTATTCATCAGTAATCGCGTACGGAGGCCACCTCGTCCGGTATTTGCGTCTTTCGCATGATGAAGTTGCGCGTACATTCTCCCTGAACCAGGGTCCAGTCGCTCGGGTTTCAGACTGGGTTTTGGATCTCGCCCACCCTTTTCAAGAGCTTAACCGACCCCTAAGCTCTTCTTCCCATGCAACCTTGGCTGTCACTGCCCACAACCAAATCGTACGACTTTGCTGGACAAGCTCTTCGCCAAGTACTTTTACCGCCAATCCGCCAACCCTGACCGTATCCAACCTTACTGTCAGTTCCCGCTGCATCCTCTACTCGGCCCATCTCTCTTGGCTCTCCGCAGCCAAGGTTCTTGTCGCCTCCGGGACCGCCTTCGGTGAGATTTTGGTCTGGTCCTGCGATTTCACTGATCTCGAGAAACCCCGGTCATGCGTCCACCACTTCTTCACAGGCCACGAAGGCTCTGTGTTCGGCGTTCAGATTTCGCCGCCGTTCTCCGTCTCGTGCAACCAGGCAGCTCGCCATCAATTGCTGGCCAGTTGCAGCGATGACCGGACAGTGCGGATTTGGGACATCTCCCAATTACCAGATGGAGGGGACTTCTCCACATCCGACGATGCTCTTGGATTAGTGCAGGACCGAGAGACTGGGTTTGGCGCCAACGTTAACTCAGATCAAGACGACTGCCTTGCCATAGCATGGGGACACACTTCGCGGGTATGGGCCATTCGCTTTGTTGGATTCTCCACGAGCGACAAAGTTCGTCGCTTCGTCTCCTTTGGCGAAGACGCAACAAGCCGCGTTTGGGACCTTGACTGCAAGGCCTCCGAACACGGCCAAAATACGCGCCTGAAAGTAAGTACCAAGCTTCTGGACACACGGGCTTTTCACTCGGGGAAGAACATCTGGGCCATGGATTTGGCCCTTTCCCCGCAATTTTCAGGCTTCGAGACCTGCACTGGTGCGGCAGACAGTGCAATCGTCAGCACCCACTGGCCCTTGAACCCGCTCGAGTCAGTCTCACCGCAACCGACAACCGATGCGCACAGGTGCTGCTCCTTTGTCTCTGATCGCCTGGTCATATCTGCCACGAATAGTGGCAAAATAATCAGGGGCAGAGATGACGACGACGGTTTCGTATGGGAAGTCGTGGACCAGATTGAAGACCTCAAGGGCTACTCGGTTTCAGTTGGCCTGCCGGAGTGCACCCTGGCGTTCCTGGCTGGCAGTAGCGGCAAAATCTACGCATACCAGGACAGCACTCGTCGATTTTCTGTCATTTCCCAATTGAGTCGAAAAATCTCTGGAGCTTTCGCTTCCCATTTCCGCGACTCAGATGGTGCAGATTTTGTCAGCCTCATTGTCACAACTGTCAGCGCCAAGGTCGCTGAGAGCTTTCTGTTTTCATGGAACCCTGACACCTTGGAGCTGCAATTGAGGAGGAAGGCGGCGCTAGAATTGCCGCGTTCATTCATTGTCACAAGCGCTCTCTACACCCTGACCTCTGCTCAAACAATCATCTTCCTAGGCGCCAGGAACGGCTCGGTGGCACAATTCTCTGACTTAACCCCTGAAGAGACGTCGGGAGTCGACACGGTCCAATCCCGCGCCATTTTCGAGCTTCATGCACCAGAGACGGTAACCTCGCTAGCTTGGGTACCACGCGATTCATCAACGCTCAATCCAAACCACCTTGGGTACCTATTATCCACGGGGCGCGACGGACATTATGCCGCTACAGAGATCTACACGGACAAGCATGCCGTCATTGCTCACCAGATTAGCTTACCTTTCGGACCTAACGTTGAGGGATGCTATGTCGACGGCGGTAGTCTCATCGTGTACGGCTTCCGTGGTAAGCACTTCGTCGTGGTCAATGCTTCCACGGAGCAGGAGGTCTTCTCCGTCGAGTGCGGAGGTGCTCACCGCATCTGGAGTTTCTGTCCTTCCGCAGAAGGTGAAGGAGGGACCTTCGTGTGGAATCAAGCTTCTACGCTGAAGTTGCATTCTACTGGCACCCTGTCACACCGGATCATCAGATCCGGTGGCCATGGTCGAGAGATCAAGGCTGCGGCTGCATGCCCGAGCGACCCACGCATAGTTGCAACCGGAGCAGAAGACACTACGATCCGTATCTTCAAATATGGGGCGCATGGCGGCTCACAGCCCGACTTTAGATGCGTAAGGGTGCTGCGGAAGCACGTTACGGGTATACAGCACCTAGTTTGGTCTGATGACGGAAATTATCTCTTCAGCAGCGGCGGATATGAAGAGTTCTTCGTGTGGAGGGTACGCCGACTCCCAATAATTGGTCTAGGCATCGTGTGCGAGGCAGTCTGCCCACCGGAGAGTGAACTGCCCGACCTACGAATAATGAGCTTCTCCGCCCAACCCATCTCAACGGCAGAAGACGATGCCAGATTCCACGTCACGCTCGTCTACTCTGACTCGACCATCAGAGTAAGCAACACACCCCAACACTCCCCCCAGTTCCTGCTAACAACAGCTCCACAGACCTACTCCTACACCTCCACCCCCACCGCCAAGACCTTCGCCCTCATCCACGTCGGGACGTACCTCACCTCCTGCCTCACGCAAGCCACACACCTCTCCCCGTCCCTCCTCTTGACCGCCGGCACCGACGGCCACATCGCCTTCTGGCCCCTACCCACCGCATCATCACCTCCTCCTCCCAACGCCAACGACGCCGACCCTCTCCCCCTCGCCCCCACCGCCCGCACCCGCCTCCACCAAAGCACCATCAAGGCCCTCGCCTGCGCCCGCCTCTCGCCCGCCACATCGCTCCTCCTCACCGCCGGCGATGACAACGCCGTGGCGTTCACCCTGCTGCCCACGACGGGGGAAACGAATACGGCGGCGAGAACGGGCACGAGGACGGGCACGAAGACGACGCTCGTCATCCCCCGTGCGCACGCCGCGACGGTGACGAGCGCGGTGCTGCTGCGTGCGGGGCCGGGGGCCGCGCAGGAAGGCGGCGGAGAACAGAGGCTGGTGGCGGTCACGGCGGGCAGCGATCAGCGCGTCAAGGTGTGGGAGGTCGTCGTCGAGCGCGGCGCGTTGCTGGACGGGGAAGAGGGAGAGGAGGAGGGATCGGGCCCGAGTAGAGGTGTGGATGCGGTGCGGGTTAGGAGGCTGGCTGATGAGGGGACGGCGGTGGCGGATGTGTCAGATGTGGTTGTCTTGACTGCTGCGGCTGAGGAGGGGGGAAGGCGGATCGATGGGATGGGGGAAGAGGCGGCGGCGGCGCAGAGGCGGACGGTGGTGGTTGTTGGTGTGGGGATGGAGGCGTGGGGGTTGGATGTTTGAGGGGGGTTGTGGTGGTTATGGAGAGGGGAGGGGAGGGGAGGAAAAAGGAAAGGGAAGGCTGCGGAGAACAGGGGTGATGAGGGTTAGCCTGGTGAAAATAGATGTCGCTTTGATTTTAGGCTGTCAGTATATTTCAGCTTTGGGAAAATGGTGGTTGGGATCACTCTCAGGGTTCAGGCAGGTAACAGGTGCCACCAAGGTGTGCCAAGGCTTGCACCCTGGTAGGTGTTGCATGCAACCAACACGCATGGAAAAGAGATGCCTGCAAGAAAATCGTGCACGAGCATCCCGATGGCGTCGGAGGGTTTTCGCTCGATGCATCCTGCACAGCGTATGCAACGCGCCTTTTGCTTAGTTCAGCTGTGACTTCTTGGAGTGAGGTCGCATCAAGAAGGTCAGGTTGTAGATGTGGCTGATTCCTTCAAGCCATCGATCACTTGAGCCTCCTCCTCTGCCGCTGCAGGCAAGCAAGACAACATCAACAAACGTCACACCCGCTCTCGCCGCTGTTCCAGGCGATGAGACATTTTTTTTTAAAAAAAAAAAAAAAGAATCACCCCCGCCTACCTGCCTCGTTGGTCCGGTCAGCACTACGGCTCTACCCGCATGTCGTACAAATACCACAGCCTCGGATCCCGTTTTTTTTCTTTTTCTCTTCCTTTCGCGTGGGAAGCGCACGCGCCTACTTTTTTTTCGGGATCGGAGTTGGGGCGCCTTTCCCCGCAGTAAGCAAAGAAATGCCAATGGTAGCACAGCAGCAAATCCGCGCTGCTTGCTTCGTTGTCTGTACCACCGCCGAGAAGAACCCTATTCGCACGTCTGCGCGGGAACTCCGGTGGCCCCTCCGACGCGAGAAAAGCGAAAGGGAAAGAATGGAGGGGAAAAGAAGGATGTCGAAAAGCAACGAGCGCTCCCTTAACCACTTACCGGCACTTCTAAACGACAAGGCTTTGCGGCAGGTACGCCTGAAAAATTGACGGCTACTAAAAATGGGCCCGTACTCGCCACCGGCGAGAGCGTGCGCGGGCGGTATTTGAAATGCTGTGAGACGTCTAGAGCCTCAGGCCAACTCGGCTGTATGCCTTTATTTGACGGGTGGCGTGAGCGGGGGGACGACATGTAACAGTCACGAGGGATTGCTATAGGCGGTTATTGGCAATGGAGAAAAAGAAAAAGAAAGATTCAGCGATAGCTAGAAAATTGGCTAAAAATTGATAATGCTGTCGTCTATGAATGGTATCCACAATTGCCGCCGCCGCATCCACACCGCCACCATGCTACGCCTCAACCCGGGAGAATACGGACCTCTCAATAATAGTCTCCCTCTATGGCCCCCACTCTTTATCTCTGAAAAGATCTTATTGCTTGGGGACTCTGAACAGGTTTTACGAAGGGAAAAACAAAATGATGAGAATGGAAACTGGAGAATAGCTGGCAGATAATAGAAGCAATCCAAAAAGAAGCCAGACAATGCAAGACGTCTATACTTGCGTGCTCTCCAAAAACAAATGCGGTAATATGCTAAACTCGATCGACCTCACCCAAGTCCAAGTCTCCCGCCTCCTAGTAGAGGAATTAAATCTCCAACGTCATCGTCCAGCGGCGACAATTGTAGCGCCGGTTTCGTCTTCGTCTGCTCCGCGCATCGTCCGGGCCGGCTTCTCTAGGAAAGTTACATCAAAGGAAAAGAGAACAGGAAAGCCCATATTTTTTTTAACGCTCCAGGCTTAAATCATTTTCCCTTCATAATTCGTATGACACGTCAGCCGATGATCTCGTGAATGGCAGAATCAACCTCCTGCAGCATAGCGCTCAGCGCGTACAACTGCTCCGCGTTCGACGCGACCTTCTGCTCCTCCCCCTCACCCGCAGCTGCCTCTGCAGTCGAGTTCGTTGCTGCTGCTGATGACTTACTGGTTTCGTGCTCTGCCATTGCGGTTTCTTCCGCAGCAGGCTCCTCCGCGGCGGCATCGTCTTCCGCGACAGCCTCCTCCGCGACAGCCTCCTCCGCAGCAGGCTCTTCCGCCGCAGCGATGTTGGCGAGCGTGCCCTGGTCGAGCAGGTTGGCCTGGCCGAGCGAGTTCTGGGTGAAGCGGCTGTTGAACTTGATGACGCGCTTGACCTTGTTGTACGTCGCAACATCGAGCGGCATGGGCTGCTGGGTGACGAAGAAGGTGACGTCCTCGGAGCACGGCGGCGTCGTCAAGCTACCGGTGTAGTTGAGCAGCGGCGTGGTCGTCAGGTGCTCGACGAGCGGCGCAAAGTCCAGCGCGGCCGTCTCGGTCACGGTGCCAGGCTCGACGACGTCGTCAATGTGGGCCGTGGCGGCCGAGAGCAGGTCGGTGCCCGTGGTGCCGTCGTCGCTCAGCTGGAAGAGGACTGCCAACACCACGATCTTGCCCGAGTCGTCGGCCGCCTCGTGCACCATGTGCATCTCGAGCGGGAAGTACTCATCGCCGATGCGGTGCTCCGACGGCGTGTGCAGGTGGAACTGCGCTAGGCTGAAGTCCTGCCCGCCCAGCGTCGTCGTGCCATTAACGACCGTCTCGAGTGTGGTGCCAAGGTTCTCAAACTCGGCGGCCTCAACGTTGGCGATGTCGATGGACGGGGCCTCGGTCGCCAAGGCTACGGTATCGTCTAGGGTTGCAATTGTTAGACAGGTTGTTGTTGGGAAATGATATCAGGATGTGGGTCATGTTCGGGGAGAAACGGATGGAGAAGGGTAATATCAAGAGTGGCGTGGGTGTGGAGAGGGTGGAGACCGGGGTGCATGCGGGGGGGCCTTGGAGATCCTTACCAATGTTGATAGGCGACTGGTTGGATCCAGTGTTGCACAACTCGTTGTCGGCTTCGATGTTGTGCCAGTTGAGAGGCCCGGTCAGGCCAGTGTAGCCAAAGTTGCTGACCTCGACTTCACCAGCAGCACGCTTGTTCAAGCGGCGAGGCATCAGCGAAGTGCCGTGCAGGCAACTTGCGCTGGCCGAGGAAAGCAACAGAGCAACAGAAAAGATGTTGGTAAGCATGTTGGCAGTCAACAAGGAAACGTCCCGGACGGTTGGTAGAAAGTGAACAAGAATGAAAGAGAGTAAAGTTCAACACCACCGAATGAGCGGAAGCCGGGGTCTTTTAAGGATTGGATGTTGTATTGAGGAGCTGCCAGAGCTGTACACACGTGGGCTTCGTAATGGGAGGCAAATTACAACCCGGGCTTATGTAGAGCACAAAAGGCCGATGATGAGCGAAAGGCCTCCACCTCTTCCTGGAGCATGGACGCGGGTCGGCGCCTTCATCTTGGTTTGACTGGGCGTGGCAGCTCTGGCACTTGGCAGAGGCGATGCCGCCGCGACGACTGTTGTGATCAAATGAGGCAGGGCAAGCGCCTGGTGACTGGATTATTGCAACCGTTCGGTCTGACTTGGCCCGTCAACACGGCTTGGCGCTGATGCGGGCTGAAGCAATGCGCGGCAGCCCCCTTGAAGTGACGGAGATCGGGTTTTCCGGCGGGCCAGTTTAAGTGGAGAGGTGACGTCCGTTCAGCGAGGACACAGACGTGGGATTAGCGGACGAGATATATCGAATATGACAGATTGACGGCCAGGAAGTCCGCAGTGATGGGATGCCGGGGCATTCCCGCGAAGCTCAGAGGCGTGAGCGCGCACAGCAGGCATCTATTCAGGCGCGCCGCAGTGGCCGCTGATTTGCCCGAGCACGCGAAGGGTTGCAATCTGAGATGAGCTGCCGGATAATACGTATTCCTCACACATGGCTGGGGCAGGCGGAGTTCTTGGCGATTACGGGAGGCAACAGGGCAGCATGGGGTGCGGCGCGTGAGTGCCAATGTGAGGATTGGGGTGCAGCCGTTGACAGCTTGGCGCAGCAGTCATCAGGCCACTCTGCGGCTAAAAAGCACCGTTCGGGAAATCCCGCCAGGGCCAGGACAGGAAAGCGGACGGGCGATGGCGGAGAGCGACGCGGGGTTTGGTCGGGTCGAGTTTCAGCCCCGGGAGGCATTGGAGACGTGTCGCGAGAAGCGTTCCCTAGTTGCAGCGGTGCGATTTCTCGCTCGTGCGCAGAAGGAGGCGTGTTTGAGGATGCGAAGAAATTGCCAGGCGGAGAGTCGAGGTCAAGCAACTGTCGCGCGCGCGCCTAAACTTGGCTCGCGTGGGGAGTCTGCACCACCCGCTTGGCGCCGTATGGACGGATTCGGGTTCGCAACGGCTTCCGGCGCGCTGGCTTCAGGGTCGAGTCGAGGGCGCGGGTCGTCAGGCGGGCTGTCGTCCGCAGCATTAATCGCAGGCACGGCAGGCGGAAAGTGAAGGCAGGGTCTGGGCCGTCGCGCGGTGCACGGTTGTGGGAACAAGCCTTTTTCTTGACTCGAAACTGAAGCGTGGAGCCGCCGTGGTGTTCGCCGTTGGGCTCGTCGCTGATTGGCTGCCGACTGCGCGGCAGTGTGTCACAGTCCCGAGCTTCAGAGCTCCAAGCTTCCCCAGGTCATCCGCCGCCATCATCGACGCCTCAGGCTCACATCCCAAGACAGCTGCCCGCGTGGCCAGCTCGGAGCTCTGCATCCACACCACCAGCCAGGTGAGTATTCATCTCTCCAGGCCCCACGCCCGCCCCGCCTCTGCCTCCAGCTGCGCCTAACAGCCATGTCTCTGTTTAGCTCCTGGACCGCCGCCGCGTCTACTATTCTCAGCAGTAAGCCGGCCTCCGAGCATGAGCTGCCGCTCTGGCACCAACCACCTACGAAAATGGCCACCTCTCCAACCCCGTCCGCAGCCTCGCCCCCACCTCCCGTCGTCCCGCCCGCGCCCATCACCGCGAGCATCCACGCCTCGACCGCCCGCCTGAGGCAGAACCGCGCCCTGCCCGACAACCTGGTGCTGCTACGCCGCCAGGAAAAGCAACTACACGACGACTTGCAGGACCTGCTCTACCAGCAGGATGAGGCCCTGCGCACTGCCACAAACACCGCCGCCGCCCCGGGCACGGACGGCGAAGCTGATCTCAGCGGCAGCGTCACCCCCACCGTGCGAAGCTTGGCCGAGAGCAGGAGGCTGTCGGCCGACCCGGGCAGACAGCCGCAGCAGCGCCCCTCCAATATTGGCGTGCGCGCCGTGAGGAAGTCGATCCGCTCCGCCATACGTCAGCTGGCGGCCATCAAGACCGAGGAGGGCCGGCTGCTCGACCACAACCGCGCGGGCAACGACGCCGTCGTGCGCAAGCTGGCCGGCTGGGCGGAACAGAAGCAAGGGTTGGAGGCGCACATCCGTGCCATCGAGCAGGGCGACGAGGGCGCCCAGACCGCGGCGCTGAGGGATGAGGCGCACGTCTTGGAGGGCGAGATACGCGAGCTGGAGGACAAGCTGCGCGCCTTGAAGGCCCGCCACCGCAGGCTGCTGTCGGACGTTTCCGAGATCGAGAACTCGGTGCAGTCCAAGCTGTCGTCATATAAGGCCTCCCTGTCCATCTTGGAGAACGACATCAGTGCGTTCCTGCGGACTTCCGCGGCGCGTGATCGCCAAGCCAGTGAGGCGCCTTTCTTCAAGATCCCGCCGAAACGCCGCACCTTGGACCTGGCAAGGGAGCACTGGGACCAGGAACAGGAAAATGTAGAGAAGCTGCGCAAGGAAACGGAAACGGAACGCGATGCTTTGGAGCAGGGGGCTGTCATGTGGAATGACGTCGTGCATAGAATCTCGAATTTTGAGAAGCATATCACAGAAGCGACCAGGCATCAGAGCAGCGATGAGGACCCAACAGCCGAGGCCAAGGATCTTGTCGCCCACCTGGACGAGACGATAAGCTACGTCGAGTCACAATTGGACCTCGCAGAGGAGAGGGGGTGGAAGCTGCTGGTAGCCTGCATCGGCGCCGAGCTCAGCGCGCTGCACGAGGGGCGCCGCATGTTGGAGGCCATGCTGCAAGCGGCAGGAGAAATTTCGCCAACGCTCGAACGCGAGAAGCTCCTCGGCGACGTCGAGATCGAGTTCCAGCCCAGCAGCTTAGCTAACAGCCAGAAGACCCTGCAGCAGAACGGCGGCGACTCGGGCGGGGTAACGGGCTCGAAACAAACCCCGGCCCTTCGGCAGCCCCGTCCCGACTATCACGGTACCGACGAGGACGAACCGGACCCAGAGCTGCTCATATCGCATCAGGATACGGATGATGAGCATCTTGGATGATGACGAAAGCTCATGACATTTAACGCAGCGATGATGCTGTCAGCATAGATCCTTAAGGGGGCTTCAGGATAGAGGCAGGCGCAGCCGGGGATAATCTTTCTAATCTGCTTCTGTTCAGCATTCTCAGCTGATTTATTGTTACTACGAATCATGAATCTCGCTATTCTCATCACCTCATTCGCCATCCCGTCGGGATACCCCCGTGCCTCTCGCTTCGTTGCGCGTCAAACCGTTCGTTACGAGTCAACAAAAGCCCGAGAAAATCGACGACGCCACGTGCCTGGGCGCCGGGCCTCAAACGTCCCGCCTAAGCCACGACATCCCTGACTCTCCTCTCTATTGGAACCCTTCAACACCTACAGCCACCAGATTCAGATAGACAGACCCCTAAAATTAACCTTCCGCTAAAGCCTCAAGGCCGCCAAGGCGCAACTCACGAATCGTAATCGCCTCACCCCCCTTACACTGCACAAACACCAAGACCCTTCTATCTACCTACCTTCCCTTCGTATACCCGCGCCCCTTTTGAACTCGGATATAATGTGAAAATTCTCCGCGCCACCACCACCACACCACCGCGTACACGCAAGAGTCTCGATCACCCCATCTTCTCAGCAGTCTTGGCATCCGACTCAGCAACGCCGCTGCTGCGGCTCTCGTGACCACTGTTGCCGTCCTCGCGTCGTAAAACAACAACTCCTTCAATAGGACCCTGCTTGGCGCTGCGGCCCATCGCGTAGCGGAAGAAGCGGGCGATGGAGGCGCGGCCCTCCCAGATGGGGTAGCAGGTGATGGCGATGGCGGCGAAGAAGCCCCAGAGGAAGACGACGACGATCCAGCCGCGGAAGAAGGGCTTGGAGAAGACTGTGTTTGTGCTGTTAGTGGCGAGTCATTGAGTGGGCTGCGCGAGTGGTGGCTATGGGCGAAGCTTGGATGTCGCTTTGAAGGGGGGAGGGAAATAAAAGAGGGAGACAAAAAATCGAAAGGAGTGTGGGAGGTGTGGATGGAAAGGGAAATTGAGGACTGATATATTAGTAGTGCAGCACCACTCACCGTAGTTAGACCCGTACATGGGAATCGGCCAGAGGATGCAGAGGCACAGGCAGAGCACGACGCAGCAGATGGCCGCCTTCTTGCGCGCTACGAGCAGCCGCGCGTTCACCTCCTCGTCGTGTCGGCGTTCATTGTCTTCTTCTTCTTCCTCTTCGTTGTCGTTGTTGTTGTCGTCTGCTTTCTTCTCTGCTCCGTTCTTGGCGACGACGACTACTTGCGGGGTCGCAGCTGCAGTAATTTCGTCGTCGTTGTCGCCGTGCTGCTGCTGCTGCTGCTGTCGTCGACTCTGAGACTGCAGCTCCTCGAGCGTGCCGACGTCCGACTTGATCTGCTTGAAGACCTCCCAGTCGAAGTTGGCCGGCTTGATGTACGTGATCAGCGGCGTCAAGACCATGGGGCCGCATATGGACATCCTAAAAGGCAAAGGCGGCTTTTCGTCAGCACTAGGTTCGAGAGAACGTAGGAATTGCAAAGTTGACACCCCTTGCCATCCTCCTGCAGCCTTGAGTCGACTCTGGCAATCACTATCGCCTTTTTCTCCCACTTCTCTACTATCCCCCCTTTCTGATCGTGCAAGAGACACTTACATATTCCCCGCCACCAGCGGCAGCGGCTGGCTCGTCGTGTCGATGGTCACGGCGCCGTAGTGCGTGTAGGCGGTGCAGAACCAGGCCACGGCGGCGGCGACGGTCGAGCAGAGCGGCGCGATGATGACGGCGGCCAGGCTCTGCTTGCGCCACATGATGGTGCAGGCCATGGGCACGATGGCTGAGTCGACGAAGATGCCGATCGACGTGATGAGGTAGTTGACGCTGAAGCTGTTTTGTGTTTTCTGTCTATTAGCGAGAGGGAGATAGAAAAGAAATGGATTGAGATAGTAGGGGACGGCTTTTCTCTTACCCAGCGTGGTTAAAGGCGACACTGATGGCAGCGACGACGACGCCGAATATGATAACGATGGTGTGGGAGACACGGACGAGTTGCGCGGAGGTGGCGTTCGGGTTGATGTAGGCTTTGTAGATGTCGTAGGTGCCGAGAGCGGCGGTGGCGACGGTTTCGGAGGACATCTGTGGGTGATATGTTAGTTTTTCTTCTTCTTTATTTGGCTTTCCTTGTTGTCTGGCCCCCTGGGGTAGAATTCAAGAATCATTCCCTTCCCCATTTCTACATCAAAAGATAGTCACTCACCGCGCTCGTCACGGCCATAAATCCCATCAGCAGCACAGCAATCACGCCTCCCTTTCCCATGACGGCATACGCAGCGTACGGCATCGCCATGCCCGCGGACACCTCCTCCGTCGTCATGCGGGCGGGGTAAGTAGGGAAGATTGGTAGGTGTTCAGTAGCAACGGCGGCGAGGCCGAAAGTTGACGCCAGTACGAACGGGATCGTGAACCAGCAGAGGCCGCCGAGCATGTAGCCAGGGTAGGTCGCGGAGGGATCAGCGGCGATGGCTTTTTGGAAGCTGGATTTTTGTCGTCAGCTTCATATCTGCCTTTCGGAATGGTAGCTGAGTTGCGGATGTTTTCTGCTGTAGTTGGAATCCTCGCCCTACATGGACATGTGCAGATAAAATCATGACATGCACATGTGATTTCAACTCCCATCATCCACAATGGAAAGTCGCAAATGTTGTAACGGCTCGGGTAAAAAGACACAGATAACACTTACAGCTGTGAATCAACGCAACTCGCAAACGACGCGCCCATGAAGATCAATCCGATGTATCCACCGCCAGGGCTTTTCATGGTCAGATACGACCCTTCCATGTTTCCGTCGACCGGATGCAGCGCCGCCGCCTCACGCAGCAGCTCCCACATGCGGTCCGGCGAGCCAATGGCGGAGGAGGTCGTGTAAACCATAAACAGTGTCGTGAGCATCACGATATAGATGATGACAGTGTGTGCCTATGTCGCCGAAAGAGTCAGCCCTTCTGACAGCCGGCTTTACCGCTTAGCAGGACATCACTCACCCAGTCTGTAAGAAACGTCGCTTTGATACCTATCCATTCATGATTCGATAATTAGTTTCCGTAACAGTTGATAGAGATAAAAGCAGGAAAAGCTTGCAACGAACCGCCAAACAGCGTGTAGATCAATACTCCTATCGGGAACAGGAAGCAAGCGGCATCGCGGTTCATGCCGGTCATGGACGAGTACAGCGTGCTGCCGCCGACGAGCAAGTTGACGGTGGTGAATATCTGGAAGATCAAGCTGTAGCACATGAGCGTGATGTGGCCTGGGGGCCCGTAACGCTTCTTGACAACCTCGAGGAAGGTATGGGCGCGGGGAGCTTTGCGTTTGAGTTCAATGGCTATAGGAGACATCTCTTCATGTGAGCATGTATGTTTCCTGAATAATTAAGGAATGGGATGGGAGGCTTTGCTTTGCCGCCATAGCAGGAGAGCGGACTTACCAGCCAGAGCGAACATGAAGATCTGAAATGTAGCGCCGCACGCGTACCAAAAGGGACCACTAACGCCGTATAAATAGCCATCTAAGAATTGTTGTGGTTAGTCTTTTTCCTAGCTCAACTTGCGTTTTTACGTTGTTGGTCTTTTTTTTTTTATTGCTTTCGATCCGCTGTGTCCATCCATATTTCACGGCAACCATCATATTCTCCAAAGGTCACCGCATTCCCGCCTATCCAGCATCTCTTCTTTCTCCCTATCCCACCATCCATCCCAAATATATCTCTCCCCATTCCCTCCCTCACGACCTCTCCATCCCCGCCACCAACCACCCCCCAAAAAAAATAATAAACTCACCAGTCGTACTACTCAACAGCGTCGCAGCGATGGTCCACGAGCTGACGACGGCGGTGGCGACCAGGCCCGTCTTGACCGAGTGCTTGGCCGTCATGTACATCTCGGACGTCTGCACCTCGGCCATGTAGCGCGACAGGCCCCACGACAGCAGCGACATGCCGATGGCGAAGGCGGCGCCCAGCCCGACGACCAGCGCGTACCCGACGCCCGGCGAGAAGAAGGGCGGGGTGCTGCTCATGGCTTTTTTTTTCTTGTTCTTGTTTTATTTTGGGAGGTGGGAAATGGGGGGTGGCGAGCGTAGGTAGGTCGTGGTGTGGATGTGCGTTGGTTGATTGATGCTATGCCGGGGTGGTTGAATGTCGTGCAGGCTAGCTCATGCGGAGGGTCTGAAAGAGGGGGATGGAGGGGAAATCATGGACGGTAGGTGGGCGGTAGTGAGATGGGAGAAGGGGAAATAGGTGGCGGACGTGAGCTCAAGGTTTATCGTCCCTCAATTGCAATTGGTGGCGAAGGAGACGGCGGAGACATATGATGATGACAGCATGCGCACATGTATGCAGGTTAAATACATGCCGATCGATTTCTGGAAATCCATGGATAGCTTCAGGAAAAAAAGAGGAGACCTCACCTGTCTCGACCGCCCATTTCTGTCGCGGTTATCGATACCATGCAGATCTACCAAAACGAGATTCCTATTCGCGGAGGAGAAAGACCCATTACGGCCAGAGTTTCTTCCTCATTCCCTCGTGATAAAACCATCAAGCAGCAGGCAACGAGCGTCAAGAGCGTCAAAAGATATGCTGTCTGGCCACCCACTGTGTTGCGAGATAAGCGAGTAAGAGCGCTCATGGGACATCCAGCAAGGTATGATACGCTTTGAGTTTAGCTTTCCGTGGGAAGATGCTGATCCCTGCTTGCCCGCACACGGCGTGGTTGAGCATCTCATGGGGCAAAAAGAGAGCGGAGTAACCTACCGACGTTATCGGGACAGGAACGCGATCAGCAATGCTGGCAAGACAGGGGTGTTGAGATCATCTTATTCGGGAGTGTTATAGTGGACCAAACTCGCAAGATGGTGGAGAAGCCGCTGATCCACGATGGCAGCAACCAGCCAAATATCTGGTGGTTGGAACGTCTTCAACACGGCTCGAGATAACTGATCGCAGTCGAGTAAGTCCGATTAACCTCGATTGGCGCGGAGCTTATGCCCAAGGAGCGCGGCAGATGAGCAGTGTGGTTTCAGCAAGCTACTCGGTCAAGAGTGGGATCGTCCCCGCTATCAAGCTTGATAAGGATCGGTTGCATCTGATATCGCAGCCGGACGGCAGAGAAGGCCCAATTATCGACCGCGTTCTGCCAGGCCGTGTGTCAGTCAGCCATATCAACCATGCGAAAGTCATTCGCTTCGACTCGTGTGGAGAGGTTTCGCGGGTCAAGGGAAGAAGAGAGAAACAACAAGTAGTCCGATTTTCGGAATTCCTCGGCAAACAATCATCAGACCACCGCCCCCCAATCATCAGAAACCTCGTTCTACTATGACAGAAACGACAGTAACAGCCCAAGTGTACGCCCGGGTGCTCAGTTCGGAGCACGGTATCACCCCATTTCCAACCCAAAACTTGACTCCCGAAAGTCATGAATAAGTCTTGATCCTCTGCCAAACGCCATTTATGCAAATTTGCTCAAATTATGTTGGCCGGCCTGATAAGCATCTCAAGTCAATGCCAGGCGCCACCGTCGGCGAGCGAGGACATCGACCCAATCAACTCGCCGCTGGCCGTTGCCAGGTGTGGTGTTGCCGGCACGTAGCCGCCACAGCTCATCCAGGACGGTGAGGGCGACTTCGACGTTGTGGAAGTGGCGGTAGTTGATTATATCCACCATGCGCTGGCGGATGATGCGTATCTGATCTGCTTGATTCGTCTCTCCGCCGGCCATGAATAATGGAAATAGAAGTGTCGTCTCCGGCAAGCATCTGACGGGCATCTTCTCCACTGCTTCAACAATCCCTTGAACTGGTGCGGCCAATTTGCGATCTAGGGCCGGTGTGAGGTCCGGAAGGTGACGGCGCAAGACTCGGTAGAGGTGGATCAGGGCGGCGTTGCGGTAAGTCTCGGCCATAGCCTTCAGGTGAATGTCCTGGCAATCCGGTGGTGTCCATTCTTGGAGTTCGCTCTCCAGGCGTTGTGCTCTACTTGAGAAATCCGACCTGACTTGTGACTGTCCATTGGTTTCGGGTAGTGGAATGTCTGAGCGGGGGACATGCTGGATCTCTGGGTCGTCGAGTATCTTTGCTTCGTCCTCTCCAATCACCGTCGGTGACGTCCCCGTCGTGGTGGATGATGCCGGAGAGGGAGACTGGGTAGCTTCCTTGGCAAAAGCTGCGGTAGCCTCGGCCATATCAGCGTTGAGAACACTGATCTCGGAGATCAGATAGATTATCCTAGATGCCAGGCCAAAATAAGAGTCGGCGACCTCTTCGTCGGCTGATTGCCAATAGTAGCCCGAGATCAGCGGTCGTGTATTCATGGTGACGGTATGCAGGGCATCATGGTAGGCGAAATTGCGCTTCAGCCACCGTCCCTCGAAGGTGTTGAAGAACTGTGCCAGCTGGTCGGCACTGAGTTGGCCGTCTTCGTACATGGTGCCCGAGGTGGCGCGAATGATCTGGGAGGCTCCGACCAAGTGGTTATACCACTTGCTCGTATCGCCGAGGATGGATTCCATGGAGCACAGAACTAGGCAACAGGATAGGTCGAGCTCGGGATCCCGGTCTGTAGAAGAAAGGGAGGCGGCTAGAGAACTCAAGGCATTGCTCCGGCTCTGCAATGCGAGAACTTCGTAAGACTTGTCTCTCAAGGACAAGTGGGAAGAAGAATGAGCGATGATGGCATTGAGCAACATCGGAGACTCGGTGGCCATGGGAAGGAAGACTGGGTCGTTAGCGGGTGCAGCGAGTTTGGGGGAATCAGACTCACCAGAAGCAAAACAATTATTCTCAAGCGTACTAGTTAGAAGGGTTGAAAGGGTCTGAAGGTAATAGCGGAGGAGCAGTCTGCGGCTAGTTGCGGCAGTGCTATCGCCTGCGGTTCCGGGCCAGCTCGCCACGGGATCCAAAGAGAGGACTGGAGCGGTCCAGGTAGAGGAGGGAACAGCAAGCACAGTGGACGAAGAGGTCGCAAGAACGGTGGTGTCGGCCTCAGGGAGAGGGCCATTCACGGAGCCATCTCCGGGAGCAGACTTGCCCACGACTGCTTGGCGGGGCTCCTCGCGAATGCATTCAAAGTTCAGACGGCGGCAGTGGTCACAGACAGGCTGGGGAGGTGGTCAGTAACGGACGGCGTGCGGGTCTCGCAAGCTTACGTATTCATTGGTGCATTTCTTCTTGCTGCAGAGACCATGTCAGAAAGTGGTAGACTACAGAGACGGTTAACGCACCGACGACGGCAAGTCACGCAACCGGTGCGTTCTCTGGTGGTGCCAGTCCGCTTGCGAATACGGCGCTTCTGGGTCTGGGAATCGGACTGGTCGGTGGGGAGAGCTTGGTCGGACATGCTTGCTACATCGTTCAACGCGGGGTTTCTCGGGATTGGCAACAGTGCGGGGGTCCCCAGGCGGCCCGCAGCGGTATCCGCAGCGTGTCTGAGGGGTGGGGAGAGGCCGTGGGCAGTGCTCGCAGGGCCGGGCGAGGATAAAGGGCGTCAACGGCGGAGGGAGGGTTGAGCAGAGGCCGCAGGCGGCGCAGAAAGCTTCGTTTGAGCCATCAGCCCGGATGCACGTGACGCGGCTCCTTTCGGCTAGTCGTCCTATCGCGCCTCCTATCTCCACGCGGATCCGCAATCCGTATCCCGCCTTGCCGGTGTTCCCTGCGCGCCGTGACTAATCCCTACTGCCCACCTCCCATTGACCAACACCACACGCCAGATGCACCCGCCACTCTTGCGATAGCGCTCCCCCGCGCGCCAAGATGCTGTATAAGACTGACCATAAGCTCGCCGCGCGCACCCAATGGCGGCCATCTCACCCAGAGCCATTCCGTCACCATGAGAGCTCTGTTCCGTGCTTATTACCCAAACCGTCCAATCTCTTCAGCGCGTGCCCTCCTCACACCCCGCCCCCCTCACCGCCGCCCCAATTCCACCACGTCAGCCGCGATCAATGAAGCCGTCGCCAAAAGCCATGTCATGCACCGAGCCCTGCGTTCACAGCCGCGCCGCATTGTGTCGGGCCAGGGCATCAGCTTCACGCTGGCCGACGGCACCACGCTGATCGACGCGTCCAGCGGGCCGGGCGTGTCCTGCCTGGGCCACCGCCGCCCGGACGTCGCCCAGGCCGTGGCCGACCAGATCAACCGGATCGGCTACGTCTACAGCATCGGCTACACGTCCGAACCCGCCGAGGAGCTGGCCGACATGCTGCTGCGGGACCGGCCCGGTGGCCTGGCGCGCGCCATGTTCTTCAACTCGGGCAGCGAGGCCACCGACGCCGCCGTCAAGCTGGCCACGCAGTACTGGGCCGAGAAGGGCGAGGGTGACCGCCGCCGCAACGTCATCAGCCGCGCCCAGTCCTATCATGGGAACACGATCGGGGCCTTGTGCGTCTCGGGTCATCAGGCCAGGCGCCAGATGTATTCCGACTGGATGAGCCACAACGTCTCGTTCGTCGACCCGTGCTATGCGTATCGGGCGAAGCCGGAGGGCCAGAGCGACGACGAGTACCTCGCAGGGCTCGTCAAGCAGCTCGATGATGAATTCCAAAGGCTTGGCCCCGAGACGGTGTCGGCCTTCTTTGCTGAGACCATCAGCGGGACGACGCTGGGCTGTGTCTCTGCTGTGCCTGGGTATTTCAAAGCCGTTCGGGAGCTCTGTGACAAATATGGTGCACTGCTGATCCTTGATGAGGTTAGTATCTACGCTCTCTTACTCACTGTTTGGGAGAATAGTGTGGTGAATTCGAATGCGGGTTGCTTGTAGAAGTGAGAGCGTTGGTCGGTGACCATCAGATACATGTCGACATTACATCATCTTTCAGAGCTGAAATATCGGCGGAAGCTGACTTGGATGGTGCTAACTCGTCTAGATCATCTGCGGAATGGGTAAGACGGGGACCATGCATGCCTGGGAACAAGAAGAAGGATTCCGAGGACCAGACCTGCAAACCATCGGAAAGACGCTCGGTGGAGGCTTCGTCCCCCTCTCGGCAGTGCTTGTCCACGAGAAAGTGTTTGATGCCTTAGCTGCTGGCAGTGGGGCACTCTCCCACGGTCATACATTCCAGGTAAGACGCGATCCTCAGTAGGTTGTACAAGGGATTGCCTGGCATGAAAGGGATACTGCCCCCTACTTGTGTGGATGGTTGAAGTCTACATGTGGATGTTATTCAAGATGTCAAAGTGTACATCTACGTCCGGATGTTTACGTCAACTACTCACATGGTAAAAGATCCGGACGGATATGTTGTTTCGGCTCTATCATATGAAAGGAGAGCTAGCTTACAAGAATTCTAGGCACACCCTACGGCCTGCGCAGCGGCAATTGAGGTCCAAAAAATCATCGAGCGGGAGAACCTCCTCGAAAACTGCCGGAAGATGGGCGCTCTCCTCGGAGAGCTGATGGAAGAAGAGATCCTGCCACTTCCTTTGGTAGGCGATGTCCGCGGGCGAGGACTATATTATGCTGCAGAGTTTGTTCTAGACAAACAGGCGAAGACGGCGTTCCCGTTGGATGAAAACTTCTCCAGCAAGGTGGTCGCTGCAGCGGCGGAGTTGGGACTAAATATTCTGGGAAATTTAGGCAAAACCGGGCCAATTGACGTGGAACACGTCATGATCACGCCGCCATACATTATCACGGAAGCAGAGGTAGTGAAGGTGGTGCAGCTGCTAAAGCAGGCCATTCAGAAGGCGAGTGAGGCTTATCTTTAGATGTGATTAAAGACAATCAAATTGCCTTATTTGGCAATTGCATGACCACCGACGGCATTTCTTCCCGTTTAAGAAGGTGACTTGAGGATTGGCGGCGCCGGTCTGGCGACAAGATCCGGATTGGAGAGTGTGCGGGTGTCGACCAATGCGGATTCGTTGATATGTCAGTTGAGCTGCGCCACGTGCGGCTGGTGTTTTCAGTAAGAGCTGCGGCTCCGGCGAAAATGCCTTCGACCTCCGGCCGCCCTAGCCCACCACCATGAGACGAAGTCGCAAGACATGATCCTCCGACCTCCCCTGCTGCGCAACGCGCCGCTGCAGGATGCCGCTCCCCTATGCCTGCGATGCCTGCGCCGCCTCGAACGATCGCACCCGACGCCCGCCCGCCGCCTGCTGTCCACCTCGACCGCCGTGAGAGACGCCGCTATCGCCCGCAACCCCCGCACCGCCTTCAAGAAGGAATACTTTTGGGCCAATGCCGTCCTGGACGACGTGCTACAGGGCGCACGACGCGGAGTTTGGAGCAATGCCGTCTCCGGTCGCAATGGCGCCAAAGATGATGCAGGTCCCGCACCGTCGACGCTCCACGACCAGCCCAAGATCGCCCAGGTCGTCCACAACGATGCCACCGCAGGCACCGAGCTCGTCAATGAGCTTCCCCACCGCCGCCGGAAGCGCCTAAGAGAAGAGGCAAAGAAAGCAGCAGCAGCCTCCTCCTCCGAGACGGAGATCCGGCCGGATGCATCAGCTACCCTCTCGACCAGTGCTCAAGCTCTCCCCGCGCAATCGTTCCGCCGCCGCTTCCTGACCTACCTCGCCCTAACCAAACCGCGCCTCTCCTTCCTCATTGTCCTGACCGCCACGGTGCCCTACGCCATCTACCCCGTCCCCGCACTGCTGGCGCCGTCGGTGACGTCGACTCCGTCTCTCTCAACCCTCACGCTCCTCTTCCTCACGACGGGCACCGGCCTGGCGTCCGCCTCAGCCAATGCCTTCAACATGCTCTTCGAGCCAGCGCACGACGCCAAGATGAGCCGCACCAAGAACCGGCCGCTGGTACGCGGTCTGATCAGCAAGCGCGCGGCCCTCGTCTTCGCCATCGCCACGGGCATCACGGGCGTCGCGTCCCTCTACTACGGCGTCAACCCCACCGTCGCCTTCCTCGGCGGCCTCAACATCTTCCTCTACGCCGGCTGCTACACGCCCATGAAACGCGTCTCGGTGCTCAACACGTGGGTCGGCGCCGTCGTCGGCGGCATCCCGCCGCTGATGGGCTGGACCGCGGCCGCCGGGCAGTGCGCCACCGGCGACGGCACATGGCAGGATTTACTGTTTGGTCCTGGGAGTGCTGGTGGGTGGTTGCTCGGCGCGCTGCTGTTCGCGTGGCAGTTCCCCCATTTCAACGCCCTCAGCTGGACGATAAGAGATGAATACCGCAACGCGGGTTACCGTATGCTCGCCTGGACTAATCCGCGCCGCAACGGCCGCGTTGCGCTGCGCTACTCGCTGCTCATGTTTCCCGTCTGCGTCGGGCTGGCGTATGTTGGTGTTACGGATTGGGGCTTCGTGGCGACGAGTTCGGCTATTAATGGCTGGATGACGTACCAGGCTGCGCGCTTCTGGTGGCACGAGGGCGCGAAGGGTACCGCGAGGGGATTGTTTTGGGCGAGTGTTTGGCATCTGCCTATCGTGCTGGTGCTGGCTATGGCGCATAAGAAGGGGTTGTGGCAGCGGGTTTGGCGGTCTGTTGTGGGGGAGGGGGTGGTGGATGAGGATGAGGAGGAGGATGATGGGTACTGGGAGGATGAGGAGGAGGAGGATACGCAGAAAGTGGCGGGTAAGCCTGTTGTGGGGGTTGCTGCGAGGTGAGGAGGATGAGATGTGATTGGGGATTGGGGAATGGATGTTTTGATATGCTACTGGTGGTGGTGGGGGGAAAAAGCAACTACCAGCAACGACGACACAACACGGCACGGACCGAGATAGTTGGCTAATGCGTGCTACTATACTATATGTTCGTCTTTTTTTTTTTTTTTGGAACTCATTGTACCTTTGTATGTTGTTGTCTCTTGGGAATTTAGCTACAACAGATGGCGGCGGCGTTTTCATCTTGGCTCACGACGCCCGTCTTCGTACGCGCTCCTCTCCCTCTTCTTTCTTCCTTTCTCTCTACGCAGAGCAGAATTTCAATGCATGAGCCGTACGCCATGGTACTTGATCAGTTATTCCAATACTGTCTGCGCATGTGTCTCGCCTGATTGGCTCTTCGAGGACTGGAGTGTAGGCGTGGGGAAGAGTCTCAATGGGAAGCAGAAAAAAAGAAAGGAAAAACCGACAACAACATAGCAGAGATGAGTTGAAGCTGCTCAGCTTAAACATTTACTTCAACGTTACAGCAGAACTCTACCGTTGCAGACGGTCTGCGGGGTTTTTACTAGCGTTGTTTTTCCCCTGAGCGGAGCAAACACGCTATGGAAGAGAGGATAACGTTGGGTGTGGCTTTCTCTCCGTCGACGCTGGTGAAACGGGGGGAAGAAGCTTGTTCGTTGGTTGAAACGGTCGGAGGGTAAAGGTTGGTGTCGGGGCCTAGAGCTACGTGGTAGCGCTGATCCCCCGTGGTGTCGGCGTTAAGTAAGCATGATGGGGAGTATTGGGAGCTTAGCAGGTGGATTAAATGTATTGAAATCTGTTTTGATTTTTATGGGCTTGTGGTTGATCTATTTGGATCTTGTCTTTTTTTCCCTACGTCTTCTGGGTTCTAGATGATTGCTGTTCTACTTCTTCTATTTTCTCGTGTGAGAAACAATGTGAAGAAAGCACCATGTCAGAGAAAAGACGCTGAGTTCCGAAACCGGGGCGGTCATGATTCGTCCCGGCCGAGAGGAGCTAGCTGAACTCAGGCCCCCCCGGATCGTACAACCACCTCGGCTGCTTCTTTTTTTTTTTTTTTTGCTGAGGGGCAGATATGCTCAGAAGCCATTGGGCGATGACAATCTCGAAAAAAAAAAAAAGTAAGTAAGGCTTTGCTTTCAGCCGGAGAAACGTGAAGCTCCACACGGCGATTGGGCATCACGTCAAAACGTCACGCCGCGATCTGATCGATGTGTGACGCATTGCCCAAGCGGTTAGGGCCGGAGCAGCTTCGAAGCGAGCTGGGGGAGCGACAGCAAGGAAGAGGGTACGAGCCAGGATCATGACCTCTTTGGAAGGAAGAGCGGGCGGGTACGACGGATCATTGGCCGGGCGCCAGCCACGGTCCCGGGACGTCCGGCCAGTCACCTCATCATCGCCCACAAACATATATCCCCCCTTTTCCTCTTGTGGACGCGGACGGGCAAAATATTGGTTGGCTTCGCCTCGTGTTTGTTCCTTGCCTGCCACATGGCCCCGCGCGAACACGAGCGGTTTGCCCGCCACCGACTCCGCTTCTCACGGCGGTGACATGACTTTCGTCACGCTGCATCGCTAGTCGACGATGCGTTGGCCGAGGAGGAGCCCAAAGGCTGGAGAGAAACGGACGACAAACGTGCGGCTTTTTCGACGCATACGGAGGCTTCTAGACACGACTGCGGATTATGACAAACCCTGTCCAATGCCAGGCACATGCGGCAGGCAATGCCGGCAGCATCCAGGCCTGATTGCCTCTGCGGGGCAGGTGGTGCCTGTATGTGGCGTGGGCCGCCGCCCTCCGCAAATGACGAGCCGGCAAACCCTGCAGCCCTCTGCTAATCATAGACTCTGAAGACTCCACCGTTCAAGCCACGGCCCAATTCGGTCCCATCATCACACCTTGTTCCTGCGGCTCCCCGGAACAGGAGCTACGTCAGCCCATGGCCCAGCCATCTGGGAGGCAAGCCATGCAGGTACCTAACTAACCGGTGTTTTTTCCCTTCTCCTTTCGTGTGCATATAAGCGGCTTTTGCTGCTCTGCTCTTTTTTCTTTTGCTCTTTGCTCTTCTGCCATTTCCCTTGTTGCGTGGAATACTTGGAAAGAGAAAAAAGAAAAGGAACCCACACTCGCTATTCCTTAATCAATAAGTCCTAATGCGTTACTCGTCACTCCTCGGCCTGGCGGCCGGCCTCACCACAGCCGCCGCCCAAATCAAGGGCTTCAACTATGGCAACACCCTCACAACCGGCGCGCCCAAGTCGCTCGCCGACTTCACCAATGAGTTCAACCTGGCCAAGAACCTCGTGGGCGCATCGGGCTTCACCTCCGCACGCCTCTACACCATGATCCAAGGCGGCACCACCAACACCCCCATCTCCGCCATCCAAGCCGCCATCGACACCAAAACCACCTTACTCCTCGGCCTGTGGGCCTCCGCGGGTCAAGCCAGCTTCGACAACGAGGTCGCGGCGCTGAAGGCCGCCATCGCGCAGTACGGCTCCGCCTTCACGGACTTGATTGTCGGCATCTCGGTCGGCAGCGAGGACCTGTACCGCAACTCGCCGACGGGCATCATCAACAAGAGCGGCTACGGCGCCGACCCGGCCGTCTTGGTGTCGTACATCGAGCAAGTCCGCGCTGCCATCGCTGGCACGCCGGCATCGGGCGCGTCGATCGGGCACGTCGATACGTGGACGGCCTTCGTCAACGGCAGCAACAGCGCCGTCGTGGACGCCGTCGACTGGCTCGGCTTCGACGGCTACCCGTACTTCCAGAACACGCAGGCCAACGGCATCGGCAACGCGAAGGCGCTGTTCGACGAGTCTGTTGCTGCGACGAAGGGCGCCGCGAAGGGGAAGCCCGTGTGGATCACTGAGACCGGCTGGCCCGTCAGCGGGCCGACGGAGAACGAGGCCGTTGCGAGCGTTGAGAATGCGAAGACGTACTGGGATGAGGTTGGTTGCCCGCTGTTCGGCAACACCAATACTTGGTGGTACACGCTGCAGGATGCGGTGCCGGATACGCCGTCGCCGAGCTTTGGTCTTGTGGCGGGAGGCAGCTCGACGCCGCTGTTTGACTTGACTTGCGGTGCGGCCGGCAACGACGGTGACTCTGCTTCGTCTTCGGCGGTGTCGTCGGCTGCGTCCTCCGCCGCCGCTTCGTCCGCTCATGCTTCCACTGCCGCCTCCGCCAGCACCGCTCCCTCACAGCCCGCTGGCGGCGCCTCTTCCGCCGCTTCTTCAGCCGCCTCCGCCCCAGCCGGAACCACCGCGGCCCCCGCTCCCAGCGGCACCGCAACCTCCCCAGGCGGCGACGACGCCGAGACCACCGTCATCATCACCATCACAACAACCTACTGCCCGACCCCCGGCGTGACTTCGACCGCGACCACCACCACCGCCCTGACGCACCCTTCCAGCAGCGGCTTCCAGACAACCACTACTGCCCCCTCCACCCCTTCTTCCACATCTAAATCCTGCCCCGCCAACCTCTCCGGCACCTACGAATACCCGCACCTCATCGTCCCCGTCGACAGCGCCGCACCAACCAAGGCCCACGGCACGTCTTACAACGGCCAGCTCTCCGCCACGCTCTCCACCCTCTTCAACTTCGACATCCCCGCCTCCTACGCCGGCAAGACGTGTTCGCTCGTCTTCCTGCTGCCGGAGAAGAAGGACCTGGAGACGAGCGACTTCACCTTGTCCGGCGCCGGCGGTATCGCGGTGAGTAAGTTGGCTGCGCCGGCGACGGAAGCGACGACGTACGAGAGCGTTCCGGCGAGCGCGGGCGAGGTGGGGGGCGTGGAGAAAGTCACGCCGGGCAATGCGTGGGTGGTGGCGAGTGCGAAGTGCGAGGCGGGGAGTAGGATCGGGTATGAGGTTAAGGCGACGGGTGGCTTGGAGCTGGAGTGGTTTGAGGATTGGAATCCGAGTCCGATTGGGTTGTTTGTTAGGGTTTGTTAGATGGGTGTCTGTGAGAGGGATGTAATGATGATGGGAAGGTCTGGGGGGTTGAGAAAAAAGGTTGACGGGTTGGGGGATGGGTGGGATCTCCTTTGAATACGATCTTGTGAATATCGCGGTTAATACGTAGTGTCGATTGACCTGTCGAAATATTGAAAATAGTTTTTGATTAGTCTTTGTTTGGCAGTGATTCTACGTCTGAAGTTTCTAGGACATTACTTTCGGGGTTTCGAGGAGATGTTTCTAAAAGCCATCAGAGGCAACATCATATGGGCACTGTTCAAAGGGGATAAAAAAAATGAGAACAAACAAAGAAGAGCAACTGGATGGAGAGGTGCAGCGGGCAGATCGCTACTGTTGTACAAAGTCCATCCGAGACGCCCGGCAGGTGCAGGCCGCCCAGGACGTCGACAGCGGCGGGTTTTGATGCGGAGTATGGCTGAGATGGGGAGAAGGAATGAGAGATTAGGATGGATGGGTTGAGTCAAAGCCGGTGGTATACTAGTGTTGGCATGGGTCGGGTGAAGAATCAACACTGGTAGATTGCGATTGCATTAAGTTAATCTATTTGGAAAGCCCTTTTTCTTCTATGTCCACTAAAGTACTGCATATGATACGTGTGTATGATATTCATCAAACAGGGGGCGGCTGGAAGACTGTATTTGGTGAAAAGATAGGGGGGTATTAACACGACGGACAAATAGAAAGGCACTTCGGCTGGAGAATAACTATAGAAGGGTACCTGTTGCCTTGACAAATTCTTTATTGCTTGTTGTCTTATCAGTCATTTGGCCTATACGGCGGGTTTGAATAGGGAGAGTCTGAATATTCCTCTATTTCAAATTTGAAGAAAACGAGTATTGGAAACAACAAGATTGAGCGAAAGACGGGTTGTATCGGATGAGAAAAAAAATTCCAATTTGAGCGAGGCTATAAAATGGTCCCAAAGGGGAGTCTGCGGGTGTCAAGGCAAAAGATAGCTCGCTAGGAGATGAACGAGAAAATTCAAAGGTCGGTAGTAGACAAGGCAGAGATGGGACACATTCCTACTCTACAAATTTGTTTCATTTGACTTCTGTACAACGTCCGAAATCTGCATCGTATCGCATAGGCTTTTACGACCCGCAGCGTGACGTGAATTGCCAGTGGATACGCCAGCGCAAATGTTGGCCGACCCGGCAGAGTATGCGGCCTCGTTGATGTGCGTAGAGAGCAGCCAGGGCCTGGACGACTCGACTCTGGAGTTGGCGGGGAGGGAGCCGTGCGCTATGGATATCCATTGGTCTGGCTTATGCCTTTTCTCCTCTACCCGGCACTCATCTGCAAGCGTTGGCAAATATTCGAAGAATCACCTCGTTGTCAGCACTCGTTGCACTGTTCATTGGTCAAGCAAAACGATGGTGCTGCCTGGGTGATGCAGCTCGCAGATCATGCTCTTGGCGCCTACTGGGCGCAAAAAGTCAGTGCCCGCATATAGACTGCAGTGTTCTAGAACTTGAGAGGAGGATGCGTCGGTGGTAGCACTCGCTTGCGGAAACGCCGGACGGCGGACTTCTTGATTGGTATCTCACGCTTTTGGACCTTGCCCTGCCAGAATGTTCAGTGCCTCACTACCAATAGCCACACCGATGCCCATCCCATCCTCCTTTCGAAGATGGAGGCCCCTTACCTGGCCAATGCGAGCAATTCCCACCCGCCCGCAGATTCGACATTCATAAACACCGATCAAACCCCAATATAAGTTTCTTTCGGTAATTCGAAAACAACATTTATGCGCTCCAAAAATATTCCGCCCATTTGACTTAGTATACGCTACTCCGCCTGAATTACGTCTCTCTCCCTCATTCATCATGGCTATCTCTTTCGAGGCTATCGTCACTACTCTTACCCTTCTTGTCCAGCTTGCCGCACTTTTCTATGGCCACGGTCCCGGAAATGCTGAACGCTTTCGAAGTCAGGGCGGCCTCACTCCCCTTGGCCCTAATGGTGTGAAATGTTAATCTAGTCAGTAGACGCTATTATTCGGATATGGAACAACTTCCGTCAGCTTGTTGCGATCGGCTGGAATGTGTGCATTTCCATTCATCGAGCGAGGTACTCATCCGTGTTTCCTTTTTGGCATTATATGGTATGTCTTGAAGCCACTAACAACAAAGCAGTAGGACAGCGGTCCTCGCTTGGTGTCAGGCGCTTATGACCTTCTGTTGGAGGGTGCAGCAAGAGAATGAACAGAACGCTCCAGCTTAGTCCAATAAATGGGTAGGAGGCCTCACCCTTTCTTCGTTATCGATACATTCTTGCTCACTGTTCACTGCTGACAGAAGTGGTTTGGCTGGAGTAGTTTGCTGTTGCGCAAGTCCCCGCTGGTGATTTTCGGCTCCGCATTACTACACAACATCCGATACTATTTGACCCGCCATCCTCCACGAGATCGCCGGTTGATGATTACCAGCTTTCTGGGCATGCTCTGTATTTGCATCAAAAACGTTTTGGAGGTTCTGGAATAAATCGGATCGTCGGCTGATCCACAAGCGGAATTATGTTGGACTTCAGCGCGAGAAACTCAGAGTCTGTCGCAAGGCTATCCAGCGTTAAGGGTTTTGTGGAGTTGGCGGCCTCGTTTGTCAAACTCTGCCGAGGCCACAACAAGCGGACAACGCGTACCGAAGGTTAAGCTGGGTTTGCTGCACATGCCACATATCTTTGACGAAGATGCAGAGCTGAATCTCTGTTGATGATTACTTTGGTTTCATAGCACTTTCTTTATAAAAAAAAAAAACTATACACTTCAAGTGAAGAGTGAAAATGCTCTCGCAAGACCTGATATGTGCATGTATAAGCACTTCTCATACATGATCATTTTGCCGTAGCATTGTTCACTGATCATCAACTAAACCATACAGTACAACACTACTCCGACCTCTCGCTTCAATCTGCTTCTGCTGTTTTGAATAGAATCCAGCGGTCCTCTCACCCCATTATTAAAACCTCTCCTCGCCCTTGCAATCTTCAGCCACTCTCTCATGCTGCCTCTCTCTCTGCGGCTTTGTATAATTAATGGTCGAATGAAAGAAAACAGAAAGAAGTTCATCAGGCTGTCGCTGATGATCCACACCCCCACAACGCACGTTCCACATACCAGCCCATACCACCAAAAAATTTCACAAACGACGCCAATTAAAAAAAAAAACAGGATCAACGGCAAAAGAGATTGCTCCCCCGGACAGGCTTGAACTGTCAACCTCCTGATTGCAACCGGTAATTGAATTACCCTTTAACAGTCAGACGCGCTAGCCAATTGCGCCACGGAGGAGTAGTTTATAAACGACCCCTTGGATCCAGCTGAGTTACTGGAGTGGCTGTTGATGGAGAGGCGATTTTCTGGTAGCGATTATAAAGAGAAGCGCACGGTTTGACCCCCCTTGAGATGCGAAACATGCATGAAACGATCAGACGGTGGAATATTGGTGTAAACACGGGTGCAATTGGCCATTGTTGAGCTAGTATATATGCGGCTTGGGTGAAGCTTCGTGGAGGATACTAAACTGCGCTCGGCTTGTTGCCTCTGGTGGGGAATTCAGAAGCTAGTCTTTCGAACGTTTAGGAAACATGTTGCTAAAAGAATGGAGTTTTGGTGTTTCTATCATATGAAAGTGAACAAGCTATTTCAATTAGCTCATATTGTAACTTGAAGCTAAAGTATCCGGGTAGAAGAGCACGACTGCAGCGATAGAGGGCGAGTGATGGCCAAAAACTGGGGCTGAGAGTCTCAAGGAATAGAAGGAATGTGGACGAAAACCTTAAGCGAACAATAAGAACAGGGAGACTTTTGGACAACTGGCAGCGGATACATACTAGTTTAATTCTTTACCGACACATTCTCCAGAAAACAAAATCCAATGGATAGAAAGAACTCATCCATACCTTCTCAAGCAACGACAAATTGCGTAACAAGATCTTCCCATACAATTTTTCCCCTGTGAAATGCTTCAATCTTAATCATTTACACATGAACTCATAACCCATAAGAACACCCTCCCTTCTTAGAATCGTCTCCCCCTCTCCATCTACAACCAATGAAAGCACCCATTCCCACAGCTGATACTTCTGTGGAAACATCTACCACCACGACAATCTTCACCCCTTTTATGTGCGTGCAACCAACTCTTTCTCCTCTCATCCAAAGACATCTACATCTAAAGCAATCTCGTTTCTCTCCAGGCAAGACACACCAAAAGCATCTCCCCACTACTTCCCCCCCAACCTCCTCTCCCTCACAAACCACGCACCCACCGCCGCCCCCGCCACAAGCGCAATCATCAACCCAAACGCGCTCCGCGTACTCTCCGCATAGCACCTCCTCACGACCTCGGCCACGGCAGGCGGCAGCTCCCAGATGCTCTCGATACTCTGACGCACACGCTCCGCGATGGCAGCCGCCTCGGCGCCGCTCCCCAACGCCGCGGCCAGACGGGCCCTCAACTCCTGGTTGACCAAGGTGGCGGCGAGCGAGACGCCGAAGACGGAGCCGAGGCTGCGGAAGAGGTACGAGCAGGCGGTGGCGACGGCCTGGTCGGCGTGGGCGGCGTTGGAGATGAGGCCGATCAAGCTCGTCGTGACGCCGATGCCGTTCGAGAAGCCGGACACGCACAAGCCCAGCACGATACCCAGAGTCGAGTTGACAGGCGCGAACTGGGGAGGCAGCAGACGCGCGCCGCCGCCGGCGCAGACGAAGATGACGGCGGCGCCGACGACGAGGCCGGCGTAGGCGGCGACGGTGAGGCGGTAGAAGCGGCCGGTCCACTGCATGTAGAAGCCGCCGAACAGGCTGCCGGTGACGCCCGCGATGATGCCCGGGATGAGGCGGACGCCGGCCTGCGTCGCCGAGGCGCCGTCGACGACCTGGAAGTAGAGCGGCAGGTAGAACAGCGCCGCCATGTAGCCGCCGAACGAGAAGAAGTTGCACGCGTAGCACGCCACCAGCGACCGCTCGAAGATGATGTGGCCGGGCGCGAAGGGGTCGCTGGCCACCTTCGTCTCGACGAGCAGGAAGAGCAGGAACAGCGGCACCGACGCGCCCAGCGAGGCCAGCGTCGTGCGGTCGCGCCACGAGACGTTGGAGCCGCGGTCGAGGCCGAGCAGCAGCATGAAGACGGCGGCGATGAGGATGACGGCGCCGAGGAAATCAATGCGGCGCAGCTTCTCCTTCCAGTGCGAGTGGTCGCGCTTGGGCAGCTTGAGGGCGAGCGACACGGCGATGATGGCGACGACGCACAGCGGCGGCTGGAACAAAAACACCCAGCGCCAGCCCACGCGGTCGGCCAGGATGCCGCCCAGCGGCGCGCCCGTGCCGGCGCCCGTCGCGAAGACGATGTTGATGTAGCCCTGCCACTTGCCGCGCTCGCGCAGCGTCACGATGTCGCTCATCATGATCGACACGACCGTCGTCATGCCGCCGCCGCCCACGCCCGCGAACGCCCGCGCCGCGATCAGCTCGTTCATGTTGCGCGCCAGCCCGCACGCCAGGCACCCGATGCCGAAGATGGTGTACGCGAAGAGCAGGCATGACTTGCGTCCGAAGATGTCCGAGAGCTTGCCGTACAGCGGCTGGAACGACGTGAGGGTCAGAAAATACCTGAGCAGCAGCACCATCTGTCAGCACTCAATTCTCCCAGGGGAAAGAGGTCCCGGAGTTCCTTACGCAGTTGCAATCCACGAAGTGTTGTTCAATGCCCCCAGATCCGAGCCGATGCGCCCGTAACTTGACACAATGATCGTCTGGTCCGCCGCGGAGAGGAAGATCTGCCCATCCCAAAACATAAGCAATCAGCACTCAATCGATCAACACCAACCATCATTTCCACCGTGGTCCCCAATTCCCCTTCCCCTCCTCCCCTCCCCAGAAAAAGTAGTCATTACTCACCCCTACAGCCACGGCCGGCAGGATATACTTCATCCGCTTCTTGACCTCGGGCAAGCCCTTGTACTTGTTCAGCGTCGTCCCGGCCTCGCTGATGTTGCTCTCCTGCCTCTCCAGATCCCCGCCGTCATCCTCAAAGCCACCACCATTGTCTCCCTCATAGTCGTCCTCGGGACCGTCCCCCACGGGCTGCGGTGCCAGGACCTGCAGGCCGTCAGAGGTGCGGCGTTGGCCCAGGAGCGGGCTCCTCTCGGTCGGGTGGCCGTTGTGGCCGTTTGCAGCGCGGTGGGCCGTCATGGCCGGGAAAAGAGGCGGTCGGCTGGTGATGTGTTTTACTTCTTCCCAAGAATACGAGAAAGGCGGGCAGAAGGAAGGAGAAAGAGGAAACGTGTGTGTGTTTTCTTCGTCGAAGCAAAGTAGAGGGAGTGCCTTCTTCTCCGCTACATGCACGCGGCCTTCGACCAGCTCACACCCAGCTCACCACTGCTGTCGATCGGTGGCGGGAATTGCGATTTTTGTCGGTCGTCGGAGGGGGGCGGCGTACACCTGGCGCGTGGGGACGCGAAAGCGGTGGAGGGAAGGATTGCTGTGGGTGCCGCCGCTGTGTGGGTGGAGGAAGGGAGGAGCTTGGGTCAGTTCTCACGGCTCAGGGCCTGGTCAATGACCCTCGCGCATCGGGTGAGGCCTTGACTCTTGATACACGGCCTGAATCGGTCGTGGCGACGTGGAGGAGGAGGGGAGAAGAGGGGGAGAGAGAGAGAGCCATTGCCGTATCAGTTGAGTCTTTGTGTCTTCCGCCATCTTCCCCCACTGCTGATTAGCAATTCGGGATCGCCCATCTCGGGCTACCGAGCGGGTCGGTCGGGAGTTCGAGAGTTCGCCGCGAACAAGCACGTCAGTTTCCTCCGCCGCTTGGTCCGAGCGTCTCCCTCGTGTCCTTTCCCATGGTTTGCTTCTGCTGCGTCTTCTAGGCGCATGTATACGCGCTGCAACTCATCAGGGACCTGGTTCGAGTGAATGCGGCCCATCACGAATCGAGTCTCTCTCCGATGCGACAGGTCTGCTCAGCAATTGCGCTATCGCGCTTTGTGCGCCATGCAGCTGGGGTAAAGCGGGCACTCCCGCTGCCTATCTCCGACCAACCATCTAGCACGCTTCGGGTAGGTATCGAGAATACATCATCAGTAGTTGCTCGGCAAAGCTGCGGCAGTTCTTAGGAATGATCAGAGTAACGTTTTGTGATTGAAGTCGTTGTCTATCTCTTGTCGCTTAAAATAGGCGAATAAGATACAATAACCTTGCAAATCCGAGACTGCACACAGACACTTAGGCCTGTATTTCGGCTGATGTTTGAGCAACTTTGCTCGTTAGGACAAAAGAAAGAAGATTCAGTCGCGAACCTGTTCAATCTCCCAGAGTTAGCTGGAAACGTCAGCAGATCTGGAAAATACAGCTCGTACCTTAACATAATCGTCAACCATAAAACTTACCCCGGGGCAGGTTGCCTTTGTTTTTTTTTTTTTTTTTGGCTGCACTTGTCGCAGCGGCTGCTGTTACAGTTGAGAGCGGAGGTAAGGCGCCTACACTGGCTGTTGCTGCTGCTGTGCCATGTAATTTTCTCCGTCCGCGAACATCATTGTATACTCCAGCCTAAATGGCTATTAGCGATTCCAACTGCACCTACCTTCAATTGAAGATAAAGCAGCTTACCTTCTCAACACTCCGGAAGAGCACCGTCGAGATATTCCGTCCTGACCTCCACGCCCGCCAGCCGCGCCTCAAGCGCCATACCCGCCTCCCTGAACTCGCCCATGGCCCTCTCAGTAACCGCAACATGTTTCTCCAACGACTCGAGCGTCGCGTTCATGCGCTGAATAGCCGCGACGAAAGACCTCTTGGTCTCGTGGCTCGACTCGAGCGTCTCCTGGCTGAACCGGAGCGTCTCCTGACTGAACTTGAGCGTCTTCTGGCCGAACTCCAGCGTCTCCTGGCTGAGCTTCAGGATCTTGACGTTGTCCTCGAAGATCTCAACCGTCGTCTTCTCCACGACGCGCCGCGTACCCACGAGCAGCCAGAACGTGAGGACGCTAAAGGTGAGGATGATCGTGAGGCCCATCGCCTCGGATGGGTTCATCGTGGTGTGGCGAAAGATGTAGACGACGGTCTGCTTCAGTGTGACTTCCTGGGCCTGGAACGGGTTCCGCATCTGTAGATCTGATGGCGAAAGTTAAGCCTCTTGCCTCAGCAAACAGGAATGACGTTAGGAGCAGATCTCACTTGGCCACCACCTGCGCTCGCTGATGCTCCAACGAAAAAGATCCGGAAGAGTAGGTACGAGAAAGCCGATGATGAGAGGCATGTTGTTGGTGCTTCCGTCCGAAGTGGGCGGAAACAGCTGCCTGGCGATGCTTCCATCGAAGGCAGGAGCAAACCGCTATCCTAATCAGGAAGCCACACCAGCCGTACACGCACCTCACCTCAGTTCTGTTGTTATAGAAATTTTCGTGCAGTAAACAATGCCTGTCCGATCTGAAGTCTCAAAACTACGCCCGGACATTTACTTCAACTGCCCATGTAGGAAGAGCATAAAATCCTAAGCGGGGAACAAGGTGCCCAACCCTCCTGCAATTTCCCTCACACCATGGATGAAGAAACCACACTGCCTATCTCAATTTAGCTCTTGGAACTGCAGGAAGTTCAGGAGTATCAGCGGTCCACAATCAACAACAGTGTACCAATATGAATCGTCATGTGATAATATTCAGCCAAACGTCCGCCGACCGAATACCCAACTACTACGCAGCCGTATAATCCATTCATTCATGCAGAGGAAAGAAATCCGTGGGGGAAAAGGGGGGAGAAGCAATAACGACAACAACCGAACAAAATCACACACATTACTTTCTCTCTCTCCTCTCTCTTCTCCAACGATGGCAAAGACAGCCTAGCTCAGCTTTTTTGGTCCTTCATGGAAAGGTCAAGAAAAGAAAAAGGAAATATAGGTATCTAAGCTCAACGGAATTGATGAGACTGTGCGGAGAAAACGAGAATGAGGACGAAGAACAAGAAAAAAGGGTTTCAAAAGAAGAAGAACCAAAAAGACGCACATCGCCCATTTAGTCATCCCACCCAATACGCCATCGAAATGCGTATCATCGTCAATACATACACGGCGTTGCTCTCTCACACAAAAGTTCGTCCTCACCTCCAAAGCATCTGTGACCGCAAGACCCTGTCGCTCCAACCAATTCAATCCCTTCTTTATCATAGCTTGATACCCCACACCCCTCTTCCTCCCGTCACTCCCAGCCACTCACCACCCTGAGTCGTGAGTCCACTCTGTGGTGCCCAGCTCAAATTACCCACCTCGTAATCGCACCGCCAGCTGGCTGCAGGACCCTTCATGTTGACACCGCTGGAGCTGGAAGACGCGTTGTTGGAAGAATTGTTGGCGTTTCCGTTGGACGTTGCGTGCTCGCCGTTGATCGTGGCGCCGTTCTGAGAATGGATCAGATCCCAAACGAGCACCATGCTGTCATCTCCACCCGATGCAAGCATGCCACGACGCGTGGGGGACCATTCGATACTGTTCACCGCTGCTTGGTGACCACGCAATTCCAGGAGCGCCTGGCCAGGTTGGCGGACGTCTAATATCCGGATCAAGTTGCTGTCTGAGGCGAAAGTGGCGAGGAGATGAGCGTCGTGGGGTGACGCTGCCAGACGCAGCAGAGGCGGGGCATATGACATCATCTGTTGAGCCTTCGTGGGAGACATGCGACCTGGCGAGCCTAGAGAACCCTGTCAGAAACAGCTACACCCTTGTCAGTCACAAAACGTACCTTTTTCTTCCCTCTTCTCCGTAGGCTCGTAGATAATGGTGGAATGTTCCAGGCTTCGGAGGTCGAACATTCTCACGCTACCATCCGCGCCACAGCTGACAAACACATCAACGCTCCCCGCGCAGAAACGAACATCAAATACCTCCTTGTCATGGGCAATGAGCTGCGTCTTGGCAGTCAGGGTCGGAATGTCCCAGATAGTACACGTGGTATCGATGCTTGACGTGATTATAAGCTTTGGCGAGAGCGTGTTCCAGTCGAGCGAAGTCAACGGAGCAGTGTGCTCGGGAGATTTGGAATTCGAGAGGAGGGCCAACGGAGTGAGCTTCTGCGCAGGGGGGTCGCGAGTGTTGACAGGCGAAGAGCGGGATATGGTGTTGCTGACGTTGGATGCGGGAGTTTGTGGCAGCGACCAGAGTCTCAGGTGGTCGCCCGAGGTCGCGAGAAGGTCGGTGGATTGCTTCTGGGAAGACGGAGGCTCCCATAATATCCGTGTCACCGGATAAGAGCAGGTCGCCTCTGCGACACGGGTGTATTCGACGCCAAAGGCCGGGGCGCCTGGCGTGGTGGCCTCCTGAGGAGCGATGTGCGTGTCGATGATTTGAATCTACGTCTGCTATCAGCTTGAAGCCCTCATCTTTGAGCGCGATGGGAGGTGCAGAGGGAGAACCCCCGGCAGCACAGATCGCAAAGTTTGGGGACGGAGCCCGCTACTCGCCAGAATAGCGGCTCTCCGGTCATCCTGCGATTTGAAGCATGCTGGTGACTCTCGCCAGGACCGGCGCCAGGAGAGGATCCGCTATACTCACAAAATTATGCGGATCTTCCAGGTAGCTACCGACAGCCATTTTGCCCGCGCTGTTCCCGCCATGAACTGGCCATTTGCACCAGTCGTATGCGTAGACCGGCCATGGCGCCAAGTAGTTGCAGTTCCCAGCCGCCCGAGTTTCCAAATCGCTCATCAGCGTGGTGTTCGCCGGCATGTCCTCGCCAATTGTAGAGTTTGCGCGCGGGCGTATGTCGGACAGGGCGAGCGGGGAGTTGGAGGCAGCGCCAGAGGGCGTCTGGGCCTGGTAGTGTCTTTGGCTCGGGGTGGGCGCGTACTTGGGCACCTCGGGCGTCGGCACGGTAGAGTTGAAGGGAATGTACTTCTGGTCCAGGCCGGCTGGGCTCGAGCGCGAGTAGGAATGAGTGGAGGATGAGGACTGCATGGTGCTGGAGCGGGTGGGCAGAGTGTACTGCTGGGCGTTGGTGTTGATCTTCGGGACGGTGGTAGGCGCCGTGTAGGAGGCGGAAGGCGCAGGGCGAGCACCCGCGGCCGGGCCGGGCTGCAGAGGAGCGGGCAGGTCAGGAACGCTGCTGGCGGAATTAGCGAATTGCGCGTCCTGCGGTTGCTGGTTCTGAGGCGGCGTCGCGTGCTGCAGGCTGATGTTGAGGTTCTGTGCGCCGCCGCCGGGCGTCAAGGCAACGGGCGAGTTGAAGAGCTGCGAGTGCGACGCGCTCTGCTGGCCCGCCGGCGGAATGTGCAGGTCCTCGGGCTCTCTCTGGGCGACCGGCCGCCGCGCAACCTCGAACTGCGGACCCGTTGCAGCGGCTGCTGACTGAGAGCCTGGGGCAGGCAAGCCCGACGCCGACGCTGACGACGGCGGGGCGGACTGCAGCGCGCTGAATCTCGGATCGTTGCCGCTGCCAGGCAGGAGCGCGTCCGTGTCTGCGCCCGTCGTGCCGGCCGTCGCAATGCGGAGGTTGCTGTGTGGAGCGGCGACGGAGCCTAGGGCCTGCGTGGCCGCGAAGATGCCCTGCGCCGCGCCCTGGCCAGAGCTGCTGGTATGGTGGTGCGAATGGAAGGGCATGGTGCCGCTGGCGGTGCCTGGACTCGTGCCCGGCTGCGAGGGGGTGGGCGAGAGGGCGAGGAGAGCGGATAGTTACCTGCGACTCTGGAACAAACAAGGGCCTGTCGGGATGAGGCCGCTGATTACCTACTGACCGGCGAAGGGGTCGTCGATGTTTGGCGACACGCGGGGCTGCCTTGCCGGCCGTGGAGCCATGACTAGGAGCTCTGTTGTCACTTCTGCCCAACAGCCACCCCTCACGACACTCGCCTTTCGCTGCCCCAGCCCGCCGCGCTCTGCTTGCTTGGGCTTCCATGACGATGGCCCAAAACGGTCGCCAAAAAAGCGCCCGCCACCTGCTGCTCCTGCCGCCGCCGCCCTCGCCGCCGTCGTTCGTCACGCTCCAGGCTGCCTACGACGCGACGCTATGCCTTGCCCTGCACGAGCTCCAGCGCACCCCGGCCTCCACCACCGGCGCTGCACTGCTGGAGATTGCGCTGCCGTGCCCGCATCTGCACGGCAATGAGCGAGCGCCGCGCGGCGCGCTCTTTGCGCGCACGCAGAGCCTGGTGGCCGGCCTCTACAAGCTGATCTGCGTCATTGCCGCGCGCGAGGGCATCGACGTCGAGAGCGCCGACGGCGTCGATGCACGCGTGCTGCTGCTGGCCTACCCCAGAAACGGCGCGCTGAGCCATCTGCCCGCTGAGGGCCGAGCCGAGGGCGATCTACAAGGGCCGGTCATCGACATTGGCACGTTGGCGCAGAGCGGCAGATCATGGGAAACGGTCTACGCCGTCGAAAGCGAGGCAGGGGAGCAGGTGCTTAAGAATTTCCAGGGGCTCGGGAAGCGCATGCACAACATCAAGAGGCTGCGTGGAGGCATCGTGCAGGTATCAGACGGCCATGCGAATGAGCCTACCCTGGATGAAGCCCGGAGGCATCTCTCCGTCGCCGTTGGTGGAACGTTTGATCATCTGCACATTGGTCACAAGCTGCTGCTTACCATGACGGCCTTTGCAGTCGAGCCCGCCACGAGCGTCGACGGGCCCCAACGCAGCATCACCATCGGCATCACCGGCGACGAGCTGCTCAAGAACAAAAAGTACGCCGAGTATCTCGAGAGCTGGGACGCCCGGCAGCGGCGCACTTTTGATTTTCTGAGCTGCATCATCGATTTCACCGCGCCGGGGGGAGGCATGCAGAAGGTCGAGGAAGTGAAGGACCCCGGTCCGAACGGGCACGCCGTCAACATCACGCTACCCACCCAGCTGGTGCTCAAGTGCGTCGAGATCTGGGATCCGTATGGTCCCACGATCACAGACGAGGGCATCTCGGCCCTGATCGTGTCTGGAGAAACGAGATCTGGCGGGAAGGCGGTCAATGCCAAGCGCCAAGAGAAGAGCTGGCCGGAATTGGAAGTATTCGAGGTGGACGTCCTGGATGCGCAGGAGGAGCAGGAAGAAGGCGTCGAGCAGAGTTTCCACAGCAAGCTCAGTAGCACGGAGATTCGTCGCCAGCAGAGCGAGAAGTCTAGACCAGCGGGCCAGGCATGAGCGCAGAGTCGGGCTGCAAGTTATGTCTTTCTTTAGCAGCACAGTAGGGCACCCACACGGGGAATTCAAACAGCTTTCCGGGCGCGAGGGTGACACGAGATGAATGCTTGCACGGTTGCACAGCTGTTGCAATTTCTCGGGCTGACGACGTGTCTCCTTCCGCTTTCTCTGGAGTACAGGCGGGCGGAAGTATAGGGACCAGAAGGGAACGCCGACGTGGCCCACGGCATGAGCAATGTAGCATCATGATACAATCAATCTGCAGTCTGCGTTGTCGTTTGCCGGTGCACGACACTAACGCTGCAGAGGCTAGTGGTGGAATACGTCTCAGCGACGACGTGTAACGTGCGGGTGGGGAGGCGATGTCGAGGCCAATTGGAGCTTCCAGAGCCCACCGGCGAAGGTCGGACGAAACTGGAGACGGTCTGGCGACGGGCGGTCTGGCATCATATCTGTCTGCTCGGCAGCATCTTGCGTGACGTGACCGGCGGAAGCGGGCGGCGGCCGAATGCTCTGTCGTGCATTAGGGATTCCGCGTCGTCCTGACGGCGCGGGCAGCTGCAGGTCCCAGGATGCAGCGCCTTGAGGTTGACGGTCAGCAGGCGCCGGGGTGTTGCGGGCGGTGGGCTTAGGCGGCGTTGGCTTTTAAGCGTACCGGCACGGCGCTGCGGGTCGGAGAGTCAGGGCACGTTGTCGATCAGCCTCTCATCGCTCAGCTCCAGGCTCGACTGCGATCATGGAAACAAGCTGACGTGCTTTCGGCGGGCGGTGCGGGCGCGGTCCGGCCAATGCGGCGGCGCTTTGGGACGCTGGACTGGGCGTTGAGTGGTCAACTGCACATGCGTCTATGTGTTGTCACCTCAGCCCTCATGCATCCAACCCCGGGCCCCGTTCGCAAAACAGCCTAGGAGCTGCCCGTGGACCCATGCCAGCCGGCGCAACTCAAGAGCTACGGGCAGCCTACATATCGCCCGCATGAGGAGTCCGGCACGTGAGAAGACTAAACTCAAAGCGTGAAGGGCTCTGGGAAGCCTGGTCGAGTCCGCGGGCTCGATTGGCTGCTGGGCCTATGAGACGGCTCTGGGATTCGCTGTCCGGCGCATGCCCCATCCACTGTCCCTCAAAACCGACGATAGCGCCTGACACGCCTGCATACTCAGCGCGCACTGCTTTTTCTTCGGTCATGGTGCAGCGGCAGAAACCCTCTTAACTTGAAAATGCACCGCTACGGCCACCGGTCCCGCGCCCACAAGTAGTCTCAGACCTCCCCTCCAAGCGACACGCCATCCGCATCACCGCGCCAGCTGCCACCCATCGCAGCCCCAACCGCCTGCCCGCCGCTGCCTCCCGCCGTCCTGCCCTTCGCCGCCGGCCCCCAAGAGCCTGCGCGCCAGACGCGCCGCTTTCCGCCGACGGTTCGCCGGTCGATGCGCACGCCTACCCCGCGTGACCCTGCGACATGGCCTCCTCCACCGGCATCCTGAGCCTCTCCAACGAGCTGCTGCGCGACATCCTCGACCACATCGAGGCAGACCCGGAGAAGCAGGTCACCGTCGACCGCCGCTCGTACCTGTCACAGGAGAGCTTCAAGCCGCCCCCGCCACCCGCGCCCAACCAGGCGCAGGACATCGGTGCCTTCCGCCTCACGTGTAAGAGGTTTTCCGAGTTGGGTGCCGTGTGCCAGTTTGCCCGTGTCACCACCCGCTTCTCCCGCAAGGGCTTCCGCCGGCTGGAGAACATCGCCGCCCGCCCGCACCTGTCCCGACATGTCAAGAAATTCAGTTACATGGTGCCGTACTTCTACGTAGAGGGTCCTCCACAACGCTCACCCGCCCCCGCCCAACCCAGCACTGACCATTTGAGCAGGACGCGAGCGTATCCACCAGCTGCTGCCCGGCCTGCAGGACAGCCTGGGCGTCTCGGACGTGCGCCACTTTGTGCGGAAGATCAACGAGCAGAAAGAGATTGTGAGCTCGGGTGAGGACGAACAGGCCCTCAAGCACGCACTGGCTGCCTTCACCTCGCTACAGCATGTCCAAATCCTGCGCGTACAGGACCAAGAAACGGCAAATCTGCTGTCCTATATCCGCCAGCACGAGCATCTGAATCAGCTCGTCGAGCTGAGATGGGCCCCGGCCTGTTCACATAGCGCCAAAACCCTCGGCGCCGCGCTGCTCGAGTCCCGCTCGCCGTGCTCCCGCTTCTCCTCGCCCATGCTCAGCCCTCAGAGTGCAATAGTTCTGGCATCACATCCCCCCAAGGCTTTCACCGCGCTAGCAGAGAGGCTTACGTGTTTAGAACTCCACTTCGATGACGGCACCGACTTGGACAACAAGATGAGAGAGCTCTCGGACCTGTTCAAACTCGTCTTCAACGCCGCCAAAAACATGCAGGCGGTCCACGTTGGCTTCCCCTCGCACCGGCCTCTCAGCCTAAGGCTGGAAGAAATATTCCACAACGTCCGTTGGGACAAGCTCCTGGCGTTCGGCATCCAGGCGTGGCGACTGGACGCGGATGAGATCATCGCCCTGGCGCAGCGGCATCGGGACAGGCTAAAGGGCCTGCGGCTCAGGGATGTTTTGCTAAAGGATGGCAGCATGTGGAAAGATGTGCTAGCGTTTTTGCGCGACGACATGATTCGGCTGGATTGGGTGAGCTTGCGGCGCATAGGCTACGCGAAGCACTTTGACGAGCAATGGGCGGTAGCTGGAGCCGAGGTCCCGGACGATCCGCCAGGCGGGGCCAGCGAAAGTGACGACGAAAGTGACTGGGATCCCCACGCCACAGCCGAGCAGGACGATTCGGAGGTGTCACTGGAGGACATGTCAGATTCCTCTTCGGATCACGACCACTCGGACGACGATAACGGGCCGGAAGAGGAGGGCATGGATTTTCCGATGATCTCACCCGACACGCCGTCGTCGGTACCATGGTGCAATTGCGGGAGGAATTCGTTCTTGGAGAGCCCAGAAGCGCTAGGTGATAATGGACTTTTCGTATCCAACGCACAACGGAAGATATGGGAGAAATGGGTCGTGAGAAGGTGCCCAGAACACAGTCAACGATGACGTGGGCTCGAGGACTCAGTTGTACTTTCGGATGACCTTCCTGAACGAGCCAGCCACGGTTACCGGATGAAGCTGCCCGCAGACGGAGCGTCCCGCCGTCCCGCAGGCGGGATAGTCAAGCCGTGGTCTGGCCAATATACGTATTCGACGCGTTTTGCTTTTGTCGCGGCAACGGGATTGACGGCTCGGACATGCATCCAGTTGATGTATCAGGCTGCATTACCCGTCAACGCTTACTTTTTGGATTTTTCCGGCATTTGTCTGTTTTGAGCACAAAATATCTGTACCGGCGGCATATTCTTTCCCCACAGCAAAGAAAAAAGCCTGGTGTCCGGAGCCGAAGAGAAAGTTCTTTCTTCCCGTACTGGTTAGTAATAACTATATCTTAGGTTTGGTCCTAGGTACTTCGTCATGTCATTTGGGCCAGTTTTCCTTAAAGAATGTTTCCTTGTTCATCATTTTCTTTTCGTTGTACACGGCTTTTGGTCAGAAAAAGGGATCTCGACTTCTCCACGTTGTTTTAAGTAATTTCCACGGGACACGTATCGAAAGGTAGCAAATAACATGATCTAGCAGCATTTAGTCATGTCCCACATGACACTGACCTGGGGTTGGTCTCTACAAAAGCACTGAGGCGCGCGTGGGACAGGGCAGGAGGAGAATAGATGAATTTCAAAAAGACGAGGGCCTGACTGCCGCCGCAAGCATAGGTGAAGAGGCACAGGCCGGAGGAATGACGTAAGCGGTACAGGCATTTGAGGCAGGAGCAGAAAGCGCGTCAGAGCGGTGAGGTGGGCAAAATTCCCAAACGGGCAATCACGAGCAACCATAACTTCCTCTCCCCAGACGCGACTTGCTTCCTGCACTCCACACGCAACCCCGCAATCTGGACGCGACGGTCGCTGTGCCTAACGCAAGTCATTCCTTCCCACCGGTCAAGCACCCAAATGACTACCCTTAGCTCGCAGGTCCTTGGCGCTCCGTCGCGCGTGACCCCATCACGCACAACGCTGCTCCCGTCCCTTCAACACCACAGGCCTATTGCACATGACAGCACAGCTACAGCGAACAAAACCTAAAGCTGCGGTAAGATTTAGCTATTACCAGCCACGCAGCCGCCGTGGGCGTGTCTACCCTTCCTCCACAGGATATTGAGGGTAGCCAGACAAACTCTTCTGTCTGCATCTAAGCGACAGAAATTCCGCCGAAACTCCAGACGCATCCAGAAAGTCGCGGCGGACAACATTCCGACAATCACTTTCGTCGTTAACACATTGCGGTCGCCGTAAGACCACCGCGCGCGCGTCCTTAACGATTCGCACGACCCATCCCGCTGCATCGATCACTTGCACCCTTATCTGGACAACATCTCACCAGACTAACGACGCAAAATCGGGCTTGACTCACAAGAGTTCTTGACAATATGGCACCACCCATTCTTGCGCCGCTACCCATCTTCGGCATTGCTCTGACCGGCACTGCCATCGTTTCCCTCGTCTTCCTTCACTTCTGGTACTCTCGCCTCGACCGTAAGAGGAACACCTACAGAGTGGAGTCTCGGAGCACTGAACGCAGCCCTGTTGACTCGGAATGCGGTCTACGCGAGAGGGACTTGTTCCGTGGATCTCCTGCTCTAGTCCCGCCTGGCCAGGCTGGACGAGGCCGTGTATGGACCACAGCGGAAGTTCGCCGTGGAGGTTTCAGAGGCGCAGAGATGGAATCCGATATCACCGATATGAGAGGCGTCCGTAATGGCGGCATGCGCGGTGGCTCTGGCGACAACCCGTTCCTCACTCCTCGCAGTACTACGCCTACGCCTTACAACACGATAGCCAGCATGAGAGGTGGAGCACGGCCACAGCATCTGACCAGCGTTGAGGCTCTTCGTCTCAGCGAAACCGGCAGTGCCCACGGCAGCGATTCTGTCTTCTTACAAAGCTACGACCTCGCCGACGGCTCGCCTCACGGCCAGCACCACCATGGTACTACGAAGCATGCTCATGGCCACTCCCCTCTCCGCAATGACATCACAGCCAGCACCGCCAAGACCGAGGCCGGCACTTCCTCCAGTAACGACAACACAAGCAACGATACCCTCAAGCCGCCGTCGAGCGACGAGAGCAACGAGAAGAGGGGCAGCTTCAGCCGCAGCATCAGCAAACTAAGCATGAAGAGCAAGAGCACGAAGAAAGAGAGCAGCAAGAAGAGCCCCGGCCCTCTGGAGGTCCACCCTTGGCGCTTGTCGTATACCTGAAATCCTGCATGCATGATATGGGCAGGGGTTGAACAGGGTTAGTCACATTGAGTGTGTGAGGGGTTAAAGTTTTTCGAATGTACTTCACTAGGGTTTTTGGTGATTAGCGTAAGAGGATACTGGCATTAGCGTGGGCGAGAGGTTTCAGGCGCTGTTGGAAAGATGATGGGTTGTGCATTCTGGCGGAGCGTTTCTCCAACGTTGATTGGCTTTGCTAGAGCAAGGCTGCGATTATCGACTCAGGACACGGTTTGACAGATTCAAAGACACACAATGAGTTAAAAAAAATTATAAAGCTCCATATTCACAAAGACATCTTGCGTGCTTTGTGAAAGCAAATATATATATGAACTGTGAACATTGTTTCAAAATTTATGCGAGGTCGGAACATAAACTTTAGTCACTCACCCAGAAGATTAATTTTTTTCTACCCTGCAAGCAATATCATCCCTGTCATCGACAACTAAAGCTATCGTCCAGATGTAAATATAGAATTAGCGATCATACATGCACGGGGGCAATAGCTTTAACTGCCCACATAAATCGAATAACTGCTTACGTAATTAGATTGCAATATGCTTGGTGTGACGAATTCAAGACTCGATTGTTTTTCACCCTGCAGTTGTGCAATGCGTCTTGCAAGAGATCAAGGTTCGGAATAAGTTATACAGAGGGGTGCTGCAGCCGATGGCTAGCGCGAAGGATAACAGGGCTCTAGAATATAGCGTAACTATGCCCCAGCTCTGCCTTAGAAGAATTAACATATGTGGGTAGTTGAAGCTATCGTCCGGACGAGAATGTCGAATTAAAAATTCTACATACACGTCCGGACGATAGCTGTAGCTCATTGCACGCACATGAGTTTAGTCGGGAAGCGCACAGAGCAATTGGGCACGTAAAGGATGATATTTCTGCCGCCACAAAAAAAAAAAAAAAAGACAGAGCAAGAAGAGAAGGAGAAGAAGACTTTTCAAGTCAGAAGTGTCCCTCCAGTTCCAAAAAAAAAGTAAACGTAAGCAAGAAGCCCTTTGAAAAGGACAAATAAAAACTCCCTAAGCCCGCACTCAACACCCAGCCAGTCTCCGCTCATTAACCAAGATGGCCGACAACAACCCACAACGCCAAACCCTTCATCCCGTCGTTAAAGTTAAGTGGTATAACAATCTCGCTTACAACAACAGCACCAGCAAGAAAGGAGAGTCCCACCAAAAAATCCAATCAATCAATCAATCCGTCCCCCCTTCTTCCCCCTCGCGATCAACCTCTCCCTCAAATCACCCACCGCCTCTCCCCAACTAGGCTTCGGTTCCGCAGCACCAGGAGCGCCCACGACGACGTCGCGGCCGACGTACTGCTGGATGAACTCGGCCATCTTGGCCTCCTTGTACGCCTCGCCGTAGACGGCCTTTGCGGCGACGGAGACGGCGGCGTGCAGGTCCTTGGAAGGGTCGTCGTCGAGGTTGGCGACGGCGATCTCGAAGGCGATGCGGACCTTGGACTGGACCGAGGGCAGCAGGACGGCGGCGTGGACGGCCATGCGCTCGTCGGACAGGATGAGCTCGTCGGTGACGTGCGCGAGAGCGAGGCGGCGCGCGTTGGCGGCGACGAGGCGGCACGCGTCCCAGCCGCGGGCGATATGCGTGAGCAGGCGCGGCACGCGCGTCGTGGCTTGCGGCAGGCAGTGCAGGTTGGCGCGCAGGACTTGCAGGAAGAAGCGCTTGGTGGTGGTGAGCGAGGCGTCGCCGATGTACGTCAGGCTGATGGGCCCGTTAGGCGACGAGGGCGAGGGTGCGTGCGGCGCGAAGGCGCCCGGGTGGAAGAAGAGCTGCAGGTCGTTGCGGTAGCTCATCGTGAGTGTCTTCTCAGGCGAGGCGCTGGCCGACGTGATAGTCCACCCGTGCGCCTTCTCCAGCGCCGTCACCCGGGCTTTGACCCCGTTGACTTCGTCGACAGACCAGCCACGGCACTCTTCACGCACGCGCTCGGCCTCCTGCGTCTCCTCGATGCACTCCACCTTCCGCTCCTTGGCGGCCTCGATGCGAGTCTCCTTCTCGGCGAGCTGCTGCTGCAACTCCTGCACCTTGCGCTTCTTCTCCTCGATGGCGGCTTCGGCGGCGATGATGCGCTCCCTGGCAGCGTCGAGCTCTTCTCTGTCAGGGCCGTTCAGCTCCTCGGCGCGACGTTGAAGTTGTTTGCATTCCGACTGGAGGTGCGCGTGACGATCCTGAAGCCCTGGCAAAGTGGAGTCGATGATCTGCTCCTGCTTCTTGAGTGCCACATCGTCCTGGTTGAAGCTGTCGGCTGTCCTCGTCAGACCCGCCTTGATGTCACGGAGTAGGTTGCTCCGCCATCCGTACCAAGCTTCCTTGGTCCTCAGGCGTGCGTTCGTTTTCATGTTCTTGAATTGATTATCCATGACCGCGCGCTGGTCGGCAGGCGCTGACATGTAGTCGCGGAACAGCACTGGGTTCTCCTCGTAGACCTCCTCTTCCATCTGACGAACAAGATTCTTGCCCTCGGAGATGTATTTCTTGAGCTCGTGGCACGCATGCTGGTACATGAGGTATTCTGGCTCTGTGCACGCGGCAGCCACGACGCAGGTCTCCAAGTCGTCCTTGCCCTCAATCTCGGCAGCGTTGAGGCTAGCACTCCTGCCGAACGCATTTTGAGCACCGGGATAGCCCGTGTGTCTCCGCTTGGTGGTGGTTAGTTCCATGAAGCGGATGCCAGTCATCTCCAGGAACTCCTGGAGCTGGATCTGCTCCACTGGTTCTTCCTCACCCACAGCTTCATCGTTGTTTTCCTCCTCGGCCGGCAAAGTAGGGTATTGCACTTCATCTACACCGAATTGGACTTGTTTCTGAGGGGATGACGACTTCTTCGGTGAAGGGGTCTTTTTTGGGCTCGGAGTCTTCTGAGATGCTGCCTCACGGGGTGTTGCGGCAACAGCACGCTTGAGTGGCGACGTGAATACCTGTTTCCGAGGTGTTGAAAGAAGCTTGATAGAGTCCATCAGCGACGGAATCGATGCCGCTCTTGGCGCGGGCTCTTTGGTTGGGGTAGTGGTCTCCGCTTCAACGGGCGTAGCAGCGCGCTCCTCCACCATTTCTTCTTCCAGCGCAGCCTGAGCTTCGGCAATGGACTCCTCCATTGACTTCTCAGGCGTTTGCTGCTGGGGCGTGTTCGCAACTGACACAGGTTCGGGAGTCGTTGCGACATCCGTTTGCGCTGGCCCACCACTCCTTCGAAGCGATCGACGTGGCGATTGCTGGGTTGCCTTCCGAGGCGATTTCTGTGGCGACTTCCTCGGGGATTTCTTAGGAGTTGTGTCCCTGTGGATCTTCAAGGCAGCGATAGGACTCTCAGCTTTGGCAATTGCGGCATTGCTGACCTTCATCGGCGAGGGACTGGGAACTTCAGGGTGATTGTTCGTAAATCTCGCAGCGCTTCCACGCTTGCTAGGTGGTGTCGCCGCAGCAGTCTTTTTGGACTCCGGAGTGGCTGGGGTATCCTGCTGCGCATTCTGGATCTTTCCCAGGATCGCCGTGAATTCCATGGAGAGATCCTCGTTGTCGTCTTTGCTCATCATGGTATCGTCCGCTGAGATCTCTTGGTTGTTTCTGTTGTTCTTGATGCCGCCCACGGCCATTGTGAAGTCCATAGTCGCATCGTCAAAAGCGGAGCTCATGCTTTCCCGCCGATCCTTTTTGTCTTGTGCCTGGGCGGACTTGATCCCTCCAATTGCGGTGGTAAACTCCATGGTGCCATCTTCAAGTGGCTCATCATTCGCCACCGATCTCCTTTTCCTAATGCTCATACGACGTGAAGCTTGTCGCTTGGCAGGGCTTCCCTGTTCCTCTGTAGCTGATGGGAGAACAGAGCGCCGCCGTTTGGTTCCGGCACGTGTGGATGTTTCCTCGCTTTGAATGCCGCCAATGGCCGTTGTGAAATCCATCGTTACATTTTCCGGCTCTGGGCTCGGCTCTTGTTCCTTCTCTTGGGGTGCTCCAACAATTCCTCCAATTGCACGTGTTATGTCCATGCTCATCTCTTCCCCCTCGCTGTCATCGTCCTGGTCCGGCCCTGGAAGCTTAAACGCGAAGGGGTCCGGCTGAGCGTTTTCCTTGTCCTCGGAGAATGTTGTCCTCTGAACCCATGGCTTGAAAGCAGCTGTAATTTCATCGCCGGCCAATTCCATGGATGCCTCTCCGTCATCTTCATCCTCGTATTGGAAGCGCTGTGTCCCTGCCTGTTCCGCTGCTTGCCTGAGAGCTGCATCCAGCCGCGCGCTGGAGCCCGTAGAGTCATTCGAAGCGAGCGAGGCTGCCGTAGGCTCGTCCCCAGTGTCCAAGCTCATCATTGTACTCCCATCATCATCGTCATCATTATCATCCGACACAATCTCGATATCGTCGCTTCCAGGAGCTGAACTTCCACTATAGGGGCTTGACGAAAGCTCATCGTCCGGGTTGTTGAAGTTCATGGGGGGAACGCCCGAGCTGCGGCGCCGTTTCTTCTGGTGTAAGTCGCGTTGCTTCTCCGGGGATGAAGAAGGGAGATCATCTTCGAGCTGCTCCGGAGGTGTCGAAGGCGGTTCAGCAGGATCCGAGTCTGGTCCAGAGAAGCGAATGCCACGCTCGGGCGAGGAGGGTTCCTGGGTGGCGTTTGACGCGCGACGCGTGGAGTTCGAGGAGGCGGAAGATGTGGTCGCATCGCGCATGTATTCAATGACATCCCAGGTGTGTAGAGTAGCTTCAGGAGCAAACGAGACGCGTCGCTTGGCTGGGCAACGATAAGCAGAGCTCTCAGCGGCGGCACAACACTTGTCACGTACCCAGGGATTTACGACGCTCTTCACGTCGCTTGACCTCATCTTCGCGGGAAAGAATGGACTTCACGGGCATAGCAGGCATGGCAGACTGCAATCGTCAGCACGCGTTTTTCGTGCAGCCAGGAAGGTGCACGCTATGATACCTTTCTGCGATTGCCGCCCGATTCCTTCAATGGCACATCGAGGCCGCCAGGGCCGATGCTCTTGCTACGCGTCTTGCGGCCGCCGGACTTCTTCGGCGACAGCGTGGTAGACTTGGCGGGCGAGGCTACGGAAAGCCCCTCCGCAATGTTTTCCTTATCGTGCGCGGCGGACATTGCTGCAGCTCGGCGCGGCAATGGTCCGCGGAGCAGGCGATGTTGTGGTCGTGGATCGGTTAGCGGGGCGGTGGTGTCGCGGTGCGTTGTAGCTTGACGTCGGTTTGTTGTTCCCGCGTGTTTTGCTGCTTCCCCATCGGGCCAGGTCCCGGCCCGCTTAGTCACTGGCCTAAGCGAAGGCCCGTGCGCGCCACCCACATCGGCGAGAATTCGAATAGCAGCATACGCGGAAGCCGACGACCTTTTTTTCGACACCGACGACCTCGTTCACCACCCATCCACCCCGACGAGACAACCCGCCGCAGCAGCCATGGCGACCGAGCTTACCGTCCAGAGCGAGCGCGCTTTCCAGAAGCAGCCTCACATCAACCTCGTCTCCAAGTCGAAGAACAACCGCGTCGGCAAGGGTGGCAGGAGATGGTACAAGGACGTCGGCCTGGGCTTCAGGACGCCCAAGACCGCCATTGAGGGCTCCTACATCGGTATGTAGGATTTCCAGCCGGGCGCGGCCGTGTGCGATGGAGCATATTTCGAAGAGACGGATTTGCAGCGGCGACGCACTTTAGCACGCGGACACGTCGAATATGCGCTCGCAAAACCACACGGCGTGCTGCATCCGGGAGCGGTAGTGCTAACTGAAAGCCTACAGACAAGAAGTGCCCCTTCACCGGTCTCATCTCCATCCGTGGCCGTATCCTCACCGGCACCGTCGTCTCCACCAAGATGCACCGTACCCTGATCATCCGCCGCGAGTACCTCCACTTCATCCCCAAGTACTCTCGTTACGAGAAGAGGCACAAGAACCTGGCTGCCCACGTCTCCCCCGCTTTCCGTGTTGAGGAGGGTGACCAGGTCACCGTTGGCCAGTGCAGGCCTCTCAGCAAGACTGTACGTCCATCCGCCGCGAAACCCGACGCTTGAAGCTCCATACGCGCGCGAGCGTGCAAATTCTACAAATACTAACAGCGGTCACAGGTCCGCTTCAACGTCCTCCGCGTGCTTCCCCGCACTGGCAAGGCCGTCAAGAAGTTCAACAAGTTCTAAGCGGTTACATCGGGTTGCATTTCTTCATGGGACAAAAAGGCTTTGAGCTACGTTAAGGGGCATGTAGCCTAAGCTGGGTAGATCAAAAACTCTTGCACGACGACACGGTGTCACTATCCGAACTCATTTGCGCATGGCAATGGTGGAATATCCCGGGTACTGACGCAGGCTTTGGTGCGATGAGGGAATCGGCTTAGATATCCTCCGAATCAAATTGAATCGGTACAAAAAAGGAAGCGCGGCGAACCGCGAATCACGGACGAATTGACGAGTGCACTGTTGGTGTTACCGCGCATGAGTTCTTGTTGTGTGCTAGATTGTCACGTTACTTTTGTGGTTGGGAAGGGTTCCAGGTTCCCGTTTGCACGAGGCGATTGTGGCACGGGAAAGGAAGTCGCAGGGCCAAGAGCCGTTGCCGAATTCTAGGCATTCACTATCGCGCGTTCATTTGAACCTCTTCCGTGTCAAACGCAAACCCCCAGCTCTGCCTGCAAACAACTGCCTCAATGACCTGACTACGCCGCTCAAGTCCTGCCCATTCGTGACGCTCACGCTGCCAGAACCCTCACTCCCAGCAGTGTGGGCTTGGCGGCAGCTTTGACTTCAATCAACTAACACTACAGTGAACCTATCGTCCATCATGGCTACGTCGGCGGTCATCGACTTGGTATCCGATGATGACGATGACAACGCTGTTGATCTGGGCCCTACACGAGATGGCGCGCAAGTGCGGCGCCCAGCGCTGAACCGAACGATCGTGCCTGATACTCTGCAGCCTAGGCGTCGTTCCGGATTCTCCAGCGCGTTAGCTATCGCAACAATTGACCTGACGCTCGAAGACGATGCAGCTGCAGGTGTGGCTGAACGGCCCGGTTCGGCAGGTGAGGGCGATTTGGCGCCGGCCAATGAAGCGCGGCCTGACTCGCGATCGCGGAATCAAAACACCAGCCCGCGAACTCCAAGAACGACGGCTGAAGGAAGCAGCAAGCCCCGTGCTTCAGTCTCAGGTGACACTGGCGTTGCGCCCAAGCTTACTCGCGTATCGGCTAAAACTCCGCCAGCAGCGCTAAACTCGGAGAGTCCGCCCATGTTTCCAGGAAGATTCGCACATCTCCCAGGAAACCCGTCCGGAGAGCGACACTCGGGTGCCTCCGCTTCCAGCACCCGCCCACCACCGCTCAATGATGGCTCAACACCTGCGCAGGCGCACGTAATTAGCGATGATGAAGATGGCGACAACGGCGATGATGACGACCTACTAATAGACGAGGAAAAATCGACACCAGCGACCGCCAGCAGGGACACGCTTTCATCTGGACGCTCGACAGAGCACGTGAGGCCGACGACACCGCCGACACCTCCGTCGGAACGTGAAACTAGCCCGATCAAGCGCCTCTCGCCTATAGCCGCAGAGGTCGCCGAGAGAGTCAAGCAAGATTGGGGAGTGTATCCATGGGAAATAGCGACGGCACTGAACCCGCCTCAATTCGACGCCACCCTCGTGTGCGACTTCTGTGACCTTGCTCGTGACGGTTGCTCGCTGGAAAGAGCAAAGCAGCTGGTCGAAGATCAGGTCAAAAACAGGTTTGCAAAGTTGGATGGTGGTCCGGGATACATTATCACGGACGATATCAAGGAGGCCAGGAAAATATTCAACAATCTTAAAAAGGTAAGGTGGCGTGTTTTCAGAGAAAACGCAAGGCTAAGTCAATCTGATAGTTCTACTCTACTGGGCAGAGATCTCGCCCTCAAAGCCACCGATCGAGCGTGAGTGAGCTAGAGACAGATGTTGTGGATGATTCTAACACCACGGCAGAATACCATCTCCTCATTGCTGTCACCGCAGCCTCAGCCACGTCCCCACTTGCCTTCGATACCTTCGCGGCTCAATCACGTAACTCATCCCGCAGAAGACCCCACCAGCAGCGAATCTAGGAAATCACTACCTGTCCCTGATCAAAGACGACCTGCACCCCTTGTGATCGTGGAACCACGCCAGCCAGCACTTGGAAACCCTGCTCAACGAGAGACAACCGAAGCCGGAAATCGCGGCAACATCGAGACTACCTCTAAACCTTTTACACAGCGACGAAAAGTGCATACCGACCCGCTCGACTCTCTTCCACGCGATCTGCGACCTCTTTTCTCTGATAACCCTAAGCCTTCTGAGGAGGAACAACGTGGATCATCACCTGAAACTGTTGTTCGCCCAGAGACGGACGGAGCGCGGGATCGTGGCAACGAGACCCTCTCTAACTCTATCCAACCAGAAGAGCTGCATCCCGAACCTCAAGACGATAATCCTTTGGAAGCACTTGACAGCGCCCCAAAAGATCCGCTCCCAATTATGTCCACTGAGGCCAAGCCTACAGAACACGCTGATATCACTCAACCCGCGCGTAAGTATCCCTACAACACACTCAACCGTGGCGCGTATCCTGGTGCATCGATTACAGGCGCTAATGCATTTCATTCCAGTTCCGGTAACACTTCTAGACATGGGCAGCACGGAGTCGCCAAAATCCAACTCCTGCAAGGTTCCTCCGCGTGACATTCCCACGTCGGAGTCATTCCAGGACCTTCAAGACACAAGCGGGTGGTCGATTGAAAGCATGCGGGATTTGTTGAATAAGCGCGTGAAGGAAATTGAAGAGGACCGCGAATACTTTACTAAGGTAAGAGCAAATCTGCCCCGCTGCTTCTCTGTTTCTAACACGATGCAGTTCCGGTTGGGTCGAGCTCGCAGAATCCACCATTTCCCGGAACCCGACACGACTGCGGAATCCTCCAACGACTTTATTTCAGGGCCGAGCATCGTGCCAGCTAAGTTCGCGCAACAGGAATTTCCTTGGCCAAACGCGACGGCTATTCAGACTCGTGGAGCAGTGAAGACCGGAGAGAGCAAACCGAGGAACCAGAAAACCCAAGAGGTTTTCTCACATGGCAGCAGCAAAGGAATTAGGTCGATTATCAGCAATCCCGTCGATTTCTACGCGGTCAATACGGTCCCCGTCCCGCCATACACCAATTATGTCAGCCTGAAACAAAACGTTCTCGCTGAGAACCATAGAACACTCATGGTATACCCTTACTTCGACGACAACCAAGACGAAGATCTCGCCAAGAAGTCGCTGTGGGATGAGCTGCAGAGTCGCTATAATATTGTTGCGGATGAACTCAGGCGACGCAGGTTACTTCAAGCTGAACAAGCCTGGCAACTTCGCTCTTACGCTGAAAAAATCATTGAAGAATTACCCATGGAAATGAGTGATATCTTGGCGTACTTTCTGCTACCGTCGGATGCGCTGATACACAACTTGCAAATGGAGATGTCACTTAAGCAAACCCACTGCTTAGAAAACAAACGACCACTTTCTTGCATGGAGGAATTCAACCGGGACAAGAAAAAATGGAGGGCGGTGCTCGAAAATCTCCCACCTACAACAGTACGCGGACTCGCTATCGCTTCTATCTTCTGCCCCACATGGCTCGAGATTCTCAAATTCAGCTTCTGGCACATTGCAAGAAGGTCCTCTTTGGCTCAGCCACCGCCACTTGGAAACCGCCCTCAACCTGGCGATACCAATGGTTCTTCCGATTTTGCCTACAGAACACTCGCATGCCGCGTCTGCCACCTGCACAACTGTCCTTTTCACGGTGCAATCTTAGAACAACCAGAACCGAGCGACCATTCTGAGAGCGAGGACTCGGATACTGCTCATGACAGCTCTGACGACGACGAACGATCACCCAGTGATTCCAAGCCAAACAGTTTACGAAGATTGTCGATTTCGTCCGAGGCTTCCCTCGTCAACTTTAAGAAGCACGTCAAGGCTCAGCCTCGAGAACATCCCGATGATGATGGAATAATCGTACGGCGAAATACGTCTCAATGGCTGAAGACAAGGACGCACATTATGGAGAAAAGACCGCCATTCTTTCCCTGCAGTCACAAAGGCACGTGTTCGGAGGCAAAGTGCAGTTGCTTTAGGGCCAACATCGTGTGTGAGAAGACTTGCGCATGCGCGGCATCCTGCAAGCGACGGTATCGGGGCTGCACCTGTGCCCAGTATGGACTTGCGTGCTTCAAAAACAACAAGTGTGAATGCTGGGCGTTGAACAGGGAGTGCGATCCTGATCTCTGCGCGAGCTGTGGAGCTGCCGAGGTTCTTGATCCAATCAATAGGTACAACGATGCTCTCTATCGTCAGAAGTGTGGCAATGTAAATATCCAGCGCAACGTGCCCAAGCGCACCCTCCTGGGCCAATCGGAGGTTCAAGGTTTCGGATTGTACGCCGGAGAAAGGCTCAAGGCGGGCGAGTACATTGGAGAATACAAAGGCGAGATTGTCACAAAGGAAGAAGGTTCGAGACGAGGCGCAGTTTACCAGCACCTCAAGACCAACTACCTGTTTGACCTGAACAAAGGCAAGTACCCCATCCTACTCTTCTTCCGGGACTTTTACTAATTCGTTGCTTCAGCCCAAGAGGTCGACAGTACGAGAGCGGGCAACAAGCTCCGCTTCATCAACAACTCGGCAAAGGCGCCCAACTGCGAACCTCGAGTGATGCTCTGCAACACGGTCGTCCGCATCGGCCTGTTCGCGAACAAGGACATGGCGCCGGGAGAGGAGATGTTCTTCAACTACAACTACCCCGAGGAGGTCACGAAGCATTTCTGGGAGAAGGGCCAGACGCAATCGGGCGGCACCGCCTTCGCCGTCAAGACCAAGAAGGGCGGCGGCGGCAAGCAGAAGGGCAAGGCCGCAAACTTGTCGTCAGACAGCGAGGCCCTGGCGTCCAGGCGCCCCGGCGCGCCGCCGTCGGTCAGCGAAGCCCTGGCGATGCAGAAGGGACTGAAGGCCAAGAAGTCGGCACCGAAGGTCAAGGCGGAGGAGAGCAGTCGGTCGCGCATCGGAGAGACGCCGCTGAGGGGCTCGAGCACCATCAGCCGCTACGCGTGGGCGACGACTGGGAAGCGGCCGAGGCGGACGGCGTTGGAGAAGCAGAAGACGTGGGAGGAGCTGGAGGAGGTCTTGGAGGACTTTGATAGCTTCGGGGAGTCGGACCAGGACAGCGACAGCGCAAACGACAGGCCGAAGAAGAAGGGCAAGAAGGCGAAGGTGTAAAGGTTTTAATTCCGGAGGCGGGTCGTTTTTCTCGGCTCGCGAACTTGCACAAAAGGCGAATAATCAAGAAGGGAAAGGACGGGCTGATAGATGAGGATTCCTGAATAGCTAGCTGGATAGATATTGCTCGGAAACGGGCCGTAAAAATCAGTTTGATAGGACTTGATAGTCGATATTTTAAATGAAACAATTTGCTCACTGTCACGTTTATTCCATGTCCCGATAGTGATTTTTAAATGGGTATGGAAGTAGGCTGCCATAGGGAGTGACAGAATGGACAAGAGCACCGCATTTACGTAGGTTGTTGGATCCAGGAATTTTGCAGCTCACCTCTGCGTCCAGTCCGTTTACTTTTGCTGCTCACGGAGGAATATTGTAGCATAATTTGTGGAGCATAGAGCAAGAAGGCATATTTCTATCAAGAGGGCGTGCGGTTTGCTGTTCGCGAACTGTGCGAGCCGACTATCTACAGTGATGAGTCGCGTGACGTCATCTGTGGTGATGGCGGTCTACCACCGCGGGCGGGAGGTTTAAGTTTGAGCGTGGGGTTTAGAGTGAGTCTCGCAGTATGATATATAAGCCGGTAAGTTAACCCATTCCGGTATGCTAGCTACGATCGAATAAGATGGATTGTCTCGGTTAGATGAGAGCCTGAAGGTTTACGTAGGGCATCTGAGCTTCCATCCGCCCTCTTGTGGGAAAGAGGACGCAAGTTCGAGTACGGGCTAGGGAAGGCAAAAAAGACGATTCCCAAAGAGTCTTTCTGTCGAGGCACGGGAAGGGGGCACTCCCCATTAGATCCCACCGCTTCTAGTTTTGCCATTTTCGTCGATGATCTTCCTTTTTTTTTTTTGTTTCCCTTCCAGGAAGGATCGGTATCCAAACTGATAGATAGATAAACTAAGAACTATCTATTCTGTAAGGTGGCCGTGTTACACGCTCTGATCAATTCTTCCGCGGGATTGTCGCCGAATATGGAGATCTTGTTGTTGAAATACGATGAACCGCACATAGATTTGCCTAGAATCAAAGGCCAATTTGGGTTAGTCCCACCTCTGATTGTACATGGTCTCTGCGAGTCTCAAGCCTCTTAGAGGGTTAATCCATAATGGTTTCAACAATCAGATTCGCCAGGGACACATGCCCAGCCTCGATGGCGTGAACGTGAGCATCCCACCCTTCCTCGTCCTTTATGCTAATGTCAATGTTTTGGCAAGCCAGAAGAAGCCTTGTGACCGTCTCATAGCCGCGCGAGGCAGAATCCATCAAAGGCGTCATGCCGTAAATGTCCTGCACGTTTGGATCTACGTTTCCCGCGGTGAGTAGGATATCGACCAGATCGGATTGGTTCCTCGAAACTGCCATCCAGAGGATGGTCTCACCATTCGGACTCTGAAATTCGAGATCAAACCTCTGTGATTCAATACACAGAGCAAGCATCTTTCGGCAGGTCGGCTTTCGGGATTTGCGAAGCAAACGCATCAGCGGAGTGAAACCGTGGTCGTCGACCTGATCGACGTCCAAGATCGCGCAGTCGAGCAAAATCCTAGCTGGTTCGACGGAGGAGCTCCGTAGCGCAACGGTGAAAGGCGTTTTCTGCCCACACCAATAGTTTGGATTTGCCCCAAGACTTGTCAATAACTTGATCATGTCTCCATTTTGTCCGTATCTTGCAAGTCTGAAAGGAGCCGTCTCTCCATCGTCGAGGATGTCGACAGGGACACCAGCCTCCACAAGAAGCTTCACCGCCGATTTATCATTGTAAAATATTGCTGTAAATAGCGCTGTCCTGTCTGAACAGGTGTCATCCGCAACCACTCTCCTGGCGGCTGCCTCATACATCAGCTCCCTGCAAGCCTCATTTGATTCATTTGGTGTTAAATGATACGAATGGTCGAAAGCCATGTAGTTGACAAGACATCCTGCATCCAGTAGATGCCGAACAAGGTTACTTTGCCGAGTAAGACCGCGAAGGTCAATGCAGTCGTCTTATATTCATCGGAATATCCGTTCTCATGTTCCAGATCTGCGCCTGCGCTGATGAGCTGTAATAGCAGGTCTTCTCGTCCAGCACAGACAGCCAACCAAAGAGGTGAATAGGGTGTCGCAAGATTCGTGTTGACGTCATCTGCACTGAGACGTGTCCAGCAGGTTTCCAAATCTAATTGCAGGTTGCCGATAATTGCGAGATCAAGCCGAGGCCGGTGCAAAGTTAGGCTACCGTACCTCTGATGGACCAAATACCGTAGCGTGCTCCAAATACCAATCAGAGCAAGGATATCCGCAAGCCTCGAATGCTCTTTCGCATGTTCCCAAGCCTCCTCGATAGCTCTTTTGAACCTTGATCTCCTGCAACAGGTGTCGCCCACTGCAAGCAAATCAAACAAAGGGTGATCAATGCGAAGATTAGATACTTGCTCTCCATCATCTAAGAGCCAGGAAGAATCAAATCTCTTTTGATTGTCCCAGTATGCCTGAAGCGTAGGATGTTCGAACGTCATCCGTGGCAACGGCGTATCCAAGAAATCCAGGAGATCAATTTGTGGTACTTTTCGGTGCTCTGCATGCATTACATGTAACGACCAGAATTGTTGTGCGTAGTTAAAAAGGGGTGTCTTGTCTGAAAGCCGGTCGAGGCTATTCCCTTCCTGGAAATTCTGCAACAGTACATATCGAATGCATGAGCGAGATATTTGAAAGTGGGCTTCCCCAACAATCTCATTAACAGTGGTGGGTGTGAAGAGCCTTACAAGACCGCCTTCCTGCAGTAGGTAATCCAAGACTGACTGGTGGATGAATTGGACAATTTTTCGACCACCATTATTGCTAACTTCGAGCAGACCCCTGGATAAGTCTTTGATACCGGTCTCTGCATTGCGAAGGAAGAGCTTGCCACGTTTGACCTCTTCAATAGTCCTTTCGGTCATGTTCCGATCGAGACAAATAGCGAAGCGCAGTTCATCAAGCTCAAGAGGCCTGAATAAAAATATCATCCACTGAAAAAGCCTTTTGGTTCGAGAACAAGGAGGCTTCCTGCACGATAGTGAATGATACAGCTCATTCAGGTCCCTTGGCAGCTTTTTGATCTCGTCAAGAACCTCGGCCATGGAAGAGCCCCGCAAGTATGTTGAAGCAGCCATTCGGGTGACCAAAATAGCCCACTGGAATATGCCACCAGCTCTGCTGGTGATATATCGCTCCAGTTCTTTGACATGTTGTTCATCGCCAATGTCCTGGCGGAGGCTACGCTTGACAAGCGTGTTGATATCTTTCGCATTTTCACATTCCATCTCTATTATGAGATCACCGGCGGCATTGAGGATTGGGTAGTGACGACATGAGTATAGAATGCGCACTGAAGAGGCTGCGTCAGGATTGGATGTGACATAAGTTCGGAACAAGCTGACCAATTCCCTTGCTGTGGATTCGCCGCTTTCATCGAGTGCATCAACGAGGAGAATAATTTGCTTTGTTTTGGAAGCTTCTCGGAGGTACTTTGTCAGTAGTTGCTGAAGATACCCTTCGTTCCAGCTGAAGTTTTCGGGTCCCTGGGTCTGGATTCGTTGCTCATATTTCTTGGTAAAGTCTTTCAATTGTTCCGGAAGACGTGCTAGTAGTTGGTTGAGAATTGAGCGCAAGAAACCAAGCTTTGTCTTTTGAAAGGTGTCTCCTCGGGCATGAAAGAAAAATGATAAAATGATCATGTGGTCGACTTCGGCTTCAAGATATTGAAGTGCATATTTCATGGTCGTAGATTTTCCAGATCCTGGTTTCCCACGTACCCAAAGTAGCCGCTCTCCATCAATGCTGGGCTTCTTCAACCAGTGCTGGAAGTGTTTGTGCTCCGTGAGCCATTGGCAGGTGTTTTCTTCCACTTCGACGCTTTCGGGCCGTGAATGCCGATCTCTGAATGCCAATGATTGGAGCGCATTCTTCTGATCGTCCGACAGCTGAGCCACGGATCCTGTTGACAGATGCATTAGACTTTTGAGATCCAGCCAGCTTGAGTCAGTTCTTACCTGCTCCAAGAAATTGGCTCTGCATGTGACTGAGGATGAAGTGGCAGTCTTGATCACCAGGTGGGAATTTCACAATTTCAGAGTGGTTCCGATTGATCGCAACACACGTGTCACATTCGAATGTTGCGCAGGTCCTTGGGACGAGTAGACGAATATTCCCACTCATTTTCCAATCGCCGCCATCCTAGACACAATCAGCGGATGAGGAGTGATGACACTTGAAATCAGATATACTTTTTGTGGATCTCTGGTCATTTCCGTCTCGTATAACGAGAGGATATTGAGGCTTTTCATCCGTTTTCTCATGGAATGGAATTCCTTCCTATGTCCTTGAAGAAATCTGGAGTCAAAATTGAGGTCTCTGATAAGTTCTTCATTGGGTTGACCTTGGACCATCTCACGAAGCGCCTCGATTGAAGACAGACCCAACTGTGGGACACCAAAGAAAACGGCTCCGCAAATTGACTGGAGAAGGTGATTCGAACACCCAAATAGGTCTAGCATGGTCTGACCGTTCGTAAGAAGGGGGGTTTGGTTTGTTTTGGTGTAATCAGTAGGAGGTACACTAACCATCTCAACTACAAGGCCGCCTAAGCTGTGACCAATGAGCAAAAGTTTCCGAGAAGACAGCGAACCCTAAATTTCCAACGGTTAGCACATGGCCCTGGTCAGCTTTGGTACGTCTCACCAATTGCTTGAGCACCTCCCCAAACTTCCCCCCAAGATCGAAGATAGTTTGCATAGAAGTGCTCCCGATCAAGCGAGTGTCATAGCCATAGATATATACCCTCACTGTTGGAAGTGTCTTGGGTAATGCGTCACGAAGCCACATGTAGTCACTGCCTCTCTCTTTAAACGAACCGAAAGCATGTCCATTGAGACCGGAGATTGCGACTAGACTGAGGACGATCAGCGTAAATGCGTGTGTGTGAAACATAGGCAAGCGTACTCCGTATCGCAGTCCTGGTCCGGTGAACTATGCAAAGGCGTAAGCCCATAGAAGTCTATATCGATCGTGGCATCTGGTGAAGTAGATTCATTTGCATTTCGATCATCACGCCAAAAGTTTCGTAAAAGCCATGTGTCGGGCTTGCTTGGTGTGCGAAATCTATCGGGAAGACTTGGTAGAGCCAAAGTAGCGACTTGCCGACTTCCTGAGAAAGGGTCTTGGGCAAGGGAGAAAATTTGAATTTCTTGTCCATGTAAACGGAGAAAGTGACAAAGGCGACTGTGGATATCTCCACAGGTGTATAATATGGGGATCCCTTGTAGCCTGTAAGTCAGGTGGCCTTTTGGTGTCATATTGCACCCATGAGGTTGCAAGGTCGTGTTCCGAATCCACAGGAGGGAAGAACGAAGATAAAAATGAGCCGGGTTTCCAGAGGCCGCCCCACCCTTTTGCAGCCCCCAAAGCCAATCACAAGAGCGACAAGGTGACACACGAGCAAGACATTATTTCAGCTCTGAGCCTCAACATGCGGCTAGCACCGCGACCGCCTTCACCCCTTCGCGTGCCAGCGGGCTCGGCACCGCAGCGCTGCGCCGCGTTCAAGTAGCTAAGATCTAAGTGGTAGATTATTACTTATAAAACGCTTAATAGAAGAAGTATCGCGGTAGTAGAAGATCCAGACGGTTTACCGTATCTCCAATCCTGCATAACTTCAGAATTTGGTTGCGAGGTGGGTATCAAAGTAACTGGAGACTGTGACTTCTTTGTTCCATTGGCGGCGTGATTACCGATTCTCATCTTTGAGCAATACATCACCTGGAAACCGCTGCGCAACCCATTGTGTAGGACAACTGCTCAATTCGCAAACCTAGGAATTGGCCCTCATTGCCCACTTATTTGCTGCCCAAGGAAGCCAAAGTGGTGAACAAGTATAACAGCTTGGATGAACATGACTCATGTAATCTGCCCGCGATTGGCCACTGTCGGAGCATTCAAGATCACATGATCGCGTTCCCTTATCGATTACATCATCGCGTGGCGCGCAGGCAGACGCGCTTCTCTCTTCCGTCAACGTCCGCCTTTCCCGCCAACCCCATCTCTGCCTGGGGAGAGAGAGAGAAACGGCGGAGACCTTCCAATGGACCGGACCTACTTCCTAACCATCGCTCCAGCAAACCAGCAGCAACCACCAGCATGGGCGTCACCGGCCTCTGGACCGTGGTGCAGCCGTGCGCGCGGCCGATCAAGCTCGAGACGCTGAACAAGAAGCGGCTGGCGGTGGACGCGTCCATCTGGATCTACCAGTTCCTCAAGGCGGTGCGCGACAAGGAAGGAAACGCGCTGCGCAACAGCCACGTCGTGGGCTTCTTCCGCCGCATCTGCAAGCTGCTGTTCGTCGGCATCCGGCCCGTCTTCGTCTTCGACGGCGGCGCCCCGGCCCTCAAGCGCCAGACCATCAGCGCACGCAGGCAGCGCCGCGAGGGCCGCCGCGAGGATGCGGTCCGCACGGCGGGCAAGCTGCTCGCGGTGCAGATGCAGCGCCGGGCTGAGGAGGAGGAGCAGAGGCGGAAGGATGCGGCGAGGAGGAGAGATGACGAGCCGGAGGAGGAGCGGATCCCGGAAGATGTGGTGTACGCGGAGGAGGTGGCGATGACGGAGGGCGAAAGGCGCGCGGCCCGCGGCGGGTTCAAGAAGAAGGACGCGTACCACCTGCCGGAGCTGGACGTGTCGCTGTCGCAGATGGGCGCGCCCAACGACCCGCGCATCATGTCGCTCGAGGAGCTCGAGGCGTACGCGCGCCAGTTCGAGCAGGGCGAGGACATCAACGTCTACGACTTCTCCAAGATCGACTTCGACAGCCCCTTCTTCCTGAGCCTGCCCGCCACCGACCGGTACAATATCTTGAACGCAGCCAGGCTGCGCAGCAGGCTGAGGATGGGCTATTCGAAGGATCAGCTGGACAGCATGTTTCAGGATCGCATGGCTTTCTCAAAGTTCCAGATCGAGCGCGTGAGGGAGCGGAACGAGCTGACGCAGCGGTTGATGAACATCAATAATGGCGATACGCTGTACGGAATGGATGCTGGCGGCCGAGTGGCTGGTGAGAAGAACAGGGAATACGTTTTAGTCAAGAATGAAGGCGTTGAAGGCGGCTGGGCGCTCGGCGTTGTGGACAAGGATGAGGGCAGATTCGACAAGCCTATCGATGTTGATAGGAGTAGCCCTCCCAAGGAAGAGGAGGATGATCAAGAATGGGAAGATGAAGACGACTTTGAAGATGTGCCCATTGAAGGCCTTAATCGGCTACCTAAGCAACAGCCTGCTGCCGATGACAGTCGGACAGCGGACCTGACAAAACGACGCCAGGAATTCTACAAATCTCGGCAAGCTGGCACTACGAGGCGGCGCAAACCTCGGAGCGCTGATCCAGACTCACTTTTCGTCGAAGCTGAAGATGAGGAAGAATGGGAGAACGTCGAAGTGGGTCATGAGCAACAAAACGAAGACGAGGAAGATGAGGAGCTTCAGCGAGCCATCGCCATGTCCTTACAGCAAGATAACGATGAGCCTTCAAAGCCGCAAGCACAAGCCGAAGAGGACGACGAGGATGAATTTCTTGAAGTCTTTGGGCAGCAAAGAGCAGAGGAATCCAGGCCCTTCACCAAAGGCAGTGGTCTCGCCATTGCGCGCATGGCGAACAATCGGAGTGCCAGGATAGCAAAACCGGTAGCCGAAAGTGATAGCGAGGACGAGATGAACCTACAAGCAGCCCTCGCCGAGTCACGACAGTCGAAGCATAAGTCGGCTCGCCCCGGACAGCCCCGCAAGGTAGCCACACCAGCGAAGCCTACAACGTCGACGCAGCCTGCTGCCAAGTCATCATCAAACGCGTCTGGTTTCAGCGGTCCTCTGCCGTTCGAGAAGCTTGATCTGGGGAGCTCACTGCTGGGAAAGAAGAAGATGCAGAAGCTGCAGGAAGAACAGGCAGGCGGGTTTGAGCGGCCTGATGACGAGGAGAAAAAGAAAGCGAAGCCACTTCCTCCTTGGTTTGCCGAAAATCGGGACGTGAGGGATGATTTCGCCGAGCAGAAGAGGCTGGAAGCAGAGCAACGAGAGCAGGATCGGAAGGAATTGGAGAAGGAGTTTGTGTTTGAAGAAACGCCAAGGCTGAGGAAGCACGAGACGAATGAGGTCATTGACCTTGAGGCGGAACCATCTAAGGAGAAAGAGGTCATCGATATTCAGTCTTCAGAGGATGAGGAGGACTTGGAGATGGAGGATGTGATGCCTGTCGATCATGAGCTTAGGATGGGAGATCTTGCGGACAAAGTGAGAGCTGAACCGCCGCATGAGCCACCATCCGTACCAGAAGCTCCAGCGCAGCCAACGCAAGAGCCGCCCATGGTCATTGAGACTATGGCTCCGTCACAAGACCAGGAAAAGGCAGGTGAGTCGGAAGGAGAGCCCATCGAATGGTCGGAGAGCGAGACCGAGCAGCCCAAAAATGAGCATGTAAAAGGAAGAGGAGAGCATGAAGCCAATTCACAACCTGTTGGCGGTGAGGCGGAACCTCCAAAGTCACGGTCATCCTCGCCAGAATTCGAGACAGTCATTGACACGGAGACGGCCCCCGATCAGACTGTCAGGCCATCGCCACCGCTTGCCGATGTTCCAGAAGGTCCTGTTCCCACGTCCGGTTTTGCAGACCAGGAGATGCTGGACGATCAACCGGACGACGAGTCCATCTACTCAGACCCGGAGGATGAGGAGCTCTTCCGACAGCTGGCCGTCGAGGCCGAAGAGCACGCGCGCTTCGCATCGACGCTCAACAACAAGTCTCAAGAAGCCAACGCGCTGGACTACGAGCGCGAGCTCAAGGCGCTGCGCACGCAGCAGAAGAAGGACCGGCGCGACGCGGACGAGGTGACGCAGACGATGATCGCCGAGTGCCAGCAGCTACTATCACTATTCGGGCTGCCGTACATCACGGCGCCGATGGAGGCCGAGGCGCAGTGCGCGGAGCTGGTGCGGCTGGGGCTGGTCGACGGCATCGTGACGGACGACAGCGACACGTTCCTGTTCGGCGGCACGCGCGTCTACAAGAACATGTTCAACCAGGCCAAGTTCGTCGAGTGCTACCTGGCCCAGGACCTGCAGGCCGAGTTCGGCCTCACGCGCGAGCGCCTCATCGCCGTCGCCCAGCTGCTCGGCTCCGACTACACCGAGGGCATCACCGGCGTCGGGCCCGTCACCGCGCTCGAGATACTGTCGGAATTCGGCTCCCTCGAGGCCTTTCGCGACTGGTGGAAGGAGGTCCAGTCCGGCGCCCGCCCGCGCGAGGCCGACGCCCACGTGCCTTTTCGCCGCCGCTTCCGCAAGGCTAACGCCACGAAGCTGTTCTTGCCGGCCAGTTTTCCCGACCCCCGCGTCGAGGAGGCGTACATGAAGCCTGAGGTCGATGATGACGCGACCGGCTTCGCGTGGGGCGTGCCCGACCTCGACGCCCTGCGCCGCTTCCTCATGAGCACCATCGGTTGGTCCAGCGAGCGCACCGACGAGGTGCTCGTGCCCGTCATCCGCGACATGAACACGCGCGAGCGCGAGGGCACGCAGAGTAACATCACGGCGTTTTTGGACAAGGGGAGTACCGTCGGTGCCGGGGCGTGGGCGCCGAGGAGGAGGGATGATGGCGGTGGGGCTGGTGGTGGGAGAGGGGGGAGGGCGAGGGGGAGCGGGAGGTTGGTTAATGCGTTGAAGGGGATTGGGGCTCGGGCGAGGAGGGAGGGGGGTGGGGGTGTGGATGATGCTGCTGATGGTGAAGTTGAAGTTCAAGCTGTTTCCGAAGAGCGGGAGGAGCAAGACCAGGAGCCCACGCAGCGGACAGCGCGGAAAGGGAAGGGGGCGAAGAGGAAGAAGACTGTGGTTGAGGATGATGAAGACGAGGAAGATGGGGGTGATGGTGATTTTGAGGAGGAAGTGGATGGTGATGCGGCGTACGAAGAGGAGCCGAAGAAGAAGAGGGTACGAAAGGGTGCAGCAAGCAATGCGAGGGGCGGCAGAGGTAGAGGAAGAGGCCGTGGAAGGGGTGAGAGGGCGTTGAATAACGCGGACTTCATCCGAAGTGTGATGGATTGAGGGTATGCTGTTCATGATGGAAAAACCTAGCTACGCCAGCAAGGAAGTCTAGCTTAGAGGAGGAATGCATCTATCAAAGGGTTGTCAAGATCGTAAACGGCTCCAATATCACCTTCGAAATCGTCCTCCATTCGAACCCAGACTCCAAACACACGGTAGGCGGGTTTCCCCTCGTGATCGTCGATCCTCTCAGCTTCGAACCGTTTGGAATGAATACCTACAGTGAGAGACTTATGAGCGATGATGTGATCAGAGTCATGTACCTGTTCCCCGCCGAGCTTGACGTCTCCACGACACAATCCCACCCGGGTGTACTGCCGGTACTCCGTCGGTGGGGAGAACATCAGCTTCACGCCTTTTTCCCAGCAAAAGGCCGCGTCTAGAAACAAAGCTCGACAGACTAACTCGTAAAATGCGAGGTGGAGATCGGCCATGCTGGGACTAAGGTTGGTGCATCTTTGTTGGATGTCGTTGCGCACCATTAACGTGAGGCAGATGCCCTGTAACTGAAAGGTGTCGTCGGAGACGCTGCCGCTAGACAAATGACTGATCATGTCTTCATGGAGGGTCAGCATATTATTATTCGTGCCGAGCCATTTCCAGCCTTGTACAACATTGTGCAGTTGGGCTGCAACCTCTGGGACGGAGTCTAGATCAGCGAAGTGTCCATGGAAAGACTCCCAGCTTCTCGCTGAAGTCGAGAGGGGGGTGCATCCGGCGAACTGGTAGCTGAGTGGAACGACATCGCACGTCCCGGATTTTTTGAGCTGTACTATATCATTGAGGGTTTGGTAGACTTCATTGGCATTCCTGATGCGATCGGGAGAAATGTAATATGCAGGCCGCCAGAGAAATGACTCAGCAGCGTCCGGAATGAACAGCCCTTGGGGAGCAGTGCTTAACATCACGACGTTCTTGCTTTCCTGACGATGCCAGTCCAGTGCGTGTTGCAAGAGCACTGGTAACTCCTCGTTCTTGTAATTTGGAGGCGGAGAGTAGCCAGGCACTTCGGCAAATATAGCAATGACGTAGTCTCTGGCATGCGTTGCTTTGCGGATCATCGCCAAACCCCTCTGGAGCAATGGAATACGTACGAATAACTTGAAACTGGGATTTAACTCCATGAGAGGATCTTCTTTCCTTTGGATGACTTCCCCAGAGATAAATCGGTAGAGTAGTAGATTCCCGAAAGCCCCTATGCTGTCTATCCAACCTGATGTTGATATGTGAGGGTCAAAATCTTCAATTTGAGAACTGATCTGTACGAGGAATCGGAAGCTGACGTCGTGTAGATGGCTCCAAACATAGCGCGCGGCAAAGTATTCGTCCATCCCATTTTGAACAAACATGGAAACTATATGTCGGAACCATATCGCTGTATAAGGTTGGAGATCGGTTTCAGCAATGGGTTCAGCAAGGCGTGTATCTTCGGGCTCAGAAATGTTTTCCAGCGTGTTGCGAAGAAAAATGCATTTTGCCACGTCTTTGGAAACCCATACGCAACAAACGCTCCGGGAGAAGCCGAGCTCTTGAAAAGTCCATAGCCTGCTCATCCAGGACGACAGTGGACAAACGTTTAGACAGAAATGAGACTCGTGGAGTTCAGTGTCATCGTCCCCACCTGTAGTATGGTCTTTTTCCGTCTTGGCCCCTCTCGCTTCCAATTCTTTCACAATCCGCGGCAGGCAAGCGCAAGGATGTCCAGGCAACAGAACGGCAACTTCGAATGTCCTGTAAATGGTCGCGATGCTGGCAAGTATCTTCCGGATCTCTTCGTCGTTCTGTGGGATGCACAGTTGGTCCATCCAGATGGGCTTGTCTGCAGCGATCTCCGCAAGGCGATGAATAACGTCTTGGGTGACCCATTCGATGCCCAGATTCATGTGAATGACATCGTCGCTCTTCCCGGGAGGGTGTCCGATGGGAACATCGCGACGATCGAATTCACCCCAAACGTATGAAATGGCGGTCGCATCTCCGTGCTGCAGAGAAATGTGGTCCAGCTCGATGGTAAGGTGCGGGTCGGTCCAGTTGCGTTTGCAGTCGCAGAGCTGAAGCCTCGCAACACGAGCTTTCGGCTTAGACCTGATGAGCCAGCGGAAAAAGGATGAAAGTCTCATAATTGGTTTCTCCCCCTGGTAAGATTAGTTAAGGCTGTCTCGAACTCGATGTTGGTGTTGTTGAAGGGTTGAAAATCAGCAGCCAGTTTCCGACAACCTGAAGCGCGGATTACGCGCCATAAATCAATCATACAGAGCACCTACAAATGACAGAGTGTCTTTCGCTTTGCGGGGTTCTCAGCAATTCTCTTGGATTCTTGGTGTCAGCTGGGCAGCAGTGATGGTGACCAATGACAGCCACGCAAGACGTTCCACACGCCAATCAAGAACAGAGTCATTGGTGGAGTCAGAACATTTTTGGCTTACTGGTCGCCCCTTTAGCCACGTAGAGGTGTTCGATTTGGTGGGTGTTTCGCAGCGCGAAGGCCAGGCAAGTCTGGCCCAGCGCTCTAGCCCTTGCTCAGATCCAATCACTACTTTGGCATGCCAAAACGGATGTGGGGCGTTATGCAGGTGGATGGAGCGATGACTGGCGATGAATTCAATGCATTTGAAGCGCTCTTTATGCTGGCAAGGGCTGCTTAAAACGATCCTCAGCCGCTTCGCTATTTTTTCCACCGCGTGCGCGCATTAGCCATTGTGTATTGTGCAAAGGCCGCTGCTCACCACCCTCAGCCTTGTATGTCTGATACTGGGTGATATAATAAAAAATCGTCACTTCACTATACATCAATAAGAGCTGATGGTGTAATGGCTAGCATTAATGCTTCTACGATCACTTAGCCAAACATTCATTGTAAGCTAGTAGACACTCGTTAGCATTAGGTTCAGGTTCGACTCCTGGTCGGCTCAGCTTTCTTTTTGCTTGTTTCTTCCTCTGACTGTTAAATTTTTTGCTGCGACCAACTATGGAGCCGAAGAGACCAACCGACGGAACCCGCCCCTCCAACCCCTTTCTTTCCCCACAAGGCGGCCCGTGGTTCACATTAGCCTCGGTTTCGGTGGTATGGGAATAATATTTTTTCTGTGTGAAGTATCTGTTAGGGACCGGATAGCTCTTTTCAATTTCAGGGACAAGAAATGAAGGAAAGCAGAATGAGAGCCGTGATGCAGTGAAGGTCACTGAAAAATAAACTCTGATAAAAGCCATTTCATTATTCGTACCATCGCTCATGATGTTTCTCATGCAAAGCATTATCTTCGTACCGGTGGCTAACTTCTTATATGCTGGGGGAAAAAATATCTGCTTTCATCCACCCTACCAGCCTGCTGGTCTACAACACGAATCAAGACAGCCAAACAATCAAAAACCCGGGGTATCGTGTGTTCCATTCATTACTCATTGCAATCCCTCCTCTCTCTCTCTCTCTCTCTCTCTCCTCTTTTTCATTCATGAGTCAACGGGATCGTCCCCACCCTCTCCCCCGCCCCACCCCCAGCCCCGGCAGCCCCAAAAACCCACTCCGCCTCCGCCTCCTCCTCCCGCCCTCCACGTCGTCATCGTACCTCTCCTCCACCTCCTCCTCCTCATCCCCACTCACCCCATGCCGCGACGAGACCCTCGTCTCGCACCCAAACGCCGCACTGCCCTCTAGTCTCCCCCTCGGATCCAATTCCAACTGCTGCTCTTCCTGCTGTCGTTGTTGCCGTTGCGGCGACCGCGGCGGTGAGAAACCGTCTCTCCTCTCCTGGCGGCGGTCCAGCGAGACGAGCTCGAAGGACTGGCGGTACGTGATCTGCAGCGGCGAACGCGGGGGCGGCGGTGGTAGGCGCGGGGTGACGTTGTACGCGATGTCGCGGGCGTGCGGGTGGGGGAGGAAGGAGACTTCGTCGTCGTTGTCGTTGTCGTGGTGGTCGTGGTCGTGGTTGTCGGCGTCGATGCTGGTTGTGTGGTGGTGATGGGTGATGTGCGGGTGCTTGGCTCTGCCCATTTCCTTGAGCGTGCTGGTGTCGGCGGAGGAGTTCGACGTGGGGTCGTTGGTCTTTCTGTTGTTTCGGAACTTCTGGTACGAGCCGTGTCCGCGGCTGTGGCGAGAGTTCTGTACCGTGCTGTTTTCAGGTGTCGTGCTACTGCCGGAGATAAGACTTGATATGCGGCTGCTGACGCTGGAAAAGGCCGGGGCGACACAGCGCTTGATGAAGGGGCGGAGGGCGGGCATGCATGCGCAGATCTGGTTGTGGGCTTGTGGTCAGCTCTGCAGTTCCGATGGTGTTGTGGAAGGGGGGTGATGTTTACCACGCCCAAGTTGATCTCGACGGCCGCGGCGATCCACAAGGGGAAAGTATACCACGTTTCGTCGTAGCTTGCGATCAGGCCTTTCCAGATGTAGTAGGTGCGGACGACACCTGCGACAACGACGAGTAGGCCCATGCTCAGGAGGATTATGATGCCGATGCGCTGTTGGAGCGGCATTTGCAGTTTGCGGACGAGCGGGATGGGGAGCACCGTGACGAGGAGGTCTATGAAGCAGTTGACTATGCCGATGCCGAGCACTGTTTTGCCCTCATCGAGGCAGTAAGCTCCGGCCGGCGGAGACAAGGTCCAGTAGGCGCTGATGGGGCTGAGGATCCAGGGAGTCAGCGGGGTGGTACTGATGTAGGAATGGGAAGACTCACTTGCATTGCCAGATACCGAGACAGGTGAAGGTGATGACGGCTGCTACGTTGAGGAAGACCGTTGCGTGCAAGGCCCAGCCGAACCACTTGATGCCTGAATCGGCGACGAGGCGGTAGTAAAAGCACAATAGTGATTGGCGAGTGAAGGTGGAAGCGTAGACGAAGATAAGCTTTGCAGAGAAGGCAACCTTGAGCACGCCTGAGGAAAGTCAGTCAAGTGGAAAGTTGAAAGTCAGGAAACGACGCACCAGTAAAAGCGGTGATGGGAACGTCCCAGACATGGCGATCCCAGTAATAGTGTTTATTTGCAATGATTACATTGACGGTCAACCCCACGGTTGACATCTGGTTGAAGTCAGCTCTGAGGCGCGTTGCCAGTAGGGGCGAAGCTTACGTATGCTAAAATTATGAAAACATCGTCCGAGCCGAACCATCTCTTGACAAAAATGCGCGTGTAAAGGCGGAGAAAGAGTAAAATTGTACACAAGGATACGAATATGATATTAATAATGATGAGGGCGGGTCCTCGGGTTACAGGGTCGACGTAGTTTGGCTGGGGCCAGGTGAATAGGACAGCTAGTGGGATCTCGCGGACCATTTTGGCATGCTGGCTAACGGAATAGGAAGTGGACGGGTATCATTAAGAGCGAGAAAAGCGAGGCTGAGCGAGACGGCATCGAAGGGGGTGTGACGAAGAAAAGAGAGGCTTGGTTGAGGGCATGGGCCAGGCTACCACGCGATGGTGCGACGGTAGAGGCTGGCTGGGGAGTACAGCCGGGGCACACAGCGCAACGCAAGGACTTACAGGTGCGCCACAGACTAAATGCCGTTGCTGACAGCCCTGACTAAACATGGCGCTGGCGCCAGAGCCGCGCATCAGGCCGGTTACCTAGTCTGGTTGGTGGGTGGACGATGGCAGTGATGCGCGGGGCGCTGGAAAACGGGCGACGGACAATAACGCCCTCATTGTCCGCGGTATGTGTACGACATGGAAAGTGGAGCCAGCGTACATGATGGCGCGAAACGAAGGCGTCGATTGGGAGAGGTGTTGATGCGCGGCCAGGATGGCGGGAAGGAGACAGGGGAGGCAGGCGCTGTGCAACCCCAAAAACTTCCTCCCGCTGACCTCCCAATAATCCGTAGCTCTGGATCAACACGCCTCAACGCGACACAGAACCAGCGCCCCGTCACTGCGGCCATGCTCCAAAATAGTCCACTCCGACCATCACTACCGCCAAACTTTAAGCTCCACCCCGTTCGGTCCGCTTAGCTCGTGAGAATTACCGCACGCATGCCAACGCGCACGTGTTTGCCCTGTCCGCGTGCCGCATCTTGGAATTTCGTCCGTCCCATCTGCCGCCCCACCTGCTTCCGCACCACTCCCCAAACAACGTCTCGCATCCTGCATGTTTTGCAGGGCTAACGTCTTCACCACTACCGGCCTCCGGCACTAACGGCCGCTATCGAAAGCTTCTAATCACTTCAAAAGGCCCGATGGCGTAACACCTGCACGGAGTCCAAAATAGTCTCGTTTTCATCGCTGCGCCCTGGTCCTTTTCCCTTTTCATCAGCACTAGCCCATCGTTCGGCAGTACTTGCCAAACAATTGCCGTCTGGACTACCTGTTTCAACCCCGGATCTAGCCAACTCTCGTAATCTTGCCCCGATACGGTTATACTGACAATCCAAGTCACTGATCGCCATTCCCGTCAGGAGGCAGGATTTCCCCGATTGCGGCAAGGCGACCCTACCCGCACCCATGCACTTCTCTTTGACCTCAACTGTGCCATTTGCCATGAAACAAAGGTGTAATTCATGAAACATCGTCTCCACGTTCAACGGACATGCAGATCACTTCGTCCAGATTCTCGCACTTTCGTTTTACCCCGCTTTTGCGCGCTACGGATAAGTTGCATATGTCGATCTCTACATAAGCTAATAAGCCATTCACAATCAGCCTCATAGCCGGACTGAGAAAGCCACTCCGGCCCGCACGCGAAAGCCAGCCATCGCGTGGCATTTGATGCAGTACGAAGCAAAGAGTAGACAAGCAGAATCTATGAAAGACGTAGCAAGTGTTTGTGGCTTCCATGCATGGCCCCTTATGCATGGCCCCTCATGCATGGCCCCTCATGCATGGTCCCTCATGTAGCACCATGGAGGAAGCAAGTAGCAAACTAAACCACAACTTCATATCCATTGTCACCGAGCAGCAGCTCAAACTTAACAAACACCAATATTCCCGTATAAATAGCACCCAGAGATCACATCATTCCAACCTTCTCTACCACCACCATCAACACACCTTGAGGTCTTCTACCAAAAACGCTGGCCAAAGCTTCTCACGTCCATTTACCCACAACCAGCCAGCAACCCCAGAAAAGAAACAAAAGAAGAAGAAGAAGAAGGAAGACAGAAGCAATGGAGAGCCGACCACGGACCTACGACTTCATCGAACCCTTCCCCTCCGAGCGCGACGGCCCCCTCGAAACATTCCTGCGCGAGCAGATCGTGGCGAATGCCAAAATCATCTACAGCAGCAACGACGGCAGCGGCGCCCCCGGCAGAGACTTCTTCGTCGTCATCGCTTCTTCCTCCGCAGACACAAACATGAGAACACAAGCAGGCAACCCGCGGCAGCTGCCGGTGCAGGTGGGGGGGTACAGGGCATTGCTCGTGGAGAGGTGGTGGGAATGGCAGGAGGGCACTGGCTCTTCTGCAGTGGCGAAGACGCTGCGGCGCCGCGTGCTGAAGGCGAGCTCGGGCGGGTGCAGCGCGCCGGCGCAGGCGCTGATCGAGCTGGCCGAGGCGGTTTTCAGGGAGACGGGGGGCTGGTTGGGTGATGGCGAGCAAGAGGATTTGAGGCACGAGATCGACGCGTTGGACGCGCAGAATGGGGCCGGTGGGCTGGCGCAGTTGGAACTGAGGAGGGTGCAACTGGAAATGAGGAGCGCGCAACGGGAATTGAGGAGGGCACAGCTGGAACTGAGGAGGGCGATGCAGGAAGTGGCGCAGGCATGGGCGCCCGGCGAGAACGTTGCTGAGTCTCGCGACAACTGAGCAATTCGGGGCTGCGTTTTGGTGGTGATTCGAAAGGTGGAGTTACTGCGGATGTACTGGCATATCAATAGAGAGTAAGGGTAGTTAGATTATCAATGCAGCAGTGTCATTTGTGGGTAGTGGCCATTGTTCTCTGCGTGCTATCACTCTTACAAAATATATGCCACAATCTAAGGACGAAGGTATCAGAAGATGTGGAATTTAGCTGATTCCGTCATTTATAGCCATTACAGAAGGAGGTGATGGAAAAGACTAGATAGATTTCTTCGGACATATGATATTTTCCTCGCACAATAAGCCAGAACCCCGGAGTCTAAAGAGTTCAAGCGGCTACTTATCAATTCGAAGTTAACTATTCCGGGCCAAAAAAAAAAAGGAGCGTCTGATGTGAATATGACAGGGATTTTTACAGATCATAAAACACGCCCCTTTGTACCGGGCTCCCGCCAGAAAGGAAAGGAAAGAAAGTAGAAAGATCTTCCCCTCGTGATCGTCGACCCTCTCAGCCTCCAATCATAAGCGCCACAAGACTACAGTGAGAGACTGACGAGAGGCATGATGTAATTATAGTAATGCGTCTGTTTGTCGAGTTTGAAAGCTGCCCGCTGAGGTGGGGATCTGAGGGAACATGCATTTTTATGGCGGATGAAATGATAGAGTTGATATCGCGAGAGAAGGATGTTAAAATCTTCGTGGCTCTTTCTACCTACAAAGATTTTTAATTGGCAGTGTACTTCGATGTTTTGACCCAGTTGCCCGGTTGTTTAATTAATGACTTCTTGGCCCGCTTCCGAGGAATAGATATATTCTACATATCGGTCTGTACACCCTCTACAATTTATTTGACTCTACATTACACTTGATACGATACTATAGTGCCCAAAAAATAATTTGAGACTACTTTCGGCGACGGAGAACGGTTGTGGTGCGCAGAAACGAATTTCTTTGGTTTTGGTTGCAATTTCTTCAAATTGTTGATCAAAAACTAACAAAATGTATTCGTTGATGATTGAAAACCGGTGCTGAGTCTTTAAAACCTTGATCTGCCCCCATAACCTGCTCAATATATCACTGAAGCATACCTTGAACGCCCGGCAGGTTGCAGCATCATCCAGAACCTTCAGAAATATCTTTTTGCTGTTGTTGCTGTCGCCGGAAGAGCCTCTGCTGAGCAATTGGTCGCCATGCCGTTTCCCCTTAACCGCAACCAATGGTATTCTTCACCCCCTATACACATGTTCCTACAAGCTACACTTTGTAATATTTGATGTTCCGCCTGTCCCGCGGTCTCAAAAGAGCTTGGTTTATGCTGCTTGGTCCCTGGGTAGCGTGTTTTGGAAATATAATACATCTTGACCACCACCTTTTCAACTTCCCAGGAAGCAACAAATCAACGGTCTTGTGGTCTAGTGGTATGATTCTCGCTTAGGGCGAACCCTGAGTAGCTTGCGAGAGGCCCCGCGTTCGATCCGCGGCAAGACCCGTTCTTTTGCTTTTTGTTTGGGCGTTTGGTGGTGGTTGGGGGGCTGTGCGCTGAGGGCTGGCGCGGGCGCAAAATTTTTCGGATCCGTGGCACGGCCCGGCAAAGACTCGGTACTACGAACCCAGTAGGCTCATGAGCACCACAGGAATTAGCTCTTGGGCCTTGGGCTTTGTAGCGTTTTGCAAAAATAAGGAGGGGTGAAGGGTAAGGTCCACAGGTGAGTATTAAGGCCGAATCACATCAGTCTCTTGGTGGAAGGCGTCAGAGGCGTGAGACTAACAGGCCAATAAAGCTGGGGCAGTCGAAGCTACTGCTCGGATACCCTATACGTTGTTTATTTATACCCTTGTGGATGATGCTTTAACTGCTCGTTTTCTATTATAAACCAAGTGCACTAGTCTCGTAACACGTGTTTCTCCGTTTCTTTCTCCCTTTGCCACGCTATGGTGGACGCTAAGCGTGCAACCATCTTCACCAATTAAACTTAAAACTATGTATCGCTATGTGTAGTGCATCTACCACAAAGTCAGCTCAGAAGAGGAAGACCGAATTCGAATCAGATAAAGAGAATGAGATCCCAACTAAGACCCAGAAGAATCAGCCTATTATCAATCCCACTTATCGAAGTGACACCAACGCGAATTCACCTGGAGGCGCAAAAGACCTAGCATCTCTCGCCATACAACAGTGAAGACATCACCTAGGCGATTCTCTGAGCATGAAGTCCGTGCCGAATTCGACTCACAATCAAGCAATACCAAGATCGAAGCCCTCAGCAAACTCGAAGGCAAGGGTACTGTCTTCGACTATGCATCAACCTCGAAGACGTTGTTTTACCAGCCTGAGCTTTTCTGCCGCCAGGTAGATGCTCCCACTCGTGTGGGCAAAGCATGGCCACCAGAGGAAGAAGCGACCCTCGAACCTAGAGCAGCTTACCATCGGCAATGCGCTATGCAAGAGGATCGTGAAAGAGCATGGCCCACAGGGCACCAAGTCTCGGACACTCGTACCCAAACCGTTTATATACCCATGTAGTACCACGAAGAAAGTAGCAAACTGTGGACCACAACTTTGTATCCCCTCCCAAGACACACAAGTAAAACCAACATTCACAAAGAAGCCGTTAAACATTAGAAATTCTCGTAATCCTATCACCAGAGCAGTGAAACACATTAACACATTAAAGAATAAAAAACAACAAACATCAAACCCACTCTCCTCACACAACCGCCACCAACAACCCCAGCACCGCTCCCAGCCATCCGCCATCCACGCCCACCACAGCAGCCGCCCCCGTCGACGACGCCGCCGCCGTCGCACCCCCGGTCCCACCAAGCCCCGAATTAATCAACCCACCCAAACCACTGCTCGTCGAAGAACCCCTGCTCGCCGTCGCCGTCGCCGTCGTCCTCGTCCCTCCAACCGTCTGCACGACGACCGTCTGCCCCGCCGCATTCGTCGTCAACACCAGGGTCGTCTTGCTGCTGCCTGCGTCGCCACCGACCGTCACGGTGCCGCCCAGCGTCAGCGTCTGGCCGTCGTAGACGTACGCGGTGCCGTCGACGGGCTGGATGGTGGTGCCGTAGATGACGAGCGGTGGAGCCGACGTTGTTTGTGCTGTAGCAGCAACCGCAGCCGTCGCAGCCGGCGCTACGGTCTGTATGACGGCGCCGTTAGCGACCGCGATGGTTTGGCCGGCGGCGTCGGTGGTTAGGGCGTAGGTGGTGCCGGCGACGGTGATGGGAGCGCCGCCGGGGAAGAGGGTTTGGCCGGCGATGACGTAGGCGGCAGAGCCGGAGGCTGCGACGATGGTCTGGCCGTCGGCGAGGGTGAGGGGGGAAAGCGGGACGATGGGCGGGGCGCCGGTGATGGCTGGAGTAGTGTAGGGGATGGTGGAGCTGCCGACGATGACGATAGGGGAGCCGGCGGCGTTGGTGGTTAGGGCGATGACGGTGGCGGAGGGCCCGGTGCCGAGGGTGATGGGGGTCCCCGGGGAGACGGTTTGGCCGGAGATGATGTATGCGGTGCCTGACGGCTGGATTGTTTGGTCGCCGATGGTGAGGGCGGGTGGAGAAGGAGATTGAGCGGCGGGAGCAGCGGTGGGAAGAGTGACTGTGCTGCTGCCTCCAATGACCACTGCGGGGGGTTGAGGAAGTTGATTATTTTGTTGACCATCCTGAGGCGCAGGAGCGACGGTGGTGGGTACGGAGATTGGAGTATTATCAATCACAGTCGTCTGCCCTGCCGTGAGAGTCGTTGATCCTACAACCACAGCAGGGATAGTGGTGCTTGTTCCGGCAATAATGGTCGGGATTGCAGTGGGGACAACAGCCACAGAAGTGGTTCCTACTGGAATATTCGTACTCGGTGGTGCCGGGGTGCCCGCAGGTGGATTAACTACGGCGCTCTGAGCAGGTTGCGCGGGTATATTTGTTGGTGGTGCTCCTCCGTTCGAAAGGTAACTTCCAATGAGAGAGCCGATGACTCCACCTATTCCGCCGTCTCCAGCAGTGGTGGTGCCAGAAGGGGGCTTTATGACGGTCCCAACTTCAGTAGGAGGGACGGTAGTAGGCTCGGGCTCGTCAAGAGTTTGTGGCAACTCGGTATGTGCTGTAGGAAAAACAGTTGTAATGGACAAGGAAGGTGGCTGCACGGGTGCAGGGAGTTCAGTGTGTGCGAATCCCGGGGCGGATGTCTCATCTGGAGGAGTTACGTCTGCAGATTCTTCTGTATGAGCGGTTGAAGTAGCGTCAGTTGGCGGTGTTACTTCCGCGGACTCCTCTGTATGAGCGGTTGAAGTAACGTCAGTTGGAGTTGGTACTTGGACAGGTACGGAGGTCTCGATGTGTGCGCTCTCAGGGGTTGTTGTCTCTCCGTCTCCTTCATACGAAACCGATGTAGTAGTGAGAAAAGCCGCTGTCTTGCCAGTCAGAACTGGAGCCCAGTCCTCAGGTAGGCACAGGGAAAAGGCGGCTTCGTCGGTAAAGTGAGAGGAAATGAAATCATCACGCGAACCAGCAGCATCTTGCCGCATGCATTCCCAGTTCAGGCCTCGCGGGTCACCGTATACCGGACCAGTCGCCTTGGGGGGCATCGTTGTATAAGATGACCAGAAGGCGTTAAAATCAGGATGCGATCTGAAAGTTACTGCTTCACCTCCTGAATCGGAACATATCGTGCCGGTTGCATTTGCTCGGGTGGTTGGCAGGCGACCACTCCAGCTATAGGTTGATCCATAGTCGCCAATAACGCTCGGAAAGGGTATCGTGGTCATGGTACCATTATAAATCACGGAGCAGAGGCGGGTGCCGGCTTCATTGGTTGGAGGCAGAGTGTAGCCGTCGGGCAAGTCAACGGTACTGGTAACATATCTGGTTGTGTTTCGGACGGTGTTGATGATGGTAATGACGGTGGCATATGTGATGTTCTCAGTTACTTCGTTGGTGTACCATGACACGGTCCAGAAATATGGAGGTCTGAATCTGCAATCGGCTTCGCAACTGGGGGCTGGAGTTGTTACGGGCGTGGTAGCGGGCGAAGTGCCGTTCGGCGGTGCAGCTGCGAGAATAAGTCATTGTTCGTGAGACAAGGGTCAGTGCCAGAATGTCTTACTCTGCTGAGGAAAAGCCCTCACGCTGGTACAGGCAACGGCCAGGACGGCCAACGCTTGTATGGCCAAGCGCATGGTGAACGATCGACGTGTGGGGCAAAAATTGGCAAAGCACAAAAAGAAAAACGAGAGAAGCGCACGATTCAAAGGTGGAGAGCGAGCGAGATACTAGAGAAAGGGCAGCGCGAACTATGCTTAACCGTCGCTAGTGCAGGCGGATATGTGCCTGGGCGTCAGCAGCCACATGGCGACACACACAGCCGGGACATGGGCCGACTGGACTGTGTGAGTGGCTAGGCGAGTGCCGGTGTGCTGATGTTTCGGCCATTTTCAGCTGCAAGCTGGAGGCGAGATAGTCACCTGCGTGGCATGAAGCGGCAGGTCAGAGAGTCTGGACAGCAAAAATTCTATCATGCAATCGAATCCTTCCGGGGTTGCCTCAACGGGAGTGGATTTGCGCGACGCCAATGAGCAGGGATTTAGATCAAGAGGCGCTGCGGAGGAATATGGGGGCGGTTTGAGAGGATCATCTCCGGACGCCTGGAGGCTTGGCGAGGCTGGTGGATGCTGCGCCGCGCGAGATGGGTTCGACGACGCTTTGAGCGGTGATATTTTCAGAGCTGCAGCCTCGCAGCCAAAGTGGCGTAGGTCACACTGCGAAGTGTTGGCGGTGTGGTGTAACTGCTTTTCGGCAGGAACGAGGAACGGAAGCGCCCAAAATAAGTGAGCTCACCGCGCCGACCAATGGCGCGGTCCCGCCCAGGCGCCCTGCCGGGGCCAAGCTCAGCACTACCCTCCCGGTGCGGGCCTCTCGCACCGCCAGTACCGTTGCACCGCTAGCACCGCGATGCCTGCTCGACGGCCGTGAAGTATGCGCGCAGAGCCACTTTTGGGGCCTGCTCGCCCTCTCCTCTCCCTCGGATCGCACCCATGTCGCCATCGCTCGTTTTCCCCCGCGCATCTCGTGTTTGCTGATCCTCAAGCCTAACATTCGCTTCCGTGCGCGACCTCCTCCAGCCTCCGTACATCATGAATCGTCTCCTTGGCCGGCTGCTGCTCGTAACAGCGCTGCTGTGCGCCGCAGACGCCGCCGACACGCCCGAGCCCATTTCGTTACAGCCTACGCAGTTCTGGTATGTTTCAGACACCACTTGTGCACGCTGTCTCTAACCACCGCCTCGCTTCAGGGACGGAAACGACGGGCCTTGGTCGACCTTCGCTTTTACCATTGGCACTCCCGCCCAGAGCCTGCATCTCTTGCCAGCCACCGGCCAGTCCGCACTATGGCCAGTCCTCCCCGAGGGCTGCTTGAACGACGACCGCGCCACCAACGTCTGCCAGGATGATCGCGGTGGGGTATTTCTGATCAACCAATCCTCCACCTGGGTCGAAGAAGGAATATATTCGTTGTCAACGCTGTGGGTCGAGCAACAGTTGGGCGTGGGAGAGGATGCGCGCGGGCACTATGGCTTCGATACCGTTGGATTGGGGTGGCCGTCGTTTGGAATGCCGTCGCTGGACAGCCAGGTCGTGGGAGGAATCGCCGACAAGACCATCTACGAAGGAGTTTTTCCCTTGAGTGCCCGCCCGGTCAACTTCACCGACCTCAATAACCCCCATGCCACCGTTTTGCAGACTTTGGTCAACAAGTCGATGATTCCGAGCTCTTCCTGGTCCTACACTGCCGGCTCTTACAACAGGGTCCCCAAGATTTACGGTAGCCTAACCCTCGGCGGGAAGGACACTAACCGCTACGAGGACAACGACATTAGCATCCCGTTCGGTTCTGACATCTCCCGGGACTTGCTCTGCGCTGTCCAATCAGTGACGACCAATGTTAGCTCATCGCCGCTGCTGTCGACCCCCAACTACTGGTACATCGACTCGCTTGTTGCGTCAATGTGGTTTCCCGAGGATGCGTGCACTGCTTTTGAAGAAGCGTTTGGAATTGAATGGGATGATGAATATTCCATCTATCTCATCAATGACACCCAGCATGAGACACTCTTGGACCAGAAGGCCGCCATAACAATCACCATTGGAGCCAACACGTCGACCAGCGACACGGTCGACATCGTCCTGCCGTATGAAAGCATGGCTCTGAATGCCTCATGGCCCGTCTATCCGAACGCCACTCGCTACTTCCCTCTGAAGCGCGCCGTAAACGACACGATGTACACGCTTGGCCGCGCATTTCTGCAGAATGCCTACGTCATCACAAATTACGAAACTCAGACTTTCTCCGTCCACCAGGCTCTGTTCCCCGACTCCAGCGCGCAAAACATTGTCCCAATTGAGGGTGTCAACAGCAAGAAAGATGACGGATCCTCGCTCGGCGCCGGTGCCATCGCCGGAATCGCAGTCGGATGCGCCGCCGTCGTCGCCATCCTGGCGCTGATCTTCTGGCTCGCCTACCGCCGCAAGAAGCAGAAGCAGGAAAAGGCCGCCTACGATGCCGCTGCCGCCGCGGCCGCGGCCGCCGAAGCGCCGCCCGCGCCCAAGGAAGAGAGGCCGGAGAACGAAATGGACGCGGGTGCCGACGGCCACGTGCCCGGCGGCACGGGCGTCGGAAACAAGACGGAGCTGGAGGGCGAGGGCGCCAGGCACGAGATGCAGGGGTCTGACACTTCCAAGGTGGCCGAACTGTACGGCCTCGAGGCCCGCAAGCTCGCCGAGATGGAGGCCCAGGCTACCCCGGTTTATGAGATGGCGGCGAATGAGGAAGTCTTGCTGCCCGAGCTCGAGACGCCTAATCAGGGTGCTACGCCCAGAGCGCAGACGCCGCATGCGGAGCTTGAAGCACCGCACGAGTCGAGGGTGGCTGTGATGCGGGAGAGAGAAAGACAGCAAGAGGCTGGGGAGAGGGAAAGGCAGCAAGAAACTGGGGCGAGAGAAACACAGCAGGCTACTGAGGAGAGAGAAACACAGCAGGCTACTGAGGAGAGAGAAACGCGACAGGATACTGAGGAGAGTTCAAAGTAGAAATATTTAATTAGCGGCATGGCGTTTTGTTCGGATTCGAGATGATGGGGTGTAAGTTGGAGCTTTTTTTGGTGTGGAAAGATGACGATTTGGTAACTGCATGTTGATTTTCAAGAGATATCCCTCATTGCTATTCTCCTCAATTCAAGATTTCGTTTTGGTCCAGTCCTATCTTTCTCCAATCCCTTGCTTGTCTTTCAGTCGGGTTTGCTTCAATTCTCTCTTTGCCTTCTCTCCGTCAGCCAAGCCTCCATCCTGCCAAGCCAACAAACCACCAAAACGGTTTGCCATGGCCAAACACCGACGGAGATGGCAGAACCCAGCCGAGGACCTGCTCATTGTTTTTCCGCTAGCAGCATGTCCGTCAAGCTGTTCACCACCAAACGAACTCGTCGCTTCCCACCAGTCCTTTCTCCCAGCCATCCGCTCCCGCAAGCGGCCCGCCAATGCAGATGGCCAAGCACACATCCAGTTCCTTTGTCACCATCACGCCTCTTTTCTCCTCCTCACCCCGCGGCTCCCTCTTTCCATTCTTTTCTGTCTCGCAACCACGCCACGGTTAAAACTGGACGGCCCTTCTAGACTTACGGTTCTATCCGTGACTGTTTCTCCCCTGAGACGGCTGTCACTCTTCTCTTGACGATCGTTGCACACGGCCTCCTTTCCGCTCCCGACGACGGAAGACAACGGCGTGTTCCCGTGTGTTTGAAGCTGCGTCGTCCGCGTGTCCCACCGCTGGTCTGAGCCAGTTGTCCAGGAACCAGACCACGCATCTGCCTCTTCGTACAACGCAGAACGCATAAAACTCACCAGCAACCCTACTACACCCACGATGTCCGGCGGTACACTTTTCGCCATGGCTTTGCCGTAAGTCCTGTTTTCACACTGTACCCACCCGCAGCCCTTCCCTCACTTCAGAAAACACTGCATTTCCCATCTATCTAAACAGAAGAGGAATGAAGAACCCCTGCTGACGTTGCAAACAAACAAACACAGTCCAAGCCTCGACCCCCTCAACCCGCTCAACCCCTACAAAGGCTTCTACGGCTGCGGCGGCGGCGCTGCCTACGCTCCTCCTGCGCCCGCTCCCGCTCGTGCGGTGCCGCCGTCCTTCGCTCTTCCTCGTATCATCACTCGCACCGTCAAGGCTCCTAGCACCGAGCAGCAGCACAACAACGACGATGCTGAAGTCGAAGTCGGCACCGAGCCCACCGACGCTGGCGGCCGTGGCAAGTCAACGCGCGGACGCGGTGGTGGTGCACGCGGGCAGAAGAGTGGGGGTAGCAGTGCCCGTGGCGGCGGCAGCAAGAGTGGGGGCAGGGGTGGGAGGACGACGCGCCGGGGCTCTCGGGCTCAAGGCGGTGGCGATGATGACGGGGACGACGATGAGGATGATGGCAGGAAACGTGGCGGCCGCCGTGCGGAGCCGGTGATAATCGTGCCGCCCGACGAGGAGAGCACCACAGACGAGGACTCCGACTCCGACTCCGACTCCGACGAAGAAGAAGAGGATGAGGAGGAGCAAGGCCCACCTGCAAAGAAAGCGAAGAAGGGCAAGGGCAGGGCGGTCACGTTCGCTGCGGATGTGATGGCTAAGAACAACAGGCCCGGCGGCAGGTACTTTGGCGCGATCAAGCATGCCAAGTGGACGCACGACAACCACCCGCCGCCGCCGTCGCGCCGCCCGGGCATGCCGCCGCCCGTGCCGGCCCAGGAGCGCGTCGCGCCGTGGGGCGAGACGTGGGTGGCCGACCAGATGGCGTCGTTTGACTTTGGCGAGACCATCTTCGCGGGCGCGTATCAGAGCGCGCAGATTACGGCTGATCTGCTTGGAGGTACGTTTTTCTTGTTTGCCCTATTATCCGCATATAAGGGCTTCCCCGATTGAGGAGTATCCCCGATCGCCACGTGGGATTCATGCAAGTCGTAAGGCTGATGGCTGATGTTTTATATGACTTCAGGCGCGACGGGCAAGACACCCAAGGTGCAGCCCCCGGAATCGCTCCCGTGGAAGACGCGCTTCGACTTGCCTCAGCCGAAGGACATGCCGGCGATGGCGAGGCGTGATGCTGAGTTCGAGAGGGCTGGCGTCTGGAAGCTGACCAAGGAGAACGTGCCGGCGCTGTTCGAGAAGAAGGGCGCGACGCTGATGTCGATTTTCCCGCAGCACTCGGACTGTAACTCGAACAAGAAGTTGACGGCATCATTGGTGTAGAGGTTTTCAAGGCTGGAAGGCTTATCGCAGGTGGAGGTAATGATAGATTGGCGTGTGGCGTCTTTTGGGTTCCGTCTTGGATGAAAAGGGAAAAAGATGTATGTAAGACTAGGGAAGGAAGGCGTTCATTGGTCAGTTTTCAAAGATTTTAGTCGTCCAGGAACAGTCGATTGTTTATCTGCTTTCTGTTAGCAATGCCACTTACTTTGAGGCGTTAGAAGTTGGAGTCGATGGGCCAATGATCCGAGCGTCATGCGCGTATCTGCCCCGCAACGCGTCGCCCCAAGGGTCCACGCGCCGCATTTTGTTCGTTGGCGTCGCTGCGAGTCGTGGAAAAGATAGCGAACCCCTCCAAAAAGTTGGAGACCCCAATTTGCGGTGCTACTTGTAGTGCCGAAACCGTCCGATTTGGAGCTCTTCGCCTGCGCTGTCAACAACACCGTCATGCAGATGCGGCTTCGGCGGCCGGCATCGTGGTGAGCGAGCCGAACTCACGCCAAAGTCGGCCGCCACGACCCGAACGAATGCGCATGTCTTGAAAAGGCGCTGCTGGCGCTGCAGTTGCCGTTCGCGCCATATTGCCAATTCCTCCCTTGCTTCCTGTTTTTCTTGAGATACCCCGCAACCGCAACGAACCGCAACGATGAAGCTCGACAAGTTCCCCAAGCACCAGCTCACCTTCTCGGGCCCGACGCCCATCCAGCACCTCAAGCGCCTCTCCGAGGCCCTCGGCGGCAAGGTCCAGCTCTACGCCAAGCGCGAGGACTGCAACTCGGGCCTGGCCTTTGGCGGCAACAAGACGCGCAAGCTCGAATACATCATCCCCGAAGCCATTGAAGGCGGATATGACACTCTCGTCTCCATCGGAGGCATCCAATCGAACCAGACGCGCCAGGTGGCGGCGGTGGCGGCGCACCTGGGCATGAAGTGCGTGCTGGTGCAGGAGAACTGGGTCAACTACCACGACGCCGTGTACGACCGGGTGGGCAACATCGAGCTGTCGCGGATACTGGGGGCCGACTGCCGGCTGGACTCGGCGGGCTTCGACATCGGCATCCGGCCCAGCTGGGAGCAGGCCATGGCCGACGTCGAGGCCAAGGGCGGCAAGCCGTACCCCATCCCGGCCGGCTGCTCCGAGCACCCCAAGGGCGGCCTCGGCTTCGTGGGCTTCGCCGAGGAGGTGCGCGCACAGGAGAAGGAGCTGGGCTTCAAGTTCGACTACATTGTCGTGTGCGCCGTGACGGGCAGCACCCAGGGCGGCATGATCGTCGGCTTCGCTGCCGACGGCCGCGCCAACAAGGTCATCGGCATCGACGCCTCGGCCAAGCCCGAGAAGACCAAGGAGCAGGTGCTGCGCATCGCGAAGAACACGGCCAACCTGGTCGAGCTGGGCCGCGAGATCACTGAGGACGACGTCGTGCTGGACACGCGCTTCGGCGGGCCCGAGTACGGCCTGCCCAACGACGGCACCATGGAGGCCATCCGCCTGTGCGCCCGCACCGAGGGCATGCTGACCGACCCGGTCTACGAGGGCAAGTCGATGGACGGCATGATTTCCATGGTGCGCAACGGCGAGTTCCCAGAGGGCTCGCGCGTGCTCTACGCGCACCTTGGTGGCGCCCCGGCACTGAGTGCCTACAGCTATCTGTTCAAGGAGGGATAGACGGAGCTTGTACGAATTAATAATAGACCATCAATGAATTGAACGAATTGACCAGCATCGATGCAAGGAGTCGGATTTTTGAGACGTTGCGAGTGGAAATGTAGATTGCATCGGCGTTGACATGGCCCGGCAGAATATTGAGCGGGCAGTCAGAGCCCGACGCGTTCTCAACCGGCGCGTCAAAGGCCGCTCTTGCCGCAGATTTGCCGATTCTCGCGGCTTCTATGCCCCACTTGCATCATGGACATGGCTGCTAACTCCGATGGCGGGGTAGTTGATAGGTAGGGATACCCGCCACTTCTGCCTTCAATTCTTCCCATTCTTGCTTCCACCTCTTCGCACTACATATACCCGGCTGGCCCGCCAATTGATCCCACATTCAATCCAATCTACCATCCCACTTGACGCCATGGCCGCTCCCAAGGAAATTCGCTGGGGCATCCTCGCTACCGGTGCCATTGCCAAAACTTTCACCACCGATCTCTTGTGTGATCCCAAGACGCGTGGAGTGAACCACATCAAGCACACTGTCGTCGCCGCTTCTAGCTCCAACAGCGTTGACCGCGCTGCCCAATTCCTCAAGGATGTCGGCGCGCCCTCGACCGCGAAGGCCTACGGTTCTTACGCAGAATTCGTCAAGGACCCCAACATCGATATCGTCTACGTCGCTACTCCCCACTCGCACCACTACCAGAACGTCAGGCTTGCCCTGGAGGCTGGCAAGAACGTGCTGTGCGAGAAGGCCTTTACCGTGAACGCTGATCAGTTGAAGAAGCTGGTTGCGGTGGCCAAGGAGAAGGTAAGCACGCCATTGCGCCCCACTGAATGTTGATCTGACATTGCTATTTCACGTAGAACCTTTTCCTCATGGAGGCTGTCTGGACCCGTTACTTCCCTCTCTCCATCTACGTCCGCGACATTATTAGCTCTGGCAAGATCGGCACCGTCCAGCGCGTCTACGCCGACAACGCCCACGCCCTCGACCCCGAGACCGCCTTTGCCGATGGCCAGCACCGCATGGTCAACCCAGATCTCGCCGGTGGAGCGCTCCTCGATCTCGGCATCTACTCCCTGACCTGGGTCTTCCAGACCGTCTACACCACCCTGCCCGAGGCGGAGCGCCAGCCGCCGTCGGTCCTGTCCTCGACCAACATCTACGCCGGCACCGGCGCCGCCGACGAGCTGACGACCATCCTGCTGAACTTCCCGCGCAGCGGCGGCAAGAACAACGTGCACGCCGTGGCCACGACGGGCCTGCGCTACGCCACCGACTCCAAGGGCGACCGCGACAGCGCCGGGCCCGCATGCCGCGTCCAGGGCGACAAGGGCGAGATCCAGATCTTCCCGCCGCTGTACCGCCCCACCAAGACGCGCCTCGTGCTGCGCGACGGCACCGACGAGACCAAGGAGTGGCCGCAGCCCGGCCCCGGTGCCGGCTCCGGCTGGTACAACGGCTTCGGCGGCGGCCGCAACGCTGAGGGCGAGGGTCACGGCATGTTCTGGGAGGCCGACGAGGCGGCGACGGCCCTCGTCGAGGGCCGCAAGGAGGGCAAGTACGAGAGCTTGGCCGAGAGCGTGACCATCATGGAGGTTATGGATGAGGTGAGGAAACAGGCCGGCCTGAAGTACCCCAGCAAGATCGAGACTACCGATTATCCGGTGGCGTTGTAGATTTTTGGAGATGGAATGTGTAAGTTGGATCGAAATAGATGATTTTACGATGCTTATTGCGTTGCGTTCACGTGTAGCGCGTTCTCACTTTGAGCTACCCTTTCATTTTAACGCTATTCTCTGAGGTATAGCTGTTTACGAAAAATTGGCCCTTCACAGCCATGTTTTAATTCGACATTCTCGTCCAGACGATAGTTTCAGCTACCCATGACATGAGCAAAAAGCAAACCCACGCTACTTGCGTCATCTGGATGAAGAAGCACTTGCCCCTTCCGAAAAAAAAGTACTTGCCTCGTCTGGATGAAGAAGCGCTTGCCTCGTCTGGATGTGGAAGTCGTTGAGCTCGCCATTCCCCTCGGGCGGTCTCTCACCCTCCTCTCACTCTCACTCTCCACTCAAGTCTCATTCTTGACCACCAAGCGGTTACCATTGATATATCGTTACTCTCGCCAATTACTACCGAATCGCCATTCATTCGTCACAATGTCCAACGGACACGACACAGACTTGTCGGCATCAACAGGATCAACGACAGTCGCTCCACCAAATACATCCAACCAAACATTGATACCGCGTCTCAGACCTGACGATTCTTATTACATAGAGGTCGGACCCATCGGAACGGTCAATCCCGCCGTGTCACGCACGCTCTGCGTCCCGGCCTACCTCACGTTCGACCAGCTCCACACCGTGATCCAGATAGCCTTCGACCTGCGGAGCGACCCGTACTACCAGTTCAATATCTCACACAAGGGGTCCTGGCCAGATGAGGTTTGCACTCGCATCCCCCATCCTGCCTATCCCGCTCCCTCTGACACAGTTTCATCACTGTAGGACTCCGCCGTCGCCAACGAACACTACTTTGACCACATGCAGCGCGACATCAAGTACTTTGCCAACTTCGTGCCGAGTACGGCATGGAAGCGCGCGCGGACGCGCATGGCGGACGAGGCGTTGATCCACCACGGCTTCTGGGGGATTGGCCGCAATGAAGCCGGCCAGCCGATCGACTACCTCTACGTCTACGGCGCCAACCCCAACGCGGAGCACGGCGGGTGGGTTTGGCGGATCACTGTGCTCCGCCGGGGTAGGTTCCATAATATACGGAGTACTGTGCAAGTCCCTAGGCTGGGCTTTACACAGAGGACTTTTTGTGCGGGTGGGACGGTAAGTAGTTTCCTTCACCTTCACGCCTTCTACTAACCACGCACACAGGGCCACACCATCGCTGAGAACTGCAAAGGCCCGGCTCACTGGGAGAGACTGAAAGTCGCGTGCAGAGCAGGATCCAGAAACCAGAACACGTACCGCAGTCTGGGCAGCGGGTGGGTGTGGCGCGACGAGGATGACAAGCTGCGCCGGTGGTTCGAGAAAGACTGCATCAACGGGCACAACCTGTACCCGGACGGGCTCGATCCCGACAGCTGGGACATCTTTGACGTCAACGCGCGGCTGCGCGAGAACAGACGGTTGCCGCGGCGACTGAGGAGCCGGGCCGTGAGGATTTCGAGGAGGATGGTGGAACAGTTTACGGGGGAGCGGGTGGATAAATGGGGGGGTCTCTCTTGGCGGGAGGCGTGGAGGGGAGCGTGAATGGACCAGAAATGACAATAACAATTAGACAGTTCTCTCAGTAAGGATTTGTTTTTTTTTCCGCTGTGAAAAAAAGAAAAAAGAAGAGCTGAGGCATACTTACGCCATGTTCCAAGGCCCTGCCATTCTTCGAACTAACCATCGGCTGCAGCACCCCTTCAACTCCCCCCATCTCTACCTTAACATATGTGGGTAGTTGAAGCCATCATCCGGACGAGAATGTCACGTTAAAAATTCTACATACCCGTCCGGACGATAGCTTCAACTACCCATGACATGAGCGAAAAAACAAATCACTGTATAAAACATTCCACATTCCTTTCCGAACACTTCCCGCTCAAAGATCCTTGGATCAACGGAAGAAGAGGGATGACTAAACGTTAAGTATTAAGAGATAATTCCTACAAGAAGGAGACGCTGGTGACGACCGTCAAAACTTCCCGAAAATCCAACCACAAACTAGTAGTAATACCATATCGACATGAAACGAAGCCCCGTAGCAACAACAGGAAAGAACAAAGTTGATCGCTCAAACATTCATTCCATCATAAAGACAATCATACAATAACCGAAGATACGGAGAGAGAGAGAGAGAGAGAGCCCTACCTACCGCGGCGGCACATACCCCGGCGAAGACTGCCAACTGGACCCAGTATGCGGCGTGAACAACAACGGCTGACCGCCGCTTATGCTCCCGCTCCTCTCCTCGCCAGGCAGCACCTGCTCGTAAATGGTATTCGACCGCGACGACAGCAGCGACAAGTCGCTCCACGACTCCCTCTTGCGCGCCGCCCTCCGCCCGCGTATATCCCCACCGCCCGCCCATCCGCCACCGCCGCCAAACCCATCTTCACTCCACCCACCACTACCAAATACATCATCCCTCTTCCGCTTCAGCACCCTGAATCGCAGCGTCCCGCCCCCCTCCTCCCGCATGACCAGCTTGCCCACACGACCGCTGCTCTTCCCGTCGACGCGCGCCGCCGTCCGCACGTCCGCCGCATCCGCCGCGCGGACCACGGCCGACGGGTCGGTCAGCAGGCACGCGGCCGCGAAGTCGACGACGGGCGGCAAGCTGCAGCGGGCCTGCATGACCGCTAACAACACGCCCGACACGACGACGAGGAGGTGGAAGGCGAGCCAGGTGCGGACGCGGGTGGGGTCGATGTCGGCGCGGAGGGGGTAAGACGGCAAGCTGATGTTCGTCGAGGTTTGTTGCTGGGGCTGGGCGAGGCGGTCGGTCAGGTCGTTCCAGGACGCCTGGTAGGCGGCGGCGAAGGCGCCGGCGACGAAGCCGTCGAGGTTGGACCAGGTGGGGGCGTAGGTGGCGTTGCCGGTGACGATGCTGAGCATGGTTTCGGGGAGCATGCCCATTATGATGGGGAGGAGGGGGTCCGGGGAGAGGTCAAAGGACGCGGTGGCGTTGCCGGGACGCTCGACGACGCCCGGGGAGATGATGGAGCAGTCGTGGCATTGCGTCGTGCCGGCTGAGATGGTGGTTTCGGCGAAGAGGTAGCAGTTGGTGTAGTTGGTCGGGCCCTTGGCGCTGTAGGGTTTGGTTTGGGGCAGGGCGCCGAAGATGCTGCTGCTTTTGCGGCCGCTGCAGGTGGCGGTGGCGTTTTCGCCTAGATTTTCGGTCAGGACGGCGATCTTGAAGGTGGTGTTGTTGAGGCGCGTGGCGTTGGGCCAGGCGGAGAGCCAGGAGTCCATGGTTCGGTTGCGGAGGATGATGGCATTGCCCGGGAGAGAGGCGCGGATGGGGTTCATGGGGCCGGTGACGTTGAAGAGGCCGTTGTGCTCATCCAGAAACTGCTCGAAGCTGGGGTCGTAGTCGATCCATGTCAGGTTGCTCATGTGGAACATGGGAAGGGTGGTGTTGCCGATGGTGGTGTTTGTGAGGAGGGCTTGGTAGCCCTTGGTGTGGTTCGAAAGCTCGTGCTCTCTGAAGGCTGGGGCCCAACGTCTGCTCGGCACTTTCTTGGTTGAGTTCTCGACCGTGTAAAAGTCCGGGCCATGGCGGTGGATGACGGCAAGGCCGGAGGCTCTTTTGATGGAAAAGTCTCGCGGCTCGATGTGCTCCTGGAACTCAGTGAAGGCGAGAGTTGGCCCGGCTACGTTTAGGGTGACGTTGTAGTCGGCATGTCTCAGTCTCAGCTCCGGTACCCAAGACACGGCTCCCTGGGCAAGTGGAGCACTCAGCTGGGCGGGGATGAGAAGGAGGAGTAGGACGATAGTGCCGAGTTTGAAGCCATTGAGGCCCACTGGGCCTTGCTCGAAGGAGAAAATACGTTCGATCTCCTGTAAGGTGATGCCACACTTTTCCAGGAGGATGAAAATGGAGCGCTGGGCGGCGATGCTTGAGCAGACATTGAGGGTCAGGCGCACAAGAACCAGGGCGGCTGAAATCAGTGTAGTGACATCGGCCTGACGAAGTTCGCCCTTGAAGATGTGGACGATGGTTGTTCCGAAAGGGGCGTCTGAGGACGAGGGAAATGTTTGGCCATTGAGGTAGGCAAGTGCAATAACGGCGAAAGCAATGACAAGGATGAGGTGCAGCGGGAAGAAGTACCAGGCGCGGACAGTGCGGAATATGCGGCTAGTCCGGCGACTCTTGTCGGCGTAATGGACCGAGTCAGATGGGTCCTGGTGCATCATGTCGGGCGCAGAGACTGACACGATGGAGCAGGGCGGGAGCAGGGCTGTCATATGCTTTGGGTGAGTGCAGCAGCTGACGCCAGCTCTTGGCAGTTAATCAGCTTGAATTTGGGAGCGCCACGCTCGTAGAGCTGCGCGTTGGGTCTTACCTGCATCGAGCACAGCGTCGCCGCCACGCCGCCATGGATGAAAACCGCCCAATCCAGCAACCGTAGACCCGTCAACGACGCCACTCCGCCCCACATGCAGGCCCCCCGCCTTGTGATCGCCGCATGTTTGTGCGTCGACACCTCAGCAGTGCGGTTGCGACGGGCGATTATCTTTGTCTCCAGTGGGGGCCAAGGATGAGGCTCCAGAGGGAAGAGTGAAGGCGGGGCCGACTTGCGGAGCGGGAACTAGTCTGCATAGGGCGACGACCAGAGGAAAGAGCGACCCTTGGCTCCAATCAACACCCAACACTCTTTTTTTGTTCTCCCACTCACTGCCACCTCGCCTCACAACGTACCTATGACGTGTATTCAAGCGCTGACTTGCGTGGCGAGGCCGCGAAAGAGACCGTTTTGGACCCCAAGATGAGAGGCAAAGTCCTGGGAAACACAATTTTCCCATTTCGATCTAGCTCGCCTCTAACCAGCGACGATTTCTTAATAATGCCAGAGTTTTGATCCTATTTCCAAACGCGCGTCCTCACTCGTTCGCTAGGCGCCTCTGTGCCGCTTGCAAGGCGCAGCAACGTATTGGCCCCCAAATCACGACAAAGTTAGCTACGCGAGGCTAATCTTGCTCTTTGGGCTTTACCGCCAGCATGGATTCACCGCGTTTAAGAAGACGTCTATGTCCCCATCGACGCCCGACACTGATCCAACATCTTCCCCACTCAGCTACATGAGGGACCGCTTTTGACCCAGGTGATACGAGTTCTGACAGCTTGGCAGCAGCATTGTTATGCCTGCTCACTCGGACATACCGCTTCAAGCCGTCTCAGATTACAAACATCATGGTCGATCTGCTTCCGAGTCACAGCCGTTCATTCCGGACCACGATACTGACCGCCTGCTGCCTGCACATGCAGACGACTTGAGCAAGCCCCAGAGCACATTCGTTGAAAAATGGGCACCAAAAGCCCTGCAACCGCAATGGGCCAGGAAATCCCAGCGTCTCCCCCAAGGTTGGCGTTTTAGCGCCTCCCTGGGCGTCTTCATCTCTTTCACAGCCCTCGTTGTGAATATCATGGTTGCTGCTTGGTCATATACCGTCATTCGGGACAAGGGCGGCAACTTCTTTTCCGCGCCCATCTTCACCGGCGACTGTGGGGACATCGAGGCCTGGGGTAGCTTGGTACATCTAGCAATTAACGCGGTGAGCACGCTTTTGCTTGGCGCGAGCAATTCCGCCATGCAGATCTTATGCGCTCCGAGCCGAAAGGCTGTTGATGATGCACATCGGAAAGGCTCGTGGCTGGATATCGGAGTGCCCAGCCTTCGCAATCTGGCTTGGATACGGGGGAAGAAGCTCGCTCTCTGGCTCGCCTTGGGGCTCTCGTCCATCCCTCTGCATCTCGTGTAAGTGTCTATTTATACCTGGGAGGTGAGCGGGGCCGATCTGACTGTTTGGCATATTCAGTTACAACTCGACATTTTTCGTATCAACCAGAAACCACCACTACGATGTCTACGTTGCCAATGACCGATTCGCCGATGGCGTAGATTTTGATGGCTTCATTGGAAAATATGACCAGCCACCATATTACGCCAACTATTCGTTGCTGAACTTGCCGACCGGAAGTGATCCGATTGTTGTGCAGTCGGCACTGGCTCAGAATGTCTCATCGAAGGAAGGCGATTTCGAGCGGCTTGAGAAGAATGATTGCATAGGGAACTACTCGAGAATCATCTTACCGGACCGCCGTAACGTAATTCTCGTTACAAAAACCAAGCCAGCCCACAATCAGCAATTGCACGAGATCGTTACCTTCAACGAGACTGCACTTCCGGAGCCGGACAGTATCTCCTGTAATGGATCCACCACAGGGCACGTCTTGACATCTGAGCTTGGACCAGTGAGCTGCGCCGCAAACTCATCCCTGTACGGCATTGCACACTACGCCCAGCCAGTAGTGGGGCTACAAACGCCTTACTACAGAAATTGGTATTACTGGGTGTGCTCCCAGCAAGGATACTACTATTCCGAGGACAGATTGGTGGATGAGCTCGGCGGTGAAACCTTGAATATCTCCATGCCGGACTTCATGAAGCCTCCGAAAGAGTTGTGTAGTGATGGACTCTGGGAGGACTATCTGAACAAGACATGGAGCGTATATGGCTTTGAGGTGGACTACTGTCTCAGTGAGAAACTTCGGGGCCAGTGCAGCTTGAACGCCGCCGTCAGCCTTCTGTTTGTGGTGATAGTCTTCAACTTCATTAAGCTTGTGGCCATTATCAGCACCATCTACACCATCAAAGATAATCCACTTATCACAATAGGGGATGCTATCTCATCATTCATCGAAGAGGAAGACGTTACCACGCGAGGGATGTGTCTCCTCACCAGAGATGATGTAGTTCAGCAGACCAAGCACGAACGGGAGAAGCGGAAAGGCCCACTCTCAAGGTTCAGAAGAGGTTCTGTATCGAGGGGAGGCTTTCAACTACTATCACCAAAGGCATTCGAGCCCAGAGACCTCAGATGGTACCGCGCCGCAAGCAAAAGACGGTGGATAACCGCTCTCACCCTGTAAGTCACCAAACAAACGTGTATCCCAACAATTTATCCCACTTACCTCAACCGCGCCCGCCGGGGGCGGTGCACACACAACAGAACCCTCCTCGCCATCCTCGCCCTAACCGGCCTCTTCATCTACGCCGCCACCCAGCTCTCCACCGACCTGACGCCGGCGTACCCCACCGTCTGGTCCTTCGGCTTCCACACGACGACGCCCTACACGCTCATCACGCACTGGTCGCTGCCGCTGACGGGCTCCCGCGCCGTCGTCCCCATGGTGCTGATATCCAACCTACCGCAAACACTCCTCTCGGCCGTCTACCTCGGCCTCAACGGGCTACTAACAAGCATGTCGCTCGCGCGCGAGTGGGCCGCGCATGCCACTTCGTCCTGCTCCGCCTCCTCCTCGTCCTCGCTACCGCTGCGCTCGCTCCGCGTCTCGTCTTCGGCCCCGCGCGGCGACCAGCGCACAGCCTACTTCCTCTCCCTGCCCTACCGCCTTGCCGTGCCCTTCGCTGCCCTCGCTACCGCCGCTCACTGGCTGCTCAGCCAGAGCTTGTACATGGTCAAGGTTGATGCTGTCGATGCCCGCGGTGATCTCGTACACGATGGGGCTGATGGCGGTGGTGCGTACGGGTACTACTCCATCACTACGTGCGGCTACTCGCCGCCCGCCATCGTCGCGTCGGCGGTCGGCATCGTGGCGTTCGCTGCGTTTGTGTGCGGCGTCGGCGCGAAGAGGTTGGGTAACAATGGGATGCCGTTGGTGGGGAGTTGTAGTGCGGCGATTGCGGCGAGCTGTCACGGGGGACCGAGGGGCGGCACTGTAGTGGCGTGGAAGCCGTTGGCTTGGGGGGAGGTGGTGGGCGGCGGGGAAGAGGATGGGGGAGTGGGGCGATGTGGGTTTGCGAATGGAGGGAGGGTGGAGAGGCCGGTGCCGGGGAAGCTGTATGCTTGATGTAGCATCGTGTTTGGGAAGGGGGGTGGGTGGACGGGTAGGAGCATGTTGGAGAGGTCACATTGAATGGGGACAACTTGCATCTTTTGTATGATACCCTGTTTGTCTTGCGCAACCGTTTAGCCCTCATGACTTGCCTGTTTGCTCTGCGTGCAGGCGGAAGCTGAAGCAGAATGCTAGTGTGTCGATCACGCATCCCATGCACATATCAGGGGAGATTTGGGGTGATACGATAGGTCAGAATCGTCACATAGACAATTCAATGCTGCCACCCGGCTGCAACCTAGTTCTAACCCTTGCATGTGTAACCGTTCTCGTTTTGAGTTCCTACAGGAAGCAATTTCGGCAAACCCGAGCTTGCCCGAGCCAGGAACGGAAATGATTGGTGTAGGAACGCGAACACGAAGTTTATACGAAAAGGGAAAGCGGAATGGGGGGTCAATGCTTAACCTTCTCGAGATAAGAATAGACTTTGGTTCCGCGCTCGGTACATTTAACACAGGGCGTTGCAGAAATGTCCAGGTTTCAGATATCTACGTCCTCCTTTTCTCGAACTTTTCAGAGGACGACGCAATGGCTTCCGACCAGCAGAGCTATCGGCTCTACGAATACCAGCCAACACTGATCGGAGCCGGCATCTTCTCCGCCATCTTCTGTCTGTTAATCGCCGTCCACATCTGGCAACTGATCAGAAATAAGACATGGCATATGGTTGGGTTCTTCATCGGCGGTCTCTGTTAGTCTCCCACGCCCTCCCCAGGAACCCGACAAGATTTAACAATTGCTTAGTCGAGCTCATCGGTTACGCTGCTCGGGCCACCTCCGCGACCCAGAAGGAAGACCAATGGTCCATTGAGCCCTATCTGATCCAAAGCACATTCCTTCTGGTCGCGCCTTCGTTCTTCGCCGCATCGATCTATTCGGTCCTAGGGCGCATCATCGCGTTGACGGACGGCGATGCTTACGCGCTAATTAAGAAACGCTGGGTCACTGTGTTCTTCGTAATGGCAGATGTGTTTGCTTTTCTGATGCAAGCAGTTGGTGAGAATTAAAGCCCGATGAAGTGCATTCCGTATGATTGGCTCACACACCACTGCAGGAGGCGGTCTCATGGCAATGTCCACTGCCGACCCCGCTAGGTACAAACTGGGCCAGCACACCATCGTGGGCGGCTTGATCATCCAGCTCGTGGTCTACTTCATGTTCTTCGTCTCCGCGGCCACGTTTTACCAGCGCATGGACTCGCTTCCGCCCGTGAAAAAGCAGAAGCACGCACGCATCGATTGGCAGCAGCACTTGGTCACACTGTTCGTCGTCAGCGCCTTCTTCATGATCCGCACCATCTTCCGCATTGTCGAGTATGCCAAAGGACACGACGGGTACCTGGTCGTCCACGAAGCCTTCTTGTATGTCTTTGATGCTTTGCCGATGGCGCTCATTATGGCGTATATGAGCTGGAAATACCCCGTCCTCGAGAGGAAGAAAAGAGAGGGGAGTCATCGTTTCCATTTAGCCAGGGTTTCCGAAAGGGGTCCGAGTACGCGAGGAGACGAATCTCTGGCAAGCGAGACCGCCTGAGGCGGATGTAGCGTTGGACCTCCTGGTATCCAAGAAACTGAATTTGAGAAACAAGTCTTGGGGCACACTTACCAAACCTGGGCCCGTTGAACTCCATCACACCACAGAGAATCATCCGACGGTCTTCTGCACGGGACCAATCGCAGACCTGTACGTATACCAAGGGGGATCAAAGTCACAGTATCCTCAGTACGGAGTGGGGTCTACGCTGTAAATGCGTCATCTCGACGTACGGTTCTCTACATGAGGGATTACAGAAACGTAATGATCCAGGGCCCTTGAAAGTACCTGCGCGGATACTTTTGGTATCATAAACGATTAGTCATTCTCGGTCTAGCCTCATGAGTCTTGATTGGGCGATTCTCGATCAAAATATACCACCAACACATTGACGGCCAGAGGACAAGAGAATCTTAAAAGTTCGGACGACATCTTTACACATACAGCTGCAGGACTTTTTTTGGTAGCAGTGGCATTATGATCGACTGCACCATATGATCTACCTGACACAGCGAAGAGCCGAAGTATCAGCTGGATGAGGCGGTGGAAGTACTATGATGGCTGCAGTAGTTCCGGTTCGGTGACCCACACGCATCCAAGGATGAATGGTCCTCTACTATTGACAAATAACGAAGCCGTGGAACGCTGAGGTATTGGATTGAGGTACCGAGTGTCCACTCGATCTGAAGCTTCCATAAGGAAAAAAACGGTCGTCTGCCTCCAGCTACACACATATTGAAGCACATAAACAAGCCACTTTCAATAACTAGAACTGGACACACTGCAAAGTAATGATAAAGAGAAGTTGAATAAACAGTCGTCCATCTAGAAAGACCCTTTTCAAACCGTACCGTGCCCGAACTAAGCGATGCTTAAGGGTCTTGTCTCGTACCTTAAACAAGAAAGCAGTGAACCATGGATCAGATCAGACCTACTGCTCCACAAGTCACGAAGTCTATTATCACCACCCCCGCTCCACAAGTGCAGTGAAAAGCCAGACTCCGCCCAAACCCCCGACTCAACCAACCCCAGCCTGCCAGCCTACGGAGACTGACCAAATCAAACTGAAATCTCGCCCACATCTCTCTACACCTACAACAACCGAACCGCCAACTTTGCGATGTCAGAAGATGTAAACCCAGAATTATTTGCAGAATTGTTCGGCGAAGACGCCGCCTATGACTTCCAGAATGCCGTCCCCACGGCAGAAGCCACACCAACATACCCACAACGTACTTACCCTATGCTCCCACCACAACAAAACTACCCTGCTTTTCCACCGCAGCAGCATCACGGACAACAGCTCCATGGATACCCAACGTGGTGGCCGCAAGCACCCTACCCATACTCAGACTTGACCACAAACGCAGCAGCAGCATTGCCGCCTTCTTCTCAACAACCACAGCAACAACAACAGCCGCAGAACTTGCAACAGCTGCAACATCATCAACAACAACAACAACAGCTGCAACGTCAACAACAACAGCTGCAGTTCCACCAACAACAGTTGCGATACCAGCAACAGCTACAATTTCAACAACAGCTACATCATCAACAATATCAACAGCTGCCATACCAACAACAGTTGCACGATCAACAATTACAACAACAACAACAACAACAACAGCAACTGCTGCAGCTGCTCCCGCAACAACAAGCACAACCGCAAGCAGAACAACCACACCAGCATCAACAACCTCAGCAGCAAGCACCCCAGCCACCACAAGCACCCCCTCCACCTCAACAACAACAAAACCAAGAACAAAAACAACAGCAGCAGCAACAACAACACTCAAAAGCCCCCCCATCTAACACCCCGACTCCCACCCCCCACAACCCCAACTCTCGCCCTCGCTTTCGCCTTCGCCCTCCGCCTCCCCCTCCTCGCCCCGCCAACGCCAACATCCCCCGTCCCCGTCCCCGTCCCCGTCCCCGTCCCCATCCCTATCCCATCCCCTCCCCTCCACCCCTCTCACCACCACCACTACCACCACAAATACAACTACCACCACCACCCCAAACCAGAACCCAAACCCAACAACAACAAACCCAAACCCCAACCCAGCAAACCCAGCAAACCCACCACCACCACCACGCCGTCCAACCCCACCAACCCCGCCAACCCCACGTCCACCGAACACCCCACCACCACCACATACACAACCACAACCACCAACATCGCCACCACCCCTACAAGCAGCAACACCACCCCTCCCAGCAACATCGCCACCACCAGCAACACCGCCACCGCATCGCCAAACCCGTGCCCCCCGGCCCGGACGCCCGCACCGCCCTCGAGCGCCTGCGCACCGCGAGGAACGGGCTAGCAGCCAGGGAGCGCGAGGGCGTCGAGCGGGCGCAGGCGGAGTTGGAGCGAGCGTTGCTTGAGGGTGGTAATAACGGTAACGGTAGCGGTAACAGCGGTATCGGTAACAGCGGTAACAACAGTAACCACGGTACCAACAGCGGTAACAGCGGTATCGGAGAAGATGCGGGAGGGGCGAACAATGGTGGTGGCGGAGGAAGAGGGCAAGCAGCGAGGGGCGGAAGGGGGAGAGGGAGGGGGGGCAGGGGCAGCAGGGGCGGGGCGAGAGGAGGAGGGCGAGGGGGAGGAGGGGGAGGAATGACGCCAACGACAACGACAATAGCGGGTCCGTCGACGGCGGCAACGGCAGCAGTAGCAGCGGAGGGGGCGGGAGCGGGACCGCCGCTGAGCGCCGAGTATATCCAGCGGGCGCGGTTGGTGCAGGACGAATTCGAGCAGTTCTTCCGGCAGCGGGATGAGATAGAGAGGCAGGAGAGAGAGAGGAAAGAGAGGGAGGAGGAAGAAAAGCGAGAAAATGAAGAAAGAGAGAGGAAAGAAAAAGAGAAAATGCAAAAAGAGAGCAGGGAGAGGAAGGAGAGGGAAAAGAGGGAGAAGTGGCAGCTGCGTGGTGAAGAGTCGACGGAGGTGCTGGACGAGGGGAGCGGATTCGACCGGGAAATGGCGGCATCTGCAGCATCGAGGGCGGCAACACTAGCAGCAGCAGGAGGAACAGAAGGGGATGGAGGATTTGGTCCAGCAGCAATGACGCGCTACGACTCGCAACAACAACTCTCCCACCTGAGCACTTCTCCCTCCTATGGCTCTAACGGACAAAATAACGGCGGAAATTCAAATGGACAAAACAACGGCGACAATTCAAATGCAAATGAAGGCGGAAGTTCGTACCAATGGGACCCTGTCGATTTCGGCTACTTCCAGTGAAATTAAAAAAAAAATTCCACCAACATGCAAAGAGGTTGGAAAAGAAAGAGCTGGAAAATAAAAATAAATCATACATAACTGATTCAAAAACCGGGGGGCCGGTAAGAAAAAAAATCATTCATCACGAACTCCTCTCCGATAAGCTGTACAAGGGAAAGAAAAGCGTAATGGCATGAAAAGAGAAACGGAGACATGCATAACATCTAGATAGACGCCCTTTTTTGATATATTGCTCAAGGAGAAGAAAAGAAGTCTCAAATCATTCCAGCTACATTCACATTCCAAAAAGCTTGCGTGACGCAACAAAGCAACCTTCGCCCCATGAACCAGAACGAATGCCACCGAGCGCTTCCCGAAGTCGTGCAAAGTAGAGGTATCCAATCCAAGAAAAAAAGCAACAGGTTGAACACCAATATACTACGTGAAGAAGGAAAAGGAAGGAAGAAGACCAAAAAGAAAAGGGGCAAAAATCAACGATGGTGATGAACCGATGACATGCCAAATCTCTAGAAACACGCCTTCTCCAAAAACCCCGGTTCCAAGAAGAAGAAGAAAATTGTTGACCCCTGTGGGTCTCATATACTCATCCGACCAAACCCCTCTCCGGCGCGATTCCCAATCCAACTCTTCCGGACGACAAAGTGTCTTCCGTGGCGCTAGGCAGACCGGTACCGATGCTCGTGCCTTCCCTGCCGGACCGTCCCATCTCGCGGATCCTGCGACCCTCCATGAGGCCACGCAAGCCCCTCTTCTGTAGCCCCACCACGGCGCTGATTTCGCCGGCCCAGACCTCGCGCTCGCCGGGCCCGCCGGTGACGCTGCCGAGATCGGACTGGCTCGTCTCGGTCGACGCGCTGCGCACGCTCTGCTCGTCGTCGGCCAGCGATGTTGAAGACGAGACGTCCGTGTTGAGTCGAAGCTGCTTGAGATGGTCGTCGACGCCCGAGTCCGCTCCCTGGGCCACGCTGCCGGTGCGCTGCGTGGATGCGAAGCTTGACGCCAGACTGTTCGAGGATGCTGACGGGCGGAGGTCCCCTCCTTCGGATCGTTCTGATTGTACCTTAGCAAGCGTTTCGGCTGATGGGAGACCGGCCGTCGTGCCATTGAAGAAGGTAACTGCATCACCTCCTCCGGCTGCCATTGCAGCAGCATTGAAGATGGCGGCCGTATTCCGTCCGTCAAGACGCAGGTGGAGGCGCTCAATGACAGCTTCCAGGAGACCATCTATACGATAGGGGCGCGCAAGCTGGAGTAGCGAGCACAGAATTTGCGGAGTGCACAAGGTCGAGTTGGGCGGGGGAAGAGAAGAAGTATAAAGGTAATGTGCGAGTGCCTGCAGGGTGAGCTGAGTGTGCGGGAGGTACAGAGTACGTGGCCTGGACGTCGGGTTGGGGTTCTCGGCATTTGGCGGATCGAAAGGCGTAACTGTGGAGGCCATGCTGGGGGTCATTGTGAGGGCTGTGCTGGTCGTCCTGATGCTTGGTGTGATGGTAATGCTCGAGTTGCGCCATGCGTGGGAGCCTGTCGAGGGTCTCAGTGTAGCAGCGTCCGATGAGCTCGGGTCCGATGCAAACGCTCCCTCGCGTAATAGCTGGTTGAAGTAAGGGCCCCACCGTCTCGCCACAAGGTGTGAGTTGACGGGAATGCGCTCGCCTCCAATAGCCAAAAATTCCATGTCGGCAAGTTCCCGCAATCCTAGTGCCATCGCTCCCAACTCTTCTGCAGCCGGCGAGAGTGACCGTCCTCCGCTTGCCAGGTCTGACGCGCTCTGCAACATGCCCGGAGAGCTCACAGAAATATATCCGGATGTTGGTGTCGTTCTCCGAGGGTTGTCGTAAAGCCCAAAAGCCTCCAACTCCACCATGCAAATGTTCGAAAAATTGATCCTCCTATGGTTGTAGTCTTCCACCAGGCTTCTCTTCCGATTTCCCAGAATGACAAATGTATTGCGCCTGCTCCAAAGTACGCCACGGTTCCAACTTCCCTGGCTAAAAATACTACCCCCGGCATCGATTCGACTCCACGTAAGGTTCCGGAGGTCGAGCGCCCAAAGGGCGTACTCCTGCTTGGACGAAGTTAGGAAAGTACCACTCACGACAAAGTGATTCGCAATGACGCCTCCGTTAGGAAATCGCAGGCCCGGCGGCGAGAAAGTCCCGTTCATAGGCTTCTCTGTCAAGGTCCCGTCCGGCATTCTGATTTGGAGCTCAAGCTTGACGTCCAGGAAGTTGTAATTCGAGTAAATTAGCATCGAGGAGCCGTTGTTCTCGGGATCCTGTTCGTCCTCTGCCGGGGCATCGCCCTTCCTTCCGCCGGCTCCGATTGCCGATGCAGGCATTGTCGTAAGCGGTGCAACCACACTCCTGTACGCACCACAGCTCCGGCCCAGCGTGTTTGTGGCAGTCCACTTGAGACTCCTCAAATTGAAAACGCTGATCTGTTCAATGTAGTGGTTCGCGCTGTCCTGCCCTCCTACCACCACCATCTCCGCGCCGCCGGTACCGTCCAGGTCGATTCCAATCGAGCCGGAATTGGGTTGACTGGCCGATGCAGGGTTGTGGTGAATAGCAGAAAGGGGTGCGCTAGACGATGCGAAAACCGCCGACGAGGGCAGAATGGCGGCGCAGTGCGCATAACGTCCTTGCGGAGAATCCGACGTGTCGATCTTCATCCAGATGCGCGTATTAACGTCGTAAATATGTATGTCTGACATGACCACCACTTCCGGCTGGTTATCTTGGGCGCTGGCTGACGGGGCTGTGGGTTGGCCATTCGGGAGGACTGCCGGGGACATGCCACCATAGCAGACAAGCTTGGTGTCGCCGAGGGCACAGACACTGTGGAAATAGCGTGGTGGGGGAATATCGCCCTGAGTCTGAAGCTTCGTCCAGTGCCGACGGACAAGGTCCAATTGGTAGAGATCATTTGTAAGCTGCGGCCGGGTCCTGGATAACCTCCTTCCGCCAAACACATAGAGCATGTCTCCCAAAACCGTGGTGGTTGCGCCCACTAGCGGGTGAGGCTCACGGCCGGTGGTCCTGTGGACGTTGCAGACAAGACCAGACAGACCAGATGTAGATTGAGAAGGAGTGGCAAGACCAGCAGTCATCAGGGGAGTCATGCCAGGCGTTCTTGCTGCCGAAGAAGGGCCGGCGTCATCTTCTCTGGCCATCTTGGACAGGCTGGTGCTGCTGCTGTTGACGCTGCGGGTCAGAAAAGCCGTGGAATTGCTTCTGAATTGCTGGTCCGGAAACGGTTGGGATGGAGACGGCTGAGAAGCGTTCGGATCCATCGTGTTGGCCGCGGAAGTGTCCGGAGACTGTTTAGGGGGAATTCGGAGCGGGGAGGTCGCTTCAGTCTTTGCTAAATGCTGAGAGAATGGGGAGAGACAATCGCTTGGAGTCTGTAAAGGTGAATCGGGTAAAGTTTGAACCGGTTGCGCCCAGGATGGGATCACAATAGCAACATGCCTCGGCTTGGACAGGACAGGATCGACGGGCAATTTTCTGCCAGGTAAGGGAAAGTCAGGGATCGAGCTAGTCGGGGTTTTTGCAGACGGGCTCTCGAGAGATTTACGCGGGCTGTCGGGGAGCTCTATTGGAACATAGCGCGGAATAACAATTGGAATGTGCCTTGGGCGGGCAGCCTGACCTGCAGTCGGACAAGACGGGCCTTTGAGGGGCGCAGAAGACTCGGAATTGCTGCGTCCGGCCGAGGACTGGGAGCTCGCAGAGGCCTTGCGCTCCCTCTGGTCAGGGAGCTGGGGCGGGAGCGGAGGCCTGGGGGACTTGGGCCTCTTCCAGGCAGAAAAAGGCTGAGATAGCGGGCCCGGGGGCGGATCCTTGGGAAAGCCGAAGACTCCTAGGGGATTCATGGTCAGCGCGGTGATCGACCGTCAGAGACCAGGTCTTGGTAGCTGGCGGGGAGGAAGATAGGGATGTCCAGCGAAGGGGGAGGGGAGGGCCGCGCTCCCTCGACTTTGGCGGCGTGCCATGGTAAACGCTACATAACAGTTTCAACGCACTGTTAGGTCATGGCAGCTGCGGTGAACTGGGTCTCGGCCAGCGGCAGCGTGATCTTGCGTCAACAGGAGCGCGGCTTGACATGGGGGCACGCTCGGCTGTGTGACTGGCGCCTGGAGCCGAGGGCTGTCTTAGACAAATTCGGCGGGCGCATGGACGGCGGGCTGCAGGCCCGCGGTGATGGTTGAAAATTTGGCGTCCGCATCGGGGCGGCATGGGGGGTGGGTTGCATGCGACACAAGGAGGCGCCTTACCTGAGGGGTGCTCAAGGGCGCTGGCAGGGCGGCGGGGGAGGCAGCGCTAGGGCGGTGGTACTGCGCAGGCGGGTTGGCTGGAGGGAGCAGAGCCTGAGGGGTCTTGGGGGGAGTTGTGCCTGGGAGCCGGAGGTGTGAGTACAGACGGGGCGCACGGGAGGTTCGCGGCTGTCGTTTGGGGTTGGGCCCTGCAAATCGCAAGCCAAGCCCGCGCGCGCTAGGGCCCCGCGACCCATGCAAGGAGCACCGCCGCCCGCATCGCGCCTGCACGTCAACAAAGCCCGCGGCCACTCGACCATCACACCGCTGCTTTCAGCAGCGTGGCCGCCCTCGCACACGGCTGCAGCGCCGTTGGCAGCGACAAACGGCCAGCATCTTCACGTTGCCGCGCGACAGCGATCGCCTGAGACCGCAGCGGCGCACGGCGCACCGGGCAACACCAGACGCAGGTACTCATTTCTATTGTTTGCTTTCATTCATTGCGTTGGGTATCTGGCGGCGACCGCCTGCTCATCTAGACTATCGAACACATCCGCCGCTTTTGTCTCAGCCCTACGTCCTCGGCTTACACGTTCGCGCTGGTCTGCTCCTTGGGCAGGGGAGTGAACCTCAGGTACGGCTTGACGATCTTGAGGTTGGGGTAGATCTTCTGCGCATCCTCGGTCTTGACCGACGGGTGGACGATGACGTCGTCGCCGGGCACCCAGTTGATCGGGGTCGTGACCTTGTTCTTGTCGCCCGTCTGGAGCGAGTCGACGATGCGGAGCACCTCAGCCGAGTTGCGGCCGGTCGAGGCGGGGTACGAGAGGATGGTGCGGATCGTCTTCTTGGGGTCGATGACGAAGACGGAACGGATGGTGAAGGCAATGCCCTTGGAGTCGACGTTGGTCGCATCCTGGTGGTCGAGCCTGTGCCCACGTCAGCTTTCTGTGTCATCATTCCGGGGCACGCCGGCCACTTACATGTCGTAGAGGTAGGCAACCTTGCGCTCCTTGTCGCCGATGATGGGGAAGGTGAGGTTGCTGCCGGTGACCTCGTTGATGTCGGCAATCCAGCCGCCGTGGCTCTCGATGGTGTTGGCCGAGAGACCGATCAGCTTGACGCCGCGCTTGGTGAACTCGGGCTCAAGCTTGGCGAAGGCACCGAGCTCGGTGGTGCAGACGGGAGTGTAGTCCTCGGGGTGCGAGAAGAGGATGACCCACTTGTCGCCGATGAACTCGTGGAAGTCAATGGGGCCGGCGGTGGTCTCAGCCTTGAAGTTGGGGGCAATGCTGCCCAGGCGGAGGGGCTCGGCGCGCTGCTCGGTGGCCATGGTGATGAGTCTGCGGGCAGGCTGCGTCAGCGAGGCGTGGAGGGGTATATTCGAGGCGGGGGAAGGTACCTTTGGATGAGATGGAGATGGAATTGAGTCTCAGAAGTGCTTGCGATGGCTGCAGAAAGTTGGGCTCAGGACGGTTGGAGCGCGGGGTATTTGTAGGATGGCGGGGCAAAGCTACAGTGGTGGAATGATGCGAAAAATCGGATGAATAATGCCATCAGCAGCCCTCAGCATTACTGGATGCGGCAAGGCTGCGATTGCGTGCTCAATTGCTTTGATTCTGCCGGCAGAGAGCAAGCCAATGGCATTGTGCGGTTGGATACCGCCTCCGCCCATCTTGCGCCGCTGCACTCTTAGCCGTGGCCGACAGAGCGAGCTAAGCCTTGGTATAGAAAAGGCGGCAGGATCAGCATCGCGCAAACGTGCTGCAAAATTCTGTGAGAGCGATAGCGCGATTGCGGTGTCGGAGAGGTGCCGACAACGAACCCGGGGCCGGCTTTGTCATATGTATTTCAGGCGGCCTGGCGTCCCCAAACTCCCCCAAGTCACTAAACGCCCCCAATTCCCCTCCAAAACGCCAAGTGCTTAGCTCGGCCAATCACGGCCGACCCTTTTCCCGGCGCCAGTCTGACAGTCTCCAAGTTGGAGGCGCGTCCATCTGCCGGATGACTCCTGACTAATTCCAGGTGCAGCCCTCTCGCGTTGCAGTTGCAGATGAATCACCTCGCACCTGAATGTCCTCGTCCGCCATTGGCGCCGCGCGTATCCCCCACAGACCCGACGCCTCCAATTTTCCAGGCTCCCATCTCCAGGCAGCGGACGAGTCTGACGCCGCTCTGTGCAGCAGAGAGCATGATTGCACGTGGGCTCTGTCGCAAACCCTAACCCAACTTCAACCACGCACAGCGATTTAGCGCAGTGGCGCACGTGTTGTCGTCGAATTAGGTTGGGCGAGGTTGCGTTGCGCCGCCGGCTGGCCCATGCCCCGCCTCTGGTTTCGCTTCGCCGCCGGGAATAAGAGCTGTCCTAGTCATCACTCTATTCGGCGGGTGCTTCCGCCTTCCGCACATGCGAGATGGAGCCGGATCTTATCTCACGAAGGGAGGCAGGGTTGGGGGCATCCAGCTACGCCCGCGGACTCGCCCCAACCGGATCGACCTCCGCATAGGGTGTCATAGTATCATGAACTCGATATGCCGTCATGGTGCGGTTAGGGCGGACCGCCCTTTCGGCAGGCGTTTGCACCTCCCAAACCACTGGTTGCCGGTCGGGGCAGTTGGAGTAGCAGATCAGCCGCGCCCTATGCCTGGAAATAAGCACATGTTCCCAGACCGCTACCCGTTTCCCACTACCGCTGCGGCACCAGTGACATCTTCTCCGCTCGTGTGGGTCCTTTTTTCGTTCCGTCCTACGCAAATGGCTGCCACTGCTCCATTTTCTTTAAGTCCTGGGTCCCCTCGCCCGCCGAGACACCCTTTCCCATGCCCTACTTCTTTCAGCTGTCCTCTCCTGCCTTTGCTGCGCCTTGTTCGACAAGCAGCACTCCCCCGCAGTTATGGCGAGCCCCGGCGCCGAGTTGCCTCGTTCGTCATCGTCCGTCATTAACGCCGGGAATGGCGCGGAAATAAGCGACCCTACGGCCTCGGACGCGGAGAAGGACTTCGATAAGACGTCCAGAAGAACAACATTGGACGGCGTCTTGGAAACCCCCATCGTATGGCATTACCTCACCTTCGAGACCGACCTACCACACCCGTCAAGTCTGCAGCCCCCCTTCGACGGCGCCGCTCCACCACCAGAATGCCCGAACCTCAAGAAATATGGGAACCCCTTTGACTGGTCGCCTAAACACAAATCCATCATCCTGTGGTTATCATGCATCGCAACAGCCATGACGGCTTATACAGCTGGTTCCTACAGCCCAGGCGTCGGTCAGATGTCAGATGAGTGGCATGTGAGCCGTGTTGCTTGCCTGGTGGGCATCACCATATTCACTTGCGGCTTCGCCGTCGCTCCAATGGTTCTGGCACCCTTTTCCGAGATCAACGGTCGCAAACCAGTCTTCTTGGCTTGTGGCATCCTCTTCGTCGTCTGCCAGCTATGCTGCGCCGTCACACAGATTTACGGCGGAATGCTCATCGCTCGGTTTTTTGCAGGCGTCGGTATGTTAATACAACCATCTTGATGTATGCGTGCTTGGGGCGTAAGGCTAGCATGCTAACAGGAAATAGGCGGAAGTACCTTCTCCACTATGGTCGGTGGCGTCGTTAGTGACATCTACCATGCCGCAGACCGAAACACCCCCATGGCCATGTTCTCCGGCTCGGCATTGCTTGGGACAGGGCTCGGCCCTCTAACATGCGGCTGGATTGCACAATACATAAGCTGGCGGTGGATCTTTTACATTCAGACAATCGTTGACGCCGTGCTAATGGTTGTCATCTGCATCTGCTTCAAGGAGACCCGTGGAAGTGTACTGCTGAGCCGGAAGGCGAAAACGCTGAACAAGTGGTACGAAGCACGGGAGCAAGCGGGCTACTTCAACTTCGATATGCCCCTCGATTCCAATCCGCAGAAAAAGGTGTCCCAGCGGATCAGGTGGAAAGTCAAGTCAGATGAGGAGCGCGCCGATCTGATGACCATGATCTCCATCTCGCTGTACCGCCCATTCCATCTTCTACTAACCGAGCCGGTTGTATTCTTCTTCTCGCTCTGGGTCTCATTCAGCTGGGCTATCCTCTACCTTACCCTCGGCGCCATCCCTCTTGTGTTCGAGACCCGACACAACATGTCCCTGGGGCAAGCCAACTCCATCTTTGCAGTCATGATGATCTTCGCGGTTCTTGCCGTCCTGCTAAGCATCTACCAAGAAAACTGGGCCCGTCGTAAAGGAAAGCTCGTGGATAACCCCGAAGGTCGCCTTTACTTCGCTTGCATTCAGAGCGCGCTCATGCCCATTGGCCTTTTCATGTTCGGTTGGACGTCGGCGAGCTCCATCCACTGGATAGTCCCAACCATTGCCATTGGTCTGGCCACAGTGGGCATATTCTCTATTTGTATGATAGCATCCAACCATACCCCTTTTCCCGTGGACTGCTGTACTGACTGCATGCCTAGACCTCGCTACTTTCAACTACCTTGCCGATGTCTACCACCGCTATGCGAGCTCTGCGCTCGCCGCACAGTCTTTCTGCCGGAACATGCTGGGCGGCGCCTTCCCGCTCATCACCACGCAGATGTATCGCAAGCTAACCTACGGCGGCGCATCAAGCTTGCTTGGCGGCATTGGCGCCGTGCTCACGATCGTGCCCTGGGTGCTCGTCTTTTACGGACCACGCATCCGTAGGAGAAGCAAGTTCGCCAGCGAGATCATGAAGAACTGAGATTGAGCATGATAACGACCCCCAAAAAGCATGGATATCATAATAGGTTAATGTTGAGGCGGAGATGAAGGGCTACGCGGACGATCGTGGCGTTCCCATCTCGGACAATTTCCAGAAAAAAGAAGTGCGGGGCTTCCGACCGGACGGGGGCCCAGTAACATGGGAACAGATTCCGATCGAATGGAGGCTCTGAACATCTGTTGGAATGTGAGTAGATTGCTAGAAAGCTAATAATAATGAGACGGCCGGACACGACTACTTTTATGAGCATGGTTCTTATCACTGCATGGACGGGCCTGGAACATGGCTGATGGTAACACTTGGGATCGAGAAAAGAAGCACTAGCGCAGCCAGCCGTGGAGTCGGTTCCTGCGACAAAACGGGCGACAGCTTGAGTGGTACTATAGCAAAAGTATAGACGGGTTCAATAGAGCGTATGAATTTGCACGACAAGCGGGTTCGCTTCTTGGGACTGTGTACAGCTGGCTCGACTGACCATTTCCCCTGGACAACTGGGTGTCGATTCCCTTTGCACCACCCTCGCCAGATGTTGTGCCTTTTCCGCTGCCGGCCGGCCGACTGATCCGGCCGGCGAGCCGTGTTCCTTCCGGAACAGCGCCAGTCAAGATGCAAGGCTAACGAAAGCCCTTGCCGGCGCTAGGTCCGCTCGTACGGTATACGCTTTCTCAACTACATTTGATTCCGCAAAGGAGATGACCAGCCAGCCAATCACAGACCAGGGTTCCCCAATCGGAACTCACCAAGCCCAAATCTCGCTCCGGTAGGGCTTAGGGCGAGCAACGGCCAGTTGTCAAGAGCCGACCGTGGCACCTTGGGCGACAGGGGTAAGCGAAGCAGCCTCGGCTCAGGGCACCAGACAGAGCTCGTCCGCCGGTCCCCTTCTGCGGCGAGTCGCACACGCCCTCTCCACTTCTCGCTTCTTGGGACCACCTCGCACCCCTCCCCCATCATCCGCGCGCGTGTGATGGCTACGCATTGGAGAGCACAAGTCGTCCTTTGGTCTTCTGTGCTGCTTCTCCGCCGCCCCCAAAGAAAGAAAAGTCTTGTCCTCGCTTGTTTTGCCCCAAAGAATCCCAGCATCGGGACCAGCTGATTGCCTCGACACTCTCTCTGAACTCTTGGTTCAATCTCACTTACCTTTCCCTGACTACATTTACGGCCGGTTGCCTGGCTACTAGCTGTTTCTTTATATTCTGTACCATGACTTCACACCCGCATTGGACCTTTTACTTCCCATACCTCCAATTATTATGATACTAGCAATATAATCTTTTTATACAACATTCCCACCACACCTCAATCCATTCTCTACCGGCGCCTTCCTTTACCTCCGCCCACGCGCCAGGCCCAGTAGCAACATAACTGGCAGCAACCAGCGCGCCTCGAAAGAATGCCACGTCCGTTCCCTCCTCCTCTCCCAGCCCTCCAGCCTCACGAACCGCCACCACCCTAACCACAGCCCTACCTCCCAAACAGTCCCCCTCCTCCTCCCCGCCGCAGCCGCCGCAGGCACGCTCGCCGCCACCGCCTACCTGGACGCGCGCCTAGGGCTGGGCTACGACATCTCGCTCCTGCGGTCCTACGGCCACGCCGCCTACGCCGCCATCAGCGCTGAGCGACGCGGCCGCCTCTCGCCCTTCTACGAGCTCGAAGCCCTCGCGCAATCGCCCAAGACGGCCGACGACGTATTCTTGCTGCTTCCGAGCTACCACCACAACCCTTCCCACCCTTCGACGACCACGACCGCAGCCGCACCCGCTGCTGACCAACAAAACACCACTACCACCAGCAACAATGGCGACATCACCCTCACACGCTGGACCTACCGCCAACTCCACACCGCAGCCCAGCGGCACGCGGCGTACCTGCGGCGCGCGCACGGCGTGCGGCCGGGGGAGGTGGTGGCGCTGGACATGGCCAACGGGGCGCGCTTCGTGATCGCGTGGTTCGCCGTGTGGGCGCTGGGCGCGGTGCCGGCCTTCATCAACTGCCACCTGCGCGGCGCGGCGCTGCTGCACTGCGTGGGCGTGTCGACGGCGCGGTTGGTGCTAGTAGAAGAAGAGGAGCTGGTGGGCGCAGGAAAGTACGCGGTCGGTGGGGAGGTGGCGGCGGCGTTGGCGAAGGGGGAGTTTGTTGGCGAGGGGCAGGTGAGGAGGGTGGTTGAGGTGGTGGGGTTGGGAGGGAGGTTGGATGAGGTGTTGGAGAGGGAGGAAGGGTGGGAGGGGATTAGGCCGGATGACGGCGGTGGAGGGGAGAAGGGGGCGAAGATGCATGATATGGGGATCTTGATTTACACCAGCGGTACGACGGGCTTGCCGAAGCCGGCGGTCGTGAGCTGGGGTAAGATGCGGGCGGCGGGCACGTTCGTGGGCAAATGGCTGCCGCTGAAGAAGGGAGATGTGCTGTATACGGTCAGTAACTGCTCCATTCTCACTCACCTTGAGCCTTGAAATCGACAGCATACACTGCTCTCCAGACCTCATGGCTGACATCCAAGACAACAGTGCATGCCCCTCTACCACACCTCCGCCTCCATGCTCGCCCTCCTCTCAACCCTCTTCTCCCAAACCACCCTCGCCCTGGGCCGGCGCTTCTCCGCCACCCGCATCCTCCACGAACTGCACGCCACGCGCGCCACGCACCTCCAATACGTCGGCGAAACGCTGCGCTACCTCCTCTCCACCCCCGCCAACCCTGCCCTCGACTCCACGCACCGCGTGCACACCATCTTCGGCAACGGCCTGCGGCCCGACGTGTGGCAGCGCTTCGTCACGCGCTTCAACATCCGCACCGTCGCCGAGTTCTACGCCGCGACAGAGGGCCCCGGCGGCATGTGGAACAAGTCGTGTAACGGCTTCTCGGCGGGCGCCGTGGGCCGCAACGGCTGGCTGTCCGAGGCCCTCATCTGGGGCCGCTTCCAGGCCTGCGTCGCCGTCGACGCCGCCACCGGCGCCGCGTACCGCGACCCGCGCGACGGTCGATGCGTGCGCGTGCCGGCGGGTACCGCTGGCGAGTTGCTGTACAAGCTCGACCCGGACGACGTGTGCCGCCGCTTTCAGGGCTACTTCAATGATGAGGGGGCGACGAATAAGAAGGTGCTGCGCGATGTTTTCGAGCCCGGTGACGCCTGGTTCGCGACGGGCGATGTGCTGAGGCGATGTGAAAAGGGCCGCTGCTGGTGGTTTGTGGATCGCCTGGGCGATACTTTCCGCTGGAAGAGCGAGAACGTGAGTACCGCCGAGGTAGCGGCTCTGCTCGGTGACAAGTGCCATGACGTCCTGCGCGAGGTCGCTGTTTATGGCGTGTTGGTGCCTGGTCAGGATGGGCGTGCGGGTTGCGCCGCGGTGGTGCTTAGAGAGGGCGGTAGTAGTGACGAGAGAACACAACTATCCAGGTTAGCGGAAACGGCAGGGAAGGTACTGCCGAAGTATGCCGTCCCGCTGTTCGTCAGGGTGACGTCGGCGTTGGCGGTGACGGGTACGAACAAGCCACAAAAGCATCTGTTGCAGAAGGATGGCATCGACCCGGAAGTCGTGGAAGTTAAAGGAGACCGGATATACTGGCTCAGAGACGGGAAGTACGAAAGATTTGGAAAGAAAGAGTATGAAAGATTACAGGGTGGAGGTGTGAAGTTGTGATAGAATTTGGGTGCATGATTATGAGGGTTGCATTATAGAAGCGATACGGAAAGCCTAATGTGTTTGTTGGGATGGTTTCAATTGGGTGTAGATAACTAAGGCAACTTTAAACAATGGTAATGCACGTGCAAGGGAGGTAATCTTGAGCTCGGTACCTGATGGAAACCAGGGGTGGGTGAGGAGAATAATGTGGATGTTTTGGTTCTGTATCTCATGGGCAAACATTCAAGCTATCCACAAACCCATGGCAGCCAAAGGCCTGAAGACCAAGTGGGCAACATATACATCACGCCATGCCAAAGGACACTTTCTTGACATAGAAATTTGTTCTATCGTCATGAGACATAACTAGCCAATGGGCCTTAGCCCGTCATGACCCCTGAAATTCCAGAAAAGAAACCGTTCCGTCTATCATTTTACAAATGCCGTGGCTTTGCCAAAAATCCGTTGCACGTTTTGCTCATTCCTCAGTATTCGGCAGGGAAGCCCTTCAGCAATGACCATCCTCTACGCCGTAGTCAAATCGATCGGATATCAAATGTTGCTAATCACTTACGCGTCCTGGTCGAGGCCAAGGTCCTCCTCGGCGGGGACGATGCGGAGAGTGTTGGTGTGGCCCATACCGCCACGCCAGCCCTGAACGCAGACGACGGCATCGCCGCGGTTGAGAACGCCGAGCTTGATGGCGTTCATGATACCCCACTTCAGGCGGCGGTCGACATCCTCCTGCCAAGGGGCGGTCTTGAAGTCGGGCTTCTCCTCGTTGAAGTAGAAGGGGTACACGCCACGGTACAGGTGAGAGTACTGCGGATGGCGTTAGCAATGGGAATTTGAATCAAGATGGAGGTCAACTTACCCTCGAAGCGGCCTCGTTACGGGTGACCATGATGATGGGGCAGACAGGGCGGTACTTGGCAACCAGACGAGCGGTGTTACCACTAAGGAACGAAGTTAGCAAAGTAGGAGAATTGTTTCACGGTTGAGCTTACCTGGTGGTCAGGACAAGGATAGCACCGGCGTTCTGCTCGAGAGAAGCGCTGACGGCAGCCATGGCGCAGGTCTCGGTGGTGGGGACAGGGACGGGAGCGAGCTTCCTCAGCTCGTCAAAGGCGCTGACGTAGGGAATGGCAACCTCGGCGAGCAGGCAGGTCTCGTGCATCATCTTGACGGCCTCCTCAGGGTAGTTACCCTTGGCAGTCTCGCCCGACAGCATGACGCAGTCGGCACCGTCCAGGACGGCGTTACCAACATCGCTGACCTCGGCACGGGTCGGGCGGGGGTTGTAGGTCATGGACTCGAGCATCTGGGTAGCGCAAATGACGGGCTTGCCGGCGATGTTGCACTTGGTGATCATCATCTTCTGGGCGATGAAGACCTGCGAGGGAGGGATCTCGATACCAAGGTCACCACGGGCAACCATGACACCGTCGGTCTCCTTGAGAATGTCGTCGAAGTTGTTGACACCCTGCTGGTTCTCGATCTTGGCGATGATCTGGATCTCCTTGCCATCCTCGCCGAGGACCTCACGGATGGCCTTGATGTCGCTGCCGCGGCGAATGAACGAGGCGAAGACCATGTCAACCTTGTTCTTGACACCGAACCTCAGATCGGCCTTGTCCTTCTCGGAGAGAGCGGGAAGATCGATGTCGGTCTTGGGAAGGTTGACACCCTTCTTGGACGAGATCTTGCCGTTGTTCATGCACTTGCACCTCAGGTTCTGCTCGTCGATGATCTCCTCGACGGTAAACGAGAGAATACCGTCGTCGACGTAGATGGTGCGGCCAACCTCGATGACCTTGGTGATGTTCTTGTAGTCGACGTACCTGTTGCGTACAGTGTCAGACGTGCCTTTCCTCAAGTGTGCCCGGGGGTTCTTACATCTTCTTGTTGTCCGACTTGGTGGCATACTCGTCCTCGGTGGTGACGATGATCTCGTCGCCAGCGCTGATGGGGAGGTCCTGGTCGCCAACAGTGTTGCCGGTACGGATCTCAGGGCCTTTCTGCAGTTCACAGCCAGGTTAGCGGAAGGTGACACAAGGTGCAACGGGTGGGGGCGCGTACGGTGTCCAGAGCAATGGCCAGGGGACGGCCGGCCTGGATGGCCGCGGCCTCGCGGGCGTTGTCAATCACGGACTGGTGGTACTAGAGCAGCTGTCAGCTGGAGTCTCCGAAATCCTGCTCCTGCGGCGCACAAACCTCATACGAGCCGTGGGAGAAGTTCATGCGGACAATGTTCAGGCCAGCTGCGAGCTGTCAGCAAATCACGGCAGCCGCGGGGTAAGTTTGTACGCACCCCTGCGGAGCATGTTAATCTTCTCAGCGGAGTTGGTCTTGGGGCCTGGAACAGACAAAGTCAGTCTGGAGAATCTCACGGCGAGGGCCAGGAGCAAAGGGGACTTACCAATGGTGCCGATGATGGAGGTGCGGCGGTAGTTCTTGGCCGGGCGGTACTCAGTGTTGAGCTGCGACAGCCACTCAGTGCGCGTGCGGCCAGAGGCCAGGTGGTCGAGGGCGTTGGCCATGACTGCTGAAGGGCGCGAGAGCGTAAAGTGTACGGGTGTAGAGTCTGGTGTTGGGAGAGAAGGGTGTTAGAGCGGAAGTTGCGGCGGCGGCGCAGAAGAAATATGCTGGGGGGACAGCTCCGCGTCGGAGGTGGGCGCGCGGCGGCGGCGGGAGCGCGGCACGCCAACCAACAAAACTCACCGGAAAAAGCGCTTTCTGCACGAAGCTGCCAAAAGAGCTTCGGACTTTGGGAGAAAGCAGTGGGATGAGTCCTGAAGGGTGCGAGGAGTTGTGTGAGGCAATGCTAAGGGTCGCGCAGGCTGGCGAGCTAGCAATTTATTTTTTTGTTGACGGCACTTTTGGCCAGGCGCCCGTTGGCCGTCTGACTACAAGCTCCAACGACCCCACCATCCCGCTACGTCTACTGATTGAGTAAGTGGGCAGAGCTCATCCCGCCGCGCCCTGGCGTTACACACCGAAACACGATAAGACGGCCCTTTTAGCGGCCAATCGCCTGTCGCAGCGCAGCACGCACGCCAGTCCGCCCACGCCGCTCACTTGCTGCAGCTGCAAGCGCTGAGCATCTTGGCCGTCGCCGCGTCTGCGTCGCCTCTCCGCCCACTACCCTTTGAACGGACCTCCGCCGCGCACGTGCACCCAGCCTCGCCCCGTCAGGCACCCGTTGCAGCCGACGCCCGCGAGTCGCCTGCACATCACGCCTCGCTGATCAGCCGCCGACCCAGGCCAAAACACCAGCAACAAGTCGCTCTCGATCGCTGCGAGCCCCCTGCGCTACCCGCCTCACCCTCCGTGCAATAACCTCAGGCTCCACGCGCAAACTTGCAAGTCGCCACCATGGTCGTAAGTCGCTCAACTCCCGTCACTCCACCAGCTGATATGACGCTCCGCCTTGCTCACCACCATCACATCAGTTCGGACGACTGACCCACTACGCCTTCGACGCCGTCCTCTGTGCGCATTCCCTTACCGCCCGTTACCGGCCCTTCATTATTCTCTGACCGTGCGATCCAGTTTCTGCCTTCCTGGCTGGCGTCAAGCGCTCCACCGGCCTCACGTATGCCTTCCATCCCTTCCCGCCCGCCCTGGCCTGACAGTCCGAGCATTGTCCGCACAACCCCTTCTCCCTTTTTTGCTTAATTTCGCGCAACACCCACCGTGGACGTGCAAAGCATGCCGTGGCTAACGTTTACCCGCCATTTCCCGGGACTCGTAGACCTAGTGTCAAATCCGAGACTATCAGCGAGTCGGAGAATGTGAAGAAGTGGCTTGACAACTACCTGTGGGTTGGCGAGGTCGTCATGGACCAGAGCGTCGCCCTCATGAGCTCCTCCGGTTATTTCGAGCGCAAGCGGTAAACGACCCTTGAACCGTACGTTGCGACCGCGCATACGAGAGGGAATACTTCGGGCGAGAAGGATCGAGGCATGTATATGTTCAGGCCACAAACGCCCCGACATGGCAGGCGGGAGACGCCCAGCCGCGGAGCGCCAGAGGAGCGGGGTGTGAAAACTCTACTCGTGCGAGGATACTAGGGAATAGGATGGGGGCGTTTCTAGGCGACTATACCTCTGAACAGTTCTTTGTGGCATTCCAGGCTATGCATGGACAAATTCATTTGCTATACCGGCCATCGAGTTCCAACAACGGTACATGCCCATGCGCATCTGCTACATTGCTAATGCAAGCTAGATTGCCGTAATACCAGACCATCCCACCTTGCTGCGCTCCTATATCAGGCGATCGCGATCGTATTTTTCGAGGCCTGCCGGACACTCCAAAATGTCTCAGGTCTAGTTTCTACAATGGAGTTTTCGCCGTTGGGGCTGAGATTAGAACGCTCTACGACGTTCTAGTGTTCATCGCCCTCTGTGCCGAAGATCTCTCGTTACCGTCTCTTCACGTCAACTTAGAACCCCGCGGCTCCTCGTCATCCAGGTAATCCTCAAGGTGTAATTTGGTCGACATCTGCCTTCTGCCCCGTGTATACCATCGATGCCTTTGCTGTTTCGGAGACGACTTTTTCCACTGGACTACACCCCGAAAGGTGCGGTTGCCGCGGACGATGGCATACGGGGAGGAGCGATTGGGCAACAACTCGGTGATAGGCTCCTTTAGCCCACCCCCTCGAGAACGAACGGCGGAGCCTCGTAAATGGCGTTACCCATGGATAAGGGCACGGATGCTGTTTCTAGCTTTTTCTGGAGACAAAGTGGTGGAAGAAGAAATTAACGACGTCACAGGCAAGCTGGTCGACGCTGTGCTTGTTGATATGATGTACACCCTGTGCCTCTCAAATATGTCATGAGAGTGGAAGTTCTCGAAAGTCTTCATCTTCATTGGGAGAGGTGAAGGATGCCGATGAAAAGCTCTTGAAGCTGGCGTTCTTGAACGACATGCCCCACTGAGGGACAGCTCCAAAGCAGACGACGCAACATGTCGAAGGTGGTCGTGGGCCTGGAGTCGACTTGAACCTCTGCGTGCGGCCCGATGCTGAGGACGCCTTAAATTTACTGGTCGTGTTCGGAGATCAAGATTTTACCGTGATCTTCGAGGCCGGCTCAGAACTTCTTTCGATGTACCAAACATTCAAGATGGTGGATTTACGGGTAAAGTGGCACCATGGTGAAATTTTCTCATGGCTGTCATGAATTTTTGCAGGTGAGTTGGCATTCATGTTAGAACAGTTGATCGCTCGAGGTTGAAAGGCAAGGTGAGTATGTTTGGGTTTACAGAAAAGGCAGGCTCGATCTAATGCACGTGATGCTATAAACCCGTGTAGACTTCCGATTGACAGTGTTGAAAAAGTTAGAATCTCCTAATAAAGAATACACCTCCCAACATAGACGAGCTTTCAACCCAACGACCCCACGCACACGGGCTTATCTAGTGTCAATTCTCAAGCTTTCATTCCAGTCCAACTTTTGTTAAAGTACATCAATACGCTACAGCTTCTCATCGAAGAGCTTGATTTTGTACTGATCCACACCTTCGTGAACACCCTGCCAGTCATGTCGATGCAGGGCAAAACTCTCACATTCAGGCGCCGGAATCCGCGGGAATATGCCCAACTTCAATATCACCTTCCCCTTGCGAGACGGAACAACGGACCTTATCGGGCTGCTCATCAAGCAACGATCAGCAATCGGGCGTCGTACACGAGTCTCTCTCTCTCTCTCTCTCTCTCTCTCTCGCCGCGCGGGTTACAGTCACAACACTCACTTGCCACATCTACTACAGAACCACCGACCAAGCGGCTCGCCGCTTCCCGTCTGCGTGTCGACGAACTCCTTCAGCGTGCCGTCGCGGTCTTCGATCGTCACCTTGTCGTCCTCGATCAGCAGGTTGGCGGCGACGTAGCTGCCGGCGACTTTGCGGCAGTTGGCGCAGTGGCACAGGTGGCCGCGGCGCCGGGTGAAGAGCTCCTTGTCGCGGATGGTGACGTGGATGCTGCCGCAGAGGCAGTGGCCTGTGATCCCTTCAGAGAATTCGGAGATCGGGTGGCGGTTCGGGTCGCCGGTGAGTTCGGGCATGGTTGTTGTGGGGTGGTGGTGGTGGCTTTGCAATTAGAGCTTGGCAGGGGGCTGTACGGCTGATTGCAGAGGCTCAACAGGTTTTTTGTGGTGTATATAAGATCTGATTGATCTAGAGAAGCTATCTTTATGTGATGCGGCGGACGTCGGCATTCGGGGTGCGGGGTATGGAATATTGCTAAGCTAGCTTACATCAGCTCCACAGAAAGTAGAGTGGAACCTCTGAGGATGTCGTCCCAGTCAATTACATAATCCATCAGATGGTCCTGTCGTCGTATCCTACCCGTAAACAACAGAATGGATTGTTATTGAAAATCGGAATAGACGAGATATTGTATGAGCGGCTGCAGTGTTACTCAGTTAATAAAGGATGGCATGTAAAATACTCGACATATGGTCCCCTCTCGCAGCCGATGGCTAGTGTGAAGAATAGCAAGGCCCTAGGCGTAGCTATGCCTTAACTCGTTCTCAGAAAAATAAAATATGTAGGTAGCTGAAGCTATTGTCTGGATGTGTATGTAGAATTTTTAACTCTACATTTTCGTCTGGACGAGAGCTTCAACTACCTATGACATGAGCGAAAAACAAAGCTACGCTAGCTATCGGCTGCGAGAGGGGACTGTACACTCATGATTTCTACACTGATTTAGTGTCACTGACCGAAGCCGGAGTCCAAATTTTGTACGCTAAAGAAGATCTGAAGAAGATATTCGTCCAAACACATCTCTTAATTGCCATAGCTATGCAAACTGATCGATTTTTCATCCCTCCTGCGAATATGTTGCCGCCCCCTCCAAGTCTGAGAATACCACGAAGCGTCTATTTTTGGTTGAATATGATGAAGATGTATTCAAATACTCTCTGTCTTTCTCGCCTGTTCGTGGGGAAGGCGCCGCTATCAGCCGGATTTTGTCATAATAGTTGAAGACAACCGTCTGCCCTGCCACTCCAGTCGCATCAAACGGCTGTGTGCTGCTCCGCTGAATTTCAACCAAAATACCCCTCTTTACTAAAGCAGTAGTGGCTAGGCTCTTCGCAGAGCATGGCCCATGCCATGGTTACAGTGCAAGGCTTGCGAGCAAAGTCTGTAGAACGCGATGTGACAAAAGAGACGATGTCGACGTCGGGGTTGCTTTCACTCGCTTTCCGCGTGAGGAAAACACTCGTGAAAACGCATCTGTCACAATCCATTTTGCTGGAAACACCGGTAAGCTTACATTTGTAGCAGTGCATTTCGTTGGGACATCCCGGCATGCGTTGGTGGTATTGGTGAGATGAAGAGAGCCAGATCCAGTCCGGGGGAAAGCGAGTGGCGATGTCAATAGTTTGCCCGTGAGGACATATTTGTTCAATCGGAAGGCTCGAAATGGCGTAGGCGAGCTCCATGTCGTCGAGAGGCTCGCTGCGGGCCGCTTGCATCAAAAAGTACGTGCGGTTGAGCTCTACCAGAACCTTGCCGGCGGAAGCAGTGGAGTCGCAGTCAACGCATTCAACCCTTCCTTTGTTCTCGAGTAGCTCCGAAATCTGGTCGAGTCGAAGATTTATGTGCGAGCACAGTGCGACAGCGTCGGGAGCAGCAATGCAGCGGCGTTGCTCGGGCTCACGGCGTTGTTGATGGGCGGAGAATTTGCGCCGCTCGTGTGTTGTGCGGCAGCAACTGCACACAAGCTCGTCGCGTGTGTCCAGCGTACCGATCCTCTCGGCTAGACAAGATCGAGAGAAGATGTCCTGGCCGAAGCGGTTTGTGAAATCGGCATGGTCTTCAAAGGTGGCGGAGGACGAGTTGGAAAGAGGACGGAAACTCCTGGGAGTTGCTCCTAGTGAAAGCGTATCGGTCCCGGAGAGATAATCCATGATGTCCAGAATTAATTCATTGGGCAGAAGATGAATATGATCTTTCATAGGGTTGTATTGCTTTTCACCTCGAGGCTCATTGTTGCTTTGTGACTTGCGGCCGCGCCACACTTTCACGCATCCGGGCAACAAAGAGAGACAGGCTGGGGAGGTAGCCACCAAAGCCGAGGTTCCCATCTTGGACGGTATGAAAAGTTATCGCAAGTGGAGAGTGAAGAAGTTGTTGTAGTTCAAGAATGAGGTTGAATGAGGACAGGGCTACCAACTGGCAAGACAAGCCAGGGCAAGACAAGCTGTATGTACACACTCCTAAGAAATACGCTTAGAAGCATTTTTTGCGACAGAATCATTCGTCTTGTCTTTGGCGAAGTGAAAGGATGATTGATTTGTATTGCCATACCCAGAGAAATACGCTAAACCTTAACAGGAGACAAAGAATGGAAGATATCAAATGCGGCTTATCGATAGAAGAGCGCCTGGGCTCTCTTCGGGTTTGTCTTGTGATCTGAGCAAGATCCCTTGATTAGAAATATAGTGATGCTTAGCGTGGCCGAAGTCAGATGTCTCAACTGCCTTGTGTATGTGTAGCTTTTCGTACTTCAACTTCCACAGTGCCTTTTTATTTGAGATAACTACCTTGCTATAACCTACCGTCCGCGTCTTTCGTATATGAATGCTTTAGAATGTCAAAAAGGGGTGAATGTCCCTCATGGTTGCCGGATTTTCGGGCAGCAACTCACCTCGATGATGAAATCAAGCCCTGAACTTGCTTACTCCAGCAGCCTCAAGCCGCAGCCAGAGGGACGTTACTGTGGCAGCGGCAAGCAAAGCACCTATCATGGTACAGCTGTTCCTGTAACCCAACGGAGACCCCAACGCCACACCCGAACCCACCTTGCCGTTGCGCACAAGGGAGCCGGTGATGGGAGTGCCCAGCAACGCGCCGCAGCCGCGTGCCATGTACAGGAAACCATTGACACTGGCAAAATTCTGCGCGCCGAAGACCTCCATCAGACTCGTCGGGAAGAGCGAGACGTAGGCGCCGGCGAAGATGCCATAGGTGATTGCGAAGGTGATGAACAGAGCCTTGCTGGCGGTGTTCTGGCCAAGGAGCGTCGAGGGCAGCCAGAGGCCGAGCGTTATGAAGGTGCTCACCAAGGTGCATAGGAAGAGCGTGTTCAACCGGCCGAATCGGTCAGCGACGTACCCCAAAACGACCTTGCCTCCAGCACTGGAAGCGTTGCTGATGGCGATAAGGTTTGCGCCTGCGGCTGCGCTGTATCCCAGTGTGCGTGCGTAGGCGGATAAGAAGTAAATGGGGCCGTAGTACGCGGCGGCTTGGAACAGGGCGCTGAGGGCGTGGGCCAGGAACTTCTTGCTCCGTGCCACTCGCCAGTTGACCAAGGGGACTTGAAAGGCGCCGGTGCGTGAAGACCGCGTTTGACGTTCCAGAGCGATTCTCCTTTCGCTCTCGGCGTCCCAGCTCAGAATCATGCCGGCAGCCGAGATCAGGAGGAAGGCAACGCCGCCGGTCAACTGAAGGGCATGTCTGAAGCCGATAAATTCGTTGAGGAGGCGGATTACCGGGGCCCAGAAGACGCCGCCGACGCCGGTGCCGCTGAGGATGACTCCCATGGCGAGTGCCCTCTTCTCGTTGAACCATCCGGGAGCAATGGTGACGGCTGGTATGTATGATAAGCAAGTGCCAATGCCAAGGATTATGCCTTGGGTAAGGATGAAATGCCACAGCCGCTGGCTAAATGAGGCGAGGATGTTGCCCAAAGCGAATATGACTGCGCCGATGAGGGTCACAGTTCGCGGTGAGTATGCTTTGGTCCAAGCAGAAGCAAAAGGCGCTCCCATGGTCATCAGCGACACGGCCAAGGTTCCGATCAAGTCGATGGTGGCCGGGCTGGCATTCGCAAATGGCCCTCCGAGGGATTCGTACAGCTCCTGGTAGACTCCAAAGGCAAAGGTTAGGCCGCATCCGGTAAAGGTGACCATGAAGGAGGCCGTGGCAACTAGCACCGCTTTCCTTGGCATGTTGTTAGCCGATGATCAGGTACGTTTACCAGGAGCTCACCTATTGCTGCTCGGTTCACGTGATGTGGTACTGGACAAGCGGGAAGCCGTAAGGCTGCGCTGGTCTAGTGACTCGAGTGGGATATCACGAGGTGTTTCCATGATGGCCAAGACTGTGTTGATGAGATGAATTGACTTCCGGGTCTCTTATTGCCTCGCTTTATGGATGTGAGTCATTTTCGGTTGGAAGTTGGCGGCGCCGATTAGGTACTTACATCGTAAGCCCGGTTCTCGGCTAAGGAGCTTACCCCGCAAAACCGGGACGATCGTCTCTCTCCGTTCCTGCAGGGGAAATAATAATGGGCGTCTAAGGATCGAAGTTGCGTAGACGCTTGCCTGGCGCACGGATACGCTGCTGGTTCAGAAAGCTCGGCAGCTGCTGTGTCACCTCACTTCGTCCCAACGCTCCTCAGCTTTGCCCAGCCAATCTCTTCGCCCTAGAAAGGACACTACAGACCTCCGAAAACCGGAAGCAAGCTTGACCAGAAGTCATGATCTAGGTCACCATATTCACCCGCGTCGATCGTCCGGAAATCAACGCCGGTCACACGTCATATTCACACCCCATACTCTCGTCCGTAGCTGAGCGGATAGCTCTCTCAGCTTTGCGTATGCTCGGAATTCTGCGGCTCCTTTGGCCGCCCTCAAGTCCTTTTCGGAGCCTTATGGGATCGCCGCCGGCTGGATTGGTGAGGACGCGGCGCCCTGGCCCACGCCGTGGCCTCGTCCTTGATTGATGCCTACCTATTCTGCTTGCGTGAAGGAGAAGACAGATTTCACAGCAAATACTGGGAGGTTGTGAGCGACCGCTCCAAAAAAAAAAAGAAGACATTGATTTCGACACTGTAACTAGCACCGCCTTGAGAACCCTGGCCGCTGTTCGCCGAAGGAGCCATCTTCCGCTGCCCGGTGTGGGAGGGGGTGCGCGGTTTAGCCACAATATGCTGTGCATTTATGCACGGCAAGCTCAGAATAGAATATGATCCAGATTGAAGTCCTGCATCATTCATCTTGAACTGAACAAGGCTCATTCGACGAAAGGCATTGTTTTATATCCTATGAAATCTACATTTATACCTTGAGAATAAGAGTAGCTTACAGCCATTACAGAGAGGACTCATACTCAATCAACTTCGTATTGTCCTACCGAAGAAGATAAATAGTATTGAAAAGCAAAATACCACCTGACGCGTACTTCCATCGACGCAATGATATGCTGCATGTCATCCTCGCATCTCACGCTTTTAATCATGGTTTCGCTGTCGCTTTGCATTTCTTTCAAAGTCATTCTCTGGTTCGCCTGGGCCCCCATCAATGCTCCGCTTCCTGTTCTCTTGGTTGTGCCAACAGATCAACTCCTCGTCATTATCATCATGGTCCTTGTTGCCCCCGGTATCGTGGGAGTCAGAAAAAGGGTTGAAAGAGCCTTCGTCCGTGGAAGAGCCGATAAAGTTGTCGTTTTCAAGATCTGAGACTAGCTCCATGAGGACATTATCTTGTTGTCGCTTTGCAAGGTCGAGAGGTGTTTGGCCTTCGCTGTTTGCAATTTTGAGACTCGCTCCTTGGCCCACAAGAATCCTGGAAATCTCCAGATGAGCTTTTAAGACTGCATAGTGAAGAGGAGTGTTTCCAGCGTTATCGTTGATGTCAGTGTCTGCCTTCCAACCTGGTTGAAGTAGCAAATTCACCAGCCTTGATGAACCATTTTGAGTGGCCCAATGCAAGGGAGTCTTCCCTGTATCAATGTCTATAGAATTGATAATGTCTTGGCAGCGGGTTTCCGCCCTTATAACCTCTTCTGAGAGACGAAGATCGTTGGTTTCCGCTGCATGATGGAGTCGGACAGCAGAAATCAGTGACAAAATTTCTTCACTCCAGGAGCCAGTGCATGTCCCTGGAAGACGGACACCAAGGGGAAAAGGCTGCAGCGTAGACATCTGTTTCATCCGATCAAGAGCGCTCTTCCCGTATTTATTCGGAATCCCTAGATCTGCTCCAAATTCTATAAGTGTTTTGGTCGCCTTTGGTAAGAGACAGTGAGCTGCAATCCAAACTGGCGTTCGTCCGGCATAGTCCTCATCCAGCAGCAAGTCTTGGACAAATTCAAGAGACTGGGCAACCTGGAGAAGGATCCTCATTATCTTGTCGTTCCGCTGCTCGATCGCGATATGGAGAGCTGATTGTCCCCGACACTTCAGTACCAGTAGATCTTTGGCTTTCTGTTCTGACACAATACGTTCCCTGGGTGTCTGAAGAATATCCATGAGTTTTTCTACCACTTGATGATAGCCGTTCAAAACGGCAAGATGCAGTGGTGTTCTTCCATCTTTGTCGCTTTGAAACAAGGCCAATCTTGCTGATGTTCCGTGGGCCAATATATCAACCCATGCACAAGACTTCTCTGCGGATAATTTTCTGGCAGCATGATGTAGTAGATTTCGGCCCCCTGCGTCTCGAAGGGTGACTTCAGTGCCTTGTTTCACCAATTCCTGGCCTAAAAGCCTCCAGTCACGGCTCAAGGCGCGGTAAAAAGGTGATATACTACCCCGTTCGAATTTGGAAGGTCGCTGAGCTGGAGCAAGTGTCACCTTTCTTTTGAAGAGACAAGGTTTCACATTTTGGAAGGGAAAACGTGATGATGTTCTCTCCAACGTTCCAGCTGGTGAGAACACTATGCTCTCCTTGGCGGACTGAAGATGGCTTTCTGATGATAGAAAAAAGCCCAAGGAGGAATTGGCCTCAACGAACTCGTCAGACTCGGCCATCCTCTTGATCACTAGCGTAACCAATGATTCGTCTCCGAAAACCCATGTGTGATCCAGGAACTTGATGTCCAATGGCGGTTTTGCGCCGCCCTGTAAAAGTTTTCCCATAACTTCTGGATAACCTTCCACGAGCGCTGCCTGCACGGCAGACCCGTAGTGTCCACCTCTAATATTGATATCTGCATTTTCTCTGAGCAGAATGTCTACTATTTCCGCATAGTTGGCCGCTGCAGCTGCTTGGAGGGCACTTCCATAAAACCCAGCAATAATGTTTGGGCTCAAGCCCTTGTCGAGCAACATCCTAACTATATCGCAGTGTCCCAAGCCCGAGGCTGCTTGTAGAGCATTTCCGAAGATATCTTTACATATTCGGCAATTTTCATGTCTCACTCTCCGACGAATCCCGGAGAAAGACCTCTCGTTGGACTTTTGGCATTTGAAATAGCTCATATCTGAGCACGGCGGCCCCTGTATGTTCGGAGTATCTCCAGACTCATTGAGGAGATATCGGACTATGCTAGAGTCCCCTCCAACAGATGCAGCGTAGATAGCAGACCCGTACTGATCAGCAGCATGACCTGGAGGAACACCATGCAAAACTAGCATTTGGACCGTGTCTAAGTGACCATTCTCAGCTGCAACTTGCAGAGAATCATGGTAATCAAAGGCCATGGTATCTGGTACGGCTCGAAGAATTTCATCGACCACTTCATGATGACCTTGGTGACAAGCAGCAACAAGAGCTGTACCAAGAGACCCACCGATATCATTCACCGGGGCTGAGTGTTTCAAGAGCTCCCTCACTATTGTTCGATGCCCATGTGCTGAGGCAGCATACAGCGGTGTTATAGGGTAAAATTTTTCCTTTTCGTGCGAAGAATCAGGAGAATCAGAAGAAGATCTCTTCTTCATGTAGAATCCGATCGGCGCGTCCCCTGATGCTTTTACAGGTTGACTGACAAAACAGAATCCCTTTTCGAGGAATCTCTGCAATGACCGGAGAAGTCCGAGGTGTACGGCAATGAATATTTGAGATGCCGTCACCATCTTTTCGTTAAACTTCCTCTCGACGGCGTGCCAAAGCCAGAACTCATAAGCCCGTGAATTGGTCAAGAAGTTCCACAGGTGCTCAAATGTTTCGTCTTTCTGGTCAAACATTCTGGCATGCATCATCAAATAGGTAGCGGCACAATTGGCGAATGGATGCTGTCTATCGCAGCCTGAGGTGCCACACTCAAAGGAGGACAGACGCTCAATGCGTGCGATGCTGACTTCAAACAGAGACTTTCTCGCATTCTCTTCTTCAAAATACGACCGGAACTTTTGATCGACGTTGTTTGAAATCAGAAATTCTTCCACAGTGAAATGTGCGAGGCGTATTTCTTTGTCCAGGAAGCTGACCGTGCTTTTAGGCCCTGTATCATGAAATGTGACCAAGCTTCGGCAATATGTGGCAATCCATTTGGGATCCGGCATTCTCTTATCGAGTTCAACCGTTGAGGTTGCAGGGCCAAACGACACAAGGTAGATTGCGTCTTCGACTAGAAGCGTCTGATCCGAATATATCAGGAACTGGAGAATTAAAATGGCGCCTTCGAATAGTTCTCGGGGTATGCGAGAGAGGCTTCTGTTGTATGTTTCCTCCAAAGTCCTGGGAAGCGATTTCAAACAACGCTGTAGTGCATTCAAGTCTCTACAGCCTTCTAGTTCTTGTATCTGGCATGCAGCCAATCGAAACCTTGAGGGAAATAAGATTTTGCTACTTCTCCAAACTTTAAGGAGAGACTTACATTCCATTTGCCCGTTGTGATACAACATTTTTGATTTCTTTCTGCCACTCTGGAATCACTTCCCACTTCTTCAATTCTCCTTTCGAGATCTCTGAATCGATGTGCTTTTCGATGTCAGGCGTGACCATACGTTCGTCCATATGTATCACGTTGCCTGTACCTCTAAGTGCAGACGAAATATCTTCCTCATCACGGCTTGTAACGACCATGTGGAAATGCGGGCGAGGAACCGCAACGGTTTTGTTGATCCAAGACAAGAGCTCTGTCCGGTGACCAGCTTCATGGACCTCGTCGAGACCGTCGAGGACTATACTGATATGCTCGAATTTCTCCGCCACTCTCCAGAACAAGGTGACTAACTCTCGAGTACCAGGTTGTTCCCGGGCTATAGATTCGAAGAATTGGTACATGTCCTTCCCGACATCTTCATTGATGCGGTACAAGTGGAAGAGAAAAGCTCGGAGCATTTCGTCGCGCGTCTGTTTTGCTTTTTCCCCAAAGGCGAAGAAGAAGTACAACAAGGCGTGAGTCTGACTTTCGTGCGTCTCTTTGAGATCTCGAATGACAGCCATGCTGAGTACGGTCTTTCCACATCCGGGTATGCCGTAGATCCAGAGGAAAGAATTGTTCGAAGCCTTCTTCCAACTTCGAAACCTCCGGCTCTCAAGTAACCACTGACATGTGTTCTCACCCCGTTTCTCCTTTTCTCTTTGGTAGTCAAAGGACGGGTCATGCGGCTGTAACCAATCTTTGAAATTCTTTTGCCTTTCCTCTTTCTGGGTGTCATCGGACTGATGAAGAATACTTTTGACATCGGTAGATACTTTCGTGCATTGTAAGTACAAACGCATTTGAAATTTATTGGAGCAAACTAACTGTTTTGAAGAGATTTCATGACATTCTTGGCTTTTTGCATCTCCTCGACCTTTCTTGATCGAACAACACCAAGCAGTTCTTTTGCAAATGCAGCTGCGGTGGCTGCTGCATACCGTTGCCATCGATCATTCTTGTGAGAATCAGCATAATCACAGATTCCTCTGATGACCAAGCAGGGAAAGTCGTTCATGAGGCCTGCGGCCTCCATTTCCAGGCACATGCAGTCGTCCGACAAGGATGAGATACGATTGAGCAGTTCCTGTTGCTCATCTGCGTCCTTGACAAGTGTGTTCCCCGATGCAATGACACCGTAGTGAATCTCCGGTTCTTCAGGGATGTCTCGTGGCTCGCGGACCACCTCATTCTCACTGGAACACTTCTTGCAGTCTCGTCCGCCAACATGAATGTAGGACGGCTCAAACAAGCGGTCATTTTCGGAGCCTTGGTATCCAAATCCTGGGTTATTGTTCCGCTTGGTGAACATAAAAGGGTTCTGCTCTCTCATTTCTGCCAAGATTTGCGGTACTGCGGACGGTTCCTGTTCGTGCCGGCTTTGCAGGTTTGCGACTGCGTGGAGAAGGAGAGGCGGCGGTGAGTTGAGGAAGCCTTTCAGTTCTTTGCCGTCGGCTTTGGCTTTCATCAAGTCGTAATTTACGACTCCACCAGTGCTCCCACCGGGAGCGCTGACGACTATGTCACCAAGACGAATATCTTTGCCATCATAAGGACGAGCAATTCCACCTCCGATGCCAACGAGCAGGCCGAATCTAATCGAGGGGAATGTTGACAGCATGCAACTCGCCGTGGTCGCTGCCGTGTTCGTGCCGTATACTCCGGATCTCAATGATGCGATCACAATATTGTGTTGTCCGATATTGCCCCACGAGTACGAGGAGGGGTCGTTCTCAGGCTGTTGAAAACCGCGAGGCTGATCGTGTTTTTCGTCGAGTAGGGCTTCGGCAGCGGCGCGTTCGATCGGCAACGGCGCAAGCCAGCCCACCGTGTACTGGAGGTGGCTGTCCAACGCCTTGCATTTCGAATCCATCGATGTATATGTCGAGATAGGGCTCCGGTGTGTTAGGAAGTAGGTGTCACCCGAACAACAAACGAGGAGAAAAATATGCAACAAGGCTGAGGTGGGGCTTAGCTGACCTACCGCAGTCCTCGCTTCGACCTGCGTGCAAGGATCCTGTTTTTATCTCTCAGCTGAAATGAGGCATTCAGGTTGGTGCCTGTAGACTTGATTCGTCTATGCGAGCCCATCCCGGTTCGATAGATTGCCACACGCAGCTCTTCGCTGGAAATGTTGGTGCCAGCCTCAATCTACCTCGCTTGATAATAAGCTAAAACGACAAAAATTTGATGCTTGCTTTTTTACTTGGATATAGGCATAACGCATAATGCTGTTCCTATTTTCTCTAATGTAGTTCGGTATTCGGTGAACTCCATTAATACTCCACTACTACCCGGCGAAAGAATGCAGCCACAACGGACATAACGACCAATGCCGCCACGCATTTGAGGCCCTTCCGGCGTGTACTAAGGGCCATTGAGATTAAGGGCGTATGCTTGTGCGACAGCTGTAGGGGAGCCCTCGTGCCTAAATTTAATGGAAGTTCACTTCAGGAACGGCTCCACGGATATCCGAAACTTGCGCAAGAGAAAAAGTATTGAAAAATGCTCTTGAGGCAGACCATGACTGATCGCCATCAAACCTCATCAAGGCTTAATTCGTTTGTGTGGTGTACTTCTGTGGCAACCAGATATGCCCGAACAGAAGATTTGAAAGTGTGAAAGAGATGGCGTGAGCCCTTGGATATGTAAAGGTAAAGGTGCACAATGATGGTGGCTGCGTGTGGAGCTTATGAAGCATCTGCTTCTGCTTGGAAAAGTCGATTACTACTCTAGTCGTATGCATACCGCATAGCTTGGCCGTACTGCTGCTGCCTGGGCGCCGCATAATCAGCCCCCGCATTTTCACCATCGTCTAGTGCCAAATACCTTGCCGTAATTGACACGGACTCTTACAATGATGATGATTATCTGTATTCCAGTTGGGTATACCAGGAATTTCTGAAAAAAACAATCCGGCTTTCGTGATATCACAGTCACCAAGTACTATACTACAAAAGGTTTCTCAGGATCTGTTGAGAAGGGTTGGAATCTTCACACACTTTCAGAATTGTGGCGATGCGCGTTTTGAAGAAGTTGGACGGATAAGAACATGTTGAAATACAATCGCATCCGTCGTTTGGATCATTGGAGGAGTTCCAAAAATTGGTGTCTGAAATCGTTTCACCCGGTTTTCATCACGCCTCTCTGATCTTGCCTAACCTCAGACGTTGACCAGGGTTCGAGCAATACTCCTCGGGGGTTTCCACGTTCAGTGCCGAATACGAAGACTGCATGACTCAAGTCGCCTCTTAACGGCCTCGTTTACTTGCGATCTGCGCAAGAGCTGAAACCAGATTTAGCATGCAATCTACGCGGGGGCTAAAAAGGCTTGGCATGAGCAAAAAGTGGGTAGGTTCTTGCCTTGAAAGCGCAGGAGAAACGCGATCAGGCTGAGTGGGCTTTTATTACAGCGTGATGATCCGCCCATGAACAGCCTTCCCTACTCTTCCCACGTTCTCTCTCTTCCGCTAGTCGCGTAGTCTACACGCGATCTGGCCCACATGCGACAAGATGAGGAATGACGTCAAACGTTCTGGTTCATGTGAGACAATGGGGTCCGATTTCAGCGTCAAGCACGGCTGACTTTGAAAAGGGAAAGAACCCGCTGAGCGCCAATTTCTGGTAGACGATTCACCTTCGGAACGCCGTCAACATGAATGGGTACCAAGTCTACTGCAGAAGAAAGCTCTTCTGCCCCTGGCCATTACCTGTTTCGTCTTCGCCGCGATACTCCAAGTTCTGGATGTCATTGTCTCAAGAAATCAGGGAATTTCCTTGAACGAAAATGGCTACGTCCTTCCGATGCGCTACCTGCCGACACTGTGCTTGGTAGCCATCGGGTTGATATGGAAATCTGTCCTGGGTGACATCAAGAGAATAATGCCCTGGTCAACCATGTCCGCTGACGATGGAGCCACGGCCGAGAACTCGGTTCTTTTGAATTACGTCGGCAAAGTCGAGGTTCTCTCATTGTTTGAGTCGTTCAAGAAGAGACACTGGGCTCTGTCTTTGGGTCTGAGCGTGGGATTTCTCCTGGGCGTTTCCGTCACCGCGGCCAACAGTTTGACCTATTCGAAGCTTTCCGCCGAGATCTTCCATGATGCCACTCTCCGAAAGGCGACTGGTTTCGATTTCGATAAACTTGTCACCCCGAACGGATCCCTCGCTATTTCATCGGATCATGTCGGCAATCAACCCTACGGTGCGGTCAGCGCCCAACGTGTGGTTGGGGGACCGTACACTTCATGGACCAGCGGGAAGTACGTGTTCGAGTCTTTTCAGTTGGTGGACAATGAAGACTCTGATGAAGGGGCCGATCTGGATGCAGAGGTCTCTTCATTTGCCGCTTCCTTCGACTGCAAAGAGTTGGATTACTCCTGGACTCTCGGCAGCCCAGATTCTACGATGCAAACTGCGAGACAAGTCAACTTTATTGCCAATCAGACCATTGACAAATGTGTCTTGTCGGTGTATCAGGAAAGAAACATCTTACCCAACAGTACAGATTCATCCCCCCGAGGATGGCTCAACATTACTTCCTGCTTGAACGATCCAAAGGACATCCGCATCCTGGCAACGGTGGCGAGCCCTCTTGAAAATTCAACCACTCCTGCGAGCAACACTACTCTGGACATTTCAATATCTGGAATGGTATGTTCTCCGATTTTCACTATGCAACAAGCTCGTGTACGGGCTAGTGCAAGGACCGGAGAAATAAGGAAGTTCGAACTGTTGCCGGATACACTTGAGCCGGCGGATATCAAAACACCTGTTGAGGCCATCTGGCAATACTTGAGCAATCCAACTACTGCGAACATGGACTGGTGGAGAGCGAGGCGGTGGGGTCCGTTCGACACTGAGATGGAGAAAATCTTTAACTTGACTCAGACGTTCGCTTATTGGCAACGTAGTGACGATTTCTTCGACGCCTTCTTTCAAGGCGTAGATGCAAACAAGCGTAGGGACCTTGTAAACCATCCCGTCGAGTTCAAGTCTGAGCTGGAATCACTGGCCGGAAACACCATAGCACAAGTGGTCAATTTCATCGGTCGGTCAAATTCATCCGATGAGCTGAGTGGCGAAACGGTGAGGAATGGCCCCAGGCTTCTTCTCCGGGACGCATCCCTGCGAGTTCTCCAGGCAATCTTTATTTTCATCGGGCTTACGGGGATCCTGCTCGCTACCTCGCTCCGGCCACGCTCTGACCTTCACCGCGATCCTGGATCATTGGCTCAGACTGCTGTCATCATTTCCACCTCGCATGGTTCTACCGAGGAAGCATTTGCATCCCACTCCCGGTCCTCGAATATGAGCATGGCCAATAATCTCCAAGGGACTCGTTTCAAACTGCATCCAGAGACGGGTGGGGTCTCTATTACTAACCAGCAATTTGAAGGCGATCGGCCTACTCGGTCATTAGCTGAAGAAACCGGGCTATCCGACAAGTTTAACAATGGATGGAAACCTCTGGCCTTCCGACTGGACGTAAGAGCTGTGCTTATTTCAGCATTTGTCACGACGATGGTTGCACTGGCGATTCTTCAATCGATATCTGAAACACACTCTGGACTTTGCAGGAATACAGATACAGCATCACGAATCTACTCCTTTGTACCAACACTGATTCTGGTTTTGCTGAGCTATGCATGCTCTGGGGTTGACGGAACCGTCCGCTCGATGAACACCTACAAAAGCCTCAGCAACCCGTCCAAAAAGCAGCCTCTACTGTTGAACTACAGAGAATACAACTTTTGGGCATCCAAAAAGCTCACTTCGAAGAGACACAATCTGGGATTTGCAGTTGTGGCTTCATCCATCGCCCTGATACTTTTCCCGGTCATAAAGATCATTGCCGCCGGTCTTTACGAAACCACGGTTACCACGTATGAACGCGATATTGTCGTCAAACTCGACGCAAGTCTACCTGAGAATTGGGAGAGCACACTCACTGCAGATGACCCATCCGAAATGGGCAGCAGATTCGCCGAATGGACTCGCATTCCGATGTTTAACCTAGGTCAACGGCCTGGGATCTTAGAGAACCTCGTCTTCAGTAATATCAGCGGCATTGTTGACGAGCTCGACTACGAAATCATCCCAGGGGATACCATAGAACTGCCTGTTCCTGCTATTCTCGTTGATGTTAACTGCACCGCCCTATCCAACGACATGTTCGACTTCAAAGTCGCTGCTTCATCTGGCTTTAATGGCGCTGACATGTACTACGGGATCGAATGCAACTCACCGCTTTGTGATGGATTTTTGAGTAACAGTTATGACGCGTACGGCGGCTACAAATTCCTGGGCAGAGTGTATTCGCCAACAACGGCGAAGTTCGGGATCGCCCTTTCCAACTTTGAAAGCTCATACGAGAGGATCAATAACCTAACAGCGGTAGAAGACGGGGACATAATTCAACCTGGTGATGTCGACATTGCTCTTCCAACCACGAGGGGAGCTGTTTGCAACAGAGATATGCACCTCGTTGAAGCGAATGTTACATTCACACAAAAAACACAACGCGGCTTGAACGATGCCGTAACAGTTCTTCCCTGGAGTCCGTCACATTTTGACCGCGAATCTCTCATCTTCAAAAGAAAACTCGATGACGTCGATGACAGGATAGGCTCACTCCTCCCCATCTGGTATTCGCCTGATTCGCAAAGCTTCCTCAACAGCAACGATAGCTTGTGGCAAACGGAGACGACGAGCCTCAACTTCTTCGAGCTGCTGGCAACCTACGCAGAATACGAGGCCAAGAATATATCATCACTTCTAGACACGGACGGCTTCAATCGAGCAGTCACGGAAATGTTCACGGCGTACACGGTCCAGCTTCTCACCGAGCTTCGGCCCGCCGCCAACGGCACGGCCAGGAACGCGAACGCTACAATCGCAATGCAGCGCGAACGCATAAGCCAGGATCTGATCTCCACAATCGTCGTCGAGGTGCTGTTGGCCGCTGTCCTCTGTTGTTTGGCCTGGATTGCGCTCCGCTTTCCCCGTTCGGCCATTCTCCCAAAGGATCCGGACTCGATTGCTGCACGCTTCTCACTCCTGGCCGGGAGCAGGCTCGTCCAACGTCTCCGTGAAGACCCGTCGGCGCGACAGCGTGATGATGGGATATGGGCTGAGAAGTCTGGCCTCGGTTGGTGGCCAGCCAGCGGATCAGAAGGGATGTGGAGATGGGGTATTGATATTGGCAACGACATGGTCAAGCAGGATTGGAAGCATTCGCCAGCCGAGGTCGGTGTCGAGGAAGCCGTTCAAAGCACATCTGAGGAGGCCCTAGACGCTGTCAAACTTGAAAATACTGGTGAGGCTCAAACCTCAAGCCTGTTGGTGGCGGACTCGAGAGCCACTCATCGACAAGCTTGATGACAGACGGCTTCTCAGCTCCGGTGCTCAAGGATTTCCCTGATCAGACCTTGTGGCACGTGGTTGAACTGTGCCTCGCCGTTGACGCTTTTATATCTAAACATCTTAATTTATCAAGCTTTCAGAAACGTCTTCGCTCGAAATTTAGAAAAGACTGCTTCCCACGCACTGCCGTGTAATAGGAACTATCGTGCTAAATCGTGCGGGGTACTGCTTGCGTGGCAGTTGTAGGAAAGCCTTTATGCTCATATTAATAGAGGTCTAGTTTATAAAACTCGTCGTGTAGGTAAGCCGGCTGAGGCTCTGAGGTGGCTGGATCCGAAATGGAGGGCCAGATGCTGACTCACGAGACCAAAGCATAGATAATCATCGCTGAGATCGACAAGGTGTGCTGATTGGCCAGGATTCAGGTCACATATGTCCAGCAGGAAGAGCGGGGAGCCGATCAAGAGTTTCGCGCATTACATCCAAAAAAAGATATCTGTGCGAATGCGTTCTTTCTGGCTTGTGCGCATCATTCGGCTCCTAGGGAGTACCTCACTCTCATAGCTCGTATGTTCTTCAGATTTTGCGGGATAAGCGCTAAGAGTAGCCACCATAAATCTCCATAAAGTGTCCTCTTCCTTTAGATTTGCCGTACTCGTGTCATTTTCGGGCACAAAGTATTCATTATAGTAACACTGAGCCATTCGCAGATGGTTGCTCTCTAATCTTAAAGGCACGGAGGATTCATCATAAACACTTCAGCACTAACGGTATAAAACTGACATATTACTATCTCTAAGTGCTACGAAATGTAGAATCCGAGCCAGTCCTGATAATTTTATTAATAGGTCAGATCCGAACTTCTATTGGCAGCTTTGCACTGGCGTTCGGCTGCCAAGGATATTATGTATGGTGGCTTTCTCAGCCTTGTTTACCGACCCCGCTTCTCTCATCAGCTGTTCGTGACTCAGTCTTTATTGAAGACCAACGCAAAGGTGAAATAACTGCACATTTAAAGTCTGATAACCCATGCGGCTGTCTTCGTCATTCTTGTTCAAATCTACGGCCATGGCAATCGAATCTTACAGTACTGTGCCCGAAAGTCATTCGTGGCGGCCGGGATTTCTTAAACGTGTGCCAGGGACTTGCTTGGTGGCACTCGTTCTAGCTATTTGTTGTGCTGCTGGTGCGGTTGTGACTCTTGTATCATCCGATGATGTAGATATCGACACATGGCCAACACGAAGGTACCCGATCCAACCCGCTGTCCTCTTATCCATACTCTCAGCTACAGCCAACGCAGCGCTTCGCTTTTCACTCTCAGAAGGCTCTACGCTTTCATGGTGGACGCAGGCTCTCAAAGGAGGAACGATCAACGACCTCCACCGTTACTGGGCGTACGGAACAAGCTTAAAAGATTCTGCTTTGTCCGGAAAGCACTTTAATAAGGTTGCGCTGGCTAGTCTCATCACATCGATTGTTGTAATCGATGGTCCATTGCTGCAACGGGCTACCAGAGTGGAGACCAAACTCGCAACTCAAAAGACCACAGTCTCAGCTTCACTCTCTTCCGACCCACTGCCGAACGCATTTTCTGGTATATACCTGTCCCGCGCACACGCCATCTCCATGTTTCAACCCACATTCGCGCAGGTTGTCCAGGACCATCGCGCTCAGAGCGACATCAAGCTCAACTATACGGGCTGCCGGGGATCCTGCGATATCACGCTCATCGCCGCCGGCCTCGACGTCGATTGCTCGTACGGAACACTTCCATTCAACGCTTCGCAGACTACCCGCGCGGAAGTCTTCGTCGGATCCCTCAACACCAGCTGGGACCCCGTTAACAGCCCCGGCCAGATAACGACCAACATCACCTACAAAGACACCACCGCCTGCTCTGGCACCCTCAAAACAGTCCAATGCACCCTCTCCGCCGCCACAATCGCCTACCCCCTCCGCATCACCAACGGCTCCGCACAGCTCCTTCCCGCCGACAGCACTAACAACAACAACAACAATAACACCATCCGCCTCCAAGATCCCTCAGAGCTCTACGAAGGCTCTTCCCCCACCCCGGGCATGGGATCCACCTACGGCGGCCTCGCGCTCGCCATCGCCCAGCAATTTCCGCAGAGCGAAATCGATCTCTACTTCACGATGCAGTGGGCCGTGGAGGGTCAGGGCACAATGAAGACAACGTACCTGTCGGCGGCCTCGCAGGATGCCGTGGGCAAGTGCAACATGGCGTGGACGGACCCCACGCCCGACATCCTGCTGTTCGCGCGGGGTCTGATGTTCCGCTCCGCCGTCAAGGCGTCGTCGTCTTCCGACAGCAGCAGCGGCGGGGCGCAGACGTATGAGACTTTCGAGAAGTTTGATCGGACCGTGTACACGTCCAACTACGCGTATCTAGTCGGTGCGTTGGCGGTCGTGGTTGCGGATGTGTTTGTGCTGCTGCCGCTGCTGTGGGGGTGGTGGTTGCTCGGGAGAAGCGTCTCACTGAGCCCGGTGGAGATTGCGAAGGCGTTTAGGGCGCCGATGGTGGCTGAGGCCGAGAGTAATGCGAGTGTTGATGCGTTGTTGGGGCAGGTGGGGAGGAAGAAGGTGGAGTATGGTTTTGTTCCTGTTGCGGTCGGAGAGGATGACAGTGCCTGGATGTTGGAGAATGGTGGGCGGGCAGTAGGGAAGGAAGAAGACGAGAAAGAGGGCGTAGAGATGGTGGGTATGTCTGGTGGAAGTGCTGGGGTGCTTTGCTTTTCGAAAGTGTTGTAGTTACCTATTCATTCGTGCTTGCTCATGGAGGGATCACTTCTCGGTCTAAGGCGAATTTCTTCCTCTTTAGCAAAAAGGGTCTCACAAGACCCTGATATTGATATTTTTCTTTGCCAAACTTTAATGAAACCCCCAGAGATTCTGACTCCAGGTCCAAGATATTGAAGTGAGGCAGCACCTTTTTCTACCTTTTGTAAAAAACCATCCCAGTGGCATTCTGATCTACAGCTGTCTCCAACCAACCTCCCTCGCCGAACGGCCATTGAGAAAAGTCAGATAGTCTTTGATCTTTTTCTCAATCCCCTCTGCATCCAAACCAAACCGAGCATAGTTGCTGGGATTGGACGCAGAGTACCCAAAGGTTGTCATGCCTATGCTAGCCGTGACGTACCTTGCCCAAACAGTTGCCACATACTCTTCGACGCTCACAACCGGCCGCCCGTCTCGGGCAAAGACGCCCTCCTTATAACCATCGCTCTGGAGCTCGAATAGATCAAGACTCGGAGCACTGACAATACGGACCGGCATCCCTTTCTCCTCAAGCGAGCCGGCTGCAGCGACGGCATGGTGGAGATTGGATCCACAGCTGACGATGGTCAGCCTGTAGTCCGCGGGGTCATGGACGACATAGGCTCCAAGTTCAACTTTGGTCCTGTCGGTGTTGGGAACCGGCCCCGTGGGGTCTCGGGCAATCGATATCATGCTCGGGCGGGTTTGGGCCGACAAGGCGATCGTCCACGCTCCGATGAGCTCTTCGGCATCGCAAGGACGGATGTAGCACAGATTTGGCATGGCGCGGTAGAGAGAGTCGACTTCGACTGGCTGGTGCGTTGGGCCGTTTTGTCCTTCTTCTGCGCTGCCCGTTAGCTGTAATTCTGTATTCGCGTTTGATTCAGGGAGCGGGACTTACGGAATGAGTCATGGGTGGCTATGTGAATGACCGGAAGGTCACTCAATGCTCCCATGCGCACCCCCGGTGCAGCCTATACTTGGTCAGTTATGCCCGAGTTATCTGCTTGAGATGCTTACATAGAGATAAAACATGAAGAAGGTGGCTGTGATTGGGAGAAATGTTCCTGGATGATATGCCGCCATTCCGTTTGCGATGGATGCCATGGCGTGCTCTCTGATCCCGTTGCGTAGGTAACGGCCCTTGTAGCCTGTCTGTGGCAGGAAAACATCCTCCGCAGCATAACGTATCATGTTGGAGTTGACCAGATCGGCACCTCCACCACAAAGCGACGGCACTGCAGCCCATAGTCGTTCCAAGATGTGCCCGTTACTTTCTCGCGTAGATTTTCCAACGAATGCTTCACTATCTATCGACGACAAGACGGATATGCCATCATAGACACTATGCTTCATTCGTGCGGTGAAGGCCGATGCATCTTCGGGATACAAAGCGGAATACTGGACCAGGAGTTCTTCCCACTCCTGCTGGAGCTGAATACCATGCAGTCGTCGCTCCCGGAAGAACCCGAGAGTTTTGTGGGGCACGTCGTAGGTAGATTCGGCGTCCAATCCAGCAAGCTGCTTGGACTTGATGACGGCTTCCCGGTCAATGGATCCATGGTGGGCTTTATGGGTTCCAGCCGCGGCAGTGCCTACCCCAATGACAGTCCCGATGTTGACAAACACAGGCTTCCATGTGCACGACTGTGCAAGCCTAAGGGCCGCCGCAACCAGATCGACGTCATACGTGCCATTCTGGACTTCCAAAACCTCCCAGCCTTGGGATCTCATCTTGGCGTTAATGTCTTCGGTGTTGATCCAGCTCAGGGGCCCGTCGCAGGTAACGGCATTGTTGTCATAGATGAGGACCAGGTTATCCAACTGTAGGTGACCAGCTAGGGATATGGCTATGAAATCCGGATCAGTGGCTTAGTTCGCAAATGCCTCTTTGACACGAACCTTCAAGAGCAACCCCTTCCATTAAGCACCCGTCGCCCGTCATACACCATATTGTGGATTGCACAACCTGGCATTCGGGTCTGTTGAAGTTTGCTGCGAGATTTTTCGAAGCGATGGCAAGACCAACGGCATTCGCGATGCCTTGGCCAAGGGGCCCGGTCGTCACTTCGACGCCGGGAACTTGGATCTCCGGGTGGGCATGGCTCAGAGTGTGGTAACCGTTTTCCTTGGGGCTTCCGTACCCTTTGAGCTCGTCGATCGTCCAGGCATCATATCCGACAAGGTGGTTCATGACGTATAGGAACATGCTCGCATGGCCTATCAACTTGAGTTAGATCGATGTGGCCCAGAAGGAACAAGTCTCGCCTCCGTACCGTTCGACAACACAAATCGATCTCGGTCAAACCAATCGGGGTCTGCTGGGTTGTACCGCATGATGTACTTCCATAGGGCCACTCCTATTGCCGCCATCCCCAGTGCCGAGCCGCCGTGGCCTCCGCCATGCTGTGTGCATAGATCAAAAATAAGGTTGCGGACTGCAAGAACAGCAGCATCATTGTCACTGAAAAGGACTGCGGGCTGTTGGTACCCATTTCCAACAATTCTTGGACTGATATCAGTGTCCTTTGTCATTTTGACGATGTGGTGAGACGGTGAATTGACGTTGAAAGCAAGGATTTATTGCATATTAACAATAAGAACCAAGCCGAAGCCTGGGCTTTAAAGTTTTACTTCCTTCATTCGACGAACCGTATGACTCGGTTGTTGATTCCCGCTTTCGGATAGACGGTGGGTAGCATCTTGCTTTTGGGCAATACATCACGTGACTGGAATTTAAAATCCGGACGACGCTTGATCGGCTATCTTGCTGAAACCTGCAGAATTCCGGCCCCGAAACTCGTAAATTCAGATTCCGATTGGATTTGATCAAAACTAGGAAGCAAGCAAGAGGAACCGACATTATGTAGTATTTGAGTTCACCTTGGCTCGAGATTCGCCTCGTTCACTGAAAGTGCCGGGCCGCTTGATTCCCCCCGCCTTATTCCAGTCACTTGTACCATCTCCATCATACTAAAATGAGCACCCAAACTATCGATCGAGCAAGCAGTCACTACCTAACGAGATCGGTTCAGGATCTGTTCTCTCTAAAAGGACGAGTTACAGTCATCACTGGGGGAGCGCGGGGAATCGGCTTGGCTTTCGCTTTCGCCTGTGCCGAAGCTGGCAGTGATGTCGCAGTCCTCGATTGCCTGGCTACTCCGCATGAGCATTTTGCTAGACTTGAGAAAGATTACGGCGTTAAGGTCAAGCTATACGTGTACGGAACCCTCATGACAAGAAGGCATAGTCTGTGTATTGATCCAAAGCTAGCACCGATGTGACTGACTATGACGCTTTGGAAAGAACGTTTGAAGATGTTGTGATGGATTTCAACCGGATTGATGGCCTGTGATTGCTCCGGTCTGCTGAGTTATACAAGTGGTCGTATGCTGACATAGTACGCCAGGATCGCAGCTGCTGGGATTTGCCCTGATCAGCCGTTCTTAGAAAGGAAGCCAACAGACGTAGCTCGCTGTTTCAACGTCAACACATTGGGCACATACTTTGTGGCACAGCTCACGGCAAGGCAGATGGTGAAGCAGGACGAGGGTTCAGACAAGCCACAGGGCGGCTCCATGGTTTTTGTCGGGTCAATCGCAGCGCGCATGGCAAGCAAGGGTCAATATACGAGTGACTACTGTTCCAGTAAAGGAGCAGTCGTTGCTCTTGCCACTCAGTTAGGATGTGAGCTTGCAGGCCGGTCCATTCGCGTCAACACAATTTCTCCCGGGTACGTTGTATATCAGCGGAAGACATGTGCGGTTGATGCTAACCATATCAGATACGTCGCCACGGACATGACCTTATCCATCGCTGATACGCGGCCCGGCTTGGCAGACATCTTCATGTCCGAGCCGCCAATGAAACGGATGGCAGACCGTTTGGATTTAAAGGGCGCCGCGGTATATCTTCTGAGCGATGCTAGTGCTTACGTCACCTCTACAGATCTGCTCATAGACGGTGGCATGCATGCGGGTAGAACGTAGTATGTTTGCTGTGCAACGATAGCTATCTGACGGTTATTTTGAAATGCAGCTCGAGATCTATGGCCGTGAAAATACCATTTAATCAACCTACGTCGTAACAGAGCATGCAAAGAGGGTCGATTCCAAGATTGCTGCCAAGATCTCCCAATGAGGAACCAATCTCAACTCTCTGAGTACGTACCTCAGCATTTGCGCATCAACTTGCTGAATCGATCTATGATCTTCGTGAAAAACCGCCGAGTCCAACCATGAATGCCCGCAGCTTCTACAGGTTTCTTAGGTGATTTTAGTGCTGTGTAGTATTTCTAAGCAATAACGTCACCAATGGACCATGCACTCGGAGTTTAAACTCCGGAATGCTCACGTGATGGCAAAGTTGAGGCACGTTGTCTATATAACTCCTCTACTCGAACACTGTACAGATTAACACACCGTGGACCACAAATCCATCAAAATGGCGCATGCACTCATTCTTGGGGCGTCTGGCATCTCCGGATGGTCACTGTTGAATCAAGCGAGGAGCTACCCCACTCCAACGACATTTGCTCGCATCACTGGCACTACCAACCGTCCTCTGACCTTGGACCAAACTCACATTCCCAACGATCCTAGAGTACATATCGCTTCTGGAATTGACTTTACCAAACCGGTAGAGGAAGTTGCCCGTTCACTGAAAGAGAAGATTCCAGATGTGAAGACGGTCTCTCATGTTTTTTACACGGGTAAGTGGTGGACGTGCCCATGGAAGACGGCTACTAAATACGAGTAGCATATGTACAGACAAGCGACTTCGAGAGCCTGAAAAAAGTGAACATCGGCCTCCTGGATGTCGCCGTTCGAGCGATCGAGGCTGTTTCATCCAATCTCCAGGTAGTTATCTTGCAGACCGGAGGAAAGGGGTGAGATAGCATTCCTTGGCTCCCCCCCACCGGATCATTAAGCTGACGGAAGGGAAGTTACGGTCTTGAGTTCCCAAAGGACGTTGCGATTCGGCCGCCGCTGAAGGAAACGCACCCCCGCATCCCGGAGCCTTGGGCCAGCAACATCTTCTACTACGGGCAGTACGACCTCCTGAAAGCGCTGTCGCACGGGAAGCCCTGGACATTCTCCGAAATCCGGCCCGACGGCATCGTCGGCTTCACGCCGAGGTCCAACGCCATGAACATGGCCCAAGGCATCGGCCTCTACCTGACCATCTACCGCGAGGTGCACGGGGCCGGCGCGGCGGTCCCGTTTCCCGGCTACGCGCACGGGTACCATGCCAAGCACTCGGACACGTTCCAAGACATCCTGTCCAAGATGGAGATTTACGCCGCTCTCAACCCGGACAAGTGCGGCGACGGTGGGGTCTTCAACATTGCTGACGGCAAGGACGTGGCGTGGGCCGACGTGTGGCCGCGTCTCTGCGAGCACTTTGGCCTCGTCGGCCAAGGACCCGTCGTCGCAAACAAGACTCCGATGCTGGACTTCGTCAAGGAGCACCACGACGCTTGGTCGAACTTGGCCGAGAGGTACGGCCTCAAGGAAGAGGTCGTTGATCAGCAGGGGTGGGCGCATACCCATTTCATGCTCGTTCCGTTTGACTTTGATAGGCAGTATGACCTGTCGCGATCGCGTGAGGTTGGCTTCTCCGAAGAGATCGATACAGTCGAAGGATATATCTTGTCTTGGGATCGTATGAGGGCTGCTAAGATTCTGCCCCCGTTGTAGTTACTCAACGAGCTTTACCAATGGATAACGGAATTCGTAGGCATGAATCTGGTGAAACGGTATCTTGATCAAATCTTTGGCTGACATTGAAACTCTATACTAACTAATGCGGCGTCCCGACCTGTCAAAATGGATTTTTTGACCTGATGCAAGACTGTCCCTCAGAGCAATTGCAATCTCTACCGCCTTTACCGCTCCAGGTAGACTGAAAGGGAGCTCAGTGTCGTCCAGACACGCCGCCGTGAACTCGTTAGCTTCTGTGACGAAAGCCTGTTCGAATCGACCATAGTAGTCTGTGGGGAGCTCGCGCCGGATGCCTCCCGCCTCATGCATCTCAACAAGCGAGTCTGCCGGGTTGCTGTTGACGACTAGTTTCCCCTTGGTTCCAATGATCTCCGACATGTCATGCTGCCCGGATGCCATGATGCGAGATGCGAAGAACTGCGCGACCTTGCCGTCCCAAAACTCGACCGTGCTCATGGCGTTGTCGACGTCTCCGACCTCGGCCAGCTCGGGGTGAACAGCGCACACGCCGCTTGCCGACACGCTTTTTACCACAACATCCTGCCCGAGGAACCAGAGACACAAGTCGATATCGTGGATGTTGAGGTCCAGAAAGACGCCCCCGCTGGCTTTAGCATATGGGAGAAAAAAGCTCGTGCGGTTGATCATGTCACATGTCTGAGAACGGAACACGACTGCTTCGCCAATTGCGCCCGACTTTACCCGCTCCCACGCTTTTAGGTAGGAAGCATCGAAACGACGGGAAAACGCACAGAGAACCTTTAGCTGAGGCTTCTGGCTTGCCGCATCGACAACTGATTGAGACTTTAAGGTATCAGCATTGAGGCAGGGGTATGATATGTGGCGACTGACAATCTCTGAGCTATGGCTGAGCGGCTTTTCGCAGAGAACATGCTTATCCCGCTCGATGGCCTTGATGGCTTGATCTGCGTGTGCTCCGGCGATGGTGGCAATTACAACAGCCTCGAGTCCGGCGTGCTGCAAGAATTGGTCGTAGTCGGTGTAGATTGTTGCACCGTGGGGCTCCAACTCCCTGTGGCCCCATCCGGCTTCTTCATCATCGAGAGCCCAGGCGGCAACAACGTCTGCACGGAAAGTACGCTCCAAGAAATTCAACGCATGCCGACGGCCCATGCGACCGAGGCCAACGATTCCAACGTGGAGTTTCCTGGGAGCCATGATGGAGTAAGACTGGAAAAGCTTGTCAGACTACTATCCAGTGTCCCACTGGCTTTTAACTCAGTGCATCCGGGAGATCGACTCCGAATAAGTAAGGGATCTTTACTGGCAACCGTCCCTGAGAATGAACCAGGCGTCCGACTATTAGAGATTGGGCACTTCATATCTAATGAAAAATGATTTGTTGGAGTTCCCAATCGTCACCGTGATCTGGTACTCGTCCATCTTTGCGTATACGCTACTCATGAATACATATGTTCAAATAATGATTGTCTAGCTACTTCTCTCAAGACTGTTCTGGTCGGAATGAGTGTAATGTGCCGTTATAGGCCTAGCGTTGCCGCTTGCCCTTTTCTCGGAATGCAATTCCGAGCGGCGTTGATGATTGGTCCTGTCGTGTCTACCATTGATGTGCGGCAACCTTTTGATTACTATTGCCTGCTCGTTTTTCTCTTCTAGCTATCACGTGTGCGGGGTATGCTGGTGTGCCGATTATTTTCGTCATCGGTGGGGAAAAGATTTTGCCCAGCAAGCCAACTCCAGCCTCAGCGCAGCTTCTCGTACCTCACCGCTGTGAGTCCTAGGTAGGTTTCGACAGATATGTCGGGTGCCAGAGTTCGCTCTTCTAAGAGTCGTCGCCATATCACCACCGCCTGCTGGCCCTGCCGGGACGACAAGATCAAGGTATCGTGCTCTTGTCTGATGCTCTGATTGGACATGTGAAACTGACGTTCTTTCCCTTTTCAGTGTGACGGCGCGACTCCACATTGCCGGCAATGTGCCGCTAAAAACCGAGATTGCTCGTACGCTGGAGTTGACAGGCGAAAGTAAACCCTCCGCCACTAGCAATGTGAATTTAAGACTGACCCCGGCAGGCTATCACTTCGGAAGGCCGTGGAGGCTTACTCGCAACGCCTAAGGCAGCTGGAGGCCTTCATTCGTGCTCATGGTCTCGCCGTCCCTTCTATGGACCCGGGCATTGAGGCCATATTGACACAACTTCTGAGTTTATATGCACCCGATGCATCTCCGCGCCCCAGTCACGCCCAGACAAACTCTCCAGAAGCTGCCTTTAACAAACGGCCACAGCTCCTTCCAGACCTCGCACCAATTACGAGAACTACTGCTGATCCGACAGACGGACCCCAGCTGTTGAGCTTTGACCCTTTGGATGTTTCTTCCCCTGACATGCAAGCAATCCTACAAGCATCCGAGGATGTCGTTGACATATCCGAGGCAACGCTGCCGTTCAACAGTTGTCTTGACGTTGACTGGGTTTGGGACCACTCAATGATGGCGCATGCAGACAGCAATATTGACATGGAAGATGTGGGGTTGTGGATGCAGAGACCTTACGATCCACTACCTTCGAATCTCTCACCTTCGAAGTCAGCTGACGACGATGATTCCACCGATGACGAAGACCATTCAGCTGTCACAAATCAACTCTCGGCCCGTCTGGGATCGCTTCTGACGACTGGCAATGGAGAGAGGCACTTTTACGGCGCCACGTCGAATCTCAACTTCGCACAGGGCGGGATTGTGTCGGCGCTGCATGCTAAACCCAGCAGAAAGGGGGCACAGGCAGCCTCTCGTTTGGAGGCTGCTGGTCTTGATCATTTCATAGGCAGAGATGTTGAGGACCGTCTTTTACAGCTCTACTTCACGTGGCACAATCCGAGTCTGTATACTGTCGACCAAACCCTATTCAGCAAAGCCCATAAGCAATATGAAGAAGGAGACGTTGAAACCCCGTTTTTCTCCCCGTTTCTTTTGAATGCCATGTAAATCCTTCTCGACTGTTGGGTTGTGTGGCGACGTGACTGATGCGCATCTAGGTGTGCTGTCGGTGCCGCATTCGAGACAAGCAAACACCCAGGTCTGCCCACTCCTTTGGCTGAGTTCTTTGCAAGTCGATCCACAACTTTACTTGACATTGAGCTGCAGCATCCACGTATTGCCACTGTACAAGCACTTGCGATACTAAGCAGTCATGAGGGCGCATGCACTCGGGATACTCAAGGATGGCTTTTTAGCGGTGCGAATCCTACAATTTGTTTCGAGACTGAGCATAGTAATAATGCCTTCTAGGTATGGCTATCCGTCTAGCCATTGACTTTGGTCTACACATAAGCGCAAAGCCCTATGTTGAGGCTGGCACAATGTCAATCGAAGAAGCAAGGGGCCGAAGCGTAGCATTTTGGGGCGCCTTTGTTACGGATCGGTGATTCACTACCAACGAAGCTTACTAGCAAGCTATAGGCTAACAGGACTTTCAGAATGTGGGCTCTCTACCTCGGAAGGCCCTTTCACAATATCTCGCAAGCTGTGACGATGGAAAGGCCCATTTCCTTCTCGGAGTACCAGGACAGTCGATGTACACAAAGCGGGCCTGAAGACAAGTTACTGGATTACCAGGAGCTTGTGGTTGAGCAGTGGGTACAACTCTCCAGGACCATGTCTCCTCTAGAGGGCTCATTGTAGGTGACATAGCTCCACACTCTCTACGACCAACAGCTTATCTGTGCAGGTATTTTCAAGCGGATGCGTCCAAGGTGGAGCTGCAAAGACTCGCACAGGACACGTGGGAAAACATGCTCTCTTGGAGAAGTAACCTACCAAAAGAGCTTGCTCTGGACCTTGACGGCCCAATGCCTGCTCAATGTGCGCCTCACATTCTTATGCTACAGTACGTTTTGGCTACTGTCCGCTGCAGAGATGCACTTCTAACTTTGAGGGACAGCATGTTGTATGAGTACCTGGCCATTGTCTTGCACCGTCCCTTTGTTGCTAAACGTTACATTCAACCATACCCGCTTGTTGGCCAAGGCCCCCAGCATGCGCGCGAAATGTGCGTTAGGGCAGCATCCCACATATCCGTCCTCCTGTCTTGGTACGAAGAGCGGTACTCTCTCAGCCAAATCAACATCCAGGTCGTGCAAATCACATTCAGCGCCGCCCTCATCCTCGTGTATGCCACTGTGTCTGAGAGCAATGCTCAAAGTCATCAACAGCTAACTGGCCATCTGGATATGTGCTGTCGAGCGCTGGCAGAGCTGGGAAATACATTCAACAATGCAAGCCGCACGCTGGACGTCCTCCTTCACGTCAAAAGGACATGGCAAGCCCGCCTCGTTGCTGCGTCAGCCGGGTCGAAGCGTCGTGGCTTTCCGACCGCGGCTGGGTCACGACCAAAACGACGTAGCAAACCAGATGTAGACACGTCCACTTGATTTTCCCTTGGTGTCAGCACTCCACAACGACTTTGATCACCAACGCTCCGCCATGGTCACTTGTACGTGCCGCCATGGCGAATGCATCCGGAACTTGTGAAAGACCCTTGAAAGAGTGTGTAACGAGGCTTCTTATGTTAGGGATGGATGTCTCCATGATTTCGAGTCCTTTTGGGTAGCAGTGTGCATACCGCCACACCCCAACCAGATCTACCTCGCGCAGTGCTGCAGACGACATAGGCAGTGTTTGAATAGGCGTACCCATTCCGACAAGCAGAACCTTGCCCCCGCCTCGCGTAGCCTATACCTTCCAGTCAGTGCCACGGAAGAACGAGCAAATTATATCCTTGTAGCTCACATGAATGGCCGTTCTTACACAGCCTTCTACGCCGGTGCATTCGAAGACTCTCGCGAATTTGTCGCCATGGTTCTTGGCCACCAGTCCTGCGGCGTCTTCTTTGGCAAATGCCAACCCCTCGCCGAGACTCTGCGGCTTTCTCGCGTGCAGAGTCACTGTCTCATCGGCAAATCCGTTCTCAAGTGCGAATGCGAGCCGGTTCTGTGCAATATCGGCCATGACGACTCGGCCGTACCCCGAGCCTTTGGCTGTGGCCGCGCAGAGAAGGCCCACCGCACCGGCTCCAATGACCAAACACGTGGCCATGGGCTTGGCAGCTGCCTTTCGAACTGCGTGGATGGCGACCGCCAGGGGTTCAAGCAGCGCACCATCGACATAGGTTAGAGAGTCTGGTAGTCTGATGATCATCCATCAACCGAGTACTTCCCATTTCCTTTTTGACAAAAAAAAACACTTACTTGTGAACCCATTTGGCGGGATGATTGAACCGCTCCCGCAAGGTGCCTTGGTAATGCGGGAAAGCCGTCGCGCTGCTGCGGAATCGCATCTTCTCGCATACGTTGTAGGCCCCCTCTAAGCACACCTCGCACTCGTCGCAGGGTACGCCAGCCTCCACGGCCACTCGGTCCCCCACGTGGAGTCCATACTTGGCCTCAACCCCGGATCCGACGGCAACCACTAGACCCGCGCATTCGTGGCCTTGAGAGAGCGGCTGCTTGATCTCAATGTCTCCGTTGCGGAAATGTGTGTAGTAATGGAGGTCGGATCCGCAGAGAGTCGTTGCTTTCATCGCAATCTGGACTTCCTCGACGAGAGGGGGACTGATGGGCTGTGAGACCTGGAAGTATTCATAAGCACGAGGTTCTGTCGGATTTGGAAGGCTGCAAACCAAGCGTAAGTCTTTTGGTCCATACAGGACCTGGGCTTGGACCTTGTCGCACAGATCTGATTCAATCTTCTCCATGCTGAGAGAAACGACTGCGTCTTTGATACCAGGGCTGGATGGGACAGTGGTGGACTATCAATCAGTGAAGTTTGTTGGATTTTCATTCCGCGCGGGATCGATTGATCCCACCAATGGACGGGTGTTCGGACACTAGAATCCGAGTGGCACCTTCGGCCACTACGTCAATATTTTCTTTTCTCGTTTGAAACAATCTGTCGACTCTTGGGCACGGAGAACGATTCCGTGCAAATCATGCTACTTTGCGGACTGGTCCATCTCGCATATTCCGGTCATCAGGGTCGGAATTCCGGGGCATTCGGAATTCGTGTCGTCTCAAGCAGCCCCGCTCTCTCCCTTGGCTTTTGAGCATACTCACGCCCATTCATTTCTTCAGCGAAGCTCTTCAGCGATACCGCAACGTCCGATTTGATACCCCCACAACGGAATACAGCCACAATGGGGATGAACGCCATCATCATCGGAGCGGGCCCTTCGGGCATTGCCATGGCCCACAAGCTGAAGTGCGAGCTTGGCTTTCGGGATTTCATGATCTACGAGAAATCGGACGGCGTTGGGGGGACATGGAGAACGAACACGTACCCCGGCTGGTAAGCAACCGTGTCTGTGAGTTTGCGCGCACACACAGTACTGAGAAACATGCAAAGTGGATGTGATGTCCATTCCCATCTTTATTCGTTCAGCTTTAATCTGAACCCAGACTGGTCCAAGGAGCTTGCTGAACAAGAGGAGATATTGCAATACATGGAAGACACTGTCGACAAGTTCGGGTTGCGTCCCTATGTCAATACGTCAGTAGAATGTCTCGGTGCTTCTTGGGACTCCTCGGATGAACAATGGACTGTGGAGCTCAAAGACCTCCAGACTGGTATTTCCTTCTGTAGGAGATGCACGGTGTTTGTCTCAGCGGTAGGAGGCATCTCCATGCCACGAGATGTAAGTACCAAGTATAAATCTCGTAAAGGTCAACTGACGATAAGTCCCAGGTTCATTTCAGGGGGATGGAGAATTTCAAGGGCCCTGTATTCCACACCGCACGATGGCGACATGATGTGGATTACAGCGGAAAAAGAGTCGTAGGTCTGGCTTAGCGCGTTTTGTTCGAGAGAGGGCTGATGAAAACCCAGGCAGTCATTGGCAGCGGCTGTAGCGCCGTCCAGGTCATTCCATCGGTTGCCGAGCATGCCTCGGTCGTCAAACAGTACGCCCGCAGCCCGCAGTGGTACCATGAGCGCCCAAACCGTCGCTTCAGCGCCCTGGAGAAGTTCATGTTCCGTTACGTCCCCGGCTTGATGCGGCTGCGAAGGTGGAATATCTTCTGGAACATTGACAAGCAGTCCTACTCGTACCGCGGCACCGAAGCCGGCGTGAAGCAACGATTGCTAGAGGAAGAGCATGCACGCCAGTACATCTACAGAAAAGCTCCTGAGAAGTACCACAATGTCCTGGTGCCTGACTTTGAGCTCGGATGCAAGAGAAAGATAGCCGATCCCGACTACCTGGAGTCTCTGCACCGAAGCAATGTGGAGCTCATTCCCGAGGGTATCCAGGAAATGGCGGAAAACGGTATTGTTAGCTTGTCTGGTAGAGTGGATGAGTACGACATGATTGTCCTCGCTACTGGATTCAAGGTCTCCCAGTTTCTCACTCCTATGCGGGTTGTCGGCGCCAACGGGACGACGCTCGAGCAGCAGTGGAGGGAATGCCGTGGTGCGCAAGCCTATCTGGGCACGTTTGTCCACAACTTTCCCAACCTCGCCATATTGTAAGTCTTTCGTCACTATCGAACAGTAGAGCTAGTGTTAACTTGCCAGGTTTGGGCCGAATGTATTTCCCGCCAACAACTCGGCCCTCTACGCCTGCGAAGTCCAGGTCGATTACGCAGCAAAAGCCTTGTTTGAGCCGTTACTGAACAAGCGTGCCTCGGTGATAGAAGTGAAGGAGACGGTCGAGAACCGCACGACCAACGAAATTCAGCTAAAGCTCCGAGGCAGCGTCTTCTCCGGAAACTGCTCGAATTGGTATATTGGCGAGTTCGGGCGCAACGCTGCGTCTTGGCCTGGCTTGGCCATCGAGTTCTGGCTTGCTACGTTGTTTCCGGACTCTCAGGCATTCAATACGCAAGGGGGCAGTAGAGTCTGGTTTCTCACTGCGTTGGCCAGATGGGCTCGGAGGCATAAGATTCAATGGTATGCGGGTATTATAGTGGCTGTGGCATTAAACGGACTCAGGTTTCAGGACGCTGTGAGATTTGCTGCGTGAATGCTACAGTCTATTTTAGATTATTTGATTGCGAAGCCTATGTCAGTGAGCTGTTGGATTGTAATTTAGTGACTTGAACTGTTTGAACTGAATTACTGCAAGTCCTGCCTCCCCATCTCAAACACGAATACTATGTTAGCCACAAAAGTTTTTCAGACAGTCGTAGCTGGCACAGATAATTCATTACTAAGGTTCTTAGGCATGCATCGTCATGGACCAAAGCATCTTAACGAGTGACTGAGCTAGCAGAGCAGTAAAAGGACGATCATGAACAGTGGCCGAAGTGAGAGCACCTTTTCTCTTGCAGAACGTAACAAAACTCGTTAAACACGTTTGTGCCAAATTTTCCTCCACGCCAGAGAAAACAACAATCAGTCAAGACAGACAGGGAGGTGTTCTCTACTCTGGACACGCCAGCTCAAGCTCATGGTTTGTAGCAGCGGCACTGGCTGTTCCTCTCCGCATCAGGAGGGCAGCAAATGCGCTCGCTGGGATCGCAGATATCATTGTCCGGCTCGCCTAGCACACAACACGTCAGAACATCAGAAACAAAGATGACGTAAAATCAGCACAGCGATGCAAAGGGAATTTGCGGATACAACGAGCAGAGACACTCACCAAGAGTCCGCTGCAAGCCTGCACGCGGAGAGCGAGCAACCGCCTCCCTGCTGTTGCCATCCTCCTTCTTCGGCAAACAGAGACACTCCTCGTTCCGCTTCGCGTGGTGAGGGCAGCAGATGAACTCTCCCTCAGGACAGTAGTCGTCGTGCTCGCCGGCTGCAGGTGGTTGCAAGAGAGAAAACGATCAGTCTTAGAAACTCACGTACCTCTGGTGGTGGCTAGCGCTTCAACTCACCCGTCTTGTGCACTGCGCCGTCGTGGGACGCTACGTCGAGGGACTTCTTGTTGGGACAGCCGCCCTGGCAGCAGTACTTCTTGTAGCCGGTCCAGCAACACGCGCCGTCGCCGCAGCTGTCCGTGCGGCAGTCCTCGTAGTTGGATGGGCAGCTGCCGGCGCAGAAGGGTGAGGTGCCGGACCAGAAACAGTCGGCGGCCGTGCTTGGGTCGTGCTCGGAGAGCTCATCGACGGAGATGCGGAGATCTGGTGTTTGGTTCGTTAGCGGAACGATTGATGCTTTGGGTTCGTGGAAAGGGGGCTGCCTACCAATCACGTTTGCAAAGGACAACGTGATGAGTCCGAGGAGAATGGCGCCTGGGCAGTACATCTTGGGTTCGTTGAAAGCTCTGGCGTGGCGAAAGAATTGCGATGAGTCTGGAAGAGTTGGTGGTGGAGTGCTGGAGCTCTGCCGTGTGGTTTGGGAAATGCGAGCACAGGCTCTGCTTTTATAGCCACTTCTCACGTGAAAGCTCTCATTTCTTGTGATCCAACCGCTTCATCGTAGCCTCGTCCTTTCCGAATTTCTGTGCGGGGTATGCTCGGCGCAGTCATCGATGATATGCAGCCCAGGGCTCGATACGAAGCCTGGCCGCGTCGGCCGCGATGATCTTCTGCGGGCGAGAAGCACGAAGGGGAGTGTTAGAAGAATGTTTGGCCGGCGCTGGCTCCGTGGCAGCAGGGTCAACGGAGGCAGAGCCGTGGGCGCTGCATCACTTCGCCTACTGTTTCCGACGATGGTAATTTCGTAGGATCTCCATGTCATAGGATCGGAGCATTGTATTGGAGATGATAATACAGAGATAATTCTTTACCAGGGGAGAGTTTAATAGCCGAGGCGGTTCGCGGTCGTGGGTTGATATCTTCGGTGTGCTTTAGATGGAGTTTGTTTGAACACTTCGAGCTCTGCTACTAAATCACCATGCACTTTCGCTGTAAAGACTGAGGCCTGGCTTTCCTCGCCTCCGCGGCCTTCTTATCGAAAACAGAAATCGCGTTTGCTACCTCGACCTCATCCATGGCGAAGATACGATTCATAAAGCCTGACTTCGTATTGGGATAGTTGCTTGAACTGCCAATGGAAATAAAATGGAAATTCTCGTAGAAATCTTTTTACAGTTAGGGGAAGAGCATACCTCTGGATTACATTAAGTCTTGATTGCCGGGACTGAGTCTACCGTACTTGATGACTTTCCTTTATTATACCGTATTTCCATTGCCTCGGGAAGTCCACCGAAGCTAAAAAGGGGATGGGCAGAGTGATTTTCACGCCATCCCCAAGTTGCGCAAAAGGTGTGGTCCGGAATTTCCACATGCGGTTGTATCAAGCGGGAATATGGGGGCTTCAGGGCGGCATGGAGGTGCTCTTACTCAATAGTGTTACAGAAGCGGTGTTGGCAGTGGAGAACTAGTTCTCTCAACTCGTCCGTCCCAGGCCTTCCGCTTCCGGAGCGTACTTCACATACTCAAGCCGCTGAAAGGAATGGCATGCGTTGTCAGTATATCCAGACGCCCCAGCTGATGATTGAATTTGTGGCGGTGACTATTTTGCCCGCGCCTAAATGTCGTCTTGGTCCAATATTCCCTCTGCGGGCTGTGTGCCTGGCTTCTCCACAGTCTGAGACGTGACAATATCTCAACCAAGTACGTCTCGGAGCGGCCCGTTCCACTAGCAACCGTCATCCTCCATCCCACGGGGGAGGGGAACACAGTCCGATTGGTCATTGGATGCAGACAACGGCTCTCAGCCCCACCGCTGATGTGCATAAGCACCTAGGCGACCTCGCATAGTGAGCCTATAGTCCCATCTCACTTGGCTTCATTTGTCAATGAGGGACTTTCAGTTCCGAACAGAGCCCCACCCTCTTGCAGCGGATCGGCAGTGCGGAGATTAGTCATGTATGAGTCCTGCGCTTATTTGAACTGTGATTTGTTTTTATTTTCTGTTTTTTCTATAAAGAAATGCATTCACGCCAGGAAATTTCACGTACGTGGGTGCTTTGGAGGCATCTGGTGCTCGGACTTAAACCAATTTGCGCCAGCTGTTGAACACGACGTACCCCTGCACAGAGCGGGGAGCCGATGCGAGTATAGCTCCACAATAGCTGACATGCACTAGTAGCTTCTCAGCTCTTGCGACAACGCCACATCGTTACGGCCTTCCGTCTGTCTACGAGACGCCTTCAAAGCTCCTGCGAACGTCATGCTGCCCCTCCCAACATATTGTGTTGTAGAACAGTCTGTGGTCTTATTATTGCCGTCTTAGCCGGCTTGGATTCATCATTCGCTGGATCTTTCACTGCAGTAGTGATGGCATGCGTCCTGGCAGGCTCATCCAAGAGAACGAGGGCGAAGTTGATCATGAGGGAATGATTCATCGAGATGGTTGTGGAGATAGCGAGATCTCCGCCGCGCCGCTGCAGCAGTATTGGATGACGATAGTGGTCGAGCTTGGATGACTGCACCGGTTTGATGACTTCATTGGAACCATGGTGGTGGTGGTGAGAATACGAAAACTGCGGAGGCAATGCCGAAGGAGATTGGACCGGAAGTGGGTAGTTGCGTCGGTCGCTTGTGCTGCGCAATGTAGAGTCAACGAGCTCTTCCGCATTGCCAATGTCAATCTCCTACGCCAACGTGTCGGTGGAGTATGGTGCCAGTAGAGAACCGAGGACTGTATCGTGGTCTAACATACAGACAGTCAAGCGCAAAAGAAGGTGGATCCTGCCGGATATTTAACCAAAGCAATTCGCCATTACTGCGGCAATGGCGACATGTGCCGGTCTCGGTTTTCCGCCTGTCGCCATAGCAGTTCATATACCGGATTACAGGGGTAGGCCCTGCACATTCTTTAGCTCCGGCCTCTCTGCTTCCGATTTGATTGGGTGACCATTGGGGAATCCCGGCTGTTGTACTTTTTGTTTTGGCCTGTGCGTGCGTTGGTCTGATTTTTCGCTAGTCTCACGGGCCGGGCCGACGACATCTCTCTTTTGTTTGGCCTTTGCAGATTCTGATATCAGCATTCAGCTGTGTGCACTCTTTCAAGGGTGCACTGAAAGAAGCTGAAATGGGCTCGTTTGCGTAGCCATTGATATATCATGTCCGTAGCGCACAAGCATCATGCTATTGATGTAAGATAACCTGGGGCTTTCCCATTAATATTTGGCCAAGAAAAACGACATCAAGCCCAGGATCTTGTAAGAACTATCTTGCTTGAAAGGAGAAGAATTCACCTTAAACCGAGAAGTCATCTTTAAACAGCTCACGCACTCGGGTACATAAACTTCTCACCGCCTACCTCAACGTCCTCATACTGCGCACGACCAAGGTCACCCTCCTCCAACTCCTCCCCCACCTCCACGCCAACAATCTGCTCCTCCTCCTCCTCCTCGCCCCTCCCACCCAGATACATCTTCCACCTATTCCCCTCCTCCAACCTCGCATCATCCACTTCCTTCCTCTTAAACCTCGCAAACCGCAGCTTCCGATACTGCACCGCGAAAATCTGCTCCCCCGGCGCGGTGAAGCTCGCGCTATTCGCCTCCGTCCGCGCGCGACTCGCCTCAACACCGACATCCAGCATGCCGTCGATCGGCAGCGGCACGCCCGCGCCCGCCGCCGCCATGCTCAGCGGCGCCTGCACCTTGCCCTGCAATTCGGCGCCGCGCGACGCCTCGTCCGTCACAGCCGCGTCGACGACGGTCTTGATGCCGGTGACGAGGAAGACGTCCTGCGCGCGGCGCAGGGCGCGCTCGAGCCAGAAGCGGGCCGGGCGCGTCGCGCAGAGGCGGTCGAGGTGCGCGGAGGAGTTGAGCAGCTGCCGCGTCGTGCAGGACGCCGTCGCGAGGCTGATCTTCGTGCCGGTCGACGTGCTGCGGCCGCCGGAGAGGAGGGTCGAGAGGTAGGCTTTGAAGCCGGTGGAGGCGGTTTGTTCGAGGGTTTGCTGGAAGTCGTGGAGGTGTTGGGTGAGGATGTTGGTGGGGTCGAGGGCTGTGGAATCGGGTGGGGATTGGTAGAAGTCTTGTTCTGGGTAGTGCACGCTGAGGACGAGCCGCCCCAGCTCGACGGCGTTGCCGGGCAGGAGGTGGCTTAGGAGGATGTTGGTGCCGGCCATTGGGGGCGGGGTTTTTGGGTCGTCGGGAGAATGTTTTGGGAAGAGGGTTTGGATAGAGCTGAAAATTTACAGATCTGCAGCACAGCCACGTCACTATGCATATGAGTGTCTTACGTAAAGCGGGGTCCTCAATTGTGTAAAATAGAAGATTCAACAGCATGGTGAACTCGATAAAGGCAAGTTTGCTTTGGGGTGGTGTAGATAAATTTCCTCCTACTTTCTGGGAACTGAACTCGGAAGTCTTTGCGGACAGGAGAAGTGCAGAGATGAGACATCTAGCCTTGTGCGACTGAGTCAAGCGAGAAGGGGAATCGAATCACGTCGTACTGAACAGGCGCGAGATCACGCTGAGGTTGCACCGGTCGGCCTCCTCCAACAGCCAAGTGATGCGTAATGAACTCCAGCTGTGATCTATCCTGGTCATACCCCCGAGCCCCAGTGCCTTGGTCTTCGAGATGTCGTAAGTCCACAGGATCACTGGTGATGATGAACACGAGTGTCTCACTCAGTCTCCCACGTCTCGGGATAGATTCTGGCCAAAAAATCCCCAAGCCTGTCAAGATTGAGAAAGTGCTCTCGCCGATTCTGGATGTCTGCCCTGGTGCGATTGGAATCCCTGTCTCTCCTTGAGCCGATATCAGGCAGATTTCGCCTGCGGGACTGATATCGAAGACGGAGACGTAGACGACGTGATGCCCGCGGTTGTGCAAAGCCATGTAGATCCTGTCGCCTTCCGTGAGAACGGCGTTGCCATCACTTGGCAGTTCAACAGCCTGTCCACTCTGAACAAGCCCAGTAGTGATATGAAGATCATGCTGGAATGCCTCTGGCCCGCTCCCTCCCTGAAGGGTGAGTAAGTGATGCCCTCGCGCATATCTTTCTGCACCTTTGACAACTTCTCGAGCAGCAAGTGCATGATTGTCTTTGCTGACTGGTCTGGACATGAGAAGCGTCCCATCCGTGTCATATGCACAAAGCGCTCCATCCTCTTGAACGATTCGAATAAGGGGCTTTTCGTAGTCATCCGGGGAATGCGGGCGGAGGTATTTCGAATGCTCAAGTCTGTCATGGATTGCCTGATTGTCCTTTGAATAAGCCACTGTCCAGCGGTGCAGAGCCTTGGTGTCAAGGAAGGCCAAGGCTCCTTCGGAAGGAATAGGTCCCGTCTGCTCAAAAAGCTTGACCAGGCTTCGGACACCGTCGATATGAACGGCTCTGGCTCGACAAAGTCGGCTGGTGTCGTCAGGCTCCTCGTATCCAAAAGGCATGACAGTATACACGTTTCCTTCTTTCACTCCCGCCATCCTGCCAGCTCTGATGATCGGCAGTCCATTCTGCATCTTGATACTGTGGGACTTGGCCTCGCTTACCTTCGTCGAAAAAAGGAAACGCGTGTTGGGCCCTTCAACGCGAGGATGCTGATGAGGAAACTCCAAGTTCACGAGTTCGCGTACTCTGAGCAAGGTGGTTCTCCACGAGACATCTTGAACGGGTGTTTCTTGAAGTGCAGTGACCAGAGCTTGGGTCAAGGCGCCAACAAGGAGTCCTTCCTCATTCTCGTACTCCCATGCCGTTTCCGCGGTCGCAGAAGCCGTAACGCGTACAGCGAAGGGATTCCCGTTCAAGTATGTATCCCCTTGTAGTTGGCCTGTCTCTTGGAGCTTCTCCACATGTGCTCTCAGTGCTGGGTGGCTGGCCGACGGAATGGCTTTCGGTGTGGCGTGTGGATGGTACGGATCGCGGGCCATGCGGCCCGAATGACAGCAATCCAAGATGACAGTGACATTCTCAGTCTCATCCGTAGTGCGAGTCAAAAGGTGGCTTATCTCGATATCGAGGATCCCGGTGAAATTGTCGTCAGCCTGATTGAAGTCTGAGGGGACAATGAATTGGTACTGCCGCCCGCCCTCATCCTGGTCTTTGGAAGGCTGTACCAACCCACCATGCCCCGAGTAGTAGATCACAACAGCAGGGCCTTCTGTGCATCTGCCCTTCTTTCCGTCCCGGAGTTTTGTGATCAGCGAGGCCCATGCATCGAGGATCCCGCGCTGAGTCGCGCTGTCACCGTAACATTGGATGATCTCGAACCCCCGACTTTCGAGCTCCTGCTCCATAAGGCGAGCATCATTCATTGGTCCTTGTAGATTGCCCCATGGGCTGGCGATCAACAATGCGAGCTTGGCGGTGTCTTGAGTGTGCTCGGGAGTAGTCTTCATGACGGTTTTCGATGGGCCAACGCGTGGCTGGGCTTCGCCGGGATACCGCAAGTCCTATTAGAAATGTATGCTTGCTTACTTTAAGGAACAGGTGAAAGTTTGCCAGGGAAAAGAATAAGTATGAAAAAAGATTCAGTGTGTACGTTTGAATTCTTTCTAGCCAATGAAGTAGGATAGCAAATGCTGTTTTGCTTGCGGGAAATTTGAGGGTTTCCAAAATCCTGATTGACATTGTCAACAATCGGCGAGGCCGATGCATGTCCCGGTTTTCTCGGCAGAATTTGTTGCAACATTGAGTTCCAAATCTCGGTCGCGGCCCAACGAGTTTGTTTTTTTTTTTTTTTGCTTCTTTCTAGTAATAGCTAAGATCTGCATTATTGCAAGCCGTTTCCAACGGTTCGGGCCATACCGTTCCGGGGAGGCCATGTAGATCAGTAGATAATTGGATATTAAGTGTCATCTTGTGCCAGCTTATCTCCGGAATACACTGTATATGTGCAGGACAATGGTATCGTGGCCACGTATTCGCAGGGATCCTATATAGCATGGAAAACCGCGCTTTGCAGGGACCAAGGTTTTTCCAGAATCGAATTAGCAATATCGGCGATGCCGGGCCAATGACACTCAAGCTTACGTGAGACCACCTACTTGACCAATATTCTAGAGATTTGCCCAGAGTGTACTGCAACGTAGCCAAGGATGCTACCATGTAGCCAAGGTCGTTGGTATACGATTCAAGGATCTCTGTACCGGTCAGCATCAGAATGGAAAATGGTCTGAATTTTGCTACGTGGTGACAATGCTTGCCAAGATCAAGTGACGTATCCTTTAGCTACTATAACAAAATGCTGTTAAGGTTTCCAGTGTGGTCCAGCAGTAGGACTCGAATAATTTAAACACAGCAAGTCTTTTGAAGATTGAAGGCCATACACTACTCAGACAGCAACATCACACACAACAGTCATGGACTCCACGATGATCACGGATGTAAGATCCCCGAAAGTACAGCTTTACCATTTATCTAATGTTCATAGACCTCATGGGAAGACCTCGAACAACAAGCGACCGACACTGTGATCCGCATCACTACTCTAGATGATGATGATCCAAACAAACCGTTCTTCCAGAAAGATCTGGGACAGCTCCGTTATGTCCAATTTCGATTGAGCGGTGATCCGGAATACTTGGACGAGGCAGTATCCTGGGCTAGGGAAGCAATACAATCAGTGCCGGCCGACACTCCGCTCCCTGGAGGGAGTTCCATCACGCTTGTAACCTTGCTATCTGCCAAATACCAGCACACAAAAACCGAAGAATTACAACAGTCCCTTCTGTTGAATCAAGAATTACACCTCCAGGTGTCCGAGGAGCTCTCCGACCAAATTGAACAACTTTCCATGGTCTTGACAGCTATTCCAGATGATGATGAGAATCTACCGGCGTTTCAGAACCTCTTAGCGCAAATGTACTTTGACCACAGCCTGCGAGCGGGAGATGGACAAAGCTTCGACTCTGCAGCCATGTTCGCCAAGAAGGCCTTGAAATCGACGATCAGATCGGACAACAATCGTGAGTCCTTCGAAAACCTTTACCGGAGGATTTTGATGCATCAGAAAATCGATCAGGGAATGAGCATCTCAGACGCTATGGAGCTCAGCCATAAGCAAGCAAGAACCGTCGCTCGGGATATCCCCAACAGTATCCTGTCGCTTTTCGACAATCTAAAAAGCTTGGATCACTTTAAGGAGAAGTTGAAGACCGTAGACTCAATGGGAAGGGGGATGACACTTTCCAATGAGTATGTTAGCAGTAGAGATTCTGCTGTTATAGACCGCGCGATCAACACCTTCGAGAACTCGATCATCCATGACGACTTGTCTGATGATACCCGCCGAGCATGGAGACTCCATGGTCTCTCCAAATGTTTCGCACAGCGATACGAGTTCGAAGGCCTCGAGGAAGACCTCCACAAAGCGTTAGAATTCGCCGAAAAAGCCAAAAAGCTTGTTCCAGCGGACGATTTGGAAAGGAAAAACATCCTTCAGGGTTTGGGAGACCTCCAGCGGTCACTATTCCATCGGAACAGTCGGACTGAATACCTTGATAAGGCAATTGAGAATCACAGGGAGGCTGTGAGGTTGGCGCAGAACGACGACAGTGATAGACCGGAATTTGCCCTCAGCCTTGGCATGGCACTCAATGATCAGTCCGAGCTCTTAAACAACCTGGAACATCGCGAGGCCGCAGGGGAGATGATCCAACAAGCAATCACCTTGGCGTCTGGCGACAGTGTGAAGAAAGGATGTATCATGAGCGAGTACGCGGATATCCTCGAAGATCGCTATAACGAAACCAGCAACTTGGATTACCTTGAGCTTGCAATCAAAAAGGCTATCGAAGCAAAGAATCTACTGCCAGAGTGCCACCACGCCTTTCCTAGAGTCTGTTTTACTATTGGAAATCTACACCACGTCAAATTTAAACGTCTCGAACGCGTCGAGGATCTCGGAGAAGCCATTACCTTCACACAACGGGCAGTTGAGATGACCCCAGAGAATAGACTTGATCGAGGCAAAATGGTGGTTGGCCTGGCACAACTACTTGGGAAGCTGTACGATCTCACTGGGAACATCGAAGAATTGGAGACAGGCATTCGGCTCATTCGGGAAACAATATCATCACTACCAGCGGAACATATCTCCATTCCAGACATGAAAAGGAGCCTCGGAGCATTGTTCATGAGCCGTATGGGTGGCTTTGTGGGCCTTGCAAAGCTTGTCACCGGTCTTGATATTGATCTATCCACGTTGACCTCCAAACTCGATGATCTTGATGAGTTGATTAACTGTCAAGAGCAGACACTGAAAGCGTATGTCAAGGCGAATCGAGAATGCGGTTCTGTCTTAATTCTTCATGCATCGATGCTTTCCTTAAGGGCGGTAGTGAATCAGAACCCTGTTGATATGGAAAGAGCTCAGGATTTGTTTCTCGAGGGTGTAGAAAACGCGGGAGCACCTCCATTGAACAGAGTTCAGGCTGCGAACACAGCAATCCGCACACCACATATTGACAATGTACGGTTCACAAAGTGGAAAGACCAGCTGGCCAAAATTGCGTTGGATGTGCTTCCTTACGCCTGCAGTCGTGAGCTCAGCCGCGAGGACCAGCAGTACGCAATCAAAACTAATCATGGCTTCGCCGCCGAGATTTGCACCCTTTCGATCCAGCTTGGAAATATCGAAGAAGCTCTTCAGAGAGTTGAGTATGGCCGTGGGTTGATTCTGGGGCATTTGATCGACAGGAAAGACGATCTTGCAGTCTTGCAGGAGAAGCACCCCGATTTCGCCAGAAGATATCAAGAACTTCGCCACAAAGCTTTCCGACAAATCGACGCCGAGAAGCTAAGTGAGAGCTGGGAGTCGATGATGGAAGACCGGAGAAAAGCTCATGCGATGATGCAAGAGTGCGAAAAAGAAATCCGTCGAAATCCCGGTTTCGAAAACTTCCAGCAACCACCCCCTTTAGAAGAGCTTCAGAAAAGCGCAGCGGATGGACCGATCATCGTCATCAACATCTCCAGTTCCAGTGCAGATGCCATCATTCTTACAACGTCTCACTTGGAGGCTCTCTCACTTCCGGGTATGACAGGAGATGTCCCAGAGATCTTTCAGCGGGTGCTTGGAAGGTATAGGTCTGGTGTAAACACCTCTCTCGACCCAGGACGAAATGTAGAGAAGGATGTTGGTGAGCCACACAGTACTCAACTCCTGACCTGGTTGTGGCGCTCTTGCGTTTTTCCAGTTCTCGTAAGGCTCCAGGAGCTTGGTGCGTTGCCTGAGACCTCCGGCGACCCGCCACGTGTTTGGTGGATAGGTTCAGGTGCAGCAAGCTCTCTCCCATTCCACGCAGCAGGCGATTTTGATGAGATTTGTCGACTTAAGTCCAGCCCAGAACAAGATCTTGGGGGCCTTCGCCTTACCTGTATGGACTGGGTTACACCATCCTACGCACCGACCATCAAGGCATTGCAATACGCGAGAACGCGAGCCGACAAGTTGAATTTAGCGGAAAAGCCTTCTATTCTTGTTGTTGCAATGCCTGAAACGCCTGGCCAATCCAATCTGACCGGAGTTGTGGAGGAGAAATTTGCCGTTCAAGAGTCTGCCATCGGTTTCTGCGTTGAGAGCCCGCTCGAATACCCTAGTACGGATCAAGTCTTGGAGCGTCTTCAAGGTTCATCGGTTGCGCATTTTGCATGCCATGGCATGTCGGATTCTGCCAATCCCGACGCTAGCCACATCCTCCTCCAGAGACGCGATTCGAGTGGCAAGATTGTCCCGGACCAACTCACCGTCGGGGCAATCCTGGACGCTACAACCCAGAGCGAGTCTGGATCTTGGCTGGTGTACTTGTCCGCGTGTTCGACTGCCCAAGTCAAGGCCAAAAATATGGGAGATGAGAATATTCACTTAGCAAGTGCGTTTCAGGTTGCGGGATTTGCCCATGCAATCGGCTCCTTGTGGTCAGCTGAAGACAGTATCTGTGTGGAGGTTGCACGACGCTTCTATGAAGAACTCTCAAAGTATTCCGGAGAAGAGCGTAAATTTGCAGTGGCATACGCTCTGCGTAAGGCAGTGATGAGCGTCAGGAGCCAGCACTACCACGATCCCGCCCTCTGGGCACCCTTCATTCACTTTGGCGCGTAGCAGGTTACTTTCTTTTTGGCTTACATGATTTTGGTTTTGTATTTACTTTCAAGCAGTAATCTTACGTTTCGCGATATATCTTTATTCGCATGGAGAACCGAACGGCATCTCTTCTTCGCATTCGTGAACATGCCCCGGCCTCCTTGGGTGAAATACCTATTCATCACGAATGTTCATTTTTAGCCTACTCGCCATGACACCCACAGCTTCAAACTCCTGTCGGGCGTTTTGTAACACTTATTGTGATCTATTTGTTTGAAGACGTCACGTTGCTTCAACCGAGCTTCCACAGCGCCGACGGAGCACTCATTCAGTCCCAATCTGCCAATATTCAACCCTTCTCACTCAGTCATAACTTCCGCAGCAATAATAAGGACGACAGCGCTTTCATTGGCCATATATCGAATACCCTATTTCCTTCCGGTTAGCAAATCTTTACTCAGCTGCCAAGTACCGAGGTAAATCGCCGACACGGACGAATAATCGTCCCGACAGGCGGGCAATGCAGCCCTCTGATTGGCCACGGAGCAACTTCGAACTACGCATGCCACAAAATTTCCGTTTCCGGAAGGAACGGCTGCACCAATTTGTCCGCTTCATCAACATCGGGTATCGTGACATCCGGCCCGACGCTCATCCCAATGAAGGCCGCGCCTGAGGTCTCGCCAGGCTTGCAAATATGAATAGTCTCCTGTTCGTAGCTGATTAGTATTGCATCTCTCTTTTAAACCTCGCGACACGGAGTTTATGGTAGAACAGTACGGCTTTTAAAAGATATCCACGAAGACGACTCCAGAGTGCTACACGACATCACGCCCTTCACCATGGATCTCACCATCTCCAAACCACTGACACTGAACTGCGGTCTGGTCCTACCAAACCGCCTCGTCAAGGTACGACCCCCTCACTCCCGTCACTCCAGCACCCAAATCACTGACAAAGACCCCACCAAGGCGGCCATGGCCGAGCAAATGTCTAGCAAATGCAGAAACTACCTCCCCAACGAAGCCGTCGACGCCGTCTACCAAACATGGGCCCGCGGCGGCTGGGGCATGGTCTTAACCGGTAGCCCACCAACCCAGCCGCACCCACCCCTCAACCACCACTGACACCCTCCCTCCACCAGGCAACGTCCAAATCGACGCCGACTACCTCGGCCACCCCTTCGACATCGCCGCCCACGACTCCGACGCCGCCATCGCCCCCAAAGTCCTCTCCACCTGGAAGCGCTGGGCACAAACCTACAACACCGCCGCCGCGGCCACCTCCTCCCCTCCGCCACTCATCATGCAACTCAACCACCCCGGCCGCCAATCTCCCGTCGGCGCGGGCGCGCGCTCGCTCTGCGCGCAGAACCTAGCACCGAGTGCCATCCCGCTCGACATGGGCGACGGGTGGCTGGCCAAGAGCGTGGTGTCGATGGTGTTCGGGACGCCGAAGGCGATGGGGGAGGACGAGATCAGCGCTGTGGTCGGGCGGTTCGCGATGGCGGCGAGACTCGCGGCGGAAGCCGGGTTCGCGGGGGTGGAGGTGCATGCTGCGCATGGGTATTTGCTTTCGACGTTCCTGACGGCGAAGAGCAACGAGCGGACGGACGGGTACGGCGGGTCGGCGCGGAACAGGGCGAGGATAGTGGTCGAGGTGGTCGAGGCGATACGGAAGGCCACGGAGTCGAAGAAGGGGTTTTGTGTGGGGGTGAAGCTGAATTCGGCGGACCATCAGACGGCCGAGGCGCTGCGGGACTCGATCGAGCAGATTGAGGCGATTTCTGAGGCTGGCATCGATTTTCTGGAGATCAGCGGTGGTTCGTATGAGGATCCGAGGGTGAGTGCAGAGATACATGTCGGCCCCCCCATCATCACGGCCATTGCCCTAATCTTGCTACTACTACAGATGATGGCCGATGCCGGCGAATCAGACACTCCCGACGTCAAGGTGTCCAGCCGTACAGCAGCGCGCGAGGCTTTCTTCCTTGACTTCGCAAAGTCCATCCGCGACCAGTTTCCCTCATTACACCTGATGGTTACCGGTGGTTTCCGCACTCGAGCCGGCATGGAAGCCGCAGTAGCCGACTCTGCATGCGACCTCGTCGGCGTCGGACGGCCAGCCGTGCTGCAGCCCTCGGCACCCAGGGACATCATTTTCAACCGGGAACTTTCCGACCAGGATGCGCGCTTGAGTGAGCACAAGATTGACGTGCCGAGGCTGGCTAAGTTGAGTGGCATCAGAGGCGTTGGTTCCGGTGCGACGAGTGTAAGTGACCCCATTCGGTTTTGTGGCGCTCGCCGTTCTAACGGGTGGCAGGCTTGGTACAGTGGTCAGATCCAGAGGCTAGCCAAAGTGAAATGAAGACATATGCAGCTCTCGAAAAAGGGCTCATTCGTTACGCGAGAATGTCTGCATGGCGCAATAGTACCCCGGCTTTTACAGCAACAATAGGCACGTTATACGAGCTGCTTGATGTTCGGATATACTTCACCCGATACCATGCGCTGCAACGCTGAAGTGTCTCCTCACTAACCCAGTTTGGTAATTTTAATGGAGAAGGCGCCGAGCCCCTGCGTCCGTCCCGTCAAGCATTTGCAAGGGGAAATGCTCCGAGATGCGGTGCAGCGTGCTGCGATTGATGAGAGAGATCTCGCCAGAAGAACCCAAGCATAAGCGGATTATCGACAGGGGAGCATCGTCCAGGCCTGGTGCGGCTCTACTCCGCATCTTGGCGTTTCCAATGCTTTCCCATTCGGTGCATATCGCCGGCCCAAGCCGCATAAACGAGGCCGGGTTCCCCTAAAGTTTTACGAGCCAGCGAACCCGCTCTCAGGCGCGTAGGTAGCAAGAAAACGTTCGATGAGAGCGAATCGAGACAAGGTGGAGCGAGCACCGGTCCACCCGAATGCTCGAGCGTCCAGTCCGATCCCAGCAACTATATGCCTTTCGATGCGGCTGCTAAAACGCCGAACCTCAACTGGGCCGCCCGGATAAAAATAGCAAGCTTGATGCCGATGTCTCCTGCAGCTACTTAAATGCAGCCATCTCAGTCCGCCATTGTCCTGTCCATCAGCCAACTCTCGTTCTCCATCGTCTAAGACACTCGCTGCAGCAGCCCATTAATTTTTTGCAAACCTTAATACCCAACCTTAATACCCTCCAACACCATGCACTTCGCATCCGCCATCAGCGCCGTCGCGGCCCTCGCCGTCACTGCCGTCACCGCCGCACCCGTCGCTGAGGCCACCGCCGCTGCCGCCAGCCAGTACGGCAGCTGGGCCGTCGACTACAGCTGGGACTCCGCCGCCAGCGGCTTCAAGCAGGAGAAGTTCTCGGCCGTCTACTCGCTCGACCAGACCACCGCCACCAAGACCTGGACCCTCCTGCCCCCCGACGACGAGACCACCGTCGTCAACCCGGAGTCTTTCGTCGCTTCCTACGACGGCTCTAGTAAGTTGCCTTGGATTTTTTTTTTCCCCCTTCTTTCTCTCTCTCTCTTTTTTGGCGATATGCTGACTCGTTTGGGGGGTGTAACAGCTGTCAGTCTTCAGCAGACCGTCGAGATCGACGGCACCAAGGTCACCATTTACGGCAGCGCGCCGCTCGCGACGAAGTGCAACAGTGCTACCGGTCGTTACTGCAGTGGATCTGCCACCGTTGAGGTCACCCAGGCCGTTGCTTGATTGGCCCGCACCGCATGACAACTGCATGCAAGAACAGTGGCTGTGTGCAACGACATACAGTCACAGATCTGGCTCCCGACATGTAGATAATTGGTCATTAATGAATTTTTGATTCGTTATTGTTGTTTTCCGGTGCGACCCGAATATAGCTGCCGCTCATGATCGAGTGAATGACCGCAGACGCCGAATCTTGTCCTTGGAATTTGGATTCAGATTTCGTAGCAACACTCAGTATAAAGATCTAAGTGACGTCTGGACACCCCGGAATGCGGACCATGGTAATCGCCGAAAATAACCAAAGATTGACGACATAGGCAAGCGAATCCGCCTCGACTTGATTATCCCGCCGGACACGACTTTTCCGCAGCGTCCCCAGCATAGTCACCAACTTTGTGCGACCCCTACGTAACGCAGATTTGTGCTACTGGTGTTGAAATGTGTGATATGGATGGCCTGAGCGATTTTGGTCTCATGAATTGACTCCAGATGATCTTCACCGTTTTCTTGCGGACAACTATCTGGTGCAGAAACCAGGGAGATGACAACGCAGCGGTGTGTGACGAGATATAGGTGCAGAACAGTTCATGACATGGTGCTGGAAGAAAAGAAAAAGCAAGAATAAGGCAACTGGTACGAGGAGTCATGTCGCCCAGCTGTTCTTCGCACCAATCAGCAAATGCAAGAGGGGACTATGCAAGAGGGGACTATGCAAGCAGTGGACTACCCGGCGGAATACCCGCCTTACATATTTCGATGATGATTTCGCTCTTCAGCACAATCAACTCCGATCTTTCTTTCACTCACTTCCCCACAACCAACAAGCATTCTCCTCTACTGCTGTCTATCTTTGATATATCCCGAGACCTTCGGTCATGGCGAAAATCAAGAAAGCCCGGCCCACGAGACCGCGAGCGGACCACATCATGAAGAAAGGCGGAAGCAGCGGATTGCGCCAACCAACGCAGTTGAACAGGCGAAGCTCCAGGCTAACTTTGAAATCTCAGCCGGTTGCGAAGCAGGAGCGTGTCACGATTCCGGCACTGATCAAGCAAGGGAAGCCTGCCCCTCCACCGGTAAGCGAAGAGAAACCATGCCAGTCCGCTGGTGAAATCGACAAGTTTCAGCGCGCTGCCCATGGTGCAGGAACATCCCGACGGCAAACACATGCAGGAAGAGGCGCCTACGATCGCTCCGGAGAAGCAGGAAGTCCGGCGCCAATGCCAAAAGATAGCCTTGTCGCATCATCGGGGCAGGACGACGATGCGAGCCTTCATCCGAAGGGGAAGGAGCAAGTCCGGGAAGAAGCGGAGAAGCACGGGGAAGACGTCCCAAAGGTGAAGCGTGAGCATTCAAATACAACTCCAGTAGTTATAAAGGTCCCACCCAAGGTGCATTAAGTGAGGATGCGGCTATCGCAGTATATAAGCCGGTAAGTTCAGCGACAACGGTATGCTAACTACGACCGAACAAGATGGATTAGCTCGGTTAGATGAGAGCCTGAAGATTTACGTAGGGCATTCTGAGCTTCCATCCGCCCTCTTGTGGGAAAGAGGACGCAAGTTCGAGTACGGGTTAGGGAAGGCAAAAAAGACGGTCCCAAAGAGTCTTTCTGTCGAGGCACGGGAACGGGGGCACTCCCCATTAGATCCCACCGCTTCCAGTTTTGCCATTTGCGTCGATGGTCTTTCTTTTTTTTTTTCCCTACCACTACTCCATGCGCCGTGCCACTAATGATTATCTGTGTCCAGTTCATATACTTAAGTCAAAATGCTGGCCGTATTAGGCACTTAAGGATGTCGTCAGCTATATTTTGTTGGTTACTATCGAGGGAACAAGCAATCCCTCCCGTCGACCGCCTTCTTTGCGTCCCATAAAACGTCACCTTTTCCGCAACTTCCACACTGTGCTCCAGAAAGCCTTTTGCTGGTCCGATCTCAGTTGGCATCAGTCCAATGCGATTCAAATCAATAGACGTGGCTGGTTCAATATAAGCGACATCCCACCTACACCTCTCCTCTGACTAAATAGCTATCTGACTGCTGCATACCATAGACCTTCCCGTAGCGTCTCGAGATATCTTTAGTGTTTGTTGAATACCCATGTCAACCGTATCCAACCCTTTGTCGATACTTCGAAGAGTTCAAGATAGACATCACTCAAAAGACATTGCGAGAACGCGGACGCCCCCAAGAATACCAGTCGCATGCAAAATGTTGATTCGCCATATCCATGGAGATATCAGAGCCATTGCATGGCTCATAGCGACCGGAGTGAAGAAGGACCCCTGCCCAATGCCCAATGCCCGTACGCCAAAAAGCCCCAGCAGTCGCACCCAGCCAAACCCATCAATCGTACACAGAAGCGAGAGCTTTTCCCCCATCCATCCTTTTCGCACTCCTGCCTACCACGCCCTATCTCCTACTCGCAACCAAATCCCTCACCGCCGCCAGCACACCCAACCCTCTCATCTCACAACCCTCAACCACACTCTTCGTCTCCGTCAACCCCTTCCCCTCTTCCTCCTGCTGCTTCTTCAACAACGCCTCCCTCTCCGCCTTCAACGCCCTCCTCTTCTCGAGCTTCGCCTTCGCCGCCTTATCCTCCTCATCACGGGCCTCGAGCTCGCGCAGCCAAGCCTCGCGCTTCTCCTGCGCCTGTTTCTGCTGCTGCAGGGCGTCGAACTCCTTGCGCTTCTCGCGGTCCTCGGACCAGTACATGCTTCCCGCAGCCATGGCGGCGATGGTGAAGCCTTGCGCGTAGATGCGGCGGCGGAACATGCGGTTCGTCGTGTTGTGGTCGCCCTTCTTCATCGCGCGCGTCGCGCCCAGCAGCGCCCAGCACGTCAGCAGGCAGCCTAGCGGGATGAGCGGCTCCTCGCGCAGCCGCCGCGTCAGCTTTTGCATGCGGTTTTCTGAGTAGAAGTCCCTGCGGGGTAGAAAGCAGACGGTGTTAGCGGGGTGATAAGAGCAGACAGATTCTTCTAGGGTGGTTGGTAGGATAGGTAGATCGGTTTGGGACGGTTGGGTGGACGGGGCGATGGACATACTCGTTGCCGTCAAAGGACGAGGGAAGCGGAGCGTCGGACATGGTGGGCGGTTTGCGCTGAGATGCAACGGGTGGCGGGTGGCTCGATTATTCGGTGCAGCGGAGTCGCGGAGGTATTAGAAGCTCGAGAGGAAGCAATTGAGTGATATAGCGGAGGGTATGAGAAGGTTTGAGCGATATCCGACGCTGCGGGGCCGAAATGGTGGGTTGGAGTTTTCGGTCGGCGACCTCGCGTGAGATGCAATCGTCACTATTTGGACGGGGCCATCGGGGAGCCAAGCCTCCGGCACCAGCCGCGCTTCCCGGCTCCGCAAGCTTGCTGACACACCATCCGCAAACTGACATCTGACGTCTAGCTACTCCCTCCTAATCGCCAGCAGCAAGCGGTCCATGTGAAGCGGAAGCTCACTCGCACACTCTCTCCTTCGAGGCATGATACTATGAGCGCCGCCCCTCCACACACCCCGTTCGCGATATGAGCGATGATGCGTCCCCACCTACTGCGGACTGGCCACGCCGTCACCCCGACCACGATGCGACGGACGCGCCTCGAGACGGCCTCGACGCCGCCGACGACGAAGCCGCCATCCACGCCGACCAGCGCCGGAAGATACAGTCGAAGCGGATAGGCTACCTCGACGACCTCCTCCGCAACCTAGACATCCTCATCTACGCCGAGATATCGGCCGTCTATTACCTAGAGTAAGCGACACCCAATGCCAGTTCCCCCAGACTAGGGTGAACCCCGCGCAACTGACTCGTCTTTTGCCGCAGCTGCTCGTTCCTGCGATTCGTCCTTCGTGCCTTCGTACAGCTAATCTGGCTCACCCCGAAGCCCGAGATCCTCCCCGAACTACCTTCAAACCGTCCGTACATATACCCCATCAGCGGCTCGAATCTGATATGTCTGTTTTGTCATCTTTGGTTCCCGCCCCCGGCGGCGGGAGAGGCCACAAGAGGATACTTGCATGGCGGTCTGTTGATCGACTGGATCGGCCAGCAAGGTCCAGCGTCAAAGTTGCGACTGTTCCTTCTGGACTGCTTCATCCTCGCCCTGCAAGTAGTGATGCTAGCTGCCACGCTCAAGCTCCAGAAGGTGAAGAAGAGGAAAGAATCGGACGCGTCGAACAGCAGCGACCCGGCGTCAGAAAGAGCAGGAGAAGGCCCAAGCTCCCCGACGACGGCACGGCAGGATGTTGACTCTGAGGAGAGAGGGATCCTGCGGCGCTCCTCGACACTGTCGAGTCTGGAAGGCCGGACCCCTAACGAGAGGGACGAGCTCTTGGGTGATGCCGAGATCCCTGAATCTAGCTTGCAGGCCACTCTCGATGCCCTGAATTCAGGACAGGCAATGGTTGCAGAGCTGTTCATCTTCGACACGGTCCGTGAGCAAATCGATGTCGCATTTAACCCAACCAATACGGAAGCTGCCCGACCCGCAGTGCTAACCAGCCGAGACCGCCGGCGGCAGCTCGCGGCGGTTCTGGCCAGGCGGAGACTCGCTCTGGCGACAAGGTTCGGAGCGGGATGAGTGGCGAGCGGGGAGGGTCGGTAACGGTTTTCAGAGCACGGTCGTCGCTTCGGTCGGGCATCAGCAGGCTACAGCGGAACACACAGGAGAGAGTTGTTTCAAATCCTGTGGGAATGGGCGGGCGAGGAAGCGAGGTTTCGAATATGGCTGTAGCTGGAAGGACGTTTTCACACGCCTGGTCACGCCCAGTCAAACAGACGGAGCCGTGCTGCGGTTAGCGCCACAAGTGCTATGGCAGGGCTACATCAAAAGGTCATCAGAAGTCGACATGGGGTTAACACGGGAGCAAAGTTAATAACGTTGGGCGATGCAGAGCAGCGCACACCGTCTGTGCGGCGTCACGATTGAGGTCTGAGGCAGATTACAAAGCATTAGCAAGCGGGGTTCTCGTCTGCTTCACCTTAATGAATGGCGGTTCAACCGATGTTTTATCAGATGTGGCTGGGGCAGAAACGAGGCGCATCCCCAACGACAGCAAATTTCCTCCTGACGCACCTCCAAGATCGGCCAAGATTAGGCGGTGGCACCATGGCCAGCTGCTCAGCCCATCTCTGGATTGATTGAATATCACACTTGTCTTGGCGGGTGGAGACACGCAATGGAAAAAGGTCACCGGTCACAGACGTGGGTCCTCGAGGTCTGTCTGAGTGGCGTTGAGGTGGCAGCAGTCATCTGAAGGAATCTGGATCTCCGCGCTGTTCGAATAATGCGCAGCGGAGCGGACGGCCGCCGCCAATTCCAAGGAACAGCTCTTCATGCAGGCTGCAGCCATGCAGAACCGCCACGTTCAAGCGGGCATACGCGTCCCCCGTTCAGCCGCTGCTGGCGACGGGATACGAGGACCCGAGAAAAATGCTTCTTTTCCTCGATGCTGATCCACGGCGGGGCTAGTGGGTGGGCCCTCCCTCTCCCCCCCTGGTCGCACATCCGCAGCTAAGCCTCGCAGTGGGTGTGGAGAGGCGGCAGGGGTCGGAGCGGATCAGAGATGCCAAGCTGCCGCCAGCCCGCTGCCCGCTCGACTGCAGCGGAAGCCAGTCCTCCTCTGCACGTAAGAGGCTCCCGACCCAGGGACTCGTGTGCGTATATGGCGGTCAGCTAAGCCGAGACGAGGGCCGGGGTGGCGGTTGGGAAGGGAGGGGCGTCGTCAGGCGGGAGCCCACTTCGTCCAGCCCACGTAGCGTCCGGTGACGGCCTGAAGGAGTTAGGCCTGCCCAAAGGGTGTGCGGCACTTTTTTTGGCACGGCGGCGGGAGGGTGTTGTTGGCGCTGCAATGCGCTGTGCAGGGGCATGGGTTGGGATACCGAGGCAATCGGGCGTTCGCCGGCAGCTTGTCCTGCAGTCATCGACACCGTGCAGGGCTGCTAAAATGGCTGGCGTAGGGGCCCTGCTACCTCTCTCGGGCTAAGGCACGCTTTAACGTGCCCGCGTGGTACGATATGGGTTCATTTAAACTTTGGGCCGGGGGAGCGTTGGGGAGCGAGCCGCCGGAGGAAAATAAAAAAAAAATGCAGCAAGAGCGATCCGCGACGTCCTCGCCTCCAGCCACTCCCCTGGTCGGCTTCTTCATGCCCGCCGTTCCTGGGATGCTGCCTGCTCCAAACTTACCGCGGGGATGACGCGTGAGCTGAACACGCCGCTGCACGTGCTTTTCCCTACCATGTTCCCGCGTTTTAATTTGGGGAAGCGCGGGACGCTGCTGACTCTCTGGCACCAAGGCGCACGATGGCCTGCATTTCCAGCCCGCGCCGCTCCCCCCCGCGCCTTCGAGAAGGATTGGACTTGACTAAGGGCGAGGAGCCGGCCCGCAGATCGCACTACTTGCCGCTGAGGATTGCTTGCGTGCTCGCCCCGATGACGCTCCCCCTCTCCCGGCCGCCGTCTTACTCTCTCTGCCGATGTGGTCCCCCCGACCCGGTTCCGACTTGCGGCTTCGGGCGATAGCCGGCATCCACTCCCGCAGCGTCGTCTCTCACTGCCGAACTACTAAGAGAGAGACGACGCTGCGGGAGTGGATGCCGGCTATGGCCCTCCGTATTCGACCGACGTTCGTGCCAGGGATCCTGCCCTGATGCTGCCTTCCGCAACTCTGCACGGCACTCGCTCCATTCTCAGCTAGGCTTCTGAGACCCTCCGCTTCGCGCAAGGATCAAGTGTCTGATGATGATGGCCGCCCAGGCCGTCACCCCGCCGCCACTGCTCCGCGCATGCTACACGTCGCTATCTCTCTCTCGTAGTCACGTAGTGAAGGAGGAGCCTGCAGTAAGGAACGCTAGACAAGGCTGTATTGCCTGGTACTTCCCGACCCGCCCGTCAGCAACCATGAGGGAAGGACCGTCCGCGGGCCAACGGATTCGCGCCAACGACCTTTCTATCTTGAGATTCCAGCCCTTTTTCTTCCGCCACCAATCAAGCCGCTCCATCTGGCATTATGGCGCTACACCAAGCCTTACCTGTCAGAAAACGGTCCTGCGTCGGACCCTGGTCCCGGGGGCGCTCACAAAAAAACCCGTGCGGTTCGGTTGTCTCGCTGACTGCCGCACGTACCGCGCTATATCTTCAGCTCTGTTTGTTCCTCCTTCCATGTACATTGTTGGAAGACATGCTCCCGTTCTAGCGCCTGATGATTGGACCACAAGCTAGCAAAGCGTAGGCTTCCACCTGTCTCATTTTTTTTATTTTTGCCTCCTTACTGTGTCTATCTCCCCCCTCTTCCCGCAATGACAACAACCATATTCCCTGCTTCTTATGTGTGCTTTTGCCCGATACTAGCATTATCTCCGCCGTGCATACGCGCCATCGGTCCAGCCGCACAAACCTTCTTCTACTTTTTCCTCTGCCTTTAGCTCGGCATGTCGCTATTCTCGGGGACCCTGAAAAATTCCCCCCTCTCTCTCTAATCTTACAGGATACTTTGCCAGCCAATGAGGGAAGTCAGCTTGAATTACTTGTGATACACCTCCCTTGACGACCGAGGCCCCAACGACTCCTCGACGGAAGGTTCTTGTTAGCTCGGACGCGTCATCCTGGAAAACGCGTTCCTATCACACCGCTCAAATACCTCGTGCTCGACGAAACCATAATACTGACCTTCCCTTCTGAAGGGTCTTCTGGTCCGTTCACAGTCCTCCCAGACTTCTACCGAGCCATTACGTGAAAGGGAAGATGCTTGTCAAGGCAAGGAGGAAAAGATGGGAGACGAGGAGGCGGTGACCAGGGCGCCTCGGTGGATCCGTGATCTACAGAGCCGTGGCCCCACGTCACTACTACACCCGGACCTTCTTTCGCAAGAAGAAAAGAATTCCAAATCGTTTCTTCCCCCTCTGCCTAAGAAGGGGAGCGATCTGAGATCTGGCCCGGCACTTGAACGGCGCCAAGGGATGAGAAAGTCCAAGAGCCTGCACGATTGCCGGCGACAGGGGGCACGCTTGTTCTCTCTCTCGCTCACACACAAGCATTACCCCTGGATGTTGGCGTGAGTGTATGTGTAACCTTCACGGAGGGTGAGAGGGTTGCCTCGGACCGGCCCCTCTATCTGCTCCCATCTGATCCCGTCATCTAGATTGCATCTCACACACGATGGCGGGCCGATATTGCTCCTCCCCCGCGCCGCCGGTATTCAGCCTTGCCGATAACGATATCAAACGCGGGACGGAGAAGGGGGGCGGGGATGACCAGAGGAGTGCATGCGAAGGAACGACGTGCATCGATCGGACGTGCATACTACATACATACATACGTACGCGATGGTAATGCTGACGGCCCTATTGCGCGCGTCGCGTCTGATCGAGATCTAGGCGCCCAGTGCCAAGTTTTCTTGCACGATGGGGGGGGAGTGGACGCGCTCTCTGAACTCAGTCGTGTTGTTGGAGCATAGGTGGCCCTGTTGCGTGAAGGCCACTCTGGTGCTATACAATAGGTAGCCTCGTTCTCACGATGAGGCCGTGCTTTGCAAGGCTGGTGCAGAGAAGGAAGGCGCCGTGCGCATTGACGCTGGTGGTCACCTTCGCGTTTTCCTTTTGCGTGTTGGTGAAGTGGGAATAAATGAATAATGGTCTCGGAAGGGGGGGCTCACGCACGGATGGGCAACGAAGGAAAAAAAGCGTGCGTACCTGGAAACCAGCCTTGAACGAGGAAGGATTCGGACTCGGTGCGAGGTACCTACGCACGCACGTACGCAAGAAGCTGGGGCCACGACGTGGACGCGACGCGCCGGAGGAGCCGCATCGGCAATCGATGATTGCGAATGCTGCTAGCTTAGGCGCCACTGAAAGTGTTTTCCTTTGCTGCCCTTCGAGACGCCTCACCCCCCGTTGGGAAAGACGCAATGACGATGCTGATGGTCGAGTCTAGACCGTGCCGTATGACGTGAAGTGAGCACGGTCGGCTTCAAACTAATGACATAGCTCACACCAGCGCCTCTGCTAATGCCACGCCGCCGCGTGGTTGTTTGTCATTGTTTATTGTTTTGTTTCTCCGTATGATGGCTGTGCTGGAGCTGAGGCCACCGTCTCGTACCTACACCATTCCGTCCCCTTCCATGCTCGAACGTCGTGGTCCGGGACCTATCTTCGGAAATAACTTTCCTCATTCCTTCGCTCATCTCACAGCTCAAGCGTCGGGAAACGTTGACACTTGATGTCTCTTCTCCTTCTTTATCCCCCTTTAAGTCAAGGGCGCAAACCTTAAATTCGAATCCTGGCAACTGAATCCGTACCTATAACGTCACCCAACAGGGACATTGTTTCCCTTTTGCGTCGGACATTCGCTAGATATCCGCGGTGCATTAGCAGCCGCGCTTACGAGGAGATTGCTCCGTGAGAGAAAAACGCGGCATGAAGCGTGCCCCTCGTATCTACGTCGGAAGGGCGGAACGGAGCGCCACTTGTGGGGGCGGGGAAGCGGGAGAGGCGCTGTAGTTCTTATAGCTGTTGTGCAAACCCCAACGCAGAACTTTCTTTTTTAGCGTCTCGAGGGTGTGTACGCCGCCGCCCATCAACAACAAGTACTGGTCCAACAACCGCCGTCAGCGCCAAGGCGATTGCAAACCCTCCCCCCACGCCAACACCTCCTCTCTATTCGTTCGTAACGGTCGATGATGTAGTGTGCGGGGGAAGGTTCTGGAGTCACGATGCCCTGGAAACGAGGCGTTTCGTGTGCCCCGTCATCCGCATATCCTCAAGAGACGAAAAAAGGCGGCAGAGGCAGGAACAACAACCGTAGCTAGCGCGCCGCCTCGACTGTGAAGAAACACGAACCCCATGCGGCTGCCTGCTGATGGCATCCCGACGACCGGTGGTGGCTGGCTGGCTAGCTGACTGTGCCTCACCCCGGCTGGCTCGCCGGGGGAGTTTTTTTTAATCTACTGCCACCAAAAGGAAAGAGGCTGTGCAGTGGCCACTTATCGGCGGCAACTGGAGCTGACCAGCGTCTTTCTCCCCGTTTGCCCCTTTTCCCATTCTCGAAAGAAGCAAAAAATGATAGGACGCCATGCCCATCTATCCCGAGCCCTGGCGTGTATGCATTGCCATCTCGTTGTTCTCGTACATGACCTCGCCTTTGTTATCCCTTCTTGCTACGGGCTGCCCGGGAGGAAGGGGGGCTGAGCAGCGGGCAAGGAGCCGCCGGTACCGGGGTCCAAGCTCAGCAGCGGCCGTTGGAGAGTGGGCAGGTTTCGGCGGCAGCAGCTCTGACGCCATGACGCTGCAGGAGAAATGAGGCGGCAACAAGGAGGATTGCGGCGTTGTGTAACCTCGTCGGCGCGTGATAAATCTGCCGGTAAGTGTCGCGAAAAGGTCGTAGGGGCGAGGAAGAGCGGGCGTTCCGGTCGGGATGGGGGCTGTGTTGTAAGAAGCGTTTCTAGCTTCATCTTCCGTTCGTGCCTTTGGAGGCGTGTGCGGACTGTTGCGGCTGGTCTAGCCTGGATTCGGTAATGTGACAAGTAAGCAAAGCCTAGGGGGATCAGCTATACTGGAATACCAAGTGGTCAGTGTGGAACTGTGCTTTGGACGGAACGTGACGTCTCGTTCGTGAGAAGTGACGGTAGGCAGTAGCAAGAGCGTGACAGAGGTGATCGAGTGACCGAGCGGTTTGTGGGCGATACTGTGAGATGGAGAATGGCATGCAGAGTCTATCGCCCCTGTGAGAGGCGTTGACGGGCACGCCGGCGGCTGCGGGGGCCAAGCTTCTCTCTCACATGCTCCGTGATTGAAGAACGTGCAAGGCTATGGGCCGCAGCCGCCGCTAAAGCCATCGCACGACATTGCTTCCAAGAGGTCATGCATGCAATCAGCTGCATTGCATATGCGAGACGTGTTCTCTGGCAATCAGTGTGGCCAGACCCCGATGCAGCTCAGTGCAGAGAGCGGGCGGGGGAAGCCACATGCTCAAGAGACGTGCATGTTCGAGCCAAGATCACCACGTTGTTTCTTTTTCGCCCTCCAGTAGTCCCCTCTCGGTCAGCCAGGCAAGTGAACTTTTGTCGTTGTTGATCAGCGACGACGTCCATTCAAGCCGTCTCTTCGGTGGGCGCTAGCCTCCCTACGACCATGACTGCGTCCACAAACACTGCCCCTGACGCCCTAGCGTGCCGCTGTCCCATGGATCACGGTGCAGCAGATCAGCGGAACAGTGATCGACCCCACCAACAAGACTGGTGAAGCATCTCAGGTTTGAATCGAGGCCTTCGGCGACTGACGGCTGGAGAAGGAAAAAGAGTTTGTCTAGCGGCATCAAGGCTCAGTGCATTATCCGCTAGTCTTCCGATTTGTTGACGACGTTTCTCCTCCCAGCGCCGCGTAGTCGGGGTTTCTCCGTGAGGAAGGCAACCGACTGAAAAGAGCACTGATGCGACAATCGACTTTGCCCGTTCAGGCATGAGGTGCTGACAAGTGAGACTTTTTATCATGGAAGCTTTTAGTCACACACCTACCCCAGTCTTGGCCATGTTTTTGGATCAGCAGGAAAGCATGCGCCGAAAATGACATGAAGATAGAAGTGGTGGTAAGTATTATGCTTGGATGGCCCGGAAGCCCTCCGCCGCGCATGCTATTCCTCAGATGGGCGGGAAGCTTGCGCTACTCCAGGCATGGGATCAGCGGAAGAAGGAATCCACATCGTGGACCGGGGAAGACGGATTTTGTCCCAGAGTGTAAGTACAAGATTTAGCATTATGCCGTTCGCCGTTGGAACCGAGATCAAGTGGCTTCACTGAACTAAGCCGGAGTCGTGTCCAAAAGGCAGTCTCAAGGAGGTCCAGAGAAAAGTGAATTGTCGGGGAGGTGGCATAATTCCATCTGTTAGACCATCGACATCTGTGCCGACCAAGCGGATACCAGGTGCTGGTCGACGCGGAGTAATTTCCTTTTGGCCCGCGCACGTGCCATGATTCCTTCTTCATAGTCTTCGCCAATCACAAGGTACGACACACGGGTAGCAGACTGAGAGACAACGAGGGGTGATTGATAATTGATGGGCTAAGCCCGGAGATTGGGAGGAGTGAAGAGCCAAACGAGAAGTCGCTTTTCTTAGTTTGGTGGCTTCGTACGGCTATCTCCAGGACGGGTCTGTTGAGCTTCTTTGGGTATGCTGCTGCTACTGCTTTACCAAATCGCGCCTAAGACACGGCGGGTCAGATATAGAGTTTGGGTTGTGAGTCTTCAGGTATACTCCGGTATCCTGGCGATTCCGGAAAGATCCTTGTCATGGTCATCTGGCACTATAGCGGACCCTAGCTCGCGCCAATGACGCGATGTCGATACAACCCCCGCCGATCTGGTTCGCTGCAGCTCAGGAAGTGACCTGAGCTATGGCATGGTGACCACGAAAATTATGACATTACGATAACCGTGTGCGTGAGACCAACGGTGACCAAAGCTTCGCGACCGTCCAAGAGCTGAAAGACAGGGATGACGTAGGGCAAAGCTAGGATCGTACCACTCATCGCACATCGTTGATTCATGGGAAATCATGATACCAAAAAGGACCTTATTAGAGAATATTTTACAATGTTTTTCTTTTCGGGCCTGCGCAACGCCCAGCTAGCTCGACCGTGACTAGATACAAGTACAGATGTTTCCAATGGTTCAGGTCTTGGTGGTCGGTCCGCCAGCCGCGTGAGCCATGCAGGCTTTTCCTGACCGCTGTCTAGATGCGACCTCAATATGAGAACACAGAAATGGTCGAAGGAAAGAAAGAAAAGCAACAAACAGCCATCAAAAACATCCAAGGCTGACTTCGGGTATAATGCAGTGTGAAGGAATGCGACGAAACGAAGGTGCCGAACTCCTGTCTTGATCGCATCGGTCTGCGCAAGATTGAGGATGTTTGGCATAATAGTGAATCTGATATGACCACCAAACAATCCAAAGGCAGTAGAAGTAGGGTATCAAAAGAAACGAACAAAAGTAGGTCAGGCGAAAAAGAGACAAACATTGCAATGAAACGTTTGACCTCAGCCTTTTCGCGTCTGTGACATGATTTCAACACCGTGAAGCGTAACCCAGCACAGACGTACATCGCGCATTCGTGACAGCGGGAAAACACGACTCCAAGTAGACGAGAATGATCCGACCGCTCTTGGAGAATCGCAGCAGAATGGTCTGCCTCAAATCGGATTGCAGGCCGCACCAGACGCGGGCCCGGGTCGTCGCTTCAGGGGGTGGCGTGTGGATCCCCACGACCATCATGTATCGTCATCTTCTCACACGCCGCGTGCACCAATGACTTCGTATATGTCTCGAGTGTATGTACCGTATGTATGATTGAAGACCCGCACTTGCCGGGATCAATGCTGACCCGGAGGTGGCAAGCCCGGAGGACCACGTCCCGCAGAGGTCTGAGGAGGCCAGCTCCTGTCGGTCCGCTCAGGCGCGTAGGGAGTAGGATAGCCTGGCTGGGGCGGCTGCTGTTGCTGCTGCTGCTGTTGGGGCTGCTGCGGCGGGGCATGCTGCATCGACGCTGAGGGCGTGCGAGAGCCCGGGACGGGAGAAGCGGCCGCGAGCGGAGGATACGACGCTGGCGGATACGCCACTTGAGGCTGGGCCTGCTGGCCAGGGACTGCGCCCGGGGGAGGGAGGTACGAGCTCGTACGTCTACGGACATTGCGATCTGACTCGGCAGGGCGTTGCTCGCTTCGGTGATCTGACGGATAGGTGCTGAAGCCAGTACCTGGAGTGCTGCTTGCAGATGTGCTGCCTTGTCCAGATGACGCTCCCGTGCTACCCTGGGCTTGCATAGAGAGTCTTCGGAGGCGTGGTGAAGGCGGGCGTGGGAAGTGACGGTCGCCGCCCGGCGCTTGGTAAACCAGCTGAGCGAAGTAGTCGCGCTCGCGCTTGTAGTATTCGACGTCCTCGTTGGCTTCGCGAATTTGTTGCTCCAGGCGAGCAATTGTGGAGGAGGCTTCTCTTTCTTTTTCCTTCCTCCTCGCTCGGAATCGAGCCGAAGCACCGGCGTTGCGCTTTCGCTTCTCATCAGCCATTTTCGACGCAGCCTGCACATCCACTGGAATCTGTACATGACCTTGGTTTGTCTCGAGTGTGAGAAGCTGATAATTGCTCTGACCAGTCGAGGCAACAGGGATTCCATAGGAGCGGTCGGGCTCTTGCGACGAGAACTGAGGAGGCGGCGGCGCGCTCGAGGGAGCCGACTGGAACGGGACGGGCGACGGACGACCAATTTCTCCCAGCGACGCGGCCGGCGAATGCTGGCCAGCCGGACCGTACGAGTACATGCCGCGGGGGCTTGCGCTCGCCGACTGCGGCTGAGGTGGCTGAGACATGCCGCCACTGGTCCGCCGCGAGTGGCTCTGTTGGATGGGAGGAGTAGGGATCGAGGACGGCGGAGGAGGAGGGAAGTTGTAGCCTGATCGCTGCGCTGCCGGAGGTGTAGGCAGAGGCGGATTCGGTGCGGATCCAGGCTCGTGTCTGTAATCTTGGGAGCTGGGCGAGAGAAACGGAGTCTCCTGGGCATTGATGGTGCCGGTTGGCGGTCTGATCATGCCCAGACTTTGTGAGCGGTAGAGAGGAGAGCGCGGGCTCAGGACGCGGCGGTGGCCAATGCTGGAGGTGTGAGCATGTTGGCGCCTCTGATCCTCGTAGCTAGGAACGCCGTGGCTCATGTGTGGGGAGGGCCCCGGCAGGCGGTCGACGGGGGACGGAGACTCCATCTGGGAGGCAGTGCGGCTGCGGGCCTTGGACTCGGCAGAAAGAGAGCCGTCGCCCGACGGGTTCAGGATCGAGTGCACGCCGAGGGCGCGCGGGGTGCGGTCCTCGGAGCGTGGCGGCGTGGGCTCAGAGGTAGGCGGGTGGATGGGCGGCAGAGCAGGACCGCGGCCCTGCAGCTGCTCATACCTGGCGCCACCAGACAAGCTCAGCATCGCCGAGGGTGGTCCTGCGGGACTCGTGTAGGATCGTGCGGCGGTCGGCCGGCTGGAGACATCGTGGAGGAAGGTGGACGAAGGACCTGACCTGCTGCCATGCTGCTGTGACATCAGGTCCTTGTCGTCGGGGTGCCTTGCGCCTCGATGAGTCGACCATGAGGCGTCCCTTCCCCGGTCTTCCAGCTGGCGGAGGTCGACGGGGTCCTGGAGGCGCAGCCGGAGGTCGAGCTGCGAGGCGGGCGGGCTCTGGGGAAACGAGACCCGGTAAGGATGGTGGTGTTGGTAGGGAACGGCGAGATCTGGGGCAGCCAGGATGACGGCGCGCGAGGGCAGTGCCTCGCGGGGAGTAGCAGACCAAGAGACGGAAGGTGTTGAGTGAGTAGGCGCGTCAGGACGTGCGCATGGCAGGGTAAGAGACGGAGGGCAGAGGGGCGGGCTTGCGCTCGTGACTGGGGGGAGGTCTAGAGATATAACGAGTTGCGGTGAGTTGGAGTGAGGGAGAATCACACCAACGGGCGGGCGATGCTCAAGCTCATCCCTGCGGGCTGCTACGCCGGGTCGGGAAAGGCCCCAAGGTACACGATGCTGACCTTGTCGATAATGGAGGATTGGCGGGCGTGCGCGGAGGGCGGGAGCCGTTCCCTGGCAGAGGCATGGCCGTGGGCTGCATGGTGCGACTGTCGCAGCTGTCGTGGCCGCCCCGGCTGTCAAGCAACTGCCGCCGGCGCCTGCGACTCAGCAGCACCGCCCGGCGCGGCAGAGGCGCCATGCAAATCTGCGCTGCTCCCACACGGCATCGATCAGCGCCGCCCGGGCCCCCTGCCGGCGCTGAGGGCGTGCGCGCGAGCTACCTTTCGCTCGGGATCCTGAGCCTTATGCCCCCTCCACCTTCGCTGCCCTCCCCGCCTGTTTCGCTGCCACCCGCCAACGTCACGTCCCGTCCCTAATCTCGTCACCTGCGCTAGCCGCCCGCCGACGCTGCGATAGCACGGCCAGAACCTCGCCCGGCGCGCAGCCGCCGTGAGCGCGCCCGACGCCCCGGTCAGTCTGCAACACCGCCAGCACACCACGCCCGCCTGGGAGCCGCCCGCCCAGCGTCCGCCGCCCGCGAGCAGCCCGCCCGCCCAGGCACCGCGCCGCCGCCGCCGCCGAGGGGCCCCGGCGTGCATCGCGTGCAGCTGCAGTGGGAGGCGGCCAGATCTATATGGCGCGATTCGCGAATGACGGCATTGCGAGCTGTCGGGCATCAGGGCAGGGCCGTTGCACACCCCCAAGGCCAGCTCCGGGATCAGCCAGGGCCCATTACTCGCCCGGACCGCGGCGCGAGCGGTGAAGAAGCGCAACGGCACGGGCGCTCTTTATATCAGGAGGGCTGGCAATCTCCCCTCGATGGCGCAAAAGCGATCGTCCTTGCGGTGCAATTAGCCAGGCGGACATTGAAGGCAGGGGTGGAGGGATGTCTGAGCCAGCTCAGCAACGCGTCGGGCCCGCGGGGGCGGGCGTGCGTGCTGATCGCTCCGAATGATGCGCATGGCGACTGGCGGACTTGGCCCTCGGGCTGCGTGCGGCCAGCGACGTGTTGGGCGAGGACTTGTCGAACGCTGTCGTTGCATTTAGCATCGCCGCGGCCATTGGACTGCCCCCGCCATCCCTGCCGCATGGAGGGCGCGGTCATATGACACGCTCGGCCTGCAACATCTCTCCCAGCGCTGTGGTGCAGAGCAGCGCGCGCAGCGTGCGGATGGTCGTCCACGCGCGCGGCTTTTTTCTGATTGGGCTCGTCCACGGACCCCCGACGGCTTTGATCTTTGCAGCGAAGAAGTCTGCGCATGCAAGCCACCGCACAGCCCGTCCGCCGCCTCCTGTTGGCCGCGCGCGCGCAGGGTGCTCCCTGCCGGCGCCCGCCCCAAGCCCCTGGCCAATTTGGAAGCCCACGTTGCTGTGGCTGATGCACCGTTTCTCTCGAGAAAGCTGCGAGTCACTGCACCTGCAGCGTGCCGCTTTGGGCCCGCGCTACGCTCTCGCACACGCATGTCCACCTCAGCTGCCCGCTCATTGGGGCGGGATAGACGAGCAGTGTGCGGTGTGCGGTGTGCTTGCTTGCACGCACACGCGACGACGCCGCCTCGGAAGGCCTGGCGGGCGCGCCCGGTGCCATGGGCCAGCTGCGACTAGCAGCCGACTGAGCCCCGCTGCCGGATCCCAGCAACACCCTCCTCCTGCCAGTGCGACTCTCTCGCCTGTCCGTCATCCTCGCCCAAGCCCCAGTCCCGCTGCTTTTCGTCATCGCCTCCGCGTCCCACCCTCCGCCTGAAACCGCCGAAGCATGGCCGCCGCTTGTACGCCTCGCTCCGCGCACCGAGCCTCGCCTGCTGCTGCCCGTGGGTTGATCAAACACCAGCGCCGTGACCGCGGGCCGGCGGAAGGATCCAACGGACTAACGTCGACGGCGCCACGCGCTCAAGGAACATGCCTGGACCTCGCCGCTTCCCCATCACCACGAGCTGCAGCCGCATAAAGATTTGAGCGCTCGGTGCCCCGCTGCTCTCTTACTAACGCAAACGCTTTTGGGTTTGCTAAAATGCATCCAGACGTTGAAATCCCAGGGTTGCTGGCCTCCGGCTCCACGGCGCCCACCGCCGCCGCGTTCAGCGCCAGATCGTCCCAGGCACCGGCCGCGTTCGAGAAGTGCATTGCTCCCCACCACGCGCTCGCCTGACCGCCGCTCGTCCCGCATGTGGATGGCTGACCAAACAATTGCCGATCAGGTGGAACGTGGGAAGTTCCGAAATTGATGCGCATCACCACGCGCTGAGCTGCCGTTTGATTATTTTGTGATGGCGGGCTTGCGTCAGGTCGGAGCGGCAGCCCTACCAGGAAGCGCGGCTAGGGAAACGGTCTGGTGCTACAACGCGCCCTCGGAGCGGCCACATGGCAGCCCTGTTCCGTCCAACTTTTTGCTTCTGCGGGAGCTTGCGCCGCGGTCGTACGGTGTTGCAATATTTAGACAGGAACCAATACACGGCTAGCTCCACGCCAACGGCCGCCGTCGAGTCCGCACTATTGACTGCTGGACCCCTCGCGAGACGACTCATTCACGCCAGCATTCCCCGTCTTGTCAAAACCATTGCGACTCTCGGTCCGTTGTGGTCGCACGCTGTCAGACAGCCTCGTGCAAGTCATCCCGATCTGCAGCAATCCCTTCCTGCACAGACGCGACGGCTCGCAAGCCATAAACCCGACTACGTTCGGCGTCAGGCCAGCAAGCAGCAGCAGCAGAAGTTCCCTGTCCCATGCTGGCCGACCAATATTATTGAGTTGCGCCCTCTCAAACGAGTCCTGGCTTCCAACTTGCCACAACAGTCACCTGCCCCGTCCCCTTCATCCCCGTCGTCGCGCTGCGCCTGGAGCAACTGGTCATTGCTGTGAGACATGGCGTCCGTGTGCGGAACAACGACCCTTTAACCACTCTCAGCTTCTTCTATTGGTCTTCCCCGTGCCGCCTTCGCGAAGGTTTCGCGAACAATTCTAATGCCCCTGCGCAGGCTCACGGACGCTTCACTGTGCGACCGCCCTATTGCACATCCCCGGCCGCCCGGCCGCAAGCGAAATAAGGAGCGTCCATCACCACGTTTTCGAGGCCCTCAGAAAATAATCACCCGCAAATGACGACACCTGGATCGCAGCACTACCATCCCTGCCGTGAATCCCTGCCGATTTCTTACTGACCTGGGTGCCTCGGTTCCGGCGAATTCTCTTTTTCCTTTCTTTTTTTTTCTTTTTGCTTGCGTGCCCTGCAGCGAGCTGTGTTTCCGCTTATGACCTATCTACTCCCCTTTTCGTCTCATCGCCGCAGTCAGGCGGCTGCCCCCGAGTGAACGATCAACCACCTGCGCGCACAACCCTCCGTCACAGGGCATGTTCAATGGGACTGAATCATTCAACCAGGCCTTCTCTTTTCGCGCCCGCGTTGCGTTTCGCAATGAATCGCACGGGCACACACCCGCGTCTTACGTCGCGCAATGCCGAGCTGAAACTGAATCGCCGCATAGGACAAGAGATCGGATCGAACCCTTCCCCTCGTGTCGTGCTCGCACTGCACGCGCTGGCTGGTACGGCTGTAGCCGCTCCGAAGCCGCGTGCTGCGGTCGCATCATTATTCATCATGTCCGCGACTCGAGCATGGGTTCGACGAGTCGTGGGGGAGAGACCTGACCGGTAAAGTCATAAACGAGGTGTGAACAGGAAACCGCCGTTGCATCTCATTGCGCCCCGCCCAAAAGGAGTCAAGATGGATGGAACCTCTCGCCTGCTGCTGGACATGTGCCACGGATGTTTTGGTTCGGCCCTTGCTCTCTCTCTGGTGTTGCCGATAGCCGTCCCGTAAACCCATCGGCCGCGGCAGCATTACCGGCAGCGTTGCCGTTCTTTGATACCATCTGCCCTACGCATAGATGCACACGGACGGGGATAAAGCTAAAATTTTCTTTGTCTCGCGGATGCAACAGCTGCAGATCCGGCCGTCTCGGCTGGCGATTCAGTTGGAGCCGCCAGCCATCTTACTAAGGGGCGCGCGAGTCGGCGTGCAGCCGGAATCGTATCATGTCAAATACATAGTCACACGCTCAGCGCACATCACAGACCGGTCGCTTCAACAAGGGCCACATCGCCTGCATGCCGAGTTGCGGCCCCGGCGAGCCGGTCGGGTATTGTAACTTTCCAAAGAGCGGTGCCGCAGCACGAACCTTTCCCGGTCCAGATCGCTTGTCGAATTCATCGGCAGCAAGTTGGGTTTCGGCCGGGTTTGGTTGCCCCACGAGAAGAGGTAGGCTGAGTCTGGGAAAGCAGAGGCCACCTGAAGGTGGGCAACAAGATCGCAACGCGTGCGAACAGGCCCAGAAAAAAAAATAAAAAGAGGACATGGGGCCAAGAGCTAATGCGTGCACTTAGCACGCAATACCCGCTCCCCCGGCCGCACCAGGCTGGCTCAGGAATAGGAACGCCGCACCGGCTGCGCCTTTGCCATCGTCATCGTACTTTTCTTCAGCTCTTCGCACCAAGCAGCGTGCTCACCGGTCCCGCGAGAAAAAGAGAAGGACGCACGTCCCTGTGCAGTACGCACACCTCTTCTTCTGTTCCAATCGCTTGCCTGCGTGTGCCCAGAGTGGCGTGGGTGGTTCGTTTTCATGCTAGCTGCGGGCGCCGTGTTTTTTCACTACCCCTCCACCGGCGCCCCTCCAAGCCCGCTTTCTTCACCGTACCTCCAGCGGGCGGCAGCGCATCAGCTAGAGCGAAGCGCGGACCAATTGGATTGCCATGCGCCCTGGGAATGTGGACCGGAGAAGGCGCTGCGACTTTTTTTGTTGTTCCTTTCACCGCGCGCTCCACTTGACAAGCAGTCTAGAAGCGGCAGAAGAAGTCCAGAACCATGCGCGAAGGGCAGCTTACTCACGTACAGCACATACATACATTTCACACTACTCATCACACACCGACCCGACACAATGGCTGACTGGCTGGGCTTGCTTGCTTGCTTGCTTGCTTCCCACTTTGCCTTGCAGATCATTTTGTTTCCTTTTGGCATCTTCGCTGCACACCACTAACCTCGCATCTCGGAGAATAACCCGAGAGGCTCGGGGGATTTCGAGAAGGTTTGAATCCTTTCGCCCTCGTTTAAGGTTTGGCGCTGGCGACCTAAACAAACCAAAAAACAAAAAAAAAATTCAAAGGCCGCACGACGGACAACGCTCGATCGCTTCGCTCTCGCAATCGTTCATCAGAGCGGGGATGTCAGCGTTGCGCATGCTTTTTTTCTTTCGTAGTCCGCCTCATAATCAGGCGGAACTTACAATTATCACCGCTTCCTCCGCTCCTCCCACCCCGCTTTCTCCCCCGCGTAATCCTTTTGTGGCTTTCCCACCTGTGGCTTGCAGCCAGCGAACAGCGGATTTTGTCTTCTGCATCTCCTCATTCCCGCTAGCGCCCTGTTGTAGTGCTGACGACGATGACGTTTCTCTCGATGATTTGATGGACTGTGGTTCGGGATCTTACTTTATTGTGTTTCGTTTTCAATTTTTGCTGTTCTCTCGTTTCTTCTGCCCGGGGAGAGGGAAAGGGCCGGCTGTGTGGTACCCCCCTCTCACTCTCCACTGCCCCTCCGATTTCCCTCCACTAAAGCGCCACGGCCAGCAGTACTGCGTGGCGGTCATCGTCGTTTGTTCGTCATTGCCCTCCCGGCCCCATTTGAAAGCCCGATGGTCAGGTATGCGTTGGCAAATTTGGGCTGAGTGGCGCCATAAACGACGTTATCTTATCAACAAGGGACCGGAAAAGCAGCGAATGATGGTCCGGATCCTGGCAAAAAGAGGATCGCAGATGCGTTGTACCGTCGTAGTGGGTTTGCAAATAGAACCTTGGGGGCCTTTTCCTGCACCGCTACATTGTTCCTACGTGGTGTGGGGCGGGGGGCGCAGTTGGAGCAGATGGCTAGATGTGTGTTTAGGCCTGCCCGACTACTACATCCAGGCATCGATCCAACTACCAACCCAAGTAGGGAGCAGTATCCTGTTTCGGAATAAGGTTGCATGGTCGAACTCTTTCTGTCAGCCCGCAGTGCGGCGAAGAGAGTAGAAAGAGCGGGACCATGCCTACAGCAGCATGCATGCCTTTGTAAAGAGCGGTAAGAGGCTGGGCGAGTTCCAGCGTGTTTAGGGTCCACACTCGCCAGCCAAATCGGACGGACACCAGTAGTGGCGGCGGGCCAAGCTATTAGGCAGATTGCTTACATGGCTACGCGGCACCGTTCTACGGCAAAGCGTTCGTTCGTTCGTTCTTACGGCCCCTAATTTCGCGCTTACCAAGGTTACTCCTCAACATCACACCACACCGCACGGCAAAGAAACAAGAAAGCAGTCGCCGTCAGTCAGCAACAACTAACCACCACGCCTTGAACCCAAGCCACGGTCGCCCACTAATGGCAGTCCAAACCGTGGCGCAAAGGGCCCCATCGATGAAATTAAAACGAAAAAAAAAACCAATAAATAAAAAAACAATAAAGCAAAAGCCCCCTACCTAACATTTGAGATCGAGTATGATGGGCGGAAACTAGCGCCAATGCCGAGCGCGTGGGGGCATCGCCAGGTATTCCCGGACGCATGTACCTACGGCAAAATAGAGTGCTGATGTTGCGTAAGGTTTTTTTTTTTTTCTTCTGTATGGAGGGCCAAACCAAGCATCCGGGGATGCGGGCGCGTTGCCCCGCCCGTTCTTTCCAATACATACCTACCAATACAGCGGAAAGAAAAGAAAAAAACAAATAAAACGCCACGCGCGTGGGAAAGAAAGAATCGGTAAAGGTACTACTAAAAGCTAGAGGTAACACACACATTTCATCGTATGCACGTACGTGCATCTTTGCGTGTTTCTCGCATGCAATAGATCCACGGGAATGGGGGGGAGGCAACGATGCGTTGCAGCCAGTGGTTGCGTGGCGTCTGGAAAGGCGCTATGGCGCGTTCTGGCGTTCTAGCGCCCTCTCCAGCGCGCGCAACGCACCAAAGCGCCAACCCGCCCGCCGTCCCCGTCCTTCCCGAAGGGCGGGACGGGCAAGAGAGCGCTGCTAAAATCCGGGTCCGGTGGTGTACCTATTGATTTTGGCTTTTTACCCTTATTTCTTGGCGGTCCCGGTAATAATGTCTATGTGCCGTTGTTTTAGTAGGTAGGGCAACGGGAAAACAAAAAAGGGACTGGTTGCGGGGACAGGGCATTGGAAAAAAAAATAATGCCGTGGATCCGGGCTGACGCTTAGTTAAACTTATTATTGATATTGTTCGGCAGCGTGGGTGCAAGAGCGAGATGCTGTTGGATTGGGATTGGATATCGGACTGCCAACTGACGCGGCGTGTTGCATTCGGGCTGCAGGAAGTGGAGGCGGTGCAAAAACCGATCAGATAAAAACCCCCATCCCGGTTGTAAGCCTTGCCCCCCTCCCCGCTCACCAGCGAGTAAAAAAAGGAGGGGTGAGCAGCGCACAAGCCAGCGCAGCGAATGGCCGAAGTCATCCAAAACAAGCCCACCTTTGCCCTGCAGCCTGCCGATGCCTTGTGGAGATGCAGTTGAGGTTTTTTTTCTTTTCCTTGCTTTTTGCGGCGGCAGCCGCGCGAATGGGCATGGATTAGGGAAAATCGGATTGTCATCGATGCCTGGGGTGGGGTGGAGGGGCCAGCTCATGCGGATTGAGTCGTCATGCATGGTACATGCGCTCCTTCAGGTTATAGGGCGCTTGGGACGAATGTGACCTTGATCCGCAGCGCCAGCAAGCATGTGGGCTTGCTCCTGCACCTCACGTCCTAGTCTATTGGGGCATGCAAATAATCGGTAAAAAAAAAACTGGGAAGTGGAAATGCAATAGTGTCTTCATGCTGATCCACCACACTTGTCTGACACCCCTTTCTGCCAGCTAGCTCTGCTGACCTGCAGCGATCGCCTCACTTTAATGCTTTGTTTTTGCTCGTATACCGGGCCCCACTGCGGCAGTCTATGGCTTCTCACCATTGTACTTGAAGCGATACGACGGGGCGCCCCTGACTCCGACGTGGACCTTGAACAGGCTACCGTGCAGCTTAGTGCTTTCGGGAAACTGGTCGGGCATTTCCTCGGCGGCGCTCGTGATGTACAGGTCCTCGCCGGCGAACTCTGGGCAGGTTGGGCAGCGGGTGGGCAGTCTGATCTCGGCCACCTTCTTGCCCTGTGGCGACACGCGCAGCACCTTTCCGGCGCCGTGGATGGCGATCCACAGGTAGCCCTCGGTGTCCTGAGCGTGGCCGTCAGGCACCCCGTGCTCGCCCTCTTCGACACGGTAGAAGACGCGCTTGTTTGAAAAAGAGCCCGTGTCGATGTCGTAGTCGAAGGCGAAGACGTTTTTGGTAGGTGAGTCGGTGTAGTACATGGTCTTGTTGTCATTGCTCCAGCTCATGCCGTTTGGGATGTGCACGTCCTCGAGCACGCGATGCAGCGTCAGATCAGGGTCCAGGCGGAAGAGCGTGCCTGTGCGGTGTGAGCAGCTAGCGCAGGGTCCGGACGGCGACTACTCACCTTCCGGCTCGGGGCTCTTGACCAGCGGGTCGTTCATGGTGCCTACGAAGAAGCGGCCCCTGGCGTCGACGGCGCCATCGTTCCCACGGAAACTGGCAGGTGCGGTCAGCTACGTCGGCCTCCTGAGCCTTTGGGAGCTACGCACAGCTTCTCCTTGCCGTCGGCGACCTCCTTCTCGGACCAATACTTCCTGATGTACTTGTATTTGCCGGTGCTACGGCTGAGGATGCCGTAGCCATGCTTGCCGCCGAAGAAAATGTGGTCGTCGTCGCCCTCGATGTCGGCGGTTACCCTATCTCCAGCTGCATCAGCCCCGCGTCGCAGGAGTCGTGGGGCGGGGTCGTCACCCTATGGAGATGTCGAGGTCGGCGAGGACTTTGTGCGACTCGGGGCCCTTGTTCAGGTCGATGGCGTGGAGCTTCTGCTTGATCACGTCGACGAAGCGCAGGGTGTTGGTGGCCTCCTCCCAGAAGGGGCCTTCGCCCAGACCGCAGTCAATCTTGAGATAGGGCTGCACGGGGCATTGTCAGCCTCGCGGCGGGCGATTTGGGGCGCAAAAGTCGGGGCGCACCTCGTCGACGGTGTAAATCTTGATGTCGCTCATTTTGAAGGGGTTCCGGGGCGTTGTGGGGGCTCAATTGGAGGTCGACAGCGGGACAATATGAATGAGGGGTTGAGGCTCAAGGTGGGATGAAGGATGCCCGAGTCATGCAGCGCGGGCGGTGATATCATGCTGAGCCCATGACGCGCCTGCTACTTTCTGCCGGAGCTCCCACCGCCGACACACACCTCTCGTCCCCCCGTCATCTTATCACGCCGGTTAAGCAGCATCGCCGGCAGTGCGGTCCGCGGTGCCAGAGAGCGCAGACAAGCTCAGCGAGATCAGCAATATCCTGCACCACCAATTTGGACCAGTCTTCCCGGGATGATATGACGGACCCGCTGGAGTCAGGTGCTCGACGGCCGCTGCGACTCTCGTTGCTTCTTCTGCGGCATGACGGACAGCTTGTGGGCGCAGATTGCGTGCATGGGCTGAGACGGAATGGCGGGCTTTCACATGGCTGGTGTGCGACAGGTCGGCTGATGCAGCGGGCTGCAAAGGCGCACGACCCGGTGCCAGTGGCCGGGTACCTTGCAGGGCAGGCGTGCAGCGTGTTCATGACATGCAGCGGGCCATAGCCTCGTCGCGGCCTCCCGTGCAGCTGGGCGCTTCTCGACACGCTGTGTAACCAGGCTGCGCCTCCCCAACTGGCCGCTCGGGACGGAGCTTATTGCAACGCCAAGCCACTCCCATCAAGACCCTCCAGTTCTCGTCGTCATTTGTCATGCCCCACGACTGCATGACACCCCGCCCCAAAAGCAAACCACCCCGAGCCGTTTTCGTTCCCGCCCGTATCACCCCCAACGGCATGATTGCCCGGCGCCTGCCGCCCTCTCGCCTCATCACACCGCATCCAATCACTCGGGTATTGACCGTTCGCCAGCCTTACGAATCCTGCATTTTACCATGCGCCGGGAATCCAACGTCTCACCGACCTGCTGACTTGCGTTACACAAGGCCGTCGATTATTTTCCTTTTTGATCCCCATCCCCTTCGAGCTGCCCGCGTCCATCTGTCCCCTTATCAACCATCTCAGATGTGCTTTCATGCCGCTGAGGCACAGCAAATATCCGGGACCCCTGCATATATCTGAATCCCGTCCACTGGCGTGGGCTCGATTATGCCATGCATATTAGCCATCGTCATTTTCTGGTACGATTCATCACATTCTCTCCCGCGAGCCGAGGTTTTTCTTGGAAGCTACGTCAAACCTGTTGTCCGGATAAGCCAACCAATCAGGGCCCCTTAATTTTCCTCTCATTTGATATCTCTTCCCATCTTTTTCCTTTTTGCCACTCCCTATTGGTGTGTGTGCTAGCCCGTCATAGCAGGTGATAAATAACTCCATCTTCTGGAAAGCTTACCCGAAGTGTAGCACCCCACTTCCTTGAATGGTAAAATCCAATGTCGGCATGTTTTTGTACATGTCTCAGACTCATATCTACATTAAGATACCTGGAGCAAGGATACATGCCTGTAGTAGGATAGACGGTAAGGATTGTACCACTATGTCATGCACCATCCTTTTCTTGCTTCACTATTCTTGATTTTTCTGTTCCTTCTTTACTGGTGTTCAATCACTGCTTTTCCACAGAGCTTGGCTCAAGGGCGTCCAGACAACATTCCTATCCAAAGCACGCCATGATGTCATGGTCTCAGCTGGAGACCAACGTGCATTTGCCAAAGAGTCATAAAGAAAAGCCACCATTCAGCCTTCATCAATCTCCGTTGTGGTCTAGTGGCTAGGATTTGCCGCTCTCAATTCGAGAGTTCTCTCACTTGCAAGTGCCGGCAAGGCCCGGGTTCAATTCCCGGCGACGGAATTTCTCTTTTGCTCTCGTGACGGAGTGCTGCAATTTGGTTTTAGTCTTGTTTGTTGGCGTGGAAGATTTTTTTGGTGATGGTGGAGTTGATCGGGGCCTATAGTGGCCCGTGCGCGACGGCCCGATGAAACGGAACGGCTCGATGCATGACAATTCGGCGCAAAGAACGACAGAATTCTTTTTGCCCGTACAGAGCTTTGATTCTTATCGCTTTGCGCACACTTTTAGTGCGGACTTAGTGGAGGGATTTCTCGAACGCGGCTCGTGCGTTGGGTCGCGTGGGCCATGAACCGCCGAAGAGACGGCGAGACTGAGGGAATGGTGCCGACGACGAGTGGTCAGGCGAGAGTTGTCGAGGGTCACTGCTTTGATCCAGTGAGAATCTAACTAACCTCTTCCTACAGTGGCGGACGGATCTTACTACTTTTTGGAATCTATGACAATGACATTGGATAAGTCGAGAGTGAACTTTATCTATCGCCTGTACCTTCAAGGGACTTCTCGAATACTGATATGGCTTTATAGACAAGGAGTCACGGATTCAACTTGGTACATAACGAAGGGATGAAAACCAAAGACACATAAGCTAAGAGATGTAAAACTTATAGTTCAGGCTATCATCTAAATAGAGGTACCGGAACCTTACATCACTTAAAGACATCAACCTCAAATGCAAGTGGTCTTATCATATAGATCCGCCACGTAATAAAAGCCCTTATCCTTTCTTTCGTATTACTGTAAGTTATCAAAGCGATACCCTTTTGTGATTTTATTTCCACTCGACTTGTACATGTAATCAAAGCTATTAGACTGTATATGCCTGACTTCTACATCTATTTCTAGAAAGTTTACCATGTCACATGCCAATATCATTCTCAATCAAAGCAATTATGGCTTGAAGCTTTTAAAACTCCTTGTGATACAAAACCGCCACCAAGCCATTATCCAGAACGTAGCACATGAATTTTCAAAGACAAGGCCACTCGCGCGCGAGAGGCACAGCTTCAAGCCTTTGGCACTTTCTATTTATTCCTCAAGTAGCACAAAAAGACGGGCATTATCTAGTTCTTTCCCCCCAAGCTGCCCCTCCGGTTGTCCAACCATCGGGTCTTCTGAAACACCGGCGAAATGCATTTCGCGCTTTCTCGCAGCATAACGCATGCATGCATGCGATGCTTCCCTGACTCATATGCTGCATGTAGGCGACGCGTGTGAGAGGCGACGACGCTTGCTGACGTGAGAAATTCGGCGGGGATAGGCATGATAGGAGCCTCGTGCGCAATCATCTCGTTTTTCCTGTTCCGGCAAAGACGGCGCATATGCAATGCACGTAGCCGCGCTGGAAAACGCTTGCAGGTGCGCCATCTCGTGGCGGCTCCCCCCCTTCGGCCTACATGATCGAGGCAACGTTTGGCCAAAGCTTGCATGCGAATGCGGATCGGCGTCGCCGAGGCGTCGAAGCTGAGGTGGAACGGCACTGGCCAGCACTTTCTTTTTCTGAGACGCATATTTCGTGCTGCGGCTACGCCTCAGCGCCACGTTTTGTTTGCGTCTTTGCGGCCATAACGGCACATCTTTTTGCCTGACGATGGGCCGTACTACTTGGATCTTCCCTGTTCTGCATGGTCGATCGTGCGCTGGGTTGAGCCTTAAAATATCACCAACACGACGCTCCCTTGTCCTGATTCAGAATGTCAAATCAAGGAGGTGAGTAACACCAATTCGTCGATTTCTAGATACAGTGCTGGCATCCCGATCTACAGACACACTCGTGGTGGAACCCTTCACTTCAGCCTTTGTGCATTCGCGCTTTCGGCCTCGCACCGGGATTAAGGACGGACATGTGGTCTATTTCCGGGTAGGACAGCCAGGTATGTCCGCCTCTAACCAATAATTTGCGGCATGGACAAGCCTTTTAGCCTTCCGCCAGCTATGCGCATATCTCTCTAATGGCGCTAGCCTCCGTCACGCGATAGTTTAAGTGCATGTCTCACTATATGGAGCTACGGATGGGAAAGGAGGCATCTCCGGAGCACGAAGCTTGTTGTACTCATTTCAATCGTGATCTCTCCCGCAAGACTGTTCTCCTTGGGTGGGATTCATATACACCGTATCATATTATATTGAGGTGCTACAGCGTTTAACAAACACTTACGATGTCTCGGGTGCTAAGTCTCTTCTATCTGACATGTGTTAAACATAGAATACAATGTCTAAAAATGGCGTGTTTTGACAACGGGTGTGTTTTTTACTAGGCCTTGTTTTTCAGCCATATGTGCCCAGTATTCTGGGCCGGGGTTGGTAGGGCTATACATTGAGCTTTTTGCGTGAAATCATTTAGGTGAAATGAAATCAGCAGTCTACTCTATCCCGTCGACATACCATTTCATGAGGTGCTTAGACTCTACTAGCATACTTTCTCTCTATTAATCTAGCAATTGAAAGCATTGCAACGTAGAGCTTTCTCAGGCCATCTAATTTAGACAATGAAAACTATCCAAACATTATATAGATCTAGCAGTCCGGGCGACGCTGAACTGGTAGAAGAGCGCGTCCAGATGGAATTTATCATCCTCCGGCTGACGCAAAGATTCAATTCGCGCTAGTTGGCTTTTGCGGCCTTTAATTGGCTACGTCGTCTTTATAGTCGTCGTAATTCCTAAAGCCCTACCGCGAGGACGCGCATCCACCAACTTATCGCCGCCCATCCGCTCCTCCTCCACCGGACCTATACTTTGCTCCCTCGTGCCCAGCAAACCTGTGCAGCCTATTTCCACCTTTCCCTCGCCCTGCCTGCCTGCCTGGTTCCGGATGAAGAGGGCCCTGCTCCCCAAGGCACTCACTACCAAACCCTCCCTCGCACAGTAACCTGTACGAACAATTCTTGCCATTGAACCATACAACCGTTGGGCAACCAATTCGTAGCCTAAATAAGGATCTCTCCTATTCCTGTAACGGAGGGTGTGCTGGAGAGATGTCGGCTCGATAAAACCAGTGATTGCTCTAGCCTATGCCGGGTTCTCAACGAGTTAATGACTTCACTGAAGCACTTTGCCACAAGCAGCGTAAGAAGCGGACAGAGCGATTTTAGCAAAGCCAATTCGGCTCATATAAACCATAAGTCATCGATGGGCTCCAGAAGTTTCGAGCTATAAGTATCATCCACGAATCAGCACAATGAAGGGTTTGGCTGTCCCAGGACCTGTACACTGAGCAACCGACCACAACACTCAGCACCGGGGGGGAAATTAGCCACCAACACTCCCCTCTTCAGCCTCGGAGAGCATCGGAACCCTGGCGCGACTGCCTTTGATTTTCTTTTATTGGGGCGAATGAACGTTCGCCAGCCTCCACCTGCTGACAATTCTCGAGGACCCACTGAACCACTTCAAAGACTTCACGCGAACACACGCAGTCACGCGGATGCCACAACCCCACTATTAATAATCCAGCCGCCCGTCCGTGTTTGCCGTTCTGCACCGTGCCGGTGTCCCGAAGAAGTAGACCTTTTCGCTTCCGCAACCATCCGATCGGCCCGGTCCAATCGGTGTCACACATCCGTCCAGGACGCTCTTGCCTATCACGGTGTCCGGTCCGGAATCACCCGTGTGAGTCACGATGTTGATGGAGCACTTCGGAAGTGGGTTGTCCCTCTCTTGGTCTGGATGTTGGTAAATTTCAGTGGTTTTATCTACTTCTTTGGTTGTATTTTTGTTTTATTATTTCTAAGAAATCACAATTAAGGAGTGCATGTAATTACGATACAGGCAGGAGATGTATTCTGCACAGACTTGGTACGTGATCGTACCGTCAAGCATCTGAGCAAGTAGTGATCGACATCTGTATACGGGTCCGACCCGAGCTTTGTGTTTGACCAAGAAACTTTCGGTGTCAAGCTTGTACTTGAACAACCACGTGAGAGGGACTGCTTTCTTTTCTGCTCGAGTTGTATTGGACAGTGAAGTGAAGTTGAGATGGACCGTCTCTTTGAGTTGAAAATATATCGCAAGTTCATATGACCTTTGCTAGGCAAAAAAAAAAAAAAAAACGCATGCGACGTAGGATCCTCCTGTTCAACCATAGCTGTTCAGAGTCCGACCAGTCTCTGTGTACAGATGACTATTTCATGCGGCACATCGTTTAGTGCATTTTTATAGCTTCAATTCGTCATCAGCGCACGGTGCCAAATCATATTGTTGAACAGTGTGATGAGGTTGAATCGTACACTGCTGCTCTCTTGAGTTGAGCAGCTTTACATTTCGTTTATATACATAAATGCTCAGTGAATGACGCCAAAACAAAAGTGATAGATCGCGTGGTAGTGCTTGAAGCTAAAAGAATGCACCGGAGTAGGTTTATGGTGTTGAGTCCAACGAATCGTGGTAAGGAAGAATAAATTTGACGACTTCCAACAGCAATTTCCACCCGTGTTTATCCTTGTTTCCAACACCATTTGACTCCTAGCAGAAGTATCCGCATAAAGCTCATCCGTGGTGGCCAGAGGAACGTCGGGAGCGAGGTCGGTGATCGGTGGCAATTGACCCGAGAAAGGGTCTAATTGCGCAAACCGCGCGGATCGCGTTCTTTCAATGCGCTTCTGCTCCAGCAGATAGACCCCGCCAGATGGTCTCACCTTCGTAGCTCATAAAGAATTCCTTCTGAGCCCCTGGTGCCATCTTCTGCAGGCATGATGGCGGGTATTACGGCTCAGCTGCCGTACGACTCGTATGCTTACTCGTTTCCACTTAGCGCAATTCCCTCCCTACTTAAACTCCTTTTTCTTAGAAACTCTCTCTTCTTTAGCATCTTCTTTTCGTATGTAGAATCTAGTTGGATTCTTATCCACTACGTTTCGTAACAGCGGGCGTATATCGGCTGCCCTCGTTCCTGGAGGAACGTACACGTAGGTGAGCGCTCCAAACAGCTGGAGGTTGCCGACGTAGGGCTCCTTGTCATAGAGGACCTCATACGGGATCTTCATGCCTTCATTTGCCCTGGCGGGCGTACGGTGTAAACGTAAGCATGATACCGTATTGCCTCAGGCCAGAGGAACCTCCACTGCTCCAACGGAAGTCCGGAGCGCTCAATAAGCGCGAAAGATAGCTCGTATAGTGTGGCACGAGCGTGTTCTGTAACAGTGCGGACGCCTCGCTCAGAGACGCCGTTCTGCTGAGGGTGGTAGGGGACCGTCCATTCGACCTTGATGCCTATCTTGGTAAGTTCCTCTGCTAGCGGCCTTCATGAGGGGTCGTTGTCAATACGTATACACGCAATGACAAGGCCCGGGAGCTCTCGCTGCCGCTCATTGAGCCACGCATTCCAAGCAGGAATGACTATGTAGCCCTTGGCGGTGAAGACAACCCAGCGGTATCGTGAGCGATCGTCGGTAATCAGGAGCACTGAGTACTCCCCCCCAATGCCTGGTGGATCAACTTCAAAGAAGTCAAGAAACAGGCGGTAGAAGCAGCGAGGTGCTTCGTGTTCAATGCCATGCATGGCAGCCCTGATGGGGTTGCTCGTGCTGAATCGATCGTCGCTAGGGCTTCTGTAGATGGTTCAACACGAGGGAGTGTTGCAAGAGGTTCCATGGGCAGATCGGTGGGCTTACAGTTGGTCATTTTGAAGCGACCAAGCAGTGATCTAATATAGGCATCCTGTAGCAGTGAAATACTACCATCTGGTTGCCAGATGACCCTCACGCCGCAGTACTGAGGACTCGCCTTCAATGCCGCGTGGGTCGACGCTGAAGAAGTCGAGGAACAGTCGATAGAAGCATCGTGGGGCTTCTATCCATACCAGGCATTATTGTTCGAGTATGACGTACCGATTCACAAGGCTAGGAAGCTTTGCGATAGGAAGTTGTTTACTCCAACAATCTGAAATGTTTCTTTGCCGAGCAGCGTTTCCAGCTTCAGTCTCAAGACTTCCGTGAGCCACTGATGCGTTGAATGCGTGAGCATTTGTTTGAAGTTGTTGGATTAGGGGATTTGACCCCTGAATTGTTCTCGGCTTGGGAGCAGATTTGTTTGTCAATGCAACCAAGAATGCACTCCGGTAGGCCGACTCCTAAAGACCGGCTCGCCGCGTGGATTTGGCTGATCTTCTGTTTTCCGTTGCCGCAAGAAGAATCTTCTCTTGGTTTATTCCTCCTGCACATCCCGCAACTCTTGGTGCTCGATTATCACGAGCAATTTTGTAGTCATCTGAGTCAATCTCAGGACCTGGAGATGCAATGGCTGCCGCAATGGCTGGATGATGAGCATTGCTATTTTCAGACCCGCTGAAACGGACGTACAAGCTTTCGTTCTTGCCAAGAATCTGCATGTACTCCTCCAGCCAGTGAAACCCTGAAAACGATGCTTTTTGGCTCATGTTTTCGAAATTCTCTCCACCCATGGGGGCCAATCGCTGTGCTTCTCCATGTTGAGTGAGCATCCATTCTGGAATGCTTTTGAGCAGTTGTCCGAAACAGCGAAATCCAGATTCAAAGGTCCGGCCTCTTTGTTCCGTGCTTGATTCATTCTTCAAAATTCTGTTCCATGCTCATGCAAAGCCGACGACTCCTCTTCGCAGAGAGAGGGCTCCATCGCCGGAATTTCTCAATCAACAGGCTGCTTTTTTGGGCGCAGAGCGTACATCCTGACGGGAAACAAGCCCTTCGGAAAACCCCGTTGGACCTCGGTAAGGAAGATGTCCAGGCCAGCCAATTCGAAAATCTTCCGGAACTTCTCATCCGTCCTGGTCACGCTGCTGTCCTCGTCGTCGAAGATGTCCTCGCCATTGAGGTCAGTGCTCAGGTTTTCCTTGACGACAATGGAGCCTCCCTCGGCGAGGTGTTCCTGGCAACGCTTGAAGTACTCGACCAGCTGGGCGTCTGTGAGGTGGCCGACGCACCACTGGTTCCAGATCAGGTTGTACTTGTACGGGGCATCCAAGGTCCAGTTCTCCAGGCCGACGTTGGCGATGGAGCCGATGCGGCCGGCGGCGATGAGTTCCTTGCAGCCCTCGGTCTCCTTCAGCTGGTCGGTGAACTTCTGCACGGGCTCAACGATGTCGACGGACTCGGCAATCTTCAAGAGGAAGCCAAAGGTGATGCGGCCGATGCCGGCGCCACAGTCGACGGCGTGCGGGAGAAGCTCGCCGGCCTTGAGCCCGGCGACGCGACGCAGCTTGTTGTAGAAGATGGACGAGCCTTGCAGGTCTATGCGCGAGACCTGGGGGAAGCCGCCGAGCATGCCATTGACGGTGGACTCGACCGAGTTCCAGTAGTCGATGGATGCGGCATGGTTGATGGCCTGGTCCGGAGCGGTTGGCGAGTGCTCGGTCATTTCGCTCTCGGGCGTGTAGGGCGGCGGCGAAGTGGACGGTGGATTTTGCGAGATGATAGGACAGGACGTGTGTGATGGTTGATTTTGACGCGAGCACGCGGAGCTTGGGCCCCCGCGTTTGTGCCGCCTTACCTGGACGGGCAAGTATACCCGCTCTGCAGCTTATCGCCCGCCGCCTGTGAGGTAATTGAGGGGTAATAGGTGTCCCAAAGAGGTTGTTAGATAGGCACCGTCGTCATTACGCCCGCCGCCTGTCTGTGGTTGGGCAAGTGACAGCGAATTCGTGAACGGACGTTCATTAGTCAGCCCTGGCGCTGACCAATCACCACGAAAACGCACTCCTGCTCGGATGCATGCACCCCGCCAAGCAAATCTCCATCATCGGAATCGGCGGGGTGCACCAGAGTGGGGAGCTGAGCCTGCAAACCACTACATAATCGACTTCTCCGCAGCCGCAGAAGCTGCCTTCTTTCCGCATGCTCAGACTCTTTGCGCGCCGCTTTTCTCATCAGCCTCGGCCGCGGCATCGTCAATTTATCCTCCATTCATTTCTTCTCAGCTCGCGAAGGCCCTTCAGCACCGCCATGTCTGACTTGAGTGTTGAGTTGACTGCCCCTAATGGCGTCAAATACACCCAGCCCATCGGCTTATTCATCAACAATGAATGGGTCAAGTCCACCCACGGCGAGAAGATCACCAGCATAAACCCTACGTAAGTTTGATGCTTGGTCATATTCGCCATATGTTGCTGATTGGGATAAAGTGATGAAACCGAGATCACGTCGGTGTATGCCGCTGATCCTGAGGATGTTGAACTTGCGGTTAAGGCAGCACGCAAGGCATTCAAAAACCCTGCATGGCGGGACTTGCCGAGCGTTGAGCGCGCTGAGCTCCTGTTCAAGCTTGTTGCCCTGGTTGAAAAGCACAGGGAAGTGCTGGCCACCATCGAGACCTGGGACAATGGTGGGTGCTCCGCTAAGATAAAGGGTATCATGCTGATTGCACCACAGGCAAGCCGTACACCGTTGCTCGCGATGAGGATCTGGGTGAGGTTGCTGGCACCCTGAAGTACTACGCAGGCTATGCAGACAAGGTCCACGGCCAAGTCATCGAAACCACGCCGGATAAGCTCGCCTACACCATTCGTGAGCCTATTGGTGTCTGCGGTCAAATCATCCCGTGAGTGCAAAAAGCCTCTCAGCCGAATTTTACTGACACGGCATAGATGGAACTACCCCTTGGCAATGGCGGCGTGGAAGCTTGGTCCGGCGTTGGCTTGCGGCAACACCGTAGTTCTCAAGGCAGCAGAGCAGACGCCACTCTCGATCCTGTACTTTGCCAACTTGATCAAAGAGGCTGGCTTCCCTCCTGGTAAGCTTGGTGTCGATCCTAATCGTGTGAAAGCAGGCCGCTGACAGCAGCTAGGTGTTGTCAACATCATCAACGGATACGGTCGTAAGGCTGGTGCCACTCTCGCTTCGCACCCCGACGTTGATAAGATTGCTTTCACCGGAAGTACCGCGACTGGCCGTGAGATTATGAAGATGGCGGCCGCCAACCTGAAGAACATCACCCTCGAGACTGGCGGCAAGTCTCCTCTTCTCGTCTTCAACGATGCCGACCTGGATCAGGCTGTCAAGTGGGCACACATTGGTATCATGTCCAACCAAGGCCAGATCTGCACGGCTACCTCCCGTATTCTCGTCCAGGACGGCATCTACGACAAGTTCGTTGCAGCTTTCAAGGACCACGTCAAGGCAACAAGCACCGTTGGCGATCCCTTCAAGGACTCGACGTTCCAGGGCCCGCAAGTCACCAAGGCGCAGTACGACCGCGTGCTCTCGTACATCGAGCATGGAAAGTCGGAGGGCGCCACCCTCGTAACAGGCGGTGAGCCGTTTAAGGACGTCAACGGCAAGGGCTTCTTCATCGCGCCCACCGTCTTCTCGGACGTCAAGCCTGAGATGAAGATTTTCCGCGAAGAGGTCTTTGGGCCGTTTGTCGTCATCAGCTCGTTCAAGGAGGAGGAGGATGCAATCGAGCGGGCCAACGACACGACGTACGGCCTTGGCAGTGCCGTTTTCACGACCGACATTGTCAAGGCGCACCGCGTGGCGCGCAAGATCGAGGCGGGCATGGTCTGGATCAACAGCAGCAACGATAGCCACTACGCCATTCCGTTTGGCGGTGTGAAGCAGAGCGGGATTGGGCGCGAGCTGGGCGAGGCTGGGCTGGATGCCTATACGAACAAGAAGGCCGTCCACGTCAATTTGGGTCCGCGGATATAAACGGCATTTTTTTTTCTGTGCGGCATTTACAGGAGGTTTGCTCATCGCGGTATATTTGATGTTTGTGCGAGCGAATTCTAGGACAGATTCAGCAATGGCAGATTTTGAGCGGAGCCAGCTAAGCGCATTGGCTGCGGCTATTGGACGTCATCGTGACCCGGCGATGGTGGGCACGAGACCGGCGATCAGGGACGTCAACGGCTTCGTGTGGAGGGGTGTGCCTCGCGGGCTGTGTCAGAGTGCGTTGATGACTCCAGGGTCTCGGTGGAGCGCGCCAGGGCAGTGCGGCGCCGGTGAGGCTGGTGGGGGGTTCGGAGTCGGAATAGGCAGCGTGCGGCAAGCCCGGCTGCACGCGAACGCCCGCAAAATCCGTGGCAGGGTTGGTGTGGGCGCGGTGATAGGAACGGCCGACCAGACGGGGCCGTGCGGCGTGGTTGACAAAGGTGCCGCCGCTGATGAGGAAGACCCGCCCTGGAGCACGTCCTGGCCCAAAGCTCCATCGTCATCAGGCCCGTCTCGCCCGCATCTGAAAAGAACAGCGGCGCGCCTGTGCAGTCGGCCTCCGCAAACCAGCTCGCTCTCCTCCGGCACGCGTTGCCCGCTTGTCCCGGGCTCGGCAGAAGTTGACGAGGCCGCCAACTCCACAAACTACCTTGAACGCTGCACTGCCCGTCACCACGCGCCCGAGCACGCACCCAGCACCACCACCGCCGCCAGCAGCTCCGACGCGCCGCTCCACCCTCACATGCTCCACCAGCACCAGCTCCCCAGCATCTAGCTGAACGCACCGACCCTGGCTCGACGCCGGCTTCAACGTCCCTCCGACCCCCACACGCTCCTACCTCACTCCCTCGCGGCCGGTCCCTGCCCTGTGCACACGATCTGCACAGCGTCGGTCGAAGGCTGCTTCCTCGCATTCCTCTCGCGCCTGTACAGACCTCCATAGAACCCGCTCCGTACCAACCCTAGCCTCGCCGCCCCCGATCCCATCGCCTGCCCACCGCCGCAGCAGAGCACCATGGGCAACACCCCGTCGAAGAAGGGCGACGGGAACGGCCCCCAGCTCGACCGCGATGGCTACGCTTCCTTCTCCCGCTCCGACACGAAGGAGTCGACGCGCTCGATAAGAAACTCGCTCCGCAACAAGATCCCCGGCACCAGCACCAAGACAGACAGCCCGCGCAATTCGATCCAGGGCCTGGGCCAGGACAGCAACAGCAGCCTGAGCAACCTGGAGAAGCTGGACTCGCCCGCAAAGTCTGCCCATCGACGGTCGGGCTCCACGTCGTCGGCGCCACCCCCCGCTCTCGACGCTGCCCAGTCGCCCGCCGACGCCGTCGACGACAGCGACCAGCCCCCGCCTTCGCCCACCCAGTCGGCAACCGTAGGCCATGGCCACGAGTCTGTCGACCAGGCGCAGCGCACCGGTGAAGTTGACCACGTTTCGGACACACCCCCCACCGGCCTGCCGCCGCCATCCGCCCTGACCAAGCCCAAGGAATCCATTCTTTTGAAGCGAGACCAGCCAATCCCCAGGGCGTCGGAGGCACAGACGGAGAATGGGTCGCCGACCATGGAGCTGGGCGCGCCCAAATCTATTGACATTGACGACATGATCTCCAGGTTGCTGGACGCGGGCTATTCGGCCAAGGTCACAAAGACTGTGTGCTTGAAGAACGCCGAGATTTTTGCTATCTGCCAGGCCGCGCGCGAGCTCTTCCTCTCGCAACCCGCGCTCCTGGAGCTTTCACCGCCAGTCAAAATCGTTGGTGATGTGCACGGGCAATACACGGACCTCATCAGAATGTTCGAGATGTGCGGTTTTCCGCCCAGTTCCAACTACTTGTTTTTGGGTGACTACGTCGACCGAGGCAAGCAAAGCTTGGAGACGATTCTGCTGCTGTTGTGCTACAAGCTCAAGTTTCCCGAGAACTTCTTCCTGCTGCGCGGCAACCACGAGTGTGCCAACGTTACCCGTGTCTATGGCTTCTACGATGAGTGCAAGCGCAGGTGCAATGTCAAGGTCTGGAAGGCTTTTGTCGACACCTTCAACACTCTGCCCATTGCTGCCATTGTCGCAGGCAAGATCTTTTGCGTCCACGGTGGTCTTTCCCCAAGTCTCTCGCATATGGACGACATTCGCCAGATTGCCAGGCCTACTGATGTCCCTGATTACGGTCTATTGAATGATCTGTTGTGGAGCGATCCGGCAGATATGGATAATGATTGGGAAGCGAACGAAAGAGGAGTCAGTTACTGTTTCGGGAAGAAGGTTATCATGGAATTCCTGCAGCGCCACGACTTCGACTTGGTTTGCCGCGCGCACATGGTGGTGGAGGACGGATACGAATTCTTCAACGACCGCATCTTGGTGACGGTCTTCTCAGCACCTAATGTAAGTTGACCCTATCTTTGCGGTTCATAAGCTGACGCTAGTAAGTACTGCGGCGAGTTCGACAACTGGGGAGCAGTCATGTCGGTGTCTGCCGAACTCCTCTGCAGCTTCGAACTGCTCAAGCCATTAGACTCGAGTGCACTGAAGAGCCACATCAAGAAGGGCAGGAACAAGAGGCAGAGCATGCTCAACAGCCCGGTAGGTACTCCGGATGGTTTCAGATTGCACCAGCTGACAATACGTCATGTAGCCGGCAAATCAGTACCCGCAATCTTACTAAGTGATGTACGCGGCCCGCACAAAGCGGTCTCAACACTCCGCGTCGAAAATACCCGAGTGTGCGGACGTTCGTCCGATTGCATGTGACGGCTTCATGGAGATAGGCCGGCGCGACACGACGGAGGATTTTGCCTCGGGGGACGCATTAACAACGTATCGTGCGACTCCAGCACGCCACGGACGAGTAGATGGCCGGCGGAAGGCGGAATGAAGGCGAACGGGGTTCAGTGAGGCGCGCGGCCAAGACGCAGACGTCCGGTCTCTGCATGGATTTTCGATGGTACTTCACACACGACTCTTGGCGCGGGGAGTTAGCTGGAGCACGATTTGGTTTCATTGTCTCTTCCTTTGCTGCTGCTTGAGCAAGCATGCGCGACGCCGGTGGCAACTCTCAACAGATTTTATTTTGGTTGGGGTCCGCATCAGTCTCCTTTCACTAGGGGTGCGGTGCGTCGGTCGGAGTTTTAGTCTCAAGAAAGAAAGAAACGCGTTCGCGACTCTGTTTTGCTGTGCCGGATGCAGGGTGTTGTCTCGAAGCTCGACCTTGTACAATAAAACGCAGTGTAATGTCGAATACTAGTCTCGGTGGTCGCGTGATGCACGTGTCTCGCGTGAGAAAATTGCCAAGCCGGGCTAGAGAAAGGATTGTCTTGCAGTGCGGGGGCGATTGGAAAGGCTTCGCGCAGTCGTTCTTGGTGTCTTTGTTGGTGCAAAGGTGAGAGGAAGTGGCTGCGCGCCTGCCTGACCGGCATCGTCAGGCCAATCAGGCATCGGAGTGGTGCGCTTATTTAGCCGTTTGGGTGCTAGCTTCCGAGGATGGCCCGAGCGCGCGAGCGCGCCCACACAGCTTTTCGACCTGAGCCGACTCTCACTTTCTGCCTCCGACGACGACGAGCCGACGCCAGCATCAACACCCAGTACGTGAAATCGCTCCCACCGCGCGCGCACAAAAAGCTGCAACAGCACCGCAGCTTCTCCCTCGCACCGCACACGCACTGCGCATTTCTCCAGGATCTTGGGCTGATTCCAATTGCTTCAAAACAGAACCCCGGGACCTTTTCTTCTCCCATCTTCCAATCCTAAATCGCAAAAATGGCCGACGCTCCTGCCCCCGCCTCCGGCGCCCCCGCCCGTGGTGGTTTTGGTAGCCGTGGTGGTGACCGCGGCCGTGGCCGTGGCCGTGGACGTGGCCGCCGTGGCGGTCGCCAGAACGAGGAGAAGGAGTGGCAGCCCGTCACCAAGCTCGGCCGTCTCGTGAAGGCCGGCAAGATCAAGTCCATGGAGGAGATCTACCTTCACTCCCTGCCCATCAAGGAGTTCCAGATCATCGACTTCTTCCTGCCCAAGCTCAAGGATGAGGTCATGAAGGTGAGCAGCTACACCAATTTTTTTTCTCGGATGGATTGTGGTGGGATTGGGCACCGAGGGAAGCTGGGTTTTGGGGGGCATTGTGAACACGTCTGGAGGAATACACGGAAATGGGCTTGCTTGGGAACATTCTTGGGGATGCGGAGACTAATGCATCTCGGAACTACAGATCAAGCCCGTCCAGAAGCAGACCCGTGCCGGTCAGCGCACCCGCTTCAAGGCCATCGTCGTCATTGGTGACTCTGAGGGCCACATCGGTCTTGGTATCAAGACCTCCAAGGAAGTCGCCACTGCCATCCGCGCCGCCATCATCATCGCCAAGCTCAGCGTTGTTCCCATCAGGAGAGGTTACTGGGGCTCCAACCTCGGTGAGCCCCACTCTCTGCCCGTCAAGACCTCGGGCAAGTGCGGTTCCGTCACCGTCCGTGTAAGTACCACCCATTCCCACGCTTGGATGAAGATCCGGCCGCGAGCAAGCAATTGACATCTCATGTAGCTCATTCCCGCTCCCCGCGGTACTGGCCTTGTCGCCTCCCCCGCCGTCAAGCGTCTGCTCCAGCTTGCTGGTGTCAACGACGCCTACACCGCCTCCGCCGGTTCCACCAAGACCCTCGAGAACACCCTCAAGGCCACCTTCTCTGCCGTCACCAACTCCTACGGCTTCCTCACCCCCAACCTCTGGAAGGAGACCAAGCCCAGCAGGAGCCCGCTCGAGGAGTTCTCCGACGTCCTCCGTGAGGGCAAGAAGTACTAAGCGGTTGTGGGACGATTGTCAAGGGAGCGGTCACGATGATGGGTTTTCTTCACACCACAAGGGTTTCTGGCTTGTTTTGAAACGGTTCCGATGCATGGCCTCGACACCTCTTGCATGGGGTTGCGCGCGCGGGTTCTTTTCGGGGAGGAAACCTAGCATAGGTTTTTGCTTCGAAAAAGAGTAAAAAAGAGATGCAATGCAGTTCCGAAAAAAAAATGCATTGAGCGTATGACTTACACATGGGAATCCCTGCGGGCGAGAATGACTTGTGACTATGCTTGGTTTGCAATGATTTGCCCATTTCTAATCATAGAGGGTTCCAGGCGAGGTCGATGCCAAGTGCGGAAAGCTTATCACCGGGTAGAGCCGAAGAGCTTGGTTATCAGGATGCCTGCTTCTCTCTCTCTCTTTCGTCGAGCTAAAGCAGGGTAGGTATGCCGAGCCGCCGTCTATCGTCGAGATCATTGGCTGTCTTCTTGAGCCGTCTTCTGGCAATCCCCGTCATTCATGTGCAATTTCCCGTCTATTTTTGACGCAAACTCTGGTTCCGGTCAGCACCGCGTGCTTCACGCTAACTACTACCGCCTGTGATCAGATGCCGTTCGTGCGATCGATCAGCTGGGTTGTGGTTGGGAGTTCGTGGGATATATATAGATGTATATCTGTACCGATGGGTTTGCTACTGCGCTGGCTGTCCGATGTGTTCTCTTGATTGAAGAGTGCTATGTCTGGTAGCCATTTGCTCAAAAATGCGAACTTCTGCTCCTTCGGGTCTTTTCCTTTCCCTGCTGATTTGCTATTTTTCTGTTCAGTCTGACCTGGGTTGATTGTGGTGAATGCTGTGGATGCTCATCGTTTTCGTCAAATGATGCGGGTCTTCATGTCACTGAAGTGGAAGAGTATGGGGATTCAAAATAAAGCGTGGGAATGACAGGTCAGATCGAATGTACTTGCTCGAGGAGATGCGCAAGACAGTCCGCGCGCAAAACACAAGACACCAGTGTTCTTGATTCATGTCTGGTTTATATTCAATAAGGTTGCCGCGTCTCGAAGCAGAGCTCGCATGTAGCAAGGACGTACAGCAACCGAAGGCAAGCCCGGAATTAAATAGTCAGTGATGGAGAGACGGCAACGAGGAGCCCATGATCGAACGCACGCCGGTAACCTGGAGGAAAGCTTGCCAGGCGTCCGCGTACAGGGGCACAGAGCTGTCTGGTGGAGGCGGGAGTGAGGCCGGTCGCTCACGGGAACACCAGTTTGAACATTCGCCAGCGTCTTTCTAGAAGGGTTGCAACAGCTGATATGATGGACCTGATGAGGCGTATCTTATGACGTGGTACCCCTTGTGTCTGGTTCAGTGCAAAGGCCGTTCTCTCTTCCTTAAATACTTAAGTTCGCTGTGAATCAATGATCCATATGAGCCAGTTTGCAATGGATTTAGCAAACGCTGGGCAACCAGATTTGGATCGACTTGGGGCTTCTTGTTGAAGCTACTTATCACGAATGACCGTAGGGCGCTGTGCTTGTTCTTGTACGGACCTCGCACAAAGTTTGCAAACTGGATTATAATGATGATGCACTTCATCACCGCATTGTAATTCTGTTCGCTACCATCGCAAAGCCGTTACCCGTCATTATGTGGATTGGACAAAAGTTACGGGTTTGGGTCAATCAAGCATCAAGACAGCCAGAGCCAAGTCGGGTGGGTTGAAATTGTTTTTCCGAACTAGATATTTGTAAGGGCCGCTTTGGAGTTGAAACGGGCGGCTCAATTTCAACATGACTGAATTTAAAGGTGGTGAAAGTGGTGCTGTGGTGGTCCCTGGTGGTCAGGCTCCCAATGTCTCACCCGCCATTTGCTTGCCTACAGCGGGTATATAAGTAGCGCACCTCTCCTCATCATCATCCAATCCTTCTTACTTCCCTTTAACCCCGCAATTTCTTCAAGCATTGGCACCTTTGACTTACTATCTCAAGTCCTTTTGAAACGGGTTGGCGCCGGCCCATGCTGAGATGGACTTGTATAGTAGGCAGGCGGTGGGAATGTCGCACCTCTGCCTACCTCACAAGCTGATAATTGTATCATGATGTTACGCTGCATCATTAAGCCATGATGCTGTTCATCACCATCCCATGATGTCCTCATCGCTCATTATAGACATCAGACAGAACCACTGTCAGTGTGAACACTGGAACACCACACGACAAACGACACAAACACCAAGTGTGCTCAAGAGGTTCCATGTTTGTTCCCGAACCAGTTGAATCTGATTCGGGTAACACAGCCGCCTCTGCTCCGCTTCCCTTGGAGGACGAAGAGAGAGAGGGAAAGCCAGATGAGGCCGCCTTTATATCACCAAGGCCAGCGCAGTCTTCAACAAGGCGCACGCGATTGCTCGGAGCTCATGCTACACGTGCGTAGGATGGGTTTGCAGATGACACCTGCACGCACTGGACCCTGTGAAGGGCGGTCCCCGCCACGTCACTGCAAAACGAAGCAGCGGCACCGGCACGGGGTATCGAACGTCTCTATGCACGGGGCAGCCTCGCCATGCGACCGCCATGCCTTGCAGGTCATCTGTCAACACGAGCAGCCTCTTTGGCGCCAGCCTTCTTGGCGCATGACGAGGAAATGGCGACGATGACGATCGAGCGCCACGGGCCCATGGCAGCTGCGGTTGGTCGGTGAGTTGCGTGCGGTCGAACTCGGGGCGCATGAGGCCGGCAGGCGGGGGGAAGTGGGGGTTGTGTGTGTGCTGTGCGTTTAGCTTTTGGTTGTGGTGTTGAGGAGGCGGATCTAGAGGCGGCGGTGGTGGTGCAGCATAAGCATGAAATGTGTAGAGGAGCAGGAGGACAAGGTAAACGCGGGCGAGAACGAGAAAGGGTCATGAATAGAAGATATGCATCAGGAGGAGCAAGTGATAGAGCGTTTGGAAGTGACTCGTTGTAATCGTTGGTGTTGGCCAGAGAGAATTCCGGAGAAGTAGTAAGAGGCTGTGGTTCAGAAGGCAACTCAGCAAACACAGGAAGGCGGGAGAGGCATACTGAACTTGTCTGGTTTTAATGAAGACGAAACAAAAGGTGATGGTCTGCTGCTGCATCACATATAAGCCATTGCCAATTGCGAAAGTTCATTGTCTGCAGATATGCGTTTAACTTTTCTCAAAAATTGCTGAATGGTGAGCCCACTTCACGTACCTCTCTAAAGGCCATCTACTTCCGGACCATGCTGCCATGCCTGGACGTTAAGACTTTGACCACATGGACAGCATGTGAACAGCCACCTCACATATGGGCTACAACTATTGGAGCATACACCTGAGAAAAATCCCGTGCCTCGCGCCACTGCTGCTCTTCAAACTGCAAGAATATGACAGGAAGAGGCACGCCCGCAGCTTCAGAGTGCACGCGATGCTCTCTGCCACCTCAATTCTACGCATGTGTCTGAGGTCCTGTGAGCATCAAGCATGCACCTCAATGAACATGCTTCACGAGGACCCCCGGTCTTTCCTGTACGCCCTTCTTATAAAACGGGTCTCAATCTTCCTTTCCTCCTGGCAGGACTCTAGAATGTCTAGCGGTTACTGTGGGCCGCCAGAACAACACATACAGACCACTGGTGTTTCGTTGTGTGCGTGGAGCGATGCCTCCTTTACGGACGATAAACTGCGCTGGCGTTCTGCGCGAGATCGACGCTGGTTTTGGAGCCTGTCCTCTTCCGCGATGGTTGTTGCTTTCGCCTGATCTGCATGATGATGGAGGAAGGTGATTTGATACGGTGATGAATGCTACCATGTCAAAATGATGAAGGGCCTCAGCACTGTCAAAGCTATCTGCTGCCCTATGTGATCGATTACAGGGGATGTAACAAGTCAAAAGAATAGGGCGAGGCCAACTCCGCTGCTTTAGAAAGAAATCATGTCGACCTCGGCCAATGCAATAACATGAAACGGAGAATCATGCTCTTGCATCAAATTTCTCAATATCACGACAAGTCCTCGACCAAGCAACCATATTCATACACAGCAACAAAGTCTACACACGAGCCCAACCATTCCCCCCTTCAAAACTCACCTCCCCTCATGCTTATTCCACGTCGCATTCCTATGCTTCCAATACAACCCGCTCTGAATCGCCTTCCTAATCGCATACGCGCCGCCCACCGGCCAAAGATCCAGCAACCTCCTCGTCCACCCACCCTCCTCCTTAATCCTCTTCTCGAGCTCGACATCAACCTTGACCTTCTCGTACACGCTAGGCAAGCCGGTGGCGCCGTACTTCTCGCGCAGCTTGTCGTACCACTCGCGGTTATTGTAGGTGCGCCAGAACTCGTCCTCGGTGTAGTACGTGTGAGCGTAGAGCCACTTCATGCCGCCGAGCTCGCGCAGCGTGGCCTCGAGGTCGCGGTTGAGGGCGGCGAATGCGTCGATGTCGTTCTGGGCGTGGCGGGGGGCCCAGCCCCACAGGCCGATGTTGAGGAGGGGCTTGAGACGCGTCTCGGTGACGCCCTTCTCCATGTTGGCGACCTCTTCGATCTCGGATGGGTTGTTGGGGTGCATGGTGGGGAGGGGGCTCTGCTTGAGCGGGCACAGCCACAGCGGCCAGATGCCGAACTTGTCCGACGTGTAGTCGATGAACTTCTCGGCCGTCGGGAAGGGCAGGGCCAGGTCCTGGACGACGTAGCGGCGCGACTGGCCGCTGGCGTGTAGGGCGGCGTAGAGCATGCGCGTGTGTAGGAAGTCGTCGAGCCAGCGCCGCGTGAGGGCGTTGAAGGGGAAGTTGAAGTACTCAAAGGCCGACCGCCCGACCCAGAAGCCGCCGCGGTCGTAGCGGAAGAGGTACTCGGCGAGCGGCACTGCTTCCGTCTTCGGGCGCCCGCTCTTGATCTGGTCTTGGACGTGCAGGTAGAACCACGGGTCCTTGGGGGCGCTGAAGGTTTGGATGGGCGACTTTGGTGACGGCTTGTTGGTTGCGCGGCCGGTGATGATGGCGCCCTCGGTCTTGGAGAACAGGATGCCGTCGACGTAGTCGTAGGTGTCTGGCTCCTTGATGAGCTGTTCCGACAGCTCCACAGCCTCAGCTACGCTCGAGACCGGGTGGTAGGTTGTCTCGACGAACTTCTTGGCTTCCTTGAGCTGCAGCTCCACGAGGGTGGTGACGCCGAAGGTGCCGACGGCACCGGCTGCGCCATGGAAGAGGTCTGGCATCTCGGTCCGCGAAATCTTCACAACTTCACCGTTGGCCAGGACCATTTCGACCCAGTTGATGGTCTGATCGAAGTAGCCGTACTTGAAAGAGCTGCTCTCACCCGAGGTGCCGGAGTAGCCGCCACCGACGGTGATACCGGGGAACTCCATGATGACAGGGGGAATGAGGCCGTACTTCATGGTCTCTTCGGCAAGGCGGTCCATGGGTACATTGGGCTGGACGAGGGCGGTGCGAGCTTCGACATCGACCTTGAGCACGTGCGATAGACCACTCGTGTCAATGAAGTTGGTCTTGCGTCTAGTTGCAGACTGGCGAGTGCTGTTTGTCGAGCCATGCGAGATACGGAACTTCTCTCCTCGTTCGTGGAAACCGCGGACATCGGCAGAAATTTTAGCGACAGCCTTCGCATGGTCCTCTAACGAAGGTGTTGCAGCGGCAGGAGCCTGCGCAGCTAGTCGCACAGACTGTGAGAACTGACGCGCATTCTGTTTGACTATGCCAGGTTGAGTAGCACGTGCCAGGGGTGATGATCTCCGAGATGCGGTTGACAGCGGCGATTGAATGCCGCATGTTGCAGTGCAACCTTGAATTCGCCGTCAGTTTTGCTTCGTGACAAGTCATTGATGGAGAGGACGAAGCATACGCGCCGATATCGGGCGAAGCCCAATGCGCGCTGAGCGTGCACGTAGAACAATTGGACTTGACATTTTGCCCGGTCGAGAAGGCGGAAAAACTGCTCCAGCGCGTCGAAAAGTTCCCAGCTGGTGCTCGGACCACCGGCTGACATAATCACGCCGGAGTGTTCTGTTGCCTTGGAGCAGACAATGATTGGTATCAAGACCCTATTCGGCATATCAAAAAAGTACTAGCGGTGATAGGTTTGATGAGAATTTCTGTATTGCTGTACTGTCTAGTCAAACAGTCGCGCCGCTGTTTCCTCTTTAAGAGGAAGACTGCCTAGATGTTGCGTCCGAGATAACGACTTCTGCCACTTACCTAGCATGGTATGTGTTGCGGATGCTAGAGAAATTGGGGAAAATGACTTTCTTCCGTTTGGCTTTGAATGTGTGCTGCTCCCGAGCCTGTCAGCGCGTGCCTACCCGAGTGCTTGCATTTCCATGGGCCGGTCCAAAGCCCACGCAGCTGCTGAAAGCATCGTATGACTTTGGTAGCCGGGTAGCTCTGTTAAGTGCAGAGCTATCACAGTGTGAGCGTTTTCCGTTCTCATGTCCATCTCATCCGATGCTCTTGCTCATTATCAGGTATGGCGGCAATTTGATCTTGCCACCCCTCAACCTCTTCGCCGGTGGACTAAATTCATCTTCGCCAAACCCAAGCTTTTGATAAAAAGCCAAAGCCACGGTGTTGCACCTGAAACAGGTGAGCATGACCTTTTCCACAGCGCCCTCGGTGGCACAGTGCTCCACTATGCGCATCAAGTGTCTGCCCAGACCGCTGCCTCGATGCTCTTCCGCGAGGTGGATCTCGTATATGTAGATGACGGGGTAATCGTCTTCGATGGTGAACATGAAGGCGAGGAAAGCGCCGACTTCGTCTTCTGGTCCCTTTTTCGTTGGCTCCATAGAGTCTCCATTGCGCGCATGCACACCGCCATGAGCGGAGTCGGTACGTGAGGCCTTCCGGACGAGCAGATACTGCATATTGTCCTCCCTCATCTCGCGCTGCTTGTCTTTCGGGTGCCATCCGCGCGGAGAGTTCTTGTAGTCGGCGGCGGACGTGGTCTCGATGAGCTTGAAGCAGGCCATGAATTCGGCATCGCTGAGCTCGGTGACAGGCTTGAGACGAATCTCGTAGTCGCGGTGCCGAAGCAGCTTCGAGGGCGACGCGAAGAAGCGGTCGAAAAAGGCGGCGCGCGGCAGGGCATTGATTTTGTCGATGAGCTCCTCAGGCCTCGGCTTGGGCCGCTTGGCTCCACGCTGCAGGCCGCCAGGCATGTCGGCGCGGTCAATGGCAGGTTGACGGAATGACGGGATCCAGGAATGAGACGCGCAGGGCGGGAAGACGCGCAGACGCGTGGTGGTGGGGCCGGTGCGCACGGACGTATGACGAGATGGACTTGTTGGTCGCCCAGAAGCTTCCCTTCTTCGACCCTTCTTCTCCGCTGCCCAAGGTACCAAAATGCTCCGATTTCGCCACAACTTGTTGACGTTGCGGACCTACGCCTCCATGGCGTCGCGGCCATCGAGATTTGGCGGCCGGAGGAAGGGGCCGACCATAGGCCTCGATCATGTAACTACAATTTCTATTCCAATCTGATCGTGCTTCAACTGAGTCGTTGCAGTTCATTCAGCGGCAACGGGTGATCTCACTGTGGAGAGATATTATTAGAGCTCTCAATAGTATGCTTGCCGGATTACATTATTCCCCGGACGACAACTGACATGATCAGAAATTCCCCCGTCGTCAACCCGCCACGAGCTCCACCAGTACGCCAGAGCCGAATTTGAAAGAAATCGGGATGTAACGGACCTTGTGAGTATCTTCCTACCTCCATCGAGAAGAGATGCTGATCTTTAGGAAGGCACACATAAGATACCTGATATCGGTATGTTGTAACGATGATTATTTGCAAGCCTGAAGGCTTACAACCTACAGACAGGAAAGACCGAGTTCGACTCTATGAAACGATATATAGAGGAGCAGGCGAGATGAATGACAGTGCCTGTCTGCCGAATCCTGTAACTCTAAACGTTGTCCGCGAATGTACTTTTGAGACTGAATTTTAATACGACAGAGGTAATTACTGGCCAAACGTTTGCTTTATGATACCACTATTTCTCTAACTTCTGTGTTAGGAAAAGTCGTGGCCTAAAATAATGTGCTTGGCCCGCTGGAGCATTTCACCACCGCAGCCGTATCAATCCACGCACTAAGCTTAAATGTTATTTCTTCCATCTTCTTCAATCAATCGTTTCAAGACTTTCTTCTCGTCCGTTGATTTTGCTACCGTTGTCTGAATACCAAACCATTCTCGGCCTACATGCCGGGCTCATGCAAGGGATGGAAACAGCACTTTAATTTTGGAAACCCTCGTGTCTGGCAACGGCATCTGCAATCTGGAGAGATGCAATGCTTCTCAGCGAGCGTATGTTGCGTGGTGTTGGTCACCGATCCATGTCGGCGATCTCTGACCCCTTTTCCAACCCCGTTCCCTCAACACACTCCTTTGGCCCCAATCATGTCTTCTTGGACTCAGTCATACGCGCTAGAAGTTCCTTTCAATGTCCACTAGGCTCCTGCAGTCTGTTAGAATATAATACATCTTAACCGCCAACTTTTCAACTTCCCAGGAAGCAATAAATCAACGGTCTTGTGGTCTAGTGGTATGATTCTCGCTTAGGGCGAACCCTGAGTAGCTTGCGAGAGGCCCCGCGTTCGATCCGCGGCAAGACCCGTTCTTTTGCTTTTTGTTTGGGCGTTTGGTGGTGGTTGGGGGCTGTGCGTTGAGGGCTGGCCGGGCGGAAAATTTTTTAGATTTGCGGCCCGGCAAAGATCCGGTGGTACGGTCACGAATACCTGCAAAGCCGAGGCACTGCTCACAGCTGTGAATTATGTTTCTGGTATGAAGACAACGCGGAGTGATCGTGGGGATCGGGGAAGATTCTGCGGTGGCAAGGTCACGAAGCAGTACCTTTTTGTACGTTGGCACAAGCATTCAATTTGTTCCAAACAGACAGTATTCCAAAGAAACAGACATGGGCCGAAGGACTTCAAGTGGGCCGAGCGTTGGAGCGTGAGCCATACATACATACGTTCCACACCACTTCTGTCCTTCCCAAAGATCAATCCTCAACATCAGTGTTTGCCCCATGTTCTATGAGAATTTGACAAATGTCGTCGCAGACACTCCCGTTTCCATATTGCGCAGCGAGCAACGCATGGCCGAAGTAGCCACCGGTGACGTTGACATCGGCCCCCTTGTCGAGAAGAATCCGGACAATATCTTTAAATCCCCAGTGTGACGCAGCTTGCAGTGCGGTACCAAAGTGGCCATTGACAGCATTGACGTTGGCCTTGTTGTTGAGAAGATGTTGCACAATGTCCTTGAATCCCCAGTGAGAAGCCGTTTGTAGCGCGCTGCCGAACTCACCCCAGATAGCATTGGCATCAGCGCCGTGGCGGAGAAGGAGCTGCACAACGTGGCCATGCCCTCTACAGCATGCAGCCTGGAGAGCATTGCCGAACTCACCGCCCGAGGCGTTTATGTTGGCGTTTCTATCCAGGAGAAGTTGAACGATGTCACTCTTGCCTGCCCACGAAGCGGCTTGAAGAGCAGTGCCGAAACGTCCAACTAAATTATCATACTGAGCGCCATGATAGAGGAGAAGCTTGACAGCCTGCAAGTCACCTCGAATACAGGCAGCCCGTAGAGCGTCCCCGTAGCGTCCACCAGCTGCGCTGATAGCAGCACCACTGTCAAACAGCAGTCGCATTATTGTTTCGCTGCTTCTCGATGAAGCTGAATCTCCCGCTCCATATAGGGGACTGCCATAACTACCGCAGTCGGCATTCGTGTTTGCTTTGTTCTCGATGAGCAACGCCACCACCTTTTCATGGCTTTTGTAACAAGCGAGATAGAGTGGCGTGACCCTCGGAGCTTCGCCAGGGAAACCGGGATGTTTTCCAAACGCTTCCACATCGGTACCGTTGTCAATTAAGACTTGGACGACTTTGTGATAGCCTGTCTCACACGCAGCATGTATAGCGCTGCCAATACGGCCTTTCCACCGATTCGTCGAAGCACCATTCTCAAGAAGCAGTTGAACCACTTCACTGTGTCCGTTCTCGGCGGAAAAGTAGAGAGCCTCATTAAAACCGTCTCTGATCAAGCCGTCGGTATAAGAACGTGCGCCAATGTCTAGCAATTGCCGCACCATTCTTTTGTTCCCCTTGATGGATGTCGTCCGGAGAGCGCCGTTGAACCAGTTTTCTGGGATGTCAGAATCGACATGGCTCTGCCGCCATTCTACCAGTAACCGTACCAACTCTTCTGATCCAGTTTCGCAGGCTGCACACAGAATTCTGCTAAACTTTGTTGTTTCAGTATGACTTCTCGTGTTTCTCTCGATCAGCAGCCGAGTAGTATCTTCATATTTAGGTTACTCACAGCAGTATTTAGGAGAGTGCTATGAAGGTCCTCCTTACGGTCAACGCTGGCACCGCTGTCAAGTAACATACGTGCGATTTCCTTTCGTCCGCTAGCCACTGCAGCACTGAGCGGGCATGGATATGCACCCTCAATCTCGGGATTGACATTGGCACCATTATCAAGTAACAGCTGCACTATGTCCACGTAGGCTGTCGAGGCTGTAAGCAAAAGAGGGGTGTATTCGCTCCTGTGCCGGTAGTCAATGTTCGTGACATAATTTACCAGGAGCTTCATGATCTCAAGTTGGCTAGCTGCGCAGGCCGAGGAGAAACAATCAGACAGTTCCTCGCGATGTATTGCCTCTTTGTTGAAGTCCAACAGCAGTTGTACTACTTCCAAATGGCCATACATACACGCCAAATATAGACTTGGGTAGTAAAATAGGTGCTCAGCTTGACGATAATCACTCTGACGAGCGTGAGACGACAAAATCGTGGGATTAGAGCTGGAGGTTCCATCCGTGCTGGGTTTCTCGGCTGTATTCAACAGAATTTTGAATACTTTGTGCAGTCCAAAAGCGGCTGCGAGTGCTAGTCCGCGCGTTCTCGCGTTCTTGTAGACAGCCTCGGTATATAGCGTATTTCGTATAAGAGAATGAAAAGCAGGGACTGTAAGCCGTTCATCCCCCAGAAAATCCAGGGTTATCTTGAGAACTTCATCTTGGCATGAATGCACATGCTTGCCCCAGTTCAAGCTGCAATACTGAAGCAAAGGGTACGTGGCAAATTCAAGCTGCATGTACTCATAAGTGCTCCAATTTTTGACAGAGCTCTTAGTGGCGAGTTCATCAAGAGATAAGTAGCTTAAACAGGCTCTTGAAAGAATGGCAGGGGCATCTGCGATCCATTTCTCCCCACATTGTTCGAAAAACGATTTGGTTGTGTAGTGAACCAGCTCCACCGCATTGCTCTGCTGATTGAGAATGACTAGGCCGGCGCATAGAGAGATCATCTCTGCAGGTGGAGCCAGATCTTCTTTAGTAAGCGTTCGAGATCCATATTTGACCGCAACTGCGTGTTGGAGCTCCACGGGCGTCAATGGTCTTTTCGCATGAACAACCCAACACAACACACGATGGGCCAATTTGCAATCAGCCCCGCCATTTTGGTCCTCGATTCTTTGGAGAGCGCTGCTGTACGCCTTTTTCAACGCATCTTCTCCTGTCGGGAGACTCTCAAGGGCATCGAAAACTTGTTTTCTGGTTCTTTTCCCTTTTAATGAATCCAGATGCAATTGCGCAAGGAGAAACCTGAGGGATGGTAAGTGCTAGAAATGGAGCTTAGGGAGTTAATATACTCACATTCCTCTGGCTGCACGGACAATTTCTGCTTTGACTTTTTGCACCAAGGCCTCATCTTCTGTGATGCAGCTTGATAGGAATCGAACTTGTTTGCCCAAATGAATTCCCATGTCGTCATCGCTCGCGCGGATCTTAATTTCTCCCCCTTTTTTCAGATGGGCTAGGTCTTCAAGATGACGTGAAGTTGCCAATAAGCTGATAGGTGTCTTCTCCTGTAGATTTTGAATTTCTTCAACAATCTCTTTTCGGACCTCGCTCTTCAACTCATCCAGAGCATCAATCACAAGATACAAATGCCCGATATTCTCGATGATGATGAGTCGAAGTGTCTGCAGAACTTCCTGTTGTGATGGCTGTCTCCTCTCTGCTTGGCACAACGTGTACAGAACTTCGAGGGGCTCTGGAAGCAATGGCGCACTTTCGCAAACCTGTCTTAAAATTGATCTTAGCAGATCTCTGATTTTCTGCTCTTCTCTTTTGTTGTAGCTGCAATAGAAGAAGGCTAGACTTGATGGCCGCGTGGTGCAAAGGTGGCGTAGATTGTTGACCATGAACGCTGCCATGATGGTTTTCCCCGATCCGGGGATTCCAGGGCAGTAAAGGGTATCAAATTTCCGCTGAATCCAGCCATCAACCTGTGGGGAATTCAGAAACCATGCCCCGGTATTTTCGGTTCGTTTTTCAATGATGTCGGCGTGGTGGTCTTCATGACCCCGCGAAGACAACCAGTCGAGTATCTGTTGTTGCTTCTTCTTCTGAGTCTCTGCTTAAATCAGCCATTCATGTGCTTAACCAGAGGTATTCACGAGAATCATACCATCAAGTAACGGTTCAATTTTCTTGTCAATGGCTGTCAATTCCTCTTTCACTGATTGTCACCGCCGTTAGCCACGAATATCTAGCGAAACGGTACACTAACCCAGCTTCATGACCTGAACGGCTTCCGTTGCAGACGCAACAAGATGTTTCGGGATTGAAAGGATCAACTCTTTTGCATACGCGGCCGCTGCAGCAGCTGCGTGTGGTTGCCATCTTTTATTCTTATGCGAGTCGGAATAGTCGCATATTCCCCTGACGACCAGACAAGGAAAGTTGTCCATCAGGCCCGCAGCTTCCATCTCGAAACACTTTATACCAAGCTCTCGTCTTATCCGTTCACGAGTAGCACCATGCCTCATGACCTGATTCGCCGAAGCAATGAGGCCATAGTGGATGATGGGAGCAGTATTCCGGCGTGGTTCTCGCGATACCAAGTGCGTTTCGTCGCAAGATTTACAATCCGTGTTGGGTTGGAGATGTTCGTAATCAGCCTTGAAGAGTCGATCTTGCTCAGACCCCTGGTGCTGGAAGTCTTCTTGCATAGCCGGGTTCGCTTTGAGCATTTCTGCAATGAACGCTGATACCTTGCTGCCTGATCTCCGATGCCGAGCCCGCAGCTTTATGACAGCAGTACCAATAGCAGTTGGTGGTTTGTTCAAGCAGCCTTTGCGGATGAATTGACCTCCTTCGATGGTCTTTCCATAATCGTACTGGACGACACCACCTGCTCGGGGGATGAGTAGGAGCAAGAATGCAGGCGAGTATTGGCTTACCGTGAGTATCATCTGGGGTACTGACTACTATGTCTCCCAGTCGAATATCCCTCATCGGATCAGAGTTTTCTGGGTCTGGTGCTCCACCCCCAATGCCGACCATTAATCCAAAGCGGATTTTGGGAAAGCTTCGAAGCATATTGGATGCCGTTGTTGCCGCAGCATTCGTTCCCATTGTTCCAGATGGCAAACAAGCAATCACAACATTATGTTGGCCAATACTTCCGAGCGAGTAGGCGTTTGAATCATTGTCGACTTGGCTTAAATCCGGGTGTTCTTCATCAAGCATACCTTGGCATGCTGCTAACTCGTCTTCGAGAGCGCAGATCAACCCGACAGTGTAACTCTCGTTGGTCAGAGTGGTATTTGCCATGTTGGAAACGTGCTAGTTGCAGAGTAATGGCAAGTGGATAATCCACACCCCTTTGTCGTGGTTAAGTATGAGGTAGCGTGATGATTTTCTATGAATATGGTTAGTAATCGCTCAAACCCCGGGCATTGGAGTGGAACTGGCTGGATATACACAATCGAAGATGGTGATAACATCTGCACGTACAGTCTCCGAGGTTACGTTCCAACTGGAACGTGGGGTGTCGTCGCGCTCAAAACAATTCTATGAAAAAAAAAATACCTGAGATACCTGGGTTTCATAGCTACTGGGTGCTGCCAGCCTTTTCAGAAGAGCGCGGCTTGCACAGCCGGGCGCCCAGCTGAAATTCTGGTCACTGCCAAAGCGTTTCATTCGCGGACACTATGCACTGCCACGATTGCACTGCATGCTCTACATTTTCAGCCTTGCACTGTGTGGTGAGTGCCTGTCAGAGCAATCGCTGATCACCATACCCTTGAATAATTAGGCATCAGACGGCTGGCTGTGGATTTAGCGATGCGTATTTTTTGAAAGGTAGCCCCCACCACATGTGGTGTCAGCTCAGCCTCGCTCCCCCTTGTTGCATTGCTGATGCCTGCGATTAAACCAGGCTGACGCGCATGTGACTCGTTGGTTCAGCCTCATGAACGTCTGCCTATCTGAAATCTCGGCGCGTTCGCCTCGAAGTCTAAGATCTCAATACTCTACTTCTTTCCCAGCAGATTACCTTGACTTCATTTCGTCGTGATAGCCTTCAACTCAGCCGCACCACTCTAATTACCACTTCACTTCAGCCCCCAGTCAACTCGCTTATACCTTGCCCCTGACTTCAGCCCATCACTTGCCCCCTGTTGCGGAGCCGGAGTTAACATTTATCACTCACACCCCTTCTTCGTCTAGTGTAAAAAGACCACTTTGCCTTCGGGCAAACTTGGCATTGCTCGAACAAAGGTGAGTGCGTGCTGAAAAGTCTACCCATTGTGTCGAGACCATTAGAAAATGAACTAGCTTGATACTTTGCAAGTTCCAGGGCTAGATCTGATATGAACATATCAATGGCGTTTGGATTCGCATTTCCCTCCGTCTCCCAGAACAATAAGAAAGAATGCACAACCAACTACACCCGCCCCACGAACCCCACGAACCCCACGAACCCCACGAACCCCACAAACCCACTATCCTTCACCATCCTCTCCACATTCTCCTTGAGTTTGTTCAATCCGCTCGCACTGAACCGTAGGATTCAACTCACGTTCTTGCTATTCTTCCTTGGGTCCTGCGAATCTGGTAGCGGCACGTGGATCCGATGGCTGAAACAGGACTCTTCAGGTGGCACCCTGGTATCCACGGGGGGCGGAAAACGAGGTCGAACGGCGGCTTTACGACCTCTATCTGTACTCTCCTCCCTTCCTCTTAACCTTCCCTTGCCCGCCCCCGCAAATCCCTCCAAAAACCTCGATGTAGTCAAAAGCGGAAGGAGACACACGCCGTCTCTCGTGTTCAATAATATAGTCATATGGATTACTTTACAAGGCTTTCGAGGTCAACGCACACCAATGATAAATGAAAACGGTTAGCTATGGCGAACAAAAATAGGAAAAGGATAAAGCAAATCTGGGCCACGTAAATTAGTTCTCCACTTTTGCCCTGATAATTTGAATTGGGGAGGACGCTGACCGGCTGTGGTTAACTTGGAAGGCGCATCTTTGCGCCCCCCGAGGCTCCCACACGCGGTCAACACAAGAAAGCCGCAATGAATCGTTTCGCTGCGAAAGGTCGCAAATCTTGAGATTCGGTTACTAAAGCCATCACTGCTTGTAACCTTCGCGTGAGGGCCGTGATGAAATGCTAGGAATCCGTGTCAGTTGATGTGAATAATACAGTTCGAATAATACAAACCCAACCTACGGTCAATACCGCCAAGTGAAGAACACCAATTCAACTCATCGTACAAACAACGTAGTACTTCAAAAACTCTTCCCATTTCTCTATCCGCATACAAAAAGGCACGAAGCTCTAGATACACCTCCCCCACACGCAGCAGATCCCTCCCCCGATTACTCACCAAAAGGAAAGGAAAAACTGAAATGGAAATGTTATAGAACACAGACCGGAGCCGCTTTTAGCTCCCAATCTCAAGATTGTAGGAAAAATGTTCTTCATTCCTTGGCTCGATCCCTCCCACACCACCCCGCAATTGCTGGGCTCATACAGCGCACTCCTGACGCTCTAATACTTTTTGTTTGATTTAATCTACAAGCAGGCTCTGTAGTCTCGCCTCCGTGGAAAGGACCTGAACACTCATGTTAGCTGTGATATTCTTTTTGGATTATTTTGGGTAGAGGCAAAACTTACATCAAGCGCTTGCCTGACCTCCAACACCCTCCTAGCATCGCCCAACCAATCCCTCGCCAGAACCTTGGCCCAACCGCTGAGGCCGTTCATCTCACGGGCCGCGGCGTCGATGTTGCCCTCCTCGAGCAGCATCTCAGTGCGAGTCAGCACAGACTCGACATCGTTACCGACGGGCAGGCCTTGACCGTCACCACCCTTCTTGAACATGACCTTGCTCAACACCAAGCTGGCGGCGTGAGAAGCGACACCAGCATCCTCGGGCAGCAGAGCCGCCTTGCGGACCTCGGCGGCGACGCGACGGAAGCGGTCGATGAGCTGCGAGGGGGTGGGAACACCCTTCTGGTAGGCGGTGGGGTTGATGGAGGCGATAGCGGCGTTGACGACGGGGTCCTCGGCAGCGACCTCCTTGAGGGCGGCGAGCTCCTCGACAAAGGGGCGCGGCTGGTCGGCCTTCTCAACAGCGTTGCGAGCAGCCTCGACGGCGACGAGCATGTGCTGAGTGCGGAGGTTAGAGTCGATGACGGAGTTCCATTCAGCCGTCAGCTTCTCGAGCTCGGCAACAGCGTCGGAAAGCTCGTTGAGCCTGGCAAGACGGCCCTGGCGCTCTTGCTCCACGCGCTCGTGGACCGAGTTGGCGAACTGGCGGTTGAGCGCGATGGCCTGCTCGAGAAGCTCGTTCTTGAGCTTCTGCTCGTAGACCTTCTGCGAAGCCTCGAGCTCAGCCCTCAGCTTGCTCTGGTAGGTCTGAGAGAGCTTCTCACGCTCGCCCTCGAACTCGTCCTTCCAGCGGGCTTCCTGGCTCTGCATCTCGGCCTCAATCCGCTGGACGAGCTCCTTCGCACCAGTGTCAAACTCGATGTGCAGGTTCCTGATCTTGTCCTCGGTCTGCTTCTCGGCAACGGCCTTCATGGTCTGGATGTCGTTGATGACCTTTCCGAGCTCGCCCTTGGCCTTGGAGATGGCGGAATCGTACTTGGAGCCCGCGTTATCGGCATTGATCACAGTGATAATGTCGTTGATGATCTTGACAACATCCTGGACGACGGGTTCCGTAGCGCCGTCAAGGTTGACCTTATCAATCGGGGTAATAGCAGCGGCAGCGGCAGCGGGAGCGGCCTTCGCCTTCTTCGCGGCCTTGGTAGCAGGAGGGTTAGGCTTCTCTTCACTGCGAGCGGCAGCCTTGTTATCCTCGACTGCGCTAGTATGCCTGCCAGACTTGGACAAGTCGGCGCCGCTCTTGGAGTCCTCCTTGTCGTCGGAAAGCTTCCAGGAGAGACCACTCTTGCTGGGAATGGTGACCTTGTTCTCGCCACGGATCTGCTGGTGCAGCCTGGACTGACTAGCGGCGCCGCCGGGGAAGCGCTTGCGGAACTCACGCTCCTCAAAGTAGCCAACCGCATCCTCGCCGAAAGGCACGTACTCGGTGAAGAAATCGTGGAAGTTGTCGGAAATGAGCGAGTAGTAGACACCGCCAGCGTATCCGAGCGTAGTCAGGGTGAGCAGGGTGAGCAGGAAGCGGCGGAAGCTACCCTTCTTCTTCTTAGGCGGCGGAACGGAAGAAGGACCGACGGAGGCGCTGCCAGTACCAAGGGGAACGCCAGCACCAGCCGAACCGGTAGCGGGCGACTGAGCGTTGACCTGGTCAGGTGTAGGAGGGGTCAGAGGAACCTCGGTGCCGGAGGGCGTAGGGTTTGCGGGAGTGGTGCTCGGCGGAGGAGGAATGTCGTCGGCAACTTTCGCGCTCTGCGAGCCGGGCAGAACAGTCTCATCGGTCTTCTTGGCGTCGGCAAAGTAGCGCTGTCAATGCATTGGATGGTCAGCTATCAATGGCGGGCTAATGGAGGAGTGCATCCGCATGCGTACCTGGCCGAAGGCCATCTGAGCGGGCCGGCGCGCGTGAAGCCATTGGGAACCGAGCCTCGGCGCGACAGAGCCGGCAGCGAGTTGCCTCGTTCTTGCGACAGAGATGCGCAGCATGGCGGGCTGCTGGGGCGGAGAAGGAGCGGGGGATGGAGAGCGCGTGCGTGTTGGTCTGGAGCTGCGGATGAAGTCGATTTTCGGCGGCGAGCTTCCGCCGGCGACACGGCCAAGCCCGCTCCCGCGCGAACGTCATCCTGCCTGAGGCATCCACGGCCCCCTGCAGACTCGATCAACGTCCAGGCGCAACATAACTCTAACGCAACGGAATAATGCAAGACTGTTCCTTACTGTTATACTCAGGAAAAACATGCAGCATTCAACACAAACAAGACATGTCCACCCGTCAAAGAAATTGGTTTACCAGCCTAGCGAAGATAGAGTATAATACAGTTAAAGAAATGCCTTTTATAATATGTGGTATCCCAAATCAAGCTCTCGGCTTTCTAGGAAACAACTCCCTCGATCCATATCCCCAAGGTCTCGATACCATCAAACGCCAGTGGTGCCTGCAGATCTGTTTAAACCACTTATTCTATTCTCTTCTTGTTGCCCTCTTCCAGGTAAAGAAGCCTCGCATCGCTCTTGCCCCTCTCGTGCCTTGCCACCAACGGTCCCAAGAGAGGGTCCTTCTGCACGTGCGACATCGCGTCCTGATAGCCCTCGACGGCGTAAGAAGGCGTGTTCAACTTCGGCCAGTTGACCTAGGTGCTGTCAGTAAGAGTGCTTATTTGTAGTAGACGTTGTACTTACGTAGAATGTGCCGTGGGTCTGGATGAAGCGGAAGCAAATAAGAGTCACGGCGAAGCAAAGTAGCACAAGGATGCGCAGAGGCCAGACGTAAGCGTCAGGGGACCTTCTAGTGAAAGCAGAAATGAAAATGAAGAAGACACATCCAGCAAGGATGTAAGGGATCGACTGAATGGCAAGTGGTCTCCGATCAACAAAGAGAAGACTGTTGCCAATGTTCGAAGTCGAAGGAAGGTACGTGCCCAGGAACAGGTCAAAAGCATCCTGGCGCGGGCCATCAAGGAAGTTGTTCTTGATGTAACGAGTGATGGAGTTGTTGAGATCCTGCAGCATACCAGCCTTCGTCCGCTCTCCTGTACGGGTGAAGTCCGTCTTCAGTGCTCCTGTGCCCGAGTAAGACTTGGAGACGACATCGGCGTTATCGGCCCAAATGTTACGGAAGATGTCCTCAAATGCAGCATCGTCCTGCGCATTCTCGCCTTCGCGGAGAATGCCCAGGTCGATGAGCATACGGCTGAGAATGAAGCGTCCCAGCATGCTTTGGACGACATTGGTACGATCCAGGCAGTCCATACAATTGGTACGCACAACACACGTCTGCCGGCTGCGGATCTCCATCTTGCCATTCGGATCGCCCGGCATGTCGACGCCTCTGAAGTAGCCATTCTCCTTGATCGGCCCCTCCAGTTGTTGAAGCAGCAGTGCAGCACGGTGCCACCGGAGTCCCTTCGTTTCACTGTGGAAGTCGAAGTACGTGTAGTGGATGCGGTCGTACCGCTGCTTCTCACCCTCAGGTTCGATAACGGTGAACTTCTCGCTAGTGACCTGGTCCGATTCCGTGCTTTCGGCAGGCGAAGAAACCAGAAGCTCGACCATCTTCTCGTAGGCTTCCTTGACGGCCCGTTCGCGACCCTTCTGGTTCACCAAATTGACGAGGTAGTTGTCGCCGTACAGACGTATCTGCTCGTTGAAGTGGCGCTTGGCGGCTGACACAGCGCTTTCCACCCCACGGATCTGCAATTTAGGGGTATATTTGAGCTCATTAATTTCGGCCCAATACACCGGTACGCTGCCTCTCGTCTGCACGTAGGACAAAACCTGGGTTTCCGGTTTCCCGCTAGACTGAAGAGCGGAGCCTGCGGCAAATCCTCCGGGGCCGTTTGATGCATTGTCATTGAGAATGATCACTTGCTCAGTCTCGTTGAAGTTGGACACATTTCCGTTCTCGTCGATTCCACGAGAGAAGTAGCGAGTTCCGGCCCGGTGTCTGGAGCGCCGGGTAATGAGAACGAAGGTCAGGGGGTTTCCCTTAATTGACGTGTTCTTAATCTCCATCATGCCAAACATGACGGGCAAGATATAGGGGTCCACATCCTTCTGTGGGCCGCCCGCAGTGCGGAAGCCGGACGAGCCGGAGGTGCCATTCCGGAAGTCAATCAGATCAGACTGAATGAAGCGGTTCCAGAAAAAGCGATCGTCGGCACGCCTCCACAAAGGCTGGGTAAAGTCGCTCTGAGCCTGGCGCTGGAAGCTGTTGGTGATGTCGATGGAGTACGAAAAGTACATGGGCCCCTGCTTGAGCAGCGTCTTCAGGTAGAAAAGGTAGGTGTCCTCGTCAGGATCATGCAGCGGGCGCTCGCGGAGGGGCAGGAACTCGGTGGCAGCAACCTTGTACACCATGTGGCCCTTGAGCCTTCCGACAGGTTGCGCCTTGGTGATGACGATAATGTACTTGTCTGCGCACGGTGTGTAAGTGAAGCGTTCCAAATGAGGTTTTGGGAAGTGCAACGCCAGCTACAGCACTCTTCCTCCGACAAGGCATTGCAGAAGCACGGCAGCCTGCATGGGCTAATGAAGCATTCACCCGCACCGGACAGTGCTCCATCTGCAAGCAGGATGCAGCCAGGTGACTCGAAAGACTCGTGTGCCGCTGCGATGCCTTGCGGATCCTCCACGTACCTAGGCGCAGCTTGATCATTCCCAAAACGCCAGCAATGCTGGAAACACGCTGGCCGCCGAGCAGTTTGCCATCGTTGAGGCGCAAGTCTCCGGAGGGCCGGTCGACGACGAGGGTGGGCGCGGAGGGCGATGAGGGTGAGGAAAAGGCGTAGTAGGAAGGCGAGGCGTGGACATTAATGTCCCGGAACGGAAGGATCGCAGCCATGGTCGGCCGGCGGGAAGCTGTGCGCGAGCTCCTATGCGGGGATGGCGGGGTTTAGGTGGTCGATAGGCCGGCGGGTATAGCAGGGAGGTCTGGTGGTGTGTGGAGGGGTGCGGGGGGCTAGGAGAGGAGAGATTGGAATTGCTGGTGTTTGATGCACATGTGGCAGTTGCGCGGCGGCAGGCACGGGGGCGCAGGGAAGGGCATGACGATGCCGAACGGAGCGCGCGCGCAAGCCACACCCTTGCCAAGCCATCCAGCGTTGGCTGCCCGGACAGCTCCACCACAAGCACCCAACGTCGACACCTCAGATCTACACCACCCATCCACCCACCTCAACCACCTGCCCTTATCTGCAGCGCCGCCAAAGCCGCTCCCACCCCGTCCCGCAACAGTCGCTCCCCCACCAAGCCCCATCGCTACGCCGCGCCACCGCCATGTCCGCGAGAGTCCAGCCAGGCGGCCGTCCCGGCGGCTCGAGGTTCGCACAGTTCAAGCTGGTGCTGCTGGGTGAGTGTGCCGTCCATGCCAGAGATGGCGTTGCCCGCGACAGAGTGCTGACCGGTCGCAGGAGAGTCGGCCGTCGGAAAGGTTTGCCCCGCCCCTCGACTGGCGGTCACGCCCGCAATGCTGATACACCGCGCAGAGTTCGCTCGTCCTGCGCTTCGTCAAGGTGCGCCCCCTCGGGTTTTGCAAGCCTGCTTGCCTGGCTAACCCCCGCCGCAGGACCAGTTCGACGACTACCGCGAGTCGACCATCGGCGCCGCCTTCCTGACCCAGACCATCGCCCTCGACGACACGACGACCGTCAAGTTTGAGATATGGGATACCGCAGGCCAGGAGCGCTACAAGTCCCTGGCGCCCATGTACTACCGCAATGCCAACTGCGCCGTCGTCGTCTACGACATCACCCAGGCCGTAAGTGTCCCGCTGCCCCCCTCGGCTGGTGCGTCGTAGTAACCGCTCCTGGCCGCAGTCGTCGCTAGACAAAGCCAAGGCGTGGGTGAAGGAACTGCAGCGCCAGGCCAACGAGAACATCGTCATCGCTCTTGCCGGCAACAAGCTCGACCTGGTGACGGAGAACCCCGACAAGCGCGCAATACCCGCTGCCGACGCCGAGCAGTACGCCAGGGAGGCCGGCCTGCTGTTCTTCGAGACGTCGGCCAAGACGGCCGAGAACGTGCGGGAGCTATTCACCGCCATCGCAAAGAAGCTGCCGCTCGACCAGGCCGGCCCGCGCAGCATCAGGTCGGGCCCGCGTCCTGGCGTCGATCTGCGGCCCGAGGCAACCAGCGGCCAGGGCGCCGCGGGCTGCAACTGCTAGCCTTCTCCCGTCTTCGTTTTTGCTATTCCCCCCTTTGCTATGGACAGACCATGCCTCGAGCCGGAAGCGCGCTGGCTGGTGCATCATCAGCCGTTCTTGGTAGTTGGGGTTCGGGCGTGGTGGTTTGCGTATGCGTACGTCGTTTCCTATCACAGTCAATACACTAATGATTTCCAATTTTCTTGACGGTCGTTTATGTCACGAGGAGTAACACTCAGAGCATGTCGTTATTACAGTTAGACCAGGTACAATGGATGTAAGCTGCTAGGCCAACTCTTTACTTCCTGGGAGGCTCAAGCTCAAGTCCATTGGCATCATTCCAGTGTGACCTGGTGCAAGCGCCGGCCACTTCCAACGTCTTAGAATGTAAAAACGCTCGGCTATGTTCCACTTTGAGCATCTGTCACGCCTGAGACAAAATCTGGGATGATAGACCCTTTTTGGGCGTTGTGAGCAACGTGGTTTCAGACGCGTGTTCAGCACGCAATCCGCTGTCTGCAGGGCTACCGTCCCCAACAACCCTTGGTTCCACAGCTCACGACACCCTCATGTTGGGGAATGAGCTGGCCATGATCCTGACGCAAGATGCTACGGATGCATGTCTCAATAGCCAAACTTTGTGGTTTCAATGCGGATGTGGATCCCGTGTTGCGTGCCGCGCTCCCGTTTGAGCGGCTACTTCGGCTCTTGAGATTATACGTCATCAAAATGCAGACCCACGATACTTGGGTGTCACATGAAAAACAATTATCCACACCAAGGCTGTGCAAGTACGCAACAGCAAGGAGAAAGACCAAAAGGTAGTGGGACAGGCATATTTTACGGACTGTCTACCACACAACACCCATCTTTGATAAGTTCATGCATCACTCCTTCCACCCCCACCACACTCTCGAATTCTATCCCCGCCAGCCCATCACATTCCAACCGCATCCCCAAATTCAGTTGTTGCAAGGATGTCCCGGCCTCCCTCCCATTTTTCCTCTCCATCTACCTCTGCTCAAATGCATGCGCTACTTCAATCAGTGTTGACTCATCCCATTTCACACCAAAAACGACAACCGAATTTAATCCGAGCACTTCCTCGACACACGGTGACACGTATGATTACCAGAACTCCTCACCAAGGGTACAGCAAGTCTCTGCAAGACTGCAAAACAAAAATTAAGGTGAGAGAGATGAAGATCCAACCACGGAGTCCGCGGCCTCCTCTCCACTAGCCCCCTTCCGCCACCACTGTCCAGCACCACGTTCCCCTCACAGTTAACCCTAACGGCACTGCTACCATCGACGCACCCACCAGCGTCGTTACGCCGGAAGTGACGCCCGTTGGCAAAATGGCCGCATCCGACCCTCTTTATCCCTCAAGCCGCCTAACACGCTCCTTTCCCCAGCCAGCCGCCAGCCCACCTGCAACGCGCCTCAAAACCTCGGATCGGTATTGCCTCGTTCCTCCACGCTCAGCCACTCCTGCCACGCTGACATCTTTCCGCTATCACTCCTTGTGTAGGCCGGCGAAGCCAATGGTATGTTTTGACCAGGCTTGGCGTCGGACTTGCAGAGAAAAGGCATGGCCGGATGCCAGTCAAAAAGCCGGCACTCGTTCGCGGAGGCGGTAGATATAGTACGTGGAGGAGCTGGCGTGGAGCGCAGTGGTCGCTCCGACCAGCGATGAGGTTAAGGGGGCGTTGCGGAAGGCGGGAAGCCCGGTGGGAGAGAGAAGAAAGAGATAGCTTCTGGTTTAGTAAATAGGGCATTGCACGTGATATGATAAAGGAAGGTATGGTAGTACAAAGGAAGCCTCTTCCTTAAGCAGCTGACTAACCTTTCCCACCGTTTCACATCATCTAACTTCAACGTCGCCCGCTCCTCCGGTAAGCTCCTAGCGGACTTTTTGGCTAGATTGTTAACGTCTGCCAGAACATGGAGGTAGGATCGGATTTCTTAGCTCATGGACGTGCCTTTGTTATCTATGTTGTAACAGCAAGTAGAAAACACTTCCACTTGACTCCCGGACCGTAACTCCACGTTTCTTGGCTTGCAAACTGCCGTTTAGCTACTTCTTCACTACCAACTTTCTTAGCTTTCTTTTCTTCATTCACTTTGTTAAAGCTACATAACCTCAGAGTAATTCGCACAAACCAGTCATCATGAGCCGTACCTAGTGTTTAGAATCTGTCTTTTTTTTCTTTTAAAAAAAAACTCGTCTTTCCAAAGGGTAAACTGGTAGCCTAAGATAGCAGCCGAGGACATTTTCAATCTTGAAGAGTTAAAAACGTCACCCAACAGCAGAGCTCTTTATCAGTTTTATCCTTTTGACCACAGCACTGCCTTTGCCATCCGTCAAACCATGGCGGCTGGTGCTCAATTATTGATAAGACGCCAACGAGAGCTTTGCTTTTGCCTCCAGGTCATTCACTGAATCCGTGGACTCAGAAAGTATTGTATAAGTTTACCATCAATGTGATACGCCTGAAGTGTCTTCCAGACGCTTGGTTATCTTCGCCGCCTCAAGCCCGTATGATTTCGAGAACTGATATCCCGCAATTTTTCCCGCAGGACAAACGCAATCAAGGTCCTTTCCCGGAAGAATTCATGGTCAGCGATATCCTTTGGAATTCAAACTCTGAAGTGAATATTTGCTAATGAGTAAATTCAGGCCACGGCAGGTAGGCTCTACCACCGAGCTAACTGTTCTCTTGCGGATATCAGATCACATCACAAGGCCGAATTCGAGGGTAACCCATTCACAACGGAAGAGGTACGCTGGATCTGGTAAGCATGATGAGCATTGTAGCCATTGAATTTCTTTTTTTGTATCTGCCAAAAAAAAAAGCACTGGTTGACACCTCTATCCCAAGGACATTGGTTCAAATGCCATTCACGTTGAGCACGAGGAAATTACCAGGATACCACTGTTTTCAAGGTTTGGTTCACTACACAGTTCGCCGAGGTTGTACTCTTCATTCTCCTAATCGAGGACGTCGCACCAAGCTACTATGAGACGTAACCTGGTATGTCGTCCTCTGAAGCCACTAAACCTCGTGCAACATGTCTTAGCCCCATTCTTGGCGCGTCAGAACTTACATTTCCCAATAAGTGATCCGACAAAGCTGTGGTCATGCAGTCAGATATACTGATCCCATTTCACAGGCCCCGTACAATTCGAGAATACCAAGAACTACCAAGCTCCTTCCCACCGTTGCGTCACTTTCATGGGAGCACCTGGCAGTAATGTGGATTGAAACGACCCGGGGCGTGAACTCCTCCATTCTACGAAAAAGCCTACAAACTTGGTGCAGGAAAACAATGCTTTAAACGGCTGCTTGATCATTCATTGATTCTGTGCCCATAGTGAGCATAGCGCCCCAAGGGTATAGCAAAACACGCCGTGTTATAGTTGCGAAGCTTTCCCAAGGAATTCGTACCCAATCTTGCAGTTAATACATTCAATCACGGCTTGGAATTCAAACTGCATATACATGGACGGCCCGCAATTAAGCAAAGGTCTTGAGCTTCTGGAGGCGGTGATTCTCCTTAGGGATACATAATTGGAAGCCATTGATAAGTTGGGACATGTAGCCCAGTGCCGGCTTCGGGTTACTCCACAACATTGACCGATGAGTGGAGTGTGGGGAAGTTTCTCCCCACATCATTCAATTCAAGTCATGCTTCGGAGGCGGGTTACGCGTTGCTGAGGACCTCGTTGTCCGGATGCTGTATTTTTTGCAGACTGAGAACGATCTCGGCTAGTTCGTGCTCGATACCACTTCAAAGAATGTCCCTGGAGTTTACTGACATTTCAATAGGTACTACAAAGAGCGTGCTGACATTGAAGATGCAATGTAATATTTCGAGCAAGCGAACCTCAAATCTTTTACAGAACACCCAGCTAATCATTGACAAAACTCAGACGTTGAGAAAGCTCGGTTCCTGTTGGCAGAAACGCATCAAAATATCAACTAGCCTCCAGCCGAGACTAGCGAAGCTAATCGTGCAAAAAGTCAGTTCCGAATTTGTAATGACATGATGCGGAAAGAGCTCAATGACGAGGCCTAAAAGCATGATGTGAGTTTTCAGTTTCGTTTCTCGAGCTAGCCATGATACTGGAGCAGTGGGATGAAACCATTCGATACAATATGGCCTTGGATTATGCTGAGACGTTGGCGCACATCTCTAAAAAGAAAGTATCAGGACATTGACCCTCATGAACTTGTCGTGCGCTTACTTGCTCAGCGAGCACATCCAAAAAGCTTAGGACTATGCTTTAACTGAGCTTGAAGAAAGACTACCCCTGCACCAGATTGATGATCGACACTCGGTGATGGAGTTTTTTTTTTTTTTTTTTGGTGGCAGCGTTTGAGGGGGGGAGGGTCGGGCGGACAAAACCCAAAAGCAAGCCTTGGACTGTGCGGGTCAAGATTTTTTTTATTAAAAAATTTATTTTTATCTTTGCTTGTATTTAGAAGCTTACTACTATACTACTAATAGTACTAAGAGTAAGCATAGATTCGGTTGAAATTATGTGGCGCTTTCAAAAAAAAAAAAAAAAAAAGAGAGAGAGAGATTTTAGTGAAAAGGCAGTGGAAACAGTTTATTGCGCCTTAGCGAGTGGCAGTTAGGTATTTTAATAGATATGAGTTGGATTTAAGCTTTGCTCCTTTTTCAGATATGCTTCTCGGCAGAAAGCAGTGAGGGGGGAAATGATAGTATGGGATGAGTTCTGCACGCGCGTGGAAGCATCCCCGCAGCCCAGGGAACTCTATCGAATTGCTCGCTTGGGTTGACCAAGAACCAACATAGGTCTCCTAGACCAGGCGTTGCTGATATATCGTAATCGATCATATTACCTTGGGGAACGGGTCCGTGTCCAATTTATTCGAAATCAAATCGTCTCGAACAGGCAAGAGGCCGAAAGAGACTGGCAAACCTCCATGGCCTTACTCAAAGAGATGGGCACAAAAGATCATCATTCCACTGAAGATCTTTGGGAGGAGGAAAGTGCATTTCTGGTATCGTCAAGTACGAGGTGATTTCTGTTCGCATCAATAGTCCTGTTTGAGTGATTCATCAGGGTAATTGCGAGACAAACCCTGAACGCCAATCCGGCCACAATGTATGATCTGATGCTCGTGACATAAACTGTCACTCTTTATCGCCTTGCGAAACTAAGAACCATACCCCAAGCGGCATCGTTCGGCATGACTACGCAAACAGTGTGCACCACCGGCCGTTTCTTCCGGACTACAATTTCATTCTCTCTACCCCATCTCACGGTCATGCGGAACTTCAAAACACATGTCTCTCTTACGGTATGGGACTGAAGTCTGAGACTTTTTAATCTATGTGGTTCATTTCTCAGCCTCCATTCTTCATGCAGAAGCTTGACGAGTACGGATGTCAACCGAACCCGAGGCGATAGGCGAGCAGCAGCAACAGCTGTCCGCGCTATTCCCGATCGAGCAACAAGCTGGCTATCAGCTGCTGTTGTGCCGATCGTCCTTCTTCGCCGCCTCGTTCAGCCCGCCACACGATCATCAGCCCGGCGCCAGGTAGCAACGCGTACACACCTCTTTCCCTCCCTCGACCGGTGTGCGAGACTATGGAAAATTGCGGGTCTGGGGCGGGAACACAGGGCAACGATAGTCGGGAGCTGCGGGGGTTTGTGCATTTTGTGGAGCAGGGGAAGAAGGACGAAGGTCGAGAACCCCTCGTATCTCCTTATATCAGCGCCGGATTATAACCTTGCTTCGTGTAGATTGAGAGTTGCGAAAGTCTTAATAGCGAACGCCCCCCCGGATCGAGGATATACCGATCTTCCGGTGCTCGAAACGCGCGTATCATGATCGTAGCATGATGAGCAATGCACTTCTCAAGGGAGCCCTATAGTATAATAACTAATATCTTTTCCATTTGTGACCATCAGGTCCTAACAGACTGAGCATCGGTGGTATCTAGATCGGTCCATCCTTCCCATATATGAGGGCGGATATTCCCTATTTTGAAACGGCCATGATTACAGAGCCTTCCCTAAAAAGTAAAAAAAAAAAACGCCAATAGTCGTGGTCATCACCGAGAGACGAAAACGCTTCCTCGAGTCGGCAAACACTGTACAAGAATGGTTAAAAAAAGAAAAAGGTCGTGCATCATCCACCTCCGCATTTCTTTACCCCTCATAATTTCCTCTCTAAGAAACTTTCTTTAGACACGGCTGTCGTGTCTGAAGGGCTCGTACGCAGTGCCAGCCTTGTTGCCCTGCATATCCCTCAGAGGAACGTTGCCGTACTGCTGCTGCTGCTGCTGGTGCTGGGCGCCAGCACCGCCGAAGGGCGAGTGAACGCGCTCGTAGGTGTAGGGAGTCTTCTCGACCGTGACCTTGCGGCCGCTGCGGTCGCTCTTGCCCGAGCAGCAGCACGTCGACAGGACCCAGAACAGGCCGGCAGCGACTGAGAAGGCGACGGCCAACCACGTGATGCCCATCATCTTGCCGCCCATCTCAGCCTTGATGTTGTACTCCTTGAAGACCGAGTTGAACGTGCCGACGAGGGTGCCGTAGAGTGCACTCGACGTGATGGACGCAGCGATGGTGAAGATGGTGGCGACCTGAAAACTCACTGTTAGCAAAAGGAAAAAAAAATAATGGGATTATCTCTGGAAGCTTACCGAAGCGACGATGGTGGTGATGAAGCTGCCCCAGCGCGAGAAGATGGCCAGGATGCCGACGAGGATCTCAGCGAGCGTGGCGAAGAAAGCGACGGTGTAGGCGGCGAACATCCAGTTGGCGACCTTCTTGTAGATCTTGAGGCCGGACTCCAGCTTATCGGGGATCAAGTCCTCGGCACCGGTGCTGTTCAGGCCCCAGACATCGACGGGGTTGAACCAGTAGGAGGCCTTGCGGCCCGAGCAGTAGTCGATGCCGCTCGAGTTCTTGTCGCCGCTGCAGTAGTTCCAGATGCCGACGGTGTAGATGTCGCTCAGGTTCTCGTTGGCGCTGACGGTGAGAGCAGCGAGCAACTCATCGTCGATATCGGTGCCGGCTATACTTATCGACGAGAGCGAGGAAATGTTACTTCTGAATTTCGACATATCGGCCTGGAGGCACTGTTAGCTGCTGAAACGTAGTTTGACTCTGCTCCGAATTCGCGCACCTTCATGAAGTAGATGGAAGTAAGGTTGCCATCGCTCTTGTTCCAGTTGCCCAGGAAAACAAGAATCAGGCAGATCCAGGCTGCCAGCGACAGCGCCATGGGCGTGGCAATGCACGCAATACGTCCGACTTTGCCCATAACTGCGGTTGATTTGCGTCTAGTGTGAGGTTTGCGGTGTGGTTGCCCAAGCTGACAGGCGGGGGCTCGAGCGAACGGCGATTTATGTGGTGAGAAGCGAGGGAGGACGGGCGGTTATAACGTCACCGGCCGGAGAGAGTCGAACAGCGACAGGCGAGGAGCGAAGAGGCGGGATACGTTGGAATGTTTTGCACACTAGCGGGGACCACCAGGCCTTATAATCGGCTTACGGGTGCCCAGTGCGGTGAAGGGACAGGGCAAATGCGGGCGCAGCTGAGTAGTGCGTGTTGCGCCGCAGCAGCAAGTACAGCAAAACAAACGGGGCGGTGCCCGCCCGTCCCAAGAACAAGCAGCATGGCGGAGAGGCCAGAGCGCCGCGTTTTGCCGCTTTCAATCTAGCTGTAGCAACGCCAGCCACAAGGCTGAGCAACACCCCAGCGCACGCGCATTTGCCCGCGCCCAAGCAGACGCATCTGCTTTTGCTCGCCTACTTCTTGTCTGCCGCTGCGCCTCAGGCATATGACGATTCGCCCATCGAGCGAGCGATCAGCGGGACCCCGCTGCTGACAGCGACGTGTGCAAGTCGCCCTTCCAGCCTGAGGCATTTGACAGGCGAGAGCTGACTGAGTAGCATCCCAGTCAGCATCCAATCCTTCTCGCTCCCCCATCCCACATGCAACGAGCCATCACCGTGCATCACCGCCACAAGTTATGAAAGTCGAAAATCGCCCAACGCCCGACCGGCTTGCTTGCGCCTCAATTGGCTCCGGCTTCGGTGGCTCCCTTGTCGATCATTCCGGGGTTGACCACCCTACGGCTGAACGCCCGCTACGTATCGCTGCTATAGAGATGCGGCGCAGCCCAAGACTGCGTGCGTAACTGCCACTGTATAGCAGCAATACGCGTAACCAGAGTTTAAGATGCAATACGAAGAGATGGTGCACGTTTCCCATGGCTAAGCGGCATGGCCATTTAAGGCGTGCCGAGCAGCCGAGCGAAGAAGCCGACTAATAAGTCAGCAGCAGCAGTTGGGCACCGCGAAGGCGCGAAAAGGAAGAATAAGGGTGAGAGCGAGAGCGAGATAAATGGAGGGTCCCGGCGGGATGCTGATGATGACGACGCCCGCCGCCCCGAGGGCGAGCACGCGATCAGCGACAATCAGAGATCAGCAGAGCGGTGATGATGCGTAACGCGACGACGCCGTGATTAAGCATCTGACGAGCAGCGAAACCGGTGCAAGCAGATGATGGGGGCGAGACGGCGGCGAGACGAACATGGCGATTGCGTGCTGGGCGAAAATGCGCATCTCCGAGGACGTGCAAATTTCTGGGCGGAGGTGTGATGAGACGTCCGGCGATGTTCATCAGTTTGCCTGGACCTCCGCAGAAACCAGCGACTCCGGTGCAGCGTCGGCGACGGAGGCACCACCATGGGGTCGCGCGACAAAAGCCAAGACTGCCAAGGCCCGGCGACTCGTCATCCTGACCTGTCAGCTTATAAATAGAAGCCCGCCAATCTCCATGCGGAGGCGGTCAGCGCTTGATTACGCACCACTGCTTCCCTGGATCCGTTCCCGCTGCAGGGGGCCCTGCCGGAGTCTGATACCCTTTGCGGCATTTGCTTTGAGGCGGCAGCAGAAATTGCGTGCAGACCTTCCGGACGTATCACCATATGAGATGTGTTTCATGTGCTTGCTTCGGCTTTGAATTTCTTCGTCTTCTTCACACGCCTGCGATTCTATCGCTCTGCCTCCTGCTGCTAGACCAGCCCTGGCGCCCAAACGCCGCAGGGAACAACAACTCGAAAAGGAAACTCCCCGCCCCGGCGCATGTGCGCAACCATCCCAGCCCGCTCTAAAAGCATCTCCACAAGTGCAAATCCTCCACCTCCTGCAATATAGCCACCAAGAACAGACACGCTGTCAAGACCACATGCCGTCGTTCCCGTGAAATTTTTCCAAAACATGAGAAACCCCCGAAGCGCAAAGACTGGGAATAATGGAGAAGCGCGCGCAAAACGAAATGCAGCAAAAATAAGACCCAATTAAAACACGAGAATCCCCATGAACATTTGGAACCCCTTTGCCTGAGTATATGCGACCGTTTCCTTTTTCGCCGTGAACACCGTCCGCGCTGTTTGGAATGAAACCTGCACTTTCGCTCGCAACGCCAAACACAAATGAAACCCCTAGCGACGAGCCTGGCCGTCTGTGTGCGGATGTAAATCCAAAGTTGGAAGGTTGAGAAAACTGTCAGGGTCCGCCCGACAGGGTGAAACAAATTCCGCTCGGCGATTGCACGGGAATAATGGTATCGCGGATGTGCCGCATCGCCGGGCAGACTGAAGAAACAAGAATGACAAAGTTTGTCGCAGATGATTAGGATAGGTGATGCTGAATGGTCCGGTCCCGGATAGTCCGTCGACTGCGAGGCCGACTTGCAAACAACACTGCTCTTTAATGCACCCGTCATGTCCAATCCAGGACATCATGCCCATTTATCACGGGCGGCGTGGTATTGCCGTCCGAAAGAGTGCGTCGGAATGCGAGTGCAGTGCCGTCCGGGTAGTAACGCGGAAGATGTTGAAGATGTTGAAGGTGTGTGCAACCTTGCAGGGCAAGAAGCTCATCTCCGGGGAGGTTGGTTCTGAGGGTTGTGTGCGCCGCCCTCACCCCTTTGCCGGATCCATTCGGTAGAGCCGCTGGTCCGGCCCTCAGCAGCCTTTTGTGCATCGGGATCCGGGCGCGAACGGGTGCTGTGGCCTCCGCGGAGAATATCCTGGGGGTTGATCTTGCAGATTTCGTAGGCAATCTGCTGGGCGACGTAGCGGCGCAGCTCACGGTCCTCGGCCATGTCCTCGCCTTCCAGACGGAACTTGTCCTGCTTCGAAAGCTTTGATCTCCGCATGCTACGGAGCTCGTTCATAATGTAAAGCAGCTCGGACTCGGATGCCCGCTTGCGCTCCAGAGCGTGGCGGCCGGAGCGGACATATCTCCTGGTAACGTCCATGGCGCCGTCGGCGGAGAAGGCAATGCAGTAAGCGAGCTTCTTACCCCAGCCTTCATATCAATTAGCGACGTGCTCAACAAAACCTAAGCGCCGGCAGACACATACCTTCAGTGTAAAGCCGGGGCTTGTCCCAAGCTTCTTCGCATGCGTCCACGTGAACCCATCTCTTCCGGTGCACGGAGTACACTTCAGTCCAGACGTGGTCCTCCGAGTTCCATACCCAGCGCACGCGCGATCCCACAGCCCTGCAAAGCATGCTGAAACAGTTTGCCCACTCGCCACACCTTCCTTTCCGGGTCTGGAGGAGGACGAAAGCGTCGTTGTAGCGGGGGAATCTCTCGTAGGAGCCACAGTGATCCAGCGAGCAGCGGTACAGCTCGACCTGGTTGGCACCTCGTGCCTGTTCGTCCGGGAGTGGTGCGGCCATTCCGACGGCAATGGTGGGCGAGCCGCAGGTGGTGCAGATGGGGTTGTTGACCCAAGAGAAGAATGAGCGCTTGAACCACCGGAGCAATGCGCGCACGACGCAGTCCTGGTAGCCCCAAGCGGGCTTCTTGCCTGAGCCGAGGCTCTGGGCCTCGGCCAGGAAGATCTGGCTCTCCTCTTCGGCCTCGCCGTAGATCTGGTCCAGTGGTATCGAGCGCAGCGCCTCGTCGAGGAGGCCCGGGTTCTCCCACTTGACGGGCATGTTGGACAGCGAGTTGAGCATGTTCTTGAAGCGCAGCGAGCGGGCGTCACGAGGCTCGCGAGGTAGCAGAGGGATGTTCTTGATGCACGAGCTGTACGAGGGCGGTGGTGCGGTGGCCGGAGGCATGGCGGCGTTGAAGGGTGCGGGTGAGGCGGATCGCGAGCGGCCACTGAGGTCGTTCATGCGCTTCGTGCTGAGGACCTGGCGGAACTTCTCCGTCAACTCCTTTGCCTTCCGCTCGTCCAAGACGGCCCCCCGGCGAGGGTGGTGCGAGTCGGCCATTGCGAAGTGTGCGGTGGGTGGAGGGGAGTGGCCGTCCTGAGGTGGTGTCGGGTGTTGTAGGTGTGAGGTTGGGGTGTGGGCGGGTATGAATGGGCGTGCGGCAGGTTTGCGACCGCAGCAGCTGCACAGCCCTCGGCGAGGAACAGCCGCCACAGGGTCAGTGCGCGAGGGAGGGTTTGGTGGTGAGTGCCTTGGGGAGCAGGGCCCTCTTCATCCAGATCCAGGCAGGGAGGGCGACGGAGAGGTCGAAACAGGCTGCACAGGTTGTGTGGGCACGGGGGAGCAAAGTATAGGTCCGGTCGAGGAGCGGATGGGCGGCGCTGAGTTGGTGGATGCGCGTCCTCGCGGTAGGGCTTTGGGGATTACGACGACTTCAAGACCGATGCAGCCAATCAAGGGTCGTAAAATCGGACTAGTGCGAAATGGGATCTCTGCGTCAGCCGGGGATGATGAATACCATCTGGACGCGCTCTTCTGCCAGCCCAGCGTCGCCCGGACTCCTTTTCATTTACCTTGCGCCAGCCAAGCGACGTCGCAGGTCCGATGACTAAGTAAGTTCCTGGCCCAGCAAACTTGTCGCTTGCGGCCGCGTAGCCTTCGTCCAGAGCACTCCTTGTTGCGCCAGATGACGACGACGACGTCGAGTGCTCTCTCTCGCGCTCCATAAGCATTGCTGACGGCCACGAGGGCGACTGGGTTGCGCCGCTACCTAATGCCGCTGCGGCTATTCGTAGGCCGGGCCCTTCGCCTTCTCCGGCCTCCGCCCCCCAGTGGGCATCGACCGCGCGTACGCAACAAGCCACCAGCCGCGCACGCCGCGTGTCACTCAAACCTGGCTGCGCTGACTCGTGGCCCGCTGGAGTATGTATACCGCGCGACTCGCACCCCCTCTGACGCGTGCCTTTGCGGACGCGACGCTGCTCTACTACGTAGCCAGTATATTGCTGACGAGCAAAGTCTGCTCAAGCATTGTGATCGCTTTGCTTTGCGGAAGTGCTCGCTCTGCTGTGACGATTGCGCAGCAGGCCTTGGCAGCGTTCCACTTTACAATAGCTGCTCCCAGCAGTGCCTCTGGCGCTTACGTTGCTTCGCCATCATTAAGTGATCTCCATCTGCACTGCAACATAGCTCTAGGCTCCCGCCCGCTCGCCAAGCGCGCGAATCCTCATCTGCTTTTCCACACCAATGCCAGCCTAAACGGCGGTGCCGTTTGCCCTCCGCCCTTGGCTCGTGAGGACGAGATACGGCCGCTGCCGAGAACGAGGACAAAAGCCAGCGGACACCCCGGCGGAGATCCCTCTCATTTGCTGCTTTTTTCTTTTCTTCGCTGTGCACAGGGATGCCCTCAGAGCCTCTTCCGCCCCCCGCAAGCTGACGCGGCCGCCTCCCGCCCTGCGGACCAACGAACGACTGCGTGATCAAGCAGCTGGCCTGATCCACTCCACCACCGGCCCAAAACCAGCTCTTCAGCTTCGTGTTGTTGAATTGCTGTTCTCCGCCGCGCGGCATGTACCACCCTTTCCGCGCGCAGGTAGAGACGTCGCTTAGCCCGCGCTTCAAAGCCTGGATCCTCTAGCGCTGGTCAAGAGAACCATAGCGTCCACAAAGCTTCCAGAACGTCGCAGCCACCGAGCTAAATTCACAGGTCGACCAAAAACCTACAATCCCATTTTCAGTTGCCCCCTTTGCGCCTAGTCTAAAATGCTTATCTTATCCAAAACACCTACGTCGCCCGTCTGAGGCACTTCTGCCCTGTGACGGGATCTGCAGTGACCGCACCTTGATACACTCACATCTAGCCGAGACATTGAGGTCATCCTCCCCGCCCGTCCACGTTGCCTATCGGCTAGTTCCCGTCTGCAGCAGCTATCTATCGTGCACGCCAACAAACTTCGGCGGCAAGTCCAGATCCCATGTTGGCCTCTCCACCAGCACCACTTCCAGCGGAGCGGCTGTGTCCGACTTCGCCTTCCCGCTCTTGGCCGCAGCACCCTCACCGCCGTCGTGGCTGATGGGGACCAAACCCAGCACCGGCCGGTACTTGAAAGTGTGCCAGTGGCTCTTGCGCTGCAAGGCTGACTGGGCCTCGTCCGCCTCGTCATTGGTTTGGTCACCGCCCTCGGAGGCGCCCCGCCGCAGAGTCGCGAGAGCGTTCGAGCGCTCGTACTGAGCCTCTACGGCGTCAGCCTCGTCGTCCTCTGACGCTTCTTGCCCTTGCTGCAGCTCGACCCAGGAGGCCGCGTCGGCCCCCGTGATCTTGCGGTACTTCCGCCCCGCTCCCTCAATCTCCCGTGCCGCCATCTTGCTGCCTGCGCCGCTAGTGTGCTTCCTGAGCGCGTCGTCCTCCGGTCCTCGCTTCCGCTTCTTCAGCGGGGTCTCCGCGCCGTTTGTGACACCCTCGGAGGCTGATGATCCGTCCGAGAAATCGGTTGCGAGGTCGAACATGAACAACCAGTTGCTGCCGTACAACCACAACCGCTCTCGCGTGTCATTGATGTCCCACAAGCAACCCATCGCCCTGTCTCGCTGGCCCCTGAACTCTGCAGGGAAGTCGGACGTGGGATTCCGCCTGGACCAATCCGTCATCTTGCCATTGAGGATGTCGAATTCGTAAACCTGATGGTAAGCAGTGACTGCAAGCAGCCGGTGCTCGCCGCCTGGCAGCGTGTGCGAGTGAGGGTGTGGGTTTTGCCTCGTCGGATGCACGGCGGGGTTGCCGTTAGGCTGGGTTTCCGAATCCTTCGTTGGTCGGAAAGACAGCACTAGTGCTGAGGACTCGAGTTTCGGTAGGAGATGACCGGCAGGGTTGCGCACCCAGTGTTGGCCGAAAAAGATGACTGGACGGCTCTCATCCTCGTCGTCGTCGTCGTCATCATCATCGTCAGACGATGCATCTTTTGAAGGCCTTTCCTTTTCGGGCAAGTCGACTTCAGGCGCCGTGATGTCCTCGTTTCCTTCAACAACCCAGCTGTCAAGGTACCCTGCAAGGTCGCTGACGACGAGCACCTCGTTGGATAGTGCAACACGGGTGATGATTCTGTCGTAGCTGCCCCAGTAACCGTTGAGTGAATTTTGGTACTCCAGTTTTCTGTGTAACCGGTGGAGCTCCACGACGCGAGGGACGATTCTCCACTTGCCGGGCTCCTCCTCCTCGTTCGTCAGGCGGGCCAAGAAGATTTCGTTTTCGTGCGTGATGATTGCCAGCCACCTGCCGTTCGGGCTCAGTTGCACCAACCGCGCGCCACCCTCCTGGGGCAGCGGAGGGCTGTCCAGTTTCCTCACGCGGAGGCTCCTGTCAGTCTCGCCCTTGCGCAACGACAGGTGAAAAACCTTAATTTCTGCAACGGTCGAAATGGCCAGAATGCTGCCATCCTCCGAAATCGTTGCAGACGTGATGTTTTCATCACCCTTCAATGCCAAGCGAGCTACCAGCTTGGGCAGCTCACCGCTGGTGTCACGCTTCTTGACCCGCCAGATTCGTACCTCGCGATCCCACCAGCTGACCAGGAGGCGCGCACGGGGTGCACTCGTAACCGGGGGGCTTTGAGGAAGGGCGGGCAGTTTGCGAGAGTGCTCGGTGCTGAAGGAGCGAATCGGGATAAGGATGGGGTGAGTGTCGAGACCTGTCATTTGTTTAGCATGGTGGTTGGGTAGTGGTCCTTGCATATCGTACCTCCAGAAACCAAAACGCTCAAGCCTTTGCTCTCGTACGTTGCCATGGTCTTCACGTCGTGATCATGGAATCTCCGGTGGCCGCTCTCAACCCATCGCTTTTCCGGACCAGACGCGGTGTACACGGTGGTACGCTGATCCATGCCACCGCTGAAGACAGTCTTCCCATCCCTGCTGACTGCAAGGTCCAAGACATCGGCCTTGTGCGAGGAAATTCTCTGCAGAAGCGAGTAATTCTTGCCGTCGTAGAACCGCACCTCTCCGGTAGAATCGCCAGAAACAATATCTCCATTGGGCAAGCATTTCACAGCCCAAACCAGGGTTTCCTTCGGTCCTGCAGTGGATGGCCCACCGAGAGTGATGTTCCGCAACAGCTGGCCGTTCCTTGAATCGAAAACTCTGACCGCACTGTCGGCGAAGCCCGCAACCACAATATCACGATTCTGATAAGTGACGCTGAGGACTCGCGCCTTCTTCGCCGTCGGCCGTGAGAGGAAGCGGGAGAATCTCAGGTCGTTCTCGTCGGTTGACAGGACGGCGAGCGTGCCGTCAGCACATCCAGCAACCAAGTTCTGTCCACGAAACTCGCCCTCCTTCGCGGCCTTCTGTCCAGCCTTCCATCGAGGTTGCGCTGCAAGGCACCAGACTTCACTGTGGTTGCCGCTCGAGTGGCGCAGAGGCAGCCCGGTGACCAGGTCCCACTCCGTTACGGTGCTTGAATAGCCAATGCTGAACAAGCGCAAGCGACCAACGGAGGTGAACCCTTCGTCCTCCTCATCCGGCTCTTGTATCCATGCCAGCCCCTCGACGCTGCGATCCTTGCCGCCGCTAAGTGTGATCTCGTGAATCCATTCTCCGTCCTTGCCGGGGTTCCAAACTTCAATGTTGCCGTTCGCACGGCCAATCGCGAGCCTGACGTTACCGGCGCCTTTGCTGGTGTCTTTTGAGTCCGAGTAGGAAAAGGCAAGGGCGTTGATGGCGGACGCCGGGTAAGGTACGAAGCGCGAGCGATGAATGTCCATGGTGTTTGAGGCGCGCAACGGCGCGGGGAGGGTCACAGGAAGGGCGCGCCGACTGTCGACTGCTGGCGCGCTTCTGCGTGAAACGTTGCGCTTGTTTGAGACCTGGAAATATGGCGTACGGACGACCGCGGCGCGTAGACTTCGCAAGTTCGAGCGCGAGAACGACGTTCCAAAAATTTCCCTTGACCATCGGCGTTTTTTCCTCCGAGGCCGCGGTCATTGACGCGCGCTAGTAAGCGAGCCGTGATTTTAATGCGACGTCAACCCTTCATCCCTCACCTTTTCTACAGCAGGGACGCAGCACAACATCATCACATTATCAGCCTGGTGGTGTTGCACTTTGTTCATCATTCCGGAAAACTGCTACGCTCTGCAGTATGGACCGCTATCAAGTGTGACGGCACTTCGTCGGCGCCAGACCTCTCCCCGACCAGACGCTTGCCCCAACGCAGACAACGGTGCAACTCGCGATTCCCCGTCACCGCCATCCGCCTGCGACCGGAAATCCCGCAATCCGGTTTAAAATTCACCATGGGGGATTTAGCCTTGTCGATGTCAGCCTCACCAGAGAATCCGCTGGGGTGGCTGGGGAAGCCTCGAAGGAATCTGTGACATCCCATGAACAAGGAACCCTAACGGGGCGGCCGCCCGTGCCGCTGCGGATATCCGCTCACGGCTGTGCTCTATGCTCGATGCACCCGGTGCTCAGACCTTGCCACCGCGCCATGTTGCCACACCAGCGACCCGCCTTGAGACCGGCTTAGCATTACAGCAAGGTTGAGGTAGTTGAAGCCTGTCTGGATGCTTTTGTACATGAATATGCTGTGTATCCGTATCTAGGATGGACGCTTCAGCTATCTCGTTGCCACAGCTGCCCCGTTGCCACAGCTGCAAGGCTAGAAGGATCGACCACCTGCGCTGTTGATCCACACTTTTCCGCAGGGAAGCGCTGCTGCTAATATGTAAAGCGTGGATGATGCTTGCTGGAATGGCGATCCAAAGCCTGCTGTGTCGGCGGCGACTAGTAGAATCCTTCCTCTAATGCAGGTGCATAGTTGTGCTGTTAGAGTTTCCCTGCTTATGTCTCCATGCGTGTAAAGCACATCAGCAAGGAAAGTTAATGTCTCTTCTAAGGGAATTCAACAGCGGTTGATTCACCACACGTCTCATGTGTCACCACGGCTCGTCCTGAACCCTTACCTGGTGCGGCTGAGAGCGGATGTAGGTAGCAGATGTGCTTGATTTTGATAGGAAAGCGGAGCTGGCGGGTACCGGCAGTGAGGCGCCCAGTGGCGTGGCTGGGCCACAGTTGCGTGACGGCGGGATCGTCGTGGTTGATGTGGAGGGACGATCATCGGTTTTGGTGGTCGGAGCTGATCTGCGGAGAACTGGCTATTCTGGAAACGAGAGTCGTGTAGCTAGGATTCAGCGATTGGTGCAATAATATGGCGTGCTATTTCGCGTTTCAATAGCATGGCGGTTGAGACATGCGCCAACGCCGTCGGTATTGGCAGAAATTTCTGTTTGACGCGCCGCGGGTAAGGTGGGCAGGATGCACGGCGGAGTCAGAGTGACGGTGCAAAAAGCCGTGTGGCTCCGTCTATCCGACGCTTTGCCCAGTGGCGGCCGGGCGATGCCAGGTTTGATGAAAAGCCTGAGCTGTGCATTGCATATGACCGGACTTAGGGTTGAACGGCTGCTGCTCACGCGTTGGTGGTCGCGCGTTCGGCGCCATTTCAGCCACGGACCCAAAAGTGGCCACCTTCCGTCCTGAGCACGTACTCTCTTATGGCTTTATCCCAGCCGGCGGGCCGGCATCGACTGCGTCACCGATCTCATCTCGTCTGTGGACGGCTAACGGCTGCATTCTTTTATGCGGAGGCTTTGGCGAGGCGGCAGCGTTTCGAAGGCTCGGCTGCTGCTCCATCTAGAATGCGGATGTTTCATGCCACGGAGATGATGCGTTTTGTCTGAACGCGCTTCTGACATGCTTCCATGGGGCGTGGCGCCTAGGCTGATCGCTGCTCTCGGCCTTCACCCGTAAGGATTACGCGAGGAAATGGGGGAGGATAATCCGTAGTCTCCCGCCGCGTGCAAATTCTCGCGGCGAGAGTGGGGCATCCGCTGCTAGAGAAACCACGAGAACAGCAAGAGGCGGTAAAAATTCCCAAGGCGTTGAGCGAAAATTCTCTGCAGGCGGACTACTGCTGCGGCGGCGGAGCGGAGCAGGTGATTCTTATCCACCAACGTGCGGATCCTGGCCTTGTTGGAGGCCCACCGGCCGTCACCGCCTGCGCCATTATGCAGACACACGACACATGCACGCACTATATTGTACGGGTTGTTCCTATGCCGCCGCGACTCCGAGGTTTGTCGCGGCGACGCGGAGTCACGCATGAAATGAAGGAACGCGTCGGACGGGCTAGCCGCGACGGACGTCGTGTTCAGGAGACGGCGGCGCGGATGTGACATCAGACGGGCTGCGAAGCTCAGCGTGAAGACGGTAGTGAGAGGCCAAGCAAGGGCGGGACCTGGCCGTTCAAATGGAGCGCGGGCGGGCCTGGTGATGCTTTCACCGCATCGATCTGCAAGCACACGTTTTCGTCAACGCAGCAACCCTGCCGCGCGAATCACGGGCGGCCGGATTGGGGGTCGTTCAAGCGTCGCGGAGACGGCGCTGAAACTCAGCGAGCCGCATGTGACACGCGGGTTGGGCGAGCGCTGTGCGAAACGCAGGCGGCAAACATACATCGATTGGGCAGCGGGATGGACGAGAGGGCGCCAAGGCGATGCGCGGTGGTGGTGCCAGCGTGCTGCGCGCTATGCTGCTCCGCGAACGGTGACGGTGCAAACCTGGGAGAAAGCGCAGGGGACGGTGCAGGGAAGGCGTGGCGGCGCAGGCTGCTGGGCTGAGGAGCCTTACCGCTCGCAGCGCTGGCGTGCCGCGGACAGGGCTGCCCTCAGGCCGTGCCGGGCGCGAGATTGGGCAGACGCGCCCCGTTAGATCTGGGGTTCGCGGGCGTGTGGCAGCGTGCAGGGCGACGGCGGGCGCTGATTGAGCGCAGCCCCGTGGCCGTGGTGTCGTGTCATAATGGCCGGGGGGCGGCGGAGAGGAACGCGTTGAGCAGCTGGCGCTGGTCTGTGGGCGCCGGCTGCATCTGCCTGCTGGACCGTGAGCGGCGGCGGAGATGAGGGCTCGCCGCCCCTATGCGGGCGCCTGCGTTGTGCACGCTGCCGCAGCAATCGCTGGCCGTGGCACGCTGGGACGCGTTGCTGCACTTGGTGGGCTGGCGTGCGCGCCGCCCGAAGCAGACAACCGCGGGCCCACTGCCGGGCGAAAAGCATGGCGTTTTGTGCAGCGCTGGCAGCGTGCGGGGATTGGCTGTCGCGCGATGCTGGCGGAGAGCAAGGAACAGCCGCGTCGAAGCAGTTTAGTGTGCACCGAGCGCTGGCGGCGAGCCCCATACGAGTGCAAGTAAGCTCGCCGTACCGATCTCAAACCTTGGCCCTCCGCCAGGCGACGCGAGCGCCCTCAGCCTCTCCTCCTCCACCTTCACCTCACCTCTCCTTCCCCCTTCCCTCCGCCGTCATTCATCCGTCGGCTCTTCAGCGGCCAAAGTCTTAGTGAACGGGGTACGTTTGTGCACAATTCTCTTCCCTGCCTGCACATCACCCTTCCATAAGACCTCACCGGCTCGACTCCCACCGGGCCTCTGCGCAGCCGGCCTCTGCATCACTCCCCTCTCAGCTGCCAGCCCATCCTCTCTCCTCCTCACTGCATCACCGTCACCACCTCACACCACCGCCTGCCCCGCTCGTACCCGTTGACGCAGCCCCTAACCTCGCCGACCGCAGAGCCGGACACACTCAATCGTCACGATTGACGCCAGCATCCGCCCTCTTCACTGGACCTCCGTCGGCTGTGCATACTGTACTCTGTGTGCATTGGTGAGTGCTGTCCGCCCAGAGAGCTCTGCCCCTCCTCCCCCTCTGCTGCCCGCCCGGATCCCCCACTGCCGAGGACCCTGCCGCCAATTGCCGGACCCGCCTGCGACACCGGCCGTGAGGTGCACTTCGAAGCCACGGGTTGAGCCCGCCTGAGACGATTTGAGACGGGGGATTGCACGTGGTGGGGGTTGGAAAATCTGTGCAACTCCAGTTGGTCGGGCTTCCTCCAGTCGGGCATCCGAGGTCGAGCGTGAAAGAAGGCCAGGCCATTGTGAACACTCGGAATCCGCCCAAGGCTGGGCGTCGGGCGTGTCTCAGCATTGGCACAGGTTTTATCCTTCGACACCGCCCCTGCCGGCGCGTTCAGGAATCTCGCGACCCTGCGCTCAAGAATTTCTTGAGGGCGCCGTGGCGGCTTCTTATGTGCTTCCCTGGCTTGACTCGTCTTGGGAGTGGTCTCGTTCGTCTCGGTCATTCCTGCGTAACCCTCGGTCCAAGAACCAGGTGCAGCCGAATTTCGTCTCCCTGCGAAGCTTAAGCTTTCCCACGCTGAGGATCGCCCGCGGAGGAACGACGGCCGCCCCGGCCACACCACACGCGTCATCCATCCACATTATCCACACTTTCGTTTTTCCACGGGCGAGACACGCACTGACCGCTTCTCCGTCCAGCAGAACCTCACTCAACCCTCCCCTCTTGATCTGTCCTTTGCATCCAGCAAAGGCAGGCTCTCGACCCCCAAGCATCGACTGCTACTCCGGTCGAAGCATTGAACACGGTTCGTCGTCTTGCCGAGAAAGAAATATTGCTGAGGAAATGGCGTCGCTGATTGGTTCTAGACTCGTGGGCTGTTCGACGGGAATTTTCCACATTCCCCAGACTCCTTGACGAGCGTGCCAGATCCCCCACCCTTCGGCGGACTCGTTAATTCGTGCTCTGCCTCCTGAGAATACCCCTGTGGCGAGCTTGGCCCTTTCAAAGACAAAGATCTGATCGCCTTCTCATTCCGACACTGAATGCCACTTGCAAGGGACTCGCTCTTTGCTGGTCTT